TGCTTGTTTGTCTTGTGCTTGTTTGTCTTGTGCTTGTTTGTCTTGTGCTTGTTTGTCTTGTGCTTGTTTGTCTTGTGCTTGTTTGTCTTGTGCTTCTGCTTGTGCTTGTAAGCGATGGCCTGCTGCACATGGACATGAACCAGCGATCTCAAAGCAATCGTCCAGACCAAAGAGGGAGGAAGGTGAAATGCAGGAATATGGGGATGAGGACCCAATAGAGCTGCATTCACATTCACCCTACTGTAAATGCAGTTCTCCTGTACCGAGTGCTCTGTACTGTATAATGATACTGTATGCTTATGCTCCCGGAGGATGGCGTCTATTGTCTAGCAATATACCCGAGTCAGAGTCGGTCGGAATAGACCTCTGTTGTCCTGCCGGCCCAGATCGATGCCACTGCACTGTATGTGCAGTACATCAGCTCGTGGCTTCCTGACGTTAGAGGCTCATACGCACAACTGAACTAAATACCCGGCCAGCCTAACAAGTCTCGAAGCTGGATATTGCATTGTCCCTTCAGGTTGTCTCTCCATGGCTGCCGTGTTCTGTACATAGATCCTAGATCCTAGATACTCCGGGGGTCTTAGTCCTAGCCTTAGCCCCAGCCCTTTCGGAACCCGGAATGTGGAACATGCTGCTACCCGGGGGGAGGGGTGTGGTGCTGGTGTTAGCCACTCTACATACAAGTCTACGCTAGTCCTTGAGCACAGTTAGTTACAAGGACGTTGGTTTTAAATATACCTACTGTACACATACACACTTGGAAAGGGGTCTCGATTCTGAATATTGAATATCGAAAATTGAATACTGTAATTACTGATCTTTCCTAGTCCCTGGAAGGCTGCAAGTACTCCGGTGTTTCATCTTGATCTCTCGCAAGCGCAACCACACTTCATACACATTTAAAATGGTATGTGAGGGAATGTTTCGTCCCCCCCTGTCGGCCACTTGAGTTTTGACTGGTTGACTGGTTGACTGGTTGAATGGATTCTTAGGCGTCGACACGCCAATCATCCGCCTCCTCGCTGTTGCCGGGAGTGGCCTTGGTCACCGGCGGAGGACGTGGCCTGGGGCTGGCCATTGCCGTGTCATTTGCGAAATCGGGCGCCAGGGGCGTGGTCCTGGTCGACATTCAGGACGATGAAACCATGAACGGCGCGAAGGCCGAGGTCGAATCTCATGGAGACAAGGCAAGTCCAAGTCTGTCTGCAATCTACATTCTACATTGTTGCTCAATAGTTTGAATTCTGTTTCTGTTTGGTCTGATCTGTTCTCTGTTGCTTGGATCAGGTGTATTTTGTATTTATTTCTATTTTATTTTGTATTTGGTTCTATTTGATCTGATTGTTCTCTATTCCATGGGCAAAGCCAAAGCTGACCCAGCCCTGGCCACGGCCACGAGGCTGTCACAGGTCAAGTGTTTGCCCATCCGAGCCAATGTCACCAGCGAGGCCGAGTTCCAGGGTGCAATTGCGCAAGCAGTGGCTGAATTTGGACGCATCGACTATGCCGCGTAAGTTCTGACTCTGATTCGGACGGATCCGGTCCAAGATCCATCCACATGAGCCTCGCAAATCCGTCCATCTCATAGGCACCATGTCCAGTATCGTAGGTATCATGTCCAGTACTTGTCGTGACTAACGGTTCGGTTGTTGGCGACATTCTAGAAACTTTGCCGGCATCGGTGGCCCCCATAAACACATTTCAGAAATCACGGTGGAAGAGTGGGAGCAAGTGCTGGCCGTCAACACGACCGGAGTGTTCATCAGCACCAAACACGAGCTGTTGCAGATGATGAAACAGGACTCTGTCGAAGTGTACGTTCCGTTCGGGCACCTCCTAACGCTCTGAATAGAGTATTCCGTTCGGACCTCCTATCCTATTCAGAGGATTACTTGGCCTATTCAGAAGACTACTTGGTGTCGCTGTAGCTGTCCATTGCTGACAGATTCTAGTGAGCCAGGACGCGCGCCTCAAAGGGGGTCGATTGTCAATTGTGCCTCGGTGAACTCCATTCAGGCCATGGCTGGGACGGGGATCTATACCGCTTCGAAACATGCTGTTGCTGGTCTGACCAAGGCTGTGAGTGCACATCCACACATACCCCCCTCTTTGTCTCTCGTACAGTGGACATGGAGGGAAGTGTTCTACACACATATCTCCCCTTCTCTCTCTCTTGTACGTGTGAATGCACAATGGACATGGAGAGACTTCAAGTGTTCTACTATACATGTATACATATGTATGTATGTATATATGCTAACCTCCAACTCGGCCTCAAGGCAGCCTTAGAAGCTCGACAGCACGGCATCCGCGTCAACGCCCTGTCGCCCGGCTTCATCTTGACCAAGATCGCAGAGCCCGTGGTCAAATCCGACCCGCAGGTCTACGAGACCTGGAAGACATTCGAGGCCCGCCAAGGCCGACAGGGCAAGCCCGAGGAGATTGGTGACGCTGTGGCCTTGTTGTCCTCGACTCAGATGAGCCTGGTCAACGGTCACAATCTTGTCGTGGATGGGTGAGATTGAGATTCCTACATTACACCTACACATGACCTGACCTGATCTGACCGGGAAACATGCTGACGCGAACGTACTCATTAGGGGCTTCACGGTCAACACGACCACTTATTAGACTTGGACGGCCCGCGAATGCCTTGGTAAGATTCTGAAGCCTGAGCCTGAGCCTGAGCCTGAAGCAGAGGCAGAGGAAGTTTCAAAAACCCTAGTCTATTCAATAGCAAGTACCCTAAGGCCTACATAGACACAAACTTAATGCTCTCCTTTGCAATCTCAGGAATGGGGTTGGGTTTCAAAGCAAAGCATACGCACTAGGCATTGTTGCAGAAATACGTGTGTAACCGACCCGGTACATTGACCCCGTCGTATCGAGGCACGGTAGCTGAGCTGGACGACAGTCGATACCACTGCATGTTATGTTAACTGGTACAGTCGATGCCACTGTAGATTCCCTGCTCCACCAGTGTTATGTTACTGGTACAGTACTATATCCTTACGGTAGTACAGAGTACCTGGTCCAGCAACAAACCTCTCTCTTTCTTTCACTTCTTTCAAACCTCTCCCTTACTTTCACTTCCTTCATTGAGATCCTGATCCCTCAACTGGGACTGTCTCCCTTCGTCTCGCTTGCTGCGTTCTCCCCCGCAATTCTGCCAAATAACAGGGCGGCGCCAATAGCATAGCCACCGCCAGGGTAGATGGACTTTTCCAGGCCACCGACGACTTCACCAGCGGCGTAGAAATGCGGAATCGGCCTGCCGAAGCGATCGAGCAGGCGAGCGGCGTGGTCGACCCTCAAGCCGGCGTAGGTGATTCCGACCTGGTGGGAGCGCACATCGGCGGCATAGTAAGGCGGGGAGTCGAGCGGCCACATTTCAGCCGACTCCTTCCCGTACTCGGGGTCCTTGTCTTTGTCGTTCACGACGTCGCGGTTCCACTTGGACACGGTGTATTCGACGCTCTCGGGCGGCATCCCCGTCAGACGGGCCAGTTCGGCCAGCGACGAGGCCTGGATGATGCGGCCGCTGGCGATCTCTCGGTGCAGAGTCTCGGCTTCCCAGTTCGACCGCATCTTGAACCCCAGCCCGTACGGATCCGTGTTGGGAGGGTGGTCGGTGGCGTAAGTCAGCGCCCGCGTGTCGAACACCCCCCAATACCGCGACCCCGGCTGGTTCACCACCGTGGGCCCTAGAAACGTGTACGGGGCCAGCTCGTTGACGAACCGCTCGCCCTGCGTGTTGAGGTACAGTAGCCACCCAGGCTTGTACAGGTCGACGTCCTGGATGAAGTTGGGCGTCGCGTTCACCCCGCCGTTGTTGACGTTGACCACCGTCCCGCCCACCGTCGTCCCCAGGTCGAGCCCGTCGCCTTGGTTCGTCGCGGGCCCGATATACCATGTCCAGCCTTCGTGCTTGACCGCGTCGGGATAGTACTGGCTCAGCTTCGACAGGCTGGCCCCGAACCCGCCTGAGGCAATGATCACCGAGTCGCCCTGGAAGACGCGGCCGTCTTCCGACCTGAGTTCAATGGTGTCAGTGTCACCATTGCTGCTGGTGTTGGTGCTGCCATCACTACCATCGGTGGCCGGGCTGGTACTGGTGTCACCATTGGTCTTGGTCTGGGGACTTTTTGTTTTGGTTGGGATCGTAATGCCTGTGATTCTGGTGTTGGTGTGAACCACCACTTTCCGCTCATCAAACGCCCTCACAATCGCATGGATGATGGCCGCTCCGCCAGCCGGACCTCGCCCGCCCGTGTCGCCACTGGGTATGTGGCCGCGCGCGTTCATCTCCGTGCCGGCCACGTACAGGTCTTCCGGCCGGAAGACGACGCCTAGGTCCTCCAGCCAGGGAATCAGATCACGGCATCCATCGACGATGGTCTCCAGCAGTTTCAGGCTGACCGTCCATTGGCAGATGGCCGTGTAATATGCGATCAGTTCCTCCCGGGTATCGTGCACGCCAGCCTTCTTCTGCGTCTCCGTCCCCGCCGCGAATATCACCCCGCCTGACATGGCCGTCGCGCCGCCCAGGTGGTCGCTTGACTCGAGCAGCGTCACCTCGGCCCCGTGTCGGCTGGCCTCGAGGGCGGCTGCCACGCCGGCGCCGCCACTGCCGACGACCAATACTCGTGGTGGTGAATGAGGCATGGCTGTAGTTGTAGTTGGTTATACTGCCGCTGCCGCCGGGTGGTCTGGAGCCAGTGAGTGGGAATGTCAATGTCAAGTCGGCTAGGTGACCTCTTGTTCACTCTGCAACAGACATGCCAATGGCAACTTCAACCCTTGTGTACTGAGGTATCAATGGTGAATGGATAGAATCAGACCTCGTTCGGAGGATATCGAACAGCGTTAGGCAGGTACATCATGTAACCTTCACCCATTCGGGACCGGGATCGGAAAATAACTGGTCGAGTAGTACCCGGCAGAATGTAGGATCGAATGCCAGAAGGGCGGCACCGGGAGTTTGATGGCATTATAAATGATCTCCTTCTGGTAAACATAGGGTAGTTCTATTGAGAGCAGTGTTGTTATGAGATACAAGAGACCTCAGGTAAACGGTACCTGGTGCTACCTGAGGCACCTGCGACGTTCGGTGTAAGCATGAAGGGACTGAGGAGGAGTATCCGCGTCCGTATTCCGTATCCGTATCCGTATCCGTACGGAGTACAGTGTGCCCTAAACCTATGGCGCTAAGGACTAACTGCTAGCTGAATGCGGTGATAGTGGTGCCACTAGCGTCATCCACGCACTCTAATGTGTACTAGGAAGTTAGTGAAACGCGGGGTATGGACCAGCCATAAATCTACACTAAACCTGTTCAGGTATGTGGTGGGAATACTCTATTGTGAGCTGCATGCCCATGCCTCCTCCCTACAGTAACTGAACTTCTCTTACGTACTACAGAGAGACTGTCTACCAGTCGGCAGAGAACCATACGGATACTTAAACGACAGAAAAGAAAGGGGCGACGTGGCACACCATTCCACAGTCCTCCCGCATTTACCCATCCCTTCTCATCCTCTGCACAGTATCGGTAGAAGCCACTTCCGGCCCGATGACAGCCACACAACGAAGCCCAGCTGCAGCTCCAGCAGTGCTTGGGAAAAAACCCCAGCAGGAGCAAACTTGTACTTCCGGCTCAAACCCCACGGGGCGGCTCGCTCGGTCGCTCGGTCGACTGAATGTGAGATCAGTTCACCCGACTCCATGGGGTTTGCTGTTGGTGTTGGGTGTTGTGTTTTGGGATTTGCCGAAATTCCCCCCCACCTCAAGACAGTCGGAAGGCGGATCCAGTACACATCCAGCACAGGAGAGGGCGGTTCGCCATGGCAAGCATTCATTCGCGGTCAAAACGGCCCTATCTGCGAAGAGCATCCTGGCAATGGCTATGGCTATGGCTATGGCTGTGACTATGTGAGGATCAGACCCGTGACGATCTTCAATGAGTGTGCGTGACCGACAGACTGGGGAGGGGAGAGGGAGTCCGCTCTCCCCTCCCCAGACTTGCAGGTTGTTACCCCCGGGACAACGGTGCATTTACTTATATGCAGCCGGGCATGGCATTTAGCTTGCCCTGCATCTCTGCCAGCAGTTGAACTCTGATCATAGCCATCTCCGTCCTGTGACTGCTCAAATCAGATCAGATCAGAACCGCCATCATTCAAGAGGCAGTCATGGACCGAGTTTCGATCACACTGTCGCCCACGGCCATCCTTGCCGTCGCCATTCTCACCTCATATCTTCTATGGAGAACTTTCCGCAAGTCCCAGTCTCTCCCTCTCCCGCCAGGCCCTAAAGGACTCCCGATCGTGGGAAATCTATACGACCTCCCACCGGAAGGGTCTGTGGATTTTCTCGAATTTGCAAAGCACCGGGACTTGTATGGTGCGTCAAACGAGCGTTTCATTATTAATCCTTTGTTAACACAGGTTTGGGCGGATCGAGCTGGACTGAGTTTTCAGGAATCTCAGATGACTGTCACTGACATGGGGCTTGGATTGAGATACAACAGGTCCTATCAGCTCTCTAAAAGTGGTTGGCACCACTATCATCCTCCTCAACGACAAGCAGTGTGCAGTGGACATACTGGACAAAGAGTCCGCCAAGACTGCCTCTCGGCCGGAGTCGACCTTTGCCTACGAATAGTACGCATTAAATTTCCTTTACTTTGATATCACCACTCTACCTTGACGTTGTTATGATCCTAAGATACTGCCGGTGACTGTTCTGTTCTGTTCTGTTCTGTTCTGTTTGCGGCCCTGACAGCGTTGGCTCTGAATGCTGTGCTGACACAGGAGTGTCTTTTGCAGTGCCGGGTTCAAAAAGTCGCTCGCCTTGACACGCGACAGGAGACTTTTCAGGGAGTACCGCAAAGTCATGGCCAAGGTGCTCGGGTCGCGGAATGCCGTCATGAAATTCCATCCGCAGCAAGAACTGGAAGCCCAGAAGTTTTTGCTGCGGCTGCTCAAGGATCCTGAACATTACCCAGAACATCTTCGAAGGTAAGTCCTGCCCTGATACCATCACATCTTTAGTATACGAGCACAAGAACTCCGTCTTTCAAACTGAACCGAACGTTGAATGAATGAATGAATGAATGGACCATTCCATCCATCCATCGATCTTGGGTTGATTGAGCAACTCCGAACCATCACTAACGAAACAACGTGCCCATTCCAGAGAGGCAGGAGCCTTTATTCTCAAAGTCACCTATGGCTATTCCATCATCCCCGAAGGGATTGATCCGCTGGTCACATTGTCCGAGTCGCTTCTCGAAAGGTTTGTCTACGCCACCGCACCAGGAAAGTGGCTGGTCGACTTGATTCCCCAGGGTAAGTTTAGGAGAGCAAGCCATACGGATTGATGCTAATTCAACCAGTGCAATATATACCCGAGTGGTTTCCCGGAGGCGGATACAAGAAGAGCGGTCGCAAAGTCGAGGCCGTGGTGCAAGAAGTGATTGAGAAGCCATTGGCCTTTACCATCCACCAGAGAAAACAGAACAAGCACGTGCCGTCGTACGCGTCCGATCTTCTGGACGATAACGAGCCTCACGACATGGTGTCATGGACTTCCATGGGCATGTATATTGCTGGTGCTGACACGGTGAGTACAGTAGTACTTGGTGTACTATACACTGCACTGCTATGCTATGATACGATATGAGATCATGGCATAGCATATGCAAAGCCCACCTCAACCACCTCAACCAGCAAGATCAGATCCTGGTTCCCACTTGCCTGCTCCGAGCACTCCCATCTATTTACTTCTACAGCTGACTGATACTCTGTTATTTTCTAGACCGTCGCTTCGCTCAAAGGCTTCCTCCTCGCCATGATCCTCTTCCCCTCCGCGCAGCGCAAAGCCCAAGACGAAATCGACCGTGTCGTCGGCCGGGACCGGCTCCCCCTCCTGTCCGACCGCGACAACCTGCCCTACATCAACGCCATGGTGAAGGAAGTCATGCGCTGGCACACGCCGGGCCCGATCGCCCTGCCACACAGGGCCGATGAAGACATCATCTACAGGGGCTACTTGATTCCCAAAGGTGCCACTATCATGGTCAATGCCTGGTGAGCTCATCCATCCATCCATCCAATCATCCTGAACTGTGTTGGGTACATGTTTGCTAGTGGTGGTGGTGGTGGTGCCATTGGTTGTTTGTTTCGGCCCAGCCATCCCAACTCAAATATTTGCTATCGGCGATCGTGTGGTGTGGTGTGGTGTGGGTGGTTTTCTTATTTACAGTACCCTTAGCTGACATACCCCTCTCACTCCTTGTAGGTTATACAACAACGATCCGAGTTACTACGCCGACCCCCGCAAATTCTCACCCGAGAGATTCCTCAAAGACGAGAACCACGAGCCGGAAACCGACCCGACCGAGAACATCTTCGGCTGGGGCCGCCGCATCTGCCCCGGCCGCCTGGTCGCCGACAGCGCCGTGTTCGTGACCATGGCCCAGACTCTCGCCGCCTACACCATCAGCAAGCCCATCGGGCCGGACGGCAAACCAGTCGAGCCGGTGGTCGACTATATCCCGGGCATTGTGGCGCATCTTCGCCCCTTTGGCATCGACTTCAAGCTGCGTGATCCGAAATACGAAGACATCATCCGCACGGTCGAGAAGGAGGATTCTTTTGATTCGGGTGATGCTGAGATTCTTGCAAAGGTCAAATACTAGGACTGGTGACTGGGACTGGTGACTGGGACTGGTGACTGGGACTGGTGACTGGGACTGGTGACTGGCACTAGTGTTAGTATTGGTATTATTGTCACCGTTCCTTGGTAGTGTTGGTATTACCATCACCGTTCCTTGGTAGTGTTGGCACTGTATGTCATGATGGCCATGTGTTGCTTTGCGGTTTGGGAATCCGATCCGATCCTGTCTGGTGAGGCTGCTTGCCGACCCTGACCCTGACATGATATACTAGTACGGGTAGTAGTAGTTATCAAGTGTATGAGGATGTGATGGTTGATGGTTCTTCGGTATTAAATACTCTCACTGATCACTGGTCGCTGTCAGGGGTGGTCTGACATCGACATCGACATCGACATCATCGCCAGGTTTGTACTGTACCTCTGACAGAATGAGCGCATCTCTCGCGAAACAACCGTGCTTTCATCTGAGATCAGCCTTGCATCACTGAAGCTAGCATTTGGCATTTGGCATTCGTTATTGGTATTTGGCCAATATACAGTAGATGATAGATGCTGTAGCCCGTAGCGTAAGGCTAACGGCCAAGGCCGCCATATTTCGCCTCCAGTCTTTCCCATATTTTGTCGTCTTCCCTCTCAGTCTCGGAGATAGAGATGCAACTTCTTTGTGTCTGTGGGCACGGGACCATCTCCCTACGGTCTGGTCCCTTGCGCACCAGTTTCTTCGCACAGGCTATTCGCCGTGGGAAGTGGCGGACACGATGCTGCTAGGCAGTAGCATCATGTTTATGGCTCTTTATGTCACTATCTCTTTCGCCTTCGGACAAAGGACCTACCTTGTTACCTGGACGATATTGGAATAGTGAGTCCACGACCAACTACGTGTATGAAGCCCTAGGTTCGTCGTGTCTCATCGGATTCAAACCACAGAGTGAGAAGGCGATCCATCAGTCAAGTGCAAGGCTGCGAGGCTACAAGGCTATACTCAGCCTCGGCCAGTCACGTGTGATCACGATGACGCAATTCGTCGGTGGCCGCAGCCTCTTGCACAATTTGAATCCGTGAGTGACAATTGTGACCGGGAGCCTGGAGTTGCCATCGCAAGGCTCATCTTAGTGGACTCCCGTTGTTGGAAGACCTCGTCGGTCAAGTAAGACACGCTTACAATTTGTCCGTCATACCAGATCCTGGGGCTGGGGCTGCCGAGTTTCGTCCTGCGCTTCTGGCCCTGCTGACCTGCGCTGCATCCTCATCCGTCCTCTCTGCTGGTAACACGTCGAAATGCCGACTGCCTGCAGAGATCTGTAAGAAGAGATTAGATTTCATCTCATTATCCCTTATCCTCCAAAGCAGCCCTTCCCCTTCCCGACGTCGCTGATCCATGTGTCTGGGTCTGGCTGTCGGACGTCAGCCCGCACGTGTTGCATCTTGTCGAGAATAGGAGGTGCAGCGCGGCGGTCGACGGAAACAAGACCTGGTCTATGCCCTTCCCCCTATGCCCTCCCAGTGGCGATGGCCTGTGAGGATGAGGATGGGCTTGAATCTCAATGTCGCGGAGAATGGCGATGTTGAAACAACAATCGTGACGACGACCGTCACATTACGGAGTAGTCCAACTGATAGCCACCATCCGCTGGGTCCGGGTTCCGCTGGGGCCTGCCAAGGACACAAGAGGTGACCCAAGAGGTCTTGGTATGGCGACTGGGGGCGGGAACACGTCCTCCTAGCTAAGCTCCTGGTCCGGCAGCCTCGCGAGCGCTCCCATGCCAAGGCCTTGGTATAGCTCCACTGATAAGGGCAACACTGTGAAGGCGTCGAGCTCTCCGGAACGACGGAGAGTCTTTCAATCGTTCAGCACCGAGGCAGACGCAGACACAGACACAGACACCCCTACGATCTGCGATCTACGTACTATCGCCTCGTCATGCCATGCGAGATGGGGCGGTGAAGGCGCCCTACCCCTACCCCTCCCCCTCCTTCTCGAGAGGATCCAACTTCAACTTGGAGTTTGTTGTGCTCAGCATAGCATCGACAAGCCTAGCCTTGCTTGGATACCATCGGATCCCAGGTCCAGGTCCTGGCGGGACGGGTGGGATGATCTTGTCGTTTCCGCAATCAGACAGGCATCTCGGTGGCGGTACGGAGGACAACGTGGCTTGCCACGTTCTCATCCCCTGCAGAAAAGAGGAATCATTTTCCTGTTCGGGATTCGATGTTATCTCTTGGCTCGAATGGCCGAGCCTCACTAGGTGTGTACACTGTAACCGTACTCCGTACAGAGCAGTGCTTAAGAGGTGTTGGAGTCGCACAACCCCTTGGCCATCCCTTCCACTTCTGTTCTGTCTTTACTGCCTCTACTGTCTTCTTACTCTTTCCTCACACTGCTGCCGCCTTTGACAACCTCGAGTTTAAGTTTGAGATTGAGATTGTATTTTGCAGGGTTGAAGTTCCTTACTAGGCCTGAAATCCCAGAGATCAAGATGTCGGAAATCCCCCCCGTGACAGAATGGCCAGACTACAAGGTCGATCCTCAGGGCGGCGACCCGCTGACCCAGAACCTCAACGCTCCATATGACAAGGTACAGCAATTCTCAAGTTGAGCTCAATATCAATCTCATGCTTTGCCATGAGTTACTATGAGACCACGACTGACACCCGTTCACTTGGGTTAGGGCGATCTCTGCTGGATTCTCGTCTGCACCATCCTCTGCTGGCAAATCACGCCGGCGATCGGCTATCTCTACGCAGGCATGCACCGGCGGAAAGCGGCGCTGACCATGATCTTCCAATCGCTGTTCTGCGCCTGCGCGTGCGGCATCCAGTTCTGGATATACGGCTATTCCCTGTACCAGTCGCACACGACGAACCCGATGCTCGGCAACCTGAGCCTGGCGGGCCTGCACAACGTGGTGGCGTCGCCGTCGCTGGCCAACTCGGACATCCCGGACATTCTGTACGCGTGTTTCGGCTTCACCTTCGTCACCGCCACCGCCATGATCCTGGCCGGCGCCATGCTGGAGCGCGGCCGCCTGTGGCCCAGCATGCTCTTCCTCCTCTGCTGGACCACCTTTGTCTACTACCCGCTCGCGTACTTTGAATGGAACCCCAGCGGCTGGCTGTATCAGCTGGGCGTGTATGATTTCGCCGGCTCCGGTCCCGTCCATATTGCCAGCGGTTTCTCCGCCCTGGCCTGGAGTCTGATGCTGGGTCCTCGCATCGGCGACCACACCGCCGGCGAGAGGGCCAAGATCGTGCATTTCAAACCACATAATCCGTTCCTCGTCGGCATGGGGACCTGCTTTATTTGGTTCGGTTGGTTTGCATTCAATGGTTGGTTTTCCTCCCTTTACACCTGGCGCTGAAGCCAGAATACATACCACATACACATACACATACACACACACATACACCTACACCTACCTACACCTACACCTACACATAAACATACATATACCCAGGCAAGGCTAGTAATCCCTACTGACGAGTTGGGCACACATTATAGGAGCCAGCACGGCCAATCTCTCGCTTCGCTCCATCTATGTCGTCGTCAACACCAACCTGGCCGCCTGCGGAGGCGGCATTGGCTGGACCCTGCTGGAGTACATGCACACGCAGAAATTCAGCATCATCGGCTTCTGTTCTGGCATCATCTCGGGACTAGTTGGCATCACGCCAGCGGCAGGATACGGTGGGTTTCATTACCTATGTTAACATGCCCATATCATGCCCATACCATCAAGCCCATATCATCAAGCCCATATCATCAAGCCCATATCATCAAGCCCATCATCAAGCCCATCATCAAGCCTATATCATCAAGCCCATATCATTCTTTGTATTGATTACTTCCACCCCAAAATCATCCTATTTTTGCTGCCCTCCCTCTTCTTCCTGTTCGACTCTTCCATGTCTAGCTGCGGTTCCACTACTACCTAATCTAGATGGCTAACTAACCGTTTTTTTGCTCAGTTCCCGTCTACGTCGCCGCACTAGTCGGCCTCCTCACATCAATATGCTGCTTCTACACCAACAAGTACAAATACCTGATCTCGATCGACGAAGGGCTGGACATCTTCGCCCTGCACGGCGTGGGCGGCTACATCGGAGACTTGCTCACGGGGCTTTTCGCCTCCCGATGGGTGCCGGCCCTCGACGGCGTCAGTGGAGACAGCTACGCCGGCGGCTGGTGGGACCGCCACTGGATACAGCTGGGCTATCAGTTCGCGGGGGCCACCACCTGCGCCGCCTGGAGCTTCGTCGTCAGCTGTATCTTGTTGGTCGTCATCAATCACCTCCCCGGCTGTCATCTGCGTGTCAAGGAGGAGGACGAGGCCCGCGGCTTGGATTTCAAGTATCTCAGCGACGCGCATTGGGACTCGGAGGACACCGCTGGAGGGACTATGGGCATGCATATGCCTGTTAGCGAGGGTGTTCCTTTCACCGGCTCGGGGCCGGGGAGTGAGAGCGGGAGTCCGGAGAAGACTGGGACAGCCTTAGCCGGTGCGGGTCCGGTGAAGAGGGAGTGATGTGGTAGATACTGTATCCACTTACTGTACGTACAGAGGAGGATATTCGACGCTGAATTACATAGAGAAGAGAACTATTCGACGTTGACTGTACCTGTATCTAGCTGACTGTACCTGTATCTATAAGGACGGAGTACTCACCTGCCATTAAGCAGTTTTGACACCGAGCAAAAGTCCTCCGTGCTCATACTATACATGGTCTTTGACACGAGAAAATCAACTACACGTACTCCGTACAGTAATTAACTAGCCAAGACCCAAGGCCTAAGGGTGGGTGTCAAAATATCTAACGGGTTGTCCGTTTACGCTCTTCTACTTCAACCTCTTCTATCTTCTCATCGACTTTATCGTTTGCTGTAATTATAGTGATAGATCAAAGATAGGCTCCTTTGGCCGAGAACCCGTTCTTTATTTTGACACCCACTGGTGCCACCCTTGGCCTGACTACATGGTCTTCTGCTACTTCTGTGTACATACCACTGTACATACTAGCCCTAACCCTAACCCTAACCCTAAGGCTTACGCTAGACTGTGTGGGTGGTCAAGGTAGAGAGAGGTGAATAGGATAAGAGGTCGGTCCAGGTGAATAGAAATGTCAAAGGTTGAAATGTTCCATGTTCGCTATCAATGGGTCGCAGGGAGATCGCAGGCTCTATAGTGTATAGTACGCCTAAAGCAGCCTTCTGGTTAAAGGGCAAGGCTGGGAATGCCCAAGTTAGTGCCTACAGTAAGTTTGACAGATAAGAGGTCGGTCCAGAACAGTATCCGCTTCTATACGACATTACGGAGTACAGCAAGAGACCCCTCCTTTCGGTGGCACCGCCTCCTTCTCCACGCCATGCCTTTCTTCCTGATCAGCCACAGGGCCATGGCACCGCAGCTCCCGCTCCACAAGCCCAGGACGGTGAAATACCAGCCTCGGCCGGCCGCCGCAAGCAACGGCTGCAAGACGGCGACGCCGGCGGCGGCCATTGCGCAGCGGGCGATACTAGCGGCCGCGGCGGCCGTGCTCGGGCTCTCCGGGAAGACATCGACAAGAAGGGTGTTGTAGACGGTGTAGAAGCAAGTGCCCCAGAAACCCTGGAGGAATTGAAGGGCCAGCAGCACTGCTGGGTGGACGTGATAGTGAACTGCCCAGCCGTAGCCGACAAGGCCGGCCGTCGAGACGAGCAGCAGCCAGCGGGATCCGCGAGACCGGGCTCGTTCGATGGGGAAGTCGAGCAAATCGTCGCCGGAGACGTGATCGATGTTCCAGTTGATCTCGCGCGCCGTGGCCCGGTAGTTCCAGTCCATGGCTTTGCCGACGCAGAAGCCGCCGACGATGATGCCGACCCCGCGGGGGAGGTAGGCCAGACCGATCTCCAGCGCGTTGAAGCGGTATATCTGCTGATAGATGTCTGGAATCGCGGCGACCAGAGAGTAATCGACCGTGTAGAAGGAGGCGTGCATCCACAGCACGAGGAAAGTGTCGCGGTGGAAAATGATGCGCAGGCATGCCGCCGGGTTGCCTATCCTCAACCTCGCACGGATCCTCGGTCGAGGAGTCTCTTGACTGTGGCGGAGGCCCTCGTTCGGGCTGCTGAAAGGCTGAGGCTCTCCTTCCCTGCTGGGCTGTGCATGGGTTAGAGCCCCCTTCTTCAGAAGGCTCCACCATGTGCGCTCCCACCAGGGTAGACGAGCTCTCCCCGACCCGTCTGCCACGAGGACTCGGGCCGTCTCTGGTAGAAGAAGGCCGACCAAGAACACCAACGCCGCAGCGATGATGACCAGGGCCCGGAATACCCATTGGAAGCTCCCACTGGAGTAGACGACCCAGCCCCCGATGACAGGCCCGATGCACGCACCCAAGTTCAATGCCATGCTGACCGGACCCAGCATGCTTCCCCGCTCGCTTGGGACACAGACATCGGCCACAACCCCAAAACTGACGGCATAGGCCGCACTTGCACCTAGACTCTGCAGTGCACGCAGGCCGAGCAGAGCGCCATAGCTGTCTTGATTGATGGCCAGTCCCAGATTGGCGACCAGATACAAGGACAATGTGACCAGGTAGACCGGCCGGCGCCCAAGAGAGTCGGACAGTGGGCCAAAGACTGCTGGCGATATTGCCTGGAAGATGATATATATGGTGATGGTGAGATTGATGGCCTGCGACGAGGTGTGGAACCGATCTCTCAACAGCGGAAGAAGCGGGAAATAGATTGTCGCCGTGAGCGGCGAGGTGACTGTGGCGAACCCCAGAAGCGCAATGAGCAGTCGCTTCTGTCTCTGGCTGAAGACGGTATATGGAACAGGAGTAGGTAGGGTCCCTACCGCCGTTGCAGTGTCACTCACTTCATCCTTGCGTTCCATCATCCGACAAACTTCATGGCAGGGCCAGAGCGGCCCGGTGTCGTGGGCAGAAAGAGAGTGACCTCGAGGAGCTTTTAAAGGAGGACAGGGATATGACGGTACTGTACTCCGTACAATGCGGGGGTTATGTACGGTAGGAGGTCCTCAGGTTAAGGTCTCCTCCCCCAAGGTCGACCAGGGCAGCCGGCCCGACTGTCAACCGCTGTTGCGCACACGCATGAACGCATGAACGCACGCACACCTTTGCCTAGCACGACTCACAGTACGGAGTACGTGTACATGTCCTTTCTGGGCGCGACATGACCCCTGCCTGAGATGGTGATGGGTGATGGTTATATTGTAGGTGATGGGTGATGGATTGTTTATTACTGCAGTGCTGTGCTGTGCCGTGCCCCTCTCCGCTCTGCTCCCCTCCCCATTTCTGGCAATACTGGCCGGCCATCGCAGTGTCATATCTAAAAGAGAGACAAGACGAGATACATGCATGATACATACATGCCAAACCCGGTGAACCCCACGCGGTTTGGCAAATATGGAGGTGGAGGTGGAGGCATCGTAGACCTCAGCTGAGTCCGATGTTCGCGCCGACCCCCCGACTTTGCTGGTCCAAATCAGCCTCGGCCTCGATATCTGTGTACTACCTACCTACGGTGGAGGCGTACCATCACGGCATTTGCCCCGGCCTTGCGGCCTTACCGCCCAGACTGTCGGCGGCGATACCCACCACCCACCGGTATCTACTACATATGTGGCTGCAACATGGCACTGCAGTTGGTTTAGATCTGCCCCTGCCTTTTGAAAGCCGGGCCGGTATCCAAGAGCCAACTCAACGGGTTAAGGAGGCTCTCAGGAATCTAGCTTGAAATATAAGCAGGCTCACCGGGAATCTGGCGCAACGACCGGGTCTGGCTCGCCGGCCACCACCTCGTCCACCCGGCGGTGGCGGAAGAGGCCAAGAACGCGTTCAAGATGACCAAGTGCCAGGGCATGAAATACACCATCATGCACACCGAGTTTGGACGAGGCAGTGGTACACAAAAGTGACACCAGCTGCAGTGGTAGCGTCGAGGATATGGACATCCCAAACCCTCCTAAGGCTTGGTGTGATCTCGTTCCTGCGACAGTGCGACCCTCTCGGCATCGGTCAGTTTCGGAGGACCTTGGTCTTTGGCGAACGGGGCATATTTGTCAATGAGATGATACATGTCATCATACGCGCTAGGAGAGAACAATGCGTCAGGCTAGTTTCTGTATATATTGCTTGATTAGGAGGACGGGGACAGGGGTAGAGACAAGGACAGGGACAGAGTCAAGAACAGGGATAGAGACAAGAACACTTACGTCTGGCGCACGGCTTTCCCAGACTTGACGTGATTGACCGAATAGATGACATTGTAATAGATGCTGTACAGGCGGTTCCGATCGTCCCATTCCTCACGTGGCTCGCTGGGATGATTGTACCGCAGATATGTTTTGGTGTAGACCTTGCTGTGGATCTTGTTGTAATGGCAGCGCCAATCGCCGATCTCCAGCTCATGGTGGGCGTACATGGCGGCCGCGTCGAAGAGATAGATCTCCCCCGTCCGGTAGGCGGTGCCGGTGTTGCCCTCCCACAGATCGCCGTGGATTAACGAGGGCTTGACGCTGCGGCCGTTTTGGACCAGGGCGTCGAGCAGGCGCGGCACGACGTGGCTCACGAGCCGGTCTTCGAGCCGTTCCAACTCGGCCCATGGTCCGTTGGTGGCCATGTCCAGCTCCATAACATGCTGCAACAGTCGCGTGAAATAGACCGTCCAGCTGCTTTCCCACCCGGCCACCGCCTGTGGGATCCGGCCCTGACACGTGGTGATGTGGAATCCAAACTGGCCCGTCGGCGAGACGCTGTCTCGGTGCAGCTGGGCCAGCTTCGTGCACAGTTGAGTGGGCTCGGGCGGTCGGTCGCTCATGTCGATAAATTCCGCTAGGAAGAAGTACGTTTCAGGTTCAGCTGAGCCTCTGGCATATTTTCCCCAGCCGTAGGGCTTCGGTACGAAAGAGGGCATCGTGTTGTACAGTTCGCTCATGGAATTGAATTCGCCTTCCATCATGGTTCGTCCGGCTTCCCCAGTGGCGCACTTGAGAAAGTATTGCATGGGTGTTTGGTCCGGGAGCTCGACTTCCAGACGTGCTGTGATGGTCCACGCTGACATTCCAAACTTGATGGCGGATAAGACTTTGCTGCCTTTCGGGAGCATTGAGGTCACGTTCTCGTCAACAGAGAAGTCCCCCGATATCTTGGTATCGGCCAGAATCTCGACGAAGGCTTCTTGGACAGGGGCAATCATCTCGCAAAACGGGTTTTTGGGTTTGCTGGATGGGGCGTGAAGAAGCGTCCTAGCTCTCGGGCAATGCGTGTAGAGCAAGCTCGAGGGCTGGATTCTGTAGCACGCCAGGAGGGGCCATTAAGTATTCTGTATTCTGTGTTGCATCCCATGGGAGCAGAGAGCTAACATTGTAACCGAGGCCAGCCTCCAGGGAGCTAGCCGATGTTGGCGCGCGCTGGACATTCTCAGAAGCAGGGATCTGAGTCTCACTGTTGGAGGATGCGACATGAAGAGGTTGAGCTGGTCGGGTGAGGAATGATGTCCAAACAACCTCGGGGCTGAACAAAGGACGTGCGATTGAGGAAGGAACACATGGGGCAGGGCATTGGCGGAAGGACCAGGGGCTAACTTATTAGTAAGGCTAAGATTAGGCTTAGGCCTCCTATGGAAGCCCCTGAGCCCCTAAGCCACCGAAGCCTAAGGAGCCCCTTACAGTAGCCTTAGCCCCTAAACCGTTAGGCTCAGGCTTAGGGCTGCCAAGGCTAAGAGTTATAAGACAGGAAGTCACGGCCGGGGAAGCACTTGCCGCCGGCCCTGTTAGAATCCACCACTGCAAACACACCACTGTATGTATGTACTCCGTACTCCGGATGTGTACTGTAAGCGCCCTGGAGCCTGAAAGAATTCCAATGGAGCCTGAAGAATTGGAGCCTGAAGAATTGGAGCCTGAAGAATCCTCCCTCTTCGCTTCTCTCCGTCCTCCTCCATTACAACCGCCCTCGTCAATTGAGACAGGCTACTGCACGCGACAGCCCCAAGCGCCGGCCCCTCCCTCTTTACAAGAAATATTTCCTTCAACCACAGACGTAGTCACTGAGCAAGAAGAAGAGCACTGCGGTGCAGTTACAAGCAGACATGGAACCTGCGTCTCGGAAGGGTGCATCGACATGGCCCACGCAGGTCATGAGTCGTCCTCACCGCAGTGTGCATAGTAAAATGGCTCTTGTGCGCAATGGGCAACACCCCCTGGTTGCGCATCAATTCGCCTATCTCGCGCCGATGTCACCCAAGGTTGATTGCGCAATGTCCACAAATATTCATTGCAACTAGGTATCAACAAGGATATGGCGCCTCGTCCGAGCTAAGTTTGAAGCTGTTTCAGCAGCATCTGCTGGGTGCCACACGTTTCGGTCGCGGTTGGTTTAGCAATGCCTCGAGAGTCAGTCATGGCCAGTGGCCTACCTGCCTTTCGGACCGCGAATGCTGAGTACTGGTACTCAGCAGACCGAGAAGAATTCTCTCTACAAGAGGCCTCTCTCTGGTGCTTCGCACTCACCCTGAATCTCCTGCTTTATTGAGTTCGATAGACCGCCCTCAGTCGAGCCTTCGGTCCGCCTTGCAGCAGTCGCGATCACGCTTAGGCAACTCAGTGCAGGGGTCCCTCATAATCACAATCATGGTCACATATTGATTCCTCCAATGGACCTCCTAGCACCGTGAGAGCACCCCCAGACTCTAAGTCACAGTTATGGTATGTTCTGGATTCCACTGGTGCCTTGGTGGCCCTCATTCTCACTAGAAGGCAGTTCGAGAGGTTACGTTCTAGGCTCGCGCATAGGAATACAGACGATGGCGCGCCCTCATCTGCACAACCAGCCAGTGGTAGCACCGACAGAAAGCGTTCTGCCTCTCCCTTCCGGTGGGCGCGAAAGAGCTCTACCTCCATAGCACTTTCATACCAGGCACCCTCCCATTCCAGCTTCGGCTCTGGGCAGGAGGCACAGGCGACGTCCTCGTACTCAACTGCGCCGTATGTGTCCAATTCACTTGGCCTGCACCTTATTCACAACCCCGAAACAAGGCCACTTGTCGACATTATCTTCGTACACGGTCTTGGTGGCGATAGTCGCAAAACTTGGTCCAAGAACCATGACCCGAGGCTGTTTTGGCCAGGCCTATGGCTGCCAAAAGATCGCCGGATCGGAAAAGCAAGGCTGTTCACCTATGGTTACGACTCAAGGATATTCGGTCCGAAATGTGTGTCGGATATCCCAGACTTTGCAAGGAAGCTGCTTTTCGACATGCATATGGGTAGAAGCGGACATGAAGAGAGCCTGGAGATTGGGAAGTTTCCCATCATCTTCGTGGCTCATTCCATGGGTGGACTGGTAGTCAAAAAGGCCTATCTACTGGGACAAAACGATCAAGCATACCGTGAGATGTTCGGGTCGATTTCAGGAATGGTTTTCCTCGCCACTCCTCATCGCGGCTCGAATCTCGCCAGCACACTGAGCTTGATTCTCGAACTCTTGTTGCAGTCGAAGAAAAGGTTTATTGCCGCCCTACAGGAACACTCTGCGGCAATCGAGGAATTGAACGAGCAATTTCGTCACGTCGCCCGAAGACTCGATATCATCTCGTTTTATGAGGAGTGTCAAACTCGAATTGTCGCCAAAAGTTGTATGATCGTGGAGAAAGACTCGTCGATCTTGGGCTACAGTGAGGAAAAGCTTCGTGGACTCAATGCCGACCATCAAGGAGTGTGCAAGTTCGACAGCGAAGTGGATCCGAACTACAAGATTGTTCGAGACAGCCTCAAAAGTCTTGTTGAGAAGTTTGGCCACAATGGGCGCGCGCCGTCACATTCGGGACACCCATCCACCACGAGCGAAGAACTAAAGAAGCTCCTTGGAATCCCCGATCCTCCCTACGAGGACCTCAGCACGCTTCTAAAGCGACGGGCACCCAAAAGTTGTAAATGGTTGCTGAAGGAACCCACGGCTCGGGAATGGCTAACAGACCAGTCTGAATCTTGTGTTCTATGGTATAACGCACCACCGGCTGCTGGGAAATCCGTCTTGTCAAGCTTTCTGGTTGACTACCTGCAGTCGGAGGGCTACGAATATCAGTATCACTTCTTCAATGCCGATGACCAAGGCAAACGATCGGTCAGCAACATGTTGAAATCACTGGCGTGTCAGGTTTCTTCCGTGCTGCACGAGTACCGTATCCAGCTCCAGAGCGTGTTGTCGGAAGGCCTTCCATTGGAAAAGAGCGATCATCGTTTGATCTGGCAGAAGTTATTCGAGTCTACGTTGTTCGGTATCTCTTCCAAACGACCTCTTTTCTGGGTGATCGATGCAGTAGATGAGTCAGAGTCGCCAAAGACCGTGGTGGGACTCCTTCAAGAAGTGCTGCAAAAGTCACAAACTAAGATCAAAATCTTCCTTACCAGCCGTCGCACAGACGCTCTTGCTCTGTGCTTCGACAAGCTCCAGCGAGTAGGTAAGGTGTACACAATCGATGGAGAGATCCAACAATATAACCAACAGGATATTCAGCTTCTGCTGGCGTCCGAAATGGAGTATCTGCCTGGGAGTGAGGAACTCAAGCAACAACTCGGTCCTAATATTCTGCAGCGTGCAAAGGGCAACTTCTTGTGGGTGAGCCTCGTGCTGGAAGAGCTTCACACCTGCCAGACGGAGAAGGACATCCAGGACACACTCCAAAAGCTGCCCGATGACATGACCAAGATGTATCAGAGGATGGAAGATGCCATCACACAGACATCGAACAAACAGAATGTCGAGCTGGCCAGACTGCTACTTCAGTGGGTGATTTGCACACCACGCCCACTGACGTTGGGAGAGCTCGAAGATGCGCTTCGCGGCGACCATACCGACATCTTGAATCTGAGAAGTACGATCCGAAGTCTCTGCGGACAATTCGTCCTCATAGATCAAACGGACCATGTCACCATGATCCATCAAACAGCACGCGAATATCTCACAACGGTCTCACAGAGCGCAATTGCTATCGACCACCAACATGCCCACAACACTCTTCTGGTCAAGACCCTCTCCAGCCTCTCTGCTTCATCGCCGAGCTCGAACTTGAGTCTGCTAAAGCTGGATGACCTGCAGAAAAAGAAGCCGTTCATTTTGTATGCTGCCACATCTTGGATTTACCACTTACGCCATGTTGACCGACTATCTGATCAAGTGATTGACAAATTGGTTGATTTTTTCAGTCAATCATTTGTGCTGGATTGGATTCATCTCCTTGCCCGTCGGAAGCAGTTGACGATCCTTGTCAAGGGAGCCAGAGAACTGATCACCTTTGTCGACGGCAATCGGAAATTGAATGTTGCCCGAAATCCCATGCTGCACCGACTTTCAGCACTGGAGCTTCTGGAGGGTTGGACCGTGGATTTGGTGAGGATCACAGGAAAATTCAGCAGACAACTCTTGTTGGAGCCCCGTGCAATCTACGAAATCATCCCAGCACTATGTCCTACCACGTCCGTCATACACCAACGGTTCAACCGTGGCCAGACTACCAAACTCCGAGTGTCTGGGGCAAACGAGTCATGGACTGATGCGTTCGCGCGCCTGTCGCTTCCTCACGACGAACCAGCCGTCAAGATCGCATGCGCGGGCCAGCGTGTAGCCGTGCTCAGTCAAAGCGGAACCATATATATGTGGAGTTCTGTCGATTTCCAAGAGGTCTGCACACTGCGACACCAGGAGCCCGTGACCGATATATGCTTCAACAGCAGGAGTGATTTGCTGGTGTCGGCTGGCTTGAGCAGCACAATTGTTTGGAAAATACCTACCGGCCAGATCCTGTTGCAAACTCCGAACCCAAACGGCAGCAGAGTATTGTCCATCGCATTTTCTGATCGTGACCGGAGAATTCTGACCGCGTCTGACGACCGAGTGGTCCGCCTTCTTCGAATCGATGAATCTATGCCAACTTGGAAGGTGGTGAACACCAATCTGCTGAGGGAGAAAAACGAGACCACTTCCGCCTTCATCAACACTCCTAAATGCCTGAAAATCAACCCTGGCGGGACACAGGTTGCCGTATCTTATCGGTCATTTCCTCTTTCGGCCTGGGATCTGGACAGTGGGCAACTCATCGCACGTTGTGTACGACCGCATACATTCCCGGATCTGGACTCTGACCCGTCGAGTACATGGTCTCCTGTGGACTCGTTCACCTGGAATCCCGTCACCGGCCATATTATTGGTATCTACAAGGACAAGACACTCTTCAAATGGCATCCTGTTTCAAGTGCATACTATGAGGTGGGAGCTTCCGCCGACGAAGTTGCAGCGAGCCCAGATGGGACGCTCTTCGTGACGAGCGACACCAACGGCATGGTGAAGGTCTGGAACTTTGCCTACTTCAGCCCTATATATCAGCTCACCTCGGGGGATCTCGTGAGCGGGTTGTCTTTCAGTCCAGACAGCACCCGGTTCTATGACATACGAGGACCGACCATCACTGCTTGGGAACCGAACGGCATGCTCCGTCTGGCGGAATCGGGAGAGACCTTCAGCGACACTGCTAGTGACAACCAATCCGGCACGCTTAATTCCCATCTTTCCCAGGCCGTCGCCCCCGAGTTTTCAAGCTTGACCGCTCTCGCCGCTGCGCCGACCGGGCCCAGATACGTGATGGGCAACGAAGACGGCGAAGTTTATCTTTCAGATGGAAGAAGCAGTTCGGTCTGTGAGTTGACCAAGTTCCACAACTTCTTTGGCATCAGCCACCTGGCCTGGGCCCCAAGCAGAGATCTGGTCGCTGCAGCGGACCTGGGCGGGGACATACGGATATTGCAACTTCAGGTGAACACGGCGGACATGGACATTGCTGGTCGGGATGGGATCCGGCTTCTACCAAATCCGGAGACCAAACTGGGGGATCGCACGGTTCATCAATTACTGATCGATGCGTCATCACGAAAGCTTCTGGTGATTAGCGATGACTTTGCACAGGTATGGCATGTTGCAGAAACTGAAAGCGCAGTAACAGCCACGGCCAAGATGGACCATGCGACCGAACGAGGATGGCTGAATCATCCCAGTCAGCAGGAAGCCATCATCGCGATCGGACCGGAGAATATTCAAGTGTTCCACTGGGACGACCTACGACTGCTGTGTCAATACCGGGTCGGCAGCGAGGCTTTCTCGTTTGCCAGGCAACCCACCCTGAATCTGGAAGGGGGCGGCAGCACAGTCATAGACACAATCCCGCGGGATACACGGCGTCCCACCTGGCATCCCGATTCAGAATCGACGGTCTACAGGAGCATGCTCACCCAGGATCGCCAGCATATGATGGCGCACGTCAAGGAGCAGCTGGCGCAAGGCAAAGTGCAGAAACGACTCTTGATTGTGGCCACGTCGGCCATTGCCATGGACATCAGGCAGGCATGCGAGCCGGGCCTCCTCCGCCCAGTTCCCTACTTGCGGATTCCGAGCGAGGTGGCAGAGAAGATCGAACTGCCCCTAGGCATCTTGGCTGGCGCACTACTCGTCTTCTTTGACCGGGACCTGTGGGTGTGCTCCATCTCTCTGAGTCCTAGACCGGATCCGGGTTCCTTCAAGCGCCATTACTTTGTTCCGAGAGACTGGATGAGCCGGGAGAACTTTGAACAGTGCTGTATGCTGGATGACGGGACTTTACTCTGTCCGCGGGAGGGCGACGTCGTCAGGGTGAGAAGCAATCTCCGCGAAATTTATCATTATCAGTGAGAAGATGGTGGTGTACTAAACTATAGTAACATGGTTGTAATTAATTCAAACAGTTTAGCTGGGGAAGGCTATATACTCCGTACAGTATACGTATTTACCGGGGATCCGTACCGAGTATGTCAGGTAACACTCCGTACTGGTACGTGTATTTAGAAATAGATACCTTAGATACTAAGCCTGCCTGCGGCCTACAGCCCACAGTACCAGTCAATGGCATCAATAGGAGGGCCCTTAGGCCAAGGGGCTTGTCTAGGTGCAGTATATCTCAACCACCTAATTAACCTTCAACCTGAGATCACAAGGCTCGAGTCCACGTCCAGGTTCACCTTGACCTCACACCCAATACACAGCCATCAGCCATCATCCATCAGCCATCAGCCATGCAGCCATCTTCCCTATTGACCCCTCTGGCACTACTCTGTACTGTGTCACGGCATTGCCTCCGCTTGGCCTCATCCCACCACCACCACCAGTCATGCCGACACGCTCCGCGTCCTGGTCTGCATGACTTCCACCGTCGAGGTGTGTCGCACAGTGACTGTGACGGTCGAAGTTGGAATCGACTCGAGCTCCAGCGTCCTGGTAGTAGGCATGGTCACGGCGACGGTGACTGTGTTTTCTGGCGCAGCAGTAGCAGTCGAGCTTGCCGCGGCTCCTTTTACTTCTAGCCGAGTGCGCACGATGGATGACGCCCTGACCAGGCTGGTGGTGGTCAGGGTGGAGTCGAACGAGACAGTCGTCGTGGCCGTGTAGGGTCCGGATGTGATGATGGCCGCCTGAACCATTTCAATCATCATTGACAGTCAGCAAAAGAGAGAGATGGTGTGGTGTACGCCCCCCAATATGTGTGGCAACAGCAACAAAATTGAACGGCCCAAATCAAAGAAATACAAGAGGTAAAGACTGAGAGTTACGGCCCAAATGAAGCGAAATACAGGAGGCAAGGAATGAGAATTACGGCCCAAATGAAGCGAAATAAAAGAGGCAAAGACTGAGACTTACCCCGGAAAATGAAGCCACAGTGGTTCCCGTGCTTGTGCTCGTCCATGTCACCACATCCCAGCGCTCACTCGAAGTCATGCAGGACTCCGATTCGAAATCGACTAGACACTCCTGAACCTGGACCAGATTCGGGATTGGTCTTTGAACCAACTCGTACCAGTGTGCGGCGTAGAAGGCCACTGGTCCCGTCACACCGGGTGGTGCTGAATCTGGTATTGAATCTGACGTCAAAGTAGATGGGGTGCTTGAAGCCCCCATTCGTCCAGATATCGACACCGTACCCGGTGTGGTGGAGGTGGAGGTGGAAGTGGAGGAGCACCCACCATCCAGCCGGTCGCTTGAAAACGTCACCCATTGATCACAGTCGGAGACGAAGACAGGGAGCATGCCAGCCGGTTGGATCGTGGTGCTGCACCAGGTCGTTGTTATAGCGCTGTACACCGTTTGACAGCCGTTGCTGTCCATCACGATCCTGGCCGTCTCTATTCCTGCAAATCCGTCCGCGTCCGTGTCCGTGTCCGTTTCCGCCGGCCTTGAAGCGAAGACGACCAACGACGATGACGAAGAGGCCCTGGTGGACGTAAAAACTCTCGCAATTCCATTCGGCAAGAGGACCGTGGCATTGACCTGGACGGGAAGGTGGTCGGAAGCACTGGGGGACGCGCCGGCCGCGGTAGGAGTAGAGGTAGAAGCCGAAGTCCGAGAGGACCAGGAGAGAGGGAGAATGGAGAAAGCGGCAGACGACGCCGGTGTATCGGGGCACACAGTGGCAACAGGGATCTGCATGACCGTGGTGGGAAATTGGTAGGATGATATCGTGACTACCGGTGCACTGGACGACGCGTAAGTGTGTAAAGACGACGACAGGGCGACCACTGGCGTCCCCAGGACTCCCACCCCTTCAACCGGTGAGTTGGGCTCGGCTTGACGTGGCCTGGGGTGCACATGAGCTTTGCCGTCGTGTTTGATCAATGCTGCGTCGATGGCCGCAATGGGCGCCGCCAGGGCCAAGAGCCAGCTGAAGAGCTCCATGCTTGTGGTTGGATTGGGTTGTCCTTGTCGCGGTCACACGAAAATGATGAGCTGTCGCCAAAAATCAATCTATGCCTTCGCCCGCGAAGACTTTGCTGCTTTTGAACAGAACAAGGGAAGTGATTGAATAAGTCAGATGTCGAGTGGCAGGGCAGCCCAGTTTCAAGTATGTAGAGGCCATGCGGCATCGGAATGTCCCAAGTTAAACGACAGGTATGTGCCCACGAACTGGGCCCTTGGCCCCGGCAATCCCTTGCTGCACAGCTCCAGGCCAGGAATTTCAGCAACCCAGTACGAGTGCGCGACCGACCGACCTTGTCCCAAGGCTGCATCATGGATATCGTGGCGCCCGGTCGGCCTCACCTCCCTCTGGCTGCGATGGGTCACCATGATAAGCACTGCTCAAAAACTCCATTTCTGTATCCATGGGTTGTTGGAAGGGCATCGAGTGATTCATCTGAAAGTCGCCAGGGAAGTATTGGTCATACTGCATCATCGGGTCATACACGGCAAACGCTTGAGTGGTCGGCAGATCAGGCAGCGCGTACATCGAAGACTGCGTTGGGCCCGACGCATAAAGACCGGCAGGGTAGACCGCGGCGGAATAGGCTGACATCGGAGCAGCCTGTTGCGGCGGAGAGGATTTCCCCGGTGGGAAATGCGGCAGATCTTCTACAGTGCGTCCCATCTTCTGCGCCGCCCCTTGAAGCATGGCGAAACACGTTGCCCAGGCCCGTTTGGCCGACAGGTTGTCTTCCGCCAGAGCATGAAGCCAGCGCACCCCCTTCTTGCTCGATTCTAGGATGTTGTCCGCTTCTTCCGGCATGTGGTTGGCGCGGAAAGAGATCTCCAACATGAGCACGGTACAGGCCTGGACGAGCAAGTGCAACATGGTCCACCAAGGACCTACGCGAATGAGCCCGACCGCGTTCGGTTCATCCGGGATGGACCCCAGGGCCTCCATGGCCGCCTCGACGCATTTGGCCGCCGAGTTGCGGTTGAACTCGAGCGATTTGTTAGATTGACCGGGGATCTTGCGATCCAGACGACACAGGCAGGGCCGGTGGATGGTCATTTTGGTGCTGTAGTAGAAAAACCCCAGACCCAAGCGAGCCTCATAGGAGCCGCGATCGCGCTGCTTCCGCCGAAAGGCAAACGCCGGCGGCAAATTTCGGTACCAGTGCTCGATCTGCTCGTCAAGGTCCCCGATCGTCCTCTGAATGTCCGACCACGTGCCCTGGATGGCAGCCGGGTTATACAGCCGATGGAATATGTTTTGTGTCAGTCGGCTCAACTGCACCAGATGGAGGAAGTAAAGGGACGAATTGGGCGCAACATCCTTGGCCCATTCCATGTTTCCCAGATTACTGAGCGTGGAAGGCGAACGCGACTCCATCTTGGTCTGAGAACGAGACCGATCCGTCGAAGGGGTGGTATTGTGGTTGCTCGGCGTTTGCGGGTTCGAGGCGGGAGCTCGAACGCCTTGCTGTCTCTCTTTACTCAACAGTTTCTGGCCTTCCTCGCTGTCAAACTGTTCTTCATCCAGAGGCACCGGTAGCGGCGCCGTGCAGTGGTCGTCGAGAATGCAGTTGACGCGCCCGGTCATGTTGCACAGCCGATGTTCCAGGGTGTACAGCGCCCACCAAACCCGATATCGGATTTCCTTGAGCGTGTTTGGTAGATTGGCACTGTCGTTGCGCATGTTCATCCCCAGTGCACTGGCCTGCCGGATGGCAATCCCGGTCAAAAGCCAGGCTCGGTTGATTTGGCTGGTACAGAGGAGGTAGAAAGACATCAAGCCGACGATCTGGATTTGCTGTAAATCCGGATGCTGGAACAACGTTTCCGAGTTCATGTTCAACAGTCGAGCTCGTGTAAAGTAGATGAGATGATCACGCTCGTCGCCCTTCCACTCGGCGTTGATCAGGTGTGAGTACCTGGCTCCAATGGCAAAGATCATGTTGAGGATGGCCAGCCACTTTTCGGGCGGGCTCTGCACCGTCCCACTAATAAATCGGCGGAACTGGCTGCTGAGATTCAGCTTGCCCACCACGGGAAACGACGGATGGACCCTGGCCATGTACGCGTCAAACAGGTGGTTGGCGATATCGGGGGTGGGGATTTCGTACGGATCGACTGCCTCAAAAGTAAAGATGGGGAGGTCGTCGAGATGATAGTTGGAGTTGTCGACTGCAAAGCCCTCGTCCACCTCGACCAAAGGCGTCTGCACGTCGCCCACTTGACGCCTCGAGTTGAACGATGCCGTGGATGCGGCCGCCAGTGTCTGTTGCTTCTCGTTGCCTTGTTCATTGCGCGGGTGGTCCCCATACTTGTTCTCCTCCCGCAACCGTTGTAGCCAGGTCACTTCCGAATTCTTCCCCATGAACCCCGTTGCGCGGGCTTGCTCGCGAGTGAAGTCTTCATCGGTCCGATCTAGCGCGCCCGTGGAACCGGCTCCGGCGGAGGCCTCAGATTCTGCACCAGACTCCGATTGCTCTCTATCAGCACCAATGGTGGGAACTGTGGCAGTGTCGCCGGTAGCATCGGTGGCGGCGTCGTCGGGGTCAGCTGTCGTCTCCTGTACCAGTGAGCCACAGGAAGCGTTGCATCTCAAGGCGGGAGGGCAAACATACCTTCTCCAATGCGGCTCGAATCAGTTGGGCATCGGGATCGCTCACTCTCGTCAGCAGATCATTTAGCAGCCTCTCATAGTCGGTGACCTTCTCGGTCATGGTTCCGAATTGCCTGGGTAGGGGGTGTCAGTTGGCAACGGCCCAGCAGAGTGGAGGAGGTTGTCCTACTTCTTGACCCGATCTCGTTTGCCATCTGCATAGAAACATGTGATTTTGAAATCCTGACAATGCCGACATATCGGTCGCTCTCCGCTGCACTTGGTCTTTCGATGCCGACAAGGCTCACATGCATGATTGACCCGGTGCCTGCCCGACCTGGGTGCATCTTGACTCTCTGAATCGATAGATCTCTTCAGCCTCGGGATAGCAACCTTGGCCGCCTTTTGAGCCGTCTCGCCACCGGCCGAATGGGGCGTTCGAGGGATGCGGAAATGAGAAGCGGGCGCATGCGAGGGAGGAGTCTGCGCCGACGCCGTTGCTTGCTGAACGACCGGGTCGGGGGTCTCGATGGAAGCGACTGGCACTTGCGTTAGGGGAAGCCGACTGCCCTCACCACGGCCCTGGGATTGCAGGCCAGGCATTTGTCCGAGACTGCTTCGATCGTTCAGGACTTGGTTCGCAACAGACAATTAAATGGATGAGGCAAAAGCGAGGCTGGAGCGGGGTGCTGGGCGGCGGGAGTGAGTTTCCAAGCCACGTCGTGCAGCAGCGAGGTCATGGCATCGTGCAAGCCGCGGTGTGCACTCGAGGCGAGGATGCGCTCTTGTTTAGCGGTGGCTCTGGCCACGAGATACTGACAAACAGCTGCAATGGCGCATGGCGGCGTCGGCGAGGTTTTAAGAGAGTAGGGTGCGAAGCTCCACCTGTGGAGGGCTCTTTTTGGGACTGTTGCTGTCAAAAACTGAAAACGCAGACGCTGCGCGCCAACAACATGCAACATGTGGAGCGAGTCGGTACTGTACATCCATGGTCCCCGGCATGGCGTCTCGGGATGGCAATGTCCCAAGTCCTGTTTAAGCTTTTCAGCGGAGATAGAGCTTTAGGGCCGGTTTAACCCTCAAAGCCTTCGACCTAGGCGTCCTTTAGGCGGGGCTTTTAGCTTGCTAGGCCTGGAGAGCTCAGAAGTCAGCCTAAAGGAGCCTATGTCTATAGGTCCAAGGCCTGGGTTCCTCAGGCCTCCTAAGCCTACCACCCTCAACTAGCCCTTAGCCTTTCTACCAAAGGCAAGCAACCCCTGCACTGCAGCTTGACAGCACATCGGCGACATCCTCCATTTGATGCGAGACTGGCAACTGACAGGACCAGGGACACCATGCTCTCGGCTTCTTGGAGACTTCCCAGAAGCCTGCTTGGCCACATGATGGTTGAACTCCATCCTTGCCTTGCGAGCTATCCTCCCCCCTGGGGATGACCAACCTCTTTTGCATCGACAATTCTCTACCCTGTGTGGTTTTTGAAGGTTCCCGTCCAAGATTCCAAGTCCACCTGAGAAATTTCAGGGATTGAGGCTGCAAAAGGTAGTCTTCATAGATACAGTGCCGCCCAGGAACTTTCGACGGTTGGTTATTAGTTGAACGCCTTGTATGTGGTACTCTTTCAAGACAATGCGTCTGTCACGAGGATATGCACAGAGCAGCCAGACAAAAGGGATTTGAAGACAAGGGGAGGGGAAAAAACCTCCGTATATATCTTATATAGGGATGGCAGCTAGAGCAGTCCTTCGGCTCTCATTGCCCGCCATCTTAGCTCAACGCCCGCAAGAGCAGGACGACAGGCTTTTTGCGGTGGTCTGTGTATCTGATAGCAGTCTTGTGGCAGACTTGCAGCCCCCGTTCCTTCCTCACGTAGGGACTTCTGGCCAGTTCTACCCCGGCGGTGCTGCTAACCCGTCTCCCTGATCCAAGACTGACGGATGATGGTTGTCCGGCAGCGGGGATTCTGGATGGCCTTCCCATCTCAGAGTTACAACACGGCGCGTCCTCAGAAACCAGAAACCAAATATGCTGCCGGGGGGTGGTGAATACGTCGGGCTTTGCTGTTCTTTCTTCCAAGGAGCCGGCATTTTCCAACATGCCAACCGGAGGCCGTCCTATGGTCCTGAAGCCTCCCTTGGGTAGTTCAGCTGCTCAGCATGTGTCTGAGATATCCATCTTCCGGACTGCGCTGGACGTATAAGTAAGCCACTAGAATCATTCTTAGTCCGCCTCATTCTTGCCGTTGTCGCTTGGCTCCGTGTTGGTTCCAGTCACCGCCGCCAAAGGGCGGGCCTTGTCCTGCGTTGAACATTCCGGGATTAAACTGATTGCCTTGGAATCCTAACCCATCAAATCAGTCGATATAAAAGAGCCTGGTGGTAGCCAGCATCAAAACCCACCTGTCATGCCCATGCCAGTCATCAAGGGATTCATGCCCATGTTGCCCATTCCCATTCCTCCACCCATGGGCATCATATTGTTCATGCCGCCTCTGACTCCGCGCATACCACCCATGTTGCCTCGCATCGGATTCCCCATCATCCCACCCCGATTAAAGCCGACGTAGTTGTTGCCCATACCTATGTTGCCTTGAAAGCCCATGGTGTTGTTATTGTTGAAGCCTCCCATGGGACCCGAGAAATTGCGGTTATATTGGTTATGCGCATTGTAGCCTCCGCGATTGAAACTGCCACCTCGACCGCCGCGAAACCCCTGATTGGGGGTTCCGTAGCCGTGATCCGCACGAGGGGCCGAGTGGAATGAGCCGCGAACGGCCGGTCGTTCATCTCTCGTTCTGGCTGGCTCCTTGGGAAGTGTTTTGAAGGGGTTCTGGGTGGCGTTTGTGAACACGACCGAGTGTCTGCGAGCACCGGGTTGGTTTCCGGCACGGCTTTCAATCTTGTGTTTGGTTGCGGTTGCTGCTTGAGGCGAGGAAAACTCGAGATATGCTTGTCTACGGTTGAAAATCAGTACCGACCTTAGTTGTTGGATATCGATCGAGATACGAACCCTTTGCTCTTGCCGTTCACTTTGTGCTCGCTGAATGACAATTCCCGTAACTCGTCCTCTGCCCCTGCTTCGTTCGCCCATCCGCGAACATCATCTTCGGTGATCCACCAATGCAAGTCCGAAATCATCAGAGCATTGGTGGCGCCATGGTCGACCGGCCTATCGTCTGAGGTCTCTTTTCGTTTCGTGCCTTGTAGAGTGGTTGGCTGTGCTGGAACACCTTGATCATCGCTAGAATGCTCGTCTTGGGGCTTTACTTGATCCTGAAGCGCACCGGGGACCTGCGGCTGTCCTTCTTCCGGTTCGTGCTTGACTTCTGTCTCTTCGGCTGCGTCTGTCCCCTCTTGTTCTACACCTAAGTCTTGCGCTTGCTCTTTCTCTTCTACCTTGTAGTCCATAGAGCCTGCATCAGCTCCCAGATCCCCTTCTCCATCCCCATAGATGTCAATGTCAAAGTTGTCTTCTTCGGTGGCCATTTGGCAAGATGTTAAGAGGTGGAAATCAGTCGATTGTCTGCCTGAAGGTTACGACAAGTTCAATGGACATGTAACGAGTTCTGCATATTCCATCCTGCATTAGCCAGAGGTACATCGAGGGGGTAGCAATTCAGTATGATCAATCCCGGCATGAACATCAACTCTGCACCTTCTTTTCCCCAACCGCAGCGTGTCAAACCGGCAAAGCCCAGGAGGTATCCAACAAGATCATACGTACAGCGCTTTTTGATTCCGTAGCCCATAATCTCAACAACGCATGTCACAGCTCAAAATACATGAAGCAGGCCAGCTGGCTTTGGAAGATAATAGATACAGTTGTTCCGGGCCTTCAATCCAAGTGATAGTATGAGAAACAGAGGAAGAGAGTCGGGGAGACGGCCCCGGCGCGACAAATGTCTTGAGGCAAATCCTAAGTCAAATGGGCGAGGCTGCCTGTGTGTGAAGGCGACAGCGGGCAGAGGAGGGAGGATGCGGGCGAGCAACTCGGAAGGGTCGAAGTCGTGGAAACAGGCCGAGCACCCCTTTCACAGATTGGACAGGGAGCTTGGACTCGAGATGCTACCAATATAATAGAGGAGATGAAGAGGACAAATGTCGGGGAGGAACAGAAGCATGAAGCGGAAAGCAGAAGGCAGTGGGCATATGTACGGGGTATGTCGCTGTAGGTAGGTATGTACCTAGGTACATGTACGTAGTAACCGTTTTGTACGGGAACTTCCTAACAGGCCATCCCTCCACGCCAAGGGTGCGGCTGCGCTAAGAATCTTGGAGCTGCACTGGCTGGCAAACTGCAGGGCTAAGGCTGTGGACCAGAACCTCAAAGAGTGCGGTAATGCCACCTACACTACAACCATCACCAACAACCAACCCTACAAATCTTTCGAAGAAGGTAGTCTAGCAACCACCCTCCTTCGGATCGCCTCTATACCATCTACGCGCAGACACCCGCAGCGATTCCTCAAACCTCCGTCGACACTGTCTCGCGCGACTGAGAACGGCCGCCCAACACCACATCCAACCCATCCGCCATCGTCTCCCCTTCTCCTGCTACTAGCACTCCCATCGCCGCCACAGCAAGATGTCCGATCTTATACAAGAGATTGCCGATGTGCCTAAGGAGTTTTTCAAGGATGGAACTCAGTTTATTCACAGATGTACAAAGCGTACGTGACCACCTATCCCCAGCACTTCTCCTTTATCCTCGGTGTGCACCTACGTGTTGGGAGTGGACAGCGACCGCGTCGAAGCCGTGAGAAATACATTTGTGATATAACACACCACTCTTTCGTCGAGATATGTTGCACGAATCGAATGCAGCGGTAGTTGTTCGACGCAACCATTTCGCACAGAGGGGGCGCTGTCTAGGCGAGGACCTCCTGCAGAGAGCTGGAGTTGTCGAGGCGCAAACACCGAAAAGAGGAAAGGAAAAGAAAAGGCTGGCGCACATGGCATGTGGGCTTGTTCCCTCTCACCGCGACGAGGAATCTCCTTTTCGCACATCGGCGCCATCCATGGCAATACGTGTCTACACTCGACCCTATCACTTTCCTTTCGTCTGCCTGCTCCAGAAGCCTTTTTCTTCGACTCGTGTGTCCTGTCTCTCTGAAACAACCCAACTCCACAAATCAATCACCACTGTCCCTGAGGCTGGCTTGCATGGATTGCATGGACTGATGTCTCGTCTTTTAAAAACAGCCGATCGAAGAGAATTCATCAAAATCTCGCAAGCAGTTGGCATGGGCTTCCTGATCATGGGCGCCATCGGCTACTTCATCAAATTGAGTAAGTGAACCGTCCCTGGCCCTCTGGTCCAATACATCCAACAGTGCCGGAAATCTGACTGGGTGAATCATCATATAGTACACATTCCAGTGAACAACGTGCTGGTGGGATGAACCATGGCAGCAGAAGAAGGGAAGCAGGAAATTGGAGACGAGGGAAGGTAGAAGACGAAGACGAGGAGTCTTTAGGATGACGATCCAAGCCCGCGTCTTGCTTGTATGTACTACTAGTATCAAATCGAGTCGAGTCGCAAAAGCGTTGCATTGCGTTGAGGAAAGGGCAGTCATGTCGGACATGTCTCGATCAACAGTCGCGAAGCATTAGCGTTCAAGATTAACACCAGGTACACTGTACACCGCATCACTCCTTGGGTTCTCGGTATTCGGACTGCAGAATTCAAGACCTCTGGGTACGGACGGCCACTGCACCGGCCGTTTCCAGTCATCATTCGTGTCTATCGTGTCCGCTGCGGCTGTCTCGTCATGCACGCAATCTATTTGTGAGATACTGGTCCCTGGTCAACCTTGTATCCAAGTCCAAGGGCGCCGTTTGTTGGTATGTACTTGGGTGGATCGGCACCTTATACCTGATGCGACCTGCCCATTGCCCATCGCCCCTTTTTCCTCGGCCACCAGCGCCGCGTTCCACAAAGGTCCGGCAGAATATAACGATGGCCATATTGATCAGATGATAAGTCAGCCTTGACGTCCAGGACGGTGCTGCTCCGCGTCAGGCCATGCGCTTCTCCTCAGACTCAGGCGCCTGGTCATGCCCCTGACGGCGTCGCCAACGCCGTTCAGTGATTGTCACCATATGCCACCGCCATCCTCGCTCGCGTCACCGCCGGTATCAGCACCGAAGCGCTGCGGCCTGACGACACTACTACGGAGGCCGCGGCCCTCGGCGCGACTACGAGTGCCGGCCCGCGATGAGATGTTACCTGAAGCGCGGGCCCGGCGGGCGGCGGCATCGAAGTCCTCGCGCGCGTCGAGGCTCGCGTTGTAGTTGGATGCCATGGGTGGGAGGGCCTCGTCGTCCTCGTTGCCGTCGTTCCAGCTGTGCAGGGAGACTGTGCCGCTTGCCATGCCCCAGCCATTCCAGGAGGTTGCTAAAAACGCGAGCGTGGTCAGCGAGTGTGGTTCGGGCTGTGAATGGAAAGAGAGCGGGCAACAAAGTACGAAAAATCGTGGTAGTGAAAGAGGACGGGGGTATACGTACCAGCCAACACTGGCGCGGTAGGACTCCAACTGGCATCTCTCACACATGTCTTCCAGACTCCGCTATGGTGACCGTGCAATTCGTATCCGTAGCCGTTACTGTCTGTCCGTGGACGGGTGTCTCTGGTGGCTTGCAAGACGTCAATCGTGGCTTTCCGAGTGCCGTCCAGGTTCCAAATATAGACCTTCCCGTCCTCACTCCCGCTATACACGTAGCGTGAATTACTCGATCCCGGAGGAGAAAAATGACACCTGATCAAGGTCTTGAGAACGCTGTGCCCGCGGAAAGTCACGACACTGCAATCCTTCGGGTTGGGCACGTAGTCGTCCTCATCATAAGGGCTAAAGCGATAGTCAAAGTTGGTCGTGTACGAGTGGAGGTCGATGCGGGAGAATTCGTTGGGCGAGATCATCTTGCGTAGATCCCACAGTTTCATCATCTGGTCTTTGCCGTTCGACAGCACGTACCGCCCGTCCCCTTTCGAGTCCACGTAAGTCAGGCCCTCGGTGTGGCCAACGAATATGCCGGCCGGCCGGCCGTCAGCCATAGACCGCCGATCCCAAACGCGCAGCGTCTGGTCATCGGAGCCGGAGTAGAGGATATGAGGAGACAGCTTGTCGCCAAAACAGACCGCGTTCACGTCATCGTCGTGGTTGGACAGCCGGACAGTCGATTGCCGACGTTCCAGATCGTAGACAACAACACTGTGGTCAGAAGTCCCGGCTACGATTTCCCGGCCGTCGCCACTAAACCGGAGAGACCAGATTCCAAAGCCATGCCTGCCCATGTACCCATAGGTCTGGCGGCCCATGCCCGAGCCTGGGGCGAAGTTGGTGAAGTCCAGTAGAGTGTGATCAGAATGGTCGGTTGGGTCCGTAGGTGCCAGGCAGACCGTATGGCGAATAGAGGAGTATGCAAGATACTTGTTGTCAGGACTGAGTGTGGCATCGGTGATTGTCCATTGACCGAACGGGTAGTCGACTGTTTTGTAGTACTTCCACTCGTACGGGTTGCTGGTGTCATACATGCGCACCTTAAAGTTCTGGGTACAGCTGAAGAAGAAATTGCCATCATCTGAGAACTGGCCTGAGTATGCCCTGCTGTCATAGTGGATGATCTTGTCCGCCGTCGTCGTTGCCGGGACCGATTCTTGCGCTATCAGCCGGTTCTGTCTGCGCATACTCGAGCGTCCGTCCAGACCTAGACGCCGCCACATCAAACGCTCACTGACTGTGCGCCTCCTCTTTCGCAGTAGGTCCACAAAATCGTCTCGACTGCCATACAGGCCCGAATTCATGAGCGCCCTGCCCTTGTCGCTTGGCACCTTGGGAAATCGATCGCCAGGTGGTTTAGGTTGTTGCCGCCTCCGGCGACCATGAAAGCTGCCGTATGTAGGACCTTCGAGAATGTCGTCGTCGTCATCGTCCTCGTCATCGTCGTCTCCGAATAGATCTCGGCCCGAGGGCCCTAGCAGGCGGTATCGACTGAGGATCAACTGGCGGAGGGGTGCGCTCGCATTCAACAAGCCTCGAATATCGGCGGTCGTCACTATTTCCAAATCCATCAGGAAAAGATGAACAGAGAATGAGACATGGGCGGAGCACAAACATAAACCCTGTGCAGGACGAGTGGCTGGACCACCAGCGCGAATCTCGGTTTCCATCTGGTCTCGGTCTCGGTCTCCATCTCCATCTCCGGGGGTTTCAAACACTATTTCGATCCCACTTAAGGTCTCTTGCGCATCTAGAAGCCGTCAGCGCCGAGAGAATGTAGAGATGAGGTTCCGTTTGTGCGTACCGGCGAAGGCGGCGTCGCTGTCGTCGTCTTCCATGTCACTGGCATTGGTACTTTGCTCCTCGGTTGGGTGATAGCTGTCGACGTCATCATCAAACTCGTCCATAAAGATGTCGAGGAGGTTGGGGGGCAATGGACTTGATCCGTCTCCCCTGGTATCCCGATGCGACATGATCACGGGTCTAGACTCAAGAAGGATGAATTGATGGAATGTGATTGCGAAGGAGGAACCCGCAGGATGAATAAGGCGTGCCAGGCGTGAGCGATACCGTCGGCCTGCGCACTCTGGAGTTGGAGTTGGAGTTGGCCCGCCTTTCTAAGGCGATAAATCCTTATCTCCGCTCCTCGGACCAGGCGACCTGGATGATGATGATCTAGATATCACAGGAAAGGGAAAGATGAGAACATTTTATGTAGGTAGTTTAGGTACCTAAGGTACAGATATCAACACCTCCAATCCCGGGTGCTCATCAAATCAGCCATGTAGACTCCTTGCCCCAGCCTTTTTTATCCTCCACTCCTCAACGCCCTACAGCAATATCCTCATAGAGCACAACAGAATCAATCAAGAGCGATAGACCTAAGACATGCCTGGTACATGTGGAGGGCCGAGGGTCTATCGACATCGAGCGCTGTTCACGGAACCCAATGGTGACCCGCATCGACACCATCCGCAACCCGCGCGTCTCCCTACTTGTCGTCTAAAGTACACGTTGACTTGCTGTCTGTCCAACCAACCAACCTATTCGCAATGTCACTGGCATAGCAATGCGTCGCAGAGCCCTTGCCAAGGTCCCCAGAAGAGTCAATGGCGCCCGAGTTGTACAGACGAGCACCTCGATAGTAAGCTTCGGCGTACTCAATACCGTCGACGTCGCTTTGGGCATTGATGTTAACCGCGACTCCGTTACCGTCAGGAGTACCGATAACTGTAGAGACCGTTGTTAGTTATGTCACGCGGCCGGGAACGAAACACATCGAACGGGCGTCTTACTCCCGTCCGAAATCATGCCCAAGATCTGATCCTTGGGGCACGGGTTGTGTACTTTGCCGTCGTCATTGCAGGAATGGTTTCCCTTGAAGGACTGAAGTAGCCCTGGGTTCCGAATCCCATCCGGCGATACACTCGTCTTTGCTCGAACGCAGCCCTTGGTCTCCTGCAATACTGCGGCGAGGATGAAGCGATGGTCGACTCTTGTCTCATGGGCAACTTGCTTGATCGCATCGTAGAGGTCTTGCGTTTCCTGATCCGAGTTGTTTGGTGCATCGTACAAAATGTCACAACTTCGACTGATTGTATGTTGGTTGGCCACCCATAAGTCATTGAAGGACACCCAGGTCAGATCCGACGGCCATCCTGCAGCCACTGAGCCATTTCCCTCGTATTGTATATAGTGGTTTGACCCGCCTGGCAACTATTCTCAGCGAGCCTCGCGTTAAGCCGGACAACCGCCATACCGTCGTAGTCATTCCAATATCCATCTGTTCCCAGTTTTCCCTGCACCACGGTCTGGGCCCGCTTCACGAGAGGGATAGCATCGGCCAGGACGGCAAGAAAGCATGTCAAGATGACCTTGCAAAGTGTTAGCCTTGTCCAATGTGTCGCAGAATGAGTTTCTTACCACCGCCGATGTCCCCATCTCCACGACTAGAAGTAATGATCTCAGATATACCAAAAGGATCCGCAATCAATCCGGGCAGAGGAGATAAACAGTGCAGTCAAGAAAACCAGTATTGCCAGGTCGAATCAATCGGGCTGCAAATGAAACAGAAGATGGAAAGAGGGAGAGGCCGGCATGGGCAATTGCTTCGGCCAGAGAACGTCCATCGATCGACCTTGCTTGGGCCTGTTACACACAGCACAAGGAGGTCCACCTCCGTAAGGACATGCTAAGGTACTCCGTACTCCTCTGACACAGCATGAGGCCTTGTTAAGGGCCAGTGAGGCCACCCGCAGGCGCCTTAGGCCGGGTCTGGATGTTGCGGAGGCCAAACGCACTCAGCACTTTGCCCCAAACACGCATCCACTTCTCGCCCGAAGCATGGAAAATGGGGAGAATCTTTGCCAAAGCAAAAGTCCTGAAGGGTCTTTAGAAAAGACTAAGGAGGAACGGACGTCTCAGAAGGACCGGCGAGTCCATAAGGCCCAGCAGTTACATAGGTACGTACCTAAATAATAATAGCGCATGCTACAATGTTGCAGCCGCGCCGACTCCGTTCTGGTGTCGAATGCCCGACCCTGATTTGATGCTACGTAGGTACCTTAGGTACCTGGACTTTTGCTCCATCACCAGCGTCAACACGGGAGGCTGCAAATCCAAATATCGCGAACCGGCCTTGCCATTATTCACATAGCATTAGTAGTTTTTGCCGAATGCAAAAGGACCCCCGTAGCTTGAGCGAGGCTTAGGAGTCGAGAATCTTGCATTCAATGCATTGACCCTGGGTACCTAGGTATGTAAGCGAAGGTTGCAGTGGCGCTTGTGGAGGCCTAAGGCCCCTAAGCCCTAAGCCCGCCACCAAACCCCCTACCCCTGACAGATAATGACCGTAGGGAGCACACCTAGGTGCCGTAATTTGCATATTACTTTGTGCCATCAAGGCACAGGGTGCATGGATACAATATGCTATTATTAATTAATAGTGCTATTAGTCTGCATCTACATATACCTAGGTAGGTACATGTATCATACCTCACACCGATAGGAAAGCAAAGTTGTGCCGTCAAGAGTCCAGACATCTGCGTTTGCCCTCTCATCTCCCCCCACGTTACCTGTCAAGCACATGACGTTGAGCTTCCCATCTCTGCCCCTTACAGATGCAAATCCAGCTTCAAACCATCTTTCAAGCCACAGTTTCCTTGGAGATTACAACACTCATCAGATCCATTGCCCTCCTCCTGGCGCCGTCCCTCGCTCCAATGCACCTAATAGAGTTGGTTCTGGCCTGTACCTCTGTACTGCCTCTGCTGTCTGTACAGCCCTCGCCCAATGAATGTTTCGGACGTCATTGCCAAACACATCGTCGCTAGATGGGCCAATTCGAATCGTGGGCACAGATCTTCCTCGACCACCGCTGTCCCTCTTCCACGAGTCATTGCGGTTCCCAATGATTGGATAACTGCGCAACCTTGCGCCCCTGGGTCCAGAATCTGAGATACTTCGCTTGAGCGCCGATGAGTGCAATAGGGACGCATCAAGATGCGCAGTGTGTAGATCCCATTCGTCAATTTTGCTCTTCAAGACGTCCGTTATGTTATCTTCTTGCTGGAAAGAATCTAGGTGTTCTCCAATTGACAACCACGGCCGCGTAACCACCTCGGCGGTGTTAGGGGCAATTTGTGCGTGAGTTGAGTTTCCTCCAAAGCTCATCCCTTTTGTGTCTCGACTATAGATGCTGCTTGCACGTGGACCGACCTTGCCTCTTGCTGTCGCCATGATTGGCTTGATGATTGTCGACAGGGACGAAATGGAATGTCGTTGCATGAATACTGGGTGTGTTTGCAAATCGCAAGAGGTCGGAAGCTTGAATCTTGCAGTTCTCGGGCGTATGGTAAGTGCATGGGTAGGATATACGTTCTGTCTTGTGTGAAGGATGGTCTTATCGGGTAGATCGTAATATGTTGTGGTGAGCTTGACTGGGGGAGGAAGTGCCATCGAACTAGGAGTTCGTTGGTGGTGATGAACACCAGAGGTTGTGACACAGCTGTCAGATTCTGCTCCTGGTAACCTCAAAGGCGTTGAAAGAGCTGGGACGGTGTTGGTCGAGATGATTGACGAGGTTGGGGGTGTCGAAGAAAACTCAGGAGTTGTGAAAGGGTTTGTGGATGGGGTATAACCTCGTTTGAAGGAGGCACTTTCCGTCTTTTCGTCAGCGGTTGTGCGGTCACGCAGTTCACAAATCTCAGGTGTTGGAGTCGTTGGTCTTGTCAAAGCCCCAGTCTTTCCCAGCGGCAGCCGTTTTCCTGGCCTGTTTGTGGCAGGAACAGCAGTGATCCCTCCTCTTACCGATCGTGCACTGGTGTCGTGGCGAAAAGAAGGCGGCTTCGCGCAGGAAGAGCTGCTTTGCTCGACCGGTTCGGGGTGGGCGTGGGTCGAGGCGTCAACACTAGGGCTCTCGATTCGTATAGCTACCTGCAAAACTGACGACCTTTCGGCATTCGAACAACTGGCATGGCACGGTGCTGGGCAGGGGGTTCCAAAAGTGTCCGCAGTTGATTTAGAGTCCCGTTGGTCCAAGTCTTGAAAGAGCTTGACTGGGTGGACAAGGCCCCCCTTTCGTTTGACATGGCCTTGCGGTACAGGGAACATCCCCAACTGCTTTGTCAGTGGCGGTGGCCGTCCTGCTGGTCTGGGTTTCAAAACGAGGGCTTCGGGTATCGGAAGCACGTAGTCCTCCACTGCGTTGACCTTGGTCATTATACTTTGGCTTTCATGTCCCACCAACGCTTTCGGCTGGAAAAGTCGGCTGTATCTTGTGTATCGACCTCGTCGTGACGAGAGACGATCTTTGGCTGGAGTGAAGAGGCCATCGCTGTGAGTTGGGGCGCCGAGGAGACGAGCAGGCGGAGGGCAAGAAGGCGGCAATGAATGGTCGACTGTTGATTGAGCAGGATTGGACGGGAAAGGACTCTCGATTCGTGGATTGTACTGTCGAAGGGCGATTGAAGACTTCTGCCGGAAGCCACGGAGCAGAGCAGGATGGCTGGGAAACTGGGCGTTGGAGGTGCCTGTACGGTTCGCAGCCAGCCGGCCGCGTGGTCGACCGAGGTTTGTCTTCCGGTATCTTGGAAGGATGATGCCCCAGATGAGACAACCCAGAACGACCAGCAGGGCGATGATAGCAAAAATGATTGAGAATGTGCGACCTGAGTTGTCTCCCCGGCGGTGCAAGACTTTCGCAGGTAGCGGAACCATGCTGGGCTTCAGAGCAATTGCAGGGACGGGTTGCTAGTAGCGACGACAATGCCACAGAGACGGGGGGATAGAGAGTGGAACAATCGAGTGCAGTAAATCAGGGTGAGGACGATGATATGGAAATGCCGCAATATGGGGAATATTGATCAGGAGGTTGTGTTGTTGTGGGAGAGTCGAGGTGCAAATGCAGCCAGCCTCCTTCACCGTCACTCTGCTTGCCATCACCTGGCTGTCAACATGCTCCTTCCGTTCCTACGCACATATCCTGCTCCTTCACCTCCTCACACACATCGACATTGTACCGAATGCATCATGCAGCCCCCTAGCCATAAGGTACTTGTGCAGCACATTCACGCCGCGGATGGAACAATGGCCAATATGCCCGTGTCCCTGGGTCCTTCAAACTGTCCGCAATAGAATATGTCAAACTACCTAGGTAAGTGTTCCACCCGCTACTTACCAAGACCCTTGTCATAGGCGAAGGACCATTGCAGTTGAGCCCTACGTTCAGTCAAAACTCTCCGTGCTGCGATCAACCCTGTCCTGCGGTTGAGCCCCGAGAACCCAGCCCATGCCACTGACCAACCCACTGGTGACCATATTAGTGACCATATCTCTCTTGCGAACCTTGCCACTGGCAGTTGATTGAGCTGGAGCAGTTTCCTCCCACGACTGACCATTTGGTGGTGGTGCTGCCTCTCGGATCTTGAGATCTTGCAGTCCTGACGGGCCCAGGGGGAAAATAGCGCTTTTCCTGAAAGCAGCCGCGGCCCCTCTAGCGACATCAAAAAGCCCCATCGGTGCTTCTTCCTCATAAGAAGGCCCCGTAGCAGTACCTGGCCCACTTCGGCGTGCCATCACCCGCGTCGTTTCGGCTGCATCTGCATCACGGTCCTCCAGTGCGAACGCCCCGGGCAGTGAAGCGTCAGCATGGGCGTCGAAAGCTCGCTCTTCCTCCATGGCTTGTGTCTTCAGACCATCCATCTCTTCTTCGTAGCGACGCCAGGTTGCCAGTATCCCTGCCAAAGCGTCCCCAGATGGCGCGAGCATTAGCGCTCGGGAAAGAAGCTCCATTCGCTGAGCCAGACTGTCGATGCGAGCCTTCAGACCATTTGGTGGCGCCTGCGGTCGATATCTGCCAGCAGCATACGCTGCCCGCCACGAAGTGTCGTCCGCAAACCCAGCCCCTATAGCGCGTGTTGGAGAGATGGAGAGGCGGGTTGTGATGTAAGCATAAGCAGTGTGGAAATCGTCAGCGGCGAGGGCGGCCATGACAGCTGAGTAGGTGATCCTATGTTCAGCGTCGGACACACGCAATTTGATAGGATCCAAGTCATCCGGCATCGTCCCATGTTTTGGAAGATAGGCACGCACGAGGTTACGCCCGATCTCTAGCAGGTCGTCCAACTTGGTGTAGGCTTTTGCATCCTGCTCCAAGACCTTCTCCACCAGCGTCAAGGGATCTTTCTGCACACGGATAGCCACCGGTTTGAATGGAACACCATGTTGCAGAGTGAGCTGATAGAATGAGAGGCTGTGGGTGGCTCGAATGAGGTGGTCTATACCAGGTAAGCTCGAAGACTGGGGTAACAGGGGGCGGAATGCTCTCAGTATCTCGTGTGCACGTTTCATTCCGCCACGGTCCTTGTTTCCATTGCTGGCATTGTCATAGGCTTCGAGAATGGCAGCGACTATCCTATCTTCAACGTCTGGCACCTTCAGGGGGAGAAAGGTAGTGTCAATATACACTTCTTTGACAATGTCATATTGACTGGCCCGGAGAAGGGCGTCCAGAATCTGTCTTTCCACATAGTCGGGCGAGAGACGTGATAGAAACGCTGGCTGTTGGGCTTGCGAGGTGAGTTGTCGAGTGCTGCTCCAGGTCTGCAACCACAGCAGGTCTCGACGCACCAAACGCCAGTCAATCGCTTTCCGGGTCATGCGGGGGATGTGCTGTAGTAGTCGACGGAGTTCTTCTTCATGACGAAGTTCAGAGCCAAAAACACAGATTCGTGCCACGTCGGTGATTGCCACAGGTTGTCCCAACCCCAACAAAATGTCAGCAGTATAGAGTAGTCCGACCAGAAGGTTGACAGAAGCCTCGTCTACGTGTGTGAATGGATTCGCGTTTCGGGAAAGCGAGCTTTGCAACAAGTCTGCTTCGTCAAACCCTTTGGAGAAGGACGGCGGAAGGGAGACCTCAGGCGGAGATCTGGAAAAGTCCGGAGGCTTCAGACCTGCTGATCTGGCGGCTTTGTCAAGCACTTGTCGAGACATAGATTGTGTCTCTGGAGACACTTTTGAGCAGCCATAGATGATAGCCAGGCCAATCTGGGCGAAACGCGTAACACCCTCATCGGTGGGTTGAGGATCTTGAACGGGACCATTCCACTGTATGAAAACACTAGCCGCAACGCTAAAATCAACCAAACTCGACGCCACGAGCCATTCATTCACGGCCTCCCAGGACGCATTTTCTGCAGTCACAAGCCCCCCTGGACGCTGGACCTTTCTCCTCTTTGCTCGATGAGCGCCACGCACCCATGGAGCGACGACGTAATCGAGATCTCTGACGATGGCAGAAGCGGCATTCTGTCTTTCGGCATACTGTAGCAGCGTCTGTACGCCTTCTGCTCCCGACAGTGTCTCGAGCTCTTGCACTCCAACAACCTTCTCGTTTTCTGGATAGAATTCATACTGCAGTCGAACCACAGGCACTAAATAGGTCTCGTACCAAAGGCGCAGGTCCTCATCGTCATCTAAGAATTGCTCAACGAAATGAAGCGGTGGCTGCGTCGCACCGCTGATTAACTCTAAGCCTTTGGCCCATTCAATTATGAAATTTGCTAGCGTGCTGTTGGTATCTATGGAGGCATGCTCAGGAATGTGCCGTAGTCTCAGAGCCCGACACTGATCGAATGCTTCTTTCTTGGGGAGGTGGGAAAGGGAGGGATCGATTTTCTCGTCGGTGTCGGTGTCGGTGTCGGTTTCGGCGTTGTCTGCAGAGTCCGGTGGGAGATTCCTGAGGGACTTGAGGAACTTGACGAGATCCGACTGCTCAGAGACCTCGGCCGGGTAGAAGGACAGGAGGAGTCGATATATGAGAGTGTCGGACAGCACATCGCGGCGGCCACGGACCACTCGTTGCAGGCCTTTCAGGTCTCCTTCCGATGCCAACTGCACGGCCAGTAGAACGATATGAGCACCTGTCAGTGTATGCAGAGTTGCCATGCTGTCGAAAGTTCAAGCATGTTTTTAAGTCGGCATCTGGTATGGGAGTTGGTCGACGTGGTCAGAAAGTTGGAGCGCGGAGGCAGGCCTGGAGTGACGTTCATAATCATGGCTGCCGCAGTTAGATGCCAAGCCTAAAGCTCCTAAGGCTCCTAAGGCTTAGCAGGAGGTTCCTAAGGCCCTAAGGCCCCTTGGCCCCCTAAGCCCCTTAGCCCTATGTCTAAGGAGCCCGGAGCCTTTAAGGCCTCTTGCTTCAGATGCAGAAAGACGCCGCGCCGCCTTAAGAGAACGTAAATAATATGTCTTGCCTACCGAGCGTCACCTCTGCTTTCAACTTGTACGAGCCGAGTTGCTCCTCAGAGCAATCTACAAATACTCAGATGTCCTCAGTGACACGGTCGACCGACACCGGCTTCTTGCAGCGACCAGCTAGGTTCGAAAACAGGAACGGGTCACACTACTCCAGCTGCGGTGCTCTCCTTGCGGGAACGTGGTATTCAACGCCTCGTGCCAGCTGCAGCAAGGCCTGTTCCCTATATTCCCAGCTGACCAGCTCCATTCCGACCGGTAATCCATCCTCTGTAAAACCGACGGGAACACTGACTGCCGGGATCCGGGCCTGACTTGCCAGTAACGTGTTGACAGGCAGGTCCCAGCAGGTGGGAAACCGACCATTTGTGCAGTCCTCATGTCGTAGAGGCGGGACTTGGACGTCAGGAAATGCCAGGGCTTCGAGCCCATGTTCCGCCATCAGACATGTCACTCGGCGCTGGAATTCATCTCTATCAAGCAACCGTTTGAGGTATGTTGGGTCCTTCATTGGGTCCCTGGGCCCATCAGCGACCGCGGATGTAAGATCGAGAGCTGGATGCAGTGGCTTTGGCGGGACAATCAGTGCTATATCTTCGGGAAGATGCGGCTTCGTCGCCAGGAACTCATTGATATCCGACCTTGACCGGACCACATATGTAGGGGTGGCGGTCATGTAATGTTTCAATCCTTGAAGGTCAACATCAACGAATTCCGTGCCAGCAAGTTGAAGCTTTGCAATTGCCTGCTTCACAACCCCGTTCACTGAACGACAAGCTGGGTCACTGTCGGGTCCGAGAAGCGAGCGGACAATTCCAATTCTAGCCTTCGATATGGCTGTGTGGTCAAGGTTGGCCGCATAGCTTCCACCCATGGGTTTGGGGGCTGTGACAGCGACCGCAGTCCATTCGTCCTTGGGGTCAAATCCGACGAGACAGTCCAACATCAAGGCACAATCCTGCACCGTCCTTGCCACGGGACCCGGGGTGTCCTGCGTTTTGATCAGAGGAGAGAATCCACTGCGGCTGATCAACCCTGGAGTGCATCGGATCCCTACGAGGTTGGTGAACGATGCCGGACACCTGATCGACCCTCCGGTGTCTTCTGCAACGGCAAGCATGGCAAAGTTGGCCGCAACTGCTGCTGCGGAGCCCGAGGACGATCCTCCGACATCATATCCAAGTTTGTAAGGGTTATGAGTGAATTCCCAGTTGGTGACTGACGAAGTGGAGAACCATGAAGTGGCCCAGTCGGGCATCGTGGTTTTGCCCAAGATAATTGCTCCTGCATCCTTCAACTTCCTGACGACAGTGGCGTCTTCGTCTGGCACATTATCTTTGGCTGCTATGGAGCCGTAAGTTGTGATCAAACCCTTCGTGTCGGCCTGGTCTTTAACCAGGACTGGTATCCCATGGAGATGACCTTTGAATTTGCCATGGTCACGGAAATATTTGTCGAGCAGTTCTGCTTCGTCTAGTGCCTCCTTTGAGATAGCCAACGTCGAGTGTATTCTTGGCCCGTTCTTGTCCAGTCTATCGATTCGGTCCAAAAAGGCGCCGGTCAACTCCTTACAGGTATAGGCACCAGAACGGAACGCATCATGAGCAAGAGCAATGGTAAGTTCTTCTATTTTCATTTTGGAATAACAAATTGCTGGCAGAATGTTCGTTTAGAAAGTGGAAAAGACTTGATACCGGCGAATCTATGGTTGAGCGCAAGCTGGAGGCGGATCCTGCTGCGCTCTCCTCCGAAGCCATCTTCACAGTCTTATCGTGCCCAAAGCGTTTTCCGCTGGTCCGCAGAAAGTCCGCATACGAGGGCCGAACGCTGTTCCTCACCACTCGTTCAAGATGGCTGCTATGTCCGCTGCATGCAAATATGCTCCAAGGGACAACAGGCCGCTGTAGGCTGGTCCAGTCAGTGGACTATTTACGAGGCTCGGTGTGCACTGACCAGCCTATCCGCCTTAGGAGCCTCTGCACTGACCATTCTAGGCGGACCCCCTGTCGGCAGGGTTGGACCGAAAGGGGTTTGGGCAAAGGGGACTCGAGGCTGGCCTTGTTGAAAACACATCGGTGACCCTAAGTTGTATTAGATACTGAACTGTCTTCCTTTGATGCCATCTTACGCTCCGGAAACGGGACAATGGGATGGTCGTCCAGTTTTCAGTATTCGAGGAAGGTTCCAATTCTGTCCGCAAACGACCATTGGGGGGCCCCAGCTTCCTTTCAAGAATGTCCGCATTCAGCCGATCTTACTCGTTCGATTCCTGTATAAAGTGTCAGTGTCTTAAAGAGGGAAAACGGCCAATCTAGCAAGGTAACACACCACCACTCGAATCGATCTTTTCGCCCTCTCGTTCTCTTGTCCTCATCTTTTTCTAGACTGCCAAAAGGAGTCATCCCTCCTCACTTCCCCGCAAGAAAATACGATACAGACAACATCATGATGGTGGCTATAATTCGCGTCAGCGAGCATTCCAAGTCCTTTTTGCGTGCATGGACACCTGCTATTCTGCGACCCGATTACTGCTGGCCGCGACCGATCCAGGCCAAACTATCCACAACAACACCTCCAACTCCGCCGGTGACTCGTCCGGCGATCCGACGGTTCTGGGGGCTCGTGCATCGCCTGTTAGCCTGGTTTTCGAGGATGTATGTCGTTTGGTTCGACGAAAAACCCGGGTTCTGGGGATATCAGGATCACATCTATCATCTCCCGTTTGGGCTGTTGCTAAAATGGTCAGAGCATGCCAGTATAGAAGAGGCGGTTGCTACACAGATGGTGCGCGCCGCAGGAATGCCGGCCCCGAAGGTGTTGTGTTACGGGGAACACCCGAACAATAATTCGCGGTTTTCGATCTTGATGACCCGGCTTCCAGGACACGACCTCCAAAATCACAGAGAACCATTCAATCCGGACGAGGAGGGGCCCTGGATGGACGAATTAAAGAGGTGTCTTGACGCGATGCGCAGCTGGAAGAGTCCCTTTGGCGACTCCCGCATCTGTTCCCCGATAGGCACCGCCATCCGGACCATCCGTGTCCCCAGACACGTCATGGGTCCTTTCGAAACTGAGGCCGAGCTTCATGACTATCTCCTGAGCGCTTCTTCAGATCATACACACAACTCCCGTGCAGAGTACGAGGCGGACCAGGCCTTGGCGAGAAAAATATACGATATGCCTCACCGCGTTGTGTTTACTCAGGGCGATTTCAAGGCTCACAACATTCGCATCAGCGAGGATGCCCACCTAACAGGCTTCATAGACTGGGAAAGTGCTGGCTGGTGTCCAGAGTACTGGGAATTTACGACCTCGATGAGGTGGGGGTTTGGTACTTGGTGGTACCAAGTTACGAATTTCTTGGGGGGACACCAATATTTGGAGGAGCTAAAGTGCGACAAGGCCTTGAATAGTCTGACAGTTGACTCCTATGCTTTTGACTGAAGGAATTAAATATGCCTAGCTGTCCTACAAGGCATGTGGTCCTCTCGTTAAGATTTTGTATCGTGTCAAGGCCGAATTGGCCGAGTTGGCTCCATTGAAGGCTTTCAGCTTGGAAAGCCCCCAAAGACAGTGGAATATAAGAAAGAGAGAGTTACAGGCTCGACAAAATATCCGATTGTGCGACGGTCAATCTTGTAGACCAATAGATAAAGAACGTACATGTGATTGGAACTTTCCAATCATTGAACCCATGTCAACTCAGATAGTATCCATACAAACCAAATGATAGCAGAGATCGATCCTTCTTCAGCACAACATGCACATAGCCATTGCAAGTCATCAACACCTGTTCCATCCATTTCATTCCAATCCACTTCACACTCAACTCCAATTTCCACACCGTACTCCCACGGCCCCACTTTCCAGATGTTTCTCCATTTCACAACTATCCCAGCTACGGCGCCGGCGGCCTCCCGGGCATAACAAGACATCGCCTACAGATCCAACTTTCCAGGTACAATCGGCTAGATTCCAAGTCTTTTTTGAGCCATCCCCGGCGTCCGTGGGCCTGGCCCGTGACACTTCAACACCGAACACCGAACTGATTGCTTCACATAGACAGGGCCCCAGACTTGTCAGCGATGCCTAAGACGAGGACTCTGCAATCAGGACTGGTCTAGGCTGATAATTGTCTATCGCCTCCTGACTGTGTTCATTCCCAATCCGAAGACATTCTTGTTGCAATGTCTCTAGATTGTCACAGTGGACCAAACCCTGCTGCACCAGAAGCTTGAGGACTAGGAAGATCCACAGTCGACAACGGATCCCTGGGATGTCGTTGAGGTTGTTGTCGTAGGTTCTCATGATTGTGGCAAGCTCCTGTTCTCTGTGTGTGGGGATACTGGCAATTTCGATGACCACACAGAGTAGGTTTGATATGAAAACATTTGTCCGAGCGGCGTGTTCGGCGGTCCAGCCGCTACCAAGGTTCTTGATATGGTGGATGGTTTTGCCAAGGGAGGCGTGGTGGTAGAAGGCCCAGTGGAAGTTGTCCTCAATATGTGGGTCGGACCGAAGGTACAGGGCAACATATAGCTTGTTGGCGCGCAATCGGTTCAAGGCTTCAGTCCGCAAATGTATGACCTGTCCCTTGTTCTCCGGAGTAGCCTTGATTTTCGGGAGCATGTTCTGACTATTTGATTGAGACATCGTATGGATCAATAGGTTTTGAAGTTCAGTGCAAGGATAGTAGAGGAATGGTTAAGGTAGAGATTCGAGCGGGAGACTTTTGAGAGGATTTTGAGAGAGATTTGGTAGGAGTGACCAAGGAAAGAACTGAATGATATAAACACAACTTAGAGAGAGCAATATTGATTGTCAAACCTGAGGGAGCCATGTGAGCCCCCACTACTTCCTTGTATGGTGTAGACACCGTATGTTTGCGCCCTGCACAAGGAGAACAAAAGAAACGCTGAGTACTCTTCTTTTCGTGTTGCTAGTTTGCTGGAGTTTGACTGCGATTTGGAGGCGAGAGTTGAAAGAGGTCAGAGTCAAAAGCCATACTCTCCATGAGGCTCCAGCCTCAGGGGCGAGTGGAAGGCTGAAGTCGCCTTTGTCTTTTCTGCCGAGATGGGTTAGGTTGGTCTCATACGACCCACGCTTCAGTGACGACGGACAGTAATTGAGGTGGATGGAACAAGGCGATCTGAAATGGTCTGCAAACAGGGCTGCAGACAGTCAAAGGACCGGTTCGGACAGATCGTCATGGGCCCAATTCCAGGCGTTGTAACCCACGCCAAGGCTGACAGCCCATGTTGTTCGTTGTTGAGATAACGGCCGCAAACAGAGCTCTGGTTGAAACACTGCTCGCAGATCAGCTGTCGTCAGCAATGCATGATCCCGAGTCAGGCTTAAGGTGACAAAGAAAGAAGCCAGCATCCGCAGAGAGCGGCCCAGGTATAGACAAGGGTAGCCGAAGATACTGACGACCGGTTTGATAAACCAAGTCAGAATTCGAAACTGGAGGAACTAGGGCTTGGGGCTTGGAGAAATGGGCATGATAGACTTCTTACTGGGATCTTCTGTCAAGCAGCTTGAGGGTACCTGGTCAACTCCCCCTGAGTTGCATCTAGTTTATCAGGAATGAGAGCAAGGAAGAATCTCACAACAGTACATCACTACTAGAGTGATCAGGCTCTTCACGGGGGCTCTGTAGCACAAATCCTCTGTGTCTCATATTTTGCGAAAGCTGTACACCAGGTCGCCAGAACACCAGTAGTTTACTTGGCAGATAATGATCATGGACACAGGACATCTTTTTCTCTTTGGCGCTTCTTATGCTGAGAAGGTACTGACGCACAAGAATATCCCTAATTACCTAAATGCGGCGAGGGTTCTACGGAGTACGGAGTACAGAGTATTTGCACTGGCATTTAAAGCGGCATTAAGATCTTCCTTCTTACGGACTTGCGTCGTCGGAGGATCGGCAATTCTTGGCCGCAGCTTCGAAACGACGTCCAACCTCCAGGACTTGTTGCTGTTGTTCCCTGCATTGGATGGCTCTCGGTGCAGCGAACTGATCTTGCTCATTATGGCGTCCGGCTACGGCGTGACGGGAGGTGAGTTCTAGCTGAGGATGTCCGCACGGGTGTTTCCCCTTGCGTCAACTGCGCAACCTGGAGCTCGACACTAACATAAACCTCCTCTTCCGTAGGTGTCTCTCGATGCTTTCCATTCTGGCAAGAGTACATGTCATGTTACGTTATCAACCAGCATGATCCGGAAGCAAGAGCGCAAGGCGTCTGCGCCCCGCGGTTGGAAGATTATTATGAATGTCTACACCACAAAAAAGAAGTCAGTGACAAGCTTGTCCCAAATGCGAGCTGCACCTCGAGACTAACCACACCGCTACAGTATGCACGAGCAGCAGCAATCCAGAACGCACTACGAAAGGCCGAAGCAGCACATCCCCGAGAAAATGCACCCAAAGTTGGCCAGATTCGAAGTTTAGGCTTACTAGGGAAGGAAGACGAGACCAAATCAATATTGGGTGCTTGATAGGAATAGGAACATTCAGAGGGCCGATCATTCTGCCTGCCGAGGCGACCACAGGCAAGCTTCACGATCTGTACATACTCTCAAGAGCTCGGTCAAAGAGGAATGAAGATGTTGAACAAGATTTTTCTGCCACGGGTGACCCATTGAAGGGCAGTCGACCTCCTATTCCATACTTGTCCGCTGGACCTGTGCACTGTTTAGGTGGAGGCAGCATGTGACGCCTAGGTGTGCCTTTGGATCCTAAGGCTAGGCCTGCAAAAAGGGAATGAATCAGATAACTACAATCCTCCCAAGTTTACGGTGGGATTCATCTCTAGCAATAGTCTGGACGAGACTTGCGGAGCATGAGCCAGCTGATTGATCACTCTGCTAGTCTTATGCCTTTTGGTCCCAGAGTACTCCGTAGAGCACGCCCCATACGGTATTTCTTTGTCTGGCCATCAGTGTCAGCTGCTACTAGGCGCGCCATCTCAAGAACAAGCGCCATCCGTGCAGGTGATGGCAAAGTACTACGTACACAGTAGGACACAGAGTCGTAGTGACATCACACCGTCTCTTGCACTTGCAGCTTCAATCAGGCTGAGATGGGCTGGCGTGAATTCGCATCCCATGCCATGCCAGCGGTACGCCCAATAGACACCTCTACCTCTGCCGCTGCAGTTGTCTACGGACTACTACTAGGGTCGGCAGTGTGCCTGCGAGTTGAATCCGAACTCCTGATTGGTGTCTGCTGACGCCAAGCCAGGAGAGAAAAGCTTAAGCGGTGTTAGCGCAGCCTAACCAGCAGGCGCAGGCAATCAGTGGGCGGCGGAAGGAGCAATCGGCAGCCAGGGGCGTTGCAGGCTGCACTCCTGCACGGAGCAAGCGAGGATTTAAAGCCATTCCAGACCCTCTTAAGCCCAACGTTGCGCCCCGATTCCAACTTTCTGATCTACCCACGGAACCCAAGGCTCTACCGCCAACCACGTCGCCCACTGCTACTCACCTACTAGTAGTCGATAATTGCTACGCTGCGGTTGTGGTTCTAATGACGCCGGCGGCCCTGCACCTCATCTGCGTCTTTACATTGACATTTTCTTCTGGCGGCGCGTCTGCACACTGCACACTATTTCCAGCACATATCCATTCCTTTGCACGCGTCTCAACGCCCACTCACTTTCTGCTCTTGATGGCGTCGCGTCGTGTTCTGGGGTAGACAATTGTGGTCCTGAATAATACTCGACCAACCGCGCCTCCGAAAATGTCCTCGTCAAGGTTTGTCGCTCAGCTTCCCCCCGACTTGCTTGCCGAGCCCAGCTAACCGCTTTTGCACAGGCTCGACCGACTCGTCACGTGAGTTCCAGACCACCATGCCCGTACTGCTCCAATGGCAGACTGCACACTGCAGACCGCAGACTGCGACGAGGCATGGATGCAATGAGTAGTAGACATGGCTAACGTTATTCCACAGCTTGCTGGACAAGGGAAGTACACAGTTAATCCGCAACACTGCTGCTGCGCAACTCGCCGACATCCAGAAACAGAATCCCGACAACCTCTTTGCCCTCCTCGGCAGAGTTCTCCCCTACCTGCAGTCCAAATCATGGGACACCCGCACCGCCGCTGCGAAGGCGATCGGTGGCATTGTTTCGAATGTCCCCAAGTTTGATCCCAATGCAGATGATCCTGAACCCAAGTATGAGTCTCTGAAGACCGAGCATCCTCCGGTCAAGGTCGAAGAAAAGGCTCACGAAGCCGATGACCTGCTCCAGTTGGCGACGCTAGACGTCAAAATGATCCTTCGTCATGGCAAGAAACTGTTGGGCAGCGCTGGCAAGGAGTACGAGTACTCCATGGCTGGATTGACACCTGCTCAACGCCTCGCTCACCAAAAACAGAGCTTGTCTGCCCGCTTGGGCCTCGGAGGCGAGTACATGGAGGAGGACCTCGTCACCGAAAACGACTTCGCGGCAAATTCGCAACACAAGTTGGCTCAAACCCCTGGCCCATCCAGAGTGGACACGAAATTAGCAGGTCAACGATCGAGCAGCTTGGGCGCTCCTTCGCCATATAGTGCCATGTCGCCCCTGGAGGAAAACGGCGAGCCTTTTCTCAAGGAGGCAGGTCTCAGCAGTCGCCGGATCAATCAATTGAAGCGTAAAAAAAAATCAGCGGCTAAAGCTGGCACCACCAAGATGCGGGTTGTGGATCTTTCCGGACGTCGTCCCTCAGAACCCGGTCACACCCCCGTCTCCGCGACTCCGCATCCGGTCAAGCTGAACGGGCACGACGAAGCGAACGGTGACGCCAAGCAGGACTACTTCTCCATCAAGCGAGAAGGCCCCGACGATGACACTGCTCTCATCTCGGAATTCAAAGGTGAAGCCGTACCAGAGAAGCCCATGATCCAGCCTGATGAGGAACATGCCCACGATTGGCCGTTTGAGGTCATGTGCGACTTTCTCTCAATTGATCTTTTCGACCCGAATTGGGAGGTGCGGCATGGGGCAGCTATGGGACTGAGAGAGGTCCTCCGAGTTCATGGTCGTGGCGCTGGTCGTCGTTATGGAAGCTCACGAGCCGAGAACGACTTAGCCAACCGACGTTGGCTTGATGATATGGCATGCCGTTTGCTATGCGTCTTGATGTTGGACCGCTTCGGAGACTATGTATCTGATACCGTCATTGCTCCCATCCGTGAATCAATCGGTCAAACCCTTGGTGCTTTACTTACCCAGTTGCCCGACGATGTTGCTATTTCTGTCTACAATTTTCTGCAACAGATGATAAATCAAAGCGACACTGGCCTGAAACAGCCGATCTGGGAGGTCTGCCATGGGGGCATGATTGGCCTGCGGTATTTCGTTGCAATCCGGAAGGATCTCCTTCTTCAGCATAACGACCTCATCGATGGTGTCGTTTCGGCTGTGATTCGCGGTCTAGGCCATCCTGACGACGATGTCAAGTCGGTGAGCGCGGCAACGTTGATCCCCATTGCTGGAGAGCTAACAACAATGCGACCTCACTCTCTCGGCCAACTCATCTGTGTCGTATGGGATTGTCTTCTTGACATGCAGGATGATCTCAGTGCAAGTACCGGTGCGGTTATGGACCTTTTAGCGACACTTTGCTCCTACGACGCTATATTGGAGGCCATGCGCGCAAATGCAGCCGAAGACTCTGAGCAGTCGTTCGATATGCTTGTCCCGCGACTCTATCCTTTCCTTAGACACACCATCACCAGTGTGCGACTGGCCGTCCTGAAAGCCCTGGCCACCTTTTTGAATATTTCAAATGTGAGCAACATGGAATGGGTCGGGGGTCGTGTGATCCGCCTGGTTTTTCAAAACATGCTCTTTGAACGCAACGAGGGCGTTTTGCAAATGTCCTTTGAAGTCTGGGAGGCCCTGGTTGGCTACATGGAGCGCCAGGGGATGGCTAACTTCACATCCACTCTGGAGCCACATATCAGCCCCATGCTGAAAGCTACAGTTCAGCCCGTTGGCCAAGCGCGGAATCCCATCCCGATGAACGCGTCCCTTCTCATCAAACCTTCCGGTGCGCCCATGGCTACCGTCACATCGCGGCAGGGATCTGCTTCCGACGCAGACCAACAACCTAAGAAGCGTCGTAAGATCGACAAGGCTGACTCAAATCAGCAGCTGTCACACAACACCGATGGACACATGCTTCATGGCGAAGTGGACTTGGTCGGGGCAGATGTTATCTTGAGGACCAGAAGTGCATGTTCGCGAGCGCTGGGCCTTCTTTTGGGAAAGCAGAATGAGCCCGCCCTCGTATCTTACTGGGTAAACCTTCTCCCAGTGACCAAGTCCAATCATTCAAGCTCGCAGCTGTTTGCAGGCATGATTTTGGAAGAGGTTGCCAAGAACCAATCCGTCAAACTGGCAGATACATCATCATTTGTTGCCCAACTTCAACGGGTTCTCGATGACGATGGCAACCATTGGTACAGCGATATTGTCTCGTCCTTGCAAGCTGCTCGAGGTCAATGCCAGTCCTTGATCAGCGCGTTCCAAAACAACGCGCACGTGTCCCGCGACAAATTGCCAGCCATAGCTGTGGTTTGCCAGGGCGAAGATGGTGCTGGACCAAAGGCCTTTTCGCTCGCGGATGCTGAGAGGATCGTCACCGCAGACTTCGATCGCCTCCTGAAGGCGCTGACACCAGCGCAGAGAGTCTCGGGCACACAGTACTTGAACGACGCCCGTACCAGCGCAATGACCGCGGTCGAAGAAGCGAGAAAAGTCAAGGAAAATCGCGCCATGGCTATCAAAGCCACAGTCGCATCTGTTCTGGTTAGACTTGGCGAGGTCCCTAAGAGACCTGGTCAGTTGATCAAATGCGTTATGGACAGCATCAAGGGCGAGGAGTTTGCGGAGCTGCAGGCCCGATCTGCCTCGGCTGTTGCTACGCTGATTGATTTCTACACCAAGAGTCCTAAGAGAGGTCCAGTGGACAAATTGGTCTCTAACCTCGTGAAGTTCACCTGTGTGGACACCGCGGAGACTCCCGAGTTTGGCCCTAACTCCAGCTTCGAAAGCATCGTTTTGTCGTTGCGGAAAGAAGAGGATAGAAAAGATCATCCGGATGCTGCAAAGTTTGAGCAAGAGGCCAAAGAAGCCCGCATCATGAGACGAGGAGCGAGGCGTGCCCTAGATGAACTGGCGGAGTCTTACGGCGGTGCGCTTCTTGAAAAACTCCCTATCCTCAAAGCATTGATTGAGAACCCTATCCACGACCTGGTCGAGCCAGCAGATCCAGCATGTTTCCAGGTCGATGAAGAGCAGGGCCAGTCATTGATTGATGCCTTGTCCATATTGCGGACGCTCTCGCCCACCTTACACCCCGCGTTACACCCATGGATCTTGTCGTTGAGCTCACTGATCGGCAAGGCTATGCGAAGCAGGCTGTCTGTTGTGAGGTACAGCGCCGCCAAATGCTTTGCCACCATCTGCAGTGTTATCCCTGTGAAGGGTATGACGATGTTAGTCCAGGAAATACTGCCGAATATCGGCAATCCCTTGGATCTGAGAGATCGACAGGGAATCACAGAATGCCTTTACCACCTCATCACGGTAATGGGGGATCGAATACTGCCCTATGTGATCTTCCTCATCGTTCCGGTCCTTGGACGTATGAGCGATGCCAACCACGATATCCGTCTCCTTGCAACAACGTCATTTGCGACGTTGGTCAAGCTCGTGCCACTAGAGGCCGGTATTCCTGATCCCCCAGGTATGCCAGAGTCGTTGCTACAGGGGCGCGAAAGAGAGCGGAAGTTCATGGCACAAATGCTGGATCCGAAGAAGGTGGAGCCGTTCCAGATTCCAGTGGCCATCAAAGCGGAGTTGCGATCGTACCAACAAGAAGGCGTCAATTGGTTAGCATTCCTCAACAAGTACAATCTTCACGGCGTCCTTTGCGACGATATGGGTCTGGGTAAGACACTCCAAACACTGTGTATTGTCGCCAGTGACCATCACATGCGAGCCGAGGAATACGCCAAGACACAAGCACTTGACATGCGGCGACTACCGTCGCTCATCGTTTGCCCTCCCACTCTTTCAGGCCATTGGCAGCAAGAGATCAAGCAATATGCGCCATTCTTGAGCTGCGTCGCCTACGTCGGATCTCCTGGAGAAAGAAACAGCCGGCGTTCCCAACTAGAGCAAGCAGATGTGGTGATCACCTCATACGATGTTTGCCGAAACGATAACGACGTGTTGGCACGCATCACCTGGAATTACTGCGTCCTCGATGAAGGCCATTTGATCAAGAACCCCAAGGCCAAGATCACGCAGGCCGTGAAGAAACTTATCAGCAACCATAGGCTCATCCTATCTGGCACTCCGATCCAAAACAATGTCCTTGAACTGTGGTCCCTCTTCGATTTTCTTATGCCCGGCTTTCTGGGCACGGAGAAGGTATTCCAGGATCGATTTGCCAAACCTATTGCGGCGAGCCGCAACGCCAAGTCGTCGTCCAAGGAGCAAGAAGCAGGTGCGTTGGCCATTGAGGCCCTTCACAAACAGGTGTTACCGTTCTTACTACGGCGACTGAAAGAAGAAGTCTTGAATGATCTCCCGCCCAAGATCTTGCAAAACTACTATTGCGACCTTAGCGACCTACAGAAGCGGCTATTCGAAGATTTCTTCAAGAAGGAGCGCAAGACTGTGGAAAGCAGCGTTGGTTCGGCAGACAAGGAAGCCAAGCAGCACATTTTCCAGGCGTTACAATACATGCGAAAACTATGCAATTCGCCGGCGATGGTGGTCAAGGAGGGCACCAAGCAATATGAATCCATCTCGAAGCAGCTTGCGGCGTCCAAGTCGAGTTTGCGCGATGTAGCCCACGCGCCTAAACTGACTGCACTGCGGGATCTGCTAGTTGACTGTGGGATAGGAGTGGCGAACGATTCCAACGACATATCAGCCTCCACCTACGTGTCACAACATCGCGCCTTGATCTTTTGCCAAATGAAAGAGATGCTGGACATGGTCCAAACGGAGGTGCTTGGAAAGCTGCTGCCGAGTGTGCAGTTCCTTCGACTGGATGGTAGCGTCGAAGCTACCAAGCGGCAAAACATTGTGAACCAATTCAACAATGACCCTAGCTACGACTGCCTATTGTTGACTACTAGTGTTGGCGGCCTTGGGCTGAACCTGACGGGCGCTGACACGGTCATTTTCGTGGAACATGACTGGAATCCTCAGAAGGACATTCAAGCAATGGATCGAGCCCATCGAATTGGACAAAAGAAGGTCGTCAATGTGTATCGGTTGATCACCCGCGGGACGTTGGAGGAGAAAATCATGAGTCTGCAGCGGTTCAAGATCGATGTAGCCTCCACCGTGGTCAATCAACAGAACGCTGGGCTGGGAAGTATGGAGACTGATCAGATCCTCGACCTGTTTAACCTTGGTGAGAGCTCGGACATTGGCGGGGAAAGTGGCGGAGCCGGTAAGGAAGAGGACATGGTAGATCTCGAGACCGGGGAGGTGAAGAAAAAAGGAGAGAAAGGCTGGCTCGACGATGTGGGCGAGCTGTGGGATGAACGGCAATACGAAGAAGAGTTCAATCTGGACTCGTTCGTGCAGAATCTGCAGAAATAGAACTGGGCAGTGGGTTGGAGCCACCGTATACGGGTATTCTCAGGTGGTCGGCGCTGCTGTCTTCGACCGAGCTTGGTCGGAAACGTTAGGCAGGGAAGCGGCTGACAGCACCTTGGGCTGGCAGGATCAGCCAGCCGTTGGCTTGGTGGCAGGGTCACCCTTGATCTTGGACCATAGGGTAGTGGGAGACCCAATCACTGTTGAAACTGTCAGGAAGGATTGCACATTTGGCGTAAGCGACACTGGATGCAGGCTTGACACCCCTTCCGTTGAGTTGACAGCTGCCGGAACAAGGCTGGGAGCAGTCCAGAATCTGATCGAGCTGCACGCCTGTCAAGACGAGATTTTCTTGCGGTTCTCGATCCCACCACGCCGCCTACCCCTCGGTGGGCCAAGTCCAGAGAAGAAACTGGATCATGCCCCCGACTGTCGGGTTTTCCGGTCCGGAAGTCGAAACCTGGGTACCTCAAGGCTTACAAAACAGGTGATCTGTCTATGGACACCGGCGTGTTGAGTCCGCCTAAGCGAGACGAGAAGTGTAGGGCCCGTTAGAGGGACCAAGAGGTCCGTAACATAGAAATGGATGGATCAAGGCGGTGAGCATGGGTCATAATCATCAAAAAAACCCACCGCTCATGCATGGTGAACGTCCAGGCCCCTCAGCTGAGAGGACTGAGGCTGGATAACACTGTCGGTCAGTCGGTCGGTCGGGTCGGTCGCAGCATCGAGACGAATATCCTTGTACCTTGGAATATCAGCATCAGCTTAGCACACCATGGATCGAGGACTGCGGTCAGCACTGCCTGTAGCTATGTTGGCTACTGGAAGAGCCACTTAGTCATCCAGGGATGTTATTTTAAGGCTGCCGAGGCCCGGAAGACCTGCCTTTGGGGGGACGGGACGTGGCGGTGTTAGTCTGTACTAGAAAGCTTAGAGAATCTAGAGAACTTAGATAGCCAGTCGGCATGGACACCGGGCGACAATAGCTGCCACTAGGACTGCTATGCAGGCTAGTTCACGGCTTGACCCGCGGTGATAAATCCCGATTCGAAAATAGAATTCTCCGCTTTTCACCCTCGCCCTTCACCTCCATCGCTATCTTCAAATCAGCCACCAGGCCATCCTCCCTCAGCAGCAAATCGTCTGTCTTGCACAGTATCATGTCGCTTCCTATCCACGCGTTCCCCGTGGATTGCCTCCCAAATACACGGTGAGCACTAGTCCTTCCTGGCAATCCCGCAAATGGCAATGCGTGCTTGAAGGGCCGGCCTGGGGTCGTCTCCATCCACAACGAGAACACAGCAATTCAGAGCCCTGGTCCCTGCTGCATCTGACCTCAACCATCCCAACTTCGTGGCTGAGGCTTGCTGGCCAGACAGCGGTCTATGTCGGCGGCGGCATAGTCCGCTTTCCAAGGTTGAGGGCAGGCTATGCACAGTAAGCGAATCTTCCCTCGTTGCCTTTTGCAAGTGCCGACCGGCCGGCCATGGATGATCAATACATCAATATATCCATAAAAGACCTCGCTCACCCCTCTTCAAACCATCAGTCCATCATTCATTCAATCTTCTACTCAACACAACAGTCAACCAACCATTTCCTTTCCTTCCGTTCTCTTTATTTTTTTCCTATAGTTGTCGCACACTCTTTAGCGAACAATACCTCGACCGTTGCTTTAATAATACTTATTGCGCTTTCAAACAATCCACAACCACTTCAGGATGCATTCCAAGACGTCAATACTAGTCACTGCTCTCGCAGCCGCAGCCTATGCCTCTCCCATGGGCGGCTATTCGGCTTCCCAGGCTTCCTCCTACGGCGGCCCGAACGCGACCAGCACCGGTAGCCATTCCGCTCCCACCAGCTGGGCCTCTGGCTATGGGCAGTCCGGATATTCCAGTGCCGTCTCCAGCTATGCCAGCAGCTATGGCTCCTCGACTATCCTGGGTGTCGCGACCGCGTCTCCCAACCCGTCTCCCGTCCCGGGCCTCGTTGGCAAGCTCTTGACCGACGACACCACCGTTGACCGCTTCAACGACATCCAGGGAGAACTGAACGCCGGGGCCATTAGCCTCAAGTTTGATTTCAACCCTGCGGCCAACCCAGGCATCAAGCCCGGTGATGGCGGACAAGTCGACCTGGCCAACCGCAAAAACTTCCCCGTCCTGACCGGGCTCGGCGTCTCCGCTGCAGGCATCTTCTTCCAGCCCTGCGGCCTCAACACGCCTCATATTCACCCTCGCGCCAGCGAGTTCTTGACTCTTGTCACCGACACCGAGATGTTGACCGGATTCGTGTTGGAGAACCAACTGACCACCGAGTTCAACACGACCTTGACCCAGTTCCAAGGCACTGTCTTCCCCATGGGCTCCATCCACTTCCAGCAGAACCTTGACTGCGAGCCCGCCGTGGCTATTGCCGGCCTCAACTCGGACGACCCTGGCGCCAGTTCGCTTGCCCAGAACTTCATTGGCGCCATTGACCCGGCCGTTGTGGACGCCTCCCTCGGCATCCCCAAGCAGATCGATGCTACCAACTTTGCCCAGTACAGGACCTCTCTCCCACTGCCGCTGGCCAAGGGCGTCGAGGAGTGCTTTGTCCGCTGCCACATCCCTTACTAAAGACAATTATGTCGACGAGTAGTGGAATTGTCATGTCGGCAAACAGTGAGAGTGTCGCGGTCAGCGGGAAGCCTATGAAGGGTATATTAGAACGTATCGGGACGGGACAGCACGCTGGCTGGACTAATACAGGCTGGGCTTTTTTCATCTGATTTCATGCATTGCGGGCAGGGCAGGGCTTGGTCGACCAACACCTAAGCTAGGAACGGTCTTTTTGCGGGCAAGGGCGGCCCTGGGGGCTGGGAAGGGGTTTTGGCATTGGCATTCATCCTGCGGTTGATTTGGTTTTTGTTTGACTTCTTACTAGTAATACCACCTTCATTTTCGTATCCAAATCTAACAGATTGCCCCATATTGACTTGACTTTGCTGGTTGGCATCGCGATGCCTGGTATGCCTGTATTGGTAGTATTGGACAATCTGCCTGCTGTCTGTGGCTCACCCTGTTTGGGCATCTATCTCCCAGACCATGTCCAACTCGAATGTCGGGCATATGCAACGAGCCTCGGGGTTTCTTGTACTTGGGGTTTCGTAGGGTGAGTGCATGGAGTAGTGTATGTAGTTCGCACTGTCGCCTCGCTGGTCTTGGCGGTGCCCTCGGTTGTGAGAACATGTCAATGATTGTGCAACAGTACATACCTCCATATGTATTGATAAACTCGGACTCGCATTCAATGGCTTTGAAATGACTTTCTTATTTTGGTTGACGCGTCGACGGATCCTACTTGACTTTCATAGAAACCCGATTCGATCAAGGGGCAATGTTTCTCTTTCCGCTTCCGCCAGACGGACATGTACCACGTCGAACGCTGGCCCAGCGTACTATTGTGACATCGAGTCGGAGTCTCTCGAAAGGTACCGTCCTGGTGGCTACCACCCCGTCAATATCGACGACACCTTTCATTCAGGAAGGTATCGCGTTCTTCAGAAGCTGGGGTGGGGGGGCTACTCGACCGTCTGGTTGGTCTACGACTCGATGCTATGTCGACTCGGAGCACTGAAAGTTGTGGTCTCTCAGATCGGCGAGACATCTACTATCATTAATGAAGTTCGAATCCTCCAACGACTTGCTTCGATTCCGGCAAAACATAATGGTCAACGCCATCTACGCAAGTTCACCGACTACTTTTTCCACGATGGGCCCAATGGCAGATATCAGTGTCTCGTTTTCGATGTCGACGGTGTCAGCGTTCCGACTCTCGTTACCCGATGCGGCGATACGAGGCTCCCGGGACGTCTGGCCTGGCAGCTTTCCCAACAAATCACGCTTGCATTGGACTGTCTGCACTCCAACGGGATTGCACACGGTGGTGAGTGATGTTCCCTTTCGTAACAAGGGTCAGATTCTAAGGAAGTCAAGATCTTTATCCTGGCAACATATTGATTTCACAAAGGGAGGGACAGTCCTCAGACCCAGGCTCATTGAACCAGCTTGGACCACCAGTCCTGGCAGAGATCTATGCACGGCCCGGTCGCCAGATCACCAAAAGTCTCCCCCGGTATATCGTGGAGCCAGCTACGTTTCCTGTCCCAGCTATGGCCGGACAGGCACAGGTACACGCGAGCCTTATCGATTTTGAGCAAGCATTCCTCCGAACCGACCAGTCACTGGCAAAGGTTCGTACGCCATTGATTTTCAGAGCTCCAGAGACGCTCCTGGATTCGACGTGGGACCTACGGATCGATATATGGTCTCTGGCATGTACGATTTTCGAGCTTGTTACGGGCCAGCTGCCTTTCGACAACTTCATGCCGACAAAGCCTCCCTTAGTGTTAGAGTGGATTGCAATGTTTGGAGACGTGCCGGAAAAATGGAGGATGCAGGCCAAGGAGGTCGTAGGTGACTGTCAGAATGATATCGATGGAGGCTCACTTACAAGCTGGCTCTGTGAAGTTGACTTCGGCAGCGGCAGAAAGCCGGAGTTTTCCAAGGAAGATATCGAGCGATTAGCCGATCTGTTGGCTCGAATGATGTGCTACCTGCCTAGCGAGCGATTGTCAGCCCAGGATATCCTGAAGCATGAGTGGTTCGTCAAGAACCCCTTAGCTGGTAAGAAGGAAGAATGAGAATGAGAATGATATTCCTAGTGACGAAGTAGCTACATCGAGCGTGTTGAATCTTTTTCCTTACAGGGGTTGGATGGCGGATGAAGGGGGTTGAAAAAGGCTTTCGATACACTTTCTGTGCCTGCACTGTCCGCGAAGGTGGGATTAGGAGCCAGCCTTTGTCGAATCTGGCGAAACAGAACCAGTTCACGCATCTTAGTCGAAAAGTCTCTATTCAGTGATTGTTGAATTCGTCTCCCATGGACCGACTCTATCGCACATCGTCCAGGTCCTTCCTCATGTCTCACTGGCTCCAAGAAGCCGTACGTACGTACATACATACACTTGGATCTCGCATCCAAGAAATCCAACCCAATCCAATCCTCCTGTCTATGGCTGTCTGTACTCGTTGAGGTTGAGCACCAGGCTCGTCCAACACGAACGACACGACTATGCTGCAGCTTTGTTCGATGCCGATGCCGACGCCGGCGACAAGATGTACGAGGGATACCCATCCTCGATCTCTTGGCTCAGTTTGGAGATGTAGAGAGGGATGCCTCCAAAATAGAGCAGAGTCTTGTGCAGTTTGGATTTGATATTGGCCCCCACATACCATGATTTGACGTCCATTGCACTCTGCGCAACCACGGTTTGTTCGAAGAGCTGGTTGACCTGGAGGCTCCAGTCCTCTGCTGCTTCCTTCTTGGGCTCGATGCGGGCGATATTGTGGGATTTCAGGTGTGAGATGGTCTTCCCGATCCAGTCGGCGATGATGTCGATGACCACAGGTCCATTGGCAAACGGAACTTGGGGGCCAAATATCATGAACAGATTGGGGAATCCCGGCAGGGTGATGCCGTATGATGTTGTCAGTTCCTTGTGGAACACGTCGGCCAGGCTTTGGCCTTCACTGCCGTGAATTCCGATGTTTCCCAAGGTGCCGGTCACGGCATCGAACCCTGTGCGAGTTTGTCAGCGGGTTGGAACAGATTATATATAGTGTCGAGTGTAGGTAGGGGGTAGGGGGGTGCTCACCTAAAGCAAAGATGATGATGTCAAATTCCCACTCTTTGCTGCTGTTCCCCAGCTTCACACCCTTGGGCGTGATCTCCTGAATGGGATCGTTTCTGATGTCGACCAGCTCAACGTTGCTTCGGTTGTAGATTTGGTAGTAGTTGTGCCCGGCTGGCGGCCGCTTGGAGAAGATGGGATATTTCGGGCACAGGAGCTCGGCCTTTTCCTTGTCGTTGACAATGGCCCGGATCTTGTTGCGAACAAATTCAGATGCCACCTCGTTGGTCTTGGGGTTGGTGAGTGTGTCTCCGAACGTCTCGAAAAAATAATGGAAGCCGCCCTTTTCCCATCCCGAGTCCAGGACGCGTTGAATGGCCTTCTCGTCCTCAACGTCATCATACTTCAATTTCGAATCCACAATGTCGAACCCCATGGAATGGTTTCGGGCCCGTTGGGTGATCTCTGCGTAGCTCCGGTTGATCTCGTCCATTTGCTCCTTGCCGATCGGGTAGTTGCGAGCGGGAACCACGTAATTCGGGGTCCTTTGGAACACGGTGAGGCTCTTCGCATTATGAGCCACGATGGGCGCCACCTGGACGGCAGTCGCTCCCGCCCCGATCAGGCCAACTCGCTTACCGGTAAAGTCGATTTTCTTGTTAGGCCACAGTCCAGTCTGGTACCATTCACCCTGGAACGAGTCCACCCCTGGAAACGGGGGCTTCAGGGGGGTGGCCAGGACCCCGGCCGCTGTGATGAGGAACTTGCTGGTGAAGGTTTCGCCCTTGTCGGTGGTGACTTTCCAGATGTTCTTTTCCTCATCCCGGTAGGCGGACACGATCCGAGTGCTTAGTGTGATGTCTTTCCGAAGGTCCAGATAGTCGGTCATTTTGTTCAGGTATTCTTCCACTTCGGGTTGCTGAGGGAATCGCTCTTTCCACGACCACTCCATGCCCAGTTCTTCCAGGAAGGTGAAGATGAAAACCCAACTCTCGCTGTCGGTCCGGGCACCTGGGTATCGATTCCAATACCATGTCTAGACAATATAGTTCAGCGAGCCGCTGGAAAGGACAAGGGCGGAGACGGGAGACAGAGACGGAGACGGAGAATGTGACTTACACCACCCACTCCAGACGCAGCGTCGAAGACCCGAGCGGAAACGCCACGCTTTCTCAGCTCATACAACTCGCGAAGACCTGCAAAGCCGGCGCCAATGATGATGGCCTCGAAGGAAACATCTTGGCCGTTTTGGTTGCCGTTCTGGACGCCGTTCTGGACGCCGTTTGCGTGACCATTAGAGAGGCCATTGGAGAGGCCATTGGAGAGGCCATTGTGGTGGCCATTCACGCCATTAGCCGGAGCCCTCTCAACTTGAATCCCTTGCTCAGACATGTTGTTTACCTGGTGCAGATGTATGTGAGAAGGCTTGACTGACGTGTGTAGAGCCAAGGGGAAGGGAGGCGGGAAGACGGGACGTATTTATCATGCATCCCTGAGATGCGGCATACCATGTCAGGAGCCGGAGCCGAACTGTGCTGTATCAGCGCCGCCTGATGGTGGTACAGCAGCATATGCGGGGTCGAACCGGGGTCAAAACTGGGGTCGGGGCAGTATCACCGAGATATTTTGTGTCTAACATAGCCAAATGTGCGATAGTGCGCGGAGGATTCAATGCTTGGGATCTCATTCGCCTCGACGGTCTATTACCGATGGCCGTTCTCACAGAGTGGACCTCCTCCAAGTACCCCAGCCGAAGAGGTAGCAGACCCTCAGTCTGATTCCCCAGTTGGGGCTAACATCGTGCCTCGAGGAAGTCAGCAGAGGGTGGCCAGCCACTCACCATAGAGCAAATGCATAGCACGTCACCCCACACATCGCTGAAGGGGCCTCTAAGCCTATGGCATGTGTCCTATGCCCGGGATTCGGTGACCGGCACGACCAAGCACGAACAGTGGACTGGCCCTGGTCCCTGCAGACCTCCCGACACCGGGCAACAATCACCGAGGTTAACCCCGCGAATGGTCAAATGGCTTGCTTGGTATTTTGAATGATCCCCAATGAGTTCGGCCGATGAAAAGTCTTCCGCGGCTCAATTGTGAAGCAAGTCTGCCGGATGTTGGATATTACTACCCTCTGCTACCAGAGGTGGCATGTGATGGTCTTGGACTGGCCATTTGGATGCAGTTTTGGATACAGTTTTGTACGATATCGACATTGACATTGACATTGATCACACCTCGTGAGATTCTTCAGTACAATGTCTCGTTCAGCTGCCCATGATGCGCGAAACAGAGGCTTCCGCGAAGCGTTTGCCACGCCGTTCGAGTTCAAAGACAGTTTGTTGCCCACTGGCGAACTGATTCCCAAAGAGGCACAGAAGCTCCATCTCCAACATGAGGTCGAAGACGTCCCAGCGGGCAGAGGCGCACGGATTCACTGGCTCGGAGACCGGTCGGCATCCAAGGTGCTTCTGTATTTCCATGGTGAGGCTAGAGCCATGCCATGTGACATGTAACCACAGCTCATAGATGCTAGGCGGTGGCTTTTGCTTTCCCCCTCTCAAGGGCCATGTTCGCTTCTGGAACGAAAGCTTGAAGGCGTTGAATCCGAAGAGCGACTTCGTCATTGCCGCTCTCGAGTACGGTAAGGGAGGATGAGGAGTACTGCTCAACCGCACCACTACCACTACGCAGCAAACATTGCATGGAATTGGAGTTGACCATGATCTAGGCCTGACCAAGCAAATAAGGTATCCCGTCCAAATCATACAAGGGACCGAGGCCTTACGATTCATCTTGGACAAAGGCTACGCCCCATCCAATGTACGTTACGTGAATCAGCATAGCTCTCTTCTCTTTTGGGCAACGAAGTAACCAGTTTACAATCTTCTAGGTTGTTATCGGCGGAGATTCCGGAGGAGGAAGTCTGGCGCTGGGGGTTGTGTCCATACTGCTGCACGGACTGGACGGAGTGCCGCCGTTGAAGTTGAAGGAGCCCCTTGCCGGCGTCCTGCTCTACTCGGCCATGGTCAGCTTCGGCACGGAAAGTGAGTCGTGGACGGCCAACAAAGACAAAGACTGCGTCGCCCCCATCAGCATGCAGAAGCTCGGCCCTGCATACGTCGATGAGAAAGATCTCAACGAATATTCGGATCCCCTCCGCGCCGACGCCGCGTGGTGGAGAGGAATCCCGGCCAAGTCCATCTTGAATATCTACGGAGGTGAGGAATGTTTCAAGTCGCATATAGTCGAGTTCGGGGACAAGCTCGTGGAGGCCGGCAACCCAGTGGAAAATGTGGAATGCTCTACAGAAGTGCACATCGACTGGGTTCTGGACCTCCAGGCTGGCTTGGAGCCAGCCGAGATGCGCGTCAGGATACTGGATTGGTTGTCGAAAGTGTTCGGGAACGGAGGAAACGGCAAATAAGATCAGTATTAGCTTGGTCGTAAGTAGTATAAGTCGAGTCCGGCGAAGAGATGGTCTATACTACTACCTACGATCTACGATCTACTCCTTACTGCCACCACACAAATCCCATCCCGACACATTGTGTCCCCCTGTCTTCGACCCACCCTTCCAACGCTGCCACACCCTCCCGCCCTGGCGTTGCCGTTGGCGTTGCCGATTCCCGTGGCACGGCCTTTGACGCCATGTTCCCTGCTGTGGTGTGGCAAAGACATCCAATGCTGTGGCAAAAACATGCACCCGAGCGCTGTGGTTCGCTCCAAGAGTGGGTTGGCACCCCGATATTCCCATTTCTGCTCTCCTGGAGAACGATGGCCGAGCACATCCGTTCTTCCACCCCGGCGTTCGAAAGCCGGGGAAGGCCACAGTCTGGATGGGATGATCCTGGAAGATCGTTCTGGTGTCTGGTGGCGGTGCCCTTGTCAGGAGTCGCCGCACCGCACGGCGCACAGTCTGGATGCCCAGAACCTTGCACCCTTGGCCCAATGGCATTGAAGGTCCAACGCAGCGTCAGAGTATAAGTACCATGGTGTGCACTCCGGAACTATTACGGGTACGCTAGACCAGCAGTTGTCAGTTGTCATTGTCATTGTCATTGACCTCAGCGTATATCAACCATCAATCCTCCATCAGATCCTACCTTTTGGACAACCATTCCACTGCACGGCTTCGACCTTCCCAACAAATAGCAAGAGCAAGACATTGCAATCACCATCGCCATGGCCACCGAAACCATCACCCTGCCTCAGACGCCCACCACGCTCAACTACTACCTGGAGCTGAAGGATGGAGGCATCATCCAGACCTATCCAGGTACTGCCTTCGAGAAACGCCGGAAACATGTGCCACACGAGGTCAAGATCAACGACTTGCGCCCCATCCACTCCGAATTCACGCTCGACAAGGCTGGATTCGAGTTGGTCCACTTCCCGACCAAGGTCAAGGATTTTGGGAACGAAGAGGAGATCAAACAGGTCTATTACCCAGAAATCACCGAGCTGGTCAAGAGAGTGTAAGTCATAAGTCACCTGTCGGATCTCTGAGCTCTGTTCTTGGGATCTCTCTCGACCGTGACCGTGACTAATTGCTGGTGCCTCACAGAACTGGAGGGGATCATATTCACATTCTCTCCCACATGACTCGAAATGCCACCACCGCTCAAGCCCTGGGGGATGCGGCGAACAAGGCTGACACGGACTTCGTCACGATTGTGAACCCAGCTGTAGGTGCCCCGATCCCATTTCTGATTCCTTGCTTGACGCACTCTCCCGAGTCCGGTTGAGTTGAGTTGTAAAGCGACATGATGGCTGACAAAAACTCCCGACCCGCAGAGGTTTGTTCACGTCGATCAATCCTACCGTGGTGCCGAACAAATCCTGTACCTCAACCTGCCCGAGGAAGAGGCCGACCGACTGGTCAAGAAGCGGTGGGCCATCGTCAATGTCTGGCAGCCCTTCAACAAGCCGGTGACGCGCGATCCGCTCGCGTTCTGCGACTACCGTTCGCTCGACGAGAAGGACTTCCGCACCGTGGTGGCCAACCTGCCCCCGCCCGGCGCCGGCGACTATGCCAACGTTTCGAAGAACATGGCCCACAAGCCCCGGTATGAGTACAGTCTGAACGGCGAGAAGGCCCCGAGATACGAGGTCACCAACCTGGCCTACAACCCAGACCAGAAGTGGTACTACATCAGCGACCAGAAGCCCGAGGAGGCCTGGGTGTTCAAGATCTTCGACTCCAAGATGGATGGCCGCGCCAAATGTGCAGTGCACTCGTCCTTCCCTCTTCCCGATCAGCCAGACGAGGGCGAGGCCCGGACCAGTGTGGAAATCCGATGCTTCGTGTTCTGGGATGACGAAGAGGCTGAATAGAGTCATGGCCATGATCCCCTTCCATAGCTACCTTCCATAGCTACATAGCTCTTAGTTACAGTGTGCATTCAATCCAATCCAATCCAATCTACAGTATCGATATCGATCAGTCTGCCTATCTGCCCATGCTATACAATATACAAAATATACAACATTGTGGCTTTGTGGTTTGGGAAACGTACAGTTCTCAGTATCAATATCAATATTGTTGGTGTGCCTTGACCTTGACGTCCACAGTATGCTTGTAGAGTACCATCTTCATGTCCTCAGCTATTGCCAGCGCCCGGCGAGTCCCTCCCTGAAGACTCTGAACACCGCCTCACCAAGGTCCGCCCATGTAGAGTGTCCTTGTTAGATCTTCTTGTGAGATCTCTGTTGCCAACAGTATTCTCGAACCTAGGCTCAGGGGCCTCTACAGAGTACGAGAGGTGACACGACACGCGATCCGGAACTTTCTCTGGAAACATGTCCGCTGGCTTCCAAGATGGCTTCACTAGTGGAGATCCCTGGCCGGTTCATTATTATTAGTGAAGACTCAAGAGGACAACGCCCCGGCTCGTGATCTAAGTCGGAGTGATCCGTGGCACGGTTAAGTCGGTTGTTCGTCGTTCGTTTTTCGGGCGCGAGTCCAGGCCGCCCCCCTTCCCCCTGCCCCCGCATGAGCGGCAATCGCAACATAACAGTCGCTCAGGCCGGGGAAATTCGCTCGGCGAACGAACCCCGCAGTCCGGTTGGATACGTACAGTACGGACAACAGGACTGTGTACCAACGAAGGCCTGGATCCGTTATATGTAACGACAGTTGTGGACGGTTGGCCATTGAACAGTGAACAGTGAACAGCCGGGCTCCCTGATCAGATCAATTGCAATTGCGCTTGCTTGCTTGACTGGCATTGTATTTCACTCACCGTCACCCGCATTCGCATTCGCACACATACAGTACACGCCCATCATGGGATCAATCGAAGCATTTCGGCCGGACTACGACGTGCTCGTCATCGGCGCCGGCTTGTCAGGCTGCTATGCTTGCCATCGAATGAACCAGCTGAACATGACGGTAAAGGTGCTAGAGGCAGGGGCATCGGTAGGGGGTACTTGGTTCTGGAGTCAGTAGTTCATCTTGCTCTTGCACTTGGATTTCTTTTGCTTTTCCTTTCCCTTTTCCATTTCGACATGGACCATGAGGTGTGGTTATGAGTTGGGGGTTGATCCCTGATACTGATGCGTTACCAGATCGCTATCCCGGCTGTCGGTTCGACTCGGAGTCGTACTCGTACGCCTTCTTCTTCAACAAGGAGATGTTGGACGAGTGGAACTGGTCGGAGCATTTTGCGCCCCAGCCCGAGACGGAACGCTACATCAACTTCATGTGCGACAAGCTCAAGTTGTGGGATTACATGCAGTTCAACACCCGTGTTTCCAGCGCGCATTGGATCGAGCAGGATCGCTGCTGGAAACTCACCGACGCATCTGGGCAGACGTACACGTCTCGCTTCCTCATCACCGGCATCGGCGTCCTCAGTAACCCTACCCTGCCGAATCTGCCGGGGGTGGAAGACTTCCAAGGTACCGCGTATCACACGTCTCGCTGGCCCCACGAAGAGGTCAGCTTCGAAGGCAAAAGGGTGGGCATTATAGGTGAGCAGCCCCCTTCTCCCTGCGTATCCCAAGTTGTCCAGACATATTTGATATCGGGCCAACTTGAAAACATCGTGATCTCTAACCGTACGCTAGGCACTGGAGCCACAGCCATACAGGCCATCCCGGTCATCGCGAAGACGGCCAAAAGTCTGACGGTGTTTCAGCGGACGGCCAATTGGGTACGTAGAAGATCAAACCATGGAAAATGAAAATGCCCGCTGGCTCGTTTCGTGCATTTTGCTGACGTTGCGTCCAGGCAGTTCCCTTGCTCAACTCGAAGATCGAAAAGGAGGAAATGGACTCGATTCGACAGCGCTACCCGGAGATCTTGAAGAGGCTGAATCAGACCCGAATGTGTTTCCTGCACGACGCCAACTACACCGACTCGATCTGGGATTTCACGCCGGAACAGCGAGAGGTATTCTGGGAAGAACTCTACGCGACCCCTGGATTCCCCATGTGGCTGTGCAACTATAAAGAGATACTCGTCGACGAGAAGGCCAACAGCCTGGTCACAGAGTTTGTGGCCCGAAAGATCCGTGAGCGAGTCCACGACCCTCGCACCGCGGAGAAACTCATTCCCAAAAATCACGGTATGTCATGTCTTTTCCATCTCCATATCCATTCCCTGTCCCTCTACCTCTCCCCCAGCCGTCCCGAGACGCTCCTGGCAAATTGTTCAAAGATGAAACGTCTCTGTATGTTTGAGTGAGAGCCTGGCTGACGCGCCATGCAAAAACCAGGATTTGGGACCAGGCGAGTTCCCATGGAAACCAACTATTTCGAGGCTTACAATCTGCCGCACGTGCGACTGATTGACCTGCTCGAGACGCCCATTGAGCGGGTGACGCCGACGGGGATCAAGACGACGGAAGAGGAGTTTGAATTTGATATGCTCATCTATGCCACGGGGTTTAATGCCGGTGAGTGCCTCCTTTTTTCCCCCCTTCTAGCTATGGATTTGCTCCGAATAGGATTGGATTGTGTTGGCTGACATGATTGAATCAACAGTCACTGGAGCTTTCGACGCCATCGACTTCCGAGGAATCGATAACCACAGCCTCCTAGACGAATGGAAAGACGGACCCAGGACGTTCTTGGGTCTGACGGTGGAGCACTTCCCCAACATGTTCATGTCCATGGGTCCGCATCAAGCCTATGGCAATATCCCGCGCAGCATCGAGTTTGCCGTGGGATGGATATCAGAGTGTATTGAATATTGCCGAGATCACGGCATCACGTATATCGAGGCCACCGATGAGGGTGTATGTCTCCCCCAGTCCCGCCCCCAGTCCCCCCCCCAGTCCTACCCCCCCCCCCCAACAAAGTCCAACCCCCACTTCCACTGCTACCCTCGGCTAACGGAGTGTGCTGCAACCAGGTCCGAGAATGGACGGACCATGTCCACGATCTCGGCAAGAATCTTCTCAGCAACAAGGTGGATTCGTGGATGACGGGCGTCAATCGCAATGTCGCCGGCAAGGAAAAACGCACCGTGGCCCGGTATATGGGGTCCGCGCCGGAATTCCGGAGTAAGTGCGAACAGGTGTCGTCGGCTCAGTACAAGGCTTTCAAGCTGGCGTAGGAAATGGAAATGGGAAATGTTCAACAGGCTTAGACGGCGCAGCGTGGTGCAGACGCAGACGCAGACGCAGACGCAGACGCTATCTGTCGTATCCGAGAAAGGAGAAAGAGGGGGGTTTCCGTCCAACATTGAGTGAGGGTCTGATTTCATTCTGGTAGTGGTAGGAAATAGCCTGCAATTCTAAAGTATGTAGATATCGACAATGCTCTATCATGACCCACTGAAATATTCTCTTCTAGTGCCCATAGCACACACACTCTCTCTTACATATCCTCATCTTCGTTTCCTTCTGGTGATGGGAGACATTTAAACTGACCAGGTAATGTTCAATGTTTACACCTAAAGCTTGTCTGATCGCTTCTCGAGACTCTTCACAAAGTCGACCGAGCTCTGCCAATACCGTCGTGCCTGTTCTAGATGTGGAAGCAGGTAAAAGCCATGCGGCAATCCTGGGTACACATTCAAAGTCACTGCCACGCCTGCATTCTTGAGCGCTTCTGCATAGGCGAGGCCCTCATCTCGAAGGGGGTCGAGACCGGCCACTTGAACAACTGTTTCGAATTAGCTGGCTGGAGGCTTGGCTAGCAATGTACCGCCAAGCATGACTCACGAGCGGGTGGTAGGCCGGCGTGGCTCTCTGCCAACAGTGGGTGCGCATACACGTCTGGTGTGACAGTTGGCATGTACTGTTCCCAAAACCAGAGCATCTTGGGGGCATCGACGACACTCGCATCCTTGTTTTGCTCAAAGCTGCCGTATTCATATTTGTCTCGCGGGAAAACATCGGGGTGGCATGTCACCGGGATGTTCAAGATCTGTCCAATGATCCCCGACTCTTGTTGGTCGCGTGCCATGAGGGAGAGGACGGCGGCCTGCATGTGACGTGGCTCAGTATTCTTGTCCTTGTGCACACCGGGGGAGGTGTCTTACGATATTGCCTCCCGCACTCCCTCCCGCAACAACGATTGCCTCCGGATCGATGCCCAGGCTAGTGGCATTGGCCTTGCACTGTGGGAGGTCAGCGGGGTTCAGTAGCCTGGCACCACACTATCAGGAGGGAACATGGCCGCAGGCTCAGGCTGGCTTACCCATTTCAGGGCATCGAAGCAGTCATTGACAGCATAAGGGAATTTGTACTCCGGACCCATTCGATAGTCGACACTGACCACCACCGCACCGGCATGCGCAGCCAACATGCGGTTCTCGACTTCTTCGGTCTGGTGATATCCAACCGTCCAGCCTGGAGCCACACCGACATCAGCAACGTGTACATGGGGCCCAGTAGAGGAATCCTCGTACCGCCGCCGTGCGCCTTCAGAACCAAGATGGCGTTCGGTTTGGCTTGAATAGGTCTGTAGACCCGTAACCCGATCTTGGTACCATCTCGGACGGAAATCTCTTGGTCTGCAACTTGGAAGTCTTTTTCCGCCTGGGGTGCGCCTTCCGGAAAGGACACGGGGGCGTTTTTGTACGCGGCTTTGAGGTCCTCTAATGACAACGACCACAACGTCTTAAATCTCTGGTCGATCGCTTCCTTGAAAGGCGCGAAGTCAGGGTCGATCTTGGACAAATGGCCATATTTGGGTTTCGGCTCAGCAACAGCCGAGCTACTCGGTTTGAGTTGAACCATTCTGCGCAGGAGACCAATCTGTGACTTACCAGGCAAGGCCAGAAAAGTCGTTCCTGTTCCAACGGGTGCTCTGTGAGCGATTTATAATCTGCATCTGACGGGAAGTCGATCTCCGAGGCATTGTGGTGAATTAGGTGCTGGATACGTAGGTACCGGTACCTACTCTAGGCACCTACTAGGTATAGACTAGGCACCTAGGTACCTAGGTATATTATGTACGGAGTACCTAATAGGTGCCTAAGAGTACTGATATGTGGGCGGTTTGGATTATTTTATGTCAATTGCATCATAAGGTCCTAATATTACTGTACTGTACCGTACCGCCCGTGACTGCGTTTTTCTTCTTTGGGGTCCCCAGAAATTCCAGGCGCAAGGCGGGGTAAAAAGGGAAAAACCCGGGCCGACTAGATTTGGCTAAGGGGCTTAGGGGGCTACGCTGGCACGTGAGGGGTAAGCACTTGTGGCCCGCGGCTCAAGATCCAAACCAAACTGCAAACCGCCCGCGATTCCTCAGCCACCAGAGTAGCTAGTACTGTAGCTGCCTGCACCGTACGGAGACCTACCTATGTAGCTCCCGGACCTACCTACATAGTTACTCCGTACTCCGTACACCCTACACGACGGTGCAAGGACGGAGTATCCTCGACCACAACGAATTACATCGCACCTATATGGTATCATCTGCCATTGGTCCTTGTTCCAGCTACTATTCTTCTTATGGAGTAGATCTTCCCCTGTTTGAGCCTCGGTCGAGAGGAAGGTTTACCAATCTACTCCGTAAAGGGTTCAAATCAATCGCCCCCCCAACCCACACACCCACAACCCACACCCCCAGATTCAGACGCCCAACGACAGACAGACAGTCACACGGACACTCAGACACTCACCCAGGCACCCAGGCACCTAGAGACACATGCTCGTCACTACTGCGGTCCTCCCACATCTCTGAAACTTATTCGGCTATCTGTCTCCTGCGTTCGACCCCTCCATCCGTCTCTCTTCCGATTACCTAGTATCCAGTTCCGTTTGCAGGACACAGTACACAAGACAAGAGCTTGATGCCACTGCCACACAACACATAATTGTGACACCGCAGCCATGGCCATGTTCCACACGCACACCGCGTTATTCAACGACTCGAGCAGTTTGGTCGACCTCAGCCCGACAATGATCTCTCCACCACCCTCCCTCAATTCAGAGGCACCAACTGTAACCTGGCCCGTGCCTAAACCCAAGCAGCGTCGCAAAACCTCGACCGACCTTCAAGGAAGCGAAGGGGAAGGCAGCATCACTAAGGATACGTCTCGGATATTAGCTTGCCTCAGCTGCCGACAAAAGAAAATCAAATGCCATCGGAAAAGCTCGACCTGTAATCGATGTGAGCGGTTGCAGATACCGTGCGTGATCCCCGACGAAGACGAGCGGTTGAGACCCTCGTCCAAGAAACGGACCCGGGAGCTGGAAAGACAGATTGAAAGTTTGCAAAAGCAACTGCGCGAGTCGGAGGAGAGAGCACAACGCAATTTGTATTTGACACCACCCATGTCGACCCAGTCCCAGTCATCTCACGCCGGGATGGATCTGGCCTTGGGCGGCAGCGATTTAGGCAGCGACTTGGTCGACACCGCGACTGTTGCCGACTTTGACAAGACACCGCAAACTTTGATCGGTCGCCTGTGCGCGGAAAATGCTCACATTCATGAAGATGAAAGTGGCCGGGTCAGATACTATGGGCCAACATCGATCCTACACACAAGCGAGAAGCCGCCGTCGTATGACTATTTGAAGTGGAACATTGGTCCGTTCGAACCGGACGACCAGGACGACATCTCGCCAACACTCCGGGACCACCTTCTGGAGCAATACTGGCGATTCCAACATTCAGTCCTCCAGGTGGTTCATCGCGAAGCGTTCCTGCAAGACATGCAGGCCGGTCGCACCCGCTACTACAGCAAAGGCCTACTCTACGCCATCCTGGCCAACGCCGCCGTGTTCTCCGAGGTGCCCGAGATCCGAGCTCTCGCGCTCAGTCGAGATGAAGACCTGGAAGGAGCCAAACCCTACCTGCTGAGAAAGGCGACGGAGATGGTGGAACAAGAAATCGAGAGCAACGTGGGCATCACAACCGTTCAAGGTCTTCAACTGCTCAGTGCCGTCCAATCTCGCCGCGGGGCAGACACCAAAGGTTGGCTGGAATCGGGACGATCCTCTCGTCTCATCTTTGAGCTCGGGCTCCACAAGGACGAGGTCGAATTCGCATCCAACCGTTTGTCTCCCATGGATCTGGAGGTCAGACAAGTGGTCTTCTGGGGAAGCTTCGCATACGATCGAGGCTGGGGTCTCTACCTGGGACGGCCCTGTGCGCTCAATCTGGACGATGTGACCATCTCACCACCTGCGCTTCTCCCGAACGAGAATTCCTCGTACTCGGCCGAACTGTTGCTCTTACGGGCCTGGGCTACGCTCTTCAGTGTCGTGGGCGAAATCAGCAACACCTTCAACAAGAAATCCTTCACCCACTACCACTTACAAACCCTGCGGCAAAAGCTTCTCAACTGGGAATCGAGCCTCGACCCTAGTCTAAGACACAGCTCGGGCTGCTCACCGGGGGTCTATGTGCTACATTTTCAGTTTCACGGCGCGATGATTCTCCTGCACCGCTCGACCGCCAAGTTTGGCACCTATCAGACCGAAAGTACACCCATCTCACAAGAAGCACGAGCTATATGCGTTGACCACGGCCTGCAAATCGCCCGCATCCTCGCCGACTACAGAGTCGCTTATGGATCTGCCCTGACTCTGGTCGGGGTGGCCATGTATAACATCACTACCGCGGCGGTGGTGCTGATCGCCATCCTCTCGGAGCCGTCGACACCAGCCTCCAACGAATACCTGTCCAGTCTGACCACGTGCATTGCCGCACTGGAAGAAATCCAGCACAGCCACATGGGCGCCAAAACGGTGCTCAAGCAGCTCCGGTACCTCATGCGCCGATGCAAGCTCCTGAATATCAAGGAGGACTCGCAAATTCTCCGGGATGCCAATGCATCGTTTCTACAACGACGACCAACGAATACTATCGAGGCAGGAAGCCCGCCGGTCAAGCTGCTCGGCCAAATCGTGCAGCCGGACAGGTCTTCTTCTGACGACGCGTCCGCAATCGACCCTGGGCAGTTCATTCTGGCTTTGGAGGATTGTGACGCGCTAATGAACATGGTGTCCTGGAATGATTTTTCCAATGTCTTCGTGTGACCCGAGTGTGGAGCGGTGGGAGGGCCTGCCAAATCATTCTTCGAGGTTGTTGTTACCATACAATACCAGAAGCGCCGGCCTGGGGCTGGGCCTGGTCTGTAAGATGGTGGAGGTGGAGCTGAAGCGCGAGGAGTTAGTTTCTGGCCAGGATCTGCAAGGAACTAAATGTCGGCGAACGATCACCGAGAACGGAGCGGACCACTGGAGACGTCTTGGGCTGCTTGGATGTTACAACTTGAATTGAAAAGGGGTTTTCTGGCAGGTGGTACATGTCCGCCATGTGTGGCAATGATTGGATTGTCTTTTGAGAACAAACCTCGGAGATGTCATGGTGATGCATATAGAGTCTACAGTATCTCAATTCCGGACATCGTTGTCCGTACTCCACAATAATGGCCTGTCCGTACCCCACAATATCCATGGCCTTCGTACCCTAGGCAGTGTTCTTGCTACAGTATCCACGGCCTTCGTAAGTGGCTCTAGGCAGTGTTCTCGCCCAATGTTAATTCTCTGATAGTTGATGACTGAGGGCTGAGGGCTGGGACAGTGGGACTGATGGCTGATGGCTGATGGCTGATGACTGGGTTGAGGGCTAGGATTGGTGATTCGTGACCTCACCTTTTCGAAGAATGCGAATCCTGCCCGCCTCTTTCTGGGAGGTTGTCTACTCTGGTACTCTGTAGCTATCATCCGGAGCATCTTGATTTGATTTGGGTTGGGTGGATTTGGGGTTAGGGTTGGGTTTGCATAGGGAGCTGAGACCCAGCCACGACCACGACCACGACCACGACCACGTCCTTCAGGGCCAGTCCAGTCCTCTGGATTCCTGTCTCTCTTCCCCACATGACCTCGACTCCTGAGTCCTTTGTCTGCGATTGTACGGAGTACTCGTACGGAGGACTTGGAGCGCTTGCTGTCATATCTCTACTTTGCCGTATCGGTATACCGTATACCGTATCCGTACAGAGTAAGGCCTTGGATCATCTGCATCTCCATCCGTTTTCTATCTCCTCCGCATCTCCAGGTCGGGAAAATGTGTGATTGGATGGCCGCATCTCCAGGCTGTCGGGAAATGTGTGATTGGTTATGTAGTAGATACTGTAAGCTTGGCTACGAGTAGGGTTAACCGCATCTGTGGTATTCGTGTTCGTGTTCGTGTCCACTAGGTATCTAATGCTCGCGTAATGTATTAGGATTAGGTATGGGGTATTAGGTATTCCTCTATAGTCTGTCCTCTGTCCTCTGTACTCTTTCTTGCAATAGCAATAGCAATAGCAATAGTAAAAGTAATGCCGCAATAGCAGTAGAATAGCAATAGCAATGGCAATGGCAATAGCAATAGAATATCAACTAGCAACAGCAATAGGAAAAGCCTGATCCTGGTCGTGATCCTGAAAAGGGGTGCTGTGCTGGGTACAGGGTGCTGGGTGGTTGCAGCACTTGCTAAACTAGAGTCCACTGATGAAACAAACCCTTCCTTTCTCCACGCAGATTCAGATCTAAATTCAGATTCATACTCAGAATTAGATTCGGATCCAGATCCAACGAACGAACGAACGAACGTTTCCTTCTTTACTCTTCACTTCGCTTCGCCTCGCCTCGCCTCGCCTCCGACGATCCCGATCCAATCCGCCTCTTCGAATATATCAAACAACCCCTCGCGCGACACGACACGACACGATGGCGCCACGCCATAACTTCCAGTCAGGGGTATCGGCATACATACACATCTCCGTACTGTAGTTTGTCGAACACGGCCATGGCCATGGTCATGATCACGATGACGGTCAAGGTCATGGTCACGATCATGCCCACGGTCACGATCATGCTCTCCAGTCCTCATTCAGTCACGCTCTTCTTCCTAGTCCTCAATGATGGTGATTCTTCCGCCTGCACATCATCAATGATTCTTATTCTTCACCGCCTGTACGTCATTCTCCAAGAAAACCTCGATATGTCTGTCCATCTTGGGACCAATATCTTCGCACCAGAGACAGGCGACCATTCCCACGCCGCCAAAGGCAATGGAAACCAGAGCGACGGTTCGGATGGCGACAATCAAGCTGTCGGTATATGCCGCTCCGGCGGCCGCAGCAATGGCTGGGGTGACGTTGGGAACGGACATGACAGCTTTGGATCCGGCTGGTAGTGCAGCCAGGACAGCCTGGCCCATGGCGCGGGTACCTCCGGCGGCCAGGACGGCGTTGATGACTTTCTTGAGAGCGGCTTTCGCTAGGGATTTGTTGATGACGGTCACGTAGACGGTGGTGGCGATGCAGTTTCCGCCGAATCTTCCAACACCGCTATTGAAGTCAGCACTAGCACAGATGTAGTAGTAGTCCCTAGGGGGTTGAGTAGGAGTTTCTAGGGAGTCCCTAGGGAGTGGAGCTTGGGGTTAAGGAGTAGTACTCCCTAGGAGGGCTGAGTAGTAGTAGTACCCCCTAGGGAGGGTTGAAGGATGAGGGTTGAAGATTGAAGATTCAAGATTCAAGATTCAGGTGAAAGACAAGCAACTTACGCAAGTGAACCAGCAATGCCCAGCTGGGTTTGTGGAGCTCCAAACTGACAGTATGTGATGGAGAGAAATTGAGCCCATGCAAAAGCGACCGAGCCAAAGAAGTTGAAGGCGATCAACGAAGACTTCCGGTCTGGGGAGGCCAGGGCCATGAGACCACCGAACAAAGTCATGATGGTGACGATGACGAGCTGTTGCCATTTCCAATGCTTGATCCACATGCCGAGGGTGCTGAGCAGGACGCCGCCGGTGATCATGCCGAAGCCTTGGACGATGGACAGCTCCATGGCGAGCGGAGAACTGGGCTCGCCGGGGCTGAAGATGGCATTGACGATCTGGCCCCAGACGATGTTGGTGCCCAGGTAGTAGACGGGGACCATGAAGGCGACGATGAAGGGGGCGGTCAAGGTCTGACCGCGGTGGACCTTGAAGAGCGCGGGCGGCGTCAACGGCTGCTTCAACGGCGCCCAGGTCTCCCAACAGGCGAAGCCGACCAGGGCGGCGAAGCCCGAGACCAGGGTGCCGATGACCTTGGGGTCGGTCGAGTTCAGGTACGAGGCGAAGACGACCCCGACCAGGATCAGCACGGCCGCGGCGCTGAAGAGCAGCGAGCCGACATAGTCCAGCTGTTTGAGCGCTTCCTGGAACGACAGGCCGCGCGGATGCTTGGGCGGGAAGTAGAACAGGAACAGGATGATGGCGCCGATGCCGTTCCCGATCACCCCCGTGTACAGCAGCCACGGCCAGGTCTTGTGTTTCAGCGAATATCGCGCCGCCACCGGCACCACCGTGCACGCCACCACCACCACCGAGTCGGTGATGGTGACTGCCATCGGTCGCCATTTGTTGGGCAGCAACTCTGGAGCCGCGAACGTCGCCATCTGGCAGATGGCACCGCCTACGCCGGCTATGGCCATGCCCACCACGATTTGCGTAAAGTGTTTGGCCGTGCCGGCTACGATGTAGCCGACCACCACGAAGAGGTTGCCTGAGATCAGAAACCACCGTCGTCCGAACAGGTCGCTGTTGGGCCCGCAGATCATGAACGCCACCAGGCCCGTGATGAAGTACACCGACACCATCCACGTCGATTCCGCCGTCACGCCGAATTCCTCGGCAATCTGGGCCTGCGTGATGGCCAGTCCGGGCATGGAAGAATAGGCAAATCCGTAGCAGCTGGTGATGGTCTATTGGGTCTTTGTTAGCATACTATACTTCCGTACGTACGTGCATTGTACAGTGTAGAGTTTCATTTCACTTCCAGTGAGGTGAGCGAGATAGAGGGTTTCCATTCAGTTCCACTGGGGAGAGTGAGGCATTGCCACCACTGTATCTCTCACTTCCACTGAGGTGAGTGAGGTGTCGCCACACCACCATCACCAGGGCAAGACCACCACAATCACCAGGGGCAATAGAATAGAACACTGTACGGTGTAGAGTGTTTCAATTTCACTTCCAGTGGGATGAGAGAGAGTGTGATGTTTCCACCACCACCACCACCAGGGCAATAGAGATATTTGCTGTAGGAGATATTTTCTGCACTTACCATCACCACCAGCCAAGTCTTGGCCGTCACCACATCCTCCGTCGGCACATCGGCCGGGATATTCTCGACCTGGGACACCGTCCAGTCCTCTGGAGCTGTTTTCTCATCCACCTGCTTGATGGGGCCATGGCCATGGCCACTCTCGACCTCGCTTTCCGTGGTGGCTGTGACGGACATGGTGATTTGATTTGGAGCTGGATCTGGATCTGGATAGGATAGGATAGGACAGGATTGGATTGGAGTCACTCAGAAAGACAGAGGAATGCTGAAGAACGACCTGACTTGAACGCAGGGCAGGAAGATTCTAGTTTCTCCCACCTCTTCGTCGTCTTCTTCGTCTTAGTCCTCCAGGAGTCCTCCTCTCCACAAGTGCCATTCCGCGTGCTTTTAAAGTAGGCTGAAGGCTGAGAGCATTGACTTGACAACGAGTCGCCATAGACACGGGACTCGACAACCGGGGACCGGGGTCCGGGGACCCCGCAATTTCGCTTCACCGCAGAGTACGTACAAGATACAAGCTTGCTGCCTTCTGACTCTAGACCACGGAGTTAGGACGACCTGGAGGCCCGTGGGGCACCCGACCGAATGGACCTACAGGCACGGATCAATCAGAGCGCCGTATCTGGAATGTTGAGAGGCCCAGGAGGCTGGAGGCTGGGGTAGGCGAGCCAGAAAATCGGCGTCGATACTCCGTACTGGACCCGCCATCTCGAGAAATACTTTGATCTAAGCAAAATAAGCACGCTCAAGGTCCACCTTAGGTGCATCTCCCTCGGGACCCTTGGGGGGTGATTGCCTCAGATCGACGGGAATTTCTGACTATTGGGGGGCGATTGCCTGGGAATTCAGACTATTTCGTCGTGAACTTCGTCCTATCGGGCATAGCGTCACCAAGGTGGCCGATGCAGTCGACTCCTGAAAAGCCCAAGGGGCTTAGGATTCCGTGCCCCGTCTGCCAATCTCAGCACGCCCGTCTCGATGGGGGAAGTGTCTTCTCGGTGAGGATGGATAGGGGAAGTGCCTTGTCGGTGAGGATGGATGGTATGGCACCATGTGATTGGTCGGGAGGAGGGCTCTCTCGTCATGATGGTCGGTAAAGGAATGCCGACTCAGCACGACCGGGGCGGTGAAGTGTGGCCGGCAGGCACGCCTCCCAAGGACTGGAAGGGGCAGTGGAAGACTGGAAGTGGACCGTTCACCATCATTCTCGTGAATAATCGTGGCTATGATCAGATCATGGCAGCGGTGAGTATCTCGCGAATCATCGTGTCATGGTAGGGGTGAGTAATCGAGACAGAGAGAGACAGAGACAGACCCCTTCGCCGGCACCCAAGAGTCAAGAGTTGATCTCAACGAGACGAGAGAAGGTTGATCCCCCCTTACTCCCTGCCTCCTGCCCCCTGCCCCCTTCCACCTTCCCCCTTCTTCGGAACCGAAGAAATCAGTCGAGTGGACTTGGACTGTCCGTTTCAGCCTCCTGGTTCGTCACCCGCCCTACTCTACCAACTAAGTAGGAACTAGTAGGAACTACTCTGGAGTCTGTACTCTGTACTCCTACGGAATAAGTACTTGTCGGGAAGATGAAGTTCCCTAGTCACATAGGTCCAAGCGTGATCTGAATGGGAAAGATGAGATGCCAGACTCAGACTCAGACTCAGACTCGGCGGGACCCGGGCCCGGTCTGATCTAAGTTGGAATTCGTATTCGCATTCGCGGCTGGCGAGGCCTAAGGCTATTGGTGTCTTGAGGTGACCTGGCCTGGCGGTAGCGGTTCCGGTCCTGGTCCTTACCCTACCTGACTACATTTACGTACGTAGTAGTATACTACTCTTCAGTACGAAGTAGTACACCATGCTTCAGTACGTAGTACTCCGTATACCACTCTCAATCCTTCACCGTCTCATGAAGCGGCTGCCGATTCTCGGAGATGATGGCCATGGTCCTCTTCATATCCTCATCCGAGTACTCAGCGGCGCTCTTGATCTTGTAGCCATGGGGTCCGGCCTCGAAACACTCTCCACTGACCTGGCTGTTTCCCAGCATGGACTTGTATGCGTCGATGACACTGGACATGGGGGTCAACAGCCCGAGACGGTCGAGCTTTTCGGAGAAGCCGCTGGTGGAGGTCATGGTGGTGCGCACCACCGAGGGACAGACGGCATTCAGGGTGATTTGCTCCCGGGCCAGATGTTTGCCAAAGCCACGGACGAAGCCGACGATGCCACTGCTCGAGTCGGATTAGTTGGAATTGGGGTCACCTAGGAACAAGACCGGGAGGGAATACAACGGACAGGAGGGAATACAACAACGGACAGGAGGGAGGAGTGAAATGCAACAACGGACAGGAGAGAAGAGGGAGGAGGGAGAAGGGGATACTGACTGTTTCGTCGCCGCGTAGATCGGTAAGGTTTCGGGCGCGTACAGCCCGCATATCGACGAGACGCAGCCGACTAGATATGGGACACGCCCCCTGATGTCAGTACTCCGTACTTCTCCATTGGCAACTGTCTGGCCGGGGGTGGGCTGGCCGGAGGTGGACTGGCTGGAAACATTGTGAACTCACTCTTTCCCCGAAATCCAAACCGGTTCAGGTCCTGCCGCCGAAATTGCTGCAACGCCAGACTGACGGTGTACAGCACGGCGGTCAAGTTGACGTCGAGGGTCAACAAGTCGGGCTTCTCGAAGCCCTGCGAGTTCTTGCCTCTGTTCGGAAACGCCCGCCGCTCGGACAGGCCGGCAATTGGGTATACATAGTCGATGCGACCGAATTGCTTGACGGCCGCTTCGAAGGCCGCCACCTGCTGGTCCCAGTCGGTCACGTCGACCTGGGCAGTCCAGACCGCCTGACGGGTGGTGTTTAATTCGGCCGCCAAGGCACGGGCGCCCTCGATATCGCGGTCTACGATGAAGACCTGAGCTCTGGTGGTAGTGGTGTTGCCGTCAGCGTGAGAACTTGCCGGGGGAGGGATAGATCTCGGGGGAGGGATAGTCTCAGGGTCGGCATCCCAAGGCCTTAGTGATAACATACCCTTCCGTCACGAGTGCAACGGTCAATGCCCGGCCGATCCCACTGGCACCACCTAGGAGTCATCGTTAGTATTCCCGAGCATTCTCGCCCTGAAGAATTTGGGTCCTGACCGGTGACAAACGCGTAGCTCCCCGTTTCAGACATGTTTCTTTCGATAATCGGAGGTGAAGGGTGCGGGGTGAAGGGTGAAATTCGATAGGATGGCCACGTAGAATCGTGAGAGTGAGAGTGAGAGTGAGTGTTGGCAATCACCTTGAAATGGTAATGTCAAGGTGAATCTGAGGTTGGAGTTATGATGAATGATAATGACCAAGAGTTAGTAGTAGTTCTACTCTCTTTGGTCAACCCGGACGAAAAGCCCTGCTCGGTCATGGTCCTCCGATCGCGGTCGGGCCAAAGAGAGTAGAACTTGGGGAACGTGGGGAACTTGGGGCCCAAGGCTCTCAGCCGGGCATTTCTGGTCCCCCTGAGTCTATCTCATCGGCTCGGCTCATCAGCTGGGTGAGCGGACCGAGCAGCCAGTCGGAGGAGGCCCAGAGGGGTAGAAAGAAGTACTGTAGTCCAGTCAAGCCTGAGATACTGTATGACATATGTTCTATAGTATGTATATGGCATATGCCGGATAACGGCTGAGTGGCTGAATGGTCTCGATTCTAGTACTATACTTTCCTTGTCCCCACTACGTCTTTCTAGAAGTCTGGCGCTTCATCCGCCCAGAGCGGGAAAAAGGCAATTGAATTTTATGAGTGCGGCCCGGTGCAGTATGGCTTCTGTCCCCGGTCTATAACACCACGGGTCAGCCCTGCCCTGCTTATAGATCTTGCTGGCTCTCCAACAAGGGGTAAATCGAGTAAATGGCCAGGCAAGCATGCTTTCCAGTGGACCGTCGCAGCCATGCTCGTTGTGCTGCTTGTGTATCCAAGTCCAATGCCGGGTTTTACGCGGTTGCGCCACCATCAACTATGGAACACAGAACAGGCATCATTAGTAACTCGATTCAATCTCGGACACAGAATATTGCAGAGAGAGGAAAAGGGAGGGATCTGGGATCTCCGCACCGGGATGCAGGGGGGAGAGGGGAGAGAAGGGGAGGGGTGGGATCTGGGATCTCCTCACCGGGATAGACGGCGCCCGTGATGAAGCTTGCCTCGTCACTGAGCAGGAAAGCTGCCAAGGTTGCAACCTCCTCGGGCTGACCGGTTCGCTGAAGAGGCATGGCGTTGGAGGTCATCATCGTCGTGCCATGGTCATCTTTGGGCGTGTTTCGTAGCCGCTGAAACATGGGTGTTTCAATCGGTCCTCTGCACGGCGTCAGCTGGAGCTGGGGGGGAGTAGGGTTAGGGTTAGGGTTGGCGAGAGAGAACAAGACAGGACAAGACGTACGGAGCCACAGCATTCACTCTGATGCCATTGGGACCGTTCTCCCGTGCAGCGGTGCGCGTAAGCCCGATGACGGCGTGTTTGGCCACGCAGTAGGGCGCCATGCCCTCGCGGCCGCGCAGCCCCCCGATACTGCTCGCGTTGACAATAGAACCGCCGTGTTTCATGGCCTTGACCTGGGCGCGAATGCAGTACATGACGCCGGTCAGGTTCACCGACAGAACCGAGTCCCATTCCTGGTTGGTGAGGCCGGAAATCTGGGTGAAGACGCCGCGTTTGTTCTCAATCGCCGCGAAGTTCGCCGCCCCGTCGAGTTGGCCGAACCGGTCGACCGTCGAGGCGATCCAGCCGTCGACTTGCTCGTCCGAACTCACATCAACCACACTGCCAAACACATCGGCGCCGGTCGATGTGAGCTGGGTCACTGCATTGGCTAGTTGCTCCTTTTGGATATCGCACAGCGACACTTTGGCGCCCCGGCGAGCCACCAACTTGGCCAGTTCGAACCCGATCCCGGACGCGCCGCCGGTGATACAAATGACTTTTCCTGCCAAACTAGCCATTGTGTTGTGGTGGTGCTGGTCGAACAGACTTGACGGTTAGATTTCAAATTTGCTGTCGGTCGTTGTCCTTGCACGGCACCTAGTGGGTAGAAGGTACGGGGTATGGGGTACGGGGTTGGTACGGTACTCCTTCGTTTCTCAGAGAGTCAGGTTCCAAGTGCTGATCTGAGCGAACTGAACCGTCAACTGGCACAGTAATAGTAATGCTAGAGAGTCGATCAGATCCCAATCTACAGTGACACTCTAGATACAGAGTAATCCAATCCACTTGAGCATCACTACGTACCGTACCGAATACTGGTCCAACGTCCAACGTCCAACCCCAACCCCAACCCCAACCTCAAACCCCCGCACGGAGGAATACTAATGTGGATCTTTCGGCCTCCGGTCTCCGCGTGCCGTGGGCCTCAAGCCTAAGGCCAGCAGCAATTGAAATTCGACCGGCCAAGGGTGGGTGTCAAAATACATGGCGGGTTGTTGCACCCTTGGGCTTTCCTCCTCCCCAGTCCCGAGCCGACTAAGCCGAGGTTTGTAGTGAGTCGATCCGACAACGGTGACAGTGACGGCGACGGCGACGGCTACGGCCACGGTGAACAGGGGTCATGTTTCGGTTTCTGCAGTACGTACGGATACTGTACCTACGTAGTAGTACTATGTTATTGAGTCGGAGATCCACAGAGTACGGAGTACAGAGTACGGAGTATAGGAGACACTACACTACGTACCTGGGAGACCCCGAGACCCCCTTCGCCCATCCCACCCAGTCAAATGGTTGGCTCAGCCGCCTTTCTTTAACGCCCACTAGACTGACTACGATTGATAAATTGCTTAACTCGACTCCATACAGTACGTCCGTCCTGTTTCCTCTGTTAGTTTTAGAGCATCTTAGCTAGTATACTCCGTAGTCTAGATCAGAGACAGGGTCCTGTTCACGAAGGAAAGGAAAGGACCGGGATTCGACCACCGAATCACCCATCAAATCGCCCACCGCCCATCGTCCGGACTTCTAACAGGTCATGTTCAGTAGGAACGGGAAGAAAGCCATAGGTTGTACGCTGTACATAGAACCAAAGGTCTACCTAGTACCTGGAGGATTATGGCTGACTAGTACTATCAATTTGTATTGTGCGAAGAAAATCGACACAGCCAGAGCCAGCTGGGAACTTACTATCCGCGCGATATCCATCTCAAATCAAGACAGCCACCACAGCCAGCTGGACCTCGAATCACGCCGTGTACAGGTACAGTAACCTCCGTACTCTGCTCTGTATATCTCGCATCTCTTGCTTGTCTCTAGTCTCCAGTCTCCAATCTTGACCTGACATCTCGAGAACTCAAATCTTGTGCTTGTTGTGGCTTCTCTGACATTCATGCCTCATTCTAAATAGTTTCCCGATCGGAAGATACAGACAGGACGCCGTACTCAGGCCCGGAGGCATCAGGTCGCCATCACCATAGCCATCCGTCACCATGCCTATCCCCTCCCAATACCCTGAGATCCCCCTCCCCGAAATAGACATCAACACGTTTCTGTTTGAGCGAGTCGACCGCACCTATCCCGACTCACAGATCCTGTTTCGAGACGCGGCCACCGATCGAGCCTACACGTACGAGCAGATCAAGACGCTCGCAGAGGACTTTGGCCGAGGACTCGTCCACCATTTGAACTGGGTTAGTACTGTACTTACTAGATGAGTCTTCAGTAGTGAGTGGGTGTAGCCACGCCACGGTGCACTTGCAGCACTCACTCTTGACTTGCACTCTCCCTTGACCTGATATCTTTGTTGGCTTGCCCCTTGACCTGACCTCACTCTTGACCACTTGCCTTACACGTGCCCTTGCCCTGATCTCACCCTTGACCACTTGCTCTTGACTTAATCACTCTCTTGACCACTTGACCTGATCTCACTCTTGACCTGATATCACTGCTTTCTTGCCCTTGCCCCTTGCCCTGATCTCTTGACCCGATATCACTCTTGACCATTTGCCCTTGACCTAATCACTCTCTTGACCACTTGCCCTGATATCACTCTTGACTTGTTGGGAACCGTGCTGAATGGGCAGCAGAAAAAAGGCGACGTGCTCGCCACCGTGGCCGCCAACGCCATTGAAACCCCCTCCATCACCTTGGGAGCTCTCCGCGCCGGTGGCATCGTCTCGCCCGCCAACCCGGGCTACACCAAGGCCGAGTTAGCGTACCAGCTCCAAGACTCTGGCGCCAAAGCCGTCGTCACCAACAGGGTCGCGCTGCAGAATGTCAAGGATGCTTGTCGACAGATCGGGATCCCGGAACACAACATCATCCTGCTGGAAGAAGATGACCACTCCCACTCCCACCACCACCACCAAGATCGCCCGGGTCAGGGTCAGGGTCAGGGTCAGATCAGAAGCTGGAAATCCCTACTTGTCGCGCAGAGAACCGGGACCGCAGCTGAGCGGCCGGTCGCCATTTCCCCAAAGACCGATCTAGCTTTCCTGGTGTACAGTTCCGGGACGACGGGGCGGCCCAAGGGCGTGAAGCTGTCTCATTACAACATCACGTCCAATATCCTGCAGCTTCAAATAGGGGAGCAAGAAAATGTCACTTGGAATGGCTCCAAAACCTCGCCCGGGATTCCGGGCGCGAATGGCCAACCCGACGTAGTGCTTTCGTCTCTGCCTTTCTTCCACATCTACGGCCTGACCGTGCTCGTGCTCAATCCCATCTACACGGGCACGACGTCGATCGTCATGTCCAAATTCTCCATCGAAACCTTCTGTGAGATGATCCAACGCCACAAGGTCACGTATGCCTACGTCGTGCCGCCCATCCTGGTGTTGTTGAGCAAGCATCCGTGCATCCCCAACTACGACCTGAGCAGCATCCGCATGATGAATTCGGGCGCCGCGCCCCTCACGGAAGAATTGGTCAAGGGCCTGTACAAGAGGACGGGCGTGCGGGTCAAGCAGGGCTACGGAATGAGCGAGACCAGCCCGTCCGCCTTCTTCCAGCGATGGGAAGACTGGCTGACCACCGCCGGCAGCGCAGGCTGGCTGATCCCCAACATGCAAGTGCAGTTTCGCGCCGTCCCGGAAGCCGAGGGCGAGGGCGAGTCGTCGTCGTCGGACGAGGAGGAGGCCAAGGAGCTTCCGGCCGGCGAGACGGGAGAAGTCTATCTCAAGGGGCCCAACATCTTTCTCGGCTACCACAACAATGACGTCGCCACGCGCAGCTGCCTGAGTGCCGACGGCTGGTTCCGGACCGGCGATGTCGGCCACCTCGACAACCAGGGCAATTTGTTCATCACCGACCGCGTCAAAGAGCTGATCAAATATAAAGGCTTCCAAGTCCCGCCCGCCGAGCTCGAAGGCTACTTGATCGACCATCCCTCCGTCGGTGATGTCGCCGTCATCGGCTTCGACAGCAAGGTGCTGGCCACCGAATGCCCTCGAGCATACGTGGTGCTGGCCAATGGCTCGGCCAAATCCGCGTCCACGGAACAGAGACGCGCCATTCTGTCCTGGCTCAATCAAAGAGTCGCGAACCACAAGAAGCTCAGAGGCGGTTTGGAGTTTGTGGACAGCATACCCAAAAGTGCCAGCGGGAAGATCTTGAGGCGGGTACTGAAAGCCCAGGCCAAGGAGAACAGCGAAGCCATTGAAAAGGAGATTGAAGAGGACCAGAAGCTGAGAGCGAGGCTGTAGAAGTGGCCGGCATTTCCAGTGTTCCGCCCACGACGTACATAGATACATACATAGACCTGTCACAAGACCTTCCCTTCATTACACTATGATCCACGACGTGTGCTGGATAAAATGGCCAGTCAAACTGCCCACCCACCGCCGTGATGTTGATTGTTGGGTCGTCTGAGGCCAGGCGATTGGTAGGAACCTGGCCACTCCGCGATTCAACGTCCCCAGTTCTCCAACTCCCCACGATCGGATACGGGACGAGGCCCACGCTCCAACATGTGCGGAGACTGGAGGGACACGCATTGGACGGTGATGTCAGCCGGCCGTTCGGGACCTTTCTGACCTTGCCTTCTCCTTCTTGAAAGTGAGAGGCAGGCTCGACCGTCACAGGAGGACTCGATCATGGCACTCCCGGCATCCTGCACGGTGCTGGTGGTCGGTAGCGGCAATGCTGGGTTCAGCGCCGCGGTGGCTGCCCGACAGGCGGGGGCGCGACATGTAGTCCTGATTGACAAATGCCCTGAGGCTTGGGCTGGGGGAAACAGTTACTTTACGGCCGGGGCCTACCGCACGGTGCATGCGGGGGCGGAGGACCTGCTGTCGTTGGTCAACAACGTGGACGAAGGCACGGCGAAACGGATCGACTTGGAGCCGTACACGGCGCAGGACTTTGCGGCCGACATGCACCGGATCTGTGGCGGGCGGGCGGACCCGGCCCTGACCAGGGTGCTGATCGAGGATTCCAAGTCGGCGATCCAATGGCTGGCGGCCAACGGGGTCCGGTTCCAGCTGTCCTTCAACCGGCAGGCGTACGAGGTCGACGGCCGGCTCAAGTTCTGGGGCGGGCTCGCGCTCAAGACGCAGGACGGCGGCAAGGGCCTCATGGCCGACCACCAGGCCAATGCGCGTCGGTACGGCGTGGTCACGTTCTACTCGACGGCGCTGGAACGGCTACTCACCCACCGGAGCACGGGCGCGGTAGAAGGCGCGGTGGTGCGCTGTCGCGACGGCAGCCAGGCCACGATCCAGACGGGTGCGGTGGTTCTGGCGGCGGGCGGGTTCGAAAGCAACCCGCGGTTGCGGGCGCAGCTGCTAGGACCGGGCTGGGACCTGGCCTCGGTGCGCGGCACGCCGTACAACACGGGCGAGGTGCTGGAGATGGCGATGCGCGACGCACACGCGCAACAAGCCGGCCACTGGTCGGGATGCCACTCGGTGGCGTGGGACGCGGCCGCACCCGCCCACGCCGGCGACCGCGAGGCGTCCAACGAGCTCACCAAGTCCGGCTACCCGCTGGGGCTGATGGTGAATATGCGCGGCGAGCGCTTCGTCGACGAGGGCGCCGACCTGCGCAACTACACCTACGCCCGGTTCGGCCGCGCGATCCTGATGCAGCCAGCCCAGCGCGCCTGGCAGGTCTGGGACCAGCGCGCCGTCCCCTGGCTGCGGCCTGAGGAGTACCGGCCGCAGCGGGCGCGACGCATTGCCGCAGCCTCGATCCGCGAGCTGGCCGACAAGCTGGCCGCCGTTGAGTTTGGCCTTGACCCGGACCCCGTCTGTCGCCGCGCCTTCGTCGACACCCTGGAGCAGTACAACCGCGCCGTCTACGCCTTCCAGGCCGAGTCGCTCGGCCGGAAATGGGACCCGTCCGTCCGCGACGGCAACTCGACCCAGTCGCGCGCGCTCCAGCTGCTGCTGCCCAAGTCTAACTGGGCCCTCCCGCTCGATCGCCCGCCCTTCGTGGCCGTGTTGGTCACCTGCGGCATCACCTTCACCTTCGGCGGCCTCGCGGTCGACCCGCACACCGCCCACGTCGTCTCCGCCTCCTCCGCCACCCGCGGTGAGGTCGGCAATCTCTTCTGCTGCGGCGAGATGCTCGGCGGCCTGTTCTTCGACAACTATCCCGGCGGCACCGGTCTGACAGCCGGAACCGTCTTTGGACGCAGGGCCGGCACCGCGGCGGCTACGGTTGCAAATGGAGGAGGAAGAGGAGGAGGAGAACAGTCGTACGCGCGCGTCCAGGCAAAGCTGTAGTCCTTTGTTGCCTTTTCGGGGCTATCTTAGATACAAACAAAGCGCAAATCTAACATGGAATTGGCAGTATTGCAGGCATGGGCAGGCCAGTCTATGGCCCATGGTGTGTAATCGACGCCGGTTTCGGTTTCGGCTGTCTGTGCAACAGTGGCAGTGGCAGTGGCTGCATTTCGCACGTAGTTCAATGAGCGGTTTGAGAAGGCGGAATGCATGAATAGGTAGCAAATAACACGGATCTAGATGTTGAGCAGGGATGCGAAGTGTGAAGTGTGGAGGCACCAGAAGGGGTGAAGCTGAAGGTGAAAGGGACGAACAGATGACGTCGACCAGACTCGGGAATTGGCCTGCGACTTTGCGGGGTCTCTCTCAGGTACATACCTACCTATGTCTGTATATCTGTACTTTTGTCCTCGGCACACTGTGAGTCGAGTCCAGCTCTCCACAGTTTGTACCTACCTACCTATACATAGTACCTTACTCCGTACGTCTCGATAAAACAAACACCTTTGCCACTCGCTATACGCTACACGCTACTCGCGCACTACCACTACAAACACTTTCAAGATCTCCGGTTGCTCAGCCAGCATGTCTGTTCCAGGTAGGCCATAAATGCTGATGCTGCTCCCGCTCTTGCTGCTGCTGACCGCTGACCATTGTCTTCCATAGTCGGCATCACCGTCCCCAAGCTCCTGCCCATCACAGGCACCTTTGCTCCAGGTATGCTTCTCTATGTCCTGCGTCCCGTGTCTTCCTTGGCCACTGGCTAACGGTGCCCCAGCATTCGGGGCCTATTTTGTCCTCCTCGGCCTCCGTGTCAGTCTTGCCCGCCAGTCCACCCACACGCTTCTGGGCGACCGAACTGCACCTGAGAAGGCCGCCTCCGATCCCAAACCCAAGCCTTTATCCACCGACCAACTCCTCATAGCGACGCGGGCGCATGCCAATTTCGTCGAGAACGTGCCCTTGGCTCTGCTGGTGGCAGCGTTGGTCGAACTCAATGGTGGGGACCGACGTATCTTGACCGGTTCCTTGGCCACGCTGCTCTTTCTCCGTATCGCCCATGTCGAGTTGGGCTTGAGGGCCAAGAATGCGCTGGGCTTGGGCCGACCGGTTGGGACTTTGGGCACTTGGGGCTTCATCGCTGGGATGAGTTCCTATGCGGCTTGGTTGGTCAAGAGCTATTGGGGATTCTAGGGAAGATTCATATGCGGTGCTGTCTGTCTGTGACATGACCCGAGAACTCTTCGACGGGCTCTCTTACGGAAACGCAGGTGATTGTACCATGGTCCAAGGGGTCTGTGCAAAAAGGTGAACTGCAGTCAGTGATTGTGGTCACTTACAATTAAGGGGAGGGGAGGAAGAAAAGGCAGCAACCACCAACCACCCGCATGCGTTGCATTTCTGGTCCAAATTGTGCAGGCAATTGATTTCTTCTTGCGCACATATCAGTATATTTCTCTGTCCGTCCTAACTGATTCAAAAGCTTGTTCTCATTCTCACCCGCACCTTCGTTTGGCCGGCGTTGTTTCGGTGTCATGGCTTACTCACAGAACATATTCGCCGCCTCAAGATCGACTCCTTCACTATCAGTACCCCCATCCCAACCTGCGTCCGATGCGGTCCTCCATCCACCACACCGCCCTCTGAAGAAACCCACTGAAGCGCCCTACACCTTCCTTTGCACGATCTACTGGACCGAGCATGAGCCGCCGCCGCAGACTCTTGGCCTCGAAAGTCGCATCGTCTGTGCCGATTGCTGGAAATGGTTGCACAGCATCAGCATCTGCTGGTACTGTGGGGAGCTGGTCTTTCGCCAGACCGACGCGGTGGGCTTTGGCTGGTGTTGGTGGCATTGGGCTTGTTTCTCCTGTCTCATTTGCGCGGTGCGGAAAGATGCCACGTCAAAAACATGGGTCAGACGAGGTGCAATGCTAACAGGTCCCGTTGCAGTCCCCGTTGCGCCCGCCGCCGTATTTCAATGAGAGAGGCCTCCCCCACAAGCGTGGGATCACCGTCGACGAGGCCCCCGTGTGTCCTAGTTGCAGTGCCGAACCACAGTCACTCACCAAACTTGAGCAACATGCCCGCAAACCTAGATCTCAATCTGCATGGGTCAAGCCTCCCGCGGGGCTCCTGGATAGATCAGGTTCAAGGGTATCTCTGGATGATCCCCTCAACCCGGAGGCGAACAAGATTGGAATTCAGAGGCATGCCCCGGGTTCTCTGCCGCCTTGGATGTCGTTGTTGCCATCAGTTCGCAGAGCAAGGGAACAGTCAGCGCATCACGAAGCGTCGAGGCGACGTGCCACGTTCCCACGCCTTGAGAAACTACGCCCACCCACACCGTTCGCAACGCCGCCTCAATATCCGGCCAGGTCGGGCCAGACGGGCGCACCATTGGAGGTGCCTTCCGCGCTATCGTTACGCCACAGTCAAGAGTCAACCGAGTCGTTCGTTTCTTCACTCTCGCGGCCTCTATCACAAGGAACTATTCACACGCTACATCGGAGCGAGTCGCTGTCATATACCCCTCCATACTCGTCTGTCACCAGTTCTCAGATCAATGAACAATTCAACCAGACTCCGTCCAGAGAGAGTCTCCAGTCACGCAGTCATGAGCCGATCGAAGGACAGACACTCTCGAAGCTACTGCTCAGGCGCAACCCTTCCATTCAGAGACACAGCCATTCTCTATGTCGTGCCTCAACCACCAGTACCATCGCCCCTGGTACCCCTGGTACTTCTAGAGGGTCCCGCGGCTGGTCCCCGTTACAGGCCAGAATGCCGTGCCAGGACATCCCCCGCCCAAGGGCCCCCTCTTTCAAGGAACTATCGGATTTCTTCGCCACCGGGGCTGCCACGGGAAAATGGAGTCCTGCTGCCAGCAGCAGTGCTTCTCAAATGAATGCCAGCGGAGCCAGCACTCCCAGTCGACTGCGCAAGGCATGTCACTACTGTGGCATGGACATGTCGAATTGGTGGCTTCAACGGGCGTCGGACAGCGGCGTGAGACGAAGGGCAACAGGAGCAGAAGGGCCCTGTCTCGGCACGCCCAAAATATGTCCCAGTTGCAAGGCTGGCAACGGGATTCCTGGAGCTTGGACGTGATTTCACAGCACAGTAGACCACCAATTAGATCACTACTCTGTATAGACATTGTGCTCAGGCCGCGTCCGGGACTGCCGTTGCTCTCGGAATCAAGCTAGACCGATCCAGGTCGATGACAACGACACAAGGTTTGAAAACCGAGGCTCGCGAGGAGATGTACTGAATCGGAAAACAGCCCCGAGATGAGATAACATGAGAAATCACGTACTAGTACAGTGTGCTAGGTGTGTGTGTGCTAGGTGTGTGTGTGCTAGGTGTGTGTGTGCTAGGTGTGTGTGTGCTAGGTGTGTGTGTGCTAGGTGTGTGTATGTGCTCTCACTGCTAGTCCTGGATCAGTCAAAAACACAACATCGAAGGCAAATACTAGTACTAGTACGGGTGAATGGCTCGCAAGGCTCACATGACACAAAAGACCAAATTTCCCAATCCTGCGCTTCAATAGCTTCAATACGCATCGATCAAATTTCCCAACCCTGCGCTTCAATACGTATCGATCAGAACCATTATAAACAATCCACAATCCACAATCCACAGTTCCCAATTCCCAATTCACACACACAAAGAACCGTAAATACAACATCAATAGTTGAACTGGCTGGGGTTCCGTCTTCGATATGTCCATCCATCCACTCCCAATCAGCCCAATCATATGTTCACCCATCCATCTATCTGCCCTGCCCATCCATCCCTCCTATTATCCCTAGAGCTGCTCCCATTCTTGTCCGTTCCAAACCAACGATTGACACAGTCACAACCGTGAAAAAAGGCTCAGCCACAGGCACAGTAACAGTCACGGTAATATCCATGGAACCAAGCCCAGCTCAGGGTCCAATTCACCTCGCCAGGGTCCGTACCTGGCGCGATTCGATCAGCGTACAGATCCCAGTAGACGCACAATTTGCCAGATCCAGACACAAACACGCCAAATGAAGGGGAAGCAAGTCCAAATCCAAGTCCAACCCCAAGTCCAAATCCGGATCCAGATCCCGAATCAAAAAGCGAGTCTAGTCCGTCCGCCAACAGGATGGGAAGTTGAACATCATCGCGATCACCGGGCCCGGGACGGTGACTGCTTGCCTGCTTCTTGCTAGGTTGGCTGTAGCAGGCTGGAGTTACGCTTCGATCTGCGTTGCTTCGTGCAAAGCAAGCAAAACAGAACGGATCTCAACTTGGTAACTGTAATCAGTACCGGGCCATCAGCCAGACTCGTCTCTTGGTCTCGCCGAACCCTCGACACTTGACCATCAAACTCTCCGCCACAGCGAGGTAATCGTCGACAACGGCGTACCCGAGGGCTCGTCTCAGGACCTTGTCCTTGTCTAAGGCCTTGAGACTCTTCTCCAACGTATTAGGCAGTTGCACAGTGATGCCCAGATTCTGGCGCTCCTGCTCGCCAATCTGCGTGGGGTCGCCGATGCAGTCTTTCTGCTCGAGTTTGAGATCTTGCCGGATCCCGTGTAGACCGGCTGCGAGCAGGGCGGCCATGGACAGGTACGAGTTTCCCACTCCGTCAATAGTCTTGAGCTCGAAATGGCCCGGCCCGCATTTACGCAGCGGGACCTCTTTATTCTGAGTGCCCCAGCACACGTATTCGCCGCCGGCCCAGATTCCGGACCTGACGCGCTCGTATGATTCTTCGAGAGGCAAAGCAAAGGCCAGCAGCGCGGGGAGGTGGTCGAGAATGCCCGCCAGGAAGGGGGCTTCGTATTTGTCAACTATGTTCCCAGGCCCGTTGATGCTGAAGTGTGCGTGGTTGGCGCTGCCGCAGGTGAATCCAAACGGGCGTGGGTAGCAGGTTGCTTTGAGGCCATGGTTTTTGGCCACATTCCGGATCACATCTTTGGCCTTGAACAGAATATCAACAGCCTTGACGGGTTCTGAGGCTGGTAAAGGGAATTCCCATTGCCCCGGGGCGGCCTCGGAATGGAATTGCGGAAGGTGGATGTCCAGTTCGGCCAGATTTTCCACAATCTCTTCAATCATGGGGAGCATGTCTAGCTGTTGATAGGTCATGTTGGACCACGAGTGCACCATGTGTAGAGGGCCAAAGTCGACAAAGTCCGACTTGTCTTCGGTAAAACTTGGCTTCATAAAAATGATCTCTAGCTCGAACCCCATCAGCATGGAAATGTTAAACTCCGACTTGAGCGCGTCACATTGCGACTGGAGCAGCCAACGAGGGCAACGATCCCAGTGTTCGGTGTTGGGAACCGCTTCTGTATCGGCCATCCACCATGTCTGCACGGTGGCGGAGGGAGATGGGATGCCTTTGTTGAGCGACAGTGTCGAAAGATCCGGGGCGAGATGGAACTGACCCGTCGCTGAACAGCCGGTGGCTGGGTTGTCATCTTGGAGTAGACGGGTGAGAGCTGAGGTTATGACGGGGTTCTTGCCCGTCGACAACTGCTTGCGGAACTGCTGCACGGTCACCATCCGATTTCTAAGTGTACCTGTATAATCTAGGAACTGGAGCCATATATACTTGACACCAGGATTGGTCTGCAGGAATGTGTCAAAGACAGTAAGGTTCTGGGCGAACACGGCTGTCCAGCTCTGCCCTGAAGGGGCGTTTGTGGTAGCTGACCGAAGAGGGAGAGGCGTGCTGCTGACTGGCAGTCCTGCGGCGGACAGAGACGACGGGCCTGGTCGCCCTGAAGTGGCTCCAGAGCTCCCAATAGCTGTGCTGGCATATGATCTGAAGGATGGAGCTTTGGACCCTCCGTTGACCAGAGTTCGCATGCTGTCAACCGTTTCTCTTCCACAGGCGCGTAGAAGTTCTGGGAACTTGCGTTCTTCATCGAGCTTGTAGAGTTGATTTGAATTCCAGAACATTATGTCCACTGCGATTTCAATCCCTTGAGCAACGGTGATATCTCCTGCCGCAACGTAGGCAGTGAGCAGCCTTTCAAGGCTGTCTCTGAAGTGCTTGTTTGCGAGCCAATACGTTTCGGGATAGAAGTGTCCATCTGTGCTCCACAGGATCTTCGAACTCGGAGTCAGTTCCAAGGCCTGTCGCAAGACTGAATCCTCGCCATCTCGGGAGAGCATGGGAAATACTTCGCCAATGTCGAGCCATGCGTTTGCGAAGTTGGCAGCCAGGTAGCCCGCTTCTCTGGTGTAGGGATACGATGAGTGGAGGATGACAAAATCGACTTGAGGGAAGGCTTCGATCAACGATTGCATGTATGCTGGATTCGCTTTGACTAGATTGATGTCTGTATCGCCGAGTCCAGTGTGGAATTGGAAAGGCAAGCTTTCACCATCTGTGTCTACAAGCTTCTCCAGCACGTCACACACGGCAACCACAAGATAGTCATTGACCTCCTTCTGCTCAATGCGGTATTTGTGGTCGCGAACCGCCTTTTGTAGGAAATCATGGAAAGACTGCAAGAGCGTGGACTCGGTCAACGACTGATGAGGCCGGAAGTTCTTCCGGCTTTCAAGCCCAACGTCTAGACCCGTTCGGTAGCAGATGACAGACTTGAAGCCACAAACCTCTGGGTCATTGGCCAAAGTGCGGATCTGGTTGCGAAAAACTGTGTTGAAGCGCACGAGGAAGCTTTCAGTCTGACTGATAGCCCAATCGGCATCCAGCCCGACCCTCATGAAACCAGCGGCATGAGCAAGATGCTCGAGCAATTCCGACGCAATGGATTCGATTCTCACTATTCTTGACACGGTGGGGACAAACTCCCTGTGCCACTTGAACGGGTGTATGATCTCAGGAGACAGACCGTCATCCATCAGAATGGCATGTGTTCCTGCAAAACATCTTTTGATCAGACCAGGGTAGTCTCTCCGGACCCATTCGTATCGGGCGGCCTTGACATCCTGAAGAGTTTCGGGACACTGGTAGAACTCCGCCAGTTCTCGGATCCCACGCATGTGAGCCAAACTTGAATGAACATGGTCTGCCAGGGCATGACCCTGCGCTTCAGAGGTGATACATTCGAAAGGATATTCTGGACTGCCATAGGAATTTTCCTCCGTCAACAAGTTATGTGCATGATTGTCGATCACCGGAAATGTCTGGATGATCTGCTGTAGATCTTGTATTCCGGCACTTTCGAGATCGCGGACGCGGTGTAGGGTAGGATAGAAATCGGGCTGAGGAACCATTGTGACGGCGAACGAGGACGAAGGCAGGTTTCAGGAGGAGGCGAGCATTCAACAGAGATCTGCGTATCTGCGAGGGGGGGTCAGGACATTATCTCAGAGCTCATAGAAGAGATTCGGATGACTGGGCTTACTCGAAGTGAGAGGGAAGATATGCTTGCGATAGTTCTCAATGCGGCAGGTGAGAATGATAAATGAAACGGGTTCTCGCTTAAGTCCGCTGGGATGAGTCTCCAGTGGCTCCTTGTTCGACACCGGCTTGCGATAGGCGTGACCTCAGACACCGTTTTGAATTAGCTGAAAGGTATTGGGGTGGGTTGGCAAGCTAGAAAGCGATGCGCGGGTGAGAGGAGAGGGAGAGATGACAGCGGGCTGGTGAGCAGGCATTGATTGATTGTTGACTGGATTTGCGGAGGTGGAGGCCAATTCAGGGTCCGTAACAATGGAGCCTCCGGAACCTGAGCCTTCCTAGGTCCTAGTTTCAGAGATGAGCTTATCGCACGCAGGCTGAAACAGGCCTACAAGTGCCCATACCTGCCTAAATGCCGGTCCTAGTAAGCCTACCTAACCTACAGTATGTACGGAGTACTAGGCAGTCCTGGCCGATGAACAGTAAGTACCTAACGTACGTACTACAGTATGTACTCTGTACTGGCGAGCCTAAGCCCCGAAGAGCATGCTTACTGTAACAACGGCCTAAGGCTCGGTCCGTGGGCGGCAGGGGAGCCTGGACACCACAGCATTGGGCAACCGCTCATAACTAAACCTTTTCCTGGGGTCAACAGTGGCCTGCCTGTGACAGTGTGCACTGTGCGCCCACACCACCAGAAGTGACGTTCATCCTCCTAACGGCTGCCTGCGGACAGCATCCGTCGTCCACACTCTCGATTTAGAGCTTATGCAACAGCACCACCCTCGAACGCACTGCAATCGATTGCAGACGTCAATGGCCATAGATTGGGGTCCCAACAAGCCCTCAAGATACTAGTCAACAATGCCCCCCGGGCTCAAGAGACATCCGAGTAGCACAAGCCGCTCCATTAGTCCCCCGGCCATTCGCAGAAAGATTTCACCTCCAACCCAAAACAGGGCAGACCACGTTCGAATCTTCAGCTGGAATGTCAATGGCGTCGGTCCGCTGCTTCAAAAACAGCTCTCGTTCGACCCTGCTTCCCTTTCACCCCTACGACTATGCTTGAAACGCCACCACTGGCCTCATTTTCTGTGTTTACAAGAAGTCAAGATCAGTTCCAAAGACGTCACCACTCAAAGACAGCTAGAAAATGCTGCAAACCAAGGACATGTCTTATACGAGCCTACTTACAATGTCCACTTTTCCTTGCCGAGAGACAAACACAACGCCACCGGTTTCGGTGGTAAGGTCCATGGCGTTGCCACCTTGGTCCGAAGCGACTTTGCTTCCCAAGTTCGTGTCACCCGGCGTCCCGACTGGGACCTGGAAGGGCGAGTGCTAATACACGAGCTGAAATCAGGCGTGGTGGTAATCAATGGGTATTGGGTGAATGGCACGTCCAATCCATATCGAGATCCTCAGACCGGCGAGGTCACCGGCACTCGACATGATCACAAATTACGCTTTCATCAACGTATTCTGGAAGAGGCAGTTCAACTGCAGGACAAAGGGCACCATGTCATCCTCATCGGTGACATGAACATTGCCAGGGGTAGAATCGATGGTCACCCAACGCTACGGACGTCCCCACTGCAGCACGTGAAAAATCGCGCCGACTTCAATGCCAAGTTCTTCACTGACGAGCAAGGCATGCGTGGCATCGACATCTTCAGGCACATGCACGGTGATACCCGGAAGTTCACCTATCATCCCCGTGGGCGCAGCTGGGGCGAGAGCTGTGACAGGGTGGATTTGATAGTTGTGAGCCGGAGCTTGGTCGATGAGGACGGGATCATCACCGGCACCGGAATTTGCGACTCTCCGTTGGACCGTGGACACAGTGACCACGTTCCCCTCTGGATCTCCGTCGATTTGTCCAAACTGCACAAACACGACACCCCGGAATAGAGAATATTAGGGGGTGAAGAATTGTCGGCCCTCTCCTAGGACGGAAAAATGATAGTCCGCCAGAGCCACATTGCCGATGCCGGGGGCACGTGCCCATTTGACCGCCACCACCACCGCATCGGATACTTGGTTTTCTCTCCGCGTTCGCCTCGTCATGAATTGAATAGTATCGTGTACAGCTCTACTGTTGATGTCCCAACCATGACCTCCTCGCGTTTGGAAGAGGATTCGTTGTGGTTGCGAGAGATTCTGCAGTCATGTTGGCCCTCAAGTCGATGCGGATGCCAGCTGCAGTAACAGAAGATGCGACAACCATTGGACGGCTTCCCCCAGAGATTCTCGACCTCATCGCCGAGAATCTCTACAACACCGGGTTGGGTCAGATCGAACCCCTACTACCATTCTCTCTCGTTTGCCATCGGTTCCGTCAATCGGCGTTGCCTTTCCTCTTCAGCACTGTCTCTCATGTTGTTCGAGACCAGCTAGACCAGAGAGAGACTGGACTTCTCCGTCAACTGCTCAATCATCCTCATCTACTCCGTCATGTACGAACTCTACATGTCCTCCGACCTTCAGAGATTGTCGGATATGTTCACCCTTCAGATGCTACTCATGTGGGTCGCCCTATTCTGGAACAGACGTGGTCGGACTTGCGAGCCCTTCAAGTTAGTCTGCTGTTGATGCCTGGACTTCGCCGCATTAGGTATGTTGTCCCATGTCCTATGCTGATTACCGATTGCGATTTTCCCTTGCCGACCGAAACGTGGCATCTAGCCCTTCCCCTCTTCAGACGCAGTGGGCTGACATTGGGACTAGAGTGGACTGTTCTGTAGCCGCGGCATATCAGATAGTCAAGATGCTCCCAAGTAATCATGTGTACGAGATCATTCTCGATCATCTCTACACCTGCTCAGACTGGCCAGACCTGGTTGAAGCGACCACTAATTTAGCATCGACTGCAGGATGTCATCGACTAGGACTGGGAGGCTTCGGGGAACTACCCTCTCAGCATGATCTATGGACTTCAGCGAACTACGACACAATATCAAGAGCATTCGCAATCAATCTCCACATGTCCTGGCTTCTTAATGGAACACATCGTGTTAAAGCAACCCAGGACAACACCCCAGGACGGCCTACTTTACATAAGATACCTTCTTGGACCGAATTACATTTGTTGGTCAGGCGCGGCCTTGGCTCTGGTCATCATTCTCTTCGAGATCTTGACCTTTCCTTGATTCCGTGGACCAATCTGCGCAGACTCTCCATTCTGTGGGAATATACCATCCCATTAAATCAATTCATACATGATATCGCTCCGAAACTCACCAAGCTCCAGGCGCTGCGGCTCCATGCTACCCATCATCGGCTTTATCATCCCGCTTGTCGACATGATGTTCCCACGACGGGCCTATTTGCTGATGCCCCTATAGTTCCACCTTTCCGGATCCCCTTCGAGTTGATGCGCGAGCTCCGCGACTTGGAAATTGACGGAATCTGCAACCACATTCCGATCAATAGGCTAATTGGTCCCAAACTGCGACGTCTGCGTCTCCATTGCGAGGACGTGCTATGGTCCGTGTGCAGTGCAGAGAGCCAAAGGAGCCACAGCGACATTTTGGTTGCGGCCAAAATCGCTCCGGACCTGGAACAACTCGAGCTCGATGTTGGATACATACAAAATCTGTGGCATCCCACTGCAATCCCCGGGGTGGATCTCGACATGGAACAGTATGCGTTTTTGAACGCAATCTGCAAGTTCCGCCGACTACGGTCGCTTCGTCTATTTCCTCCTTTCGTGCCCAGGGATTCTCCACGGTACAGCCGGACCGCGATAAACTGCATCCCGATCTCTGATGATCAGGCGATCCGGGTCTTTGAGCATTTGAGGGCACAACGGTCATCTCTGCAGACCTTGTCGCTTGCGGCTATCCCTTCATTTGTCAACATCGACACCATGTGTTGGGAAGTCAAACGACAGGGGGAGAAGACCATCCTGACGACCAAACACCGCGCGAGGAACTATCAACACCGACAGGTTTGGATTGGACAACGAAGGATAAGTAGCGAGATCAAAAGATTCAACACTCCTCGAAAATACTTGTCGGATTCGGAATGCTGGGCCTTGACGCGGAACGATGTGCATCACAGCAACCGACGGACGAGATAACAGGTCAAGAAGCCTACCAAGGGGGGCTGCAAAGATACACGGGCAGATGTCGGTATCCCAGGTCCGAACTGTTGGACGCATCGGCATGCACGATGCATCTATCCCGTTTCTGCCGCAGTCTAGCTCAAAGCCCAGAGCCTAGAGCCCCAGTTGCAGGCCTACGGGGCTCCCTGCTTTAGCCAGCGACCGACGACCTCCAATACTGAGATACAAGCAACAGCTGCACTTCACTCTAACCAATTTGTGATTTGCCAATCATCTCGAGTAGATCGTAATTACAAATATTACGACATTGGGTGCATTGGTCGGAGTCTCAATATTGGTCAACTAAGCGGCCATCCACGCAACGAATACATATCACATATGTAGCACGTGTGACGGTTCTATGTATACATACATCAAGTGGCTAATTCACGAGACATATCACATGTGACCGTTACATGTATGCACCAAGTGGCTTTCACAAGTGAATTAGTTACTTTGTCCTTTTTGCGCCTGTCGTGGTGTAGCAGTTTGGGTGAGCCGTGACAGCACGTGTGACGGTTATATACACCAAGCGCCTAATTCACGAGACATATCACATGTGATGGTCATATGTACCTACACACCAAGTGGCTAATTCACTCGTGAATTAAGGTAGTTACTTCGTCCTTTTTGCGGCGGTCGTGGTGTATGTGTATTAGAGGGCCTTCTGGCTCCTGCCAATGGAAGTACTGTACGAGGCAATAACAATAACAATGACAATAACTGTTAACCTTTGGGGTTGCAAAATTCAATCACAGGCCTTAGGACCTGTAACAGTGAACAGTGAACAGTGAACAGTTTGGATGATGTGATAGCACGTACTCCGTATACTTAAACAACCTAAGTCTTGCTGCAGTCCGCTGGTTTGGTTATATTATTTTCCTATGAATTCTCAACCCTGGCGGAGATGATCGTGATAATCTCTGGTCTCTGGCTCGATGCTGATATGGTTTCGTAATTCCCTTTTTCTGAATCCCTATCCCTATCCCTTAGGGACCTATTGGGTTCCGTGGATCGATATTGCTTGTCCCTTGCCGAAAGAACATGCATACAGTAAGTACAGTACGGTACAGCACAGTAGATACCTAGTAGTCGCAAGACTGAACATTCAGGGCGCACCGAGTTGACGTCGTGCCTCGTGCCTCGCACCTCGCAAACGGCCGGCCAGTGTGAGTGTGAGGCTGGTTCGTCTCACAGCGTCAAGTCCGCTCAATATTGACCGTCAATGGTGAAGGTGCCCGTCTTGGAAATGAGGTATTCGTTGACGGCGACGTCCTTGCCGGATTCCTTACCGTAGCCGCTCTCCTTAATGCCGCCGAAGGGGGACTCTGCGGCGGAGGAGTTTCCGGTGTTCTGCACAGCGCAATCAATCAAAGGTTAGCAGTCGAGTCTCATTGATCGCATTACTACTATCCGTACAGTGTTTGGGGAATCCGATGGGGGATAAGATGGGGGGAGGTTCACTCACCAGTCCAATCATGCCGGCCTCCAGATTTTCAAACATGCGCCACAACCGGTCGACGTTCTTGGTGAAGGCGTAGCTGGCCAGACCCATGGAGGTGTTGTTGGCCAAGCGCACGGCCTCTTCCTCGGTCTCGAACTTGAAGATGCCGGCGACGGGGGCGAAGGTCTCCTCGCGGCTCAGCAGCATCTCAGGCGTCATGTCCGTCAGGATGGTCGGGTCCATGAAGTATCCGCCGACGCCCTTGCCGTCACCCGCGCCCTCGGCGGCCGTGCTGTTCTTGTAGGCCTTGCCCGTGCCGAGGGCGAGTTTGGCGCCGTGCTTCAGCGCGTCGGCAGCCTGTTCTTCGGCTTTGGCAAGGCCACGCGGCGTGGTCACGGGACCCATGGTGGTGCCATTGGCGGCGCCGTGGCCAACCTTGAGGCTCTTGGTCTTGGCCACCAGCAGCTGGGTGAACTTTTCGTACACCCCGGCCTGCACGTACACTCGGTTGGCGGTGATGCAGGCCTGGCCGGCATGGCGCCATTTCAGAGCCATGAACTGCGTGAGCGCCTGGTCGAGGTCGGCGTCGTCGAAGATAATGAACGGGCAGTTGCCACCCAGCTCGAGCGTGCATTTCTTCAGACCTTGGGCGCATAGCCCGGCCACGAGCTTGCCCACGCGCGTCGACCCGGTAAAGGTGACCTTCTTGACGTGAGGATGCAAGATCATGGCTTCGCTCAGCGACGGTGTGTTGGCAAGGCTCGTGGTCAGCACGTTGAACACGCCCGGCGCGAAGCCGGCCTTGGTCGCCAGATGTGCCAGCGACAAGCATGTCAGCGGTGTCTCCGGGCTCGGCTTGACCACCATGGTGCAGCCGGCTGCGAACGCCGCGCCCGCCTTGCGCAGGATCATGGCAATCGGGAAGTTCCACGGCACCAGGGCTACCGCGACCCCGATGGGCTGCTTGATGACAAAGGTGCGCCTGTTGGGCGCCGACGGCACCGCGATTGACCCGGAAATGCGCTCAGCCTCGCCTGCGAACCACCACGTGAATCCCAGAGAGTAGTCCAGCTCCCCGAGCGCCTCAGCCAGCGGCTTGCCCGTCTCGTAGGTCAGGATCTTCGCCAGGTCCTCCTTGGCCTCGGTGATCAGCTCGTGCCATTTGAGCAGCAGCTGGGCCCGTTTCCGTGGGTTCAGGATGCTGTATTCCTTAAACGCCCGCTGAGACGACTGGATCGCCGCGTCAACGTCCTCGACTGCGTTGTCTGGACACGACGCCCACGCCTTGTCCGTGCCCGGGTCGATCACCTCGAACCGCTTGCCGCTCTTTGACCCCACCCATTGGCCGTCGACGTACGAGTCCTGGTGGAGCAGGTCGGGGTCTTTCAGTTCAAAGGGGAGAGTGGGCGCCATCTCGAGTGATGTGAAGCGGACAGCGTGAAGCGTGAAGCGTTGTGTTATCGTGAGCACAGGAGTTGGACGGCTACGACGGAGAGGACGTAATTGAAGAAGCCAGAGGGGAGGGGAATAGGACACACGGGAGCCGGCACACAGCTACGAGGAGATTGTGTTATAATAATATACCGTGATCATAGCCCTGATCCGAGGGACGACGTCGACTTCAACCCCGCAGGGTGCCTCTTTTTCTGCCTGGCTCGCTCCTCTTCTGCCTCCCCCTCCTCCACTTTCTCGAGATGGCCGTGAGCGACTCATATCACCGCATTCTATCCCTTGTCTCCAATTGCTTAGAAGTGCCGCTCAAATAGCGTCTCGAAAGTGAGACCCTCAACTCCACGCTCTCGTTCACCGTCTATCTCCGAGACAAGAACTCCTCCCACCTACCCCCAGTTCCGATGCCGGACCGGAGTGTGCCGCACGCCCTTCCGGGATACAGAGGTGGCAAGATTATTGCCCACTGAGATACAGCAATTACAGAGTAATCAAGGAGAAGTGCGAAGAGAAGGATGAAGATGACCAGGTAGAGTCGAGCCATACCGAGATCGACTCACTGGATTAGTCTGTCCCCGCTCTGCTTCTGCCGTACGCACCGCCTGCTAGAACCGGTTTGGCTGGATCCCAGGGCCCGATCACCACGTTTTTATACCGTTGCAAACCGATCAACCACCACGAACATCCTCCCATCACGAATGCCGTGCTGAACCCTCCTACCACAAACCCGACTGTACTCCGTAATATCACATGCCAGATCCAACCCATGCAGAACCCGCAGTTGCCATATGTGTGAGTATATGATTTCGACAAGATCAATCCCAACCCACACGTGGACATTGTGACAAGCCCAAACGTGAGAAGCAGATGGAGCTTCAATGATCTGTGGCGCAGATGGCGCCGAAATACCGGAAATAGACCAAACACCTGGATGGAGAACAAGGTGAGGCTGAAGACGGCGGTGGTCGTTAGCAGGCGAGAGGCCAACACAGTGCTAGCCATTAAGGCGGCATTCGTTGATAGAGAAGAGGGAAATGGAGGAGCCCGGACCGAGTGATGCGAGTGCAGCAGAGATGGTTCAGCTAGAGTGCTGTGGGTGATTTCCGATGGCGCGATTGTCTTTGAAGATCTTGTCGGTACATAGAGGCCACCATAGTCGAAGAAAAATATGTTGATGATTAACAGCCAGGTGGCTAGAGCCCAAATCGAGTCTGATGATGTGGATCTGGTTAGAGATTTCAGGATCGGCGAAAGGCCCAGCAGCGCAAAATAAATGAGACAAGCCGACTTCAGAGTTTTAAGCCGAGCTTGATTGCGAGGAGATACGAAAGCTGGTAAGGCCGGGGGAGAAGGAATCATGCTTGGGGTCTGTGGCAGTTGCGGGCGAGATGTTGTCGACCGAAGGTCAGGAAGGGCAAAATCGCCCAGAGGGTCGATTGGCGATATTGACTGAAGGGACGACTTTGACAAGGATTGCCCATGCTTTCCCGCAGGCTTTGCCTCGTGGTCCTTAACAGCAAGATTGGTGGTGGATAGTTTGAGCCCGACTCCGCGGCCACCTAAACTGCCATTGGCGTGCCCATTTGTATTCGCATGTCCGTTCATAGCGAGTTTGGCAGACCCGGACGAAGTCGTGCTTGAGCCATCGTCCACATCGACCGACAACCTGTTGCCCTTCACAAACGCTGCCATCTCTTCCGCTTCTTCCTGTCCCATCCAATGATCCCACACTAGCCAGCCTGCGACGGTAGCAATCGTACCACACGTCACCACTGCGACTGGGGACAGTCGGTCTTGGTAGATGCCTGCATAAGCGCAAACAAAAATGGCCACAGAGCAGACGTGCTGCACAATGACCGTGGAGTCGGCGACTAGAGGCCAGAAGTCATACGGTTGCAGTCTTGGATTTCTTTGCAGGTGATCCAGAAAGGTTTCAGTGTCGGTGTAGTTGTCAGGGAAGCCGTGCTGCTTGATCCAAAGGAGCTTTTTCCAGACATGTGGCTGTTTGCGTCTCCTACTGGCCGCTCGTCTCCTTTCTTCGGCTAGTCGCGCCGCAACGGGCGGGATCGCGGGGGGTGCTCGCAAGGATGCAACCGCAGGTCGAAGGGCTGCGGCTGCAGCTGACGCAGCTGCAGAGCCATTGATCTCAGGAAGTGGCCGTAGTCGCGGTGGTGAAAAGGACTTGTACGCATCTTCGGGAGCAAGACGGCTGGGGTCTGGTCCAAGTCGGTTCACTTGAGGCTTCCCACGGTTCGGATGGGTCTCGACAGGGACCGGCGGCGGGATCGAGGATGGTGCTGGAGAAGGGATTGGTGTCGAGGTGGTACTTGAGGTGGTGCTTGAGGTAGTACTCGAGGTACCAGGGGTGGACGGTGGAGGCGGCGCCATTCTGCGCCTCACCTTGTTACCGTAAGATCATGTCGAGCAAGGATGTTGGCCGTGATCCTTGATTCGCGATCACGGCGTCTGGGGTGTCGAGTAGATCAGGTAGAGGTAACGACGACTTTGATTTCAGGCTTGAAGACCATCCATCTCGACACTTGCCAAAAAGTAGTACCGCCCCAGATCGGTCCCGCTTTGGGATGAGAATGATGCTGCTCTAGCCTTACCGCCGAGGTTCCTACCACTTGGCAGGGGGCGGGTGCATCTGCGAGCAAAAGCAGCGTAAAGTGCTTTGTAGTGCTCGTTCCGCCATTATAAACTTTACAGGAGGTATGAATACAGCGTTGGCGTCCGGGGCACAGTATAGAGTACAGGACGTATGATCTCTTTGCCAGTGAAAATCCCTCTGTGTGGTGCTATATGCAAGACTTTTGTGTAGGGGTTATACCACGAACATGTGCTCTGAAGGGGCTATAGAGCACTTGTACTTGCTTCACCTTTAGCAGATTACACCTCCATTATACCTAGTGATTTCCTTTGTCCTGGCGGAGTTGGTGTCACATAAACCGCCATTAGTTCCAGGGCGCCCACCCTTAGGTAAGGAGCAGGCAAGTAGGTCTTCAGCATTCCGCAAATCTTCATTGAGGAAGACACCGGCATATAGACGACTACATTTCCATGCCTCATTGGTGAGAAATCAGATCAGTGAAGAGAACAGCTGGTAGCTTCGTCCGGCTGAACTGCAAGGAGAGGAAGATGCGGGTAGGCTTGCGAGAGCAGATTTTTGTGAACGGGATGGAGGTTGCGTGCTATATCCATACATTGTTGGCGACCTCGCACCCGAAAATAAATCCGGCCGAAGCACCCGCCGCTCTCTTTGCACTCTCCATCATTAGACGAAGGCTCTTTTCCGGTACCAGAACAGATTGACGGTTTCACTCAAGAACAATGAACATGATCGGTGCACAACTCTGGCTTTTCGCACTTGATTCCATTTCCACCAATGTCTATGCTTGTGAAGTATGTACACTCGGCTCAAGCAGAGCTCAGCGTGGCTCGCTGCAGGATTCCTTCCATTTCTGGCGACCGTGTTTTGCTCGTACTTTAGTGCGCGGGTTTTGAGTCGGGCTTTGCGTTGGGATTTCGGGGGTCATTCTTGTATTCGTCCGCTGTTCACCGCATTGTCAGTGGACTTGCCGAGAGGTACAGCATTCGGTATGGATTGGCGGAAGCCACTCCTGCACGCGCTACTTACAGGCAATCATGGCATTGGCACCGGCGTTGATCGCGTACACGACGATGAGACCAGCGGCGAAGAAAGGCACCAAAGGCTCGGCTGCGCCAGGGTTAGCTATGTGCTCCGGATAGGGCGAAATCCAGGTTGGACTGACCAATCTTGCCAGGAAACTTCTTGGGAATGAAACCAGGCATTTTGATGGGTGTGTAGCTGCGAGAACTGTGGTTGCGTGAGAGCTTTGTCGTCAAGGTGAAGCTCCGGATGTTCTTGAAGCTTTGATTTCCTTAGACCGAATTGGGGGTTATCTTGGCATATTTGGTCTGTTTGATCGGGCGGCCACTTCATGGCGCGTCTGGTCATTTGTTTATCGATACCACCGCCGATGAAGATGAACATTGTCGGTGTCGACGCCTGAACCTGCGGCTGACTCCCAAGATGGCATCTCTGGGTCATGCCGTCTCGTCGCTACGGTCTTCCCTCTCATTGCTAGATTCAAGCATCTCTATTCTTGACGAAGGGGTATCCGACTTCCCTCGCTTATGCAAGGTCCTCCAAACCCAGCAACATTTCGAGTTGCTTCCCGAGCCCATGCTGCGAGAGGCGCAGCAATCTCTTGTTGATGAGATTGTCCCGGCAATCAATCAGTTGTTGTCCGTTGCAGAGAATCATGTCAACCAACTGGCGAGGAGAGAAGAAAGCTTAAAAGCGCGTTCTGAATTGTTGGAAGGGCGCCTGAACACCAATCGAAGGAATTCAAGCTTTGGTGGAGGTGGAGGTGGAGGAGGTACTTCTTTCCAGAACACAAAGTCAATGCAGCATGCTGGAGTCCCTGATTCCAAGATATTGGAGATGAAACGCCTTCAGCAGAAGAAAGAAAGATTGCAGTATGCGATTGAACGACTGGAACTACAGAGCAAGCAAAGAGCAAGGGAGCTGAGAAAGAGTATGGCTATTGTGAGGGAGTGACCCGAGACAATAGCGCAGCCACTGCAATGGCAACCAGGTCCATTAGACCTCAGTTGAAACCCTCGGCCCGTGAAGCTCTCGAACGTCATAACCCGGAAAGGAAGCATGGCACTGTTGATGCATGGACAACTGCATGTAGGGAAGCTTTTGCCCCATGTGCCCAACTGGGTCTACCACTCTGGATCTGCCTAGACGTGCGAATTTCCCGAAGCCTTGGACAGTGTTCTGCAACCGCTCAAAGACATTGTCGCACTAAAACTGGGCGACAAACCAGTCTACACCGCCTAGTATGGACGAGATGGTGTTGAACGAGTCAGGCACGAGCAAAAGGAGAAATGTTTTAAACCAGCTTTTTTTTGCTATAACAAATCGGTTGGCCAGTATGACTTGACCTGTTCATCCTTGAATGCAGGACTCATCTGCTACTGCAGCGATGCATGGGAAGCAATGCGCAAGAGATGATGGTGGAAGACCACTCATCCAGGGGTTGGTGGCTGGGACTCTGATTCCAACCATGTCAACAAACTTTGGGAAGGGATACAACGCAAAGGGGGTATTCAAAGGTCGCATGAAACACAAGGGAGACCCGACACCCGGTGCCGGAAACAACGGATCAGGTTCGTTAGGCGATGGTGGTACGAAGGTTCAGCTTCGGTCAGTGCAGGGATGTCACAACCTCCGGATGACCTATCGTGAGTGATCAGATTCCAGTGATGCGCTAGAGGGTCGAACTGGCTGGCATTGATAAAACCTGGATTTTGGCGTGGGAGAGAAACTGTCGCTCAATCAGTGGCAGGTGGAGGCGTAATCTGTCCGTATAGTCATTTCGTTGGCTTCATAATAGAGTGGGTCTTGTTGTTGCGCTTCCTAGCCCGGCATCAAGACTCTCTTTCTTTCCCCCTTCTCAGGGTTGTATTGGTAGACCTCCCGGCAATCGATGTTGTGCATTTCAGGAAGAAATTTACACAAAGAGATATCGCAAGAGGCTCCCCGAGGACACATATGGCCGAGGCAACAGGCAGGGTCCTGGCAGAACGGATTCCGGCAGCTGGATGTTCTGGCCTTGTGTCTGAATGTATCGAGTTGTCGCTGAGTGAGATGCTGGCTGTGATCCCATTCGCATTTATCGCCAAACGGGCAATGACCCTTCAGATAGTAGTTGTTGCAAAGCCGAGTGTTTTTGCTGTACAGCTCCTTCATATATTCTTTGTCGATGTTGAGTGGCACATCCAACCTCTGGCCGTACTGGTTCTGGTAGATATATGATGGCGGAGTGAAGACGCTTGTCGGTGGTTGCTGTGGTTGCTGACCAAGTTGCGGCTTAGGAGGCGTGATGACTGCAGATTTGGCTTGCGGGGTTGGCCGTTCTCTCATGGATGTGAGGACGTCGGTAGCAGGTCTCTTGGATCCGACGAGCGGCACGCCGTTGGGTATGGTCTGGATCTTCACTGTCCTGAAAATTCCCCTAAAGGCTGTCTGGCGGAAACCTTGAGCAACTTTTCTCAGGTCATAAGGAAAAGGTGGACCCTCGAGTAGTGTGATGCGGTCGTTGATGGAATTTGGAAGCGAGAGCGGACTCAGAAAGCCGGCATAGCTGTTGTCGGCAGAGCCGCCGAACATGATATGCTGGCAATGGTGGTTTCGATAGTAGAGTTCGAAGTTTGCTTGGCCACTGTCAAATCAGCCCAACTTCACTTGTGATGCGGACACACCTTTCAGTTTGGAGTCCGCAGCTTCTTTGTGATGACCTGCATCAACGAAGTCGGAGAGAGGATGGCTCCTGTTGAAGCCGATCATGAACTGATCAAAGACGGCCTCATCAGGGATGATTTTGGCTGCTTTGTAGGTCCTGCCCAGCCCTTTCGAGTTTGCATAGATCCGCATTACGATTCGATCGTCAGCATGATATTTGGCATGTGTTTTGTAGTAGTCCAAGACGGCGGTGCGGAGATGTTTACCAGCATCTTCGCCGCCTTCCAGACCTCTCGAGACGAATTCGTCAAGAAACTACAAGTGTCAGCAACCACTGGCCATTCCGATCTTGCCAGGCGATTTCATCGAGTCTGGCATCACCCGCCTTACCGGCATTCCGTCCCCGTCTATCAGGACAAGTACGAATCTATCGCAATCCTGCGAGGGGTCAGCCGGCGAAATGGACGGGAGCAACGCCTCGTTGGGTCACCATGGATGTCTGCATGTGAGACTTCTCTGACTCAGCCTGAACCATCCTCTGGTAATAGGTCCGAGCGGTATCCTGAGCCATACCCAGCTCGCCTTGGGCGGCATCGCGTTCCTGTGCAAGTCGTTCAACCTGTGCCACTAGCTCCTAAGGGGAAGGTCAGTATTGGTTGACAGCGATCGGTAGGTGTCTGACATCGAGAAGAGCATTCTTAACCGCATCGCCTCGCTTCAATTCCTCCACACGCGTCTTGAGAGACGCCATCTTGGAATGAGTGGCCAGTCGTAGGGGAAAGTTGTGGGTGTAGCAAGAGGTCAAAGAAGAAGTGATGGCGTGAAGCGTGTCTGCTTTCTTGGATGGATATATTAATAGCACTGTTTGGCAAGGGAAACACGCCAAGCAATACCCGGTCTTGGCGTGTTTGTGGCACTACTACCACTAAGGTACCACTACTCCGTAGTAGTACTAGCAGTCACTGTCACGACGCAGTGCCATTTCGATTTCCCTTTAATCTCAACGTCGACCAGGATTGGTCCTCTCATTGTGCTCCTATGCTGGCATTGTTCCAACGGTTCTGTATCAATGGGCCGTTCCCATTCTCCCCCATCCAGATCTCTCCGCAATAAGGCGGAAGGCCAGAACATCGACCCATTTGGCACTGCCGATTGTCAAGATCAGTCTCGGCTCAGACAGTTATAAACCCAGTTATCTTGACATCAACGTTATGCATTTCCTCGCTGAACCAGCAGTTCGACCCTCTTCGATCACAGTGTGAACCCTGCATGCACCGGTGGCCTGACACGCAATCCGGATCTTCACAATAGAGAGTCTGGCAGGGACTCAACCGTGCGATGAAACGAAGAGCATCGAGTTGAGCTGGAGCCAGCTTACCTTCATGGCTGTGGAGGCATGGACTGTAATTGCACCGTGTCAGGAAGTGGCGGTTGCAAAGCTTCCTCGGCTTCAGGCTGGTCACGATGGCTCTTTCCGCTTTGACGGCCTGGTCAACTCTTTGACCCTGGCTGTTCTGGAATATCTTCTTTTTCTCTGCCCGCTCCAGGCTACTGCCAGCTACTGATGCCGTGGGAGAGACCGACACCAGCTCAGCTCGAGGCTGGTTCGACTGTTTAACGGTGGACGCGTAACTCGGTGGTGGTGAGTTCTTGACCCCGGTTTCGTCTCGAGATACTCTTCTTGCCTCGATCTTAGTCTCGCGGAACAGATTTGGGAGACAAGTTCGCTCGAACTTGCTGGCCAGACTTTCCATCTTGCTAGCGTAGGGGATCGATTCAACCAGAATCACTCTTGAACATATCTGATCGGTCAGGCTATACTGCCTCAGGAAGACAGCATAGCTATTGTCGCCTGACCCTGCAAACATGATATGTTTGCAATGCGTATTGTTATAGAATAACTCCATTTCCTCTGCACTGGTTAGCCATGTTCATGTTTGGCACGAAGACTTGGTGCAATCACCTTTGACCTTATTGTCGGCTGCCTCTTTGTCGTCCCCTGCGTCTATGAAATGGCATAGTGCATGCTGTTTGTTGAAGCCTTGCAAGAATTGGCGGAGCACCACGGGATCGGGGAGTATCCTCGCTTCTTGATAAATCTTGCTCAGACCGGCAATGTTGGCAAACACATGGATGACGATCTTAGTGTCGAGATGAAAGCCAGTTTTGGTTTTGAAATATTCATAAACGGCCTTTCTCAAATCGCGGGCAGCATCATGGCCTCCCACAGAGCCTCGACGCACATAATCATCCGAAAACTGCCAATGTCTGAGTGTCCCGGGCATACTTAGATGGTCAGCAACCTCACCATGGTAATGTCGCCGTCAACCAGGACGAGCACAAAAGGATCACAATTCTGTGGGTGTCAGAAGAGTTCCCCTTCCCTCGAGCACAATGTGTTCCTACCATCGACTTTTGGAGGCCGTCCACTTGTTGCCACGCGTTGTTCAAGTCCTCAATCTGCTTTTGGCATGTATACTGCGACATTTCGAGCTCCCTTTGGACCTTCTGCTTGTCGTCATTCGACTCCTTTAGACGGTGCATAAGCTCCTGGCCAGTTCATCAGCAATCCTAGGCCTGCTTTGCATGAGGCTCGGTTGGGTTACTTTGATGAAGTTGGTCTTCTCCTCATCCTGCCTGCAGATGGCTTGCCAGGTCTGTTCAATGTCGTCCATAACGGGAGCCATGACACTATGCATTGAACAGCGTCGATGTTTGAAGAGGAGAGGAACGGTCATGAATATAACCTGCGATGAACGCGTCCCTCCCGACCAAAAGCACCTTCGAACGGCCCAGCCAGAATCCGCCTCGTTTAACGCCCAATTGCCAATGGCCACGGCGACACTTTCCAAATAGCCTCTGCAATGCAGTACAAAATGTACGGCTGCCCAAACAATGAGACCCTTCCCTGTCGACCTTTCCTGTACGAGTCTTTCGAGTGGTCTGTCTGCCCAGCCTCAAAGACAGCAGGGCGACAGCGCGAGCGTGAATTGGCCCCAAGGCTCATAGCAAGGCAGCACAGGACCCTGAGCCCTTAGCCTCACCGGTTGCTTAGCGGTCCAACAGCAAGAACTCGCCGCGCCTCCCATTGGCCATTCTCGCCAATGGTCTGCTAGCACATGTAAATGTACTTCCTCTCCCGTCTCCGTCGGGCTGAAATCAGAAAGACCGTGCAGCCCCAACGAAAAAAAGAACAGGTCACTGCAGAACAGACTGACTCGTGGAAAACTTGAAGCCAACAGAACCAACTTGGTTGGTGGCTTCTGTTTGACGCGGTGCTGCCTTACGACCACTCATCTTCCCTCCCCTATATTCATGCTAACCTCACCTTGCTCACATTCCATCCTTGCACATTAGCCGGGCGAAGCTACCAGCTGTTCTCTTTTTCTTCACTGATTTTGATTTCTCACCGTTGAGGCATATTCCAGGAAGTCACCAAGTATATAGTGGCTTAAAAACATTTAGGTAAACCACCGAAAAAAAGAAAAAAAGTAAGGATATATCGGATCGGAGAAACAATCACCCAGCGCGGGACTCGAACCCGCAACCTCCAGATTTCAGTATTTCGTAGCGTACGAACATAGAAGTCTGGCCTATAGAAAGGGTTAACTTGATTCAATCAAGTAGACTTCGTGTGAACTTACGCGCTACCATTGCGCCAGCCGGGCAAAGTGTTGGCCATTGTCAGACATTGGCTAACGCATGATTTTCAAGCAATTTTTGGCTGATTTGCTAAATATTGGTGAAATTTTCGAACTCACCAGAGGGCAGGTGAAGCGAGGCGATCGATGACTAAGCTTTATTTGCCAATCCATATCATCCCCACCACCCCTGGTAATAGGCCTGTGGTGGTGGCGGCACACTTCCTAGTCACAACCAGGTCAGTGTAAAGGGCGGGCACTTCAGTGATTAAAGCACCCATGGCATATACAGTGTCCGGGAACTCGTCCTAGTAATCCGTACTTCGTGCTTGATACTACTGTACTACTGCACATTTGTCGAGTCGGTGAGAGAGAGGGAGGTCTTGGAAATGAAGCTTCAGGACCAGATTGTTCTCGTCACAGGTAAGTAAGTCACCGTGCTGCGTCTCAGCTGAGGTCCCCCTGTGTCGGCATGATTCTGTCTACCAACACCAGCCCTATTGGAATGCGGCCCTCCCCCAGCTACAGAGTCCAATATGAACATCGGCCCAGACTCACGCGTCGATACATACTTCAGGTTCCTCCAGGGGTCTCGGATTGGCGATTGCGCGAGCGTTTCGCGGCGAAGGGGCACAAGTTGTGCTGAACTATTTCCAATCCGAGCCTGAGAAGATATCCGGCCTTGCCAAGGAGCTCGAGGCGTTCCCCTTCCGCGCCGATGTCACCAACCGCGACGAGGTCGAAGCACTGTTCGCGGCAGCCGAAGCGCACTTCCACAGACCGATCACTACGGTGGTGAACAATGCCATCGTCGGTGGATTTGCGTTCAACGGCGACGCCCGGCCCAAAGTGGCCGAGTTGACGTGGTCGGACTTTGATTCGCAATTGCAGGGGTTTCTTCGGGCGACGCTGAACACGACGCAGGCTGCTCTGGCGGGGTTCGAGAAGGCGCGGTTCGGCCGGATCATCAACATCGGGTCCAACTTGTTCCAGAACCCTGTGGTGCCATACCACGACTACACGGCGGCCAAGGGCGCCTTGTTGGCGTTCACGAGGACGTGTGCGGCAGATCTCGGTCCCAAAGGCATCACCGTCAACCTGGTCGCGGGAGGACTGCTGGATGGCACGGATGCCAGCGCAAGCACTCCCGCGGCAGTGTTTGACCAGATCAAGGCCGTCACGCCGCTGAGGAAGGTCACCACCCCCGACGACCTCGCCGGTGCTGTACTGTTCTTCGCCAGTCCGTGGGCCGGCGGAGTCACGGGCCAGCAACTGGTGGTGGATGGTGGGCTGGTCATGAACTGAGCCAGCATGGCCTGTACCTGTACGTACTAGTTAGTCCTCGAGCAGTGCTGAGGGGGTAAGTCTCCTTTCAGAGCTTGCTCTCATGGCTTTGCTCGCCTCCCTGTGCAACTCGAGGCTGTCATGTACATGGCATGACATGTTGAAGGGCCGCTGCACGGCGTGGAGGGTGTACAGAGTCTTGGAGGGTATTGCACGGCGTGGACGGTGTACAGGATCTCTCTCAGGTCACAGGTCACAAGTTCGGTGTCGGCGACCGGATCTCGACGATTGCCTTGCCCCATACCTTCCTCGCAGCGAGGTCGTCCATTGCCCCCGGCACGCTCTCGAGGCCCAGATACGTTTTATAGACGATGGGTCTGACGCGCCCGGTCTCGAGCAAGTCGTTCAGCCCCTTCCACACCGCTTCATTCTCCTCTGGATTCTGCCGGCCCGTCTCGCCGTATCTCTGCGACCAGGTAACGTTAGCCCATCATCATCAACATCATCATCATCATTCAGCCCCAGCAGTAACAGCTTAGCTAGCCGCTATGGACGCTTCAGCCCAGCAATAGCAGCTTAGCCATAGACACACGGGTGCGTGTATAGAGTGACTCACATAACCCAACAACCTAGCGCCCTTGAGCAGGACGCGGTTCATAGCCAGCGTCTCCATGTTGCCGCCTCGGCCAGCGAAGCCCGCGACGACGATGCAGCCGCCGAATGTCAGACAGCGAAGACTCTTCTCGACGAGCCCGACCGTGTCGTAGACGACATGGACGCCCGTCCTGCCCGTGATATCCCACACCTGTTTCTCCCAGCCGTCGAGATCGTAGCGCACGACGGCCAGCACGCCCAACTGGCGCACCACCTGGGCTTTCTCGTCGCTGCCGACGGTGGCGATGACGTTGGCGCCCAGCGCATGGGCAATCTGCACGGCGACGACGCCGAGCCCGCCAGCCGCGGCGTGCACCAGCACCGTCTGCCCGGCCTGGAGCTGCGCCACGCGCACCAGCGCCCCGTAACTCACGGGTGCGGTGGCGGCCCCTAGGCCCGCCGCATCGTGCAATGTCCACCCCGTCGGCAGTCTCTGCAGCGCGGACGCCGGCACCGCGATCTGCTCCGCGAACCCGCCGACGCTGGCGCCCCAGACCTTGTCGCCGGGCTTGAAGTTGAAGCCCGACTTTGACGTGGACGCTGACTTGAGCGGCGCGGAGACCACCACCCCGGCGAATTCTAGTCCCAGCACGAACGGCGGCTTGACGAGCCCGATGTGGTTGTTCTGATGCCGTCCGCGCGCGTACAGCAGGTCGACGTGGTTGAGCGCGCTGTGGCTGATCTTGACTACCACCTCGTGGTCTGCGTCCGGCCGTGGCGGAGGAATCTCTCTGACGCCGAGTTCCGAGAACGAGTCGACGAACTTTGTGATCTGGATGGCTTTCATGTTGAATAGGAATAGGAATAGGCCCCCTCTGGGGTTCTGGGTTCTGGGTTCTGCGTTCTGGGTTCTCGCTTCTGGCTTCTGGTTCTTCTATGTGGTCGAGATACTGTTTCTGTTTTGGTGCATGATATAATTACTGGTTCTGGTGCTGGTATCCGGACTCGACTGGGACGGCAGTTGTTCGGCAATGATCAAGGGACGAAGACAGGAAGACAGGAATTCCTGCTCAGACACCACGTCTTGTCAAGACAAAGAGAGATTGCCAGGCTTAGATTCACTTCTTTACATAATAGCTGGTCATTGTTGGGTATGTGTGCCCTCGAGGGTCAGGCGGTCGTGGGCTTAAGGCCTTTATGTATAATTAGACCTGTTTAGCCTGTCAAGAGGGTCAAGCAGATGTTAGCCGAGGTCCGATTCCGAAGCCTTGCCTTAGCGTGTTCATCAAGGACTACGAGGACGGCAAGGTTAATGTCGTGTTTATCCCATTACTGATCGACCTTGGAGATATCAGTTGAATAGACGTGGGCATATCGAGACCATCATTTATGCCCCCGCAATGAGTACTTCATTTGCATTTCCCTCTCATCCTCGTTACCCGTCCCCGCATCTCAACGCCATGCTAAAGACCTATAGGTACATACCCTCATGCCGGTAGCCTCGAACCGACCATTCGTGCCCGGTGAGTGAACTCTGGTCCAGATCAACACAGTCAGACTGAGATCTCACTCATCGTCGTCGAAGATCTGATACGTGTTGTTCAGAATCGTCTCCACGACCTTGGCTTGCCAACCAGCGTCCGCGATATCTGGGCCACCTCCGCCGCCATGTTGACCCATCAGAGTTGGCGCAAACACAATTGCCAGGTTACTGATGGTCATCTTGTTCCTGTCACTGTGCTGAGCGACCCGGTATAAGTGTAGCGTCACCGCCCGTAAGGTGGCGTAGTTAGGATCAGGTAGAGAATTCACCAAGGCGTGGATCGAATCCCGTCGTACAACGTCGTCCTCCAACCTGGCTGCTTCGATGAACGCCGGATACTGCGCCGCTGTGAGCAGCGGGTCGGGCAGGTCCCGCAGGAAGTGCTTGAGTAGAGTAGTGACAGAAGCAATGTCATTGTAAAAGACTGCAGGATTGCGGAAATCCACTGCTTCGGCATCTAAAGGCTGTGTCAATACCACTTACGATCATATCCCAGACGTTGGGCTTCTTACCATGATCAAACTGCTGTCTCAACTCCATGATGTGATGGGCGGACCCAGAAGTCCTGTAGACACCCTCCACATCGAGACCATATAAATCAACGGCTTGAATGCATTGGCGTACGATTGCAGGCACAGCCAGGCCCTCTCGTTGGAACAAGTCGTCCAACGACACTCCAAAAACAGGCTTCACGGGAGGCCCAGCTCTCTGGCCGGATGGCCCTCTTGATGTAAAGGAGCTGACACTGCCACTAGGTCTAGGATGTTGCGGGTGAGGAACTCCATCTGGGGGTCCCTGCAATGGTCGTGATGACGTGCCATTGCTGGCAATTCCGAAACCGGGCCCTTGCGAGGGTAGGGTTTGTTGCGGGCTAGGCTCGCTGCCATATGATTGAGATCTCTCCCCTTGCACACGCGCACCAGGCTCTTGCTCTAACTCTGCTGGAAGCGGCACAGTGACCTGCGAGAATACTGTGCTCGGTTGTCCTCGTGATGGACCGTTGCTGCCCAGCTCGCCCGGCTGATCAAGCGACGATCCTCGCGGTGGCCGGTACGCCATTCGATCATTAGGCGTTGGAGATGCAAAGGATGCTGGAGATCGTTGATCGAATGAACTTGTCGCCGGAGGGCCTTGACCATACTGCGGACCCGGGCCGCTCACCGGATCTTGGGGTCCGAGGGAGGTGCTAGGAGAACGAAGACTGTTGAGGTGTGAGCTGGCTGGTGGACCTGCATTGCTGCTAAGCTGGGCCGGAGCAGCACGATAATGGTCATCAGCAGCTCCCGTACTGACAACTCCAGAAGTCTGGCCTCCAAATCGATCAGTCCCCAACGTGCCAATCTGCGGTAGTTGAGGTGCTCCAGAAGGGGGCGGACTTGGTCCTTGAGATGGAGTAGGACCATAGTTCGCCTGTTGGATTGGTTGCTGCGGTCGAGGCAGTCCGTAACCAGACGCGGGTCCTTGCCCTCCCGTAGGATACTGCGGTTGCGAGCTTGGCCCTGGATATCCATCGCCTTGCAAAGCTGTGACACCAGACACTTGCCGACCATGCTGATGAGGCTGAGGCCCGTGAACTAGCGCATATGGATCCGACGGTGCTTGACTATACGCCGGATTCAGTTGCTGCTGTTTCGGCGACAAGGCGGGATGCTTTTCGTATCTGATCTCGCGTGGTCTCGTGCCCGCCTTGGTGCTAAAGCTCAAGACATATTCGACGAGATCTCTCTCGTTATTGACGCTCGAGGCTACTTCTCGAAGGCTTTTGGTGGGTGTAGCAGAGACCGGCGATTGTCCCTTGAGCGGTGTGACGGAAAGTCCGTAACCCAGAATCAGCTTCTCGGTCAAACCGGCAAACCTCTGCATCTGCACGCTCAGGCCGGCATCGATTTCCTTGATGAGCTCCTGCAAAGCGTTCACCGTCTGCGGTCTGAACGTAGTCAAAAGCTCCTGTTGAATGGTTTGAGCAGCCTGAACTTTGGAGGCGTAATCACCATCGGCCGCTTCCAGTTTGCGGTGTAGGTCTTCCTCTTGCTGGACGGCCGATTTGGTTCCTTTCAGGCCGAACCTGCCTGGTTGCTTCTCGCCGGTTCTCGCCCGGTCGTAATGCTCTGCTAATGAATTGTACTTTGATTTTGCCTTGTCCATGGCCGCCTCGGCGTCCTGGTATCGCTTTTCTGCATTCAGTCCAGTTTGCTTCCAGTGTTTCCGGCCTCTTTCTGTGTTTGCTGCCAGCTCGTAGAGTTCCTCCGACATTGCGTAGAGGGTACTGGCGTATTGGATGCCATGATCGGCCATACGATCGTGGATTCTGTTAAGTTCTTCATAGTTTGCTGCGAAAGAGCCTTGTCGGTTTTCAGGCCGTCGTATCTGGTCGTTGGTAGTCCGACTCAGCCTTTTCAATCCTTGCGCGTGCTTCTCTTCGAGGACGGATCGCTCTTTAAGGAATGCGGCAAAGTCCTGCGCTCAGTTAATAGATGAACAGCGTAGGCCTTCAATTCAACGCACCCTTGTAGAACTTATGCTTTGTTTCAGTCTGCCGAGCAGCGTAGTCATTCCAATCTGGAGACCTAGTTAATCTCATGGCGCACGCTGACAGAGTCGCGGCTTACATCTGATGACAGAACATGTTGGAGGCGCTCCCTGTCCGTGGAGTCAAAGGCCTCATTTGGGCCGCCGGCTAGAGGGGGGACAGGAGGTAGAGGGAGCTCATTTTCTCGAGGGGTCTTTGGCGTCCTGGGGTCGGAGAGACCGTCGACCGGAGAGGTTGGTTCGGCGGCGGTGGCCATGGGAGGCCTCTGGCGTCTACAGTAGGTGCAGTTCGGAGGGTGGTCGATGCGGCGGGGGAGGTTATTCAAGAGGTCTGCAAAACCAGACTGGGTATACAGAATCAATGGAGTGCAACAAGGTGGCGTCGAGGTGTCGCAAGATCTAACAAAGCTGCAATGGGAGTTTGGCTGTCGCCGGCATGTCAATTCAGTTGATCTGCATTCTCAAATTCCTTGTTTCTGCCGGTTCCCGCCACGCCGCGCGCCTGAAGCTTCTCCTCGATTAGAGAAACCTAGGCTGCCATACACTATCGTCCTCTAGATATGATTTGTCTTGACTTCTGGGTTCCGGCGACTCAGCCTCAAGCTCTGTACTCCGTACAGCCTGCGCCGTCATCCAGATCGGGTTGACACGCTGCGCCACCAATAGTTGCGTGTAGCTCACATTCTGACCTACCTACGTACTGTAATTTCCCGAGCTTGAGAAATATGTGCTACCGTACAGGTGCCGTACCCTCATCGGCTACCACTACAGCCGGCCTCTTCTCCTGTCCTCAGCTAACTTGAGAACTGGCTTGAGGTTTTCCTCTTGGACACGGTCCCAAAGACTACCCAGTCCAGCTTTCCTGCCTCGGTCGTCTTCTCTTCTAAAGAAGTCTTCTGCCGTCTTGATTCTATCCGGATAGATCTCGTCCAGCAGCTTATAATCCCTTCGAATGACGCCCTTGTTCCCACCCGAGTATTTCCACATATTGAAGAACCCGGTGAAATTGTCCTTGAAGGTCATGAACGCCGAGTCCTTGGGGTCGGAGTTATATCCACTGCCGTGAGCCGCAAAGGGGGCTGAATTACCCGTCTTCCAGTACGTGTCAAGGTCGGTATCGATGTACCTCGCCGGATGACCGGTGACGGCCTGGAAGGCCTTTGCCAGGTCGGCATAGTGGATGTGGTCGATGGCGACTTCCAGATCCATGCCGTTGGACCGTTCGGGATGGTCGAACAGCCACCTCACATAGTATTCGCAGTCGTCCAACGAGACATGAACCACGCTTCCATCCCCAAGTGGCACACGCCATGTGACGACGCCATCATCCTCGACTTTGGGGGTGAAGATGGTGAATTTGGCAATGGACATTTCGATGTACGGCCCCGTGGTGAAAACAGCGACGCCCATCCGGTGGCCATTGGTCTTGTTCTGCTCCAGCACCCATTCTCCCACCCTGCCCTTTCCGTCGTAATGGCCGGTGCGGAATTTTGGGTCGTAGCCGCTCTTCTTGTATACGTAGTCGAGATTCCCGTAGACATAGAACTTGACGCCTTCCTCCAACGCAAGCTCGTAGCTTCGGATGGCCCAGTAGATCTCCGTCTTCTCGCCGCAGTTGAAGCCGTCGATGTTGACAAATGCCCCGTCACAACCCCGGAACCCTCGGCGGAGGTCGGCCTCGCTGGCAAACGTGCCTTCCACCAGTTCGACGTTGCCCAGTTCGAGCAAGGCTTTGGCTCTGGGAGAGCTGACGTCCCTAGTGAGGACGCGGCATTTGTATTTCTGGTCCTTGACTAGGCCGCGGACCACGGGGATTCCTTGGGCGCCAGTGCCCCCAATCACGAAGATATAGGACGTGTGATGAGTGATAGACATCTTGAGGAAGGGAACGCCAGCGAGAGACACGAGGACCTACCTGCAACAAGCCCCCATGATGGCAGCGGCTTGATTTATAGGAATGAAAATTGGTCAAGCACTGATGAGAGTGAGCATGAGAGTGCTTGACCTCAGCGGAATGATTACTCTTCAATCCGTCTTGTCCCGCTCCACGTCGGCCGCATGTTTAGTAAACACGACCCTTGAAAATGCTGGGATCGTACGGAGGGAGGTTTTGGTCTGTAGGCTCTTCAAGCCATTTCCCGCAAGCTACAGGAAGCAGAGGTAGGGGAATGGCAGGGAGTACAAAAGTTACAGAGTCGAGAAGCCGGGCGGAGGTGAAGTCCGAGGTTCGACGTCAAGCCTTATGAGGCTTAGGTGGGTGCCAGAATTAAAGGCGGTTTGTCCAACGGCTACTTCGGTAGGATTTGGGAAATTTCCAGTTCTATTGGATGATTATCTTTCTAATATACTAGATGTACTGGGGTCATACGTAGTATTCAAGACGCCTCGGCCGTCAGTTAGACGAACTATACTGTACGAAGATGATTAGTATTCGATGCTATTTGGAGGACATGGTCTTTTCCCTTTCCGTCTCCCCAACCCATCACTCGGCGGCCAAGATGCGGTCGAAATCCAAAGGGTCCTCGCCCCGAAGCAGTCTCCATCGATTGGTACTGTTCTGGATGCGCGGAGCATTCCGTAGAATGAAAGGCCACTTGCTAGCAAACCCTAGTGTGACTTCCCAGCCGGTGATATCCCACGGCTCTCCCCAGATGATGACCCCGTTCTTGTGCTGGGTGTCGATGTCCAGATCTTCCACGTCATCGCCGATGACCTCCCCCACCATGTAGAGGCAGAGCGCGATGTCGTCGAGATTCTCTTCTCCATGCCGAAGGATATTGTCCCTGACATCCGGGTCGGGGATGATGTCCCACTCCGGATGATGCGCAACAGTCTTTTGCAGTTCGGTGGGTTCGAGTGCCGGCGGGAGACGGCGGATATTTGAATTGGCGCTCTGTGACAGGGGCAGGAACGGCGATGGGTAGTCGTCCAAGCACATGAGATTGAGGTCAAGGCCCAGAAGAGCGATGTTGACAATCAGAGCTCGGTACACGTTATACGAGACCAGCGAGATGAGATGGTCACTGGGCAGCGGGTACAGCCAGGAAACGTCGTGGTCTTTCTGCCACCTCTCCGCCACCTCTTGAACCTCTACTAGCCGCCCTTCGAGAAGCATCTCGTACCATTGCCGACGCATATTCATATTCATTCGGCCAATCGAGACGAACGCCGACTTCTGCACCTTGCTGGATCGTTCTGCAATGGATCTCCACTCATCCTCGCTGGTGGATTTGGCCGTCGAGGTAACGAGGTCATGAAGATCTGTTGTTGGGTGCACCGGTACCAGCCGGGTTCGTGGCTGTTGCCCGGAGATACTACTCGATGAGCTATCAGGCGTGCCGTCCCTTTGCGCAGCCTTCCGTCGTCCTATTGCTCAGGTCAGCCGCAGCCGCATGCAGGTCTCGTGGACCGTGGGCTGGTCCGGATACCGAGAATCTGGATGGATACATACGTGCGGCTCGTTGATTCAATCGATTCTGCAGCTTGCGCCGGATGACTGGATCTGTAATACCAGACCATTCATCTTCCAAAGACTGTACATCCGGATGTAGTTTCACTTCGACCTGAATCCTAGGAACAGCCGACATGACTCCGTCGGTCTTGAAATCCACCCCTCTCCAGGCAATGTCTGTTGGTGGAAGACGACCGGGGGCGGGGGAAGGGGGTGAGGTGCAAAAGGCGATAACAAGGGCTCTTATAATGCATGTTGCTGACACTGCACCATGCTGCCTAGGACGTCAAACCCCAGGAATGAACTCCGTTATGTCACCTTACAAATGGCCAGGAGAGGCAGGTGGAGGCAAGCAAATGGAAGAGGAAGAGGCCTTGTTGGTCCGAGTTCTCTGCGGCGTTATGCAACCTGCTGACAGCGGGCCTCGCTTATTTCCGGGGCTCACCAATCGGAGAGACATCGGGACCGGATCAACTTTCCTCCGGAGTTCAACCGCCGGACAATATCAAGACGAGGCTGACGCCCGCTCACTTACCTGTTGTCATCAAACTGCAGCTCTACGCTTCAGGAGACCCCTGGATCAAGTGATGGATTTACTTGAAAGTTATAAAGCTGATGGGAAGATGGAGTTGCTGGTCAGCTCGCGGAGCAGGAAAACATGTACCATCACCATCACCAACACCAACACCAATACCAACACCAGCACCCAGCACCCAGCACCAGCATTACCAGCACTCACTCCAACCTTCAAACACAACTAGTAGTTAGGAATACTCGTCCAGCATGTCTCCCAAACTCAAGTGGTCGCCGTCGTCTCTCCCGTCTCTTGATGGACGCACATACGTCGTAACCGGCGGTAACACCGGGATCGGGTACTGGACGGTCCATCACCTCGCGCTGCATGGCGCGACGGTGTACATGACATCGCGCTCGGCCGAGAAGGGCCAGACTGCAATATCGTCCCTCTCGTCATCCATCCAGGCAGCAAACCCCGAGATCAAGCCGGTGATTCATTTGGTGGTGATGGATCTGATGTCGCTTCAATCCGTGATCCAGGGCGCACGTATGATCCGGTCTCAATGCAGCCAGCTGCACGGGATGGTGAACTCGGCGGGCATCATGGCGACGCCGTTCCTGCTGAGCGACGACGGCTACGAGTCGCAGTTCCAGACCAATTACTTGGCACACTGGCTCTTGACGTGGCATCTCCTGCCTCTTCTCGAGTCGACCGCCAGTGCCAGTGCGCCGCTGTCCCCCGCGGGTAGCGTGCGCGTGGTCAACGTCAGTTCGACAGGACACTCGGCCGCGCCCAAGGGAGGCATCGATTTCGCCGACCCCTCGCTCCGGAACGCTTTCACCTTCCGCCGCTACGGGCAGAGTAAGCTGGCCAACATCCTCCACGCCACGGCGTTGCAGGCGCGATATACGCCCACAACCGCCATAGCAAGTGAGCGCACGCCCACAACCAGTCCGACTACCACTACCACTACCATAGCCAGTGAGCGCAATCCTTCTCCTTCGGCCGCGGCGCAATCGCAATCGCCAACCCCGCAGATCTACGCGCTCTCCCTCCACCCAGGCAATGTCGACACCCAACTCAACACCAAGAGCTGGGGAGCATCCATCACTCCGGTCCTCCGCTGTCTAGGCGTATACATCACCCCGGAACAGGGCAGCTTCAACTCCCTGTGGGCGGTGGCCAGTCCTAGCGTCACGGCGGAAATGGAAATGGGCGCCGGCTACTTCATCCCGGTGGGTCGGAAGACGGCGCCGAGCAAGCTGGCCCAAGACGCGGTGCTGGCGACCCGCCTTTGGGCCTGGACTGAAGAGGAGATGAGGCACAAGGGCTTGCTGGAGCCTCTGTAGGCTCTGGAGCACAAAAGAGAGCCTTTCTAGGCTCCGGAGCATAAAGACCATGCCATATCGGTGATGTGAAGGGTCATGGGCTTTGTTATGTGATGGTCCGCCCGCCTGTTTAGCGCTATGAAGAATCATCCATGAATTATTATGACATCTTATCATTACATCAAGTCTGTCCTGTCTCATCGTGCAGTCGTCCCGTCTCATCGTGCAATCGTCGCGTACGGAGTACTGATTGGTGTTGTTCAACATTGAAACCTGACACTCCCACTGCCTTGCTCGAAAACCTCAATCTGCCGACCTTCTTTGTTTCCCTTATATCCATATAACTCGCGGGAGTTTTGCTGACGCACGACCAGACCGTGCCCGACGGCCGAGAGACTCCCTGATCCTTGGACCAGGGCATGCACCGTCCCTTCCCACTCCATGGGATATCTGATAGACATGCTGCCACTGCCCAGCACGGTGTGAGAGGCTCCGATCGCTCTGACTGGCTCACTCGAGTCCAGCGGTGCGACTAACCTGATATTCTGGCTGGCTGAATCCGTGGTCGTCGAGATGTTGGAGGCCGGGTCCTGCTCCGATACGCCGACGGTGAAGATATCGACGGAGATGGATCCAGAGTGGGTGGAAATGCGGGTCGACCCGCCATTTCCATGTACCAGGGCACCAGAGACACTTCCGGATTGAGTCGAGATGTCAGTTTGCAGAGTGCGCTCCTTGACTGCCTCCGGGATGATGTGCTTGTGGAACCAGCCACGCTCCGACGTCATCCGAACGTGAACACTACCTGAGGAGGTCGCAATACGGAGCACGGCGGGTTGATCGCCCGGTTGCACCTCGACGTCGACAGATATGCTGCCACTCGTCGTGGAGAGGTCAAGCAAGTCGTAAAGCTGGTACGTGCCCCTGATGGAGCGAGAGGTCTCGTGCTGGCGCTGGACGCGTTTCTCGGGAGGCCAAGGAGACGAGGATGACTTGGGGTCGGAAACGGGGAACTGAGAGCTTCCATCCTATCACTGTCGGTCAGTCAATCCGGATCTGATGCGTGACTTTCTGACAGTGAGGACAAGTGTACATTGGGAAGTGCTTTCAACAAACCCGGAATCATCAGCCAAAGGCACAGCAGGAGGGCGAAGACGAAAAAGCATGCCCTTTTAAAGCGTCGCGCTCTTTCTTTGTTGCCACCTCCTCGACCACGCCGACGGCCACCGCAGCCACGCTGTTTACGGTGTCCTCCGCACCACCTCTTTGAAGAGCTTTTGTCGGGCCAGCGCAATAATGTAGGGATGCTGTCGCCTTCGGCTACTGGGGTACGGTTGTGATGATGTTGAAGTTGGGATTGGTGCTGAACGGGCTCGGGAAGTAGAGCACCATCATCGCCCTGCTCTTCCTCCTCTTCCTCATCATCGTCATCACTCTCGTCATCACGGCGAGAGTATTGCAAGGGATAGCGGAAAGAAGGGGCAGCCACGGGTGCGCTTACTGGCTCTGACGCTGCTACGGATCTTGCAACAACAGGAGATGGAGCTGTCGTGTCTGATGGTGTATAGAGTGGAGGCGGATCCGACAGATCAGGTTCTTGCGCGAGGTGGGGATATTGCACGTTTGTCGCTTCGTCACCATTGACTGTTGACGCTGCTGGGGTTTGGATTGTCGCAGGTGTGCCGCCTGCAAAGGTGTCGGCCCATGAGCCCTGTGAAGCTAGCCTCTGGGCTTCCACGGCAGCGGATCTCGACTTGTCCGAGTCTGTTTGGTGGTATGATGTGTGAGAGTCACCGTCACCGACTGATCCGTCGGACTCGGAGGCAGAGTCTTGAGGAAAGGTGCCATATTTTCGACGAGGGCTTTGTTTGCGGATAGTCATTGTGAGCAGTGTCAATGTCAACTGGGATCTGATATACAGTAACCACTGCCTCGGAATCTGATATTCAGTAACCACTGCCTGCTCAGAATCCCTTTCAGCCTTTCAGGCCCCTCGCTCAATACCGGGACGCAAGAACCCTGACGATTATCTCGTGGAACTTAAGTGGCTCTCAGAGGTGAGCTGGCGACGCTCAGAGGTCAATGTACACCAGGAATCATCGACTACGAGGCCACAAAGCACGAGGGAGAGAAAGTAAGGCTCGCGTCGACCACACACAAACACATATGCTGGAGGGAGAGAAGGTAAGGCTCGCGTCGTCCACACAAGCACATATGCTGGAGGGAAAGAAGAAGTTGGTACGAGTAGGGTGTAGGCTGGTGTGAGGTATGACAGGATGTGCCGGCCGAGGGTATGATGTATGTACCTATGTATGTACAGTACGGAGAACGAGTACGAATACGGATACGGCGAATATCTACCTGGGGAACCTGAGCCTGAGCCCACACACAGGCAGCCGCCATTTCCACGAGCTGCGCGCTGCGCCCACTTCTCATCACGCATCACGCCAGAATCCGCTCCCGTTGGGTTATGCATATGTAACCCTGCCACCTAGCCTGCCACACGGGAACCCCCCCTTGAGATCCTCGGTCGTTCACAGGCTTAGGCCACCAGTGTCCGTGGAGCAGTAGAAGCTGCCGAAACGCAGACCCCTCAGTCACTGGCTTAGGAGGCCTGGTGGACTGACCCGGACTGAACCCAGTTGTGATAAGGCCCCCTGTAGGTGCCCTGAATCCTACACAAGTGGTGCAAGTGACCTTTTAAGTTTCTGGAAAAACGTCATCCGTCGAGAGCGATTGATAAGGCTTCATGAAACATGAAACACGGATTAAGATCGCATCGAGAAGTACTGTACAGAGTCCAGAAGTACAGAAGTACAGAATTGCTGTGTGGGTGATGGCCCTGATTGAAAGACGATTGACTAAAAAGCAAGGGCCGAGACAGCGACATACATACGAAGTACGGAGTAGACGGAACACAAGATCTACCACATTGTACTGTTCCCCGGAAGGTCCACTGCATCATGAACTGTCTGGTCTAATCACAATTACCATGCTCTGATACCAACGCCTGCGGAGTCTTCATGCCCCATCTAGCATCAGCATCCCTTCCGCTCCCGTCATGGTAGAGAGAACGTAGTCCGGCAAGATATTCCAATGGAAACCCCATGCCCAAGATCCTCGATGAATGTACACAACTCCCTCGCTGATGTCTCGCTAACTGTCGAATCTGAATGCTGCAAATTCACAATCTCGCTCACCGCTGTGCAAAGCTTTTGGATTGCATCACTAGCAGAAGAACAAACATACCCAGGCGCATACTCTCCATTCACAAAAAGCCCAGATTCTCAAGAATCGCTTTGGCCTCATTTTGTGGAAGACCGGCAACCCCTAGGGCTCGCACCTGGCTGCCCCTCCGTAGACGCTGGAGTCCAACGGCAACTTTCCAACCCTCGCTTTGTGACAAGACAAAGACATATTTCTTTCCTTCCTGGTCGCGAATTGTGGCTCGAAGAACGTGCAGACCGCCGAGTTCACAGCTCTGTGTCAAAGTTGCGTCAGTATCATCGCTATTCGTTGATTTGCTAGACAGCGAAGACGCGAATCTGTGGGTTGTATATGTTCGAGGCCCGGCCGTCTTGCACCCTCCTTGGCAAGACGTCAACAGCTTGGTGACAAAAGCCGTCGAGTCGTTCTGTGAGGGTGACGACTGGTGCCTCGAATCGGCACCAATTCCAAGGAAGGATCTACCCTTCGGGGCACAAGTGTTTTCTGCTGGGGATGTTTGGGGACACCATACCTCTGCCAATTTCATCGTCCACGCCTTGACATCCCATTCCCGTTGTGGTACTCCTCGTACATCGTCATCAATGAACAAACCTTCGGTGGTGATCCGTAGGATTAGACCGTCGGTGACATTACCTTGGGCGGATCTAAGTTGCGAGATGGGAGTTCGCATGAAAGCGTTGTTGAAGGAGAACACCCCCTTGATGATGATCTTGTCCGGGTCCTTGGTAGAATATGGGCCGCGCATCGAGGGAGGCGGTGTCGTCCTTGCCGTGCTCTCAGAGGGGGTATAAGAGGATTCCGAATACATTGATGCCGCCGAGTTTGCTTTGTGTGTTCTTTTGGCGCGGTCATAGGGTCTGAAAGAATAGGCATCGTCGTCATGCTCGGTTCGTACAGATGGCATAGGGGGACGCTTCGTTGGTGATGCTCGTGCCGCCGCTGCCGCCGCCGCCGCCGTTGCGCGTTCTTGTCTCTCCTTCTCAGCAGCCGCGGCCGCGGCAGCAGCAGCCTCTTTTTCTTCACGCTCTTTCTTTTCTTTGCGCTCGCGCTCAAGCCTCTCTAGTGCGTCCTTTTCCCTCTGTTTCTGCCGCTCTTTTTCTAGCTCTTCTCGTCGCTTTTTCAACTCCTCTGCTCGTTTCCTCTCTTCCTCCCTCTTTCTCGTCTCTTCTCTAGCCTTTTCCCAGCTTGATTTCCCACTGGTAGTGTTGGCCTTTGTATTGGCTTGTGGTCTTTGCCAGGACGACTGTGGAGGAGGTGCACTGGTTCCGTGGTTGGGAGGTGGTGGAGGGGGGGGAGGAGGAGCAGATTGTGCATGAGGGTGAGGTCCTGACTGAGGTTGCGAATATGATCCAGCATTGCCATAGCCCGTACTCCCCGGGCGAGAATGACCACCGGCACCAGGACTAGGACCTGCCCGAGCGGACGATGAAGATTGTGTCCACTCACCCTGCGTCTTGCCAAGTGCCCAAGCGACTACTGCAACACAACACACGATCGTGAACACTCCGCTTGCACCGCTGTTGATTGTGTTCAGCAGCCATTCTTTGACCACCGGCACAGCCGTCGTGTAGATGAAGAACGTAGCAGCTGTACAAAAGACACCGGCCAAGAAACTGTTGCGCTGGGTTTGTAGTGATGGCAGATAGAGAAAGCCCGAACCCGCGGAATGCGGAGGAATGACAAAAATATCGTACCTGCCATCAGGGAGGCCACCCGACCTGCCGCCTTGTGGATTAGAGCCGTGCGGTGGCGGCGGAGGCGGAGGTGGCTCCATGAGAGCAAAGCTCCCTGAGGACCGAAGATGCTTATCCCTCCCAACAGATGTGTATCGGCCGTCGTGAGAGTGGTAGAACCTTCTTTTTCATATTAGATGCCGACTGCGCCGGGGGCAGTAAGGGGGACGTGTAATCTGCACTTCGAGCTGTGGCCTAGACTTGCAGGCACCGAGGCGAGGATGAGGACGAGGCTGATGAGGCTGCCTGGCTGTGGAGGCAGAGTGACGTGTCGTCGGTGGTAGGGGAGGCCGATATGTGGTGTATTCTCGTAGGGAAACGTCGGCAAGGAGCGAGGAAGAGAAAGATGCGAAGACGAATCTGAATAGCGTGCGTTGACTTTCGAATGCTCAAGGCAGGGAAGCAAGGCTTTTATTTGGGCTGGCGCTAAGCAGGAGCGCAGACCGACGATAGCTTCAGGGTCATCTTCTGCGGGACTAGGATGGCGTTTGACCTTCACCTAGCTGATGCTCCAACTATTGGCTAGGCATCAACAAAGTATGGGCAAACTCAACGGTCGGAGTGGTCCTGGGTGGGAAGAACATGTAAAAAGTGATGGATAGATTATGGTGGGATGGGCTCTTTTTTCACGGGGCCAGGAGTGAAGTTACAACCAACCCATGCCTCAAACTGCCTGCGCCTTCTTCTACCTTCTAGACTACACAATGCACATACGAAGTACACAATAATCACCCATCATGATGACTCCATCCCCTTAGGACAACTCTCTGCAGACTACGGCATCCTACGCAAGCTAGGGCGATCATGGGAGCTGCAAAACAATGGCACTGATATCCAATGGAGCGGAAGGTGAGCAGCAGCGCCGACAATCTACTGCGGCGAGTAGCTCTAGACGGGCAAATCACACCGATGAGCACCGCATTCTGGCCACTGATAGGCCGGATTTATTCAGAAATCGACGCGCCTTGAACAGGAGCGTGCTTCGACGGCAGCTCCTGCGCAGACACCGGTTCGAGCAGGACGACGCATCATCTGACACCACGTCGACTGGCCCAGCAGGCGGTGAGCTGGTGTGATGATTGTCCGGGGAGACGGCCACACGAGAGATGAGCACGAGCGTGATATGAACATCCATGGCTGGTCATGGCAATGATAAACAACGCGACCGTTGAGGGTTGCTTCGGAAACACGCCCCATAAGCCCTCAGTTACAGGCTAGACAGGGATCGAACCACACCCACCAAGACACCCACGTCCCAAACCTTGGGCTGACCGAGCGCAGACCAAAGGGACACCAGCACGCACCGGGGGACACCGGCGCCATGCGCCCGGCTTGCAGAGCCACCTAGCGACCTAGTGACCGCCGACCACTGGCTGGATGGCAGATGGCAGCTCCATAACCGGGCCCGGATGGTTCAAACTGCCAGACCGCAACGCTTTCTCCTCTCCGAAAGGTCCGTCCCGATGCATAATGAGATCATTCTTCTCGATTCTTCGCGATTGACAAAGTTGTGGTTCTATAGAACTTGTGTCCTGCAAGTGGTCCATTGCGTGTTCCGACACCGAAAAGACAACACCGCTCGACATGAACCTGTTCCTCAGGCCCCTGCTGACCCAAACAGCTACTCTACTCTTCGCCACCACCATGTTACACCAAGCAATTACAACAGTCAACTAGCCGAGACGAACCCATGGTTTCGAATGAATGATGCCTGCCAAAACAGATGGGATGGTGGAACCCTTGCATCCGCCAAATAGGCCAGCCATGCATGCGGCAACCCAAGCGAAGAACACCTACCATCCATCGCGCAGTCATACCCCGAACACCAGTCATTGTTAACACTAGAACTTGAGTTGAAACCTCTCGCGGAGTCGGCCTCCGAAATAATAGAATAACAGTGGACTTGGGGCGATCAGAACTGCCACGAACCCAAAGCAGCTGATTCCCCAGCCGTAGCCGACTTTGTCAAACAGCTGGGGTGCAAACAACGGAACCAGTCCACCCACCAAACTCCTGAATACAGACCCTCCTGCAATGGCCGAGGCAGCGTACTGCGAGAATGAGTCGATGTAGTAATTTTGCACTGCGTTGAAGACAACCACCTGTCCGACCCCGTAGAAGTACGTCGCCGCGATGCTGACCACCCAGTGAACTCGGTACTGCACCGTCCATGCGAACCAAAACAAACTAGCAGGGATCAAAATACTGCCCACGTTGGCAAGCGGCAGACGAAATTCCGGCAACGACTGCCCCTCATTCTTCGCCGTCAACTTGTTGAACACGGTATCGATGCGAGGTACCAGGAAGCGCACCGCGGTCAAGAACCCTAGTCCAGGACCAAGGTAAAGTAAGCCGATCTGCTCAGAGTTGAGGTTGTACGGTGCGTCCGAATAGATTTTCTGCATGTTGGTGTAGATGCTGTATGTGGTGCCGAATATCAGGGCCTGGTAGGAGCTCATGACCAAGACAATGGGCTGCACGAAAATCACAAACGGTCTTTTCATACTCGCCCTGAGTTTCATCGACAGAGGACGCTCGTCCTCGCCTTGGAAATGGATTTTTGTGGATTTGCCTGCCTCGTTTTGAAGGTGTGCTTTACGCCGCCCGAGGAGGACCGGAGCGTAAGTTTCTCGCAGCAAGAAGCATCCTATAGCCGTGTTGATGGCGCAGACAATTGTAAGGACCTGCGACATACGCCTCTGTCAGTACTTCTCATACCCAAGACCATCACCAAGTGTTGCAAGGGGAGACGGGACGGATCCTGACTGACCCAGTAGATCCATCTCCAGCCCAGCCGACTGACAATGATGCCTCCAAATAGAGGACCCAAAGTCGGCCCTGAGATACAGACAGATAATAGTTAGCTGGCTTCCAATGTCTTTCCTCACGAAATGCCCTCTCCAGACTCACCTAGCAGCGGACCAAGCAGATACCATCCAAAGATCCCAGCCCGTTCCGACGGGTCATACATGTCGGAGATGGTTCCGCCGCCATTGGCCAGGCCGACACCTGTGAACAAGTGCGTGAGCGACGGACCAAGTTAACAAAGTGCATCTTATTACTAAGGCGACCAGCGCAATGCAGCAGAAGGAAGGAACTCTTACTGCCAAAGAAGCCAGAAATGGCTCGGACCGCGACGAGGGTGCCGATATTCGGACTCAGCGCCGAGCCCGCCTGCAGCAGCGTAAAGATGGAGAAACAGCAGATATACAGGGTCCTTCGCCCAAAGGTTTCCGAGAACGGCGCCAGGACCAGCGGGCCGACGCCCAACATGACGACAAAGCCGGTCGTGGTGGCGATGACCTTTTGCTCGTCGGTGTGCAGGTCGCGCGCGATCTGCGAGATGCCCGGGGTGAACATGGAACTGGCCAGTGGGCTGAGGATGGCCATCAGCGCGATGATGGCCACGTTGGTCATCTTCTTCCTACCGCTCCACGCCTTGGGGTTCTCCTCGTCGTCAGGGCCGAATTCGATCTGGCGCGTGGCACAGCTGTCTTCGCTATATTGGCTCGCCAAATCTGCGTCGCACCGCAGGAGAGGCCGCTCTTCGTCGTCATCATCGTCCTGCCGGCGAGGCATGAGAACGACGAGATGAGGGATGTGGGATGGTGCATTTGCTGTCGGGATTCAGATCAGAGAGCTTGGAATTCTAAGGCAAAAAGAACAAAGGACCAAAATACACATCAAAGAGAATGCAAGGTACGAAGTCTAGTTGACTCCCTGATTGGGGTTTGCGGGTTGGCCAAATGGTGACGAATCGACATCGAAATAGACTCAGTCATGTCCTCATTGCGGGTGGCGCAATACAGTGTCCGCAGCCACCAATCTCCCTCCAGTCCGTATCCGTCCAGTACATCTCAATCAAACTCTACGGCAAGGGTGAAGTACTCTGTATGTGCGCTGGCCCTTGCATACCTAGGTACCAACAGTGCTATATTCCTCTGTCTACTTTGCAGCTGTCTCTCCTCTACTAGAGCTCGGAGTCCTAGGTGTAAGTCATTCTACAGCACCATTATTGTGTACGAGAGCAAAGCAGGATTCGGTCAAGATTGCAGTGCATTGATGTAGTAGCTTCAGCAACGCAGGCATTCGTGTCACAATTGAGACCTTGACATTGCCCAAGGCAATTCATTGTGAGTTCATCTTGGACCGGACACCAACTCAACCAATATGGTGGTAGTCTCTTCGTAAAACACAAACTATTGTCCTCGTACAGCAATAGCCCCGAGAACTGTAAACCTCTGACATTCCCAAGACGAAACTTGTTCGTGGAGCGCACTCCAATGTAGGGATCCAACCTGGAGGTTGCTCGGTTGGAACATCGCGTGGGGGACTGGGAGACTCTTGGTACAAGGTCTGATCATATACACTGTTTCCAACGCCCCCTCCATGTTGCTGCCAACAACGTGCCTAGTCTTGTTTGCCAACCACGTCCTTCTCGTCAAAAACAAGGCCGACGTCCTCCAGATCATCATCGCGGTGGCTCAAATTGCTGCGTTGGCGTGTGTGGCAGGCATCGCACGCATTGCGTCGACCGTCACATCTCTTTCGCACAGCGTAAACTAGGATGGCGACAAAGGTCCCCATCAGACCCAAGGTAATAGCCAAAGCTGCAATGTCAATGAATGACACTCTGAAATCATCGGCCCAGAAAGCTTCACTGACATTGCCTGGTGTTACTGGCGCCCGGATACTGTTCATGGACCGAATTTGGCCAGAAGTATCACTCGACATGATGGTGTGGCAGGATGGACAATTAGTGGAAAGATGACAGGGTACGAAGACTGAAAATCCGGGGCCAGACCTAGGTAGTATGAATGAGAACTGGTTGCCTAGCTTGTCGCCGCTTTCGATCTGGCCGTTGCAATGCGGAAAGACAGTAGATGGTCGCCTGCGTACCCGCCCTTTGAATCAATGACGATAAATGGCTTGAGGGGTCTTTGAAGAAGTAGAAGGTGGATTTTCGGTTGCTATGGATTTGATAGGGTCCAAGGATGATGTCGGTAAGAGTCCGATGAGAGAGATGGTGCAACAATAGGTGCTGCAGGAGAAGGGTGATCGCGATATTTGTGATGTAGATGAGTCACTTCTAGGCAACCACCATCTCAAGAAAAGTCGTTAAGTCGAAGTCTCCCAAATACACCAGTAGTCAATGTCACTGTTCTTCACTGACAACGGGAGGACGATCGCCCATTTTGCCCAGCAACCCAGTGCAGCCTCCGAAGCTGGATGACAACGACTGGTCCCGCAAGACCGCCCATTGATTCTGCGATGCTCGCTGGAGCCACAGTCATCATGCCAGCCATGGCAACATAAATCCCTGAGGCCAAAGTAGGCTGTAGCTGTATCCTGGTGCTGTTCACCTTTCCTGTCCCCTCTCGTTCGTCTCCGATGGCCGTGCGCCCTTTACTTCTTTTCGCGCCAGAACAGTGGCCATCCACTCCTCGAACTCTTCTTCGGCATCCTTTTCCGTTTTGCCCGTGCCATCAACACCGAGCCCACCCCTAAGCACTTTTCTTGCGTCCTGCATGCTGTTGATGTTCAGGTACCACATCGTTCCTCCAGTAGCCATCATAGCGAGACTGAGGACATTGATGGTTGCAAGGTTCAGTGCCTCCATGGCCTCCATGGCACCGCTGACCTTGGTGGATTGTTCTGCTTGGTGCGCAGGAGCATTCGCATAGAAGGCAGGGCTTGTAGCTAATCGCTTCCGCGCGAAAGACCTGCGCGTGATCAAGACGGAGAATGCGAAGAATGCGACTCCAGCACCGAATATGACTTTGTTTCTATTCGGCCGTTCGGTCTGTGGTAGCTGCGGATTGGCTGGCTTAGGAGCTTCGAGTATTGGTTCTGGGTTAACTGCAGCCTCTTCGAGCAAGCGCTTTTCATCTGACGCGGAATGGGCAGCAGGCAATGGGGAGGAGGCTTTCGAAGAGGTGAACAGAGAGGTGAACCACGACATTGTGCAGACGAGGCTTGTTGGACAAGGTGGTTCGGAGATGGTGAACGTGCAAAAAAAAAGGAATGGAATTTGGAGAGATCCTCCCTGGAACGGGCTATCACGTGATGGGGTTCAACAATGCCGCGGAAGGAGGCATCTACTAATAATATTGCCGGGCAGTGGCCTTCTTCACGTTTGTTGAGATCTATTACTCTGGCTTCCTACCAACCAGGCTTCCAGCACGATTTCTACCTTGGAGGAACCAGCATCGGCCATGAAGCCTCTGAACTTGAACAAGAACAAGTTTGCAATCGAGCTTGCATTGCAGGACGCTTGCCCAAGCCGGCCAAGTCCGCCCGTTTCGTGACTTCTCAGCCAGCCGTCGCGTTTCGCTATGAGCGACCAACCTGCTTTGGGCAATCTACATGCTCATTATGGAAATCACAGCCCAAGTTCATGCGCCAACATTGCGTTCTGACAGCTGCCACCGAACAGTCAAATCGTGAAGATCCCCAACCCCCCCCGGATTTCGACGGTTCCGGTCCGAACCCAGTTCAGCCCTCCAGAAGGAGAGGCGCCATGCAGTGCACTGCTCGAGCATGTTGATTTGAAGACCTGCGGTGAACCTCTTCCCGACCAAGCAGCTCGTCCTCTTTCGGTCAGCTTTTAGTCTGAAATTCTCTCGCATCTTCGATCGCTCCGTCAGGCAAACATGAACCCGAGGCGAGGATAATACATTTACCAGGTCATATCAAACGAAGGACCACTCTGTGCAGGTATTTATCCTCTATACTATGCTGAAACCTGCTCGTCCATAAGATCGCAATCTGGAAGTTTGCTCAGGTCCAGGCAATTGTTCGGACAGAATCCCGACTTCGACTCCGTCTCGAGAGGCTTGATTTCTCACCTCTGCCAGAGCGGTTGAGCCTGTGACGAAACTAGAACAGTATTCGCCTCTCCGCCTTGTATGCTCTCACTACGGTGGATGGGCCGCTGACCATGCTACTTGGCCACAAATAGATCTTCCGAACGCGTTGTCTTTGACCTTGTATCCACTCGGCTTGGCCTTTTCGCAACTTTTTCAGCAATGGGCGGGGGCTTGAAGCTGTGAAACGGGCGTATGGCGCCTGCATGAGCCCCCGAAGGGGTGTCAGGAGGAATAGCCCGCCGATGGCTGCTGCCGCTCGAGCATGGTCACCCATGGTCATTTCCACCGGTGTCCCAAACGAATCGACGTAGCCTGCCATCTTGCGGAGTTCAACAGGTATATGTGGATACTCCATTGGTTCATGCGGTAGCGTGAGTGTAGTCCTGTTCCCCAAGTGAAATGGGACTGAGGCGCAGAAGCGGTCGGCAATCTCCTGAATCTGCTTCTCGATGTAGGCACCAAGTTCAGGATCTACGTCAACACCCAGACACTCAAGCTCGTTGCTGCATAATGCGATAAGACGCAGTGCTCCCACGTGGACACTTCGTGCAGTATTGTGGGTGTGAGAGATGGCCAGCGAGGAATACACATCGCACATGTTGTTGTAGAGGCCTGCGGCTTGTATGGACGGATGAAGTTCCGAAGCCGGCACAGCTACCGGGCGCCACGACTCTGGCAGCGACTTCGTCCAAGCGTCTAGCTTCCTGCCAATGCTGAGTGCCCGGCTGATGACCGTCTGATGGAACTCGACCAGGCTCATACCTGCCATTTCCGGCCCGTCGCGAGCCAGTATGTTGACAGCTGTAAGCTCAGCTTTCAAGAGGTCGAGTTTAGCCGAGGGAAGAATGGCGGGTCTTTCATCAAGTAGTTCGGCATCGAGCTGGACCCGACAACCCACCTCCAAGCAGTAGTTGATATGACGGCCACGTAGGGCCAGAAACAAGCGCTGTGACAGCGGTGTATTGAAGTTGCTGGGGCCTCGGTGCCGTAGCAGTGCGACGCCTCCTTGCTGATGCGTCCCGGTGTCCACGAAGTCAATGAATCGTCTGTTGAGAGAGTCGTAGAAGTCCAGCATGTATACGGCGGCAAGAGTGTCGTCGGTTCTGGACTCGACCGAGTCCTGCAGGGCAGTTTTGACAAGAGACACCGCATTGAGATACGCTTCGCGCGATGCAGAAGAGTCGGCAAACCGAGGCATCCACATCTGGGCGACGTGGATGGCTACCGCCGTGACTGCCTGGCTCAACGCCGAACTGGCCGGCGCACTCAGATATAACGGGAGAATATGCTCGACGAAGATATTGGTGGTAGGGTCGCGGGGGGTGTTGATGTAGTTTGAGACAAAGAAGCATAGCGACCCATATTCGACGTCCCGAGATGGCTGAAGGAGAATGGCGGGACCCTCCTCATACTTCCTCAACGCCAGCAACGGTGACCACGGCCTGAGCGGCTCAGCAGTCTCAGGAACCTGACTGGGACTTTCCTGCGCAGAATCCGGGCTCGATCTCCGCCGGTTGGGTATCCTGGAGGAACTGGAAATCGTCGACGTCTCATCCTTGAAGTATGCGTCAAGCAAGTCTCGATAGCCGGGGCATTGCTGTTTTCGTTTGACACAGTTGCCACATTGAGGTTTGGCCTCGTCGCACTTTGACTTGTCAGGATGCGTTCATTTCGACCAGAGCATGGCTAATGCTAGTCTCATCAAAACCTCACCTTCACTCGCCGCCGACGGCAAGAATGACATCCCCGACTTGGGCCTTTATACACCATATCTGCACGAAGCCATTTATCATCGGGTAGAGAGAGCCATTAGAGCCAGTTGAGACTTGGGGACCAAGGACAAAAGTAGTAGTCGCTGTTCAGTCGCATCGACGACACAGCACAAGGCGGCGTTGTTCTCAGCGGTCGATCCGCCGGTGTGGCGCTCACCTTCTTAGATGTAATTGGGTCGCTGACACCGAGGTAGGAGAGGTCTGAATGCGATACGTAGTGAACAAGGATGAAGCATTGGTCGGTCGACCTTTTTGATTTCAGTCCGGAGCCGGAGCCGGGGCTTAGGCCTTGATTTAAGTCCGGCTTGGCAATATGGCTGCGTATTGAACTTCAACTTCATGGGACAAACTGTCAGGCTGTTGACATGGGACTGGGATGCCACTGGCCCCAGGCTCCATCTGGCGTTGATATTGCCGACAAGTTGATAGATACGTCCCCATGATTCCAGCTCATAGAATCTCCCGTTTCTAAAGTGAGTCGGTTGAAGAGCATGTCGAGATGCGAGGGCGACGACGACGACGACAACAATAACAACAGCAACAACAGGAGTGTGTGCCTCTCCGTACGGGCGGAGCAATCAAGAGGGCTGCAATAACGGTCTAGCCCCGGCTCTGACTCTCCTTTCCCCTTTCCCCTTGCCTGGTACCAAGACCATCTTTCTGGGACTTTGGTGTACTGGAGAGCTGGAACTTTTCCCCATGGCACATACATAGTCTTTTGTGCCATCCGTTCAAGGGTGCTTTTGTTGACCTCGCAGGGTGGAGGTGGACTGTGTCTGAGCCCATGATCCTGTCGGAGACACGAGAAAGACTGGAGGAAGCGAGAGACTGAGAATATCCCGAGTACGGATATCTGTTAGTGGCAATGCAAGTGAAGAACTGGAACATCAACATCACGAGGCTTCACAGCTTCACAGCACCAGGCCTTCACCCCCTTCCCTGCTCCAGAACCGTACGGATCACCTGACTACGTGTTTAATCACACCTTCATATATGAAGTTGCAGAAAAGTCCTCTCAACCACGGCGACGGTTACCCAGCATCCTAACAGCAACAACAACAACACACCACAAAACAGGGTTCGAATCCCACAAGCGACCACCTTTTGACCATGTCACGACCAAAAATAAGCACGACCATAAATATCGATCAAAAAACCCAATGGGATAAAACCCGGGTTTTCACTCACTCACCAACCCCTATACGACTGGGCTTGTGAGACGTGTTTTTTGCCCATTTCAACGGCTGGCCGAACGCGAACAGCACTTTGGAAGGAAAAGATAAGACCAAAACACGTTCCTACAGTGCCAGCTCCCGCGCCAACGCCAACCAACTCCATCATTTCTACCTCGATCTCAAGTTCTTCACCACCGCGTCGAGGGTCTGTTGCTTCTTCTTTTGCGCGGGCTCTTTGTTCGTCACTCTCGTCCTGCTCCTCCATCCCTGGTGGTCGCCGCCATCTTGGTGTCAGTGTCGGTCTTGATCTTGGTCTCCTGGGCTCTGATCGGTTTGACTAGAACCGTGCTGCTCATGTACCATATCAGCGCCAACAGTCTCCAATCTGCGTTGCTTGCCATCCAGCAGCGCCGATTTGACTCCGCTTCGCTGGCGCTTCACACCGCGAAACCCTAAGTCTGCGTCGGACGACACGGACTTGCCATCCGCCTCCTTGCCCTGTTGCTCCTCGAGCCCAAACAAGCTCCTCCACTCGCCGCTCAGCACCCTCTCGTCGTCGCCGTACAGGCCGACCTCGTACGCCTGCTTCATCTTGTCTAGGCAGAACTGCCTGCGCTGGCTGAAATCGAACATGGGCTTCGGGTAGAGCCTCTGGCCAGGGGGAGTAGGATGACTTTTGTCACTGCCGGCACCACCACTGCTGTTGCTGTCCATCATCGCCCTGGCACCAGCTCCATTGCCCGTACCATACCCAGTCGTCGAGGTCGAGGCAGCATAATGTTCAAGTCCATACCCATCACTCTTGACCAGACACCCCCACCGCTTCTGGTCGGCTATTGGCGCCTTGTGCGGCTCGTAGATGAACTGGTCATCAAAGCCCGCGAGTTCAGGCACATAGCGCCTGACGAATTCGCCACGGCGATCCCACTTCTTGGGGAAACTGACGGGCGAATAGACGCGGTGGAACTGGGAGAAGAAGGCGGAGCAGCTCAGCCACATCCAGTTGCCGGCGTTGCACGCGACCTCGTGGTCGAGCAGCCACTCCTCAAACACCTCGGCGCCGCGCTCCCACGAGACATAGCAGCCGCCGCGGGTCAGGAAGCATGCCACGGCGTGCCGGCCCAGGTGGTGGATCCAGCCTTCCTGCCGGAGCTGGCGCATGAGCGCGTCGATCCACGGGAAGCCTGTACACCCGTATTTCCAGCGCTGGAAGTATTCTTCCGCTTGCGGGTCGTCGACCATGTAGCGGGACTCGGGCTCGGGCTCGCCATCATCGCGTAGAGATCCAGTGGCAGGGATCCCCGGATACTTCGACAGCAACGCCCACGGGACAAACCTGGCCACGGGATTCCCTACCGCCTGGCCGAACGACGCGCCCACGGCAGCATACGCCGCGAAGTACATGTCTCGAAACAGCAGCTGGCCCGGCAGATTGACCGGGTGAGGACTGACGGGTTGCTTGGCGAGGCGTCGGCGCTCCAGCACGTCCTGGACCGCCCACCAGAACCGCCGCACCGAGACGCTGCCGAAATGCATGTGCGGGCTGAGCAGGGTTGTCGCGGGCCGGTCGAACGCCGTGGGCGCTGTGGCGGGCTTTTCGAACGTCGCTATGTACGTTTCGTCCGTGACATGGGCCGCCAGGAGAGCGAGGCCCGCGGTTTCACCACCCTGGCGATACAATGACTGGGTCGTTGACGTTGTGTTGCCACCGTTGCCACTGCCTGTACCACTGCTGATAGTGCTGGTTGCGTCAGTGTCGGTGTCGGCGTCACGGTGAAGCTGAGGGCCAACCACGCCCATTTCCTCCAGCGTCGGGATCGAAAACGTCCCCTCCGGCCCCATCAGGCCTGCCGAGAACTGTCTGTCGCTGAGGCCCATCCCAGGGAACGACAGCGACCTGGGAGAGGCTTTGAGGGGAGAAGATTTAGGGGGAATGTCTAGATGTTGGGCTGCATTGGAATCCATACCCGAGCGCGCAGTGGACATGTCTGGGTGAGCCTGAACGTTTGTCTTGGTCTGTGTCTTTTTTTCGCTCTCGTTCTCGTTCTCGTGCTCGGTCTCGTGCTCGGTCTCGTGCTCGGTCTCGTTCTCGTTTTCGTCCACGGCGGCTTTCAAGTCGCAGCTGACCGAAGGTGCGTCATTGACCTCATGCAGCACAAGGCCATCCAGATTCATCTCGGCCCAATCGAGAGGATCCGGCAAGATTGTCGGCGCATCCAGCGGACGCATCGGCTTCCCGTCGCCGATCTTGCCTGCCGCCTTGACGAGCTGGGCCATGGTCAAGGTCGGCTTGCCGCCGTTGTGCCGGACGACGTCGTCACTGTCGAACAGCGTGCGACCGGCCACGGCGACGACCTTGACTCCGAGACCCTCGGCAATGCGGGTGACGTGGGCGTCTCGGGTGCGCGCATAGGCGTCGGTGTCCTTCTCGAACACCAGGACGTCGATCTTCCACTTGCGCAACAATGCGTCCATGATCGCGGCCGGCGCCGCACGCACCACGTGCAGCTTCTGCTTCGGGTTGAGTTTCGTCAGCGACGCCGACACGTCGTTCATGCATGCGACCAGGAATGCCCAGCGGTTCACGCACCCGCGCTGTCGCTGGCCCAGTCGCTGGCCCAGCCCCTGTCCGCTTGTCGATGCGTATATGTAATGCGGGTCCCATGTCCACAGCGGGATCAACGCCGACGGGTTCAATGACAAGGCTGTCGTCAGGGCAGGCGAGTCATCGAGCCGTAGGTCCGTTCGGAACCAATACAGAACCCGCGGGCCGGGCGAGGAGGGAGAGGAGGAAGAAGAACGGTCCTTGAGTTCGACAGGCATGTTATGTTGAGGAGAGGAGGAGGAAGAAGGGTCCTTGAATTTGGAGGCAGATGAGGAAGAAGAATGCTCGTTGAATTTGACAGCCATGTTATGTTGCCTGCGTGCCTCCTGGCGAGACGGAGAAGGTTATATGGGAATGGAATGGGTCGCCAGTTTCGCTCCGATTGTTGCGGTTCTGATACGAGATTTGGTCCTTCAACGTACCCGTACCCGTACCTGGACAAGCCACCAGTTCTTAAGAGTACATAAGCCCGCAAGCGTGTTCAGACGAGTCAGTTGTGGTTGTAAGCCCGCAGCGTGTTCAGACGTGTCAGTTGTAGTTGTAGTTGTAGTTGTAGGTTGTAAGTTATAAGATATAATCTGTGATGTGGTCAAGGCTCTGGCAATGCAATGCAATGCATCTGTGCTCCTGTTCCTGTTCCTGTCAGCCGCAGACTCCAGGTGCCAGAGTATGTACGGTGTATGGGTGCCGATGTCGATGTCGCTGGATCCGGACTTGACGTTGAGGGACAGTATTCTCCTTGTCCTTAGCTGTACGTGATCTACAGACGATCTGCATCCCTCCAGCTCTGTCTCTGTCTCTGTCTCTGTCTTCCCCCCTAATATTCTACCCGCGTTGGCATGACAGGCCCGAATAAGGGGTCGAGTCTACGGCACGCGTGGAGAAGCGTTAATGTCATGACGACACCAATCCCGAGAGCACCAGTCAGAGCTTCGCCACTTCAGCCTCGTCCACATGTCAAGACTTCATCCATCCTGCTCACACTCCAGCCCACTTGTTTGACTGTTATTGCTCGTATCCAACAGTCTAGGATGGCAATTAGAGGTTTGTAGGAGAGGCACCAGAAACGACACGTTTGCGCAAGATGCTTATTCAATACAAACTGCAGCAATCAGCAGAACACTTGTCATTATTCATTCGCTCGCCAAAGCCATGTACAGCCAACTCCATTTCCTTTTGCTCAACCGTCAGCAGTACTCTTGCCCTGTCTTGGTGCCGGAGCTCGCACTAGCCGTCTGCCGCGCAGTGGCATCACTGGCCGCACAGGTAGGTAGCCGCCCAAGCTGGCTTCGAACCTCCTGCTTGATTCTCACTCTCCTCATCCGGAGACACATTCATTTTTAAAGAGACCACAGCCGGTCCATGATGTAACTCATTTACTTTTATTCCACCAACCAGACAATCGCGGTCGAGGGCACCCGTCTCCTTGGCCTTCTTTTTCATTCTAGGCCGTCGTGGCTTGTGGCTGACCATCTGAGACCTGAGTCACTGGAGGCCGTGTTGGAAACTGTGGTTGACCATCGGAGATCTGGCTAACCGGAGGTGAGACACTAGGAGTAGGATGCCCGTAACCTCCGCTCCAAGTGAAGCTCGAAGAACCCCAACCAGGCGCGGATGGTTGAGAAGGGCTTCCCGACCCGCCGGCTGACAGAATGCCGGACAAAGGTAGGTTTCGGCTTGAGGCGCCAACGTAGATGGTGGGATTGCTCACTTCAACCCAGTTCTGTACGGTAGTGTCCCATACGGAGACATCGCGGCGAGTCAGGTCCACGGTAAAAGTTGCCGATGCACCAGGCGCAATGGTCAGACGATCAAACCCGCGCAAGACCTTCGGCGGTTCTCCCTCTCCCAGTGAGACATATAATTGCGGGACCTCATCACCTTCAACACTCCCGGTGTTGATGATGGTCGCGGTCACGGTCGCAACAATTTCATAGAGGCCTGGGTTGCCACCTGGGGCACCGCCTGCTGGCAGTAGAGGTTGAGATGATCCATCTGTTGCGCCTGCCGGGACATACTCGTCCGCCGGGAGACCGTAGTCGGGGTCGTCGGCCGACCCTTGCAGATCGGTCGAGTTTAAATATGGGTAGATGTACAACTGGGGTCGATAGGTAATGGTTCCGTTAGGGAAGAGATACTGCGAAGGATCGGTACTTGCATTCCCAAGGTCAGGAGCAGGGCCGGTCTGGCCGCTGGTCGGGGTATATGGGGCTGGATTGGCCGGAGTGATGACCAAATTGGAGTATTCAAAGGTGGTGTAACTCAGACCAAATCCAAACTCGTAGACGGGATCAATACCATGAGCATCGAGGTAACGATAATCAATAAAGACGCCCTCGGAGAAGAGATCCTGCGGGGCGTTGAATTGGCCGTTGTTGGGCTCGTAGAAGACATCGGTCCCGTAGTCCTCTCGGTTGCGGGCAATGGTGAATGGAAGCTTTCCACCAGGGTTGATGAAACCATACAGGGCGTCCACAATCGCATTGCCGCTCTCTTGTCCCGGTAGACCAGCCCAGATGATGCCGGTGACATTTTCGTTGTCGTACCATGTCGAAACATTGACGGCACCGACGGTGTGCAGTACCACGATGACATTCTTGTTATATTTGGTCACGTTATTAATCAATCGGTCTGCTCCTTCCCAAAGAGACAGATTGTTGCGATCACCAGTGTTTCCGTCGATAGTTATGAATCCCTCTCCTGACTGAGCGTTGGCGAAGACAAGTGCAACGTCAGCTTGGCTGGCCACATTTTCGATCTGGGTATCGGCGTAGTTGTCGAGGATGGCAAAGACCTCACCGTCGGTTTGAGTCAGGACATATTGCTGGATAGCTTGTTCCGGAGTCACAAGATAAGGAAACTCGGCTGTCCCGCTACCATAGCCCATCGCCAGAGTTCCGTTGTTGCAGTTTCGATTTGGGCAGCCATTGGCACCCCAGGGGTTGCTTCCAGCATCATAACCGAAAATGCCGACTTGCCTCTCCTTGCCGGTCAGCGGCAGCCCGCCGGTGTTCTTGAGCAGAACATTGGAAGCCTGGCCAACCTGTCTGATAACGTTACGATGCTCGTCCTGCACGTTGACATGTTGGTTGACAAGACCAATGGGAGAGTTGGGATCAGCTTGGTGGATCTTGTCGTAGGTGTTTTGACTCCACTGCCAAAGGGGTCAGGATCTTGCTGATAAAACCACCGGGCGTACTTACAGCATAAAAATTAGTGGGTACCGAGTGAGTGTCGCGGCCAACGTAGTAATAGGCTGCCATGATTCTGGTAGCCATGTCATCAACTCGCCATTCTGGAACAGTGCCATTGATCACAGCGATGGTCAAGTTGGTGCCCCAGAAACTATAGCCGGAATTGAATAAAGTGTCACCAGGCATGCTCATATCAAGGCCAGCCAAAGCTGTGCCGACACCGGAGTGTTGAGCTTGCCAGTCGGACATGACGAAGCCTTGGAAGTCGAGTTCGTTCTTCAGGAGGTGGTTCAGGGTGTACGAGTTAGAACAACCGTAAGAATTGTTGACTTGATTGTAGGAGCACATGACTTTACTCACGTCAGGATGCTCGTCAATGGGTTCGGGTCAGAGAAGACGTACCTGAGCCGGTGCCTGCTCGAACCGCATCGGCGAAAGGCCAAAGATAAAGCTCATGGATAGTCTTGTCGTCAATGTTGGCACTGATGGAGCTTGTAATGTTCCATCCGTAACCCTGCGATTCACCCACTTGACGAAAATGTTCCTGCTCGTTGCCAATGAAGTGCTTTGTACACGCAATGACGCCTTGGCTTTGAATACCTTGGATCGTGGGACCGATGAGAGCCCCGGTCAGATACGGGTCGGGACTAAAGCCCTCCTAATCTAGTCAGATACCTAGAAGGTCTGCGAGCGGGCAACGACTGCTCACCCAGTTTCTTCCACCTTCAGGGGAGCGGCCCAACGGACCGCAGACGGGGCCGAGCTGGACATCAACACCTTTGGCTCTGTTCTCTGCACCCATAGCCTCCCCACGGAGTCTGGCAAGATTGCGGTCCCATGTCGCAGCAACATTCATGCCTGCGGGAAAGGCAGAGACATAGTCGGCTGAGAATCAATTAGTACGAGTAGGTGCACCAGGATGGCGTGCAGGCACTGCCAACTCACTATTTCTGACACCTAAGGGTCCGTCTTCCATGCAAAGACTGGGAAACCCGATACGAGGGATCGACCCAACATTTCCGACACAACTCTCAGACTCCCAACTAGCACCTGGTCAATTCAAACAAGGCCCGGTGTGCAGCGTTGAAACATGGACACTCACCCAACGCCAGTGGTGAGGTTGACCTTTTCGAGCAGAGTCAACTGACTGACGAAAGCCCGGGCTTTTTCGTATGCCGCACTCCAATTCCCAGAGCCTGACCCCCAGGGCGACGGGTAACTCGGAGGCGAGGTGTATATGGGCCCATTGTAGTCGTCGTTAAACGGCTGAGTCGCTTGTCGCTTGTGGATGGATTCGGCGGACTCGACAGGCTTCAAGACGGATTGTAAGTACGGGGACAGTTGCAGGGTGGCATTGAGGAAGTGAAAGGTGGAGGCCAGGTGAAGCATTTTTTAGTGGGATAGTATTGGCGATCAAGTTGAATACTCATGGCTAGATCCAGGTGGCCATCCGCGTTGGCTTGGGAAGGTGAAGGGGAGAAACTCACGCTGGCCAGGACATTATTGGGCATCAGCAGCAGCAGCAGCAACGGCAGAGCGGCTAACGCCGCAGCCGGGATGGTGGAAAGCCACATTGCTTGTCAACGACGGACCCAATGGCTAGTGCTGGTTTGGAGTATAGCCTGATTTCGAACAACCGATGTCAACCTAGCCAGACACTGAGAGGCACGTTGGAGAGGTGTTGGACCGTGTGCGCTGACTTGTTGTCGGTCAGCACAAGGGAGGTGTGAGTCTTCGCTAGCCAGCCCGTCGGTCGGTGGTACGTGTGGCAGAACACAACATGCAGCGGTGAATAGAACAGGCCACGGAAGTAGTGTTGGCCGGGGAAGATCTGGAGGGATTCGGAGTGAATGAGTGGATGAGCACGAGATGGAGCTCGAGAGATATTTGAACTAGAAAAGGGCGACGGGATGGAGACGGTTGAGCAGATGCACGTGAATGATACCTCCCATTGTAATCATCATCATCATCGTCTCCATCACTAGAACAGCGTGAGGCCGAGGATGACAGCTGGCGGAGTAGGAGGACGAATGGATCGTCGAATGGATCGTCGACTGGACCGATCATGGGATGGACGGATGAGATGGCCGGCAGGATGAATCAATCACCAGGTTGGTGGCAGCAACTGCCAGTACCAGTACCAGTGACAGTGCCACCACGACGACACAACGCATTCATCCATTGCTTCTAGCATTGCAGATGGCAGCGAGACACGGATCCGGAAGGGCAGGCGCAGGCGCAGGCCAGTGCTACATTGGCACCAAATGGTGCGGTGTAGAAAGAGGCGTCGTAGGCATTTCTTTCCGGCAACAACAACAGCTGAGGTTGCATCCAGACATTAGACGAGGTAGCAGGTACGGACAGTGCATCAGGCTCCTAGGCGGGTAGTCCAAGTAAGCTCTAGGTAGCAGGTACACTCCGAGGGCAGCCTCCCAAGCCGTGCAACGACAGCATGATCCCGGGAGCGGTGTCATGTACTACCCCGCAATGCTGCCTAGCTCGTCTGCACCTGCTACGTGCCTGCAGGTCATTAGGTACCATCACTGGCAGTGCCACAGAGGGCCATCCCCCTACTGTAAGCCCCTAAGCCCCTAAGCCCCTTAGCCTCCTGAGCCCATCCCGTCCCGCCCCATTAGGAGAATCCTCCGCTCCCAGCGCCTGGAAGTCCAGATTCATGGTCAGCGTGATCCCTGTCAGGGCCGAAGGCTTGAGGGACCCCGCCTATTATTGACGCCTCCCCCGCATGTGTCCTGGCCCGCAGATTATCCTATTTGTTTGATGAGGCCCTTCGACCCATCTACTGCACGTCGGTAGGTACTTATATGCTTCTGCGCTTCCCATGCCCTCACACTCACTCTGCCACAGACCGGTATCCAATTGCAACACATGCTTGCCTCCATCCGCTCGCTGTGACTCTCTGCTATCCTGTCCCACCTCTGCACCTGCTGACATTCAAAATGAAACTTTGCTCCCCCCGCCTACCGATCGCGCCGAATCAGGTTCAACGGCCACCTTGACAGGTCTTTTCGCAAAAGCATCGGCAAGTTCTGAAAGGGTGCTGTGCTTATGACCAAATCCCGCCGCGGGGCCCCAGTTCACTGTCACCTACCGCTCGCCGTTGCAACCCAAGCACAAACTTCGACTGTACTCTGAGAGGTTGAACAAGATGAACATGCCCATCCACATCGACCTGCTCCAAGGGTCTGGTCCTCTGCGAGATCTACCACAGATGGCGCGTCGGGTGTCTCAGTGGAACAGTCCTCCGCTCGGCGACCTTCTGAAGTCAGCAGGTCTCATGATCTAAGAACCCGCAAAAGACGTAGAAGGAGTTGTATCATAACGTCACTTGCTGAACACGGGGCAAATTGACGTCGGTCCACGTTGGCCTCCCTCGCATTGACCCTAGTAGCTGTGCTCCTCTCCCATCACTCCTCTTTCTCGGATGCGATACCGTCCATTCCTTCAAGCATCTCTTTCCCAAGAACATAGATCATATAGACCGGAAATATAAGCCAAAGTCCATTGGGGAGAACCCACAGCAGCAGCAAGTCGGGCAGTGTGTTGTGGCCAACATTGGCAAATCCCGAGAAATATTCATTAAGCCCTGAGGCGTATCACATTGTCAGTCAGCTGAAACCCACACACTGAAACGAGTCGACTTACAGTACAACACAGTCTTGCTCAGGGTCATGACCGTAGCAGAAAACAGCACCAGCACAGCCTTGGCCACGCCGGGTCCCGCGATGGCCTGGTCACGTTTCCCGACTAGCAACCCATTAAGGTCGCTGAAATTTAAAACTCCTGGGGCACCATTTCTGAATACTACAGCCAGGTAGTAGATGTACATGACCGTTTCAGCCACATTTAATGATGCCTGTGCCGCAGTAAATCCAACATGTCCATTCCATGCAGGCCAGCCGTAGACATAGTCGACCGTCCCATAAAGCGCGTATGGCTTCCATAACGGCCAATGCAAGCTGCCTCCAGGCATTGAGTGTGGTCGACAGAAGATGTAGCCCGTGTCCCAGAGCACCAGGGGAAGCGAGACCCAGAGCCAGATCAATAGGAGGGGTGGAACCTTATGCAGGTACCTGGCTTCAGACGCCGACGATGCCCGTCCAGCAGTAACCGTCCCATCTGATCGGCGCTTTCGAGTGCTCCTCGAGGACACGGCAACTGCATTGTTGGGTGGCGGGGAAGAAGACACCTTCGACGCTGGTTCTGCGGTGTTGGACCGGCTGGATCCAGTGGGTGACGCTGGCTCCGGGAAAGGGCGCGGGTGGTGTCTCGTCGACACCATCACGAGGGCTGCGTCGGTGACCGGTGTGGAAGTGGAAAGTCGCGGATGGTCTTGGTCTTGCCTCGATGGCGATTCCTCGCGGCGCAATAGGTTGTTGAACAAACGGGTGTATCTTTTCGTCTGGTGGTATATGTGCCGCAAACAATATCTTGCCCTCAAGTGTCTATCTCTTCACACAAGCGCAGCGGTTCAGACTACCTTTGACCGTCTGTGGCAGCAGGGTTCTGGCACACCCTTGGAGATGTGGCGTGTACACGTAGACTCGAATAACGCATTTCTTGGGGGAGCAACTTGGTAAGGTAGGGACTGGTGCACAGGGGTTTCCGGCCTAATTATCTCTCGACGAGGTGAAACACGCCTCAGCGCGTTGCGACCGCAAGGAGGGGAGTGGTGACCACTGACCACCCGCAGCTCCTCTTCCACCAAACCTGGAATCTCGGCTCGAAACGATCCGGTCCCACGTCAACACCATTGTCTTGTTGGTGATTGGTGCAAATTTGACCGTAGCCTGTACGCACTTCGTAGTATTAATAGGTAGTAGTCTCGGACGACAGCTGTTTCTTTTCATTCTGTATCCGTGGCCATGATATAGTCGTTCAGACCTTGACGAGGCGGACATTGAACGCTTGGTGCAGTTCGCGCTCATATAGCATGAACAGACCAACCCTCCCAACCCCTACCTATTTCCACCCAGACCCAGCGAGATGAAAACACAAAGAACGAGTATAATCTTTAGGCAAGTCGAGAACCATGACCGGTGAGCCTTCAGTGGTTGCAGCCTACTGGCAGCAGATAAAACAGAAGGTCGGGGAGCAACTTGGCACCAGACACGAGGCTTCACTGCACTTCGGCAGAACATCCCCATTCAGCCTTGCTAACACATGGCACCAAAAATGAAGGGTTGAATATGTGAAGTTCCCAAATTCTCCCAACAATTTCTCATATCTATCCCGGGTTTCAGCCCTAGCTCCACAACTGCTAGGCTAGCTGAGGCGTGAGGGTGTGGCCACCAGATATGAGGCAGCTTATTCTTGGGCGAAGCCGTGAATCCTAGAGGCGGACCCCTGACTGGACTGACTCTGAGAAAAGCATTACTCCTGCACTTTACCGGTGTTAGCAGTAGTGAGCCTACAGACGATGGAAGAAGGTCTCTACCATTCATGGCCTCAACCGTGAGGACCTATGGTAGGAGATAACCTGACGAACACGACCGGATAAAAAACCTCGTTCTCATCTACTTAGTAGATGAGGAGGTTTCTCTTCCTCTGAACCTCAACCACCCATGTGGGTAGTTGGGCTTCAGAGGACTAGAGTTTTTGTTGCCCACGCCAGACGAGAGGACAGGTTCGAATCCCATGGGGCGCATTTGTTTTTGGTTATTTTTTCGATTTGTTTGTGAAGTGCCTGTGTTCATTTCAGTCGCCAAGCATATAGAGAGATCATATGCCCTGCGGTAGGGCACATCACAGGAACATGGACTGAAGCGAACGGGAGTGCATCACTGCAACTTCCTGATATGAATCTGATCCCCTTCCAACTCGGTCGAACTGTCCTTCCGAGGCCTCTCAGAGATGAATGGTGCTCTACAAATATATGGTCCAAAAGATGTACTGATGTACACCAAGAACACGGAACACATCGCCATAACTCGTGAAAAACGATGTTCGGTTCCTTGAGTCATCTTGACCAGATATTCCTTGATATTGAAGTGGTTATTCCAGGTTGCGGTGCCTTGCCCACAGCTTGATTCTATGGACCTTCAGTTGTTATCATAGTATAAAGATTATATCCAGGTACGAGACCTTCACTATCCCCTGTGACCGACGCAGATGAGACAGATGCCTCGGCCTTGTCAAAGTCCATAGAGATACTTCAATCTTGCTCACATTTCAGCATCATCGCACATTGGTATCAGGTACAAAAAGGGGCCCTTCGAAAGCTCGAAAAGCAAGCCATGTCTTCCTTTGCATTTATTTGTCATCGTCCTGCCACACGTCCTTTGTGTGGAAAATGTTCTATCAGTCACCAGCTGCCACACTACTCCGTGGCTAAATTTTGAGATAAACACCGCAGCACCTGAGTGCACGTATGTTAAACCGTCCTTGCCTATGTGGCTATACCCAGTCGGGCGTGGCCGCCAACATGCCGGTGAGTGAGCCCTGGACATTGCGGCGGGAGACAGAGCAAAGTCAGACCACTCTTGGAGACTATTCAACACGCTCAATTGCATCGATTAGGACTACCGGAGCTGACTGCCAGTCTTCATTCTGATCTTTCTCGAACTTCAGCTATGGACGCAGACCGTGGACTGTTGTAGGGATAGTGCGCAGTCCAAATGCAGTGTTGCTCATCATCGTTGTCTGGTACCGCAGCGGAAATGAGGCGGACAGTAGATGGCCGTCCGGTATTTGCACTTGCCTTGCCTGGCGTTCGGACTTGAAAATGCAGCGGAGTCTATTTCAAGGTACAATATCAGGTGGAACGCGCACTTTGCACTACTCTCGATCATCCTCGTACGATATGCAAGATTGGCCCCCAACGAATAGTCAGCTTAGCCGACTTGCTCGACTGGTGGAATCGCCTCTGGATCATCAGGGCTAGGAGTATCTTGTGCAGGGTCCGTCTCGAACAATTTGGCGACAACGTCTGGTCTAATTATGTCTCTCCGAAATTGCTCCTGTTGTAGAAGTTCAAGATTCCGAAGAGTTGCCCCCGGGTGCGTCAGATATTTGACATAAACCGGAGTTCGCCAGTATTCGTAAAGATATTTGAGGTATCGTGCAAATCGCGCAGCATCACAATCTGCGATCTCGGCTGTCCCTTGGGATGCTGTCGGCGTATTGAGTAGATGGGGATAATTCACAGCCAGATATTGAAGATAATGAGGATTCGCGAGGCAGAGGACAAACTCGAGCTCGAGCGTAAAGCGATGTGAGATGGGAGCAGGAGGTGAGGTATGCTCCATGATGCTCAGTGGTCGGGCTCAACGATCCCGTGGGACAAAAACCAGCAATTTCTCAGTAAGCCAGCGGGTGGTGAATAGAAAGCAATTTTGCCAAGTGACGTCAAGGCAGTCACTTTGTAGTGGTGCGCAATGCAGGAGACACGTGTCTAATATACGTGGATGGTTAGGTTCAATTGTCGACCTAACGGAATGTTCCTGTTGCAGTTCGCTGGCGGGAGCAAGTCGCTCAACTGGTTTGGGTTGTGGACCAGTGGCAAAGCCAAAGGGAACACGACCCCAGGCCGGCTGACAGTTTCCGTGTCGGGTTTGAGTTCGAGCAAGGGGCGGAGAAGCTGTTGACCTGTCCCCCAGGTACGGAGTATGCTGACAGTGGACGGACTCCCTGCACCTAATTAGGCTCTCTTGAGTGATGGGTGCCCCGGACGGCCAACGTGTACGGAGTATGTCGAGGGATACTGGGATGTTGGCACCAGACTCGATGCTTGACTCGCCGACTTGGGTTTCAGTCTCTCGATCAGAATATGGTGGCTCAAGACTCTGAGTGGATGGAGGTAGGATGGAGTGAGGCTGTGCTGTACGAGCACCTAACGAGTAGGAGACTGACTGTTTCGGGTCTCCAGAAGAAACCAGGCCAATGCCTAGGACGGCAAAGGGGGGACGATCACTGTGTCAAAACCTGCAAGTTGAGCAGACAGAAGAGATTCGCCGTCCGCAAAGCTGGTAGGCGATCTTTAGGCTCGCTGTCGCTGCCCTGCCAGAAGTGTCAGTCAGTTGCTAAGGACCGTTGCCAAGTTTGTTCCAGGCTGTCTGCGCTCAGATCGAGACGTGATCGAGTTGGGAGGGCTAGAGTCAATAATGTGTCCGACCGTTGGGATTAAGACCATTAACGAATATATAACAGCACCCGGACACGACAATATCAAATGGGGATGGAGGTGGTTGGCAGTGCTGTTCGGCAGTGTTGGTGCCTGCGTTTCCGCCAAAGATCGGTTATGCACCTGCGCCTGCCTGCCTGCGCAGGTCCCTCTCGGCTTCTCTTTGCTGCTACAGGATTCCCCTACTAATAATAATAATGATAATAATGGCCTGACTCTCCTCGTTGCCAGTCAACTTCACTTCCTTCCGACGGCCTCCATCGTATCTCTTCTTCTTTCTTCCTCTCACACATCCTTCATCGCGACACCAAGCATAGCCTACTTTGTATTGTCTTCCCTACACAGCCAATAGCCCCGCGCGCCTCTTGGTTATCTGGCGCACGGGCCCGGTTTGCCTGCGTTCCTGTGATTTTCCCGGATAGGGGCCACGGGAACCACAATACAGTGTACACAGTCCACTCCTCAATCTAAGCAAAAACCACTCTCTCCAGTTGTCGTTCACGACCCACATCAGAGTCCCTTGGATCGCCGGCCAGCAAGGAGAACGTAATCTGTTTTGAACTTTGAGCGTCTCCCTTCGCCACGACGACCTCCTTTTCGGTTGCCAGCACTTCTACCTGCTCACTCTACGCCGACAGACCGTCTGCGCGTAATTGCCAGTTCCGAGACCTTCCTGAAGTCGAAGTGTTGCTGTAGACGAGAAGATCGGGTAACAATGGCTCAAGCTGCACCATTTATTGGTATGTGAGCTATATTCCCAGATCCAACGCGTCCTTGTCGCCTTTGTTGTACCCTCTTGGTGCAAGTCTTGGTCCTGGGCTTATTGACCCTGTATTCGTTGTTGTCGTCCTCCCTGCACGCGACAGCTACTCACCATGGGCAACATAACTGACGATGGTCTCCCAGAACGCGGCCCTTCTCCTCTAGCATCGAACAATCCTTTCCGCAGCCGTGTTTCCGATAACACCATTAGTCCTGCGCTCGCTCCCGTCAGAACTGGTACTAAAAATCCATTTCTCGATGCCAGTGAGATTGCGTCACCAGACAGAACGACCAAGGCCAGGGCTGCGCGAGACAACGATGAAATACCATCAGCTGATAAAACTCTAGACTTCTTCGTCGGTAACTCTTTGTTCTTTTGCCGAACCTCTCTCTGACGTTGCCTCAGGGACTATTGAGCCTCGATGACTCGTCGAAAGCCGCGCAAAAGCCTCCGGCGAACGGCACTGCTCGCAGAGAAAATATTGTCACGCGACCTCATCCAAGAGGACTTCCTCCCCGGCACAGACATAGCAACTCCGATGAAGAACGTCGACGCCAACAAGGCAACCGCCGGGAACAGCAAAACGAGCTTGATATCTTTGCAGACCCCCCTGGACTGAGTCGTCCTCGAAATGTACGTCCGCCGCGACGTAATTCGGAATCTTCAGTACGCGAGAAACCCAAAGACATGGATCCAGAGTCCGAAAAAAGGAGGAGGGAAAGAAAACTGCGCGAAGGAAAAGGTTCACACCGCTCTAAGAAACCCAACGCGAAGTTGGATGTCATTGACAAACTGGATGTCACCAGCATCTACGGAACGGGGTGTAAGCCAACATGTCCTTAACACTTGTGTGGTCCTGCTGACCTCATGTTAGTATTTCATCACGATGGTCCTTTCGATGCCTGCAATCCCCATCGCAACCGAAAGGGCGCCAAACAAGCTCCGATCCAAGCGTTTCCCAAAGATTCAATCAACATGCAACTCGGGGGGGCGGGTCCTGTCAATTCAAAACTGAACCTTGATCAGTATAATGGAACCGGCCAAGAAGCACACGTCGATTACAACGAAGCCGCGGCTGCCGAAGATGTTACCGATTATGGTCGTCGACCACAAACTGACCGGAGCGCCAGCTTCAATCCTATAGCTCGTACGGAACCAGTCCATGGTGAGGAGACTTATGGACTTGGTACAAGCACATTCTTAGAAGGCGCCCCTGCAAGCCGAGCGGCGATACAACGTCGAGAGAGTGAGAACGAGGCCGCTCAGCAAGCATTCAACGCAGGTGGGTTGTCTCGAAAGAAAAGCCTGGCTCAGAGAATCAAATCTGTCCGACCAAAATACTCGGAGACGGGACGTGTAACCTCGCCCGAGCCGGTGGCAGGCACGAGTAGCCCGCTTGGCACAGGAAAGGCCGAACCGACCAGCGCCAATCCGTTCTTCCAGGAGTATGACAAAGACTACGAGAAGAAGGGCACACAGATCGCATTCGCCGAAGGACAACAGAAGAACGGTCGAGCTCGTGCACCCAGCAGCCCTCGACGCGGCTTGGGGCTTGAAAGAAAGCTGACCTCTGACAGCATGGGCATCGAAGAAGCCAAGTCCGGAAGTTCTGGTGGTGGATTTCTGAGTCGAGTCAAGAGCATGAAAGGCCGTAGCCGCACGCGCGAACGGCGGAACACTGGGGCGTCGTAAAGTTGCAAACAGATCCAGGCGCGGCGTAGATGGTGTTTTGGAAATCTCGGCCAGTGTTCACCGGGGGACGTCGCATACAAGGCCTATTTGAGGTGGGAATTTTTTACAGGCGAAATGGAACGGAACGGCCACAATTAAGGGTTGGGTATACATGTCTACTACGAAACTGACGACTGCTACCAATGACAAAGGACAACGGCCATGGAGATGGAACAATGAGACTGACGACTTGCATGAAATGGCCAAGTCAGCAACGCGAATGCCCTGCTTTCTGGAAAGGTTGGAAAAGGCATGACATGGGATGAAATGTTGTTTTTTCAGAGCACTTGAGCAGCAGGTATCGCCGGGGATCCTTTTGTCGGGAAGACACAGCAGAGCTGACAATGGAACTGTCACATTGAGTTAGCAAGCAGGGAGGAGCAGGGCTGGGATGGCCACATGATGGAGAATAAATAACCACACCCTGCGGATGAGCTGGATATATGTGTCTGGATATATGTGTGTTCTCGCTCTCTCCCGCCTGCCCGGGCCAGTCTACACTAGTTCCCAAGACCGAGTTTGTCTCTTTTATTTTTAATCTCAAGATTGAACAAGAACAGACGCATGTTTCCAGAAAAGCCTTGTCAAGCTAGTCAACGTACCGCTGATTTCGTTGGTAGACTCGGTCCTCTTACCAGGATCTGTATTATGCCACGATCGAGAGGTAGGTAGGTAGAGACAGACCAGGACCAAGGACCCATTAAATGACCAAGGGCCCGCCTGCCGAAAAGGTAGTAATACTGCTCAACGACGCATACTAAAATAAAAGACCAAGGTACTGTAGCTCTGTAGAACGGAATACTGGTACAACCTCCATGCATTCGGAACTTGGAGGTACCCAAGACAAGGTAGAGATGTATTTTACAATCGTAGTCAGAGTCATAATCAGCATCAGCATCCGCATCCGCCAGCATCACCGTCACTGTCCCAACCTAGCGTACCTCTCTCTGGCGGTTTCCCTCGTCTTTTCTGCAAATGCGTCGTAGCCGCCCTTGGTATTCCTCTCAGCTTCGGCAACGGCGTCACCGACCTTGCCCCCCTCTGCTCCGAGGCCGACGCCGGCAACGTAGATGTTCTGACTGATTGGCGCGGTCATGCCTTCGCCTGATGCTCCCAGTCCCTGACCGGCCGTGTAACCCATCTTGCTGAGCAGAGAAGCGCCCTTTGATTGCATAGACACAGCAGGTGGTGAGGGTGCGGCATCGGCCTTTTGCGGTCCATTGCCTCTGCCTTGAACTTGATCACCTTTCTTGTTGACCACGCCGTAGATCTTGCGTCTTTCGCGCGCACGGTTGCGGTACTGCGTGGCCGAAATCACGGGCTGATGCTGCACACCGTGTTTCGCCAACTTGGCCAAGGCTTTCTTGACCTTGGCTTCATCCGTGAGGTTCTCGCGGTGTAGATGGCTCAACCGCTCGTGCTGGTTGACTTCGGTGTTGTTCTTGAACTCCCGCATGCAGAGGTAGCAGCAATGTCTGTTGGGGTCGGCATACGACCGAGAAGGCGGAGGTTCGTCGCCGTTGTCACTTGATTTGGTATCGTCACCGCCATCGCTGGGTTTCTGCCCGATGCCGTGCAGCTCAGCGTGTCTGTTGCTCCAGAATTGAAGATGGGACGGGGCCGCTTTCTTGACTGCTCCGGTCGTCTCGACTTCCGCTTGGGCCTTGCGTTTCTTCGCTTTCTCTGCTGTCTCTTTTGATGCCTTGACCAAGGGTCCCTCTGTTGTCGACGACCTCGCATCTGGAATCGATGCAGGCACAGATACGGCTAGCTCAGTGACATATGCAGTCTCGTCCCAGTAAGCCAACTTCATTGCTGGATTTCCCAGTGGGCTGAATGTAAAGCGCTTGGTGTTCGGCGTAGGTTTCAACACAGGTACGAAAACTCCAGCATGAATATAGCTGACCAACACCTGTTTCGACGCGATGGTGAATCGCTCGAATGAGTTGTACCTAGTCAATGCAGCCTGTGCATCTTCAATGGAAGCATACTCTGCGAACCCGTATCGCGAGCTCTCGTTGCTTCTACGGTCGCGTACTAGGAGCACTCGCCTGAGGGTGCCCTCTCGGGCTCCGAGATTGGCATCTCCAGTCGTAGACGCCACTTTGGCGCCCTTTTTGCCAGACGATTCATCCCGTTGGGTTGCTGACGAGCCAGGTTTGTTCAGCTTGGCTACGCCTTTGGCCAGTAACTCTTCCGTCACCGATGGCTCCAGGCCGCGCAGAAGTAGAAACTGCGATGGTGCATTATCGGGGGAGACATCATTATCTCCGACATTCGGGGCTTTTGCAGGCACCTCATAACCGGGATCTAAGCGTGTGAGTGTAAGAATGAGCGAAAAGTTGGGGAATAATCGGCCCAACCTGGTCTTGAAGCGTGACATCGAAAGCATCTGCCTCGGGTGGAAAAGTTGTTGACATTGCACTTTCATTGAGCAGTCAGCGTTGTACAAGCCGAAACAGGAACTTTGCAACAACTCACAACAGCGCAGATCCAATCAGCATCATCAGATCGAATAGGATCCTTCCGTTCACGACCGAAGGCAATTCGAACTTTGGACGCAGTCCCATTAGAGTTGTCGTTGTCACCGTAGATGTAAAGAACGGGGTAATTCCGGTCCATGAAATCCTCTGCCTGCCGCAGCGTCGAGAATCGGAGGAAGCCGAACTGTCTTGACTGTTCTGCGCTGTGTAAGCCAGCCTGAATACCCCAAACCAAAGGTGATCATGCCAACGTACTGGTCTGTCGATCACGAATAACACGGACATCATCCAAGCCTTCAGCATGATAGTATTGTTTCAATTCGAGAGAGATCTGTCCGATAAATTCCAATCTTAGCCATGTTATCACCCAGACAGTAGAAAATCGACCGTATTGAGAGGGACCGAAACATGGCTTCTGCAGTGCTTATGCGGTTCAAGGCAACTCAGGAAGGACTAATCGAACATCGTTTTCAGAGAGGTGTGGTGCCAATCCCTCTATCATGATCTCCTTGCTCGGCTTGCCTCGACTTGGAGGTCTTTCTTCGGTTGGTGTTCTTCCTCGACTCGAACTCCGACTCCGACTGTCGCGGTCTCTGGAGGAGCGAGGATCGTCTCGGTCATGATATGGTCGTGGTCGGCGGGGCGACGGCGATCTACGGCCGTCGTAGCCATAGCTACGATCACCCTCATCGTCATAATATTCGCGCGAACCTCTGCCACTGCCGCTGCCGCTGCCATAGCTGCGGTTCTCAGGTCGGCGATCTGGACTTCGCGCATTTCGTCCCCGAATGCGAAATCCTTCCTGTGCCGAGCCAGTAGTTCCCGGCTTCGATATATCTTTTTGCAAGAATGACCATCAGTATTGAAACACCCAAAACATATCGCCCCAGTCTGATCTATGGTTTACCATGTGGAGGACTTCGTCTGGGGTCGGGAGATCGAGACTTGGAAAGGTCATCGTAGAAGTCTTCTCGCTGCTGCGGAGGATATGACCGGTAGGATTGTGGTTGATGGCTTGCCCCGCCACGAGAACGGTAGGACGACATTGTTACGGCATTGGTAGCACCCAAGTTATGAAGTTTGTCCTTATGTATTGAGTTGAGGATGTGGTGCTTGCTTGCGGTGAGACTGGAATCGTGGTCACTCGGGAAAGCTTCCTTCTAGGGAAGTCCATACAACGCGCTTCGCTCCAGTTCGCGCTTAAAGGGGGACAGTCGATCCGTCCTATATCTTTCACACCTCACCAGCAGAGCAGATCTTTCACTTGTGTTTCTTTGCTGACTATCTGTGAGTCGAGTATGCTCTTTGCCAGCTTTTACCATCTATCAACGACCAAGCTAGAAAATGCGGTGCCATCCATCATCCCAATGAGACAGACGTCCTCAGAAAGCACTCCTGATGAGGTGCCCAAGGTACCGCTCTTCTCGACGGGACGCGTTGCCTCTTTGATACCAAGCGTTGTCATGCTTTATCCCTGTTGATTCTTCTCCCAAGAAATCCCATCAATTTGTTCCCACCGCGCTCTGCGCTTGTCGTTCTGTAGACGGCTTTGGCCTCCAGATCTGATCTGGGTCTATTCATCTCCTCTCTCACTTCATCTTCGATTGTAGGTCCAAACACTGTGACTGCAGCTGGGGCTGTCTGAGGCAGCATACACGATGTCCTAAGCATCCCGCCGCTTGTGAAGGGGCTTAACGGCCGCTTTCTACTCTCCACATCGAATTCGGCGCCACCGATATTCACGGTGAGCTTTTTCTTGAGATGTTGACGAGCAGACTTCGGCGATCTGGTTGGCGAGAGAGGAATTCCCGCTCCACTCTGGCCACGGCCTTCGGCTGCCCTCTTTTCTGCACTGCGAGTGGATTTTGGAGATCGAGGTACCGACGAAGGCAAGTCTTCAATGCTGTCCTTGGTTCTGACACTTAAAGAATCATCCGAATCACTGGGTGGAATATGTGTAGACCTGCTGACCACCCTCACGGTGCTACTAGCCCCTGCGTGGGCTTGGTCACCTATGAGGATCGCAGACGAGAAAGTAGCAATTGCTTGTGGTGAAGAGCTTGCTAATGGAGATCCTGCTGAGTTGATCCCCTGTCGAGTGTCTTTTGCGGCACTGCATGGCGATCGTTGGGTAGACTCTTGCGAAATGGTGGAAGACATTGAACTGCAGGGAGATATGCAGTTCTGCAGGCGAACAATTCCATGGTCTTCGAGGTAGTCTGAGATACGATGAGTTGTGAATGTGCCCTTAGCGGGAAGTCACTCACCGTATGAGCGACAGTAGAACCGGAATGTTGCATAAGGCATGTCAACCCGGTCGAGAAGTTGGTATTGGTACCGTCTTGGACGGAAGCCTGGTTCCAGGAGACCACTGTCGGTGAGACTGGTGAGTGGTTAGCCCTGCAGAAAGTGCGGCTGGTGAAAGTCAGAGGTGGGTGACACTGACCGCAGTCCAACCGCGTTGTTGCTGTTGATATCCACGGACCCAAGCCCATGTTGTAGGTCTCGGATCCTCTTCCTGTGCTCGATCCTATGCACATTGATTTGAATCAAGTCTCCCTGCAGTCCCCCTCCTGCACGTTCTTCCGATCCGGCTCCAAACTTCAATGCTTGTCTCCTGACTCCAGTTTCACCAGTCATCGGATCGACGCCTCCGGGCACCAGGTTATACATCATTTTCCCATGAAACCCATGCTTTGCCGTACAATCCCATGCCGTGATGGCCCTTCCGTTCAGGAACATCTTGAAGAAATAGGCAGCCCCTGGAGGATGAGGCCCGTCGATAGTGTACTCGAACCAGATCTGGCTACCGGGGTAGACGGGAACATAGCAAGACGCAGTTGGACTGGGGGACGATGTGGCTTCTTCGGGGGCATGGCTGCCCTGACCCTGCACTTGGAAAGGGTCCGCCGGTTGGTAAGGTTTGGGATACCGGAATTCAGGCAATCGGCAAATATCGAACTGCGAGATGATGCAGACCTCAATGCCGCGGAACTTGACCATGCTGGGCAGAATAGACTGGGTAGAGGGGAACGGGGCCGAGAAAGACTGAACGCTGGTGTTCCAAAGGCTGGACGAGAGGGCTTACTTGAGGTTGTAGCTTCACTACCAGGTGTCTTTTTCAGAGGGTAAAAATTGAGAAAGACAAGAATTGGGCGCAGGGCTATATGAGCGATGGATAAGACTTTTGTAATTGGGGAGGCCACCGGACATGGCGAGGAAGTCTCAAGACTGCTCAGAACAGGACCTCCTCTCAAGTCTTCTAGTCGCTGCATTCAAGAACGTACGTTTGTGTAAGACCTTCGGCCCTGGGAGTTCAGTAGGGTCTACATATTGTCTCGAGCTCTGAAAGGCATCTTTCTTAGAAACCTACTGGTGATTTGTACGTCTTTCCAGATGCCCAAAAGGATATCTGCTGCTGTCAGTCTTTGAAGAAACGATATAGCTATGAAAGTCCTTCGCTGGCAGCCTGCATTCATACACTCCTGGAAGAGCCGTGGATGTCAAACAATCTGTCCCTGAAAAGAAGCAACTCCCCCGTCCTTTACCATACGCCATCTGCACCCCATGAATCCTTTCAGTGCGATCACCAACCAAGCTTGACCTTGTCCGCATCCGCAGCCACGTCGATGGTCAGGATCTCAATTTCCTCATGGTCGGGGTTCGCGTACATGATGTTGAACCAGTCAAGCATGCTCCACCAGCACCGAATCATTGCATTCTCCTGATATGAGTCCTCGCCACTTGAATAGCAGTTGCATCCAAAGACTTCTCGGCCTGAGATGGGAGTCTCTATGGGGGATGAGTTCACAAAGTAGGCCCGGCAACGTCGAGATAGGAACTCAAGAAACTGTTCGGGGACTTCATCACCAGGAAAATCCTGTACGTTGTACTGGGGCTCGACGAGAGAGATGCCAGTTATACGAGGGGCCCATGTGCTCCCTACACCGACAAGTTAGCTGCGTATTCCAGTTCCTGCAGATGAGGGCCACCATACAATGTAGCGAGAGGTATTCGACGACTGCAGAACCGGGGTATTCAAGTCCGATGACATCGAGCTTTGCCTCCTTCTTCGTCAAACGGGGCAGAACCTGGTCGAATAGGTGGGAAATGTGCTCTTTGTAATCGCGGTTCCCGGAGATTTTGTTCTTGATCTCATCAACCCTAAAAGCTTCATGCACTGCTGAGAGCCGGGGCAGGTTCAGCCATTCTTGGACAGATACGGCTCGGGACTCGCCGCGATACCAGAGGAGTTGGCAGGGGTTTGCTATGATGATGCCGGGCGCAGTGTCTTGAGCTGTGGGAGTCGGTGCGAACATGACGGCAGTAACGAATTCGAGCAGTGAGCCAAACTTGATGCCCTCCTCACCGATCACCCGCCAGGACAAAATTCCTGGCTCCGCATGTCGTTCGCCGAAGAAGACAATGACACGATCCTTGTTCGCTATGTCTTTGGAGACAAGAATGGGAACATGCGCGTCCACTTCATTGGCACCTAATGGCAGCCTGATGGTTTCAAGGCCCAATTTGAACAGTCGATCCTGAACGATGTTGCGGACAGCGTCTATTGCCGTAGCCTTGCATCAGCATTGCCCGTGGGTTAGAGGCGCGGCGACAGACTCACTGTTGTTTGCTTGCTTGTAAACTTGGTTGACCCGATCATTCCTATTGATCTGGTACTGATATTTCTGCGCCGGATTCTTGATCATGCGGACTTGATCGTTCTCATTGACGAAAAAGCCGAGCTTTTCGAGGTCGGGGGGAAATACAGGGTCCGCAGGCAGGGTATGGGGTAGTCGACGGAACATAGCTTCAGTTCTCGAAGTGCGTTCACGCTTGGTGGCCTCTGACAACCTGACTAGGTTGCAGAAAATGCGCCGCAGACGCTGAGATCTTGTAAGTTGTATGGCGCAGACATCAACGACTGACATGCGGGCATGAGAAAAGCCGAGGTGCTTCTACTATGGTGAAGGCATCTGCGGTACTCAGAGTGAGATACCTTCTGTCACAGCTGTCACAGTGACAGTCTCTATGTGGTGATCAAGTCAAGTTCTGAATCTTTAAATGATTGAATTTTAGAACTTTGGTGGTACAGTGCAAACATCCTGACTGCCTAATATTGTTCCGCCTCAAAAGTTTGCTCTAATTAGCAAACTCGGCCCTCAATGCAAACCCCCCAGCTCCTCCACTTAGCAGCAGAAATATCATCCGTGCATGCACTCTTTTGATGCCTCATGCTCATGACCACGTTTGAACCCAATACCACGCATAAAGTGCTTCAAATCTCCATACGTGCACAATCCCATGGCCATTCAAAAGCTCTTGAGAATAGAGTACTCATATCTCATACAGCGGTCCTGTCGTTTGTAGGGGTATCATGAAATTTCGTCCCTAAGCAGCCCATGTGCAGTGCTGCAAAGTTCCTCTGCTTGAAGCCAATATGAATTCCTTTCCAGCGAGGAAGCAGTCTCCTACTTCCGTCGTCAAGATCCGGCTTTGGCAACGCCGATACTACTGCTCCTCTGCGAATTGAAACCGCTGCCTGCGATTGGAGCGAACCCTTTGGCCAGGTCGAATTCGCCGGTTCCGTCCTCATCACCATCTGCATGATTCGAACCCATGGTGGTATCGTGAGAAGCAGATCGCGCGGTGAAGCTGGCGGGTTGGAGAAATTGTGTTGCTCCTGTAGAACTAGAAGTCACGCCGGTGGTGGGCGCGTGTTCGCCGAACCCATCGCTGTCCCTAGTGGGCACATCTTTCTCACGTTGTGTTATCACTGGCGTAGCCTCCATCTTAGCTCTTGGGTTCGAAGTGGCTGGCGCTTGACTGCTTCTAGCAGGTTTGCTGGGACTACCCATGCCCCCATCCATCGGCGGCGGGCTGGAACTCAGTACCTGCCGATCGATACCATTGGCCTGAGGGTCATCGTCTTTGACGGGCGACATATCAGGCGGGGGACGACCTGGTGTCACGCCCATCAAGCCCTTCCAGAACAGACCGGCGCCTGCGGGAGATGACTCCGGCATGAATTTACTTGGAGCAACTAGCGTGCTGGGCGGAGCTAGCCTAGGGTTTTGCCTCAAGGGTGCCGGTGTGATGATACTATGCTGTGAAGGATGGAAGGGAGTGTCCAGGTATGATGATGACAGGGTCGGGTTGACCGGAGAATGGTGCGCAGGTGGCATAGCGGGAGGAAGAGTATAGATTGGTAGTCCATTTCCCAGACGCGGCGTCGGTCGAGGATGACCGGGTGGCAGGGGTGAGTCCTCTAGTTCCATGTCAGGAAGCGTGTTCTGTGTGCTGGCTCTGTGTCTTTGAGGTGTAATAGCCTCTTGCAGTCGTGGGGCTGACGGAGCAAGACTGGGAGCGTGCTGGGATTGTTGTCCCGAGTTAAAGGATGAAAATTGGCCATTGGTCTTCCCAGGAAGCTGTGCGTTAGGGCGGTCATTTATATCCCTGGCAGAAAATTGACTGACCATGGACGTGTCGTAGCCGAGATTTTGGCCGTTTGGGCCGCGGAAGTTAGGATTGACGTCTTTCGCAGATGCGGGAGATGACGGCGTGGAGCCATTACCACGCCGGAACAGTTTCTTCCAGTAATCCTGACGACATTCTGGGGCAATCTGCCACTTCATGCCTTTGCCAGGCTCATCGGTACGTCGAGGGACTTTTTGGAAAGCCTTGTTCAGAGACAAATTGTGACGAATGGAGTTCTGGCAATGTCAGTAACCAAGCTCAATTCGCACATCGAAGGGAGTCTTCGCACCTGCCAGCCGCTATTGGAATGTCGATAGAAGGCATACTTGTCAGCAATGAAAGAATAGATATTACTCAAGGTCAACTTCTCCTCTTCGCTGGAAAATATGGCTTGGGCAATCATGGTCGCATAGCTGAAGGGAGGCTTGAGGTCTTTTGCGCTATCTCGACTGTAGTCGATCTCCTGGGTGCTTTCTATCATCATTCCCCTACCGTACATGGGTGACATGGGCAATTTGCTGTCGAAAACGCCCCGTTGATGCTTTCCCGCATCCGATTGAGGAGGCGGGGTTGTTTCACGCTTCATATCAGGAGGAGCTGGAGCAAGCGACGGGAATTGCTGCATGGTTCCGTACGAAAGGTCCCGCTTCGCAGGTGCTGGGAGGGCGGCGGAAGGCGCAATTTCCTCCCCAGTGGCAAGCGCTTTGGCGCGGTCCAGAAAGTATTGGTCAATTTGGACTCTGTCGCCAGGCGTCACAAACATCATTTGCGTCCCAGCGATTTCCAGTATGTCGCCCGACCTCAGTTGTCTTCTCAAGCCTTTCTTGACTAACACGTTGTTGACCCGCACACCGTTCCTACCATTGACTCTTAGATGCCAGCCCCCTTCATCAACAGGGAAATCGGCATCGTAATAAATCGAGGCGTGATGGCGGGAGACGATCTTGCTGGGTCCAAGGTCGATGTGGACCGGCAACACATCATTCAAGTCGGTGACAGGGCTTGAAGCACCGTTCACGGTCGGCCGCTCATCCGGCGGTCGTCCAATATTGACAGACTGCTCCTGCACAAAGTAGGTCCAATCTCGACCGGCAATCTTTGCATATGCGGACACCTTCTGCGGGCTGTTATTGTGCGCCTTGTCATTGGCATATTCGGTCCTTGCGACGACGGGGTCTTTAGAGACCTGAAGGAAGGATACGACGGAGTCAATAAGATCGGTCTGCGAGATTTCTTCGGCCTCATCGCCCGAATCCTGGGCAAGGGAAGGGTCGGGGTTGGGCGAGAGGGACTGTCGCCTTGCTGCGGCGCGGGATCCATTGACCTAGGTTTTGTTTCAGTCAGCATGGTGGTGGCTCTGATGGAAGAGTTCGAGAGGCGACAAACCCTGCGCTTCTTAGAAGACGGCTGTGTTGGGGAAGAATCTGGAAGGTCGAGCTCAGAGGACGGGAGGGCACCGGCGGGCTTGCGACGTGCTTTGCGCTTTGATGGCGGCATGGTGTGAGTTGTCTCTTCTCATTCAACACAGACGACGATGGATTATACAGGTTGACGCTTGCACGGTAGCCGGAAAGAGTGTCGCGGATGGAGCGACCAGTGTGGTTGTGGTCGTGGTCAAACGAGGGTGCGCAAACGCCAGGTGGGCGATTGGGTGACTTGCGACGTCAATGTTTTGGTCCTGACGCAGGGTTTTCGCGAAGGGAAATTTTGGAGAAGGGAGGGTCGGACAAGGATAGGAGACGAGGAGGCAACATGGAATAGGATGCCCCGGCGGAACAAGAGGCGTGTAGGTAGACTTGCAGAATGTCCGAGTTTGCAAAATCTAAGAGAGGAAGTGTGTGTACGTCGGGTTGGATGTGAAGAAGATTCGGAAGTGGAGTGGTAGAGGAGGAGTGAGTTGAGTGGCTTGTTCGACTCGCCAGTTTGGAGTTTGGGAGAGGGAAGAGATGGCACCAGTGACCAGGGCAATTCTGGTACGGAGTACGGCATCCCAGCAGTCAGTCACCCTCTCGCGTAATTAATTGGAGCCAGAATCCACGCGCGTTGACCTGTGCCATCCGTCCCGCCACTTGCCGGTTATAAACATAACTAGGTTCGTATAGCAGAATCAATAGTTGGCGGCTGACGGGCAATACCACCGCTTAACTGTTATCTGGGAGTATCCCCGCTATCACCGGTACTGGCGAATCTCTATGCGTACATCCCAGCGATCTTGCCTATCACTTGGTGTCACCAATCTGTACCTTACGTTTCATCATTCACATGTTGATGCATATAGGTACCTATCACGGTACCTAAGGTACTAGGTACCTAGAGGAAGTAAAGTAACGCGCCTTCTAAATACTACCTTAGTAGTGGACACAGTCTCCCCCTAGGGATCGAATCTACATCTGCCTAAGGAATGGTATTGACACCCGGAGGCACGGCCCAGAGAGGCACAGACAGGTACACTATAGGCATGGAACCCGACAACCAGGCTTCGATGATGGGGACTCAACTAGGTACGCCATGACTTGGTATATATTGGTATATTGTCCTCCTTGACATCCCGCTTTTGTTTTGGGCCACTGCCTCCAATGATTATGACAGGGGTTTGCTCTCTCTGTTGGTACAGCAGATGTCGCCATCTTCGCTCCCGCACGATCCTTGACTGTGGGATCGCGTGTGAAATAATTAATGATGACTTTGCTCCCTCGCTTAACGCGCTCTACCCGATTGGGCACATGGCCAGTAAACATAGGTACATAATGACGTCTTTCGTCTTTTGCCACGCGTTGGAATCTGGATACGGTGGCGGATACGTACCACGGTGGCAGGCTGGCTCGACTGGCTCGCATGCGCATCATGCGTGCCGCATCCTATTCGCAGGGAGGATATCGTATAGAGTTACAACTTACCAGGCACGTACTGGTACCTCTTCCCTTAACGACAGGGCAGCTTACAATAATACCCATGGGTCAGGTACGGTAGCTACAAGATATGACCTTAGGAGGTACAGAGATACCTTAAGGACCTTGGGTACATGTGGATTACAGTACTCGGCACCACTCGCATCTTATTTCCAGAGGGAATGGTCCTTGCTACCAACTACCAACAACCAACCTTCAGTCAGCGATTGCATCTGCGCCCACCACTCACGCTCCCCGACCTTCTCCCTCGAACCCCTTCTCACTAGCATAAAATTGCCTCCTGCTGCTAGTTCCGATGACATGTTGACAATTCTTCTCTGTCGCTTCACCCTGCATTGGCCCCAGGCTGTCCGAAAGCCCCTGAAACGCTCGTCTCTCGAGCCTCTCGTCTGGCATCTTCCCCGTCCCAACTTTTGAGTCTAGTACCCGCACAATTCTATAAAGCAAGCCCTTGCAAACCAAAGAAAAAATCAGATGTGATTTTCACAACCCACACACCGTAGAACTCCGCGGAATAGTTGATGTTAACAAAAATTAGGGTCGGGGCATATCTGCTGTGTCGGCCTTTGGGACCAACGCAAACCACCAACACCTTGCAATCACAAAAAGCATAACCTTCCGGAGACACAGCCTGCAATGTCTCTTTTCGATCCTTTTACCTTCCATATCATGAGAATCATATTGGACCAAGCCGAATGCAAATTATGTCGTATCATGTTCCGTGGTGCCACAGAATTCAGAGTCGCCAGCCTGAACCTAGGCCTCGACCAAATCGACGCCTTCAATTCCATACCCAAAGTCGATGATGACCACCCGTCCGTCTTGACTTGTACACACAATCTTGCGGTAGTCACTCTTGGCCGCCAGTATCCAACTGGACGTCCAGCCCTCAAAATTGATCTTGAGCCCTCCGTCCTCCGCCGACTCTCCGGTCCGCGCATCCCACACCTTGATGGAATGATCGTAGCTGCCACTGATGATCCGCGAATTTGCTGAGTCGAGGTGGAGTGATCTAACCAGATCTCGGTGACCCTTGAGCTCGCGGAGGCGATTGCCTGTGACGGTGTCGTATTCGTAGATGACCTGGTCGTTTCCCCCGGCAAAGATGGTGCGCCCGTTCTCCGAAAATTCGACGCATGCGAGTCCACGGTCTTTGGATTGGAATTCCTTGATGCAAACACCGTCCTCCAGGCGCCACAACTTCGACATGCCGTCGCCGCTAGCGCTGGCCAGCAGGTTGCCTCGGACCTGCACTGCATTCACAGGGCCACGGTGTCCCACCAATGTCTTCATTAAATTGCCGCTTACCCGATCCCAAATCTTGATCGTTGTGTCTTTGGAGCACGTGATGATCCGGCGTTTGTCGATGCAGACGTCAAGGACACCAGCATGGTGGCCGACAAGACGGAAAAGAGGTCTGTAATCCTCCTTGATGGCCCAGACGAGGCAGGAGAAATCAGAGGACCCTGTCACCAATATCTCCTCATCGTACTGTAGACAGAGGACCGAAGCTTGATGCCAGAGCTCGATGGCGGGAGAGACCGGGTCAGGAGACGATACATCGGCCTTGAAAAATGGGAGGACTCCTTGCGGTTCCACTGCAGCCGATACCAGGGTCTGCCTCTCCCTGGGGTTGTTTGGCGGTCCTAGCTTGCGGATACATTGATAGGTATGAGCATCCCAAACCCGAATTGTGTTGTCTCTCGACCCTGTGATGATCTTGTGTTCGTCGAACTGGGCACAATAGACGCTGTCTTTATGTCCATTCAAATAAATTGCAGCCGCTTCTCCGTTACGCCAACGCTTGTCAATTAACGTGCGGACCTTGAAAAGTTTCCTGAAATCTTGGCCGGGCGTCTTCTTGCCCAGGCCGGCGGCAAGAGGCAGATCCGCATACGGAGAGGGTGCTTTCTGACCGTATTCTTGATAGAAGATCTTTTTCCACACAGCCTGTGACTGACATACCCCATGCCATCGCCGAGACACTGTTGCTGCCTGAATCAACGACTCCACATCGAGGAAAGACAGGATGTTCTCCACGAGCTCCGTGGCAAGAACCGACGCTGGATCTCTACAAATCACATGTGCTGTAGCTAGAGAAGATCCGCGACGGTCCCGACTATCAAGAACGATCCCGATACCACTTTCCGCATCGCATTCGTCCTTGTTGTCATGGCCCCCTTCCCGTGGCTGGTACGGCGGCAGTGGGGGCGTTCGCGATGCATGGTACAGCTCATTCTGAGCGGCGGCGGAAGCCCTAGCCCCCGCTCCACCATAGACCAGATCGGATAAGAATGGCTGTCCTCTGCTGCGAGGGGGGAGGAAATCTGGGATATCTCTGCATGGCTCGGGACCGCTCTGGAATTTCAGTAGGGGAAGAGATGGTCTTCTTCGTGTGCTAGGGCTTCGCATGGGTCTTCCCCGAGATTTGGGCACAGTGGACATGGCCTCAACCAGGTCTATCATGTCGTCCCCGGATTTGAAGGGCAACAACTGAGGTCGTTTCGTTTCTGTCCATTCCTCTTTGAGTCGCGGATTCTTCCCTTTGACACTGAGGGACATTCTTCGCATCTGCGTACGTAGTTCAGACATGCCCTGCTTCAGCGTCTGCGTGAAAGCGGAGTACCGACGCTGGTGAAAAGGGTGTCTTGTCTGTGGTCCTGCCGCAAAGTTCGAGAACGGGTCGACGAACTCCGTGCAGTTATTGCCTGCTCCCGCCTCTTCTTGGTCGCTATTGAAAGAGCCCCAATCCAGAACATCATCTGTGATGGGAGCCGTCAAAGACATCCGAGAGACTGGTATCTTGCCGATGCCTTCATTTTCTGGGACACTGTCGTAAGCAGTTTTCGGACGACAGTGGACGAGGAGCGACGTCCTGCGGCGAGGGGCGATCGATGAAGAAGAAGGTTGGGTATATGACATGACAAGGCTCAAGTGGAAGTGTCGAGTCCAGCACGATTTCCACGTCGCACAGCAGTCGCGCCTTGCAAACAATGTGTTTTTAGTGTAATAGTCCAACCCCAAAATCGCACCGCTACCGTTTGAGAAGGACCGAGTGGAGTGGCACTAGAAAGAATGGTAAAAGGAATCGCCACAGACAGACAAGACTTGGACGACAGGAAAAGAACGGTGTAAGCAGCTCGGTAGCAGCGGCGGCGGCGGCGAAAACAACAACGCACTGCAGTGATTACCCGCCAGATCAACGTGAAGGCGGAGGTGAGAAGCGCAGGCGAGTTTTTGGATTTTTGTTGTCGATTGGGGTCTATCCGGAGAAGAAAAGTCCGGCGTGTTTTTGAAAGGGTGGGATTTACGAATGGCGCACGGGCATTCCAGGTCGTAGGGGTTTTCGGTGGAGGATGCCAGCACGGATGCTGAAGATGCGGCAATGGCGCTGGCCGTGCAAGGGGCGCAGCCCAGCCTAAGGAGCCCCCTGACTGCCTGGATCTCGCCTGGAGCGCACACTGCCAATCCCCGTAGGCCAGGCGCTCGTTGCCCCCGGAGACTCAGCGATTCGGCGTTTCAGGACCCTGGACTGCAGCATGACGTTGGGAGGGACGCTCCCATAATTTCTTTAGCCTGCGATCCAGGGCCTGCACATCTGACTAGCCGCCTCTGGTGGTCTCAACCGACCAGTTGACGAGCAGGATAATCGCCGATCCAGTGCGGTGAGAGTTATCTCGCTAGCTGTTCAGCAGGGGAGAGCTGCACCGCTGCACCAGGGTTCCGGTCCCATCCCGCCACTGCAAGCTTGTCGAGATCGAAGTACAACTGCGGTCTTCGTCGCCGACCAGCGCGCACGAATCAAGATAGAATCAGATACAATCATCCTTTGCATCAGCCAGCAGGAGCAACGCCTAGGAGCCTATATTTCGCAACCCGACTTCCCATTTGTATTCCTACTACCTCTCGAATTGTGCCCGTCGCCGCATTCACGAGACCAAGCTATGGCGCATATTCCTCTCCCCTACAATGCATTCTTCCTCTGGATCGAGCCCGTCGCAACTCTAGTTGGTGCATACTATGCCTGGCTCAAACCACAAACATATCTGCACCTGACGCACGCGGCCTCCGCGCCAGGGGTGTTGGGTATCCCTATCGCAACGAACGTTGCCCTGCGCCAGCTCGGTAATTTGTACGTCGCCTTCGCTATCAATGAAGCCCTGGTGCTGAGAGCAACAACCGACTTGAGAGTGTGGCGCGCTCTGCTGCTCGGTCTTCTAATAGCCGATTTTGGTCATCTGTACAGCTGCTTCCCGCTGGGACTGAAATCATATTATGATGTGACCAATTGGAACGAGATGGCATATGGGAATTATCTGTTCGTCTACTGTGGCGCCTTGACGAGGATTTGTTTTCTTTTAGGCGTTGGGTTGGGGGGCCCGAAGAAGACCAAAAGCAAGAGCAGGAAGTCCGTCAGAATCAGCGAACCGGTCTCCCCTACCACACCGACACCTAATAAGACTCCAGCCCAGAGCACGAGGAGGAGGAAGAACAGGTCTTCCTGAGTTAGATCAGCTCATCATACACATTGAGCCATCAACAAGCGAGTGAGTGCCTCTTCTGTTCTCATGTGGAGATTTGCACCTCGGAACCGATTGCACAGATCTTTGCGTGACTGTGGCGTCATCGAGCGAGGCTCTTGTATATGAGGCAGCAGCAGCAGCAAGGTCTTGCCGATGACCTCGTGGCGCTTCTCTGACTTCGGCTTACGATACCCCAATTCCTAGAGGCCATCACGAGTCGGCTACTGCCAGACTGCTAGACTGTTAGACTCTTGCAGAGCCACAAATAGCAGTCATCTACTTTGAATTTCAGGTGCGTAGACGCTACAATGGAGTTCGATTGGGTCTCGGGCGGTGAGACGTCTCTGTCCTCGACTGGATCCGGGACTTGGCGTTGCTGGTGTTAATATAGGCGGCTTTTGATCTGTTTATTGATCTGTTTATATTGAAGTCACAGAATTCACCTCAACAATTCCAGATCCTTTAGCCTAGTGGTTAAGCACTGCCTGAGCAATTAGCAAGCTGCTACCTACACTAAGTCACCTCTGAATTGGGGGGTTCGACTAACCGACTTTCTGAGTCGCTTCTTGACCTGGTATTTCTCTCTCCGAGGACCTCTACTGATTCCCTGCTGCGCCGTCTGCATAGGCGAACCTTGCGGGGATGTGACAACTTAGAAGAGTTACCAGCTGCTCCGAGCTGACAACGAGGAGGGAATGGTTACCGGACCCCTACTAAAAAACATGATTCAATTCTAGTTTCACTTCTCTAATCAGTACTCTTCACGGGGTGCTGGTTAGGGAAGTGTTTTTGTTCCCTAGATTATATGTTATGGGACAAACAACACTAACTACCTTATCTAATCGGAAGCCGTTTTATAACTCTCGTACAACGTGTCCACCGTCGCACAACATCAACCACTAATTAAGCGCGATAGCCGAACTTGGTGTTGTACGAAATCGGTGTCGAACTTGGTCTCTCATCTCTCTCATCCATCTGTATAAATGTGCATCGACCTCCCACGCTCTTTGTAAACCTGAGTTGTTCGAGTTCTTCAAGACACTATCTAGTCAGTTATTGCGTCACCATCGACGAGAGTATCAATGCCAGTACCCTTGTATCCTTTATTAGTCCTACTATTACGATCTTAAATATTGTTACTACGACCCACACCTAGAAGCCGGTTGAACCTCACGTCCATCCAAAGCATTTACCATTCTAAATTCTTCGTCTTCCCTTGCTCGCCTCACCTCACCTCACCATGCCATCCCACTCAGCCCGCTCCATCCTGGAAGCATTCTACGCCGCCGAGGCCATCTACATGTCCGCCCCGCCGGAAGAGCGCGACTTCTCCGGCATGGCGGCGAGGGTGGCATGCGACATCAGACTGGAGCAAACATCGGCGCTGCCTTACGCGGGAGTCTATATCGGACCGCAAGGCATGCAAGAGTGGAGTCGAAAGATGGCCGGGTATTTCGACGTGGTGGAAGTGCGGGACCGTGAGATCTTCGAGAGCACCAATTCGGCCTCTGCGAAAGTCGTCGTCCTCTCCAATCTGCATCTCCGGGTGCGCAAGACCGGCCAAGAGCTGGTCTTCCCGCACTGTCAGGAAAACACTGTCGATCTGGAAAGGGGCGTCCTTACCGAGATGAGGATTTTCTATTGGGATGTTAAGGCCATTAATGACGCTCTGGGCTATAAAACTTAATATTCTAAGTTAATCCTGGTGAGATGCAGTGTGGTTGCCTGCCTACATTACACAAACTGTACCTCACCTACCTTACCCAAACTGTACCTTACACCCATACTTTCCTTTCACTAGGTCAGTACACTGACTATGGTACCTTATGGTAGCCGGCATGGCGGTCAAATTCAGTACCGCATACTAGTAGTGAATGGGAAGTAGCCCTGCCATCTCGATCCTACCGTCAATTGTGGAAGCCGATTGTTCGGGTCACGGGTCTGGGTTAGTCATGTGCAAATAACGCGTGGTGTGCGTATATGTCAAATGAAGGTTGAAATGTTCCACGTTCTCTATCAACGGGTCGCAGGGAGAGCGCATGCTATATAGTATAGATAGCACACCTAACCCAGCCTTCTGGTTAAAGCACAAGGCTGGGAATGCCTAAGTTTGACAGTATAATGTGTGCGGGCGTGGTACACGTTCAAAGCGTCGTTATATTTATCTCTGGACTTAAAGTGGCTGTCAAATCTGTCTCTTCATTATGTGGCTCGAATATCCGTACTTCGCACTTAGACCGTCAGGCCTGCCTCCTGGGGTTTGATTTGGTTGGAGAGGCCACCGGCAACGCGAATTTTCTGTTCATCCAATGTTCCATCACTGACGACTTGCCCTTCCTAACTAAGACTAGGCAGCCAGCGTAACAACGGCCAAGCGCTTCCCGCCCGTCTTCTCGACAGGCACACCCCAAATCCCTGCTGGGGGCCCGCCCACCATGTCTCGCTGGCCATGACATCGACACCGTCTCACGGACTCGTATAGGTCCGTCAGTTCGGCGTCCTTCTCGCCCTGCACGAGCTCCTTGACGTCGATATCTATCGGCAGTTGGGGCGGCGACACCGGCTCGTTCTCGTCTTCTGAGGAGGAAGAGGAGGATGAGGAGGAGGATGATGACCTTGACCGGACTCTGCGTGGCGGCTGGGTAGATGCGGAGTCGAAGCGTCGGAGATCAAGGCCGTCTCCGCCTGCGTCCGCGTCCACGTCCACGTCTGCGCCCCCATCTATGCCACTCTCGACGGCTGAGTCGTCGAGCTCGTCGTCCGCCAGCTCCAGAGCCGCATCCTCTTCATCCGAGTAAGGGTCGTGGATAGGGCGTCGTCGAGGAGGCTGAGGTTCCTCGGATTCCTCCACACCTTCACTATTATACTGGTACTTGATGGTCTCGGGATCGTCGTAGTCGTCGGAAGAAGTAGTGTCGTCGGACCCGAGGTCGTCAACGTATGTGTGCTCGGCCACCAGAGGTATAGGAGAACGCTTCCGTCCGGAAGAGCTGGATTTGGAACCGTTGTTATTGGACCCAACTACAGCAGTCCTGGATGGGCGTGCATGGTTGTCCTGAAAACTTATCCTGCGACCACGGCCAGATGGCTCTGGCTCGGCTGGCGTCGGTGGTGGCTGAGAGCCATCGTAGGTTTCAAGTTCAGACTTGGGCTGAGGCTTTGATTCCGTGATGGTCTGGGCACCATCGCGATGAGAATCCGTGCGAACCGGCTCTGTAGCTGTGCAATCATAGTGGTCGTCTCCGTGATCGCTGGGAGACTTATTACCCTCCTGAAAAGCAGACTTGGCACTCTGGTTCTCGATCTCGACAATTCGCACCATGAGATTGTCCAGAGTAAATGCATGACCAAGAACGAACCGCAAATTTCGATCCGGTCGGTTGGCGGCATGCTTGAGCTTGCACTGCGCTGTATGGGCGAGCGTGTAGGCAGCGGTCGGGGTGAGTGGCCGCGGAGACATGTTGGCTTATGGAAGGCAGATGGTCCAAGGCGAAAAGCGGATGGGATCTGCTTGGGTGCAGAGAGTGGACCTGGACCGCCGCTTTGAGAGTGATTGAAATTCTTCTTAATTAGTAGGAGATGGATTCGTCTCCAGCCAAGGAGTCGACGAGGATGGCCCAGCACCAACTTGTCTCACAGATTTGCGATGATTGAACTGTGAGAAACACGAGTAAAACACTGCATACAGGTTATCCTGATGCTCGGATGATGTAGAGATTGATCAGAAACTGAAGATGTCGTGGTCATGCTGCATCCGGGAAGTCTGAGCAGGACTGGTGGTGGTTGAGATAAGGGTGGAACGCTCCCCCGCTGACAAACGCTGGTGAGCGACTTTGGCCAATGGGATCCGTCCAAATCCCAGCCTTAGGGCCATAATGCCTCGGCCTGGGTTGCCCCAAGCTGGTAGGCTATTGAACGCTGATTAATAACGTGATCACGTGCGCGTATGTCGCTGGACGGTTGCACATTGTCATCCTGGCTCAATAAAAGGAGTAGCACTGAAGCAGATTAACAGGAGCTGAGGAGATGTGGGAGAACATCCAGAGTTGAGAAGCTTGCATATTTGCTCTATGTCACCTGTATGCGTCGGCCCGTCATTGCCACGTGTTTCGAGATGCAGGGGAGACGGAGCCCGTGGAACTGACCCGGTTCTCAACCACAACTTCATCTCCACTCACTGTCTGTATCACCGAATCGAAATCAACCTTTTCAAACGCCTCATGCCCCGGTGAGCCCCCAGTCCCGCCGGCTTTTATTCTCCCCAATGTATGGTACAAATGGCAACAGGATCAGAATGGCGTCCTGCGAACGAGACCTAGGCACTATAAGTCTCAGAAGTGGTTTGGGATATGTGCCATTCCTGGATATATGTGCCCGCATCATGACTGTGATGGGAATTTGCCACTCAAGTCATGACCTCAGACTCTTTATCCTTTCTAGCTCTTGAATTTTCATCTTGTTGAACAACATACCCTATAAATTCAATCCTTAGGTGCTTGCGACTTTCCGTGACCCTCTGGCTTTGGGATTTAGTGACTTTTTCTTTTGATTTGTGCGGGTGCTGGTCCCCGCATCGTTTCCTTCGATGTACTTCAACAACTCGTCAATGCTTCTGGAGTCCATCGAAACATTGCCAGTCCCAGTTCGTACATTCGGCTCCACGGCAGAAGGCCTAGTGCTTGAATTGGGAGCTGCAGTGCTGGCACTTTGTGGTTGAAGCCTTGTACCTGCACCCATCCGAGGGAGATGGCGGATGCCAAAGCGACGGTTTTGCAAAAGCTTGGCTTGCTTCGCCAGCGAGACCGCGTTTTGCGTCAATTGCTCAAGCCAGCTTTCCGCTTCCTTGGTGTTTCGGTCAGTTGGGCCAAGCTCTGCGAGGAAGATGTTATACGCGTCGCGCATCTTGTTGACAGCGCCCTTGGAATCGCCGTCCAGAGCCAAGGCCTGTGCCAGTTGGAAGAGAATGGTAGCGGCATTGATCGACTGACGTCCGAAAAGCCCCTCGCAAACGGTGTAGCAGGCCTCAAACCATTTGCGAGACTCGGAATATTCTTTGAGGGACTGGAGCATGACTGCGGCATTGTTCATCGTCGTGATAGAGTCGGGATGATTGGGTCCGAAGATGATCTTCCAGACGTCCAAGGCATGCCTGACATATTTTAATGCCTGCCTAGTGTTGCCAACGTGGTGTTCAAAAAGCGACAGGTTGAGATAGGCCAGGATGGAATCGTGCGAGTCCACCCCTAGAGTCCGCTCGGTCACAATCACGGCCTTCCGGGCCAACTCAACCGCGGCCTCCTTCTCGTCGATTTGGTAGTAAATGGTGGACAAGGAATGGTACATCTTAGCGACTTCCGGATGTAGAATGCCGTAGATCTGTTCATGCAGCGATAGAGATTCGAGCACCAACTCCTGACCCAGCTGCTTTTGGCCTTGAGCCAGCGAGATCTTGCCAGCTTCCAAGGCTTCTTCGGCCAATGCGCTCCTCGGAGCAGCATCCTTGACGACTGGGGCAATATTAAGAATATCGTCCGCGGTGAAAGTGCCGGACGCTTTGACAACGGTGCCATTGCCTTGGGCGTGCTCACCACCTTTCTTTTTCTTCTTCTTGCTACCTTCGTCTGGCTGTGCACCGTTGGTGGAGTGAGTGTCACTGCTGCTTCTAGCAGGCGATGAGTCAAGATACAGATGGACTCCTTTGCTGAAGGTATATTCTCGAGCCGCTAGCTGGAGGCCAAGTTTCAAGGAGACCTCTCGGAGGAGGGGTAGTGGGTGAATTGATGCCAGCCAGTTGTCCTTCAACTCATATCGATATCGAGTCTTGACCTGCTTCTCGATTGCATCCTGTAGTTTGGAGGGACTCACTTTTTCAAATGAGTAATCCCCTTCAGGGTACAGCGCCCTCAGATCCTCGTCAATTTCCGGCCGGGGATTGGAATTCACCTCCACACACAGCAAGCAGTTCAGCAGATATGAGATGCAAGCACCCGCAAAAACAGCGGGTAGATGGCGCAGGTAACCGTTGAGGACGTGCTTGAATGCTCGAGCGACCATTTCCTGCTGCAAGACGGTGGAGAATGCCTGAAGGCGATGGCCTTTCGTTTCCGCAGCTTTCGCAAGTCTTCCTAGGTATCTGATGTTGATACCCCGTTTGTGCATAAGTTGACAGAGGGATTGTCCGTCCATTGGGAAGCCGACATCGCCATCGTGGAGGTCCGTGATCAATTCGGGGATGACTTTATTCCTCAAGAAATCGCACACCGCCCTGACTTCTTTCTCGTCCGCAGCATACTCTTCCTTCTCCTCCTCTGTCTGGGGCAATTGTCCGCTGCACACGTCGGGGTTGAGAGCCAGATTGAAGTTCGAGATGTCGACACGTTCCTGTTCGAGCGCAGCGCTGTCTTTCTCCGGCTCTTCTGAAGTCTCGGGTGTCTTTTCTTCTTTTCCCTCGGAGTCAGCGCTGTGGCCATTGGGGCGAGCCTCTTCAATCTGGTTAGTTGTTTCGGTATGACCATTGGTTTGCTTGGTACGCCGCTTTTCCACTTCCGCGCGAACATATTCTTGCATTTTCGTGCGCCAGTAAGCCTCGACCAATTCCAGCCTCAATACAGCCATCCTGTGGGGGTACTTGTCGCCAGTAGCGTCGGCCTCAACATCCTCAGACCAGGCTACGTCGAGAGGAGTGATGCGATAGAGATCGAGGACGTACTTGCGGCCGTCGGTGCCCAACAGACCCTTGGTCTCGACACTACCCTCTAGTTCGTGCCTCTTGCCTTCCTTATCCCACACGGCATGCTTCTTGACGTGCAAAGACTTGGAGAGCTTTTCGAAAGCAGGGACAAAAGCTTCGTTCTCAGTCACAACGTCCCTACCCTCGACACCACCGTAATCGATCTGGTGCTCACCAGGTTCCCGTTGCTTGAAGATGCCCGGAACGATGCTCTGGCCAACGATACGCTTGCCAAGATAATCGACCACAACCGTGCCAGGAGTGAAAAGCCCATTGATATCCAGCTGGTTGACGGCCTTGACCCCAGCGACGTCTTTGCCGACAGCGACTCGAGCAGCCTCGTCGCCACCTTCGCTAGCAAAGGTTTGCACGCCATCGGCTCCAAACGAATAGAAGATGTTGTTATAGATGAATATTTGGGCGTCTCGGCCTTCAGTAGGATTCAGAGGAGCGACCTCACCTCGTGCTACAAGCACGGCACCCCGGGCTGCAGCGTCATTGTAGTCCGCAAACAGCTTGGAGGTCAGTCGCTCACGGAACACTCTGTCTTGCAGAGTTTCCCGGGGCAGTTCCCGTGTGGTCTGAAACTCCTCGTTCCAGTCTCGAAGGTTCTCGGCCCCGTCTGCCCCGCCGATCAAGTATGCTTCCTGAGGTCTTGTGGGGTCTGCCTGGTGCTGGATTCCCTGTGTGTACCCAGATGGAACCAGCCAGGGATTCGAGGGGATGGCATTCTGGAAGGGAAACGTGGTGAGCAGATCCTTCCGGCCGTTCATCTTTTGAAGCTCGACGAATGCCTCATTGAACGAAGGCGACACCAGTGAGATTAGAGTCAACAAAGAATGAGCACTGTAGTTTTTGGGAGCCGGTCTGGGCAAGGGGTCGAACTTGTTGCTGGAGGACTTGTTGACATAGAAGCCCGACACAGTAGCCGTGATCTGATGCTGCTCACCCTCGTTGGTAGTGAGGACCAGGTACAGTAAGTGGCCTCGTTGGCGCAGGTGATAGGGTGGGGGATTCCACTGAGACACCGAAAGCGACTTGATAGTCTTGGGCAGCGGATCCTCGTGTGAGGGCAAGACGGCTTCCAAGGACGGGCGGCCATCGACCTCGTAGCCAGCCAGCGGGTTCTCTTCAGACTTGCTAGTAGAAAGTGCTTGGGCTTGGGCTTGACCGGAGCCGAACTTGTCATCATGGAGTGACAAGCCGGCATTAATGCCATGAAGCAGGTCAGATCGGTCACCAGTGGCGCCGATGAGCTCCCGAATCCGAACAACATGTAGCCTGGCCTCCTTTTCAGTGTAGGGGTCCTCAACAAGAACCAACTCGTCATCAGGCTTCAGGTCCTTGACTTCGGAGAGCTCCACGAAGTCATTGATCCGCTGGCCGTTGTGCTCGAGATGAAAGCAGGTGTACTGGAAGGTATCGGGAGTCTCGACAATGGACTGACGCACATCTTGAACTTGCTCTTGATATGTCACCATTATAGACTGCTTATAGGGTTTATGCGGCAGCTTTACGGTGACCTGGAACAGCGCTCCGGCGTTGGGGTCGTCGGTATTCGTGTGTTCATGGTCGTGAGGGTGGGTGTGCTCGGGCGAGTGGCCATTGACGCCGTTGGCAAGGGAGGAGGATTTCTCATCCTTCGGCGAGGTATTTGCGACATCTGACCATTTCGTTAGAGCTGACATCTCTGGCGCAGGGTTGGGCGTGCAGACCTTGTTTTCCCTGGACGTCACCATTGGATTGTGCCATTAGGAACTTTTGGGGGGAATACAACACTGTACAAACCCGATAGGGAGCGAAGAGCACCGATGACCGGGAACGAAAGGAGTGACGAAGAAATAGTATACAAGTATACAGAAATCAAGGAGGATGGATTAATGTACAGCGCAGAAGAAGGAGAAGAGCAATGCGAGTGTTTAGGGTTTGTATGGGTATTGGAAAAGAGGATGGGATGGATTGATGAACGGATGCTGATGGATGGATTATTTTTCTGGAGTTGGAGCAGCAGTCTAGCAGTTGGAGCATTCTCGGCCACGAACTGCAGCTGGCCACTGGTGATTGGCCGGGCCGGAAGACAGGAAGAGTCGGTAGCCACTAGAGCGAGAAGCAAGAAAATTTCACGGGCGGCATGAATGGCTGGTGGGCTGGCCGGTGGGCTGGCCCGGAGCCCGCTTAGAGCTCCGGGCGTACTGAGGTACGTTATACATTAGGTACGTCGCACCCTTTGAGCCTAAGGGAGCAAGCCCCTAAGCCTGCGCCCCCCCCACAGTAGTTAAAGCAGCCGCCACAGCCGAACACCCCCCGGGAAGTCCTCGCAGAATCTCGCGCCTTGCGTCTGTCCCTGCGTCAGGTTGGCAAGTCACGCGACCGGCAACAACACCCACCTCGTTCGGGAGACCGTGCAGAATAACGAGAGGAGGATGGAAAAGATGATGGCGGAAAGAAAGCAATCAACTGCTGAAGAGCTACGAGTACCGCCGGGAGTTCAGCTCATCGCTATCAGCTGGCACCCACAGCGCCGTTACTAGTAATAGCACCCTAATCTTCGAGCTGGCTGCACGTGCAGAGGCTTTTTGTCCTAATCAAGCTCCCTCGAGGCTGTGTACACTCCCTTCCTCTCGTCCATCCCCATTCTCTTTTCTCGTGGATATTACCTACGACGTCCTATGCTGGTCATTCATTCCGATTCTTGTCCCTCGTTTGTCTCCCTTTTGGCCGGATTGGTTGTGCGTGCCTCTAGTTACTGCCCAGTGCCAGTTGTTACGTTGGGCGGCCAAGCCATTCCCCTTTTCATTCGCATCTCTACTAGACATTCTGGACGAGTACTATTATTCTTCGACGTCTTGCAGTGATTCGCCAAAGCACTCGCACAGGCCTCATCATGACAGTAATACACGGATGGATGCTGGGCAGGGCGCGGGTCAGTCCCTTGCTTATGAGAGGCCGCATCAAGGTCGCTGTTAGACCTATACGTTACGCTTCGTCACAAGTTGGCGCAACGAACACCCTACCCGGTCTGAATGAAGATGAAGAAGGCTCCTCGACCGACTCGAAGTCGGGGCAGAAATCTAGATCCCGAGCTGGACCAACCATGTTTAAGATCTTTGAAACGGCCGCCACCACTTTCGCCTCTATCGCTGTGCTCGGTTTGGCTGGTTACTCCTATCATCTCTACTACAAATCGCTCGTCTTGCGCAAGATTGCAAAGGCCTTTGAGCCCGGCGACCCTATGCTGGATCTTGCGTCCCCCCCAGTTCCCCAAGGCCCGGCTGGCGCTCAGCCCACAGACGATCCTGACGACTGGATACAACGGCCTGAGCAGGCTAAGATTGACGCTATCATCCATGGTGAAGCCAAGGGAAGATACTACCTTCTCGTGGGCGAGAAGGGGACTGGCAAATCATCCATGATTCTTGAGGCGATGCGAAAAATTGATGGGGAAGGGGTGTCTATGTTCGAAGCCCACGCTGATCTCGAAATCTTCCGCATTCGGCTGGGCAAGTCACTGAACTATGAGTTCCATGAAGACTACATCGGCTCGCTCTTCTCCATCCGCGGTCCACGGGACACGACAGCTCTGCTCGATATCGAGCGGGCCTTCAACAAGCTGGAGAAGGTTGCTTTGGCGCACCGCAACAAATCGCAGAAGCAGAGCGGTCGAAAGGGGCCGCTCGTTGTCATCGTTAATTGCGCCCATTTAATCCGCGACGACGAAGATGGAAATGACTTGATTGAATTGATGCAGCAACGCGCCGAGCAGTGGGCCGCGGCCAACCTGGTCACCATGGTTTTCAACTCTGACGACTACTGGGTTTATGAGCGCTTGAAACGCTACGCCACTAGAATGGAGGTCATCCCCGTCGTCGATCTGTCCAAGGACCGTGCGATTGCTGCCTTGGACCGATATCGAACCAAATTCTTCCCAGAGCAGGAACATGATCCGGAAATTTTGAAGCAAGTCTATGATCTGGTTGGAGGACGGTTGAATTTTCTTAATCGAGTGGCCAAGAGCTCTGACATGATCAAGATGTGCCATCAAATCAAGGAATCTGAGAAGACATGGTTCTTGAACAGATGCGGCATCCTCGGAGAACAAATGGACGATGATGTGATGGACCAACAGAAATACGCCAGTGCGGCCATGGTGCTGGCTAAAGCTCTCGTGGACCGGGATGAAGGCATGGAGACCAATTATGACGACGAGAGAGGCCACATTCTGCCAGAAATCCCTCTCTACAAAGCCCGGCAGATCATGACCAGAGCTGATTTTATCCAGAGCTACGATCACGACAATATCTTCACCATTGACAGCCGTGCCATGGTACGCGCGGACAGCATTCCCATGATGCACGCATTCAAAGAGATCTGCTCTGAGGAAGGCTTTGATGACTACTTGGAGGCCACTCTGGATCGCATCTCGGCAATTGAGAGTATCAACCGTACGAAGGAACTCACTTTCAAAGATCTGTGGTTGGAACAGCAAGGAGAACAACGAGGGAAATATTCGTTTACTATGAGAGATCACAAGGGACGTGAGACCGGCACCATTGAAATGAGGGTTCAGCCCGATAAATCGCCCGCAGAAGATGACGACTAGCCGACCGCTATTGAAAACACTTACCGGGTACACCTATATTCAACTCAACCCACCTTTAGACACCAGCCTTACCTTTGCTTCGCTGCCCGAGACACACCATACACTGTCGCAACATTGCAGCAGGGAGAAAGGGAGCGCAGTTCGACCATTCTTCCTTCGAGTACGTTTTCGTCAAGGCGCCATACCATATGCCGCAGCCCGGACAGTTGTTCTTGTTCATTCCACGTTTGGCGATCCACCGCTCCAAGCCAGGAGTATCTGGCTTGATCCGAATGTCGCGAGCAAGGACTCGCTTCTCTGCCTCGAGATATTTGAGATTAAGGCGGGCCCTTTCCTCAAAGTAGTGGCGATGTAATTGAAACCTGCAGTCCATACACTGCCATTCCGAGTACGTCTGGTGGTTGATGTGCTCATCAATGTTGAATGCACACCCGCATTCTGGAAGGCCACATGGATTGTCCTGCCTGATCCACTGACTGCACGGACGGCAGTAGTGCATCTCACTAGCTTGTGCTTTGCGGTAGATATGTGTTTGCTGTGCCAGCCAGGCGCATTGGGAGCAGATGAGTTTATTGCAGCCAGAAAAGATGCCCGCGGTTGGATTATGCCTACCGTAGCACCGACGGATTGGAAGCAGATTGGAAGTTCGAGAGCACCCCAGTTCACCGCATTTGACAGGCTTCAGTCCTGCAAAATAAGGATCCCGGGGGTCAACCTCCAGAGGTCTGATAGGAATTGGCTTCCACAGCTCTGCAACTGTCCGGCAACTCATCCGAAGTCGGGTGTACTGCTCAGCCGTGAGACCGCCAACTTTGCGCAAAAGATCTCGAAAAGGTATGATACAGGCGAAGACACTCACAAAATTCGGTTCCGGTTTGTTGTAGGGTGGGAGTTCCAGATCCATCGGGTCAGAGACACTGCTGGGACAAGCCAGGCTATCGCGCCGGCGCTTACCTGGTGTTTCATCATTGGATTCTATCTCCGAATGTCTTCTTTTGCCGTTGAGCGCCATGACTGATACGCAATATACTGTGGAAGAAGCAGCAGAGACTTGAGCATACGTTGTCGTTGTCTTCGAGATTATATCGACGAAAGGCCGACAAAGAAATAGGGCTTTGAAGAATGCCATTGTGCCGGACTTTTCTTTCGGACCTGGACAAATCCTCATTGTCTGTCGTCTTTGGGGCAATAAAAGTCTTTGGCCTTAGCCGATATTTGGAGTCCAGCAATAGAGCATAGGCTTTGTCTTCGAGAAAGGCACAATGGCTCATGGCGGCCGAGTAGAGTTGTGTGCTCCATTGTTGCTGGGTCCTGAACAAGAGGACAAGAGGTTCGGGGATGATGTTCTGACAATCTGGCCGCCTGTATTGGTACTCGGATGTTGTGGAAGACGCCATCCGTATACCAACTGTCCACCACACTCGCCCACACGACGTCTCTTCAGCCACATTGGGAAGGGAGCTTTGTATGGGCGACACAGGTTTCCAGTCTGACATCGAGGTTGCTGATAGAGTGCAGCAACATCCGTACTCCCTATTCTGTCAGACAAAAGCATTATCGGAAGGGTCCTCCGTCATCACGTGCCGTCGTTTGTGACGTAGCCTAACACTCGGACCAATCACGTCACGATCGCGACTCGCCAGCCACAGCATTTCCCTCCCCAGTCCAATATTCCGCTACGCCCGCTACGCGACGACTCTCCCATTTCTATTCCCACAGAGAAGACTTCTTTCCCCCGTCGAGCCTGTCTGTCCCGAGAACTTGTTTTGATGCTCGACGACCTTCTCGAACTAGCCACCACTCTTATACATCCGGACCACGAGCCGACAATCTCCTATTGCATCGGCACTGGCGGCACCATGCCTCCGCGAAGCAGACACACGAAATCCGCCAGCATTGGCTCCAGCACCGGCGGCGAAAGTGCCAACGGCGGCATGCTCCCTCCTGCGACTCCCGGCTCGAAGTCTTCCTCCCCCGTCGCTGCGCGCAAGCCACGCTCGCGGCCGACCACTTCCACTCAAGGCTTGGAGTCGCCGGCCGTGGTGGTTCCCGTACCCGTCGCCGCACCAGTTGCGCCCAAGAAGGCCCGGGAGGCGGGCAAGTTTGCTCTGGCGATCGTGCTGAGCACGTTGCTAGAAGCAGTGTTTCAGACGGGAGCGGCGTTCGTGACACCAGGAGACTTGGCTGTGGTATCGCGACAACCGGACACAGCGGTCATCGTGGGTCTATTGGGATGGAAGCTTGCAAAGCTGAGTCTATATTGGTTCCGAGGATTTGATGGTATGGCTTTTCCAAGTTTTTCTCGTGTCTGAACTGACCCATTTTGCTAGCATTCGATGTCGCCAGCGTATCTCTGCTGCTCTTTACACCGCAAAGCATTCTCTTAGGCCTCTTCTACGAGATTAGCCCCATCACACTGGCAGCGACGACACTGTCCTCTATCCTCGCGAACTCTCTACCATATTACTTCCTCCGCCCGCTATCCCCGAGCCATACACCTGCTTCCGCGCCCCGGGCGAGCCTGCGGAACCGCCCGATCTTGACCGACCCTTACACAGCCATTGCAACATCTCTACTTGCGACCGCCATTTTCGCCGTGCTGGTCGAAGCGTCGTTTGCGACGTTCCTGCCGGAATGGCTGATCACAAATTTCACTGGCTTGCGCACACTTGAACCAGCGCACCGAGGCCCCTCGGGTTTGCCCACTCTTCTTCTTGCACTCTTACCTGCCGGCGTGGCATGCATGGAGTTCCTTTTTGCCCCATCTACCGCTGCTGGGAACGTCGCCGTAGTAGCAGTGGCCCCGTTCGATCCGGCCACTGCATCCTTCCCAGCACACGTCTACCATAACGCCTGGGGCTGGTATTCCGCACGACAGAAGGAGTTGATCCGCCGGACGGCGGTTTTGACTGCTCTACTGGTCACAGAGACCGTCTTGGGGGTATGGGGTACGATTACCGGCGTCGAGCTCCCAGGCGCCTTGGGCTACGCTGGCATCTGGGGCCTGGGAGTCGTAGTACTGGGCGCGGTACTAAATTGGGTGGGTGGGCCTAGTGATTGATCAAGTCTAGTAGAGTCGCCTCCTCTGTTGGTTGCACGTCTCTTTGTTAAGCTGAATCACTGTGTATTGTTGAATTCTCCGGCATGGGTTGCTTAGGAAGGGAAGGGAGCAGAGCTCTATCAAAGAAGGGTCTTATGGGTTTCGACAATATAGCTTAGGAAGGAAAACGAGCTAGAACAATAACGAGCGGCTTATCTTATTCCACTTTCTGTACGGAGTACGGGGTAATCTGCCACGATTACTCCGTGAGGAACAAGGGACCCAAGGAGCGAGTCGGCATCAACCCTATGTTGATCAGTATATAAACATGGATATCACCGTTCTATTTCTCAGCTCAGTTCGCATTCCAGTCGGTCTCACGGCCAGCCACAAAGGCTCTGTGCGGTTCAGGCCCTCTTCGATATCGACGGCGTTGCCATCGCTGACAAAAGGCGCCCTCCCGTGCGTACATGGATCGGCCCCGACTTGGTCGATATACCGTGCCACGTCAGGCGGCATGTTGAGCGGCATCTTGGCCTCTGTCCAGGCCTGGCGGACGCCTGAGAAGAGTTGGGTGTCGGTTGCCCATAGGCCTAAATTCGCATCGAGTCAGCATGAATGTCAGACAGAGAAGGATCTGGGATATATGAGCATCGGCGAGAACCACAGTACAATTTGATAGACGCGGTTGGGAATGTGGCACGACCCTACGTGACTGGCCCAAAGTGTTGGGATCAGTTAGCATCTATCTGCACTTGTACTCCGTACGTACGTACAGTAGCCCAGACAGTCAGGTGTGTGTAATGCTGGCCGACTCGAGACCTTAGCCTTGTCATCCTTGGCCAACACAACACAACACAAGCACAGCACACAACGAAAACAACGCAAACAAAAAAAAACAAAAAGGACCGCAGACAAGGCAAGACTTGAACTCGATCTCGACCCTTTTCGGGGTGATTTTCCCCAACCAACAAAAACACCTCCCTACCCAGGGATCCCCGTGAAGGGTCCTGGTTACGTAGGGAGATGAAACCTAGATACCTAGGTTTTTTAGAATAGGGGGGGGAATCCAAGCCTCGATCTCCTCCTCCTGACCACCGTTCTCGAGCCGAAGCCGTCATCAAACGAGTGGAAAGGAGCAGTTGAGGAGGTGAGGTTAGCTTGAAGCCCCCCGTATTCTAGACGCCATGGCCAGTATGTTGGTTAGAGGGAGTGGGACAAAGGGCAAGATTGCCGATGCGTACACTGTCTTAACCACTAGACCATGCGCCTCTGTGATTGTTGAGGAGAATTCTGCTTCTGCGATATATTAACTGTCAATTTTCAAGGTTCATAGTTCAAGGTTCTGCCGGCACCCGTAGGCTTAGCTTGAGCGAGAGTGACAACGAATGAGGTGGAAATGGAAATGGAAATGGAAGTGGTCAGTAACACCTCTCGAAACTCGGATCAGATTGAATCCATACGGTCCACGGTCCAGCAGTACTGGATCCAGAGTACCTATACCATGTCTCGTCTCGCGTGCTGTACAATTCTCTCCCTTTCCCCCATCCCTATCGCTCCACTTTTGGACGATCCTCGACTGTCCAAGAGAGACCGCTTCACTGTCCAGTCACCTCCTGCTAGCTCTTCCTTGAATCTGGGTCTGATATTGGCTTCCGTCCGGCCGCTCAGCTCACTCAGCTGGTTGAAGGATCGATTGATGTTTTTAATGTTCCATCTGTCGGGGGGGGACGTTCCTCTAAGCGATGATCGGGATTCAGGCGGGAAGCGAAGATCTTTCCGATGCAGTCGTCTTGCTACGCTGAGAGTGCCAACAAGAACAGCGTCGGTCACTGGCCACATTTGGCCGTTTAGAACTTGCAGGACCTCCAAGCAAGCTTGTACCGGGACAGGACGGGCGGATTTTTCGCGTTTCTCCCCTCTCTCCCAGGGTCAGTGTATCGCCTGCTTCACCCTAGGTAAGGTCATTGCTCTCGAGAATTTGAACCCCGAAAGCTCAGCATATCCCTTGTGGTGTCTTGGCCCGGGCGGTATTGTTCATTGATCGACGCAAACATTTGGTAGAATCAGCTCAGGCTGCCCAAAACTACCTTCTCCCATTTGGCCAGCACGGTCTCGATCTCATGTGGTAGAGCGAAACCTGGATTTCTGGGTTGATGCTGATTGTTCGCTTCCTCTGCTGTCGATTCCACTTGACGAGAGCTCTCTTCTTCCCTTTGACGTTGCACCTCATCCCATTGATTTGCCTTCTGGCGTGCACTCTGAACCTTGGAAATGTTCTCCTCTTCACCCAATACGTCATCGTCAATCTGGTGACTGTTTTGCAACTCGGAAATCCTTGTGTCATCCAACACCTTCAAGAGTTCCGAGATCTTCAATTCTATCTTGGCGCGTTCATAAAGTCGGTGTACGAATTGGACTTCGACGGCACTCGTGTCCGTATCACCTCCACGACTGCCGCGGTTGGCAGCCACGTCTCTCTCAACGGAAGCTTGTCCAGACGCGGCAATCCTAGCTGAGGCAGTTTGAGTGGACTCAGAGCCAGATGCCGCATTAGATCCATGAGACATTGACACAGACCCGGTGCCGAACGATAAACCAGAAGAGACACCATCGTCGGATCCAACCAGCCCTCCCCTCCGCCCAACATTGGCACCGCGTCCAGAATTTGTACTCGTAGTTGTAGATGTAGTGGAAGTTGCAGTGGCGGCCGATACAACTCCCTCCAGGACTCCCAATATTTGGCCCACTCGCATTCCAATCTCCACGCCAAAGGGGTACCCGGCGTCGAACCCGGCCTGCATGACGCGGGCCTTGCCCACGCCCAGTCCTTCACGGTATCCGTCAGTCATATGTTGCCGACGGAGAGAGGGGATATCGCTTAGAATCTGGGCTCGCGGAGGGCGCGGCGTGATGGCCGACGAGTTCGGGTCCAGACCGAATTGAGAACCTCCATCACCATCATGTCCCACATCGCCGTTGTGGGCGTGCGCGTGGGCGTCGTGGTCATGGTAGTCCGAAGAAGTGTCCCAGATATCGTCATCCGCGCCAGGCGATTGTTCGGGCGTCGTGACCGTAGTCGAAGCTGACGAGCCTGGAGGACTGGATTTTTCAGAAGAGTGCGACATTGAAAGGCGGAGCGTTTCTGTCACTGCCTCCGCCTCCGGTCCTGGGGCGGCAGCCATGGCCGAGCGCGAAGGCGTGTGCTTGAGGTTTGATGGAGAGGTGATTGTTATATGTAGGTTGTTTGTTGGCCGGATCGTTATATGTGCCTAGGCAGTTCGTTGGCAGATGGAATCTTGGTCTCATAGACCAACGAGCTGATTTCGCAGAACAGCTAAAGATGCCCCTTCTGTGCAGGATCGGTATGTGGGCTATTATATTAGTAGGTGTCCTGGGCGATTCAACCTATCCAGCTTGTCTTGTAGATTGTCGTGTTAAAACAGGTAAAGGGCCTCGATGAGACAGGGCCGATATCTGGAGGTTCGCACGAGTACCTAAATTACAAAACTACAGGCGTGGATAGAAGGCATGATATAAAATAGTGACTCTGTAGGTGATTTGAAATTGTAACATTAATCGATGAAGTTGAGTCAGGCTTTTCACGTGACAGTCAATTTTGATATCACGTGCCCGACCTTTGACATCCTGCTAGCAATTCGTTGGGCTGAGAGCACGAGTCAAAAGAAGGGAGCCGAGGCAGCAGAATAAGTTTTCATCATCTAGCCTCAAAGTGTCCCTGGTTCTGATTCCCAGGGGATTGCTCATCGAGACGGAGGACCTAACTCGTCGCCACCTGACGGTAGTCCCCTTGCACTCTCCACGCGCGAAGCGGCAGAGCTTGCAGTGCGAGTGCCTTCTTCTCTATATAGGTCCAAAACAAAACCGCTCCAACAATCACAAAGATCACGTTTGTGATATAGTACCCATCACGCTGCATGAGACAAGTGCCGCCACCCTTTAGACACGTGTTCTTGTCGGCTTCCAAGGCGCAACTGAACGAGCTCGTGATTGGACTGATGTCGGGATGAGCCTTTGAGAAACCCTCCGGATCGGCAGGTGGAAAGCAGGTAGCCTTGGTGAAGAGGTCGACAAATTTGAGGATGAAGAACTTGGGAAATGTCCCGCCCAGATTCGAGACCCTGAGAAAAAGTAGATTAGTAAATAGTCATGCCAACAGGTGAGAAGAAAGCAAAGGAAAACTTACGTAGCTAACAGCGTCATGTATGTGCCCCCAATTGCTGGGTCGGCAATCCTGGCGTGAAACGCAGATATTGCGACAAACATGACCGTGTTCATGAATGTCGAGTAAATGTGTTCAGCAATCACCACAAGCATGTACCACAACGGGACCGGCTCATCGAGCCCAGCCGGATAGATCATGATAGTGAACTGAGCAAACACAGCAGCGAGTAGTCGAGCCACGTAGGCCCAGCACCATAGCCTCAAAGGCGTGTACTCGGTCGACCATTTGCCGGCGTAATATCCCAAACTCAGTTCGAAGGGAAAATCAATCAATACAACCAAGGCCATATTGGCCTGGCCAAACCCTTTGTCGAGTAATTTCAGGTTCGTGACTGCATCGTTGGTCACGAAGCCAAGTTTGGCAATTAGATGGACAATAATGATGATCAGGATGTTGGGAAGTTTGAGCACAGCCCACATACTGCGGTAGACCTCCATGATTCCATCTCGTTCGTTCGACTTTTCCTCTCTTTTCAGAACAGCCAGGCCAACCGTGACTATGAGGTACACCCAGCCCCAGAATTTCATGTAACCGCCGAGGGTCAGCAACCCATATTCCTTTGGCACGGTTCTGAACCAAGCATTGGCGAAATCCGGGGCCTGAAGCGCTAGGAAAACCGTGTGTGACAAGAAAGATCCTGCTGTCAGACCGACCGTCTGCGCTGTGGAAGCATAGGAAATATTCTGGATCGATAGCAGCGAGATGGCCCAACCGTCAACGGCAATGTCTTGAGTAGCACATAGGAAGACGAGAAGAAACCACCAGCCAGTAAATCCCCAGACACCAGCCCCATCATTCTCCCCTGCGGCTTTCATCATTTTATCAATCCCGCCCCCAAGGTAAATCATCGACAGTCCGGAAATGGTTTGAATGGGGGTGATCCAGCTCTTCCTTCGCCCGAACCGTCTGCTCCAAACCGCATCAACTATCGGACTCCACAACAACTTCAAGGAATATGGGTATATCGCGAGTGAGAAGATGCCAATCTGGCCGTATGAGAGGTAACTTTTCAACAGGAAGGGTACAGACCCTGAGGCCAAGCCCATGGGTATACCCTGAAGAAAATATAAGAGCACTAGGAGCAAGAAATTGCGCTTGTCTTTTGGAGGGAGATTCGAGAAACTGGTGTTCACCATCCCCGGCGTCTGCGGTGTCTGTGGTGGATCATTGTCGAGCGTGAAATCCTCCCTGTTTGTGACTCTGGCTACGTTGGCTGCCGGATCGTCGCTCGAGACGTGTTTACGCCTCAGCTCGATGTGAGAGTCCATTTTGCCGTTTGTGTGACTATCTACATTGCCGTTCTGGTCGACTTCGATCCGTAGGTTGGGGCGCGAAGGCGATCGTTTGTCTTTGCTCTTCTTGGATTTGCCGCGTTTCATCTGCGACGTGGAACCTTCGACGACGAGGTAATCTTGTTCCGAACTCTCAGCCTCAGAGTCCTCCTCTTCCTCTTCGCGGACGTCAACAGGACTCAGGGATTGCGTAGATTCGCTGTAGAGTGCCTGGCGGGGTGGAAGTTCGTTCAGTTCGATCTGGCGGGACTGGGTTGGGAGTCGGCGCGGGTCTCCTGCTTCGATTCTGCTGTGACCTTGGTGGTAAGGAAGGACAGTATGGTCTGTAGAGGACGAACGAGTGTGGTAAAGTGGGAATGTAAAAGGTTCGGCAATGGAGTCAGGCATCCATGCGGCGAAACGAGTGTAGGTGGGTGGATAGAGAAAAGGACTCTGTGTCCTCTACCAGTGAGTGGCCAGTGCCAGACTGTTTTAGTAACGCTGTGAGATCATGGATCACCAGAAAAGATTTTCGGAGGAGGCTTCCAATTGCATCTTCCTCCTCCTCGCCAACATCCAGTCAAGGTAGAAAGGACATGAGGATCGATGTAGACTCGCGATATTCTTCATAGACGGCTTCCGACCACCCCAAGTAGCACGTTGCACTTGTGGCAGGCTTCAAGCCCGCTAAAAGCACAATCCCCCTGACCACACACGTGACTGCCGATAAGCGACGCGTCTTTCTTATCGCGGACGCGTCTTCGCGGAATGGCATTTTCCACCGCAAACGTCCTCGGCGAGAAACTGGCGGCGAATGCACCAGCCGACAGTTACGAAAACTAAGCACATGAACTCCAGTTTGCCATGAAAATGGCCCTTGCCGCGTCTCCTCCACCTGCAGTACTATCAGATCCGGCTCATCAGGTTATGAGCGATGCACTCGACGAAGAGATCGTACAAGTCAGAGCCGAAAGTAAGCCCCAAGCCCCATACCACCCGAGCCACCGAGCCCCAGCCCCTGTAGGGCATAGGTAGAGAGACTGACACATTTCGACAATGTCCAGTCCAAGCCCTTACCAAGCGTCGCAAACTGCTTGCCTCGTCTCTACTCTCGTCGACGGAAGTCCAAACTCGACTGTCCCATTTTCGAGACACTGCCGACCCCATCGCCACCTCCCCAGACCTCACCCCTCTTCTTGAGTCCGCCAAAACACACTCCCAATACAACATACACCGCCTTGCCTTCGGTGCGACAGCTTTCCCTTTTCACGACCCCAGTCCCGAGTTGCAGAGCAAGAACCCCCTGTTAGGAATCCGCATCGACATATGCGATCGCACCGGCCGTTACGACGACCCTTACTATCTGTTCTGTGTAAGGGCTGGAGATCGTGGGACGCAAGACCTCCGCATCCATCGGCACACGATCCCTGCGTTGGTACCGCTGCAGGACTATGAGAAGACGTACTTGCCGCTTGCGGACGAGGGGTACGGAAGTTCAGAGGACTCTTTAGCGGTCGACGATAACCCAGAAGTGAGGACACAGGATCTGCATGGGCTTGTGGAGCGAGTCCGACACGACCTGGTTTCGTGGAGACTGAGACAGGAAACGATCGAGTTGCTGCGCGAGGAGCTTGAGATACCGCCTGCACGACTCCCGTCCAGCGAGAGCCCCAGGAACGTGGACATCGGGTCCGAAGCGGAAGACGGGGACAGCGACGACGAAGATGACCATGAGCAGATTGGGAGGTTCGGTGTGCGAGAGGTATCCTCCGTGAGCGTCGACGCCCGTCAAGTTCGAATCGTCTGGGCCGATGGACGTGTAGGTCGACTCAGGATCTCAGATCAAGGCAGCATAGAAAAGGCCGTGGTCATTGGCCGCGATGACCGTGTACGAGACCAAGAGAGGATATTGACGGATGGAAGTCCCAGGCTTCGCGATCTGATCAAGTGTTTGGAAAGGGTGGAAAGGCGTTCGTCACGGAGAGGGAAATGAGCACGAGACCAGAAGGATGAGGATGACTGTAGTCGTATACTGACGAAACGAAGAGTACCCCTGTACTCTTAGGGTGGGTGCCAGAATTAATGGCGATTTATTCGAATACTACTTCGATAGTATGAGAAAACCTCCAGCTCTACCTAGGAATATCTTTCTAATATATTGGATATGCTCTACAGCTTCCTAGAGTAGACATTCGATTTTGATCAGGGAGCCGCCTTTTAAGCCGCGTCTATTTCGACACCCAGCCTAAACCCCGAATCGTGCAGGCCTTATGGGTGGACATGACAAGCACAATGTTTCTACGATCTCATGGCTGTTAATTTCCTGAATCAGGACCTCTCTCGTACACGACGACAACGAAATGCTCAACAAAGGTTGACCAGTGAGACTAAGCTACCTTGGGTATGCACTTGCTATACCGCCACTAATGCCATCCTAGCCTCCAAGGAACAGTCTGGTTATCTTGTTTCGCGAGGCTCGCTATCAGGTTCGTGATACCTTGTGCATTGCAGTGAGCCTCTTCGCACTCTTGATCTCGGTCTCCACCTCCTGGTGTTGCCGAAGAATCTGCTTCATTTTATGGTCGATGGCGAAGGTAGTTTTACGTCGCTCATCGGGACTCATCTCCTTTCCTTTCAACTCTTCCTTTGTGTGGGCTATGGCAAGCGCTTCGTTGAGCAATCTTTTCTCGCGTTGCTGCGCCACCTCCAGGGAACATTCAGCTGCTTGCAGTTCGCAACGGACTTCCTTTCCGACGTGATACGAGCTGATTCGATTTATTTTCTTGGGCGTGGTGCTCGATCTGTTGGAAATTGTGGATCGGTGGGAAACTAGCCGTTGGTTTTCTGCCACGCTTTCGACAACATCAGTGACGACTTGGAGGGTCTTGGGGCCCGTGTGTAAAATGACCTTGTGAACAATGTCTTCCTTGGCCATTCCTTGTACTAAAAGATCGACAATCTTCCAATAAGCAGGCAAGGGTACCTCGTGGTCGCAGACATTGATGGTCGGCATAGAGTCCCAGTTGCGTGAAGGGGCGGTCACAACCCAAAACGAGTCAAGGTTGGAGGACATTGCCATCGCGGTCTGCTGAGGGTAGGGACGGCACACCAGAGGATTTCAGAAGTTGGCAGAAGGGATGCTAGGATCCGTGCGAGTGCGATTTCGATTGACAAGTACATGCTGACCTTTTGTTGCTGGTTTCTTTGTCCCTAGTCCGGGCTCGATGCTGCAGACGTGACACTACTAGATTCGCAGGGTGTCCGAGACAAAGAAGGATCATGGAGTACCTCGCTTTGTAGTCCTGGAGGCTAATGACAAAAAAAGAGGGAGTAGCGCTTCGGGGATTTGATGGCCGCTAAAGTGCTGTAGAAGTCGCAACGTATCGCATATCTGAGGGCTTTCATGATCGAATCCTGATGTTCATCTGCATCAAAACACTGCGTATTTCCAATCTTTTGCTGTTAGCCGCGCAATCGCAAGGGGCCCGGCTTCGGCTGCCCACTCCAGGGCTGTTTTGCCGTCCTCATTTTCATCATGATCATCAAGCTGAGCACCTTTTGCAAGCAGCAACAACACAGTTTTCACACATCCTAGCCCTGGCCAGAAGAGGAAACGCTTGTCAAGTAACTTCATCTGCTCTTCATAGTCTTGAGGATCATCACGGCCAAATGGGGTCGCGGTCGAACGAACACCGCATTGGTTTTCGCTGTCCCCTAATGCCCATGACAACGTGGTTCGCCCACTTTTGTCTGTGACATGTACAGAGGCATTCCGCTCAAGCAGTAGCTGTACCATAGATTCAGGCCCCCTTTTAATTGCCAATAGTAATGCTGTCATCCCGGCATTGTCGGTGGCCTCGATATTAGCACCTTTCTCGAGTAGTAAATGTACTATCTCCGGGCTGTAACGGCCAGCGGCCCATAGCAAGGCTGTCATGCTGGTATTGTCGATAGCCTTGAGATTAGCCCCTTTGTCGAGCAGTAGCTTTACCGTCGGTTTATTTGCCATTTCAGCGGCCCGTAGCAAGGCTGTCTTGCCGGTTTTGTCGATAGCCTCGATATTAGCACCTTTCTCGAGTAGTAGCTTCATAACAGTCTCTCGCCCGTTTGTAGCAGCCCACACTACGGCTGTCGTAATGTGGGTGGCATTGGTGACGGCGGCCTTGTCGAACAGTAACTGAACAACTGCACCGTGCCCTTGCTCGGCGGCGTATATTAGTGGCGTGCGGTCATTATTGGCCTTCAAGCCGATGTCGATGTCGTCAGCTGCCAATAAGACATCCACCACATCCGCGTAGCCCTTCTCAGCTGCTAGGGACAAGGCAGTTCGGCCTTTACGGGCTTTTTGGTTGACATCAACATCTGCAAATGTCAGAAGAGCCTGGACGGCATCTCGACTGCCAGTAGCTGATGCAGCCAAAAGAGGATATTGATATCGTTCAGTGAGAGACCCCGGGAAGTTTCCCGTCAAGCCGTAACGGTACGCTGTGGTGATCAGCCTCGCAAAATTTTTCTCCGACAGGATGTATAACAGGCTGGCACACGGAGTGTGGCGACGGATCTCGTACCGCTCGAGCAGGTTACTTATCTTGATCCAGGTGCCAAGATCAAACCCTCTCAAGAAGTCGTCTTGTGAAATTGCCACCGCCGCTTCATTGGAATGATATAACACATGTTGGCTTGCGTAGTCAAGGAAGGGAAATTTATCTGCCAAATCCTGTCTGAGACTTTTCGCGATATCGGTAGATGCGAGTGCAGGTATCTGACCAGGCGAAACACAACTCGAAACGTCGACCTGCAGATAATTCTGACAGCATTCCTTCAGTTTATCATGGCTCTGACTGTTCAAGTCATTCCCAAGCTCGGGCCACAGCTCGCACAAGCCGTTGTCTTTGATGAGAAAATCCCGGACTGATTCGTGGATAAACTGGACCGTTGGCTTTTTGGATTTGGTGAGTTCGGCCAACCCTTTGGAGGAACTGAGCACAAAAAGATTCATATAGTTGACGGTGGTGTACTCAGGGTCCCACTCGGCTATGCTCTGAGGCTTGAGGCCAGCCACCATTGCGTAGTAGAATTCTTCCTGCCTCAGGGGTCGTTTCGCAAACAGGATCCATTGGAGACAGAGCAACAAGTCGGTCATGTTGGTACGGTCCTTCCTCAAGATGTCTCTGAAAAGGTCGCTGAGCCCCGGTGGTATTTCCTGGAGTCTTTCTTTGATGGCAAAGATGCGGCCACGGCGAAATTCTTCATTCAAGATGTTGATGACCAGGACCGCCCACATGAAGACGCCATTTGCTTTCTCGCGTATCTGTGCTCTCACTTCCTCAATGGACTCTCCGGTTCCGGCTCGCAGGTGGCTCTGTATGTACTTTGTCAAATCCTCCCCGTGACCGGCTTCGTTTTCCAATGTCAACTGCCGACCATTCCGAATGTCGATGGTCGGATAATGACGGCTGGCGAAGCATATGTAGAGCTGACATCCGTTGTCAAGAGCCTTCTGCCCCAATTCTTCAAAGAAAACAACCATATCTTGAACTTGCTGCTCGTCACACTCATCGAGTGCGTCAATGAAGCATTTCAGCCGTCGTTGCCCAAGTTTCGCTACAGCGGCTGACAAAAGCTCACATAGTAGGTCGACCGTCCACAAAGGAGTTTGGTTTTGATACTCTGAGGAAGGATGAAGGCTGTCCAAAACCTTCCGCAACTCTGCGTCTTTCTTCAAGAGCTGAAATAGCAAAGCTCGATACATACCAACCGTCGACTTTTCAAGCTCGTCTCCACGAGCATTGAAAAAGAAGGACAAGATGATCTCACCCTCGGGAGTGTTCTTTGCAGCACACGCATGAGCGAACTTGATCAGAGTCGACTTTCCAGCTCCAGGTTTGCCATTGATCCACAAGAATCCACGATGTTCGTGAAGCTTTTGGGGGTTTGTCCAATCTGCGTAAGCAGGGTGTTTCAGTAGCCACTCGCACGTCTTAGGATGAGCCGTTTTGATCGTGGAGCGTCGTGAATCCATCTGATCAAACCCCAGAGAATCCACCAAACTCTCTCGTCGCCCGTGTAGCGAGATTTTGTCCGGATTACTGGAAGTTGATTTGGTGTCATGTCCGATCCTGTCCAGCTGACGGCGGTAGGACTTACAGATCTCGTCTTTCAGCCGAACCATAGCTTTCTCCTCCTCACCATAGATAGGAGACATGGACACATCAAATATACCCAGTCGACAATACGCCTTGTCTTCTATCCTCTTGGTGTACCTGTTCTCTGACCACCGCATCTTCTCATCAGGACTGAAATCAGACAGTGGAGAGCCACGGAGAGCCGCGACTGGGATCCGTGTTATCTCGTGGATCTCCCGCTCAAGCGAAGTTTTGTCGCCTAGCAGGTCTCCGTCTCGTGAATAGAACTCGACTTGTCTCGGAGCAATGAGTTCTTGAAGCGTCCACCCCCGCGTAAACCATTTACTTTTGCGGAAGGCGGATTCCCATACCCGCCCATTTTGTTCACTGTCCCGTTTCCGACTCGAAACATCCGATAGATACACGTAGCATCTTACGGCACGTTTATACCATTGGAACATTGAGACGATCGCTTCTGCGAGCTCGGTATGATTTGCTTTATCAATGCAGCATGTGTCCACCCAGAAATATTGAAGTCCATCCTTCTTGGACTGCTGCTCAATGAACCGAAGCTTATTGTAACCTTTTTTGCTCTTGCCAGATCCGTTTTCGAGATCGGCCAAAGTAACCTCGTCGTCATCCGTTCCCCAAGTATGTGAAAGGATCGAGTAGCTGGGAATGTCTTCAATCAAGTTCCTGGTCAGGCTCAGCCGACCATGACTGTCACTTTGCAACAGCCGCATCGCGTCGACACTGTTCTTGACACGTTCAGGGTATTCCTTGGGGAGGATACGGCACGATGGCTTGCATTACTGATGCATCTTTGACACATGTGTTCATGCGAAATAGGCTGCGGTGAAGGAGTTTGTTGACGGAGGGGAGGTTATGTCAGAGAGACCAAGGATGAAGGCGTCTCGCAATCGCCCCGATTGTGTGAAAGTATGAGTAGACACGGTTTCTGGGTGTCAGAAATTGACATATCTGTAGGAGGCTCTTGCAGGCACTCGTTTCGGTTCAGCAGCCAGATTGAGGCAGATGAATATGAAAGGCAGGTTGAAGAATGCGCAGCGGTCAGGCAGCAGTGTGGCTTAGAGGGCGGCGGTGGCAGCTTTTTAGCGAACGACGCCCGACCAGATTGGCTGGAGAAGCAAGTTGCAACTGCTCAGCCATGCAAGCCAGTGCCGAGAACCATCGTATTAAAGGACTGGCCACACAATCTCAGTATTGTTGGTAATTCCTACTCCTCCGCCTGCCTATCAAACAGACGCTGAAATCTCACGCACTCGTTGGCCGACCGATCCCTGTGTCGCATCCAAAAGCCTTGTGGTGTAGGTGTTTTTCAAGTTCATGGGCAATCTTTTCTGGGACGACGTCCGCCTCCAGGCCATAATCAGTCTCGGTGATCTGAGTTGAATATTTTATACTGTACCATATTGAACCCAGCGACTGATCCGAGAGTTATCTTTCCCATACTAGACCTGGACTCTTGGAAAACACATCAGAGGTCGAGCTTCCCGATGCGATCGTTCCACTGCTTGAATACCATACTAGGTCAGGTTCAGCTTTGACCTTGAATACTGATTGCTTTATCACGGCATGCATGGCTACGGGAACGACGTTGTCGAGCCATTTATCTGTGTGCTGTTCGTATCGTCGTTGTAGTCGAGGTGGAGAGGTAATCGAGCGTGGACGGCCAAATCTTTCTCTTCCGTCAATGCTCCGTAATAATAGTTCGGCAATTCCGTCGCCGTCGCCGTCGCCGCCTCTTCTGCCGCCGGCCGCTTCCTCCATACAATCATATCGACTCCACTATTGATGAGCAACGATCTACGGTCTACGGTATCTATCCACGTCGCCTCGTCAGAGGATAGATAGATACACATAATTCCTTGAGTAGCCAACCCAGTGATTACGGCGTGTGGCACTGTCGCTGTCGCTGTTTATATTAATATCATCATTTCTGTCCAAGTGGAAAACCATGTCCGAATCTCTGAAGCACGTCGAGATCCAACAGCCCCTGCTGAACAGCATCCCGGCGCACCTCGTCCCGCACTTTGAACCGACATATGTCCAGTACTACAACAAATACAGCGCCGGCCGGCTCGCCACGCACCAAGTCCCCATTGAGTCTTATCGAGCCGATCCGCTGAAGTACACGATCGCCTATGGCCGTGACCGCGTGCCCGACGAGGGAGTCAAGATGACGGACCAGAAATGTCCCGTTGACGGCGGCGAGATCACGGTGAGGGTTTACGAACGTGATTCTGATTCCGATTCCGCCTCTGGAAGGAGCTCGACCCCAGCCCAGGCACCTAGACCGGTGTATATCAACTACCACGGCGGCGGCTGGGTGTTTGGAGGGTTGCCGACCGACTTTGACTTCTGCAAGAGGATCGTGCGCGCCTTGGACTGTGTCGTCTTCGATGTCGATTACCGTCTGTCACCCGAGTACAAGTATCCCATTCCGGTTGACGACTGTGTCACTGCTCTCCACTGGGTGCGTTTTGTCTTTCCCTTTATCTCTACAGTGATAACGAAAAGCGTCGGTCGTCGGTTAACGTTAATGTTGACGTTTGATGTTTATATTGATGTTGATGTTAATTACTGGGGACACTTCAGATCCGAACCCACAAGAAAGATGAGTTCAATCTCGACCTCAATCGCGTCGCCGTCGGTGGCTGCTCGGCCGGAGGCCATCTGAGTGCAGTCGTCGCCCACATCTGTCGAGACGCGGGCATCCCGCTCGCTCTCCAAATCCTCTCTGTGCCGGTCACCGACCTGCACGTCTTCAGTCGCGAGGGCTCTATTCGACCAGACCAGCCCTACCCGTCCTACAAGGACCTAGCCGACACGCAGCCCCTCCCGCTGGAGCGCATGGAGTATTTCCACAAGGCCTTTCTGGGATCCCCACGGCCGGAGCACTTGGAGAATGACTGGAAGGTGTCGCCCATCCTGGCGCCCAACTTTACAGGCCTCGCGCCTGCGCTGGTCCTGACGGCCGAGATGGACGTGTTGAGGGACGAGGGCGAAGCGTATGGGGCAAAGATGAAGGAGGCCGGCTGCGAGGTCGACTTAATCCGATTCAAGGGGGCGCCGCACACTTTTATGCAATTGGATGGCGAGTTGAATTCATCCCCTCTTCCATCAATGTTTGATCACTGACTTGTTCTACAGCAATCCTCGACTGCGGGAAACAATATAACGACGTCGTACTGGCAGCACTTAAGAAGGCTCTACAACTGTGAGGGGACCTGTATGACTGGGACGAGATTTTGGTTTGGATCGGGACCAGGAAGTCTAACCAGTTGCCAGCCACCTACCAGCCAGCTTAAATGGTAGAATCCTATATAGATGTAGCCAGGTTTTTCAATTCTGCCTGACTTAGATTTCAAGCTCCAGCTCAGTCCGATACTGGATGACGAAACCGTCAACAGCCTTTACAAGCAAGTCGATGTCTTGCATGGTTGTGCCCAACAAGAGACTGATCATGCCTCTTTCTGCGATCCAATACCCTCTTTCAATGCACCAAAACCAAAAGAGCCTCTTGAGCTCAGGTACCGAATGCTTGTCAAGGTCTTCCGTCCGCAGGGGTGGCATACCATGGCGCAGAAAGTGAATGGTCATCACCGCACCGACCCCAGTGATGACCATCTTGGTACCCTTTGCGATTGCTTGTAGCTTGATGCGAAGAGAGTCGCCCAGAGCATTGAGCTCGAGGTTGGCCTGAGGGGTGTAAACTTGGGATAAACCAGCATAACCCGCCGCCATCGTCAGCGTGTTGTTGTTGAAGGTGCCAGAATGGGGTAAAGCAGAGCTCTGACGCGGGTCGTATGTCTGGAGAAGTTCTGTTCGGCCACCAAAGGCCCCGATTGCCAAACCGCCCCCAATGTATTTTCCCAGAGTGGTCAGATCAGGTTGGAGATCATATTTGCCCTGGAGGCCGGAGGGATACAGCCGTGATGTCATGACTTCGTCGAGGACAAACAAAGCTCCATGCTAGATATGGGTATGAGTGATGGCTCGATTCAAAGGAGTTTGATGAGCATGAAGAAGAGCATAGGTTCTGCTTTGACTTACTTTTGCGGCAAGCGACTGAACCGACCGGAGGAAACTGATTTCGCCAGGCAAGCAGCCTCCAGCGCCTTGCATGGCTTCGACGATGACGGCAGCGATATCGTCATGCGTTTCAAACAGTGATTCAAGATGCTCTCGGTCGTTGTATGTTCCGAGGATCCAATAGCCAGGGTCGACGGTGTTTTCACTGACCCCATGGGCAAACCCCAGAACGCCGCCGTGATAGCCGCCATTGAAGGCAACGACTTTCCGCTTGCCTGTCACCTTCCGAGCAACACTGAGAGCATATAGATTGGCCTCTGTTCCGGAGTTGCAGAAGCGAAGATGCTCGATGGATGGGAATCTCGAGCACAGAAGAGATGCAAGTTTGGCCTCTTGGAGGTTGTGGGCACCCAGATTGACGCCATGCTGGTCAAAGGCAGAGAAGAGAGCGTCGCGAATGATCTCGTTGGAATGCCCGTATAGCCCAGCTGTCATTTCGCCGATAAAATCTAAATATCTAAGTTGGTTCGGTTAGCTAGGTAGAAGGATGCAAGGGCGTGTGTGTTCTCATACTCGTGGCCATCCACATCCCACAGACGGTTCCCCTTGCCATTTCCCATGCAGAGTGGAAACGGTCTGTTGTAGAGCACTGATCTAGTATTACCCCCGGGCATGAATTCCGAGGCTGCCTTATGAGCTGCTTCGGATGCTGGGTTTTTCAGGGTATAGGAGATTTCGGCCGTCGCCAACTCTTTGTTGAGCGTCAGTCCCATCTTTGTACTCTGTGCTCCATTGAGAGCAATGGTGCCACCGGTAGACGAGGCTTTGGTGGTGGCCGTGATCTCTGTCATTGTGGGAGGTGGTCACCACCTACACAATATCAGGTGTCAATCAACTATAGCTAGTGCTGGGTATGGATGAGGACGCACAAAGAGCTCAACTGCCTTTAAGTCGACCACAAGGTAAGTCCATTCCCACAGTCCGCCCTACCTTATCGAGAGTCGAGACGGCAAAGCCGCCGACGGAACCGCGTCTCCGCGGGAAGTGCTGTCGGTTAGTACATTCTGAGTAAAACAGATGGGCACCTAATGGGTGTAATGGTGTGCTCGATCAGGCTCAGGCCATAATTAGAGCATGGACGTCAAGATGTGTTCGGGCGGGACGAGATGCGGCATTCCGTGAAAAATGAGGCGGAGATGCCGGCACACAATCGGCGGCGATAAGGCTTTTCCTGCGCCCCATCTCAGTCTGCCGTCTTCCACCTCCGTCGCAGCCGCGCTGCCTTCCATTGTCATGTCCGACAGCAACACTCCAACAAGTTCCAGTCCCGGCGGCCATCGAGTTTTAAAAGTCAGGAAAAGGACAGAGCAGCGAACGGCGCTTGCGTGTACTTTCTGCAGGTAAGAGTTGGTTGTTGGCTAGGTCTTTGACAGCATTAACAATATACTGACTGATCGGATCGGTTCGCAGGCAACGGAAAGTACGGTGTACGGGCGAATGGCCACAATGTCGCAACTGCAGAGCCAAGAACCGAGACTGTGTCTATCCAGGACAAAAGCAGAACCCATCTGTCGCTCCTGTGTCGAACACGGTTGAAGCGAGCGATACAAACAATGGTCCAGACGTCCAGTAAGAGAGGCCCCTTGACCATCTTCAAGACAGACAATACCCTTGAATGGCGAATAACTTTTCCATCTAGATTGCCTTCATCACAGTTACGAAGATCCGCCCTCGCCTTCTTTCGTGACAACTATGCCACCAGTCTCCTATGCTTCCTGCCACCACAGCAATTGGTCGACGACCCGGTAGGGGACCAACTGCCGCTGCCGCTGTTGCTATGTATCCTTGCGCTGACATCGAGGTAAGACTATCCATATCTCCCGAGAGAGGGAAGGCTAATCATCCTCAGATTCCTTCCAGATTGCACATCTTTACCTGCAAATGGAACAGCTTGTATCTATGACTATGCGGAGATGGCTAAGAGAGAGGTCGACAACCCGAGCGTATTCAATCAGCCCTCGATCACAAGCATCCAATGCTGTCTGATCCTATGCGTCGTCGAGGTCGGCCATGGTCTTGAGCATCAAGCTTGGTTGCGCGTAGGTCATGCTGCCCGCCTCGCTCAGCTCGCTCGGCTGCACAAAGAAGACCTGGATGAAACATCCTTCGTATGGGGCAGTCCCCGACCAGTTTTGGTTCCAACCGAACTTGAAGTTCGCCGCCGAACCTTTTGGTGCATGTACTGCCTGGACAGGCTGTTGGCCAACGGTCGTGACCGGATTGCCACCTTCGCCGTCGAAGATATCACCACCCGCCTACCTCAGCCCGACGAGGACTTCATATTCGGTCGCGAGCGCAGGACAGGCCGGTTGACAGATGCGCCGCCTGTGGATGCGACAGATGTTGCTACCGGGTCTGCGAGCTTGTTCTCCTACACAATCCGCATTATCAACATACTGGGTAATATTGTGCTATGGCATGGGCGGGGTGGGCGTCGTCGCGATACTCGCTGCCCGTGGCTAGCGGACGCGCCCTTCTCACGCTACGCGAATAGTCTTGCCTCATGGAAAGAGAGTCTTCCAAGATATTGGGATTATAGGCCTCGGAACCTTCCTCTTGTCGTTGCCGCCGGTCAAGGAAAGCTCTGGTCGCTCATGTTCATGTTTTATTTTCAAGCCAAAACATACCTGTACCGAGAGTATGCCCCTTTCACCCCTTCCAGAGACTATGACCCCGCCGCTGGTGAGTGTCTATTGAGATGTGTATATCATGCCCGGTCGCTAACATCTGCCAGGACCTTCAGACGGAACACCTCTGCTTCCGGCTGATTGCGTACCGCCCCAGACTTGGTGGCGAGACTATACCATCACCTTGGTAGAAAGTGCAAACTCGGCGGCCGACCTGTACACACGAATGCATGATCTCGACCTCGCACCTTCGGCATATCCTTTTGCTGGTCTCGGCTTGTTCACAGCCGCCAGCATCCACGCAATTTTCACCACCTTCGAATGGAACAGCCTGAAGCCTGTCGTATCACGATCCAAGGCGAGATCGAATCTAGCCGTGAGCATGCGCGCATTTAACTCTTTAGGACAATATTGGGACCTTCCTGTGTACTGGGTATGTTCATTCAGTGGATGTCATGTTTTCCGAGGGAAAGGCCTACGACTGATACGAGACGGGAGGATCACAGATTCGCCAGATTTCGCTCTACTACAAACTCAACTATCTCACCCATCTGTCTTTCACAGGTGGCGCAGAGAGCATAACCGCCTTGAGAATGAACATCCAGGAGGTCAGGGACGGTGTCATGAACTATCTCCGTCAGATCGGCCCCAAGGACCGATCGTCACGCCTGCTGAACCTCAAGCCGACGTTTGATTTTGAGGGCTGGCTGGTCGCCATCGAATCCGACTCGACGAGAAACAGCTTACAACCACAGGAGGAGCCCCGACCAGAACAATCGAGACCGGTTACGAACGTGGAGAACGCCATTGCCCCTGTAGCTGCCGACACAACCTCGATCACGGTCTCGGGCTCACGCATGGAGCAACAGCAGCCTCTCCGGATGGAAGACCTGCCCTTCGAGGAGCTGCTTCGAACAGCAGCCTTTTTGCCCTCGGATGGCTGGGATGACCTGAGCCTCGAAGCCGCGTACTGGGACTTATAGCTCTGCTTTATGAATGATATCTGAGCTACGATCATGATCTCATACAGGGTATGTAATATGTACACATAAGCCCAATTAGAGCCGTCCTTCTTTTTTCCTCATCTACTTCCTCAGTTCTCAGTTCTCCTTCTCCTCTCTGCTTCTTCAGTTTTCTCCTCTGCGAAGCGCGAGAGAGGCAGTGATGCAAGCCACTTCCATCCTCAGGCCATCTACTCCTATCACTGACGCCGCCACTTCTTGGTCGGAAATAGCGTTCCCTTTGACAATCGCGTATGATTTACTACTGTATGGTCGGAATCGACTTTCACGATGATCTTCAAACGCTACATCTCTTTCATTCAGAGTTTCCCCGAACACGCCGTGGTTAATAGCAGATGCAGGGTTCCGAAGACATGACATGTGCTGGTAAAGAAGGGGTGTGGGGTCAGATGGGCTTTGTGGCCAGGATGCAGGCTGGCACAGGGAAGGTGAAGGCAAGTAACTTGCATCTTCTTTTCCGGCACCAGCTTTCGCATCATCACCATCACTGGCCATGGTAGGTTGATTCTTGACGCATGGATTGTCTCTCTTCATGCACATGATACGTCCAAATCCTTCGTGGGTGATTGGATCCTCCACAGCGGTGTGCAGGCACTGAGGGCGAATTGCACAAGAACACTTCTTTGGCTATGCTGCCTACAAGTTCCTCACGTACGAAACTCGTGAGAGCCGCGCGTTCTGCAACTGCTGGTGAGACAATTCACCACATGCGTGAGACCAGAGCTTGCCATGCTTTGGAGTAGACGGAGCAGCCTTCAAGGGGAGAGCGGAGCTGGACGCGTGGGAGTGTTGGCTGCCCTCATAAGATCAACGAGTTCTACAGACCAAAGCCCCGCCGCCATGGTGGTGCATACTCAAGGCCTGTGTCTCGAGGGACATAATTTGCCTAGAACTCACAGCAGATGTACAGCCTAGCGCGGCTGTGCTGGAGATTTGGCAGTGCTCAGGACTCGCATGTCAGTGCCGAGAGTTCTCCCACAGATACACGCAACTATACCGAACGAATTATGATGGTTTGGCCGCTCGAGACGACGTATATTTCTTTGCAAGAATGCAGGCAGAAGCTGAAAAACTTGACGAGATGGAGAGCTTTTGAGTTGTTCGGTGGATATCGAATGAGGCGGAGTAACCCCTTAACCTCCTACAGAAGAAGAGGGGTCGCCATAGTCTTGCGGTTGGAAATTCGATGCCACAGCCCCTGTGTACCCAAGTTCGAGAACGTAACCAGGGTGGACGGCGCCTTGACCGATTGTAGAATGACTGCCGGCCTGTAGGCACGGCGTTCAGCTCCGTATGAGGCAGGGAGGAGCGAGAAAGACCACGACTAGGGCTTGACTTCGCCTCCAAGGCGCTTTCCGGACAGAAGAATGGATGGATGCCAGGTGGTGGAACTTTGCCCAGCCGATCGATACTTCTGGCTCCGCCACAATGGGGTGGCAAGGCTGGAGGAGGGGGGATCACGTGACTGATAGAGATGTGGCTGGCCCTTTTGTGGCTGGTGCCTCGTGTGGCTGAGCGAGGCGGAGGGCGCAGAGAGGCGAGAGTGGCATCTCATCTCCCTCTTTCCTTCACAACCCAAATCATCCAGCTCGCCGCTCGTTCTTCTCTTCAGCCTGCGCAATCAATGTTCGACGGAGTCGCCTAGCGTCCTGCGACCGGTTGACGTGAAGCCTGCCTACGGGGAAGACGCTGTGGATGACGAGAAGAAGATCACGATCGAGGGCCCAACCACCAAAGTAGGGTGAACATGACAAGATCCAAGAGTTGTTGAGGTCAACCAGACGAAGCCAAGGAGTAATGTCCGGTTTGGCCAAGACCAACTAAAGACGGTGGCCAGACTCTAGCAACTCTTGTTGTCAGAGTGATATCTTGGAAGACTTTTGGGGACTTGGTGGCGACACAGGATCCAACATAGAGTTATATGCCAGTAAGTTGATTTTGGTGATGCTTGCAAGGACTAATGGACAATGGTCGTCGAAGTGTTTGCCCCGCAAGAAAGCCCTCAAAAATGGCCTGAGGCTCCAGGGGTAGCTCTCTGGACCAAGCCTCAGCCCCGATCATATCACGACCGGGGGCTCGAATCATAGGTGTAGGTCCTCCGTACTCCGTACCACAGTGCAATCAAGTGTGAACGACAGGCAACATGCCATGAAACCACTGGATCTGCGATCAGACTCCACACAAGACGGAAATCTCAACCTCTGATCTCTGCAGGTGGGCGCCTACTTCAAACCCCAACCTCGACATGCATGTGTCACTGCGGATGGGTGGTTGCCCAGGCTGGAACTGCCTGCACAGCCTCCTTCACCCCTCCACTCCGAGACGCCCGTTCCAGCATTCGTGCATGGCAATATGGATCTCCAGCAGAACAGGTCTTCGTTATCATGGCCGTGTTCGATATTCATATCCCTCGCAGCTGCCTTGTGGTTGCCTTGTCCCCCAAAATTCTCCCTTGATCTTAACTCCTCGATTCAAAAAGCAGTTCTCGCAAGGCTGAAAACAGAGTCCACGTCCACGGCCAGCCCCATGAATTAAACACCCGAGAACTGTCCAGGCAGCACGTCAAGACCATCACGGCAAACATGGCGGGCCAAAATCTTGGGGCGCCTAAGATTACCCTCGAGACATCGGTAAGCCCATGTCTATAACGTTCTCGACTTGCACGGATTTACTGTGTTTCAAGGCTTTCCTGGTTCTGATCTGGTGACTACAGAACCTATTCGATCACCCTGAAGCAGTTTCACCGACTTCAACCACGCCAGGTCTCCGAAGGGGCTACAGCATGTCCACACCGCCTCAGACCGCAGTGGACGAAGGCTCGTATTTGTCTCCGACCTCTCCCGAACACAAATACGCCTATGACGGGTCGACCTTGAATTCAAGGTCAGGCTCTATCCAGTCAGGCGACGCCACAACCCGATATCGATCGAATTCAGGCATCTCGGCAGCTTCCAGCGTCACTGTCTACTCCAAGTCAAGCCTTGAATTCGAACCTCCGGATGAGGCCTTGAAGCCCGATCAAGGCAATGAGAAGGACTTCCATGTCCAGAACAATCCCTTTCCTTTCTCACCCGGTCAGCTCAACAAGCTCCTTCACCCGAAATCGCTTTCTGCATACAAAGCCCTCGGCGGCATGAAAGGCCTAGAGAAGGGACTGCGAACCAGCATCACCGCGGGGATCTCCATAGATGAAACTCATCTCGACGGACAAGTATCATTCGAGGAAGCGACTGCTGCTGGGGCAAAGAGCGCCTTCTCGGACATTGCTCTGAGCCAACAAACGTCGGTCACCGCAGCGGCTGCTTCAGATTCGACAAAGCACTTCGTGGACCGGCTTCGCGTGTTTGGAGACAACCGCCTCCCTGACCGGAAACCTGCAGGAATATTGCTGCTGATTTGGCGGGCTTACAACGACAAGATTCTCATCCTCCTCACCGGAGCCGCCGTGGTTTCCTTGGCCCTGGGTATCTATGAGAGCGTGACAGGCGAATCGGGCGTCGACTGGGTAGAAGGAGTTGCGATCTGCGTAGCTATCCTCATCGTCGTTAGCGTGGGCGCGGTGAATGACTGGCAGAAGGAACGACAGTTCGTGAAACTCAACAAGCGAGTAAGTTGTGCGATTTTGTCTTGTCCCGTCCTGTCCTGACAGCTCCGCTAGAAAGATGATCGGGAAGTCAAAGTCGTCCGATCCGGCAAGTCCATCCAAATCTCGGTCCACGACATCATGGTCGGAGATGTTCTTCACCTTGAACCGGGCGATGCGGTCCCGGCTGATGGGATCTTCATCTCTGGGCATGGCATCAAATGCGACGAATCTTCCGCAACCGGGGAATCGGACCAGATGAAGAAGACCCAGGGCGAGGAAGTCTGGCAGCGGATCCAAGACGGCACCGCCACCTCCAAACTAGACCCTTTCATCATCAGCGGCTCGAAAGTCCTGGAGGGCGTTGGGACATACCTCGTGACCAGTGTCGGCACCAACAGCTCCTACGGCAAGATCCTGATGAGCCTGCAGACCGAAAACGAGCCAACGCCGCTGCAGGTCAAACTCGGCAGGCTGGCCAACTGGATTGGTGGTCTCGGCTCGGCTGCTGCTGGGCTGCTCTTTATGATTTTGTTGATCAAGTTCCTCGCCCACCTGTCGGGGGACTCTCGCCCTGGGGCGGCCAAGGCACAGGAGTTTTTGGACATCTTGATCGTGGCCATCACTGTCATCGTGGTCGCTGTCCCCGAGGGCCTCCCCTTGGCGGTGACTCTGGCATTGGCCTTTGCCACGACCAGGATGTTGAAAGAGAACAATCTTGTCCGAGTGCTCCGCGCGTGTGAGACCATGGGCAATGCGACCACCATCTGTTCCGACAAGACTGGCACCCTGACTCAAAACAAGATGACCGTCGTGGCCGGAGCCGTGGGTCTGAACGAGAAGTTGGCCGCCTCTCGCCCGGAGGAAGACTCCGATGTGAGTCGTCCGGCCATCATGTTCGGAAGACTGGGTGCCAATGTCAAGGAACTGCTCCGACTTTCCGTCACTCTCAACAGCACGGCCTTCGAAGGCGAGGAAAAGGGCGTGGCCACGTTCATCGGGTCCAAGACTGAGGTGGCGCTTCTCACCCTCGCAAAGGAGCATTTTGGCCTGGACGGCCTGGCAGCCGAACGATCGAACTACAAGATCAAGCAGCTTATCCCATTCGACTCCGCCAGGAAATGCATGGGCATTGTGGTCAAGGTCGGCGATGGATACCGACTGCTGGTCAAGGGGGCGGCCGAAATCATGCTTGCACGCGCTACCAAGGCCATTTCCAACATCTACGACCACCAGTACGAAGTGATCGATCTGATGGAAGACGACAAGGAGACTCTTGCCGCCACCATCGAAGACTACGCCCAGCACTCTCTCCGCACCATCGGTATGCTGTACAAGGACTACCCACAATGGCCTCCCGCCGGTGCGAAGGTGCTTGAGGAAGACGGCCGGCTGGCTGACTTCAACGACATCTTCCACGACATGACTTGGGTAGGCGTGGTCGGGATCCATGACCCGCTCCGTGAGGGCGTGATCGAGGCGGTCGCACAGTGCCAACGTTCCGGTGTGGTGGTTCGCATGGTCACGGGCGACAACATGACGACGGCGCGGGCGATTGCGAGCGACTGTGGCATCCTCGTCGAGAACCAAGACTGCGTGGTCATGGAAGGCCCGAAGTTCAGACAGCTTTCACCGCAGGCCATGGACGAGATGCTTCCCAAGTTGCGCGTGCTGGCACGCTCGTCGCCCGAGGACAAACGCATCCTCGTCGGCCGGCTCCGGCACCTGGGCGAGACGGTGGCGGTGACGGGCGATGGGACCAACGACGGGCCTGCGCTGAAGCTGGCGGACGTCGGCTTCAGCATGGGCATTGCCGGGACGGAGGTGGCCAAGGAAGCGTCGTCCATCATCCTGCTCGACGACAATTTCTCGTCCATCATCACGGCGCTGATGTGGGGGCGGGCGGTCAACGACGCGGTCAAGAAATTCCTGCAGTTCCAGATCACTGTCAACATCACCGCCGTGGTCTTGACCTTCGTGTCGGCCGTGTCCAATGACGGCAACCACTCAGTGCTTTCGGCGGTGCAGCTTCTCTGGGTCAACCTGATCATGGACACTTTGGCGGCGCTGGCACTCGCGACGGACGCGCCGACCAAGAAGATCCTCGACCGGCCACCACAGCCGAAATCGGAGCCGCTCATCACCATCAACATGTGGAAGATGATCGTGGGCCAGGCTGTATACCAACTCGTCGTGACCTTCGTGCTGTACTTCGCCGGCATGACCATCTTCGGCTACGATGCGGCGCAGCGCAGCCAACTCGACACTGTCGTCTTCAACTCATTCGTGTGGATGCAGATCTTCAACCAGGTCAACAACCGCCGACTGGACAACAAGTTCAACATCTTTGAGGGCATCCACCGCAACTACTGGTTTTTAGCCATCAACTGCCTCATGGTCGCCGGGCAGATCATGATCATCTTTGTCGGCGGCCGTGCCTTCAGTGTCACCCACCTTACCGGTGCCCAGTGGGCCATCTCGATACTCACCGCTCTGCCTTGTCTGCTTTGGGCTATCCTCGTCAGATGTTTCCCCGACGCCTGGTTCGGCCTGGTCTTCAACGCCACCGTGAATGGCATGGCGATTGTCCTCCGCCCACTCTGGCGCCTAGTCCGATTGATCTTCCATCCGGTTGCACAAGCGTTCCGCGCTGTGTCTCGTGTGTCGAAGCGCACTATGTACAAGCTGTCCGGCAAGAAGATCGACGAGGACAGAGCCACCGACGACGACGAAGACGACGACCAGCATACTCAAATCCGAGACGAGGAGCGCCTGTCCACCAGATTGACCAACAGCAAGTCCGGCACTGTTGATGAAATCCCTGGCATGTCCTCTGGGACCGCGACGACCAAGGCCACTCCGAAGCCTAGTATGGGCGCCCACAGCTTCCACGACGCTCCTGCTTCCGCCTCGAACATGATGCCTGTGCCGTCGGTCTCAGTGACCGGACCCAGCTGAATTATCTGTTGGTCTGCGACTTTATTCGCTCGTCTGCACCTAGACCCTGGGATGACAAAATGGCCGACTTTAGTCTCTCGTATGATGTTGAAGAAGGGGGATTTGTGCCAAATTGTCCGCAACTCGTCAGGTTCAGGCTCGGAAATGCACACATATTCAACAATGGAAGCATCGCAAAAAGCAAAATTAATGCATTCAACAGTCAAAGAACCCAGGGTCCACGTGGGCATCCCACGAGTCTCTAAGACATACAGTAACCGCTATGGCTGCCGGCCGCGGTCATCCTGAACTACAGCATCGAGCCGCTTGGAGAAATGTTCAATTCGCCCAGGGCTGCTGGCGCCGCTGCCGCTGAAGATCAAGATCCAGGAGCTCTATGGCTTTTGGGTTTTGGTCTTTGGGTTTTGGCCTTCGAATGTCATCGTCTTTCGAACCAGGCCCATATCAATCCACATACGTTGCTACAATACAGTACGATGACGGCGGTTCTTGAAACCACCCGTTAAGACTGCCTCATCGCTCCAACTACGGTCGTGTCGTTCCTCGTAGTGGAAGGTTGGAGGGGCGAAATGGAAAGTGAAAGTGGGAATATACCGACAATGCACGGTCGACGGACGTCTCCCAACTTGAACCGCTGAAGAAGGTTGCTGGCTACTCTTTGGTGACTCCATCGCGTGACATGTTAGGAATCAGAGATCAGATATCAGATATCAGACATCAGCCGACCAGCAAACCACCTAAACCAACTATAGATTATAGCCCGTAATATCAGTTCAGTTCAATACGTTGTGATCTGTTATTCCTTGTATCCCTCTCATCCCTCCCTCTCTCTCTCCCTCTCTCTCTCCCTCTCTCTCTATATAACCATTAGAAGAGGCCAGCCATAATTTGAAATACTTGCCACGAACTTGCCATAATACGATTTATATTTATAGGCCTTGTTCATTAGCAAAGGGACCTAAGGGGAGCCGTGACTATACGGGGTACATACTCCGTACCTATCCATACGTCCATCAGCGCCGTACAGATCAAAGGACGGGGCTGGAAATGCCTCGGTGTTTAACAGGGTGCAAGACGAACTTCCACCAGCAAGCTCTCAATCCTATAGGACTCAGGACAGATTACACGACAAGTCAAATTTTCTTGAAGTCTTTAAGAAATCCATTTTTGACCTGTATAGGAAATCTCCATCAAGTGGTCCATCGCTTCATCTTCATCCTCATCCTCATATCCGTACCAACATCACACCACACCCCCGCTTCCCTCGACCGCTCCAACACGTAGGTCCAAAATAAATGGTGAAGGATGAAATGAGTACCGTAACCCTCCACTGCCGGCGCTCTTGCGCACCCAAAGACCCATTCCAACATCCAAATAGACGCCTGTCCCGCTATTCCATGATTGACGTAGTAGAAGTCTCGATAGACGACATAGATACAAAGAGGGCAATTATATTAATATATTTCGACATGTTGTTTTCTTGTTTGTCATTTGTCCAACCAACCGTTCAGACTTAGTTAGTTAGGCCTCTGTCGTTCCGGCCCTCCAGGAAACGGTGGAGGGGGTCCTATCGGAACACCCCCAGGACCCATTCCTGGACCACCGGGACCTTTTACGCCAGGACCTCCAGGGCCCCCGGGGCCTCCAGGGCCTTTTCCTGGAGGACCGCCGGGACCGCCGGGGCCTCCTGGACCGCCCTTTCCTGGAGGCGGACCCTTGGAGGCGAGAGCGCTCTTCTTCCTCAAGTTCTCGCCGAAGATCCACAACAGGATGGGAACGGGCATTCCAATGCCAATGGCGGCGAGCGCTAGGACGGTGTTACCCCAGCCGAACCCCAAAGCGTCATACATGGCAGGGGCGAAGAGAGGAAAGCCGAAGCCCGCTAGAGATCGAAGAATGGTGACTGCAGCCACGGCCGATGCAGCAAATCTGGCATAGGTGTCGACGAGATAAGTGGTGACACATTGGAAGGCGGCGATTGTACCGATGCCAAAGATGAAAGACCCAATGTTGGGGACGATCCAGTGCGTCTTGGCTTGAGCAGACCATCCATATGTGAAAAGACCGATGGGGACGAAGAACGAGAAGGGAATGACAACCGGCATACGGAATTCTGGTTTGCCTTGGTTTCGCTTGTCCTTGGCCTTGAGCTTCTGATAGACCTTGTCGCTGGTTTTGCCACAAAGCGGAGCGCCAATGAAGAAGCCGAGACCGAGGGAGATGTAGTTGAGGCCGGATACACCGACGCTTTCGCCATAAACGTTCATGTAGAGTTCCGGGAAGGTAGACAAGGCAAGGTAAAGGATACCGTAGGAGAAGGCCATGTAGAGAGCCAAGATCTGGACGATGGGTTGAGAGAACAGCATTCCAAAGGAACGGCCCATTGTAGCGACAATCTTCTTCCAGACAGGTTGGTCAACATCACCTTCACCTTCTGCGCGGTAGCGTTCGTCACCCGTCTTTTTGCGCAGCATCTTGGCCTTCTTGTGGAGGATGTACGGGGCGTAGGATTCGTTGAGCTTCCAAAATCCACCAAGAAGGATGAACACGTTGACGATGGAGGTGGCGTAGAACATCCATCGCCAGGTGGATTTTTCGGCTACCCAAGCTCCCACAATGGGACCGACAGCAGGTCCGAGGAGAGGGCCCATGGCATAAAGACCCATTGCCTTCCCGCGCTCTTCGGGCTTGAAGAGGTCGCCCAGTACACCACCACCGATGGCAAGTGGAGCGGAGCCTCCCAGACCAGCCAAGAAGCGGAAAGCCATCAGTTGTTGCTTGGTTTGGGCGAAGCCACAAGCGGTGTTGAATGCCAGGAACATCACGTTGGAGGATTGGAGGACGATGACACGTCCATAGAGTTCGGAGAGGGGACCCAGGATCATAGGGCCAATAGCATAGGCGAGAACGAAGATAGAGAGGACAATCTGCGACTCGATCTGATTCGTGATACCGAAGTCTTTTCGGATCTGAGGAAGCGCAGGAGCGACCATGGACGAGGCCAGAGGTGAGAGAAATGTGAATGAAGCTGTCAGAGCGGTCGCAGCCCACTTCTTTTTCGAAGGCCAGTTTTTGGGATTCAGGGGATCTTGGGGACCATTAAACCCGACCTAATGAGACCATTTAGTTAGCAGAGTGGTTTTTACAGGTCAGCAGGTTTGCACTCACCACATATTGATCACCAGGCTTCTCTTTGGGAAGGAAAGGCGTAGGAGTAGGCGGCCCATTTTGGGCTTCGATGTCGAACTTTGATGGATCCTTTTTGTCGGCCATGCCGTGGCCGTGGCCTTCATCACACGTGCACCACGATTCGTGCGAATGCTTGCTCTGTGCTCGATCCATGGGCGGGGTCATCAACCGGGAGAGCGGTCTCTTCTCATCACGGGGGTATGAATTATGCAGGGCGTTCATTGCCAAAGTTTCTTCAGATTGAGTAGGATAGCGAGGGACAGATTGGTCATATAAGGAGTCGTTGCTATTCAGGTAGCCCTCGGCAAGCAGCCTCTGGTTAGCAACAAAGTCGGGATTACGGTCGAGGTAGTTATCGTCGCTCACAACCCGGGAGTCACGGGTGTGGAAAGAGGGGGCATACGAGGCCATAGAGTCGGGTCTGTTTTGGGCGGATCGCATCGATCCCTGATCGTCGTAATGGCCGACGTGGTAGTCTCGGCTATCATCGTATAGAACAGCGAAGGTGATTTCACTGCTGGCGCGGTCGGAGCCAGGTGAGGGTTCGGCGGGTAGCGATCGATGCCGGTATGGTTCGGTCGAGTTGAGGCGTCGTAACGAGGGGAATCTCGAATTCATGGTAGGCTGTGAGAAGGGACGCAGCGTCTGGCCGCTGTTGCTCCCGGTGTCGTCCTCCATGCCTGCGGGATTCAATGCGGCGTCTGTTTCTGCGGACGGGAAGGCAGCGACTGTGGTCGGTCGATGTTGTTGCGGACGGAGGGCTTGGGCCGATGGAGGACGCGAGGAAGAGTCGTAGCCACTTGCGACTTCCCAGCTGTCCCAAGAGTTTGGAGCCGCCAGTGTGGTGGATGGTCAACGAGTGTGAAGGTGGTGGTGGACGAGCAATTACAACAACACAGCCGGGCCAGGGTCGACTAGACTGAGAGGCAGGCCCAGGTGTGAGTGAGGAAGCGAGCGATTGAGCGAGTGAATGTAAATGAGAAGGAGGAAGCAGCAGGTACTATAGTAAGTAGTCGGTCCGGGCAGGGAGCAGCAGGGAAGAAGGAGAAAAGGCCCCCAAGACCAGAAACAGATCCGCAAGAGGAGCGAGGAGGATGACGATCCCGAAACGGGGAGGAGGGAGAAGGATGGTGATGAGAGCGAGTGTGAGAGGAAGAAACCCGCTGTGGCCTGCGAGACGGGCTGATTTGGGAGCGAGCTGGGTTGGTGGACAAGGTCGAGTTGGTGCTTTGGAGCTGCGGGCCTTGGGTTGGGTTCCTGCTATGCGAGCTTAGTCCGGGAAGGGATTAGAGGCAAAGGAATGGGGATTATTAGGCTTAGGCACGCAGTCTTTACTTAGACCAGCATTTTTAGGCCCCGAGTCCGAGGCGGCGGGCGAGGCTTTACGACGTTGGTCTTGCTGTACGCCGTATTATTATTTCCAGTACGGAGTGCTCCATACCGTGCTGCGCCTTGGCTTTCGTTTTCGTTTTTGGGGGCGTTCTACCGTGGCTCGGATACGACAGGCCTACGGGCTGACCTTGCACAGCCCAGGGATGCTATAGACTAGTGGTGCCTACTTTGGGGACCATATGGCATAGGGTGCTGGGTAGTATGTGATACCTACTGTTACCTGCACACCAAACCCGCCACCACCGACTCGTTTGTACGCCGTACAAATGCCAGTGAGATAGGACCCCGACCGACACCTTGGGTACCTTCCCAGGTAGGCAGTGGCTTCCGGCTAGTGCTAATAGTCCTGACAGTAATGGCTACAGCTACCTTCATCAAGCATACTAGTACTCCGTACAGCAACTTGGTGACAGCATTACCATGAGGAGCACCCTTACCTACCTGGTAGGTACGGAGTACACAGTACGGATTGTGCGCAATAATACGGATACAGCAGGTTGAGATCAATATTACCCTGATACTTAAGGACCCCTGATAGGTGTTGTTTATTGATCCTGGGCATCGAGATGCACTAGGTACTAAGCACTGTTACCAGGGTGAACGAAGTGGGTATTGCTATCGCGCCATTTATCATCACCATCACCATCATCATCATCATCTGCCTAAAAAGAACACAGCTAAATCTGTGTCGCCGTGACCGTGACCGTGATTGTGATTCCGACAGCCAAATGCAACGACAAACAATGCGAGTGGCAAGACTGTGCTGCAGCAATATACAAATACATACCCGTTGGCCTAAAATTACCTTTTGCGTTCACCCTTTTTCCGCGTGAAGTGAAGGCAGTGAGGACAACGGAGAGAAATCATCCACATACCGATACCGTATTATTATTTTCAGCCAAGGCAGACCAACTACTAGCCTTAAGCAGGCCTAGGAGAGCTACGATCCCAGGGGTTGCAGTGATTATTGGTTATTGTGGCCATCCAGCAAGATTGAAGGTCAGCCGGTGCCCGCAGGGCCTCCCAGTACCTCCAATGGGCACGCTCGACTGGGCTGCCTGTTGCTAAAACGAGTCCGTAGCGTGTTTGGCTAGTGGCAAAGGCCCTGTAAATGGCAGGCAGGCTACGCTGTAAGAAGGGCAGAAGATTAAAAGCCTAAAAGACGTGCCCCGCTGTGCCGCAATCTTGATCCTTGTCTGGCGGCAGGGGGTTTCACTGCCCATGTCCATCTCCTCCACGGACTTTCCTCCCCGATCGCCTGGGCAAGTGGGTTTGCTAGGTGCGCTGCCCTCCCCGGAATCTGCATACTTGTCCCCAAGAGGGAAAGTGTGCGAGTGCCTGCCCCAATCACTTTCCCTTCAATCTGCGTCTTACTGTCCCTTAGCAAGGGGATGTTAGTGCCCCCCAAACACAATACGGAGTACCTACCTAGGGGCCTTACTACCTAGTACCTGCCGAACCGTATTACTGAAACAGAACATTCTATCTGTATGCTCGGGCAGCTTTCTAGTGATTAGTAGATATGAAATGATAGAGCTGAGATCCGACAGGTACACGTGAGTGCAGACCGGCTATCTAGACTAACTGGACGGATACTACCTCTAGTATTGCCATGTGTACCGTCCTGGAAGAAGATTACCTATAGGTACCTAGCTCAGTGCCTTGTATGTAAAATCGTCAGAGCAGCAATCTTCCACTCCATAATGACCATAATAATAATAATCCCAATTTACTCTGCACTGTGGTTTCTCCTTTTCTTCCTCAGCATTAATCTCTCTCCCTTCTTGGCGCCCCTGTCCCTCCATCCGCCTGCATTGTATGATTATCAGATCTTCACTGTGATCTTTGCCCACCAAGTACTAGCAGCAATAATCACAATGGTTCCTTCGCCTTCGCCTCTCGCTAGATGGTTTCCAATTTCCTTTGGAGCCAGCCCACGCTCCTTCGCGCCACAGCCTTACCACCCAGATCACTTTGAATCAGCTAGCAAGGCCCCTCTTTAGGGATGTCGTCGCTTAGGTATTATTACAAGCGCCTACGTTGAGACAAATACGTACACCATATAATTCAGTACGCGTACGCGTACGTACGTGTCTTGTACTCGTGTTCTCCCAGGACCGAAAAACCCCAGTCGCGCTCGCTGCGATCTGTAAACGACAATGTCGCTTGGACACAGAATGGATGTGTACTCCTTCCGTGGACCGAGGCTTTATTGGATGATTATGACTTCTGGAAAAGGGCGTACATTTGTCGGGTATTCACTTAGTTTACATTCGACCTTTCCCATTACAGAGCCCAGAGCTCGTGGCTGGCTGATAGACACGAAGCACCAGTACTGCTGCCAATCGGTGGTGGGGAAGGCTATCTCAAAACAGCTCTTTTCACTCAGTCTCCAACTCAGTCCTGAGTCTTGAACTTGTTGCAGTAGTCCGTTCTTGGCTTTGTTGGTAGCTCCCATGACCGCGTGCGTTTAACTATGCATGGGGATGTGATGCCACGCCTGGTCTCGTCTGGCTCTGGGTCCGGCGAGAGTGATAACCGAGATACTGATAAGTACCCAGTAGTATCCGTACTCGTGCTAATCATCAAAACGTGGAATCCTGCCATGGTCTTGACTCTTGACTCTCGAGTCTTGACCCTCCCCCCACAGGCGGGCCGAGAAGTCTGCCTTGGTGGATGCTTAAGGCTGGAAGCCACGCCACCGCACGCCGAGAGCCTGATGAGCCCTGCCGTGAGGCTGTCGGCGGATCGAAGCTCCGTGGTGCGCTTTCAATACTGAACATGTAACGACGGACATCAAACTCTCGAGGCTTGACGGCAATCATCATGGATGGTGCCTAAACGCACCCCTGTGTGGACTCAATCGACGGGGGAGGAGGTCAAGGCATCCCGGTTGCTGACTGTGGAATGCAGTCACACTAGACTCTGAAACGGCTTTAGTCCGCCGACTAACAATCTATAAAAAGATCTCAGCCAAAGGGCAGAACCCGATGCCGGAATATCCGACCCCAATGTCATGTGCTCGGGAGATTTTCGATGATGCGTCGACGCCTCGACAATGATAATCATGAAAGTATGACTTGGGTATTCCATCTAAGAGGTTGGTTTTTCTCCGAGTGGGCATTAAGGTATCCGTACGGATTCCGGCTGACGGTGAGCCACATACATACCAGGTATCCCCTTCGACGGACGCACCTGGGTTGGCCTTACAAAGTCATGCCCGAAGCTTACAAGGTTCAAGGCTGCATATTCAGTGTTCACTGAACGAGGCATATAAGCCGCATGGGTAGCCCTAGACTCCATTCACACGGTGTTGGTCCAATCCGTGTTAATGGAGCAGGAGAAAGGCGAATTTTTGAAGCTCTGAAATCTGAACACGGTGTACTACTATACGTAGGTACATATTCTCCCGTGTGCTCAGACCAGCTGCTGGAGATATTTCGAGGAAAACTTGTACAGGGTATGTATTCAAAGGGGGCCGGGGTCATCCCAGTCTGACTGCATGGCCGCCCGCGCCCTAGACAGGGAGAAAAGCCTGAGTATGCCGCATTGCAAGCTGCTCATGACGTTGTCGACGCTCGTGTCATCTTCATGTCAATTGTCCTTGAGTCAACGAAGCTGGTGGCTGGACACCCATCTCTGACTTCACTCGAGACTGTCAAGTGTGCGCTAAGTCCCTGAACTCGACAGCTTTCCTCTCCACCAAATATCGATAACTAGCCGCATTGTGCGACTGCTCTTTTTCAGACGACATAGCATCTCAATTTCCTTGCACGTCCAGTCCGAGTATGGGACTTATCGTGCGATACCAGTATAGGCCGTTGCTTGTCTGGTCGTGCTTTGATCCCATTGCATGACAGTTTTCCCGCTCTTGATACAAGTCCTCCTGGCTCCATGACGTGGCGCGCTGCGCTCCAAACATGTATGTTCTTGGCTGGCACTAGCGGACCTCTCTTCTGAAGAGATCACGAGGTCACCCCACAGCAGAACGGTATCTGCGTTGACTATCGATGGTGGCTGAATTTGCGAGACATGGGACCGCTCAACTTACTCATAGACTTGAAGCAAGCTTTGACATGTTCAGAACATCGTTGCTTATTCTGTGGTGATCGGGAGCACAGGGCTCCTGCAACCATTCCACTCCCAACTCCCCGGTACCCGAATAAATTTGAGTACGGTTCCCAGCCACCTCGATTCCGCTCCAGTCTCCAGCTTAGTTCGCCATACAAGATCTTGTCTGAAGGCTGTTCATGTTATTGGCGGTACTCCTGCAGAAGCGACCTTGTCATAAAACTTACCCATTTGGTCGTGGAAAGTTGATGGTGTAGCATTGACCTTGAATTCCTTTAGTACCGAGTTACCTCGACTGTATTCTTTCCGGCAGGCTGGCCGCTCAAATCTTTATCGCCGCAAAAGTCACCCAAAGGCGTGATCGGTTGGCATGAAGTGTTAATGCTTGTAGAAGTAGCCCTGAACGCTGTGCGAAGACCACAATGGGCCGTAGATCCCACAGAAAAACAAAATCTCCAGCCTCGGCCGCTCAAATAGAGCATTGCCTGAACGTGTCTTCAGCCTGAACGGGTGTTGAGAGTAGTGAACTTGTAGGAGAAGTTGGTAGATTTTCAGATGCAATGCGCGTCCTATAGACAGACAACGGACGAACGACAGCCCGTCGCATTACTTCGTTTGTATGATGTTGCCTTTCGCGTCTCTGTCCTTGTTCGCCCGCCAAACACCTTCTTGCACTTCGCCAGTGTCAGCAAACCACTCTCTCTTCCAGATTTCAGCCCTTGCTTTGACCCTCTCCAAGATCTCTTCCGCACCCTTCCAGCCACTCTCACGATGCCCGCTGCTCACCACAACAGCGATACTCTCCTCCTCGACCTTGACTTCCCCCAGACGGTGGACTATCACTATTTTTTCAAGTCCGTGTTTTTTTTGTACGTCTTCGGCAATGGCGTACAGAGATTTAAGGGCAAGGGACGGGTAAGCTGAGTATGACAGCCGTGATACCGGCCGGGAGTCGAAGTTATTGCGAGTAGTGCCCAAAAAGAGCACGTTGGCACCTGCAGTAGGCGAGCGAGTGAAGCGGAGGTAGGTCGGAATGTCCAGAGGATCGTAGACTAACGAGATGTGGATTGTCTCTGACGAGAGAATTTGTGGAAAGTTGGCCGGGTCGAGGATCGAAGAGCTCGATGTCTGTGGCTTTGAGAGAGGATCGGTCCCATTGGCAATAGGAGATGAGATTCCTGTGGGCATTTCTGCGGTGTTGCCAACCAACAAACGCAGAGGTTGTTCTTTGTTTCAACTGCTGAAGACGCTTCATTAGGACCACCAGGACACCATGACTCTACGCGTCTCTGATCGACCGACAAAACTTGCAGGATACCTAGGTAGGTACGGCAAATATTGCAGGCACAGCAGTTGAGATACTTGCCTTTTGGTAGTCTGGCAGTATTGGAAGTCGAAAGTCACAGCGCAGCCTACCCACCTTTGAGTGGTACGTCATTCAAGGACCTTTTAGTTGTGCAGTACGGAGTACTCGTAGCTGATGAGACGCCCGTTTGCTTGCAGTTGCTGCCGTGAATTCATCGCCTCATCGAAAGGAAAGGTCCGGAGAGCATCCTGTCATTCGCTACTACGAATGCTCCATTGCATTCCACTTCCACTCCAAATCTGCTTGAAATGCATCTTCCTCACGCCTCAACTGGAGCCACGTCCTCTCTTCACCGCCTCTTTTTTTCGTCCGACCTTTCCACTCATACCAACCCTGTGCGCAAATTGTCTGTCTAAATGCTCCCCTGCAGTGCCTTTCTCCTTCTGAGGCAATCCACTTGCCTAATGGAGAACTTCATCCCCCAGCAATACAATTGAAGGGGCTGGAATGCAACAGGATTGGGTGGTCGATGTATGCAAGATGTGAGACGGCGTGATCGTGAACGCCATGACTAGATCAAGGCTCGTATACCCGGAATCTCTTTTCTTCTTGCCCTTGTTGTTGGTACATCTATTTTCTTGTATGGCAACATTCAAGTACATCTTCTATGAAGTGGAGTTGATACAGACCCGTAACCTAACACGAGAACCGCCGCCATACTACATCAATGACAAGTCTTGCCCAAAATTTTGTCTTTGCCGCACACGCACATTATCATTGAGTTAAAGGGCCAGTATGGTGGTGGTCATGACTGATGGCATGGCAGTACTGGAAGCCCGCCGGGCCCGCGCCCTTGATTCACCGTCTTAGGAAACAGTGTTGCCAGCGCGTACGCCATGACCGCGAGGTTTGCAATTTTTTCATTTGGTGGCGCTCGAAGGAGACTGCTTCTCGCTGAGATATGGAAGAAGCGTTCTGTCGATGGGCTTGCCTTCTTTCTTCCAATCCCGAACGTGCTGGAGCACAATCGCTGCGGCACTCTCGGGCGTATCTTGTCTGCCAATACACTCCACAAAGTCACCCTCCGGGTCCATCACATAAAAATAGATGCTGTGATCCACCAAGTAATCTTCTTCGCCCGGCGTCAACTCGGGGGGCGTGGAGAAATATACTCGGTATTGTTTGCATACATCTTTTGTCTGCTGCCAGGTGCCAGCCAGACCCAATATCGCAGGGTGAAATTCGGCAAGGTAGGCCCGGAGGACTTCTGGAGTATCACGGTTGGGATCGCAAGAGATGAAGATAGGCCGCACCGAGTTTGGCTCCCTCTCTTGTATGATGTCGAGGGCTTCCCCCATCTTGTCGAGTTCGTCGGGGCAAATATCTGGACAGTGGCTGAATCCGAAATATATCTGCGAAACCATGTGAGCGAGGCACTCCGGGAGCGAGACTATCACTAACCAAAGAATATTTTCCTAATAGGTCCTTCTCGGTGAAGTCATTCCCGTTGACGTCTTTCAATGTGAAAGGACCGCCAACTTTCGGCTTGCCATAGCCTTTGCTCATTTCCACAATTCTTTTTCGTTCCAACCTCGCCTTTTCATATTGGAAGTAAAACACCATTGCCGCGCCTATGCTAACAAACAAAGCCGCTGATCTAAATGAGAATGGCTGTCTCAGAAAGTCAGACAGGGCGAGGACGTACCGCGGACTAGAATACGTACGCCTGTTTGGTGGTACAACTTGTCCCCAGCTCTAAGCCTGGGATTCGACGACGAGAATTGTCGGGTCTGTAGGCATTGTGACGATACAGTCTGTCGCCGTGCAGGTCGAGCCGTCCTTGAAAGTGGTCTGACGATAGGATATGCTTCGCAGTGTCCGCACTTAGAAGTAAAAGACTGTATAGTAAGCCGGCGTATGGCTTGACGCACGGGAGTCATTCGTGCGGACATGTTGGCATTGGGTTATTGGGCAGGTTCGATATTGTCGAGGCTGCTGGTAGAATTATAAATTCAGAGCAACGGTCCAGGCGAGTCGCAGTTTGCGGAGGTCGACATACGGCGGACCATATGGCACGTTAGGCGCAATATATGTGAACAACTTCGCCGCAAAGGGCGACATCGAGGAACGTAATGACACCGACAGCGACAATATATCGGGCAGGAAGGAAACCGTGTCTATGCCGTCTCCAAGACGTCGTAGGTTGCTCTCTTTACCTTCTTGATACTACGCTCAGCATATCAGGATGGCTGGCTTAGTAAATTACTGTACGGAGTATTGATTAGAAGATATCGTTGGCATGTTCTGGTCTCCTTTTTCTGACTGCAGAGGTAATCCAACGTGTACATATCAAGCATAATTAATCAACAATAACATTATCCCAAGAATCTCTCGAGCCTTTCCCTCACAGCAAGCCACCGGCCATTGCGCGGTTGTGAGTGAGTTTTTGCATCCAGAACCCTAACGGTCTCAATGACTCGCTGAGATTTGACTTGCTCTTCGTTGAAGAAGCTGCCGTGGAGTCCGTAGCTCACCCGATGCATCAGGTAAACACGCCCAACAACGGTTTTCATATCCTTTGCGTCGATGATCCATAATTCGCTCACGGCGTCTGATCGACAATCGCCCCGTGAGTCAAGCTGAGATTCATCAAAGACATATGTCAACAGCCAGCCGTCATCCTCAATCATGCTATTGTGTCTAGGGACAAATCGCGGCTCCTGGGCATAGTATCCTGAAGGCATGCGAAAGATGGATATCGGATCGTGTCGGTCTTTCGTGGCAAGGATTTCTTCGACGGAACGCAAGTCGACGCATCCGGTGACGGGCAGCACCGTGGGATCTTTCGTGCCTCTTTTGATTAGTATCTCGGCATCGATCTTGACGAGACAATCAATTTTGACTGCTCGGCCCAGAGCAGCACTGAAAGAGCCTTCAGAGCTTGAGCATCCATAGATATATTTGGCCTCACTCATTGCTCTGTCCTCCCGCGTGCTCGGGAACTCAAATGAGATTGCGCTTAAGGCAAACTGATGATTGATAATGTTGCGGGTTGGCTCGGTGAGAGAAAACTGGTAGAAGTATAGGCGGCACTGATCTTCTCTATGTTCGGTGTCGATAGAGGATGAACAGGGTACGGCTACGTCGCCAGCAGAAAAGACCAGCGAAGCTGAAATTAATCGACATACCAGCATGTTGACAACGGTGGTCCTGACCTGGCCTGCCGTTTTGTCTGTCAATTGTTCGGCCCAAGTATTCGCAGTATGGAAAATACAACATGCATCCGTCTCGAACCACCGTATCTGTTGAGGCCGATATCTGGGAAAGATGCCAAAACGAGACGTACATGATGGATTGTAGTCCACCACAGGTCTATTCTTTGCAAGGTTTAAGGGATCCAGGGATAAAGGGAGGTCCATGATGACCGTGTAGTGTAAAGAAACACCAAAGTCGTGCATCATCTTGGCTGACGTGATGCCTGGAACAGGGACGCTGAGAATCCTAGTTTGCGCGTCGCCTGTTGTGGAGGGGAGAGTAGACGGGTGGGCTGTAGGTATTACTGAATAGTGCACATATGGAGGTGTAAAGGTCGAGTGAAAGAGTACCAGCTCTCCCGTCCTTGGATCGACTCGGGGATGTGCGGTGGTCCATTCTTTCATGAATCCTAGCAGACCTTTACCTCCAAATCCGGGGCCATCTTCGCCCCCAAGCTCCCCTTCAGCTTTCTTTCCGTTGTACCAGCCAATCGTCTCAAGCCCGGGAAGGGCGACGCGCATGGGGGGTCCTGATTCGCAAGTGGCAAGTGCGCGTCCATCATGAAATATTATGCCAGTATTTGCGACGCTAATTTTCTTGATGGCTTGTATTGAACCTTGTAGCCGAGATAGTAGTACGAGTAATATGGTTCGCAAAACGAGGAGGACAATGTTGTAGAATGATGAAAGAGGATCGACGAGGGTAGCTATACTAGGTAGAACAGGCGTCTGAAGGTAGTTGCAGGAGATGCCAAAGAGAAAAACGTCAGTAAGAACATATTGATTGACGAACTCGGGCCGCACTCCGTCCGCGGTCCTTGTGAATGCCACACCACTTAGCATTCCGTCGCCGTCAAACCAATGGGCATCTCGGCCAAGGTCCTCATTCAGCACAGGGTTGCCGCCGTTGCGCACATACTCGCCCCCGTGAAGCTCTTCGGGGATTGTGCCTGAATATTTGCAAGGCGTCAATGGTTGGGTCTGGCGCACAGGAGCAAAGTTGCCGCTGAGATACGGATGTGGCTGGTTTCTCTGGCGCGTCCGAGGGTGCAAAATACGCATCGTTTCTGAAAAGAACGTTCACATTGGGATTTGAAGAATATGTGAACCACCGACATAAGGAAGGCTGGACAATACCTGAGGCAAAGAGAGGGCTAGCAAGACAGGATGTTCGGCGAACCCTCGCCTCGGTGGTATGATGTAGTGTGAGCTTGGAAGCAGTATGCTTGCCGAAATGGCGGTCTTTGTTTCAGAGAGGCCCGGTCTACGGAACGATTTCCAGAGATGCAGAGATGAGGAACTCACATGTCAAGGAAGAAGCGGAGATTTCCACATGTAGTGAGGTAGCCATGACTGCTACTAAAGAATGGGGGGTTACTCCGGGGGAACATCATTACCCAGAGCTTCAGGTCGCAGGAGGATGAGGAGGAGGCATTAGAGCTCGATCGAGAGAGCAGACAGCAGTTGCCTGGATCGTTGAAGCCAGTACTGACAATTGACGCGTCGCGCGCCGCGCGACAGTGGACGCGGGCACGGCAAAAAGTCTATGTCGTCATGAAGACGTCTCCTCCACGGGATCGTCTGCCAAGCATAATATGCTGCTGCTTTTAGTAGCGAATTGGTTCTGCGCATGGCCACCCTCCTGCCAACAGCCTTGCCCTCTATTACTACACATACTATCTACCTACTATTTAGATTCTATGACAGAGCCTCTGTGGCTTGAGTTCTCAGCCCCCAGCCCCCCTGCGCAGTCGTTATCTTCCATCACTAGCACTACACTAGGTTATCGATCGCGTCATGACGTGCATACCGCCAGTTTCTCTGGCGCCCATGAAAATGTCTCCTCCCCCAATCTTGCAAGAGCCTATCCAAACCTTCCGCTGTCTGAATCACTCCGAAGCATCGTACCGTCTCTGAATTCTCGCTGGGTTACTGACCATTTTGGATACTGACTGCCATATGGCCATTCCGGCAACCCTGCCTTGATCCATCAGTCCTTGACCGTGCTCATTCTGCTTGCTGCAAGCAACGGGCGCTTTCCAAGTCAAGTCCGATGTACGATTATGCTCAGGTGTATGTTGCTCTAGTATCCTTGAGATACATTTGTTCTGCATCGTACTTACCTTTGTATTGTCAACAACAGCCATGTCTTGTACACCATCCCCCCGGCTATAGCTTTGACTATAGTCCTTGGGCCCCTTTTTACTCGGCGGGACATCTTCAAACTTGGTTTCCTACTGGCAGTGGCTGTCACGTATACCATTCCATGGTACGCCGGGAAAGTGCCTCAATCTTGCCTAAATACTGATACTTGTTTAGGGACTCCTACCTCATCAGAACTGGAGTTTGGAGTATGTGAAAAACGTCCTGGCCAGCCTTCAAGACACTTACTGCTCCCAGCCTATCCCTCAGATGTCATTCTGGGACCAAAACTGTTTGACATCCCCGCCGAAGAGTTGTTTTTCTTCGTGATTCAAACATATATCGTTAGTATGCCGGCTTCAACTTGGGACTTCTATTTCTTACTGTGTAACAGACGACATGCTTGCAGATCCTATCGAACAAATCAGTAGTTACTGCAACCTTTTTGCGTAATGAAGAGGATCGTCGAGATGCAGTTGGTAGGTCGTTAAAGAACTGGAAATGTGCAGGCCAAATCATTTTCGGACTGTGCTCGGTATTACCGATTGTTGCGCACGGCGGCCAGTCCACAGGTACATATATGAAGCTTATTCTTGGATGGTCTGCCCCTGTTCTGTTGGTGCTCTGGACCTTTGCCTATCAGCTCCTCGTCGCGTTACCCTGGACCAAGACATGGTTGCCGGTATTCATCCCGACTCTCTACCTCTGGGTCATTGACACGCTCGCTCTACGCAGAGGCACCTGGTGTATCGAGTCGGACACTAAGCTTGGTATCCAAGTATGGCCTCACCTCGATATTGAAGAAGCCGTCTTCTTCTTGGTCACAAATACTCTGGTCGTTTGGGGTTCATTTGCTTACGACAACGCCGTTGCGGTACTGGATGCCTTTCCTGATCTATTTCCCTCCGTGGCAGGCACACCGTCCCCTGCCAGTTTGCTGCAAGCTCTCTTCCTGCCTACGTCAGAATATGACACAGCGCGCATTCAAAGTCTTCAAAATGCGTTAGCAGTCCTTGCACGGAAAAGTCGATCTTTCTATTTGGCATCCGGTGTCTTTACTGGACGGCTGAGGATAGACCTAATCTTGCTGTACGCATTCTGCAGAATTGCTGACGATTTGATTGATGATGCACCATCGTCAGAGGAGGGAGATATGTGGGTGCAACATTTTTCCAATTTCCTGGACTCGGTTTACTCCACCGAGCATGACCCAGAACGTTTTGAGCAGGCGCTTGCCCCTTTCCCGGCCAAAGCCCAGTCCATCCTGGTATCTCTGCCTACCAGCAAATTGCCACCAGAGCCACTGTACTCACTTCTCGATGGCTTCCGTATTGATCAGCAGTTCCTGAGAGGAGGGCCGCAACAGGGTCTACCCATACAGACCTTCAGCAACCTCGAGCGATATGCATCGTGTGTGGCAGCGACAATTGGCGAGTTGTGTTTGAGTTTGGTCTACCAGCATAACCCAGACCGGCTCACAGACGAGGCAGTCCAACAAAAGTGTCTAGCAGCTGGCGGGCAAATGGGAAGAGCTTTGCAGTATGTCAACATTGTCCGGGATGTTGCCACCGATGCCCAAGGCGGGAGGTGCTATATCCCAAACGAATGGTTCAGCAACCCGTCGGCTACTTCTCCTGACATGCACAACCAGGAAGTCGCACATCATCGGAAACTAATTTTGGACATTGCGTTTGATACATATGCTAAGAATCGAGACGCAATCGAAGATCTGCCCCGGTACGCACAAGGTGGTGTCCGCGTTGCTGTGGAGAGCTATATGGAAATCGGGCGGATCCTGCGTGAGCGAATGCAGCAGGGTAAACCCCTAGATTTTACAGGGGGTGGGAAGAAAGGAAGAGCAAGTGTACCAAGATCCAGAAGGATATGGGTAGGCTGGAAGACAATGGCAGGTTGGAGAGGGCCAACTTGATCAGCCTGGAGTATTGTACTATCGATGTATCTCCTATCCAGAGAACTCCGTACCTATATCTGTTTCATACTCAAGACCCTAAGCCCACCCATCGGGGTCCTTTTAAGCCTTAGGCCTCCTAAGCCCCCACGGCCCCCGGTCGCTTGTGCTCGCTGCTCAATGCGGGGATTGGCAGACCAAACGGCCAAATCAACGCAGCATCTCGCATCACATTTTATGGCTTTGTAGTAACTCTATATCATCATCGTTTGACCTACTTCTTCCTTCTCCCGTCATCACCAGGAGAAGTGGCGCCGAGGGTCGAGCTGGGCGAGATGTCCCGCGCCTGGCCAAGACCGCTTCTGTCAATGAAAAGTCATGTTGTCATTGACTTTGTAGACGCACGGCAGCACTTTCAACCATGTGAAAGCCCTTAAATTACCGCCCATCTGGGGCTGTTTGGTTGCCATAGATCAAGCAGACGCTATGGGCAAATCGAAGAACGTGGTGATCGTGGGTAAGATATCGAGGATTGTCCATCTTGTCTGAAACGTCTAACTTGCGTTTGCAGGCGCCGGCGCCGGCGGCATTGCCAGCGCAGCTCGACTCGCCAAAGCAGGCTTCCGAGTGACAGTGTTGGAGAAGAATGATTTCACTGGTGGACGTTGCAGCTTGATTTACGACGGCGGCTATCGGTTCGACCAAGGACCCTCGCTGCTGCTCCTTCCCGACCTCTTTCGCGAAACGTTCACTGACCTCGACACGTCCCTCGAGTCGGAAGGAGTGACGTTGTTCAAATGTGAGCCCAACTACAACGTCTGGTTTCGAGATGGCGAGTGTGTCGAGCTATCCACCGACACGTCGAAGATGAAGAAGACAATCGAGCGATGGGAGGGCAAGGAGGGCTTCGAGCGATACTTGGCTTGGATGCGCGAGGCACACGTTCACTACGAGGCTAGCATCACCCATGTGTTGAGGAAGAACTTTTCCAACATACTGGCCATGGTCAGGCCCAGCTTTTTGCCATACCTGCTCGCCCTGCATCCTTTTGAAAGCATATGGAACCGCGCATCACGGTATTTCATGACTGAGAGACTGAGACGAGCCTTCACTTTCGGAAGCATGTACATGGGTATGAGCCCATTTGAGGCCCCAGGAACGTACAGCCTCCTTCAATATACGGAACTGGCAGAAGGGATATGGTAAGTTTCCCCAGGTTGTTCGTGTCGCTACTTGATGGGCTCATTTATTGATATATAGGTATCCAGAGGGCGGATTTCATCGAGTCCTCGATGCTCTGGTCAAGGTTGGCAAGCGTCTTGGTGCCGAGTTCAGACTCGCCTCGCCTGTGTCGCAGGTGAACATTGATAAATACACGAAGCGGGCGACGGGAGTGACCCTCTCCACTGGAGAGATCATCGCTGCTGACATTGTTCTCGTCAATGCTGATCTCGTCTACGCCTACAACGAGCTGTTACCTCCTTCACCGTCAGCCTCCTCGCTCTCGAAAAGGCCAGCGTCGTGCTCAAGTATCTCGTTCTACTGTGAGTCAGAATCTTTGATATTAGATTCTCCTAGACTGACGGGAAAAGGGTCCATGGACAAGGTCATTCCAGAACTTTATACACATAACGTTTTCTTGGCAGAAGACTATCAGGACAGTTTTGACGACATATTCAAGCGGCAGCAGATTCCGAAGGAGCCCTCCTTTTACGTCAATGTGCCTTCACGTGTCGATCCCAGCGCCGCCCCAGCCGGCCGGGACGGTGTGGTTGTCCTTGTACCATGCGGTCACCTCCTGGAGGGGGAAGCGGATCGAGGCTTGGACCCCAAGAACACCCAAGATTGGGAGGCAATGATATCCAGGGCCCGAACCGCTGTCTTTGAGACAGTGCGCCTGCGCACAGGGGCTGACCTGGAATCACATGTGGTCCACGAGATGGTGAACACGCCAGCGTCGTGGAAGGAAAGCTTCAATCTCGACAAAGGAGCTATCCTAGGACTCAGTCACTCTTTCTTCAATGTCCTCAGCTTCAGGCCCGGCACGAAACACGATGCAATCAATAACCTTTATTTTGTTGGCGCAAGTACTCATCCGGGCACCGGCGTGCCTATTGTCCTTGCCGGCAGCAAAATCACTACTGGACAGATCCTTGACGACTTAGGTATCAGCAAACCGTGGCTCGAGGGAGGTCATAGGCGAAGGATAGTAAGCGATTTGGATTGCCAGGGCGGGAAGCCTCTAGATCTGGCACACACGGTGGCTTTATCGCTTCTGGGACTGATGGTGATACTCTATATCGTCGTACTCAGATAGAAAGAGTCCTCTGGTCTATGATCGCGTCCGCACGAATAGACAGCTAGCATGGTGGGGGAAATTGCTCAGCTTTTTGGATAGAAGAGTGATGATGCATGTCTCGATTAGGTGACTAGGCGGGTAGGTATCATAAAGCGGCAGGGTGTTTATACCCAGGACGGTCAAGCACCTCTCCGAGCTAATGTGAGCTCACCTTTGATCATCACACCCTCCATCCACCACCCACCGACTTGTCGATCACCAGGAAACGACCGGGGAGGCAGAAGGCGAGGCCATTTCTGTCGACTGACATGCGCTCTAACCGTCAACGCCGTGTCACATACAGTCTAGACCTTCGCTCCGAGAGAACGCCATGACTAAAGGCTCAGTCAACTGGCCGCTCCGCCCAGTGCCGGAAGGTGGAGGATGCATGCTGTGTTCCGTCCTTCTGCACGTTCGCTCCTGTTGACAACGGATACGGGCCTCCGTGGCCTTCCCTGGACGAACGAGTCTAGCATCATGCGTTGGTTCATGTGGATGGTGAGTGAATTAACCAATACCCCCTCGACATCCAGACGAAGCCGACCACATCCGAGCCCATGGAAAATCATAGAAAATCCGTGGTTCCTAAGCTCTCCGCTGCCACCAACGACAGACAAATCTCAGACCACCACATCGCGCAAGGCCGTACTAACGGTTAAGCCTATCCTGGTGGTGGGGACGTCCTTCTTGCAAAGCATACTGCCTGGGCCAGTCACAGGCATGTTTCATGTCAGGTTTGTGATGTTCAACTTGAGCAGGGGTTCTTAGGCCGTGCGTTGGCGGCTTGTGAAGTGAACTCCATTTGGAATGGAAATAAGCTCTCAGAGCCTTGCCGCCTAGGTGCCACCCATAACTGAGCAGCTGACCTGGCCCAGCTGGGCAAGTTTGCAGAAGCTTGAGCTTATGCGAGACGTTTTTCAATAAAGGACTCAATCGGCTCGTTGCGGCATCGGAAAAAGCGTCAAGGGGGGTTCTGCTAGCTTCTGCATCAGCAGAGTGTTGCGTCGAGGAGTTTCCTATGTGAGAAGTCAAGGTGTGTGACGACATCACACATCCCTGTGGCTACCGAGTACGTGTTCCGCCGGTATATTATATTAACCCCCTTTCCGGACAGTGTCTACAGTCCATCAAGCTTGACTTCCTCGTCTATACTCACCCTGTTGTCACGAACAACGCCCTCGGATTTATCACTACCAGCAAGAAAGACTCGCACCATTCCGACTCTATACCCACCCGGCCACCAACATGGGTAACCAAGCTCTTCAGATCAACGGCTTCACTAACACCGTCACCACCAACAACCACATCACCACCCGTGGTAGTGACTGGCTTTTCACCGTTTCCGCAGTGTTGGCCTGCTCTGCTTTCGTCGTTATCGGCTTGTCGCTCACCAAAACCCGGGCTCAACGATTGTTTCACTACCTCATTGCGTCCTTCCTCCTCGTTTCCGCCATTGCGTACTTCGCCCAGGGTTCTAACCTTGGCTGGACCGCCATCCAGGTTGAGTTTCCACGAAGTGACCCCAAGGTGGCCGGCACCCTGCGCCAGATATTCTACGTTCGATACATTGACTACTTCATCACCACTCCCTTGGTGCTGACGACGCTACTGTTGTTCTCCGGCCTCCCTACTCCCACCATCCTGTATGTCCTATTTCTGGACGAAATCGCGGTGATCTCGGGCCTGGTTGGCGCCCTAGTCAAGAGCAGCTACAAGTGGGGTATGTATCATTTGGGATCCTGCCCACTCTGCGTAGTTGATAGATACAGGAGGCTAACATTCCCATTTCTCAAGGTTTCTACACTTTCGGCGTTGTCGCGTTCTTGTTCGTCGCCTTCTCTGTGGTCTGGGAGGGCCGAGTATATGCTCGTGCTCTTGGCCAGGACATCCTCAGGAACTACACCCTGGTCAGCAGCTGCCTCATGCTCCTGTGGCTTGTGTATCCTATAGCCTGGGGGGTCAGCGAGGGTGGCAACATTATTGCCCCAGACTCAGAAGCCATCACATATGGTGTCCTTGATATCCTTGCTAAGCGTAAGTTTTGCTGGCCCACAGGTATCCCTGTGCCCATACTGATGTTTTGGATATAGCCGTGTTTGCTGCTCTCTTCCTCTGGAGCATCCGCACCGTCGACCTCACGCGTCTCGGCCTCCACATCCGCGATGGCAGCGTCGCACCCGGTGCTGCCGTTGGCGAGAAGCCGGCCATCCCTGCCAGTGAGCCCGTTGTCGCTCCCGCGGCTGACACCACCACTTCCAATGCAGTGTAAAACAGCCAGCGGCTGGACCACGATGCATCCGCTTGCGAGCCAGTCCTTGAAGCAGAGATTCATTGGCTATCATATCCCCGTTCCGAACGGTGGTTATCAACACTACGTATATTGTTTGCGACAGGTCACTCATTTTAAATGCGCCGGCGGCGGAAGGAGCTGTTACTGAATCGTGATACCCACAGCCCAGTCACTAATACTAATTAACTAATAATGTGTCGGAGTCCGAAGGAGCGGGGGAGTAAGTAGCTATATCACGGAGCCTTGAACCACCACCACGATACCATCTACAAGCACGTGTCTCTGGATGTGATACTATCAGCTGTTGAGATTTTCACAATACCCAAACATATGGGTGTCTGAATTAACATACATTTCAACCATTTGATGCAGTATCGGCATTCATTTTCCCCCTGATCTTAAAGGAGGAGACACGGTGTGTCGTCGAGATTATCGAGGGTTCAGTCTGGACTAGTCGTCAACTTCGAGGGAGGCGCCGGCGCCTGGCTTGTAAAGGGGGCTGGGTGTACGCTTATCTCGAGCCACGTTCCCCAGACTTTCCGCCATAGGGGAACAAGTCATGGACAATTTCTTGGAGTGGGCACTTGATTTATCTTAGCCCGACGAGAATAATCCGACTTCTTCGCCTACAGGAGTCAACTCGCGTTAGTAGTACGGAGTACATACCAGCAGGTTCAATTTCACCAGAGCTTCTACCCGGTCCCCATACGCCGTACGAGTATCCGTATGTCACAGCGCTTGTGTTCTCTGGTGGACCAAGTAGCTAGCTGGACAGTGGGCACATCGATATGGCCAAGTCTGGGAAGGCCTCTAAATGTTGCTGAGCGACAATCGGTTTGATGTCAACCACCCTAGGTTAGTGGTGAAGGGAAGAGATGGGGCCTCGACATCGACCTGAATCTCGACCTCGACGCTCTGTGCGATCAAAATAATTATGCGGTGCTGAGAATCAGTATTTCCGGATAAATCCACACCTGTGATGTGGACTGTGCTGAATGAAGGCACTGCTGGTAAGCAATCATGATACTATTGTAGCTCCAACGGCCGCGAAGCTTGTTGCAGGAACTGCAGGCTTCATCCATGGCCCGTGGGCAGCTTCTGGAACATACTCTGGCTACAAGACGATGCATAGAACGCAGGGCCCCGTGCAGTTAAGTTGCTGTAGCACTGTTAGCACTGCAGTGACGCCAAGCACAATGCAAGCGAAATCTCAGTTGGGCTCCGAATTTGAAATGCGGCCCGCATCAAACTTGGACCACCAGGAACCTGCACAGACTGTCACCATCTCTGCTATCTTCTGTGTAGTGTGTGCTGTATACCTACGTACTACTGTATCCGTACACTGTACAGATGTCTACCTACTCGTACTCAGGTGGCCAGATCAGAAACGAGAAGAAAATCGTCTCCACCAGCCATATCTCGTCCTCGTTGACGTTGACGAGCCTCCATCAGGCATTCATATTTGCTGCAGGCTCTCGGCTCTCTTCCTCCCTGTCCATTCCAGCAACCGACGGGCAAGCTAACTTTCTCTCTACTAGCAGAACTAGACTCGGCAAGGTTCTAGCTCCCTGTAACCAAGTCGCACGACGCACACCCAACTCGGCACGCTACTCCATAGGATGGAGTACACAGTTGAATCCCCTCCCGTCACGCTCTTGAAGATCTCGAAACCCATTCCGTCCTGCCGCGAACCGTCGTCTGGTCACGGGTGACTGCCGATAAGGCGCATGCACGGGTCAAACCTACAGCCACTGCATCATTAACGGACCTGTCATGTCCAAGGCAGCGTAAAGAATGTTGCATCCAACACTGGGGAGCCGTACTAATCAGGTCTTCCGGAGGCACATCAAACAAGAAGCACTTTGGTCAGCTTCAGGTCAAATTGGCAAAGTGACACCGGCGGCTACAGGCGGTTGTTAGAGCGGGAGAGCAACCAAAGTCGAAAGAGCAATTTAGCCTATCCTAGGCCCAACCAGAAGGTGCGAAAACATCGGCGCTTCAACGGACCAGAACTAGGCTTCGGCCTTGCAAGCAAAGAGACGTAATATGCTCCGCCCCTGCCAGGGCCCGAGATATGGTTGCTTTCCCAACTTCAAGCGTGCCGCATGGACGAATAGTCGAGCGAGCGCATTTGCACGCTGGGTCGTCAAATTTTTGCGACTGGGGTCTCTTGCAGATGCGGTTTCCAATGAGTTTCGCGCGTTCCTGACCATCGCCGGATTAGCCCACCCTCTAATCTGGAGCCGGGCGACCTAGCCGGCTCTCGGGAAATTTGGCATGGCTGGCATTGGCCGGCAGTGGAGGACAGGCCAGGGACAGCAACAGACAGCAGGATGATAGCCAGTCAAGAGGCCTGCTCTGTCCGATCCACTCTCCCGCCGCTCCACGACCAGGATGCCTCAATCAACCACACAAATCACCTGGTGCTGGCCAATTCAACCTCGCCGGCGCCGGCGCCTTTGCCCCAGCCTGCTTCAAGCTTGCACGCAATCTGCTGGTTGATGTGACCATGTCCATCGCTGCCAGGCCAGCGCTCCACCACCGTCAATATCGCCCCGAGCTTGCGCTACCATACCCTTCAGAACCTTTCCCCGGGCGCCACATATACTCGTGTGCTTCCCTGCTCTTTCTCCATGCCCTGTCCTCTCGCCTTCCTTGCCCCCAAAGTCGCAAGATAGCCACGTTGCTGTCGCACGAGTCGCTGAGCTCCCTCTCAGTTGTCTATTCGCTTCAACTCTCTCGAGCAGTGCTCGCTCATACCGCCTTGCGCGACATCTCTGAACCATCACACAGTCTCAGCGGAACCTCTCTCTGATCGAATCAGCAGACGCTCATTTGACCTTCCACAATCGCTGGCATAGCCTCGCAGCAACACTTGGAAACAAAATCCTCTTATCCAGCCGACATGCGATTCATCTCAGCAATCGCAGCAATCGCGCTGCTGCTGACGCCATCCGCTCTGGCTGACGCACCTTCTGGCGACTGGGCGGCAGATACCACCGTTACGGTCACATCCTCCTTGACAAACACGCTCACCATCACCAAGACTCTTACCTACGCATTTGCACACACAAACACGACCAGCACGTATTCGTCCCAGTCAACTAGCTGGAATGCGACCACACACAGCCACGCCACGACCATCAACACGCCTACCCTGACAGCGACCTCGTCACTCACACCATCAGAGACCTCAGCGGCACCGACAATTGCTTCAATTGCAGCTACTGGAGCCGCCAGTGTGCAGGAGGTCAACCTGGCGGTGGCAGCTCTGGCTGGCGCGGCGGTCATGTTCTGGGGTTCATTATGACCGGAGTTCTTCTGAAATCATCGTCCAAGTACTCAGATTCCGGTTTACAGACTCACTTTTCTTCTCTTCATTATTCTTGACTGAGTCAATATTCTTGTTGAGCACCAGCTTGTTCGACTCGGAATCTCTATTCTTTCTACTATGCACTTGTTCATCTCTGGGAGAGTTTGGAGGACTTGGAGACCATTGGGCCATTGATCGACCGCAGCCGGTCTTCATTGGTAAATTGCGAGGATACGGTCGCCGCCTGGGGCGCAGATGATTCGATTTGGCTTCTGAAGCCGATCTAGTGAGAAGTTGTCGGCTATGGGGCTAGAGGCCTGACTTTTACAAGCAGTGGATGGGAAACAGACAAGGGCATTTCTAGTGCTCTGTTCTGCCCCCATGGGGGAGGCTTAAAGCGAAAAGGAAGCGTCGTGGGGAGTTTGCTTATATACCCAGCCTTGCAACGACCGATACGAAGACTTCTTTCTTGTTCTGCCTGCACTAGAATTTACTATCTTTCCACAACCGTGTCTGCAACCAATGCTCATTCTCCATACCCTCGATGCTGTGGTCAGGGTCCTATCTGCCATCTTCTTTGCCTCCACGCTAGCCAGTGCACTCGAGGTGTTATCCGACTAGTTCTTGCCGCAGCTAACCCAGACCTCCTAGTAGTAGAAGACGTCGATCTAGATCAGGCGGGATTTCGAGCGACCGGAGCAGCCATATCAGAATGGCCTGCCTTTCGAAGTCTGGCCATTGAATGATTCGGTGCCGATGGTCCATGCTACAACACGGCGGAATCGTGCAAATTGAACGGAATCTCAAATGGCGTAATTGTTCGGCCCGTGTCCGCTGTCAATCGTCGCCGTTGACATGTAGGTGACATTTATGATTCGGATGTTGGGCTTTCAATGGGGATGCCATCATGCCAGTGGTGCAATTGGCAACCGATTGACATGGGCGCCACTTGCGGTTGTTGAGTCTGTCAATACTGTAGTGGTGGTAGTAGTCCGTAAATGTTGTTGACGATCGGCTGGAAACCATATCCACACATCCACCATTCACGGTGCACGCGACAGCTTGCCCACCACGCGTCTACCAGCTCGCCTCGTACACACAACACCACCACTACCACCACTACCATACTCCGACCCAGTCACGGGGCTTACGGTGCCGCTCGTCCTCAGTTCAGACCACCCTCTTGGTCAGGTCGCTCGTTTTGCAGTGCTACCTGCCCCATCGTTCGTTACCTGAGAGCACTCTCGACCCCAGCAACCACTCCCCCCGCCGTCCTTCCTCGTGGCGCTCAGACATCGTGTGCCCAAGTACTTTGCAGCTACGAGACATCATGGACGACCTCGAACTTCCACCTGTTCCTCAGTCTGCTCGCACAGCAGCTCAAACACCTCCCGGCCCCTCGTTCCTGCTCTCCCGAAAGAGAACACATGCAGACTACGATGACGACCCGGGAACGTCGAGCGACCCAGCTGTATTCTCCTGCGACGAGCAAGCGCCGGGCGCCGAGAACTACGTCGCAGACAGACGGAAGAAACGCACATACAAGGGTTCGTGGTGGAGTCGCCATCCCGTCCAGAATGGAAGCAGGAAAGGCCCCAAAAGGGGTGAATTTAAGAGGAACTACGACTCGGGCATCTTTATGGCCAGCGAAGGGACCGAAGAACCCCTGTCCAGCGACTCCTTCTCCATGGAGGAGGAGTTGATGATGGATCAGCAGACAGCGAGTGAGAAAGATGAAGCATCAATGCGTCGAACTGGGGCTATCGTTACATCCGCCGGTTCTCGCAGCACGCCGAGGGTCAAGTTGCCACCCCAGACCACGATCATTGTACCAAAAGAGCATCAGGAGGTATGTGCAATCGTCAGGGAGTGTCTCGACAAGGGGAAGGAAGACGTGGATTTATCGTAAGTTGAACATTAGGTACCATCTGGAAGCGTATTGACAACTGCGCAGTTCTATGTCTCTGTCTACCCTGCCCTCCGAGATCACGTCGCTTCAAACCCTTAGCAAGCAAGACGAGATCGTGCCCGGCATGCTGGACACCGGCACAAACCTCGAGCCACATTTGCGTCTGTACTTGGGCAACAACCTGTTCATCAAATTTCCCACACCAATCCTCGATCTGCGAAACCTCCGATATCTGTCTCTTCGTCAGAACAATCTGACATATATACCCCCGACAATAAGGGAGCTGGTCAATCTAGAATACCTCAACGTGGCCGGAAATAGCTTGACAGAGCTCCCATTCGAGATCATCGAGCTGGTAAAGTTTCATCAGCTGCAGCAGCTCACAACCCATCCGAATCCATGGAAACAGGTTGGGACTTCTGCAGAGCTTATCCCAGGATGGGATCTTCTTCACGAAGTTCCACTCACAGGGGATCACTTCTTCCGGCATGCTTCTTCACAGCACCATCCTGAGTCAGATAGTATGGTAGAACGGCATTTCAAAAGTGCGCCCTCATTGACCGAGATGGTTTTGCGCCAACTCTCCAAAATTGATCCGCTGCAGAAAATCAACATCCGCGGCCTCATGCCGCCGGATTCGCCGACCAGTGTTCTCCGTAACCTGGATACGCTCACGCATCGGCCCGGCCAGCGATGCACAACCTGCAAACGGCCGCTTGTGCTGGCAGGCAAAGAGTGGATCGAATGGTGGTATGTGCTAGTAGATGCCTATGAGCTGTGGACGGAGGGGCCACCGGTGCCGTTCAGACGTGTTCAGTGCTGGAAAGGATGTCGAGGGACAGCGGCCAATTGGATGACGGGCGATGAGCGCCGGTAACACGGGGCGGCGCGAATACAGAGTGCTAATAGGACGTCACTGTTCTGAGAGAAGGCTTTCTGTCTGGACATGGTTGCAAGTGAGCATCGACCAGGCTAGCAGATGACAGAGGGGTGGGTGTCAATGCCCGGGTACAGTGCTGGCCCAGCCATTTGATGTACTACTACTATTGTGATGGAGTAGGAGGCGGGTACAGTGAAATAAGGCAGAGACCCTCCTCTAGAGACATGAAGAGCTCGGTAGAACAACAGTCATGAACTCGCTAGACTAGATGCTGCGAAGCAAGACGAACTTGGCCGGCCAGGACTGGATTTGGCTGCTTGTTGCTTGGAAGCGCAGCAACGGCAGCCCGACTCAGTCGTGCGATCTGCTAGTCCAGCGCAATCCAGTCAACGGAGACTTGCAAGTGCTGCTGACAGCTGAGTAGTAGGTATGGAAAGGTGCCGCCTCGGCCTCGGCCTCGGCCTCGGTACAGGGTGTGGTGTTGGGCTTGAAGAATGTATCTAAATCTAATCAGTCAATGTCCTTGTGCGGCCATGCTCGCGTTGCCCTCAGCTGGCAACCGAGGCACGCAGACAAAGATTTCAATTGCCATTCTTAAAACACGTTGGTGTTGTCCCTTCCGTTTGCTTTCGTTCTGTTCACACCGATGGTTTCAACGTCCGCGCTCTAATCGCCCTTTGCCCAGATGGGAGGAATGGACACAGCGCACGTCAGACCGCGATAATACGGTATCTGCAGCCCTGCCTTTCCCATCGTCACGGTTGGCATCGACTCTTCTTCGTGATGGTTTTCTGCAGCGTCGCAAGGGTGTCTCGACTGGTATGCCAGCCATGCGCATCACATCCTCATCCTTGTTGGTGTTCTCTCACCTCTGCCCATCGGCATGTCCGTATGCTTGGCTATGCAGTGGGTCGGGCTGCTCGTAGGCGAAGTCTCGCATGGCAGTGTTCCCGACGACCCGACGATCGATTTCCGCAACATAGTTGGCCATTGAACACCTTGCGCTTTCGGCCCGATGGAGTCCCTGTTCGCCTGGGTTTGAACTGAGGTGCAGGCGCGATGAAGGGTCGGCGAAGTACGCGACCTCGATCCAGGACTCCAAGGGAACGGTGGTGTCGTCGATGGCGATGTTGCATTCGATATCGGATTTGATCTTAGACTCGATATCGGTATGGACATCGTTGGCATGGGGGCCGAGACTCTGCAATTTGTCGTTCTGGCCGTCACTCTCCACCTTGATATCGCCATATGCTACTAATAATGGGTTGTTGTTGTCCACCTCGGCACTGGCGGCGCTTTTGTTCAACAGCAAACCCAGCCTGGATTTCTTGTGGTGTAGGCGAGACGGTGATGTGGGATGGGAGCGAGAAAGCGAGCGAGTCAAGGCCTTGATGGGCGAGAGTTTGCTCTGTCGTTTCATCTCGGGCATGTTGGAAGAGGGGGCTGGTTTCGCTTCGACGCCGAGGGCAACCGAACAAGAATGACGATGACAATTCCGCTTCATGTCCATGTAGTAGCCATGATGAGTGAACTGAATGGAGACAAGTGCTGCGGATGGTGCCCCAAATTTCCCTGAGGCGAATCCGGCCATTGATAGAAGGGTGCAGAGACCGCGCCTGGTCAGACATGCGGTTACCCAAGGTGAGGCAGAATAACGTGTCGAGGGCAAAGACGTCCCGTCCCATTCACCTGTCCTTTGTGAAGAGATGTTAATGAACCGCGAAGTTCTTGCGCACAGGCGTCGTCTGAAGCCTTGGTAATGCTAGCAGCAGCAGCATAGACCGGATCTCTCTCATAAGTGTCTTGGGGGTTCTGACCAAGATCCAGCACCAGACTCACGCTTGATAAGATACCCCAAATCATGGACGCAATCTCCGAGCCTTGGATGTTTTATTACCACTGTGGAAGTGGACGATGCTGCACAGAAGCAGATCGCGTTGGAGAAGGCCGATTTTGACATCATTCTTGAATTCACTCATGACATTCTGTCTTTGACCGGGAGCCAAAGCAGCATGTTTTGGACTTGGCCAAGTTCTCGTCTTGGGGTATCTCGATTCGTAAGGTCATAGCAAGTTCCAGCATTGTCCAAGTTCACCGTTCAAAAAAGCCGCCGTCACTCATGTCCTCGTCATCATCGCTATCCAAATCCGCCGGATCGATAACACCATCATCGTCAAGCCAAGATGGCCTCGATTCAACGGGCTGGGCGGTCGAACTTCGCAAGGCGGCATCATCCTTTCCACCAACAGCAGCAAGCTCCTTGACCAATTTATTTCCTACAGTGAGTCTTCCTTCTCGAAGCGCATCCAATTTCTCCTGGCCTTCATTCATGCACTTCTCAACTTCGTACCACATTGGTGGCTTCGTCCCTATTGCGGTCCGGACAACGTTCGCCAGGTCGTCTTCAATCTGCTGCAACTCCTCTCTCTGAGTATCGGTCAAGATAGCATACGACTTCTTCTTCATCTGGGACTTGCGCTTTTGCTTGTCATTTTCCTCCATCACAAATAGGCTGATGTACTTTTCTCCCAGCGGAGCGTACTTGGTGTAGTTCAGATCCACCTCAGCCTCGTGGATTGACTTATCCAACTTCTTCATATGCTCTTCGTCACTTGCACAATTACTTGATTCTTTGAGCTTGATAAGTTGCTTGAGTGTTCGTTCGGCCTTCTGACGCTCGACGAAGCGGACAAAATGATATCGCTGCAGGTTCTTTTTGCTTGCCTTTGCTAGTTGAGCCTTTTGCTGGTCAAGGAGCAGCGCAGCCAGTTCGCGTTCCTTCTCTTGTCGCACAGTCATGGGTAACGATTCTCGTCCCAAGAGATTGCGCAAAGAATGTATGCGGGTGGAGGGATTGGTTTCGCGTTCATGTTTGGTTTTGGTAACCGCCGACCTCACCGGAGACAACCCTCGGCTGCGTCGAGCATGAGAAGGTATATTGCCACGGTCTGTCCGATAACGACCATGCTCCGGACGCCACGAATCGTTGCGTTGATTAGATTGCGCATTGTCTCGTGGCGTGGTTTGGGGAGCAGGTCGATATCGCGCCATGACCACGACCAGATCACAGGCGGTCTGGAGGGCAGGCTAAGTTGGACTGACGGAAAACGTTAGGAACTTTGTGTACCGGCAGAGCAACAAGGTGTTCTTGACATACTAGATACTGGAGTGAAGTCGTTGCGAGAGAAACTTGCAGGTGTGTGGTCGGGAAAATGATTCTGCCACCCTTCACCGCCGCATTCACGTGATATCTCTTGGCGCAAGAGCAGGCTAAGACGCATTAGGGACTTGAAGTCCCAACGACAACGTCCATCCATGACAGAGTGTAGAGTACTCCATACTAGTAGTTCCAGTGGAAGCCGCGCCAGATTGTGGCCGGCGATGTCAAGTCTACCGACGCAAAGAGGCAAAGTCAAGCGCTGGGAAATGAGGCTGTGCCCTCTGGAGCTGTGCTATGGAGGCCGCCATTCGCTTCTCGCAGAATTCCATTCCCGGGACTGATCAGCGATTACTGCATGTCGACGTGACCGGAAAGGTCTTCAGGCTTTGCAAGTTCAACCAAGAAAGTAAGACAAAGCTTCAGTATGAGACGGTACACACTTCGACAAAGGTTCCCGCATTTCGAGCTTTTGACTGGCACCCGGTGAACGAGGAACTGGTTGTCGTCGGACAAGCCGGTGGAGAAGCCACCCTCTTGAATATAGCAGAGGGACAACAAGACTCTCTGTCGTTCCAAGTGCGAAGCCAACGGCTCTGCAACTCGGTGACTCTCAACACCCAAAATCTGCTGGCTGCTGGACTCGACAAGGTTCGGACAGATTTCTGCTTGAATGTCTGGGATTTCAACCAGCGTCTGCCGGCCCAGGGCAGCAACGGCTTTTCAAAGAATTATTCGGATCCTCTCCACAAGCTTGCTAGCGGTGAACCAATCACAAGTTTGAAGTTCTTCCAGGATGACCCTCAACTGCTTGTGGCGGGAGTGAAGGGCCAATTTGTCAGGCTGTACGACCTGAGAGAGCCGACCGTCGGGAACGGGCTGCAGTTTGCGACGCGATGTGTCCATAACCTGGCCATTGATTGGCACGATGAAAATTATTTCGCATCCTGCTATCCTACGAATGATCCGTCGATCTGTGTCTGGGACAAACGCATGATCTCTCGCCTCAACGCCCCGCACCTGAGTTTTGGTGGCGGCTCGAACTCTGACAATCGGCAACCTGAGGTTTCAATAGAGCTGAAGAACGTCATCGACAGCCCTGGCACAATTTGGAGCTTACGCTTCTCCAAAGCCGAAAGAGGCTGCCTGGGCGTTCTCTCGAGCAGTGGACACCTCAAAGTGTTTAAGATTGCCAAAGATTTCATGAGCGAAAGTCATCAGGGTGATCAAGGTACGGGCAATGATCTATCTTGGGAGACGACTCCGCCGCATGACGTCTTTCTTGATAGTGCCCAAGAGGTGGCCAGGCCATATTCACATCCTTCCGTGCAGCAAGCTGAAAAATCCAGAATCGTATCCTTCGACTTCATGACATCGACTACAACATCGGGACAATCTAAGATCTTGGCCCTCGAAGGACATGGAGACATTCGAATAACTTCAACGAGCCCTTCACCAGAACCCACGGCTTTCTCTACTGTTGGCTATCTGTGCAAGGGCGAAGTGATTGTGGGACAATCTGCCACAGAACTTCCCGAGCCGGGTTCCACGATAGAGCAGATTCGCCGTCGTGCCCAACCGCGAAACGCGCTCAAACAAGCGTTCAAGCAATCTCGTCAGAACAGCAGTGATCTTGATAAGAAGAGAATGTCTAGCCTGGGTGACCAAGCGTGGTACGCCGACCTAGGCTACTACGAGAAGGATGTACCACTAGCAGATATCCTGACGTTGATGTCGACTCAACGACTTCGCTGCGAAGCCGGCTACCTGATGGACCCATCCAAAAACAAAGCTATCGTTTCCGATTCTCACTGGTTGCAATCATTCTGGGCGTGGGTCGAACGAGCTACAAAGATATCCAGGAATGGTAACATGACACAGGACAACCTCGACTTATCCTACATTGGTGTGTGTGGTCTCTGGACGGAAAGTATCTACACCAAGAACCGGACGCTGGGTCCTGTCTCCGCTAATGTGGCCGAAACCATTGAAAGTTTAGTTCGCCGCCTAAACATCCCCCGGGTGAAGGGCAGCCCAACACAATACACTGCGAACAGGCAAATATGTCTGCATTCCGCGGGTTTGGCGTGGTCTTATGACGAACTGGAGATAATTGTCAAACGGCTTGTGGCACAAAACCAGCATACCAAGGCCGCGGCTCTGGCAATCATTGCAATGGAACGTAAACTTGCGTACAAGGCGCTTCGCAGCAAGAATGCCTCCCAGTCTCTCAAGATGCTTGCGATGGCCATTGCGGGTGCACCAAAGAGAAAACACAGCGATGAGGTAGATACGACGACCGGCGATGATTCAGATGCCCAGGATGATTGGGCTGACACTATCGCCTCATTAGCCGAGGATTTGACTGATCCATATGCCCGTGCCATCCTTGCCTATGTCAAGACGGGAGACTGGGCGAATGTGGTAGGGGAGGGTTCTCTCCCACTCAAGTACCGGGTAGGCATTGCGCTCCGGCATTTTGATGATTCGACCCTGACGCGATACATCTCCCAAGCAACTAAACATGCCTTGGAGGAAGGCGACATTGAAGGGGTCGTACTTACCGGAACTGCGACGCGACAAGCTTTCGACCTGATGACGGGATATCTCCGACGCTTCGGTGACTTACAGACTGCCGTGCTGGCTCTAGCGCCATCGATACCACGATATATCGATGATGAAAATGTTGTACGCAAGTTCGACGCTTGGAAGGACGCATACAAGAACATGATGAATGGCTGGAACCTCAAATTTGATCGAGTCCGGTTTGACATTGCATGCCAGAAAGCCGCAGTCGACGGAAATGGCAGACGATTGATAGCGCCAGCGAAACAGCAGGTCCGCCTTGTATGCGGGTTTTGCGCCCAGGGCATAGCGAACACAGCCGGAGCAAATGGCGAAAGCGTATCTGGACCCAAAGTTGTTGAAACGGCACAGCACCCTCTCACAAAAGAGAAGGCCGCGGCGATTGGCACCGTCTGTCCGAACTGTGGTCGGCACCTGCCCCGGTGCGGTGTCTGTGACTTCTGGCTCGGCAGCCCAGATGAATCATACTTGTCGTGGTACGGACCGCAACAAGCTTCGAAGCTTAATGCCGCGACAGATCTGAGCGCTAGTATGACTGGCAGTGTGCAAACGACCATCGGGCCTGGCGCTGCCACTGGAGCTTTTGGAGGGACCGAATCGCCTCGACCCAGACAGCCAACACAATCGCCCAACAATTCAAAGAAATCAGCAGCAACCGAGTCCTCCACGCGGACGGTTATCCCCACTTCTAACACAAGCATCGCTGATGCCGTCCGCAGCATCGCCGGTGCAGTTCCTTTGGCTCTAAGCTTGGAACACGACGATGACTTGCGCAAGGCCGAAAACGCTCTAAACTGGGACGCTGCCATGTCCAGATTCACAGTGTTATGCCTGAAATGTTCGCACGGGTGTCATGCTGCGCATGCGAGGATGTGGTTTGAAAGACATCGGGTGTGCCCTGTGCCTGAATGCACCTGCTTGTGCAATGTATGAGCCAATTGTTGGTCAATACTCTCGTTTGATTCGAGAACCACTGCACGATGAGAACCCCCCTGTTGCAATGATAGGATTCGGCACAGAGCCACCACAGAATGCCACCTTTCAGCCCTGCGTATGGAGTAGAGGATTTGATCCTACAGCCAGTCAGTGTGTCAATCGGTGATCTGGGAAGGGTTCAACATAATGTGTGATATGACAGATCTAGGCCAGTCCATCTCGTTGCGAGTTTTCTCTCTACAAGCCACACTATAAGCAAATAGCCATGCGCAGAGTCACTGTCCACAGCAAGCCATTATCTATTGTCGACGAGGCACTGCAAAATAAGAAGAAACACGGCCCAGCCTTGCTCATGTAATGTCACGTGGGAGCTTCAAAGAACCGGGATTTAGGCCCCCCTGCCAGTGTGCTTGGACTCGGCAACTAATATATCCGGACGGAGAGATACAGCTCTCGGATTGAAGTCTGGTATTTCTCCCTGGAATCATCCTTACAACTTCTCCGCCCTGGATCTCGAGGGCGAGCTTTCCTACAACCGTCAGTTGGTGTCTTGCAGCAAGATCCAATGATCTCACCAGCTCCCAAAATGGCCGGCACTACCCCGGGGTCGAAGAAAAACACACCGCCCAGGAATTGGGTGGCCTGGTTCTTTGCTGTCAGCTTTTCGCTTCTCGCCCTGCTTGCAGTCTATCAAATCCGGATCGTGGCCATAACGTCAGCGATCTCGGAGAAAATGGAGCTTGTTAACAAGATGGCTAGATTCCCCGAGTATGGGATTCCTCTTCGGAAGACCTACACAGGAGTAGGTCAGCTGGATCAGGGCCTCGCGTTCCTCGTCTCCTCGTTTATTCACGGGACCTCTGGTTGGGACAAAGGCTTCTATGTCCTTCAGGTCTACTTTCTGGTCTCATATTTTGCAGTTGTGGCAGTGTGGACAGTGGAATCCTGCAGGAAACGCAACAGCGTTGCGTTAATCAGCTTGTAAGCTTGGGCCTCGTTCCTCCGGCATGGCCAGAGTCTCACTCACAATTTGCATAGCACGAGCATCTGGGCCCTGTTTTATCAGACAGTCGGCGGTGCCATCATTGTGCCTCTCTACTACCTTGCTTACCTCTGGGACTCTGCAGACTCTCAATACTGGTCAGCCGAATCGAGACAGGTCCCGGTGTCATATGCTAAAGCTTTGCTGCCAGCATTGCTTCTGGGATACCTGGTCCCAACGACCTTGATGTTTCTTCCTTACTCAGACTCAGACCTCTGGACTACACAGGCCATGATCGCGCTGTGGCAGCCGAGTCCGTGGTTTGTCAACGCGATCTTATGGATCCTATCCACCTTCTACGGAAGTATGGATTCACAGACTGCAGGGCAGGAATCATCGCTCCGCGACATGAAGTATCTGGATTCGACCTACATGGTGGTCTTTTTGGTTTCGGTAATTTCACACTTTGGGACAGTTCTTGTGTGCCTTCTGTCAGACGATCCTCAGCATTCATTCAGCCATGCTTTCGTTCCGCACGTGAGGCACGTAGAACCTAACTTGACTGAAGGTCTCCATGCGATCTTCCAATACGACTTCTGGATTATATTTGCAGCATCTCTGCTCTGGATTTGGCTTGCTGTTTGGGACTTGAAGAGGGTCGGCAAGACGAATGCTTCATTGAGTAGGGCGGCGCTCCTAATCTTGTTCGGTACAATAGCTGTTGGGCCTGCTGCCACAATCGTGGGTGTCTGGTACTGGAGAGAGCATGTCATGGCCAAAGCCAACGCTTGATGGCTTACCTACCTACCTAGGTAGGACATCTGGAATAGGTAGCAGGGAGTCGACGACTGCCAAAAGGGAGGAAACAGAGCCGGCTGTATGGGCCCGCAGAAGGATCTGGATCAGATGGAGTTATGCACACTCGACATGTAATGCGCATAATGACATATAGTGGTGGCAGCGTAAGCACGAACAACGTGAAAGTGCAGTGTAGTGAATGGCGCCGCAGCCTGCGGTACTGCGACTGCGGGGAAACTATTGCCATCGCTGCGCCAGTTGCGGAAACAGGCACCAAAGATTCGCCTCCTGCTCCTCCTCTGCTTGTTTGGCCACTGTGTCTCTTCTCTGCCCATTCTTTTTTTCCCGTCTTTTCAGAATGGAGGCTGGTTAAATATAACACCGCTAGAAACGGACCTTGCTTCATTCATCATGTTGTATCTCTTCCAGGTTTGTGTCCGTCGAGAATGATTTGTGTCTTCTATTTCTACCCTTCATTACTATAACGATTATAGCCGCCATGCAGCTACTTACTCTCTTAACCCTCCTCTTCGCAAGCGTAGCTCTCTCTCGAGTCACGAATCCTAGAAAGGTTCCCCGCGATGCTGTCCTCCTCTCCAAAGTCTCGGCGATCACAGTTCGCGCAGGGAAGCAGACAACTTCGAGACGAGTTGCGCCAGTTCCCCAACTGCAGTGCGTAGGCCCCTCCTGGATATGCAAGCTATACGCCGTCGATGTCCTGCGCTGCACGAATGAAGGGGTCGACTATGACGAGAACAATGTCCAGTGGAGCTGCAAAGCTTCTCTGCCGGAAGAATTCAAGCTCGGAAGTACAGAAGTGACTTGCGAGGGCTATGAGAGCAGTGAAGACCCATACGTTCTGAAAGGTAGCTGTGGGGTTCAGTACAGGCTGCTCCTAACGGATAAGGGGGAGGAGAAATATGCTACTCGATCTCACTTCAATTTTGGAGATTATAGTAAAGGGAATGCGGCGGAGAAGTATGCGGGTTATCTGTTTATGGCGCTGTTTCTCCTCGTTCTTTTCATCATCCTCCGCAGCTTGTACAACGCATGGCGCAATGATACAGCGACAAGACGAGGACCGAGACGAAGAGGCAACGGATTCTTTGGCGGCGGCGGCGCTGGTGGTGGTGACGATGACGACCCTCCGCCTCCCTACGATCCACGGCCCCCACAGCCGAAGAAAGCAACCTGGGGGTCCGGTTCGAGGCCCAACTATCCAGGTCGGATGGGAGCATATGAACAAGGCTGGCGCCCCGGTTTCTGGACAGGCACCGCCGCAGGGGCTGCCGCAGGTTACCTCGCTGGGAGAGGGGGTCGCACACGCACGGAGCCTACGCCGCCAACGATGCCGCCAACAAGCAGAGGGTGGTTTGGGCAAGGCGGGACCACGGCCGGTCCCTCGTCTCCAAGCACTCGTAGTTCAAGTTCAAGTTACTCCAGCTCGAGACACGAAAGTACTGGGTTTGGCGGAACCAGCAGGCGCTAGACACATCGACAACCAGACTATGGTGATGCACATTGAAGATCATCGGCGCCAACTCACTTCTTGGGATTGGAGGGGAGCAGATGCGAATACTCCTGTGGTATATCGTAGTAGGCTAGCAGCATGAGGGAATCTTTCCACGGAACCTACAGGTAGCTTCTCGATTTGCTAGGAATCGGCAGGGGAGAACTCTCTGGGTGATAGTGACAATGAAATACCTATTCGAGGCCTATAGTCTTCGCCTTCGACGGATAGACTGTTATTCTTTGTTGTATGTAGAGACTGTTGTCACAGTGAGCGAGGGTAACACACGCGCGAAAACACGGTGTCACGTGATAAGACCCGGTACCAACTAGGCGCCCGCCAGCCAACCGCAATATTTAAGGTCAGGCCTCCTCAACCTGACCTCACTTGTCTGTTGATGAACCAGAAAACGCCCACAACCAGCCCATACTTGCTTAAATTGATAAAGCGACCCTAGTATCGGCTCCGTGGCAATCTGAGTGGCCCCAAACCGCCCATCAGGGGCTGCAGCGGATTGTAGCCATCTCACAGGATTGCACTTCTGCCTGAGTACCTCTCTGCCATTTGCAGGCATCGTGGTTGTCAAACGACTGTTGGATATACCACGAACCGCCTGGTAGGAGTCAATTCCCTCCGGCTGCCATCCAGAATCAATCCCGCCACGGAACCAGGATCATCAATCTCAGACACTTTGACCTCCATATAGCACTGGACAGTCATTGCTGGCGACCGGTTTGATTGGACAGCCTTGCTTATCAAGCTGATCTAGTACTCTTTGCAAATGAGAAGGCCCAAATAGAGAAGTGCCTTACTTCTGGCGTTCAGAGATATCTCAACAGCAGATCTGATTCCCACCATCGTCACCCAATGCTGCCTTTGTCGCTGTTTGGGATAGAAAGACTAAGAACGCATAAAGCCGCCTGCTGGAAGTTCGAAAGAAGACACTGCAGCTGTTTCTTCCTCACAATATGATGTATCGGTGTTGTGAATGTTTCTTGTGAACGTTTCGCAAGCTGCTAGGGGCAGGTGAAGTCAACATCGTATCACATGCTCGTTGAGTTGTCCAATTCAGCACGACCACAACACACTGACACTTGGCGACAATTTCTCAGAAGACTTATCTCACTTCTCGTGATCCTCAACATTGAGCGCGAATATAAATCCGTGTCTCCCTTCTTTCCCCTACCGCGCTTCTTTGTGCGAGACAGGGCTCGTCTCAAGACCTGCACGTTGCCGACACATCCAAGCTTTATTGTTCAGCAAACTCTGCATGTGCCAGTACTAAAGCCTGCGCTTCCATACCACCGTCCAAGTCGCACAACAGGCACCGATCTCCCTACCATCCTTGATTTACCCAGTCAAGAACTTTCCTGTGCTATCCAGGGGAAAGGTGCTGGAATCATGCCGGCCATTCCTATATCTCCTAACGTGGTTGATTTGTGCTCTGACTCTGACGACGAGTCTGAGGCCAACACTCCCACCCCCCAAGGTTCTCAGTTCAATCGCGATGGCGAGTCTCCACCTAGATCACCACTTCTCCCATGGGGGCCTGGTGACTTTTCAGTCACTACAAATGAACCTATCTCCGGACGCGTTCATTCCGGAATCGACATCGACACGCTCGAAGAAGAAATTCACCTGATTCCGCCGGGCATGATGTACTGTCGTGGTTGCAAACTTTCCCCATACGAATTTGATGAAGATGGCAACGAAATACCACGTGAAGTGACAAACGAAAGACGAGACAAGATCATCAGGGCCAAGCTCAAGGCGCAAGAAGAGGCAAAGAGGGCTGCTGCAGATAACAACACCAATGCAACGAACACTGTTCCTCTTGGTAGCCAAAATGTGACGATACACAATGAGGTTCCCAACCCACCAGGGACTAGCAGGACGATCCAGCGACGCACCACCATAGCCAGCCCCACCCGGGTCGTCGACTTGAGCACCCCCGATGATCAAAGTGCAGCCAGCCGTACTGAGCCTAGCAGCAACAACGAAGATGGCCTGCACGTACGTCCAACACCGGTGCCACCGCAGGGAATGTCTTTTGTCCAAGATTCAGCTCGAGCGGCTCTCCGATCTCTACCCACGAGCAAGAACAAAGGCAAGGGCAGAGACCGAGAACCCATCGCTGCAATCGACCTCTCATTGCTTGAATCTGACGATGATCCCAATAGCCGCTCTGATCCAGAACATCATAATAGCAGTCTGAGTGGTGATGAAGATTTGAGGAGAGCGATTGCGCTATCCCTCCAGGATGACCCAACTCCAGACACTGTAGACGGGCCTGCTGCTTCATCGTCAAGCAGCAACGCACTAACAAACAGAGTCAGTCAGACAGCAAGACAAGCTTCCATCGTGTCTGTGACAAGAACGCCTACGGACAACCTGGCGAGGGAAGCTGGAGAGACTCAGAGTAAAGGTACTTCGTTGAACACTGAATCCGACATTTTTCTTGCGAGATCTAACGTGACTTTCCCAGGACAACAAGGCGGCTTGCCCACCATAGACAACAGAACATTGTCTTCGAACGACTCAAACGTAGCACTGCCCACTCCGTTTGGCCTGACTGGTCTTGATCGCAAACAGATGGAAGCTGAGCGTCTAGCGCGTCTCAAGAGAAAGCGACAAGGTGAAGAAGACAATGGTTCTGGTATTGGGAACAAGGTGGCGTGTGTTGAGGATGTGGGATCGCGATCACAAGCAACCATCTCACCGCCACCGCCTCGACGCTTTCAAGAAAAGACCCGAGGCGTTCCGGTCCATAGCCAACAACTCTCTACGTCAGCGACGGGCCCAGCTTTCAAGAACACCAGTGAAAGTGCAAGAGACAGAGACCCCATGAGAGCGGCTCCTGTCACTGCGAGGATTGAGCACCCAAGAAGCACATCGAGCTACTACCCGAAGGGCGTTGTTTTGAAGACACGTATTGCTGGCTATGATACAACCAACACCATCGACTTCGCCACCCTTATCTCGCCGTCCTCTTCACTTGAGTCGTGCCTGTTGTCTTCTTTTATCTGGGACTTTGACTGGCTCTTCCCGCACTTTGACACGAAGCGTACCAAGTTCCAACTTGTCATGCACGCAAAGGCCTCCGGACAGCGAGAGGCTTTGATGGCGGACTTCCTCGGCATTCCGAATGTGCGGTTGTGTTTCCCACCCATGGATGGAAACGTCAATTGCATGCACAGCAAGCTGATGTTGTTCTCATACAACGATGACGCCGAGGACGAGGGCGCCAGCTCCGGCTGGAAAGGGCCGAGATGTCGCATCGTCGTCCCGACAGCGAATCTCGTCGGCTTCGACTGGGGCGTCGGCGGGTTCATGGAAAACACGGTCTGGCTCATCGATCTGCCTGTCAAGACACGTCCGAAGCTCGCGACTCCGACAGGCACTACATCAGGTCAAGGTCAGCAGACACAGTTTGAGAAGTCGCTGATAGGGTTTCTGAAAGCGCAGACTGTCCCCGAGGACGTGATCGAGAGGCTGGAGCAGTTCGATTTCAGCGAGACGGCGCAGCTGGGCTTTGTGCACACCATCGGCGGCATGCACGTCGGGGAAAGCTGGAGAAGCACTGGGCTTTGCGGGTTGAGCCAAGTCATCACCGACCTGGGACTTGCGAGCCGCGGACCCATCGAGATGGATTGTGTGACATCTTCACTTGGAAGTTTGACTGACGAGTTCATGCGCTCCATGTATCTGGCTGCTCAGGGGGACGATGGACTGGCCGAGTACGAGAGACGCACACTGTCATCCAGGACAGGCTCGGGAGGACGGCTGCGAGTGCAAGGACGCGACGACTGGAAGGAGAGGATGCGGGTCTACTATCCAAGCGACGAAACTGTCAGACGCTCGAAAGGGGGACCCAGCAAGGCGGGGACCATCTGCTTCTCATCGAAGTGGTGGCAGAATGGGAAATTTCCAAAGGCCAACCTGCGGGACTGTGTTAGCGTTCGAGAAGGTTTGCTCATGCACAATAAGGTATGCCCTCTCGCAGATTGCCCGTGTCCTCCACGGGGCCAGGATGGCGATGGCCAAAAACTGACATTTCCCTTTCCCATAGCTCATGTTTGTGCGATATGCTGCGCCGGTGGAGCCCCGTCGTGGCGGGAACATGGGATGGGCATACGTGGGCAGTGCCAATTTGTCCGAGAGCGCCTGGTAAGTCAACTCTTTATCGTGTTCCACTCCTGTCTATGCCCTGCCCTGCCGCATTGCTGGGGCCTGGCTCAGCAATGTGATCCAAAAAGTTATAGACTCGCGTTGACGTTTGGTCTCGTCAGGGGCCGATTGGTGCAAGACAGAGCCACCAAGCAGCCTAAGCTGAACTGCCGCAACTGGGAATGCGGAGTCATCCTTCCACATGTAGCAGAGACCAGCAGCTCTGGCACCGGCAGGCTAGACACAGGTGACCAGCCAGGCCTCGTGCTGTTCGACCAGCTTGTGCCACTCCCGATGAGAGTCCCGAGCGAGCGGCTCGAAGGGAGGAAGCCATGGACCATGTTTGACTGAGAGATGGCACCGCACACCAGACGACATTGCCGTCTGTGCCTACGCGGACACCTCTCTACGAGCACACCGAGTCAAGTGAGCGGACAAATAAGATGGATGGACTGGGCATGTTGGAGGGTCACGATTTCAGTCTGGCACTGGCGTTTTGGCAGCGTAAGAGACACATGTGTGTGGTGGTCTCGAAGTCAATTCACGGATGGATACAAGGCCAATGATGGCAGGGCTGGTCTACGCTGTGAAGGGATCATGTGGTGTACTAGCTGGCCGGGAGGAGGAATACTGAAGCAGGATAGCTATTCTCGCATTGTAGGGAGAGGAAGACACTCCTGTGGGTAGTCAAATGCCCATCCGCTTTCGCGAAGCGAGTCAGATAATGTTGAATACGACAGAATAACTCATGTCGACACTGGTGACTCCCCCCGGGCCATAGTTCCACTAGCTAACACATGCTGAGGACTGGGATGGCTGACCGGGGATTGGCGGCCTAACACCGTCTATCGCCAGACGAGGGCCCGTAGGGGCGAACAGGTCAGTGTCGCTACTACAGTATGAAGAGATTATTCTTTGTCGATAAGTGGCGGGCGAGTCTTCTGGTCGTGTTGCTGTAACATTGGCACAAGCGATCTGGCAGCTGGGGCAAGAAGGTTTCAGGGTCAAGCTTTACTTTTGTCCTGTAGATTTTGAATTCCAGCTAGCTTTGCATCGCTCTGACCTTTTGCAGGACTCGGGGTAGGCGTAGGTGTGCTGTACCGACAGGCTGATCCGTGAGAGTGAGGGTGTGGAGGTCCGACGGGCCGCGAGCCTTTCTTCAGTCCTTTCCAGCCCCCTTAGTCTCCTCTCTCCTTCACATGTTCGTGCTCCGTGAGACTCGTCTCAAAGCGTCGCAAGGACAACTCGTCCTTGTGGGCCTCTTGTTGAGCACATCGAACCGCGACTCCTGACTTGGTGGAGCTCATGATCCTGGCTCGGGCTCATTTTCAGGTGTTAGGATGCAGCAATGGCAACGGCGTCATTGACAGGCCCGATCCTCTGTTACCCTGTTACCCTGTCCACAGTCAGATGTCACGGTGGGTAGTTCAGAAGCAAACGCAGAAGACGAATACAGTGTGCAGGACTCCTTCCAGGATACCTCGGGAGGTGGAGCGAACATGTCGCATGTTGACGGTGAGAGTAGCGCACCTCATGACAATATTCGTAAGCCCCGTTTTAGCATCGCCCAGATTCCATACTATGTTACCGCTTCTTGAATACAACGTTGAGCCTCGCCGAAATGGAAATGGCCGATACGACTCTGTTTCTCAAATTGTGCCGCTTCAAATTCGTCAAGAACCTAAGAATGGATGGGAGGCCAATAGAGTTACGCTGCCATGTAAGTACCGAAAAGTGGTTTGGTGCCAGGCTCCATCTTGCGGCACTTGACGTCCAATCCTCAACCGTTCCAGTGCAGTTTCGGGTAGATCCTTAACAAAAAGAGGTGTGGATTGCTGTAGGCGTGACAGCGTAACACAGGCTCATCTCACTCGACCAGCAACAAATGTAGTGGACATCTCGACGACCGCTGGAAAGAAAGGGGAAATGTGTCCGAGGATCGGGCACGGAGTTGGCAGCAGCCTGAGGTCGCTGGCAACATGTTGCTTCAACACCATTTCACTCACAGGCGGAGCGGAGGGAGCGGAGGAGTCCTCGGCAAACGGGGGTTCTAGACTCGAGACTGGTGCAGCTGGCGCGTGGCTCTTGTCACGAGCCGACCAAGAATTGATCAACAGACCTGCTCTGAGGTTGCAGAGTGGTGATGGAGGATCATTAGAAGGTAGAAGGTATCCGTAGCATGTACGGATAGGCAGTTAGTGTCCGGGCGACGCAGGCGCCACCGCCCACCGCCCACCGCCCACCGCCCACCGCATCTTACATACACGGTGCCAGTGCCACTGCGGTGGCTAGTAAAGGGGCTAGACTATCTTGGTCTCTTTGGTCTCTTGGTCTCTTGGCCCTGCCCCCAAAGGGCCTAGTTGGAATCCCGGGGTTGAAGCAACCTTGCCTTGCCCGTGTGGAAAAGTCGACACGCAAAAATAATAGGTAAGAAGCAGTCGGACATGTCGGACGTGGCGGTGCTGCTGGTAGTGGTAGACTCGGGTCTCGCCAACTTGAGCTGCAGCATGCAAGTATGGTGGCTGAGGCTTACAACAGCAAGCTAACAGTCTATGCCTGAGGCCTTCGGCACCTCCGCTCAACTCCTTCCACTTTAGTAAATATCCGTACGGCGTATGGGGAGTACTACTATGCGGCGTAGTGTCTGTGGTGCTAGCCACCAGCCACGGCATCGAGACCGATTGATTGTCCGTTTTCCGGTTTTCCGTGCCCTACAAGACAAGATGAAGATGGCGGTGGCGTGGAGAGAGGTGGATACTTGTCTTCTGTCTTGAAACCTGTCGCCTCGCCCTCCCTCGGCCCCAGGTGTCTTAACTTTGAAGTGTGCCCTTGTCCAGCTGCAGCACTAACCAGGGAGCGCCCCAGCTGCGTCGATGACTTGCACCAGTGTACCACTCTGCTGGGACACGCCTCCTTTCCTTCCGAGCAGGCATCTTTCAGCTGTCGCCGACCCTGGACAGTTATCCTGACGAACCTCTCAAGAACATGATCCCACGCAGTGGCGTTGATGAACGTGAACTAGGGGCCCTGCCACGTCAAGAGGTGGCTAAAACATCCCCCGGGAAGCTGATGCTCCTGAACATACTATATCTGATGGGCTATCGGTAGAACGATGACGCTCAGCGATATGCAGTATCTGCTTTCTGGCTCGCACACATAGGTCATCACAAGCCACGCGGCACATTGCGCTAGGATCGGCCTTGAAGACTGAAATCTGTCGAGCGTCCGTATGACGCCAATTTGCGGTAGTAGTGACTGCGCTTAAAGAGCCTTTCTGAAGGGATCTATCATACGGGACTAGCCTCGAAGCCACTGCCAAACGTCCACTGTCATGAATCTCAGCTTCTTCCGAGGTTTGCGATGCCTTCACTGTGATCTGATTGGCTCGATGGCGGCGAAGCTCGGTACCTAACGCTATTTCTCCCTGCACGAAGATGGCTACACCTCCTAAACCAGCATATCAGTGCCCACGTCCTCGGCCAAGGATTGCCAATGACAACCCCTGCTACGCCCCCCTTCAGCATTTGGATCGAGTGATTCTCGCCGGCAACGATTGGGTGAGTGAGCATGCACTGACCGGGGAGCAGCGGCTCCGAACAGTCTGGACCGAGCTGACGGGATCTGGTTGGCGTGCCGCTAGAGAAGGATCCGCGACGATTCGGTGAACAGTCAAGACATGGGGAAGAACGAGCGAAGAAGCACGGGTTGCTTCTCATTTCAGGGCCCAGCGGGAGGGTCCACTGCTAGCCACGGCCCTAATTTGCAGCGCCAGACACATTGGCCCAGAGGAATCTGGAAATGAGCGGCAGCGAGCGGTGATGAAGACGAAGACAGAGAAGGATATGGTAGGCACCTAATAGGCACCTAGTAGGCAATAACAGACAGGAGCCGAAAGCAATACGTACTCCTGCAGAGGCCAACAGGGGGATGCACGGTGCGCGGAGAGAATTGGGTGGTTCTTTGAGGCACTTTTAACAGCGCAGCGCAGCCTGCGGTGGCCCGCACAACGCAGCCACATCACCCCTGCATCGCTGAGGGAGGGTCAGTGCAGCTGCCGCTTCTCAGGTTCCATTGCTCCATGCACGCCACGTACTCCGTAGAGACATATGGCATTCTTGAAAATCAACTGCATCCGATCGTCATGTCTGTCTGCCGCGTGCTAATGGCAAATGGCACGTCCTCTGCATCGCCTCAACATGGTGCTCGGGAGGTTGGCCAATCCACTCACCCCAAATTGTGCCTTCGACTTGGTTCGGCTATTTCGCAGGCAACGATATCTTCCATCTCCTTCTTGCAACGTGAACCGAGCCCGGTAAAGCGCGTCGTCTGGCGGTACGTGTCGGATCGGCAGCGATAGAGGGCCGCGGGAAACGACGATAAGGGGGGCAACTCGACTCGCGGTGCCCGTCTTATAAGCAGAGACAGAGAAGACGACCAGACGACCTGGCGTGGCCAGGATAGAGAGCTGAGCAGAAACAGACTTGTCATCCCGCTGGCCATCCACCAACGCAATAGTGCGAACGGACAGAGCCAATCGCGGTGGGCGACGAAGGACTCAGATGAGCCCATCGGAGAGCGCCCCGTTGGCCGCACCAGAACATCGTCGGGAGGCTAGTCGTGTAGGTAGGGTTCTGTAGTTCTGTAGCTAGTTGGGTTAGGCCTAAGGAGGCTGCCTGGGTGGCTTATGCCTCGCCTTGTCCCCCCAGCGTGGTCTGTGTTTCTTTTTGGACGAGCGATTCCGTAGTGACAGGCTTTGTCAGGCGCACCTCCTTGCCCGTTGAAGTGACATCTCTGGCACTTGGAAAGGACGCACCCAGGCAAGAGACGCTTGCATTGGTATTTCCGGCCCTTATGTCAGGACCTGCGGCAGGGATTGGCTTCTTCGCCTCTGCTCCAACACACATATATCGCCGGCGTGTTCTCTAAAGAAGCGAGCCAACCTCGGATATCATAACCTGACTTACTCGGGCTGCGCATACGCACGACATACACAGAAGCCCATATGTTATAAGCCATTCTCCGCTCTGGGTCTCGGTCTGCCAGACCAGAACCTTCGCCTTTTAGCAATTGCCAGCCCTTTGCTGCCCCAAGCCTGCGACTATCACCTCCGTCCCCGGGCTCCCGGAACTCAATCGCTGTGGCCCTGTGAAAGCCAGTCTCCGCTCCTCAATCTTCTTCGCTCAAGCTCGAGTTTACCTTTGGAAGTTGAGGATTGTGCCATTGGCTCCCATTTACTTCATGGTCGTTCTTCACGCGGATGGGCGTCTGAAACTCTTCTAGTCGCCCCAGCTCAGGCAGAGGCATTCAACTTTTTGTACGATCTAAACCAGCGAAAGGCTCAGCTGGTTGACGACCAAACATCATCTTCTCGCAAATTTGCCCAGACTGTGACTGGGTAGCGCGGCAGCACGACCACAAGACAGGCTCGGCAGTCCTTGGATGTTGGTGGCAGCAAGGCCACCACAAGTCGGCAGCACCTCTCAGAGATCACTACACCTCCGACTGTCACAATAGCAATTGCTTCCTCCGTGTCGCTATCTGGGGACGGTTGCAGGCTTTCCTTCTCTCCTTGTCGGCAACTGGCTCTTCTTTCCATAGGGCATACCATTCCCGATCTCCGGGCCCCAGTTGGCGCCCTTCATCCACAGCAGGACGTTAGTGGACCGACCCTGCGCCCGATCATTTTTGCTGGGCCAGCCTTTTAGCCATACTATTTTTCCTTCAGAAAAAGCATCCCCGCCTGAGGATTGCTCCACGCCCAAAGTCTATAACCTAGCTGGCTATCCAGAGGTCTTTCCAGTCGGTGGCCACTGCTTCGAACTCAACTTGAGAAGCATTTTGACTTGGCACCATTCAAGGTGTGGCTGAGCGTTCGCCTACCACTGGCATGCGATTTCTGACTTCCCCAGGCCCATCGGTTTCCAGTGAACCCACTGTCAAACAATCCCCAGCGGGCCTCCAGATCACCTCTGAAACTCTGAGTCAGTTTTCTGGCTTTTCCCAGGGATTCGACCCCGTGCGGCTGCAGCACGTTCGAAGACGTCTAAAGTCAAATCTGCTGCGGAGCACTTGGTGGTCCAGAAGAGCGCTGGATACTGATTTGCGCTGGTTGTAAACAACGAATTACTACGGACGGCGGATTCTGACGCTCGCCGACATCTGCTCCTGTCTCTGTAGCAGGGCGCACGTCAACATTGCCCTAGAGCTCCTTTCCAACCTGGATCTTGCGGCAGGAGTTCGGACCTTCAGGTCTGACTTGCCCTTGATCCCGCCCCGGTCCCTTCAGTCCAACCTCCGTCGCGATCGGTTGGGGCCCTTGAAGACAGACTCCCTGGCACTTCACATTTGCACAAACTCGTGCAGCTGAAGATACGTATAACGTCCACTGGACACCCAGTGACTTTGATTTCCTTCACACCACTCTGGTATCAGGACCTCGCTCTTCGCAACCTTCCTGCGAACGCATGTTCCTAATCTTCTCGTCTGAGTTTCGCTAAGATTAGAGTCTTGAGCATCCGAAAACCTTCACCCACAAGGCTTCCCAAGCCTGACCTGGTGGTACAGCACCTCTACACTCCGCAACCTTCCACGATGTCGTCTGGCGGAGCAGCTCTCCAGCCAACGTTTCGAGGCCATGTAGCCACTACACAAGATGCTCTTATTCTGTTTGAAGCGTGCCTGCAGGGCCATCTCTCCCACGTACCCCGGCGACCGCATGACCGAGAACGGAGTACCCTGATCAGGAGCGGCTGCATATTCATTTATGAAGAAAACGCGTCGGGAATCAAGAGGTGGACTGATGGAGTGACCTGGAGTCCCAGTCGCATTCTCGGCAATTTCTTGGTATACCGTGAACTCGACAAGCCCTTCCCTCCCGGAGAGAAGAAGCGAGCGATGAAAAAGCACCAGAGACGATCAACCCGGCCGGGCGAGCCTTACGCCAGATCAGACGGAGGCTCCTTCTCAGACGGACAATCTGGTACCCTTGCGGCAGTTGCAGGAGACCGCGGCACCACAGCTGAGGTCGAGAGACAACTAATCGGCTCACTTGTGGACTCGTACGGATTTAAACAGGACGGCCTCGTCAAGAAAACCATGAGTGTGACGGTGCAAGGGATCACCCATCACCTGGTCTCCTACTACCATGTCAATGACGTGTTATCGAACAACCTGCGAACGCCTTCTCAAACAGACAATCTACAATATATCCGCCCCCGGACTGAGCTGATCTCGAAACAAAGCTTTCGGTCGCCGATTGAGGAGGTGGACGATGTTGACGGAAGCCAGGCCGCTTATGGGTATAGAGTAAATCCAGGCGGTGTGTACCTGCAAGATTACAACAAACCGCAGTATTACCTGCCCCAGAACTATCCGCCTATGGCTCCCCAGCAGCCCAGTGCGTCAGCTTATGGGATGAGCGTGGCCTCTATACCCGCATCTTACATGCCGTCGCCAGTGACTACACCGCATCTACCGGGTCAACGAACCGACTACAACCAATACGACCAGGCTGTTTATAACAGAAATTACGAGTCGCTCAGCAACCCACTTCCTCCTGCTTCAAAATCCATCCCTCCCACGCCTACAACAATGCCGCCCATGAATCCAGATCGAGCTCAAGCACAGCCAAGCATGTACCCGCCCATGAGCATGCAACCGCCAATGAACAATCTGAGCCCTGTATCAATGGACTCGAGATCCCATATCCCATACCGGAGCAGTTCATATTCTGTAAACACGAATGTGTCGCAAATGGACCACTCCCGCCAAAGCCAGCCATCCGCGGTCGAAGTCAAATATGAAGATCGCAGAGAATCTGGTCAACAGCAGACTCAGCTTTATCAAAGCCCGAGAACGCCTTACTATACGGACGGAGCTGTGCCACCGCTTTCTCAGCCACATTATTCGCAGCAGCCTCATTTGGGTCAGTGGGCAGCACAAAGTCATGCTCATTAGTGAGCCGTGGCAGTACCGTGGAACTGATGAACCACTTTAGTACCACCAATATGGACGGTCAATTGATTCAGATTGGTATCCAGCGTTTTCTGTCTTCGCCTACTACTTTCTGGAGCTACCACGCGCATGAGCCTCAAATCTGGCCGGCTCCTTATCATGCCTTTTGGCTGAGTATTGCGCTTTGCTTCCGAAATTTTCATTCAATCCAACCTGCTATTATTTGTCCAAGCCACTAGGGTCTGCTTCCAGCACCCTATTCATATCGCGACAAGGCAGATTCTTCTGGTGGCCAAGGATACGGTGTTCATGGGGTTCACGCGTATAAGCAGGAGACCGAGAGATTTTCCGAGCACTGGGCGCATCTGTCTCGTTCTCCTCTAGGACATGGTTTAAGGGAATCGCAAACAGCAGCAAACAGGAGATTATGATGACACGGCCGAAACTGAGAGACGTTGATTTCAAAAAACCAAAAAAAGGTTGGGGAAAAGCATACGGCGGATTTCCCAATGGCGGTACTTGGGGTTCTTGTGCTTTAAATAATGAGGGAGTCATCCGCGCACGCGTACCTGGATGGCTATGGATTGATTGGGCTTGCTTTTGGAGGCCGATGCTTTGCTGGAGAGGCTGTCTACGAATTTTAAGCAGGTAGATCAAAATACGATAGAGTGCAGTGCAGTGGCTGTTGATCGGGGACCTGGACTGCAGCCTGCGATACTCTACATGTTGCACTTATGTGTTCGATGCGATCTTTGTCTGGACTCGTAAGAGGCAGCGAGCCTTCCTCCTTTACGCCCACGTGACCGAGCCAGGCAGCATCACGTGCACCGTCACGTGGCGGAATGTACTGTCGCCTCCTTCCCCCTCCCTCTCTCTCATCACTCTACGGAGTATAACTCTGTACTCGTAGAGTAGGAATGACTCTGTGGCAGATTGGTTGATCTATTTTTGCAGATCAAAGGCCAAATGCTGCGGCCACGAAATCAATACGGTTGCTCAGCGCACATCAAAAGGTCGAGGCCCTCGGAGCTCGGAACGGTAGTGGAAGCGCGGGCCTCGATGATCAACGGGCTGAGAGCGAGGCCAGAAACGGAGGCAATAGGCGTCCAATGGTCCATACTTCTGGGTGTGGTGGCTGGAACCACCAATAACCCGCCATCATCCCAGACGTCGGTCACACGACGGCAGCTGAGAGCCATGATCGACATATTGAGTCCGCCCAGCTGCCATTCGACCGATGGCTACGGCCTGAAGATTGAGACTACGTACTCCGACAGTGCGCCACACTTACTAGTTCTGCGCCCTCAGGGATTGAGAATGGAAGTCTCCGTCAGCCATCCCGCTCCCGACAGTGACATTCTGACGACATGAACATGAACTTCTGGAAATCATATCCATACCGAGTGGCGGGCCATGATGCAGAACGATGTCCGCCTTGGGTCAGCTTTGGGATGATGAATCAGTACGAGCACGCCACGGAAGGCGCTATACCCCCCTGCAGACACAGTGGTGCGCGGCGATTGATTCATGCGTGTCGTCAGTAAGCTTCGAAAGGAGGAAAGGCAGAAAAACCAAGCTCTGGGTCGCGAGAGCTGTCCCGCTGTCACTTGTCTATCCACACCTGGTCAACCACGCACAGACTTGGAGGGCAATTTCCACCTCGTTGCAGCTGCACACAAACACCTAAGAACCAAGAATCTCAACTGAGAAGTTGGACGACTATTCGCCGCAGGCATTATTATTCTGCAAAAATGTACGGATACGGAGTACTCATTGACAAACAGAAAGACCCACAAGACCGGCAAAAGGTCCGAGAAAATACCTGGCCCTGGCTCCAACCTCTTATGCAGCGCTAAAGACGCAGCTGGAAGCCGCAGTGCACCATCTATGGACGGTAACCCCATGGTCGCCGCCCAGGGGTCTGTAAGACCCACTCGACTTGGATTCAAGCCGGGACGCGTAGCCTTCCCTTCAACTCACACACAAGAGCCCATTGCCGCCCAAAGGAGATTTCCCTCATGCTGCGCCTTGAAGTGCTCATCAGGCTGGTACGAGAATAACTGTGAGTGGTAAGAATTCCTGTGGGTGGCAGCCCCCAAGCACCAAGGATCACAGTAGCACTTCAAGTTCCGCATTGAGACTGTGACGCTGGAGATTACCCCTGCGAGCATAGGCCATCGACACTGCTGGCCTTTCGCATCGAGCCGCGTAGGGTCAAGTATAATTACTTTAAAGATTCCTGGATATTCAATATCCAATACAATCAGGGGGTCCCTTGTCGAAACATGACTCGAGGGTACAGGCACTTGGTTCGTGCGACAGGGATGGTGTCCCTTCCAACCGTGTTCAGGTGCGAGCAGTTGACCAGCTGACACCTACAGGTGCCTCAGCCTACAGAATTTTAGTGGCTCAGGAGGCTTAGGAGGCCCCAGGCTACTGTGGTGTAGGCTCCTAAGGCCTGTAAGTGAACGGAGCATTGGGTTTTGCAGCGTTGGCCGTCCACCCAGTGAAAGCAACAAACAGCAGGCTTAGGAGGCTCCTTGCAGGGGATCTCCACCCACTGTCATGCCTGAACACTGAACAGTCGGTGGTTCCTCCGACTTTTCTCGGATTTGTCAGGTTCGTCGAGCTCAATACCTCTGTAGGCTTTCGAAACCCGGAGAGCTGGCCAGGAGAATTTGACTTCTGTCACCGACCGACCGCTAAGAAGGCCATGACGCATTCTCTAGTAAGGTACTACTAGGTAGTAGGCCCGGCACGGTGCCTCCAGGACGCACAAACAAACGCGAGCAGGCCCCTAAGCCGTAGCAACCACTCCCCCGGTACCGAGCCACGCGCTGAAGATTGTCCAATGTCCACTGGCAAGCGGCAGCGGTATCATATGTTCTGTGTACACTGTACAGTGCAGGGTCTGAGGGCCCTACACTTTCATGGTCAAGATGGAAGACAGTCGGGCGGGAGATTGCTCTCGTCATCTACTCGATATCTGGACGGACTCAAGCCCTGCCGCGGTCTCCTCCCAAGCCAGCCTGTTTGCGGCAATAATGGGGGGTTCAGACCGCTTGGGATTCGGGTTTCTTCAAGGGATCTAAGGACCAACCTGGCTGTGAAGTGTGGTCTGATGATAGGGTATAGTATAGGGGCATCCAGACTGGCCGATAGGCATCAGCGTGCCGCTGAGCTCAGGGCTAAGCAGAGGCACATGCAAAGAACAACTAAAGACTATCGCACTTACCGAGTACACAAGTACGGGGGACAACTCAAACCTAGACTTTATGGTTAATTCGAGGTGTTCTTGATTTCTCTTTCCAAGATATGCGCCTACTCGTTGAACCCCATCATCTAGATGGTTCCAACCTTGCACTCCCCTTGAACGGACCTCTTACTAGTGCCTCTGCTTAGCCCTGAGCTCAGCTTGACAAACCTTGCGAGCATCGTGCCGCTCTTTGCAACTCCTTCCCTTGCCCAAGTGCAGCGGGCGCCCATAGAGCTGGGCCGCAGGCATCAGGTTTCACCCATTTTCTTCATCATCAGTACAACCATCACTCGCTACCTACGCCTCGCGCCCTATTCAGTGTTCAGCATCCGCAGGTTGCCTCTCCTCTTGACTATAACACACTCCTACCACGCGTGGCTTCGGTCTATCAGCGGAACAATCCTGTCCACCGGCCGGCGGCAACAGAACACATACTGTCCCCAAGATTCATGGCCCTTACGCGTTCGCTTGCCTGCCTTGCCTTGCCTACCATCACCGTGAAGAGAGGGGCGAGCATGACAAGTGAAGAATAGGTTGGCACAGGTCAAGACACTCTTGAGACATACATTCTGTTCTCGCAAGATGATGTCGTCTACACAGACTTCCACCATCTGCCGATCCTCGATTTACATTCCTGCTCGGCCCCGTCCTGATTCCACTTTGGCTCTCTCAAATGCTGTCAGTCCCGCTTGAGGTTTGGAGTGGGTATGAAGACAAAATCGTGGAATGGAAGGTTCGATGACACCTTATATGCTTTTCGGGAGAGTCCTAGTGGTAGCAAAGAAAGGTGGAAGCAGTGGAGCCAACAAACAAAGTTACAGGTACAGTCAAATTTCAGGATGTCTTTCCTTTCCTCAGGAGGAAGGGGACCATTTTGTGAGCAAGAGATTTTCTCGCTGCCCCCCTTGACAACATGTGTGTATGTGTGTCTATCGCTGAATTGCCACTCCCAAGTCATGCAGAGTTGAAAGAAAGAAAAGAGCCAGCCTTCAGTCCTTGTGCGGCATGTCCTGGGATGGAGCCTACGCGTCCTTCAAGGGCTCACTAGTAGGCTTCCGTGTGAAGAACGCAAGAGGAGAATAAAAGGGGGAAAGGAAAGGTTCACCTTAGTCTTGGGAAGTTGAAACACTGTACAGTATACAGAGGAGGGCCGTGACCTGCGACAGGTGGAAAGGAAGATACAGTGCCTCCTGTGAGCAGTGGATGACGGACAATGGGTAGTAGGTAACAGGTACGACTCCTCTAGCTGTTGACTGAACAGTCCGGGAAGATAGGCCTGGTCCGAGTAAGTACTACTCTATAGTATAGACGTATCCTAACTCGATTCCAACCGTATATGTCCTTATCCCTCCGGTGTGTAGGGTAAAGGGATCAGGCAACTAATGTAAACCTGCTTCTACAGCGAGAACCAGATTCTGAATTCAACTTGACTTTGAACCAGACTCAGACTCGGACTTAAACTCAGACTCAGACTCAGACTCAGATTCAGACTTTGGGCGAAGAAGCAGAGTTCACTGGAGCGACCGTCGGGACGAGTAGGTTCCCTTGCGGCCATTCTAACAGTGATAGACGACTCTGGTAGTACAGTCCTTCTACTCCTCTTCTGCGGCATAGTACGTATAAGTGAGGTGAGGTAAGGTAAGGTGCTGTCGATACATGGCGGAGTAATCTGCCTCTCACTGCAGTGCTTCTCCTACAGCATCTGCTCCTGCATCTGCTATTGCTATGTCCTGGCCCCCGACACGCACTCCGATACACCAACACCCCAATACACCAACACACCAACTAATATACCTAGGGCAGTGAGAGCGAGCGACTCACCGCCGTCAACTTTCTACCTAAGTTAATCTATAGTACAGAGTAGTCTGTACGGATACTTACAGTGGTAAATTAGCAGGTACGTTAGGTAGGTGGATCGCTACGAGCACAGCACCCCGGGTACGGAGTACTTGGGGAAGAAATTCTCCGATTCTCCGGACACGCATGCAGTGCATATATGTATAGATATCTATACGGAGTACGGAGTACGGATACGGAGTACGGGTTTCAACATCACCCACCCACCCGGAGATGATTCTGTGCCGAGAAACGAGCCTGAACCTCCACCTCCACCTACTACTACTACTGTAGTACTACTGTAACCTAACCTGGAACCTGTGACTCGATCAAAAGCCCAAGGTACGGATGGTTAGTACATAGTCCATCGTCCAAGTCCATAGTATTCTATGAATAGTACATACTGTAGGTACTCCCTCCTCCCTACTCCCTACTCCCTACTCCGTACGGAGTGGTGGCCTGAACCCAAGTCCTCCACTTAGTGCCCGTGAGGAACATTAGCCCTTGACTCGTCGAGTGGTAGTTTCCGTACGGAGTGCTCCGTACACTGTACGACGATGTGGCCCTCAGCCCTCAAGCGGGCAGGGAAGAAGATCTCGTTTATGTTCTTCATAGGACTCGGAACATATTTGCTGTCTACGGAGTATAGACTGTCTGTCTACCTTGTCCTCTAATATAGGTATCTCAGATACCTATACAGATAGTAGTAAGACTGACAGCGACAACGACAGCGACAGCAAGGGTCTAGGCTAAAATATCACCGTATATGGCATGATATACTAGTACTACCAGCCACAGGACGGGTACTTCGGAGAATTGTTCTTCTAGCCTATGTGTACTTATATCTACCTACCTACGTGTTATGATCTTGAAATCAATCGGTCCTGAACCCCAACCGAATCCGAAATTAATCCATATCCATAAGGTACAGAGAACTAACAGAACCAGAAACAGAACCAGAAACCAATTTAAAGAGGGCTAAACTACGGATCAACAGAAAATCAGTCTCAGTCTCAGTCTCAAGAAGCCTAACTTACCTGAACCAAACTACGACGGAACGAAGCGTTCTGAGCCACCCACTACTACTTGCGGTTGGGGGCTCTTATTAGACCGCAATACTTGCAGTTGGGGGCTCTTAGGCCGCAATTCTGTCCGCGAAAGCTAAGTATCGTATTGTATCATTATTGTACGGAGTACGGATACCTTGTAAGCACTGTCTAGTTCTACTGTCTGTACAGGTACCGAGGAGCCTTGGCCACCTGTACAGATAACTCTGCTGGCCATCAGTGACGGGTGCGTGCGTACGTCGAAGATGAGAGGGAGAGGGGGAGGGAGAGGAGAGTGATGATTGATCGAATGAACGAATGAATTCCCCCACTGAATGTTCCTCCCGCCCTTGCTTCTGGGATGGGAAGTACGTGGTACCTCTTCAGTTTTGGCAATGGATGTGACAGTGGCAGTGACAGTGACATCGACAGCGACGGCAACCAAGTACATACTGAGTGCTGCACTCTGTACGGATACTCTGCACTCTGTAAACAAGATTCGTCGGGACAGATGAGCAATCAGAGCTCGCTTCAAGAAGGGCATGGTTTCGAATGACAGTGGCGTAGAGTAGCCTACGGGTAAGCAGTCAATCAATCAGTCAACCAGTCAGTCGACCAAATCAGTCACGTCGAACTCTTTCCCGTGTGATATGTATCGTATGCAATGACCATAGGTATCGGACAGACTGGCTTGGCTGGCTGGCATTCCAAATTCTCGTTTGTGGTGGAGTGGAAGGAAGTCAAGTAAAGTAGAGGGAGGTGATGAGATTAGAAATCCAGGCGCCTTGTCTCATTACTCCGTACAGTGTATATTATTACCCCTATTCTCTTTTCAGGGGCTCTGGCCTGACCCCGACCCTTCACTTTCGCCCTCCACATCCAGTCGTCACTGATCTGAGGACTTTGGGCCTTGCTAGGGGGTTGAGAATGTCCTAGAACCTACGGTGCTAAGGCTCTCCCCGTATGTGTATGGTGTACGGTGTACGGACGCCAAAATGAACCTTGTGCTTCGTTTCGAGCTTGCTGCCGCCTCCTGCCCTACCAGGGATCTCTGCTTCGGCCGCCTTACTGCATAGTACGGAGTTCTGGTACATGCCGCTCACTCAATGCCTAATATTAGTGGTTGAGACCTATTCCCTTGACCTTGGGCCGCTTTGTTGACGCTCTATATCTTTAGTACCGGTGTCATTGCCATGGTGAGACCAGCCACAATAACAGTGCGATATATGCCTAGCTAGGTCAACTATGGTGCAGACATCACTTCACTTTACTTCAACTTTTTGTCGTTTGCCGTCAACCCCGCCCCTTCGATCCCGATTTCCCTTTCAGCCTTGCCACTGTGTCCAACCACATTTGCACTATGGACTGCAGCAGAAGAACCAAACCTGAATTCGGGAAAGGTCAGCTTCCTCCCGATCCTTGCCTCCACGGCCCCTTTCAGGCTCTCCCCGGTCGGCATGGTGACGGTACTTCCCCTCCTACGGCGGACTTCCACCTCATGGCGGATCTCTTCAATTGCATCGTCAATCTCCCGGCCCGGATCACTCGGTATGCCCAGTGACGGCGGGTAGTTGGTTTCTTGCGACGCGGTCTTTTGCACGTATGGGTAGTTTCTCTTCGCAAGCCTTTTGGCGAGATGCACCTTCGCGGGTGAGGCAAAGAACGCCATGAAACCCAGGACGCCCAGCAAGCCGTAGAAATATACCCGTGCCCAAACTTTCAGGGAATCGCCGAAACCGAGGATGACGAATGGGGCGGTGGTATAACAAAACGCCAGCTGAGTGGCGAGATAGCTGGCAATGTCATAGTAGATCTTGTACTTGGTGGGCTGGGATCCGTCAGGAGTGAGGAAGAATGGACGGAAATAACGGCGGCAATTCTTCGCCACCGTTTGAATGAACGCGCCCATCAGGAATGTCAAGTAATATCCGGGATAAAAGCCGTGCCAGAACGCGGAAGTGAGGAATGTCGCTAGTGTGGCGCGGAAACCAGGCTTTTTGCCTTTGGGCGTCACTCGTAGGTAGATGTAATTGCGAAGCCACTTGTTGGTGTTCTTGTTCCAGTTGTCCAGGTAAGCCCGTGAGTTCTGAGCAGTCTCAATGCCCCAAGGATTCACATTTTCAGTGCGGTCCCATCTTGCTTTGCCAGTGACGGGATCAAGTCCATTATATCCTATCCCGGCCATCACGCACGCCCCTTCTGTCAAGGACCAGACACCGTAGTACTTGAGTCTGGAGGTGAAGCCAAGCATTTGCAGGATCCACACGCGACGGAGGAAGGAGAGTTTTTGGTACTGGTCTGAAAGCGTCAGGGGTACATTGTACCATTTGCCAAATTGCAGGAAGAGAAAGATCCAAATGACGCCAATAACGGCCTTTCGCGCTGCAGGTCTACCTGACCGGGGGATACGGCGCTTGCCCCTAGTAGGAGGAGGATTTTTGGTGCCCGGGGGAACTTCAAACATGGTGGTCTCGATGAATCGTTGGTAATCCACAAAGTCAAACGCCGGCCCCGCGAAGAGGGACGGAAAGAAGAAGACGTAGCCGGCGAAGTCGAGAGGATTGGGCATCTTGTAGATGGCGCGTTCTTTCTGGGTGTCGGTCATGAGGTCGGGCTTCAGCCGTCCATCATGGACGTTCCAGCAGAATGCGCTTAGTTTCATGACCAGAACCATCTGCCCCCCTGTGATGTCGACCGTGCTCGGGTCATTGAGGATTTGCCGCTCGATATGATTAATTGACAGATGGCCCATTAGGAATAGAAAGGCAATCCACGGCATGAGCGATCCATCAATGTAGTATGCTATTGCGTATGACCCTACTGCGCTGTACATCATGGTGCGAACTCCATCGTACAAGTCGAAGAGGCCGACGAGGTAGAACAAGGAAACTCCGACGATATAGAGATTCCTCCATTGCGGTTTGTTGTCAGGTATTCGTTTTATAAGACCAGCCAGGGGATAGCTCGAGAGGAAAACGGCGAGGAGCTTCAGATCATCGACGGACGCGCCGACGACTTTCGACAGCTGAATAAACGCTGGTAAACCGCACACATTAGCAGGGTCTTAGATTTGCGAAGGGAGACTCCGTACGAGCATTGATCCCGGGGATCATGATGAGCCGCCTCTTTCACAGAGTAAGCACTCAGAGCGGAGAGGGATGGTCGAAGGGTCAGGTGGAGGGAAACATGTTCGAGGCATCGAGGTGTTGAGGCGTTGAGGCGTTGAGACGACGTGTGTGGGAAAACGTGGGGACAAAAGTTCCCTGTCAGCGATGTCATACGGAGTATTACGTAGGTACATATGTACACAGCATCTTGTCCAGTCCGCGGTTTAGCCGGGCATCATTACCACGACATGAGAAGACGTGATAGTATTTATTTCATTGCAGCAATGTTTCGGCGGTGCTGACGAGGATTCTTGCTACCGTTATATTTGATATACGGAGTATTTATGAACAGAAAATCCAAGGAATCCATTATCCCCATCCCCGCGTAGTCGACTGTCCGGTACTACTACTATGTCTGGCAATCATGTATTGCGATGCATTGTACGTCTTCTTGCCAGAGTCATGTCGAGAGAGAGCTAGAGTCACTGGTGTAAGTTAATGCTCGAGCAGGCTTGTACTCCGTAGTAGATAGTAGAGAAGCGTGAAAGTGATTTTTCTTGCTGTACTCCGTACTGTGTACATACTTAGGTATGCTGGCGCCGCAGTTTTTGAGCAGACACAGGGCGGCATGAGGCTCTGCCGAAAGGGGAATGGCCCGATCTCCCGGAGATAACTGTCAACAGTGAACACTATGTACTTGGTACCTGGACTCACGCAGTCAGGCTCGCAGCAGACAGGCATACCTTGCCACACTCAGACGGACCTGTGGTCTCTTCTCCCTGGCCTCATCTATCTCTCCTCCCCTCCAGTTCTGCATCCCACCTGACCTCATCATCTGCCTCGTGGGCTCTCGGCCCCCCGCTTTCTTCTCAGATATCAGAATGACCCGGTAATATAACGTCCATAACCCTGCGACAAAGCGAAGCGAAAATGGACGTGGCATCGGCCGTCCAGAACTATATCTCCAAGATCGCGGGGGTCGGCGAAGGAGCAGCGGCGTCGCAGTCGTCAAAAATGAAGATCCTAATCCTGGATCGAGATACTGTCTCCATTGTCTCCACCGCCATCACCCAGTCCGCCCTGCTCAAACACGAAGTCTTCCTCATCGATCGACTGGACAATCCTGCTCGGGAACGCATGCGACACCTCAGATGCCTTTGCTTTGTCCGACCCTCACCTGATTCGATACAGTTCCTCATTGACGAGCTGCGTGATCCCAAGTATGGAGAGTACAATATCTACTTCAGCAATATCATTAAGAAGTCGACGCTAGAGAGGTTGGCGGAGGCAGACGATCATGAGGTTGTCAAGTCGGTCCAGGAATATTTTGCGGACTATATTGTCGTCAATCCTGATTTGATGTCGCTGGACCTGGGATTTCCGAAACAAAGGCTCTGGAGCCACAGTCCGGATATTTGGAATACGGATGCTCTGCAGAGAACAACCGAGGGCCTGATCGCCCTGTTACTGTCTCTAAAGAAGAACCCCTTGATACGGTATCAGAAAAACAGTCTGATGGCCAAGAAACTTGCCACGGAAATTCGATATCAAATCACCCAGGAAGAACAACTCTTCGACTTCCGAAAACCGGACACTCCGCCCATTCTGTTGCTCCTGGACCGGAGAGACGATCCGATCACTCCATTACTCACCCAATGGACATATCAGGCCCAAGTTCATGAGTTAATCGGCATCAAAAATGGCCGGGTGGATCTGAGTAGTGTTCCTGACGTCCGTCCTGAATTAAAGGAGATAGTTCTCTCCCAGGACCAGGATCCCTTCTTCAAGAAGAACATGTACCAAAACTTTGGCGACTTAGGGGGCAACATCAAAGAATATGTCGATCAGTACCAGGCGCGCACAAAATCAAGTGCTCAGATCGAATCAATTGCCGATATGAAGCGCTTTGTCGAAGACTACCCGGAATTCCGCAAGCTTTCCGGGAACGTGTCGAAGCACGTAACCCTGGTGAGTGAACTTAGTCGCCGAGTTTCGGCGGACTCGTTACTCGACGTGTCGGAGCTCGAGCAGAGTCTGGTGTGCAACGACAACCACGTCACCGACCTGAAAACCCTGCAAAGCCTTATCCAGAAACCAAATATCCCGGCAGACAACAAAATCCGGCTAGTAGCATTATATGCCATCCGCTACGAAAGAAACCAGAACAATGCGCTCCCTGTTCTCCTCGACCTGCTCACCACCGTGGCTGACATCTCAACGAACAAACTGTCTATCATACCCAAACTTCTTGCCTACCATCACAGCTTACAACCTGCACCCGTGGCCGGCGGATTTACGGATCTTTTCGACGCTGCATCTTCTCCGTTCAGCCAGTTCCGCCGGAACCTCAACATCAAGGGCGTGGAGAATGTCTATACGCAGCATTCGCCCCGGCTTGAAAACACGCTGCAGAATCTGATCAAAGGCCGGTTGAAGGAGTTGCAATACCCGTTCCTTGAGGGTCATACGCGTGACAAACCGCAAGATATCATTGTGTTTATGGTGGGCGGGGTTACATATGAGGAAGCCAAGATGGTCGCCCAGGTCAATGCTTCTGTGCCGGGTATCAGGGTGGTGCTGGGTGGTACCAATGTGCTCAATTCCGCCGTCTTCCTCGAGGAGGTTGACGATGCGGTCGGAAGCTGGCCGGATCAAGCTCCTGCGACGGCGCAGGCGAGGCTAGGAAGGGCTGTAGGCCGATGAACTGCATGACTTTTCATGTATGACGAATGCAATGAACGTGCTATGCTTTTTGAGATAGCTGTCCGACGTCAGCGTAGCCGTGTCCGACGTCAGCCATTGCTGGAACCACTTCGTTCCATGTAAGAAGGGATGGAGTGGGCTAACACAAAAACGTATTCTAGTTAGAGACGATGGAAAACAGACCACATGAAGAACTCCACTGCACGAAATCTTCTACAACCGAAATATCTCCTTAGACTCTTCTTGTGCTATTCGTACACCGTACCGGGGCCAACTTTTCTTTTCCACCTTGAGCTTCGGCATGGCGATGATCCTATGATGATGCTTCTACTTGGACGAGTCTGCCTCGTTCTTGTCAGCATCCTTCTTCTCCAGCCTTGCCTGGATCTCTTTTGTGGAGAGGATCTTGACCGCGTCTTTGTTCGAGACATAGCTCAGGCCGCTCCACACGGTAGTGCCGGCGACGAGATAGGTCCAGCCCTCGAAGATGCCCGGCAGGTTCCAAGCATGCAGCCAGGCGTCGGGCAGGACGGGTAACAACATGGCGTTCCCGACCAGCAGGAGCTGGAGGAAGGTGTTGATCTTTGAGATCTCGGTGGGGTGCACCTCGGCGCTGGGCAGGCTGAAGTCCCAGTAGCGGGCCATGGTTTTCGGCGGAGGCAGCGAGATCCAGCGAAAGTAGATTGCCGAGATGGCCAGGGCGACGTCGCGGCCTAGGATTATGACGGCGAGCCACAGCGGCAGGGTGCCATTCATGGCGAGCGCGACGACTGTGATCGTCATGAGGGCTTTGTCGGCCATGGGGTCGATGACAGTGCCCACCACCGTCTGCGCGTTGTATCTGCGCGCAAGGTACCCGTCGACCATGTCGGTGATGCCGGCGTAGAAGAAGAGCGACAACGCCCACAACGGTTGGCCTTGCAGGATGAAGTACCCTACGGCCGGGGCGGCGACGAGTCGTGTGAACGTCAGTATGTTGGGGATGGTGTAGATGTTCTCGCGTGGCACGGGTTGCGTGAGCCGTGGGATGAGTTTGCTCAATTTGGCTTTTGGTAGAGCCTGCGTACTCGAACTCGAACTCGCACTCGAGTTGGTGCTTGTACTCGTGCTAAAGATGGGAGATCAGGTCAGTGTGGTCCATCACGAGAGGGTCTGTGGTGGTCAATGGCAATCGGGGTTGCGGTTGTGTAAATGAAGAGACTCATCAAGCACAAGCGAGTTCAGCGACCATCTAAGTGTTGAGTAAAGGTACAAGCGAGGAGGCACATGGCTCTTTTCGAAGCACAGGCCAGCATCGAAGCCTCGTTTGCACGTTTCCATCGGCACCATCCGTTCTCGCGTGGAAGTAGAGACGTCTATAGGCTTCTTTGCAGGGTTTGTTGGAGAGAACAATGGAGCACAATCACAACGAAGCAACACATTGGACAGACTCTTGCCTTACCTGGTGCTGCCATCCCTGTCGCCACGCCCGGCTTCACTCGGCCGCGTCGATGAACTGCGAGTCTGCCAACACCACCGTTCTAGAGACGTCCGGATCTGCAATGGCCTCGTCCCTCGTGCACTTATGGCTGGCCTGGGGTGATATCGTCAGTCATTTGACCGGCACTGTGCACAGGAGAATAGCACGAGTTGCATACCACGAGACAATGAAGCGAGATGCTACAGGAGACGAAAACGGAGGCGACGTCGAGAAGGAGCATCGCTGACCTAGTCGAGGCAAGTTTCTTGCGCTACAGCTCCCGGCGGCACTCGTGTATGCAGACACGGGCACGGCTCTTCGAGCAGCCAGGTGAAATGCTATTTGAGAGCTCACACCACCACGGCTCGCCAGCTGGACAACCGAGGCCATGGCATGTTGTCGCGGCGGCGGGATCATTCAATCGTGATCATTGGGCGACAAGGCAAAGACGGAACAGAGAAGGATGGAGGGACGGAGGAAGAAGAGGGCAGGAATCGAAATAGACGGCGGGTTGAACTGAGCGTGTCGATTGAAGCTCAAAGGCGAGCGAGAGCAAAGGGTTTTGCAACTGCGGTTATGACTGTTGCGGGCTGCGGGCCTGGATGACTAAGCGGCTTCGTTCACGACCTTGCACCAGATACTACACACTCCCTACAGATGAAGCCTGGTTTCAGTAAAGGAGAAGACAACAGTCATCTATTATGTCCCTTTCCACGCAACTCTTATATCGCCGCCATCCCATCGAGTTCCTGGCCTGGTGCGCGAGAACAAACGCCTGTCGCTATGCTAATGGAAACACTTCGTCCACGATGTGTACTCATACAAAACCCTGTAACCCTGCAACCATGCACCACCCTACACAGTGCCAGCGACATCCTCGTCGTCAAGCTTTTCCGATTTTGCCAGTTGCCTGTTAGATAACACTGCACTTGATGTTCCAGGCCCTGAAGATGCACCTCGTCGAGCGTACTGGAGCAAACGCAATGCCCCAGCAGGGGTGAGCCCCTCGACCCTTCTGGCCATGCCCACACTCGAAGGCCTGACCAGTTTCAAGACCTCTTTCTCTCCCATACTCAAGCCATGGATTCTATCATAATCCAAGCCGGCTGGTAGTGCAAGCGATTCGTCTCGTTGGAACACTTCGACCGCTCGCTGTTGGTAGGAAATGTATGGGGCGTAGATGCTCTCAATCTGCACTCGCGACTTGACTTTCTCGTCGTAGTTGGCCGGATTAGGTAGTGCTTCAACACGATTGGCGACCGTGTCGACGTCGATTCCGGGTAAACGGAGCATGTCGAAGGCACTTCGTCTCGATGAATCGACGCGTGTTTGAATGCCAAACTTCAACCATTCCTGGCTCGAGAATCGTGCCTCCTGAAGGGCCGCTTGTAACTCACCCATTTGATCTCGAGTGCTGGTAAAGTGTGCCCATCGTGTGTCGCCAACTACCCCTGCCTGTCGGCCCTTCTCTGTCAAACGAAGATCTGCGTTGTCTGCTCGGCAGCTCATGCGATACTCGCTTCGGGCTGTAAACATCCGATACGGCTCGCTGACGCCTTTGGTGATTAGGTCGTCAATCAGGATCCCAATGAACGCTTCGGCGCGAGAAAGGGTGAACGGCCCCTTCCCCTGGGCCGACAGACCGGCGTTGATACCCGCAACGACACCCTGTGCCGCTGCCTCCTCGTAGCCTGTGGTGCCGTTGATCTGACCAGCTAAAAAGAGACCTTTGATTAATTTAGTCTCCAGGGTTGGGAATAGGTTCCGCGGGTCGATATAATCATATTCAACGCCATAGCCTGGTTGGAGCATTTTCACATTCTCCAACCCTTTGATCGTCCTTAGCATAGCGTATTGTGCATCAGCTGGCACCGTCATGCTGATTCCGTTGGGATAGATGACTTTATTTGGTGCCAGGCCTTCCGGTTCTAGCCATATCAAGTGCCTTGGTTTGTGTCCAAAGCGCATGATCTTAGATTCCAGAGAGGGACAGTAGCGTGGTCCTTTGACAGTCTCGCGGATGTGGATCGACTTGTCAAGATTTGCACGGATAATGTCATGTGCCGCCTCGTTGGTGTAGGTCAACCAACAATGCAATTGACCTTCGTCACCGATCTGGACGCTGCTATTTAAGTAAGAAAAGGGCGTCGGTGGTGAATCACCACGCTGGATCTCAAGGACATCGAAATCAATGGTGTCTCGATCCAATCGTGGTGGAGTACCGGTCTTGAGCCGTCCTAGGGTAAATCCTGCACTCCTCAGCGATTTGCTGAGACCGGTGGTAGCGGCTTCTCCCATCCGCCCAGAAGGGTATGCCTCTAGGCCGATATGGATCTCTCCACCCAGGAATGTACCGGTGGTGATGACCACGTGGGACGCAGGAATGACCTGTCCATCTTCAAGGCGAATGCCGGTGATACGTCCCTGTGATACTTTATCACCCGGGTCGATGTTTTCTTTCGACACTATAATATCCGCGACCTTCCCTTCCAGTACACTCAGGTTTGGCGTCGAAAGCATCTCTGCCCTCATGTATTTCTGGTATAGATCTCTGTCAATCTGCGCTCGAGGTCCCCAGACGGCAGGACCCTTGCTCCTGTTCAGCATCCGAAATTGGATTCCAGCTTTGTCAACAATTCGACCAGCGACCCCGTCTAAAGCATCGATTTCGCGCAGCATTGTGCCTTTGCCAATGCCGCCGAGGCTGGGATTACAGGAACAAACGCCCAGATTGGAAAGGGAGGGTGTAACCAGGGCAGTCCGCGCCCCCGATCTTGCTGCCGCGGCACTGGCTTCAGTGCCTGCATGGCCGCCGCCGATGACTACGACGTCATATGGCCTAACCGGGCTCAAGGTCAGCGGCACGCACCATGAAAGATAGATGGTTGATTTGAGCGTACCTGACTGCGTCCGCCACCGCGGCAAAGAAGCGACGTTGGAAAGGACAAGCCCTCGTCCGAGGTGTACGGCCCCATTGTATAGAGCCCGGAGGCCGTACTCTCGGTCTCATGGTGGCTTTCAGGCGCAGTGTGCCTCAAAAATCGTATGGAAATTCGATCGGTCTGCGTCGGGAAGCCAATGATGGGAGACAATTTTGTAGCCTCGGATAAACCTCGGAGAACCGGAGATGACGAGGCTGCCGATTTCAGCCTTGCCTGGCATGACTCCAACTCCCAACTCCCAACTCCCAACTCCCAACTCCCAACTACCACGGACTACTGGTAGTTACAGCATGAGCAGCTGAACTAGACTGACTCAGCTGCTTGATTGTTCGAATCGTAGAGAGAGCACGTAGATAAGGTATATCAAAAATCAAAACTGATGGTCATGAAATATCGGGATAACGGCAACAAATATCGACAGGCAGTGAACAGTGAACCCTCCTTCACTGCAGCCCCCAGGTGCCGGCAGAATTCCTGAAAAATAACAGGATATGTATTTAATTGACCAATTTTCTTCCCAATAACGCAAAGACCCCCAGCACCGATTGGCACAGGACAAACCACTCTGGCTTAATGGCAGCAAGCCGGCTAGCAGAGTGGAAGGCAGCCAATCGACTGGGCGACCCGACGACAAAATCCTCGAGTTCGAATCATGCCAGATCTGACGACTTTTCAAGCCGATTTTAAGACCTGCGAGCCCGGTCTAATAACCACAACATTGAGACAAAAGCAACCCTGTGAACCCGGGTTAACAACAACCGATGAGACGAGACGACCTGCAAAGGAAAAACCCTGCGAACCCGGGTTTCACTTCCCACGACCCCCATATCAAAGGGGTTCGTGGAAAAAGTTTTTGCCAGTTGAACAGATAGTTTTCATTTGATTTTGCTGTCTGCTTTGTGCGTGCGTGAAGGGCACAGCAGAACGAGGGCAAGTACCTACAGACAGTGAAGTGAGAACGAACTTCCCGCAGACAAGTTATCGTATTATTATGTACAGAGTATGGTCCAACAGCAACTTACTGTGAGTTTTATACATATAGTAGGCTCAGAAGACCACGTTCAGCACTTTGCCTCCGCCAACGACAACTACTCTTTTCCGCTTCCCCCAGTCATGCTTCTCTGTCAGCCACACTCGGCCGTTGTCTGTTTTGAGCACTGCATCGACTATTTCTGTCTCCCTTGCGGCCTTCTCGGCCGCAGACGTACCCTGAGCTTGACCGGATGGGATCTGCGTGGTGAATCGAAGCTTGCCGTTGATCTGAACTGCACACGTCATGGATTTCTTGCGGCTTCGCAACAAGGATTCTTGCTCCGGGGCAATCACATCACTCGTCCAAGTCGTGCTAAAGATGCTTCCTGTATTAGCACCGGCCGTCAGACCCTGCCAGCATTCTTCAGCAAAGGCCGGCGTTATCGGAGCCATCATTCGCAGCAGTGCGGAAATTGTGTGATATGCAATTGCCGGTTTCAAGCTCTTCACTCCGGTTTCATGAAGCGCGTTCGTAAGTTTGATGAGATCGGAGACTGCGGTATTCAGGCTGTAGATGTCGTTGGAGAAAGTTTGAGAGATACTCCTGCAGGTGGCTTGCGCTATCAGCAGGATCTGGATGTCGTCTTCAGATAGCGAGTGGAGATCATTGAGGACCATCGATAGATCATCAACTCCGCCAACTGCTTCTTCAGCAATAAGATCAGATACTAGCCGATTCACGCGGCCAAACCACCGTTGAATCCCGGTGATCTTTTTCTCGTCCCATTGCAAAACTTCGCTGACCGGGGCTGCAAATAGGATGTGAGCCCGTAAAGCATCGGCTCCGAATTTGTCAATCGCGGCAGACGGGTCTACGCCGTTATGCTTGCTCTTGGACATCTTCTCCCAGCTAACCTTTGCTGGCTTTCCGCTTGACTTCATAAGAGGGGTTTCGCCATCATTGTCAACTTCCCCAGCTAACAGGAACCGACCGGTGTCTGGGTCAGAAAACGTCTTTCCATGAACCATACCTTGGGCCACAAGCCGTTGAAAGGGCTCCTCGTTGCCTACCTGGCTGGGAGCGAGGCCCTCACTGCATAAGAACTTGTATATAAATCGAGCATAGAGCAGATGCAGGATTGCATGCTCGACTCCACCCACGTAGATATCGACTGGAAGCATGCTCGTAGCTGACTGTGGGGAGAAAAGCTCATCCTCGTTGGATGGATCTGGGAAGCGCATGAAGTACCACGCAGAATCGACGAAGGTATCCATCGTATCCGATTCTCTTTTGGCGGGATGGCCACATTTCGGACATTCGCAATTGATCCAAGCATCAATCCTATCTAAAGGATTACCCGTCTGCCCTTTGACAGACGAATCGAGCTGAGGTAGCACGACCGGGAGGTCTTCAGTAGGGACAGGCACTGTTCCACAATCGGGACAATGCACAATGGGAATCGGTGTTCCCCAGTATCTCTGGCGGCTTACCAGCCAGTCACGCAACCTCCATGTCTCATACGGTTCTCCCCGGCCATCTTTCTTCAAGTCGTCCACAATTTTCAGGCTGGCATCGTGGCTAGACAGCCCTGCGTACGGCCCGCATGCCGAAGTCAAAAAGCCGGCATTTGTATATGCTTCGGTCAATTCTGCAGGATAGATTTGGGTTTGAGACGCATCGGCGTTTGCAGATCTAACGACGACAGTGATGGGAGACGAAGGTCTGTGGAGTTTCCAGAAGCTCAAGTCACGAGAGTCATGCGCAGGGACGCCCATCACCGCTCCCTCGCCGTAATCATCGAGCACGTAGGGCGCAGCAAAGACGGGAAGTGGCTCTTGGTTGGTCTCGAGGATATGGGAAAGCGGGTGGAGGGCGCGAAGCGGTAACTCGAACCCTGCCTTGGAGTCTGGTGGAAAGGATGCTCGCTTGTCTAGAAATCGCTGCAACTCGGGAGACTGTGTTGCCAACTGCTGTACAAGAGGATGGGTCATAGAAAGAGCGATGTATTCTACACCGAGCAGCGTGTCTGGTCGTGTTGTAAAAACACGGACGGGCACCGACGTTCCCATGTCTCTCTGCAAGTCAAATTGAATGCGTGCGCCAGTAGACCGGCCGATCCAGTTTCGCTGCTGCGATAGCACCCTTTCGGGCCACTTATCACCTTCGGACAGATAGTTGAGGTCACGGAGCAAAGCCTCCCGGTACGCGGTGATGCGAAAGAACCATTGACGAAGTTTGATCTGTTGTACCAAAGCTCCAGATCTCCAAGAGCGGCCACTGCTGTCGACCTGCTCACCAGTCAAAACAATAATCCAGCCAGCAAGGAGGCCCATACCTGTTCATTAGCAAGGACAGTTTTGTCAACTGGATCATAATTCACCAATGCTTCTGCTTGATATGCCAGTCCACGATGATACAATTTGAGGAAAAGTGCCTGAGTATGCTTGTAGAATGATGGCGAACATGTTGATATTTCCTACATGAGTCCATCAGCGCTATGTACGGTATTCTCCAAGCTCTTGACCTACGGCATCCCAATCGAAGCTGGTATTCATGCTCTGGAGCTGCTTTTTCATCTTTGCCATGTTGTCTTCCGTCCAGACGGCTGGATCAATCCCGCGTTCGATAGCAGCATTCTCGGCTGGCAATCCAAAAGCGTCCCAGCCCGTTGGATGTAGTACTTCATCGCCTCTCATCCGCCTGTAGCGAGCTATGACATCGGATATCGTGTAAACCCGTAGGTGCCCCATGTGCAGTGACCCCGATGGGTAGGCAAACATAGGAAGGACATAGCACTTCTCAGATGATTGCCGCCGCCTCGAAAGACCGGCCTCCGAGGCCCATTGCTGCTGCCATTTAGAGTCGATGGCGCGGAAGTCCAATCGAGAGGAGGTGTGGGAGACAGCAGGTCGGTGGGAAGAAGAGCTGAATGAGCGAACAAAGGTCAGCCGCGGAGACTGCCGAAAGGTGAATCCTATCAGCATCACCTCCGCCCTCCCACGCCAGTCCTTGAAAAAGAAAAGAGTCGTGCAGATAGGAAAGCCTGCATGCGTTGGAGGAGGACAGTACTGCAGACGTTGAAGCTTCGCACTTGCAGAGCACAATGATCAGAAAGCTTACTTGTTGTCACGTGAATCCTTCGCCAAGGCCAAGGTGGGAAGTGAAGTTCACGACTTCACTGTTCAAAGAAGTGGAAGTTTGCGAGACGCTTCAGACTTCCACACGCGTCACTTCTTCCACGGGGTTCGCATACTCTTCCTGTTGCCGTATCTCTATCTCGTCTCTCGCACTATTCCTGAATCACAAGTCTTCAGTCCGTTGACCCAAGAGTCTGTTCCGGTTGAGATCGGCCGGTCGATGAATAGAACAGAACCTGTCCATGGAACTGTGGAGCCCAACCTGCGAGTGCTCGAAAGGCGAAAGGTGAAATCCCCATCAAGGCGAGATGGCTGCGATGGCTGGAAATGATTTACATCTACTTTTCCTTGTTTCGTTACGCCGCCATACCTCGGAGACGTAGGTGAGCACTGTGGCCCCACTGACGAGGCTCAGAGTGTGTTTATGCGCAACACCTATTTCCTCCCACCCTAATTTCCAGAGGGGTACAGCTTGCACGTGCCTTGCTTGAGGACTCCTGATCTTGTCAGTGGTCCACCTATCATATGTCGCGAAAAAGGGACTTGCAAGAAGCAGAACGCTGGCACTACCATCCCTGGCTACCAATGGCTACACAACTGTAAGGTGTTTTGACACATCTGTCGGCACTACCACGCCGATGAGGCTCATTCTCAACTGGACTGGCTTCCCACTGAGCATATACTTTTCATATCCACTGTTGGCACTAGAAACCTCCCAAAGAGACATGTGCCCATTGATAGCATGCATTACATATGGGCACTCTTTGCCGCGGAATTTCTGGTCAGCGCTAATATTCGTATGCGGGTTGAGTAAACTCAGCTTTGCTTGCTAATACGGCACTCAGGTGGTGCGCACAATGCGCTGTGCTGGTTGTCCATTTTGTCGTCTAGATGCAAAAGATTCTGCCGAACCCTAAGATTCTGCCGAACCCTGGGAAAGGAACACATGTGTGGCTGGGGCCTAGGCAAGGAAACACGCGTGAATACCCTATTGAGCTTACAGAACAATAGGTGCTGCATGTCCCAGGCTTATTCACTGAGTGAAAGTCTATTGTCACTTGGTCCACGGTTGAGGACCTATTGTCACCTCAAGTGGGACCGACATGCGCGGGCGCAACTATTTGAATCTTCAAACGAGTCTCACTCTCTTGTTTTCTTTTTCACTCTCCTTCACATCCTTCTTCAACTATCGAGGTCTTCTTTGACCATTTTCTATCCACAACTTCACACCACGTATTCCGCGTTCTATCTCAGAACACCTCTTTGCAGACAAGACTAGATTGACAAACGAACAACAGCTCAAGGCATTCAAATATGGCTACCACTGTCATCTTCGGTGCAGACCCCGGTGGCGTGGGTAAGTGGTCTCTACCGCGGTGGCAATTGCGCGTTCTGACCATTTTTCAAGCCGGCTTACGATCTGCCCTCTTCGTACCTCAGCTTGCAAACGTTGCTTCAGCATCGGCCACGTATCCGGCCCTTCACCTTCTCTCACTTCCGCAAGAAGTTCGTGACAGAGTCTTCCAGAATGTGGAGATCTCTGCCGATGACGGTCCTGAAGAACCGCTCACAAGCCATGGGTTCGGTGGTCTGGAAAGTTTGCCTGCAGTTTGTCGACAGTTGTTCCACAACACAGCAAATGACCGACATCAATTCATTGTCAAGGTCCCACACAACAGACTGCAGCTTTTTGTCGATCAAGCCCTGAAGAACGGAGCAGCCTATAAGAACATGAAGAGCCTAACGCTAGAGCTACCGCACAACAGTCCAAGCCAGTTTTTCAGGGACATAGCTACTATCCTTCATCATTCGAAAGACACGCTTGAACAGCTGAAGATCTTTGGCGTTGGCCCGGACGGCTATGGTGCTCAGACGAGCTCGTTGGCACACCCTTGCGGGAAAGTCGACACTTCCATCCGATCAGGAACCCTCAATCTTACTCTGGACGGACAGGAGTATCAGAAACGCATCAAAATGATCAACCAACTACAATTCTTGGGCAAAATCAAGGTTTTGGTCCTAGACAACTTGAACATGCCGGTCACTCAAGCACAGGTGTTGAAAAACAAGCCGGACCTTCAGCGCCTCCGAATTGGCACAGATCCTCGATCAGTCCTTCACAATAGGTACATGATGCCAGGGCAAAATTTGGGGCTCAATAATCTGATTCACCCGATAACCCAAGCCCCGCCCCAGCTCAGGGAACTTGACATCGCCTCGAACAGTGTGGTCATATTGGTGCATGTTTTCAAGGTGGTCCTGCCAACTCTGGAGATCCTGAATTGGAACATCTCAGACTTTGCCGCTCAGCATGGCAACAACTTCCTTCAGATGGGCATGAATGTCCTTTCTCGACTTGCAGAAGCTAAGAAGTTGCGAGTCCTGAGACTCTGTATTCACAGTGCAATGTATGACCACGTCAACGATATGGCCACTTTCATGTACATGTTGAGAACAAGCATTCAACGCGTCCCATCCCTCAAGGTGATCGAGTTACATATCCATTCGAAAGCGCGGTGGTATGCTCAAGAAATCATCAGCGATCTTCCGAAATCGGTTGAGAGAGTGTATCTCGCTGATCACTTTATCCACAAAGACATCCCACAACTTACAGACCTCATGGGAACTCTCACCAACACGTGGACCCAGGATTACTCAAATGGATGGAACCTTCTTGGCGAGGATCTCAGCAGGAAAGATTTTATTCCCTTCTCCGACAAGAACCTGGGATTTGTGAGTTACGAATACGATCATCAAGATGGAGAGCAGTTCAGAGACAATGTGGCCAACTTCATGAGGGTGAATGCCCGCATGCTGGACAAGGAACTCAACAGACATCTGGCTAAATACAACGGGAAACATATTCCAGTCAAAACAGCTGCTAAGCCACATGTGACGGTCTTTGATCCCCTTGTCAGTGACATGCTTCCACGATCCAGGGCAGAAGTCGAAGCAAATCGCAAGGAACTGACACGATGTGGTCTCTACAACAACAAGCCTTACTTTGGCAATGAAGACAGGGCAGAAAAGGTTTTCCTTGCAGAGCCAGTTGCCACGGCCTCTGAACGATCTCACTATTCTCTCCCAACGATTTGGGATGTTGAGAACCCATTCTGTGCCGCCAGTCACTGGATAAGCACCTGAGGAATTCGGGCCAGGAGAGGCTCCAAAGCAAGAGTGTGCATCACTCGAGGGTGACATGGAAATGGAGATAGCAGAGTGTTTTGGTGTTGGCATGGAAGGGGGCGAGAGGGTTTTCTAGGTTATGATTTCTACGGAGTTGAATAGGCCGGCTCTGATACTGCCAGCTGGGGATAACCACACCAGATTTGCGAGATAAGTCGAAAAGGTCGACGGCGACGGAAATGGACTGCTATCGAGGCTATTAAGACATAGCAAAGAATGGCAATATGATTGAATTGAATTGCAAGCCTGAGGCTGCGCTACGATGATAATGAAATGATAATGCGCCGTGGAGTCAAATGCTCCGCAACACCCACACTGCACCCACATCCACCCACCCACACCGGCAATCTGTGCAACCTGCAACCTGCAACCTGACAAACTTAGTTCCGCTGCATCCGCTGCATGACTCGTTTACTCTCAAATTGGTGGACACTGGGATTCATGCCTTGTCAGTGACCTACGCCGCGAGTCAGAGCCCAGGGCAGGGCACCATGCAAAATGATCCCTCCAACACGTCCTCACCCGCAGACAACCTCTCGCCCGCGTCGCCGACCCAGGCGAGCCGCAAGCGAAAGGCTCCCTCTGGCTCTCGCGGCGTCGCCAGCCTCACTCCCGACCAGCTCGCCAAAAAGCGCGCTAACGACCGCGAGGCTCAACGCGCCATTCGAGAGCGGACGAAGCAGCACATCGAGCACCTGGAGCGCAGAATCCAAGAGTTGACATCCCAACAACCCTACCAAGAGCTTCAGGCTGTGATTCGGCAGAAAGATGCCATCCAGGCCGAGAACGACGAGATCAGAAGGAGGCTGGCCTCCATCATGTCCATACTACAGCCTATTGTCGGTGCGCAAGGCTTGACAGGTATGCGCGTGTGAAGAAGTCAACGGGAGATCGGGGTGCGGTGGCTCATAATATCCTAGATCTCGCGACGGCGGCACAGCACAATGTCCAACCTGGAGCTGGACAGCAGAGTGCTGAATTCCGTCCCAGCAATATTCCTCCTTCTGATCCATATCTGAATGGGAGACAGCAATTCCCTGTCTCTCCCAACACATCTCAAGCGACCATGGAAGGGTCGACATATCCGCCGCCTTTCGGGGCTGATGATCAAGCTGACGGCAGAGTATGGTCGGCATCGAGAGAAGCGCTGGTCCACCAACGAGACAATCTCCAACGGGGACTGGAACTAAACGATTCTGGGGAACGTTTGTCATTCAATTTCCTTCTCGACAGCCTGGGCCAGCGAACTGGAAACAGCATTGCTTCTCAGGCGCAAAACATCTCTCCTGGCCGGCGTTCGGTGTACCCGTCGCTTTCTGAACAATCACCGCCACTGCCGCCATGGACAGCTCTTCCGAAAAACGTCCCACCTACTTGCCCGCTTGACGGCCTGCTCTCCAACTTCCTCCAGTCTCGTCGACGTGAGGCGAATGTGAACCAGGCCTCGAACGCCAACCCATTATTGAATCCTACCAGCTACCCGAGCGTCTCGTTGCTCCTCAACCCGGCAGGCGGCCACCAGCTCGACCCGCTGTCGCAGCTGATGACGGACATCATCAGCAAATTCCCCAACATCTCAGGGCTGCCCGAGCAGGCCGGCGTGCTGTTCATCATGTTCCTCCACCTGCGATGGCAGATCAACCCCACGCAGGAGAACTACGAACGACTGCCCGACTGGATCCGTCCGACCCCGACGCAACTTTTCACACCCCACCCGGTCTGGATAGACCACCTCCCCTGGCCCCGGATGCGCGACCTGCTCTGCGCCAGTTACCACGACTACCCGTTTGAGAACTGGTTCATCCCCTTCACGAGCGGCCTGAGCGTCAACTGGCCCTACGACCCTGCCGATTGCCTACTCGTGACATCCGATCGGGACAGGGTCGACCCCATCATCAACCCTGTCTTCGAGCGCCATGTCCGCCGTCTGGAGAACTGGTCGCTCGGCCGGTCGTTCGCCGAGACATTCCCCTCTCTCGCAGATAGCGCACTCATCAAACGTAAAGGCCTTTCTTCTGTTTCCCCGGCCCAAGAGAATCCGGCCAGTTTGTCTTCCGCTGTTTCTTGAAGACCCGACTTGCAGGAAATGCTTTCCATCAGGCATCGCTCTCCAAGAGGCAATGTATGCTGCTGGGACTTCAAGAAGCGGAGCCTGTTTACTTTTATCATGTACCGGCTTTGGCTGTCGCAGTACCATCGTCTAACGGGCACCATTAATGAATGTCGGAGTTTTCATGTTCCTCTAACCGGTGGTCACGGGCAAATTCTGATTATGGGCGTTGACCAGAATAGCGCAAACGAAGGCTTGGTTGCTATCTGGACTAGTACTCAAGACTTCGCTGTTCAGGCCTGTTACATGCATGAATGACCGAGTAATGGAGTTGAAATGGATTAGGTAGTCGAATTGCTCATATGTATTTTTGTCGCAGTCCTCTGCCATCTGTTTCTTCGATTCCAGACTAAATCTAAGCGTGTGCCCTAGAACGTCCAGAGGGAATCCAACCCAGCATGCACTTGCAACACTTTCAACGTCTCGTCGTTACGCTCTAATCCCGTCCGTGCACTCTTCGTGTTGTTAGATTGGGTAGAAATGATTTTCTTCCCGGTGGGAGGCATTGACACCGTTCAGGAAGTGTTTTCGCCCAAGAGACCCGACTGAGTTCGTGCCGTCGTGCCATTTTCTAGAGAAGCGTCAGAGCTACGAGGCAAGCCTCACCTTCTCTAATCCCAGTCGCTCATCGTTCGAATGCTATTCATCCTGCAGCTGCTGTCCCGATCAGGCGGCAGCTTTTGCGCTGTACTTTGCAGCGGCAGTGTCAAATGCCTGACTCTTCTCCGCGAGATCCTTCAAGAGCGTATGATCACGGTCCTTCTCTTGTAATTGCTGGAGGAGCTCTTGTACCGCTTCTGGTTTCTTGCCAACCAGACTCGCCAGAACGACGCTGTTGGCAATTGCCTGGATGTTCACATTTTCCAACGCCACGGCCTGCTGCAACGCCGCCTCAGCCTCTTCACTGCGACCCAGATGCAACTCAGCAACCGCCTGCCCCACTAACGCAGTAGGTGAGGTGGTTCCAGGTGTGCTGGCCAGCTCTTCGTACACGTAAAATGCGGATTGGTATTTGTCACTGCCGCCTTCGCGAATGTTCGTCCACGCCTCGGCCAGGTTGATCAGAAGACTGTCCTGAGCCCAGCGTTTGGCAGCAGCCACTTCCTTGACAGCGAGGTCCGTTCGGTTCTGTATCAGGTGGATCTGCACGAGCAGTGCCACAGCCTCAAGGCTCCCTTGATGTTTGTTCAACAGTTCAATGGCTTTGGCGTATTCACCTGCTGCTGCGAGGACAGTGCCCGCGCAAATCTGAACAACCGCATCTTCTGGGTCGGACTCGGCAAGAGACGCAGCAGTCTCGACGGCAGAAGAGTCTCCGGAGTTCTGTTGCGCCAGCGCTACTATGGAACGAGAGGCTGCGTCTTTGGAAGACTTCAGCGAGGAAAGTACTGCGGTTGCTTGGCCCAGGGCGATCTGTGCGCGGTACTTCAAGGTCTGTGCTGTCTTTTTGTTGTCCGAGGAGAGGGCAGATGTGTCATAGTCGAGGACGCTTTGGTAGGCATGAGTGTAGAAGGCGGTGGTTATAGTGAGAAGTTCTAGAAGACGGTTAACGGATGAACGAGGTCCCTAGGGGGAGGTAACATACCACCCTCGCCGGAGAAGGGGTCCATGGTCGCTCCGGTAATGCTTCGCTACTACTATAGACCGGAGCAGGGGATGGTCCTAACGACAAGATCAAGATGAGAGATACGGTTCGCTGCGTAACGATGTCGAGGCTCGTGACAGGAGTCCGGTGTACGCGGTGTCGACAACTGTGTCAAGTTATATTGGGGGAAGGAAGGTGCGGCGAGGTGGTTTCTCCGCGCACGGATACTCAGGAGATCGGACGGTCCTCGCTACCGCAGCCTTATCTCGACCACAACTCGTGGTCTGAACCAACATGTCCTCCTGAATCTGAGATTGTCGCCGGCAACAGACTGACCTAGCTCTTGGTCCTTGCAATTTTTATCGAATCTCCGACAGAGTCCTGCGAGATCCTCCAAACCTACACCTCACTTGATAATCATGCCTCGTGGGGCGCGCTTCAGTTTTGCGTACAACAGCATTATCCTTGAACACCATGCCATCCAAACCCGCCATGCTCTAAGCCGCCTAAAGGCCAATTATCATCTCTTCCTCTTAAATCAACCAAAAGTACCCCGGTTCAGGATGCAGGATCTTGGGCTCAAGAGACAATGGCGGGCGCCTAAGATGAAGAACATGGAGAATTGATGGCTACCTCATGTGACTGCTGGCACTTCGGGGTTTCACGAGAGCAAGGGTACACGAAGGACAGACACTTTTTGGGGAATGTACTGCTAAGGACACGCATCATCAAACCCGCGGCCCCAAGGGCCAACTCGGCTTTGATAGCATGTATAGTATGCAAATCTCGGCTCGCTTCCACTTCCAACCCCACAAGACTCCTTCTTCCTGCCCAGAGCTACTCCCCCGGATGAGTTTTGGACCACTCCTCCAAGGGGACAGTATCCACGAGAAGACCTTTGGTTCCATTTGGAGGGTAGCGCGATCCAATCACTTGGGTTGCCTTGATGGCCTTGCGGATCTTTTCGAGGTCCTCTTTCGTGATCTTGACCTTGAGAGCGTCCAAGTTTTCATCAAAGTTCTTGATTTTTGTCGTCCCCGGAATGGGGATGATATCATCACCCTGAGCGATCAAAAATGCAAGCACGAGTTGACCTGCTGTGCAGCCTTTCTCATGAGCCAAGGTCTTCAAATCCTCGACCAATTTCAGATTCTTGGGGAAGTTTTCTGGGCTGAACCGGGGCATAAACTTGCGGAAATCGCCTTCTTCAAAATCCGCTGGACTCTGGACGCTCCCGGTCAAGAAGCCTCTGCCCAAGGGGGAATAGGCGACTGTTGCAACCCCAAGCTCTCGACAGGCCTCGAGAAGACCAAATTCCTCAATCTCCAACGAGAAGGGGCTGTATTCCATCTGCACAGCATCGATATGTGCCACCTGTTTCCAAATCAGCAACTTGACATATTGACGTAGGATCGCAGAAGCAGGATTTGGAGCTGGAGCTGAGGGTACGCACCTTGCATGCCCTGCGGAGAGTGTCGGCACTACACTCGCTAAGACCCAGGTACTTGATTTTGCCTGCGTCCTGCAACTCCTTCATGACTTTCACTGTGACCTCGATGGGTTGGTCGGCTTGGATTCGATGGCAATAGTACAAATCGATCTGGTCGATGCCCAACCTCTTCAGGGATTTGTCGACAGCCTTCCGGATGTAGTCCGGTTCATTGTGAATTTGTCGCTCTCCGGTTTTAGGATCGACATAGTTCGCGAACTTGGTAGCCAGGAAGATGTTCTCTCTAGCGCCAGGATTTCTCTTGAACCAGCGGCCTAGTAAATCCTCGCTATCCCCGTAAATGTCGGCAGTGTCCCAGAAGAGATCGCCCGACTTGTATACATGATCGAGCACTGCGTATCGTTCCTCGTCCGGCTTGGGAGTGCCGTAAAAGGCGCTCAGGCCCATGGTGCCGTAGCCCAGGGCAGTGACCTGTGGGCCATTTTTGCCGAGCTTGCGGGTGGGAAGCTTAGGGAGTGCCATGTCAAAGACGGCGACTGATAGGAAGCTAGACTTTCCTGGGGGGTATTGAAATGAGGTAGGGCTATAGACAAGGATCAGGAATGGGATTGGGGCATGGAGAGTCTGGGTATGCTGCTTGTGGTCAAGCAAGGTATTATATACCCATTGACGAGGGGTTGAACCGTGCCGGTGCACTCCGTCTGTCTCGGACTTAAGATTCTCCTTGTTTTGTCCGGCCCAGTGATGTCACGACAGGTTAACCGACCACCACTGCTGCGACTCGAACTCTCCCACCATCTGCCGTGCGGCCGCAGACGCCGCATAAGTGTCCAGCACAGGGGCAATTGCTGCCTCCGGCCTGTGACATTGTTGACAATTTACAGCAGCCGCTCCCCTGACCTCGAAAATTTACGGACTACCTGTTTAAATCCATCCCACTCGATTCCCCACAAGACGGGACCGCATCTTGTTTGGCACTCCTGGGACTTATCTGGGTCGGTCTATGGCTACCCTATACGGCGCCAGTTCTATATAGCCTACGACGTTTTGATCGCGATAGATATACTCCGTACACCAGGGGCGGTCAGTGCAGGATACTTATAGGAGTTCTGGACAGATGCTTAGTGGCCTGCAACGTCAAGCTGAACAACCGGACCTGCTCTGTATGGTAGCGAGTGGTGATGATCTGACTGCTGGGGCAAGGCTGTATTCTTCAAGGATGACTGTCCCCCGTTTTTGAGATTACAAGAAGGCAAAGTCTTAGCCAATGCCTTCAACATGCAACAGCCCGTCGAGCGACTGCTGCTGCTCAGGAAAGGGGTGGAATCTCATATACTTTGGGCTCTTGAGCATCTTCCTGGCTATCAAAGATGCCTGTGCAAGCTCACCCTCCTCAGTGAGATACTGGAGACGGTCTGGGAGGGTTGTTGCGAGTCTGCTTGAAAAGCATGGGCTAAGGCTGGGTGCCAAAATACATGGCGGATTATACGGCGGTCCTTCTATTAAGTACCTAGGTAGATAGTTGCTGTCTCTAGACATGGAATTTCAATACTAGAAATAGGAGAATTTCTCTAGGGAGGCCGTAGAGTTTATCAAGTATCTTAGAAAGATAATTATCTGGTAGAGCTGGAGGGTTCTCTAATCCTGTCGAAGTCGTAGTAAGATAGACCGTCTTTAATTCTGGCACCCACCCTAAGGCCTGCTACCCCCAATCCCCTTTACCCAAGCATAACGCCTTAAGCCTGTGCGCGCATCCTTGAGCGTAGGGGGCATCCGCATGGATCCTGTGTTGGATGAGTACCTAGGGACATGTGTGGCTCTACTTTCCGACCATATGTGGGCAAAAGAGTGACCATGTAGAGATCGGCATTCATGTCGTTATCATTGTTTGCGAGCTATTTGCGTAGCTCATAAGGACATGAAATCTATCTATCTGAACTTGGCTTAGCGCAGCCTTTTCATGTGACCATGCCTTTATCAGCACCCATGCTCAGTCGAGAGAAGCAAGTACAAGAGGCATGGCAACAAAGACCACTAAAGAAATCGTTGATTGCAAGAACGCATGTACCACGGAGCTCCTATCAGATGGAGATGATCCACAATCCCTTTTGAAAGAACCATGAAACCCTACTTCTGAGGGAATCCATGACCCGCCACGAAACAGTCAACAGATGACTATTTCATCGTTCCTTACAGTCATCTATTTCTTTGCGCCGGCCTTCTGGGCAGCCTTTGTGACTTTACCAGTAGCCTTATCAGCCTAGAGAGGTTGTTAGCATCTGAACAGATGTTGGAAGTTGTGGGAGAAACATACCTTGACGACGGACTTGATGACACCGACAGCGACGGTCTGACGCATGTCACGGACGGCGAAACGACCCAGGGGTGGGTAGTCGGTGAAGGCCTCAACACACATGGGCTTGCTGGGGACCATCTTCACGATGGCAGCGTCGCCGGACTTGATGAACTTGGGGTTGTTCTCGATGGACTTGCCGGTACGACGATCGATCTTCTCGAGGATCTCAGAGAACTTGCAGGCAATGTGGGCAGTGTGGCAATCCAAGACTGGAGCATAGCCGGCACCGATCTGACCGGGGTGGTTGAGGACGATGACTTGAGCGTTGAAGGACTCGGCACCCTTGGGGGGGTCGTTCTTGGAGTCACCGGCAACGTTGCCACGACGAACCTCCTTGACGGAGACGTTCTTGACATTGAAGCCGACGTTGTCACCTGGAACACCCTCGGCGAGCTGCTCGTGGTGCATTTCGACGGACTTGACTTCGGTGGTGACGTTGGCAGGGGCGAAGGTGACGACCATACCGGCCTTGATGACACCGGTCTCAACACGACCGACGGGCACTGTCCCAATACCAGAGATCTTGTAGACATCCTGGAGAGGGAGACGGAGGGGCTTGTCGGTGGGACGAGCTGGAGGGTCGATGGCGTCAATGGCCTCGAGGAGAGTCTTGCCGGTGGCCTTGCCGGCCTTGGACTCCTTCTCCCAGCCCTTGTACCATGGGGCGTTGGTGGAGACGTCGATCATGTTGTCACCGTTGAAGCCAGAGATTGGCACGAAGGGAACGGTCTTGGGGTTGTAGCCGACCTTCTTGATGAAGTTGGAAGTTTCCTTGATGATTTCATTGAAACGATCCTCAGACCATTTGGTGGTGTCCATCTTGTTGATGGCGACGATGAGCTGCTTGACACCGAGGGTGTAGGCAAGCAGGGCGTGCTCACGGGTCTGACCATCCTTGGAGATACCGGCTTCGAATTCACCAGTACCGGCAGCAATGATGAGAATGGCGCAGTCGGCCTGGGAAGTACCAGTGATCATGTTCTTGATGAAGTCACGGTGACCAGGGGCGTCGATGACGGTGACATAGTACTTGGGGGTCTCGAACTTCCAGAGAGCGATATCGATGGTGATACCACGCTCACGCTCGGCCTTCAGTTTGTCCAGAACCCAGGCATACTTGAAGGAGCCCTTGCCCAACTCAGCGGCTTCCTGTGGTGTTGGTCAGCATACCGCCCTTCTGCGTCTAAGGTTGCGTCACGTGAGCGCTGTACCCCTCCCCCACCAAAGAAATTTTGCCAGGAGAGGCGATAAGGCCACGGTGACTGTAAGGAAGGGAATGAAGTCCACGTACCTTCTCGAACTTCTCGATGGTTCGTCGGTCGATACCACCGCACTTGTAGATCAAGTGGCCTGCACATTTGTGAGTGTGTTGTTGCGGCATGTCTTGTTCAGCTTCCTCTTACCAGTAGTGGTCGACTTGCCAGAGTCGACGTGGCCGATGACGACGACGTTGATATGAGTCTTTTCCTTACTGCAGGAGAAGATAACATGTCAGCGATGCTCATTGATATCAATTTTGGGTTTTTGAAGCCAGCGATTGTGTCGAGCGCAGGCGGAAGGATTTGCTTACCCCATGGTGACGATTTGGTTGATTTATTGAGGTGAAGTCTTGTAGTTCTGTGGCAGATACTAGAAGAATCCAGATGAATGCTCAGATACCACGGCTTGCGTAGAGGTGCTGAGATTCGATTAGTGGTGATGGAAAAAGTGTAGGGGAGGGATGAAGAACTCACTGAGCGACGAGGGAGAGAGAATCGCAGGTGGTGGAGTGTGCGGAAGATTTTGTAGGCTGCGACGGCCGACAGGGCTTGGCGTTTTTATGACTTGGTGACTTTGCCTTGCGGCCCAAGCCCCACCACAGTGCCCGCTTGTTGCTGGCCAACTCCGTCACCCGGTCGGGCTTCAGCTACCATTGGAGGGGCAGTATCAGAAGCTCAGGCCAGAACTGCTGATAGATTCGCCCCCGAGCAACCACATCCAATTGGGAATTTGGGAATTTTGGGGCGCGCTCAAAAATTTGTTCTCAAGGCTGTCGTAGTTGTGGCGACCATACTGTGCATCCGACTTTATCCACAGGAACGAGTTACATTATATTTTCCAGATGTGCTTTGCCCCAGGGCCTGCTACGGAGATCTATCGCCGTAGTAGAGTAGACATGATTGATACCATGTCTATCTCTGGTCACCTATTCAGCATTTGGTCGAATCTACTCTGAAGGCTCTTCCTTCCTCCCCGTATGAACATGTGCATCTCGGACCATGAATCACCCGATCCATGAGACTGGCATGTATAGTATTAGGCCATCTCCTTCAGACGACACCTGGCAGTTACTTAGTACTGCTGCTGGTGTTTGAGTCATTCGAAGGCAAAATGCGCCTGTTTTTGGTGGCGGTTTTCAACAGCCTTTCTGCCTGATTTCTCTTTCTCTGACTCAACTAGTCCTCCACCCTAATTCCAGGTTTCTTTCGGAGTCATTCTGGAGGTGGAGATGGAAGGAGACAGTGCGACTTCCGGCGGCAGATGTGGAAGCTACCACATAGCGGCGACTGGAGGTAGGCATGTGTGTGCGATACGGCGTTTCATGCGCTGTTTCGGTCGACATATGTAATGCAAACTGTAGACGACCGAACAGAGTGGGGGAAGATGTCTATCCTTGTAGTAGGATAACGTGCGCGACGGGCCTAGTATTCTCTCCATTGTTTCTTGCATTTGACACACTGTAGGGTGTTAGATGTAGAATGGTTGCGCAGGATAATGGACATACCCTGTAGAAAGAAGTTGGCGGCTCGTCTGCGCTTCTGGTCTGAAGCTGATAGAAAGATGCCAGCTTAGAATCGCACTCTTCTTTCGGACAGCCTCCAGGAACTGGTAACAACCGTTAGCTGTTGGCCCGCTGTGGTTTTCCTCCGTTGCCGCTGAGACTGTACCTTCGACGGTTGGCAGATCGGATTGCTCCTCGCCCATAATATCATCCAGTTGTTTCTTTTTCATATAGGTGCGTTCGTAGTATTGTTGGTCAAGGACGAACTGATAGGGACATGTTCGGCAGGTGAAGGCATTGAGACCTTGAGGGTGTTGACGAGTCCCAGGTGCCCGAGCGATCGTGAGAGAGTTGGAGCAATAAGGGCAGACTGTACAAGACTGTTAGTGCGCCCTTTACAGACTTCCTTGGTTACTCACATGTTGGAGCCATCGTGAAGAGCACACCAAGTACCTTTAACACGGCGCCCCTCGTCCGAAATCTCGAGGTTGTGACGCTGGAATGTTCAACGGCGCATCCAGTAAAACTGCCAGTGGCAGAGCAGAGTTCAAGGCTTGATGAGTGCCAGCCAAATGGCTCACCGTATAAGGAAGGGTACGTCACTCTACCGTGGAGCACAAGGAAGCTTGCGAAACTAGGTAGGCTGCGTTTCCCGTAACGCTACGGAGCAGATACATTGGCGTAGCTAGTATTACATACAGTGATGCCAAGCGAGCTGAGCTGCCTGCTTGAGGCACCATTTACCAGTTGAGTATTCTCTTCTTGGACTGGATGTCTAAAGCTGAATGTACGGCGACGTAGCCCCGCGGTCAAGGCGCAGGCAAGGCTGAGGATCATGGCATGCCAGTGGTGGTCCACTGCGGGAAGGCGGCCTTGGCGAGTTTAGAGAGATCAAGGCGCAGCGCAGCGAGGGGGTTCGCGTTGACACGACGCAGACATTCATTGACCGTACCTGAAGGCTTTGGCTTTGGCTAGAACATTGGCTCCAGGATTTTTTAGTTGTTAGGGTATTCTGTTCACTCCCAGCCTGAAGCCGAATCGCTATCTCCTCCACCACTGGTTTCAGATCTGTCCTCGTTGAACGTCACCTTCACCAATAAGCCACTACGCCTCGAGGTCTTGACAAGCTTGTTTGATTGTACAGCCTAGATCAAATTCCCACACGCGGCCGGTATGGCTCAGGCCGATGTGAGTATCAGAAGCCCTTTCCTAGACCTATCCTGACAGATGTACAGGGTGCATCGCCGAAGGAGCAAATACTGGAAGCCTGCCGGAGGGACAATGTGGAGCTATTCCATGAAGTGTTGAACGAATTTCAAGCCAAGAGCAAGGAGGAGATAGCAGAATTCTTCAACACTGTCACGGACACGATGGGCAACCATCTGTTGCATGTATGCGCGAACTACGGAGCATGTAAGTGCTGTACTGGAAATGTCCCAGGACTCCTAGACTGACGGTCTACTCAGATGACGTTATGGATGAGCTACTGAATATCGAGTACCTCGAGTGCGATCCTTTGACAAGGAGGGACAAGGAGACACCCATTCATTGTGCGGTCCTGTATGCCAACGAACGAGAAGTTGAACTAGGGGAAGCTATGGCGAAGATGTTGATCGAGGCTGGAGGCGATCCCAGAGTGAAAGACCGACACGGCAGGAAACCTGCAGAGATATGTACTCCCCGGACTGAGGAGCTCCGCAGCATTCTGATCAAGGAAGAATATGCCCTCAACGAAGGGCTCAAGCATACCAATACACAGTCGGAGGAGGACGAAGACGAAGCTGACGCCGGATCAGCGTCTGATTCGAATTAATCCTACCACCTACGAGTCTGATGACTCCGGAGTCAATTCGGGCCCCTCTCAGCATTACCCGGCGACTCTCTGCCAATGCTATACCTGCCGTCGGCGGCCGCGTAGCTCCCTGGCCTCTTTGACATGGCCATGCCAAATGCTGCGGGCTCACCACAATCCTAGTGAATGCTCATTTCGACAAGCTCCACGGAGGATAGGGATGGGCAATACTGATAGGTGCTGTGCCATATCACTTTTAAGGCACACCACTCCAGATGTCAGCTTACAGATACACCATGGAAGGCGTGCAATGACAGTCCCCCAGCTGATCTGCCTTGACCTGCGGCACGGGCTTTCATGCGCCTGGGGAACCCATAATCGTGGGGACATGACACCTCTTATACCTAGCATCAACGTAAATGACGATGCGTCCCTTGCCGTCAATTAAGCCTGCATCTTCTCCATCTCCTCCTTTTCTTTGGCCTTCACCGTTGCCCTCCAAGAGAAGGCTAGGCCTATGGCAAGCAGCACGCCCAAGCTGTCGAGTCCAATTCCCAGGTACCACGCTCCTCGAAAGCCGTGCAACTGGTCCGCCCCGCCGGAGTTGACCTGAACCTCCACCGTACCCGCCATGCCCAAGCCGATGGAAATGCTGTAATTAACGACGGTGTTGACCAGAGACGCCGCAAGGCCTTGGTGCTCCGGGGGCATGTGGTTCGACAGAACGATGACACTACTAGGGAAGCTCATGTCCATACCCCAGCAAATGATGATTGTCGCCACAAAGGCCTGAGCCCAATAGGTCTGATGGACGGGCATGGTTGCAACCAAGATTGTGCCAACCAAGAAGGCCAGCATACTAGCCACCATGATCAGGCCCGGTTGCACTGTAGCGATGAGGTGGCCGGTTGTGATGGCTGCAATAGCGCCCGAGATGGCGATTGGGGCGATCTGAGCAGACGACAGTAATACAGTCAGGCCGCGTTCAAGCTCGAGAAATTGCCTGACACGTAGGTAGATGTTAGCCAAGCAGAGAAAAAAAATACGACATGGAAGACACGTCTGGGAAAGGAAACTCCAATTCCCTACCAGAAATAAAAGGTCCAGATGCCGAAAGATGCCCAACCGGCGGACAGGCAGCCGAAGACCAACCTGGTGTCTGTGGTGAAAGCCGACGTGGGAACCAGCGGGAACGCCGCCTTCGTTTTTTCATACCAGGAAAACACGGCTAGGAAGAGCACGCCGACGATCAGCAGGACATAGACATAGACGTTGTCCCAGCCTGCAGCTGGACCTTGGTTCCAGGCGAAATTGAAGAGAATCAGGCCGACGACGCCGAGGAAGGTGCCCACGGCGTCCGAGTCCTGCCAGCCAGGCTTGCCACCGGCCACCGGCATGCGAGGCACGACGAAGATGGCCGTGACTCCGGCCAGAGCAGAGACCATGCCGAGGACCCAGTAGGCCCAGGGCCACCAGACGAGCTCGGCGAAGATGCCGGAGAAGACGGCTCCAAGAACGAAACCTCCAGGGGCGGTGGCGCCAAAGACACTCAGGATCATATTCTTCCGTGGGCCGGGCGGGTATGTGCGGCTCAAGATGGCAATGCCGTTGGGAAGCAGCAAGGCCGGCCCAATGCCTTGCATGGCCCGACAGAAGGCGAAGAAGACCAACGAGTGCGAGAAGGCACTGAACCCGGCGACCGCCGACCAGACGGCCATCCAGAAATACCCAAACACAAACAACTTCTTGTGGCCATATAGATCCCCCCAACGGCCCGCCGGTAGGATCCACGTACCCACGGTCAACGAGTATGCGGCAGGCAGCCAGGAAAGCTGGCCCGGGTTGGTGGTGTTGAATGTCTGGCCGATGATGTGGAGAGGTGCAATGGAATGGGCCAACGCTACCTGGGTGAGCAGCTGCGCGAGGCTGACGATAGCCACAAACAGGATTTCATGCAGGAGAGAGAATTCGGGCGGTTTGGTGGCCGTCGGCACTCGAGACACCGTTGGTGCCAGGCTCGGACCTCGCTGGAGGGAGGAGGCCGGCGCCGTCTCATGGCGTGCAAGATCTGTGCTTTGTCTTGTGATCTTGTTGTTTGGGACGGCCAGCCCGTCGGACCCGTCGCCGTTGTCATCGCCGTCGATGGTCGAGGTTGATGTAGGTCTCTGGGCAAGGGTGCCTGCGGACTCTGGATATTGCCCTGTCCTGCCGTGTGGTTCATGAAGCGCGATATCCGAGGAGCCCGGTAGCTCTTGTGATGCAGACTCTCCTCGCATTTCTGGCATTGGTGACCGATCGAACCCTCGACTCCAAAACACCTAGTCCAATGCCCACGACACACCTCCCCTCGTGGCGACAGAAGATGCCCTTTGTGCAACAACGCAAGATATCAAAGAGATAAGGGCCGAAGAAAAGGTGAATAGAGAGATATATTGGTTTCGATTTCCCTGGTGGTATGAAGTCTGTTCCTGCTCTTAGTACAGCCACGACGAGTAAGTGAGCATCCCCACCTATAAGGCTCTATTGCTCCAGGGGCTGGCTAAGGCCCACCTCGCATGATTAATCGCATATCACGCACCAACGGGGAGCATCAAGAGAAACAACATGGTGATGGGATAAGCCGACGTACAATCCTGACCGATGCGTCTCTACCGAGGAATCAAGGCCGCGTCGGCTCGCTCCCTCGGCTCTATCGGACGATGCAGAGTTTGATTTCGCCACAATATCACCACTCTCATCATTTGCACAGGCCACGGCGCCGCAAGGCTGGATGGAGCATGATTATCCAACCAGGATCCACAGCGCGTAGCCCACGCTCCAATGCGGATCATGTTCCGCGCTGCATTTTGGTTTCTTCATAAGCGCAAGCTGTTGGTTTGACTGGGTCAATAGTGAAAGTGAAAGAAACTGTAGATGATGTAGATGATGTGGCGATGTGGTATATTTATGTATGTAACACCCACCACCTGCAGGTCACTTTCGAATAGCAATAACAATATTGGCCTGTTTCAAGCCCGGTAACGCGCCGCAGCCACCCAAGTCACAAGTCCTACCAGCAAGTATAACCTCCGTCGACAATCTAGATATGATCATGGTCATGGGTCAACAAGCCAAAGCTATCATTGGGTTGAGAACAGGCTCGTCACTTACCACATCACTTCCATTCAAATAGCTGGACGCGTCCGAAGCCATCCAGACAATCGTGCCTCGTAACTCGTGTGGCTCTGCCATCCTCCCCATTGGAATATCCTTCTCCCACGCCCCGACCAGCCCTTTACCTTCATGCTCCAACAGGCCCTTGATCAGATCCGTCATCATGTATCCAGGACTGAGGCTGTTCACTCTGATGCCCCTTGGAGCCCACTCGGTAGCCAGACTCTTGGCCAGCATCTGCACAGCACCTTTCGAGGCGTTGTAAGCAGCCTGTTTCTGCGGCCGGACACAGATGGTGGCTGACATGCTAGCAATCAGGATGATGGACCCCTGGATGTTGTGCTTGAGCATGTGTCGGCCTGCCTCGCGTGCAAACAGCCACGTCCCATCCAGGTTCACATCTAGCATCTTCCGCCATCGCGCGTAGTCGTAATTCTCGGCCTCGACATTGTCGACAATCCCCGCCGCTGTCACAAGGACGTCGACCTTGCCAAAGTCCTTCACGATTCGAGCCCATGTTGACGTGACGTCGGATTCGATCGTGGCATTGCATTCGTATGCTCGCAGTTGCGGGGCAGGGTCGTTCGGATACGCCGACTGGACGTGCGAAGCTACCGAAGAGATAGAGGCTTCACAGTCCTGGAGAGACAGGTCGACACAAGCTCCCCGAGCGCCAGACAGAGCAAATGCAGTGAGGAACTCCTTACCCAGGCCTCTTGCAGAACCGGTCACGACACAGGTTTTATCTTCGAGAGAGAACTGTGGTAATGTCCGAAGCGTCCGCGTGTATGCCGGGCCCATGATCCTGTAGCCCGCCGGCAACACTCTAGATGGGCGTAGAAGGAGACGGAAAGTCATTCTGATGTGGTTGTGGTTGGGGCTGGAGGATTGCACTGTTCTCGATGTGTACCTACCTACTTGTCATCTTTCGTCATACCAAGCGCACTTTAAGAAGCCGGCTGAAGAAGCTTTTGTGTCACCCACGACTACATGCCATGCCGCGGGGAGAGCTCAGAGCTCGCTGATGTCTGGGACAAACACCTGTCGGGTCATTTTGTGCCGTGGGAGGCAATTGACAGGAGGGGGAGGTTTGCGGGGTCCCCTGATCCCGTCAATAGTGGTGGTGAGGACATAGCGCAGGGCTGGTGAGAAAAGGGTCTGAGCGACGGCAACGGCACTCGCTTCTCGCTTCGAACTTGGACGAGTGCATCAGACTCTGCAGGCCCCAGGGTGCTGACACCAGCATCCACAAGTGCCTGCTCGTCCTTTTGACCCCGTATCCATACGCCGTAACCAAATCTGCAGCCGGCGCCGCTAACAGAGCTTCGAGGTCCAAGTTGGGGGCCGTTTTGGCGCAGCCGCCAATGTGCGTTTCAGCTCCAGCATCGAGGATGGCGGGCTCCAGCTCCAGCTCCAGCTCCAGCCGACCAATTTCGTGGGAGCCCCATTAATATTGACTTGCTGGCGTGGCTTCTGTCTGTTCTTCCTCCTCGTCCTCTTTCCATGCACCGGCAGACGGCGTAACCACACCCAGACAAGCCAGATCTCTGTGCACCCGTCCCCGAGCCCCAAAATGCTGTCGCTGCTAGACGTCCGCGACGACCGTCGATCCCGATCCAAATCTCCGGGTGGGCGCGACAGGGACCGGTCGAGATCCCACTCACGCGACAACCGCGGCTCAGCCGACCCAAGGGAGTCGAGACGGCACAGCAAGAAATACGCCGACCCTGAATCCGAGTCCGAGTCCGAGCCCGATCGCAGATACAAGGAAAAGAAGTCGAGCAAGAAGTATTACGAAGCGGATGAGGACGATAGCCGGCGCAGACAGGCTAAGAGTTCGAAGAAACATGCGGACGATAGTGACGAGGATGCTAGATACAGGGCCTACAAGGTAGGAGTGGAGCCTAGTAGACGCGATGTGTCTGTCTCGGACAGCGATGCCGGGAGATATGGGAGGTCCAAGAAGAAATCCGACAGCGATTCCGACCGGCGGCGCGAGAAAACCAGCAGGAAGCCCTACGCCCCCTCGGGAGACAGTGCATCGGAGGATGACCGGCGCAGATCCCACAAGGGTCGGAGCTCGTACGGTTATGCTGAGAGCCGACCTCAGGAGATTCGTCCCTCTAGCTATGTTGCACCTGATCCTCGGTATGCGCAAGCAGCCGCTCCGGCTGGATCGAGGTATGCCGAGCTGGACCGGTACCAGTATGCACAGCTAGGCAATGAAGCCTCTTACAGACACACCGAGAGCTCCAAGAGCGTCCCGGCTCAGTATGCGGAACGGAGACCAGAGTACGAGCGGTCGAGGCCGTCCAAGGACAGTGATCACAGCAGAGACAGTTACGCGACCCGCGAGCCCAAGGACAAACGATATTACGAGGACAAGTACGAGACACGAGAACCCAAAGGAAGGAAATACTACGACGACACTTATGAATCACGAGACAAGAAATATCGCGAGGACAAGTATGGCTCCTCGCCTGAGAACGTCACCAAGAGAATGTCCGCGTTGGCCGTCGGCGGAGCTACTCTGGGAGCTGCCACATTGGGGGTGGCAGGGCATAATTCTCACAACGGCGGAAGACCGCCTGCTTCGCCATTGCTAGAGGCGTATACGGGCACCTATCAGTCCGTGTCACCCATGCCGTCGCCATTGGCTTTGGCCAAGCACAAGAACGATTCCGATCTGTCTGATCTAGAATTGGACCTGGATGATGATGATGACTCCCGCGCGGACATTAGGCGCAACATCCGGCAGCTGGAGAAGGAAAAGGAGATGCTCAGTAAAGACCAGAAAAGGAGCAGTGCGCAGGAAGTACGGCCGCGCGGGCTCTCTAGCCTCGAGACGACGACGAGTTTTGAAATCCGCGAGCCAGGCGGTAAGCGAGAGCGCGCCAGCTCCAACGTGAGCGTCTTGTCTACCGCAGGCGGTGGCAACGGCGGCAACGGCAGCGGGAGGAAGAAGACCGTGTCATTCTACGACCCGACCGACGACGCAATGCGCATCGCTGCGGCACTGTCCGGCACGCGCAACGCCCCCGATCCCCGACCATTGATCCAAATCCTCCCGTACCTGTCGTCCGACGACCTCTTGGCCCTGCGGGCCGAGTACAAGAACTACGCCAAAGTCGGCGGGCAAGGGATCAACATCGCGAAGCATATCAAGATGCGAGTGCCGGGGAATCTGGGCAAAGCAGCGTATGCGACGGCGCTGGGCCGGTGGGAGAGCGAAGCGTACTGGGCCAACTCGTGGTACCAAGGCGGGGCGTCGCGGCGGGAGCTGCTGATCGAGAGCCTGATGGGGCGGACGAACAGTGACATCCGCGAGATCAAGAACTGCTTCAAGGACAAGAAGTACAGCGACGACCTGGAGAAGTGCATGCGCACCGAGCTAAAGGCGGACAAGTTCCGGGGCGCCATTCTGCTGGCGCTCGAGGAGCGGCGCATGCCCGAGTCGACGCCGCTCGACATCCGGCTGATCCGCGACGACGTGCAGCAGCTGGCGCGCGCGCTCGACTCGTCCGGCGGCGAGAGCGACATGATCAAGATCATCGTGGTGCGCAGCGACGCGCACCTGCGCGAAGTCTTGCGCATGTTCGAGCGCACGTACCGCGTCAACTTTGCCCGGCAGATGATCTCCAAGTCGCGCAACCTGGTGGGCGAGACGCTCGCCCACGTGCTCAACGGCGCCCTCAACCGGCCCATGCGCGACGCCATTCTGCTGCACCAGGCCATCAGCGAGACCGCGCCCGGTAAGGAGCGCACCGAGCTCCTGATCTCGCGGCTGGTTCGGCTGCACTGGGAGCCGAAGCACCTGGAGAAAGTCAAGGCCGTCTTCATCGATCGCTACAACCGTCCCGTCGAGGAGGCCATCTCGCGCGATGTCTGGGCCCACATGAAGACCCCCGAGGGCCGCCTCTGCGCCGAGTTTTGCGTCGCCTTGGTCCAGAGCAGTGTGCCTGATCGGGCCAGGTCATGAGAGATGGAAACGTTGTTATTTTCCTTGGCCTGACCAGTACCTTTCTTTGCCTTGCCTGACTAGTATCTGTACGGAGTGGAGTACTCGCCACGCCAACCAGTTGCTCAGGGTGAAAGTGAAAGCTATAGGTATATGGTACCTGGTGCCTTTCTTTGCCTTGCTTGACTACTATCTGTGCGGAGTACTCGCCACGCGAACCATGTGGCTCAGGATGAAAGTGAAAGTGAAAGTTATAGCTATATGGTACCTGGTCCCTTTCTTTGCCTTGCTTTCCTTTGTTGATACTGGTAACCTGACCCTATAGATGCAGCCTTAGGCTGCTGAGCAGGTAAAGCCTGAGGGAGGAAGGGGGGGAAGATATTGATATTGAAGTTTAGTTGGTTCAACCGGGCACCAAGGTTCATAGACGGTGGCCTGAGCCATCTATCCATCTATCTGTCGACATCCTGTATGCCCATGCGCATGCGCAGGCGCAGGCACAGGCACAGGCGCAGAACGAATCCATTCATCCAACATAACATTAGTACGGAGTATACATTACTTATCGGTGATCATGCATGGGCCATCTAGGTAGAAGCGGCGTATCTCTATGTATCTAAATGATCCTGATCTTGGTCCACACGTTGTCTCCTCCCAGATAACGCCGTGCCATGGAACTCTGTCTATCATGGTTCCTGGTCTGGTTCCTGATCTCACTCACCCAACGCCATACAGTCCATCGTCAATGCGAGTTGAGAGTCATCTAGTCTAGTCTAGTCTTGTACTGCGGCGCCCGGTCAAAGAACGCCGTGATTGAGCCTCCCACAACGGCGCCCGGTCAAGGAACCGTGATCGAGCCTCCCACAGCAATTCATCCTTCAAACACGTCGTGGTTCATCTCGATCCCATAGTCCTTGGCCATGCGCCTCATGTGCTGCTCCACGTCGTCTTCGAGTCCTTTGCCTCTTCCCACCGCCTGCTTCAACTTGCTGTACCAGAAGTAGAGGTCACTGGCAAACAAGACAAGCTTGAACAGCAGGTGACTGCCAAAGTACTTCCAGCGCTCGCGGAAAGAGAGGTTGCGATCCTCTGCCAGTGCCCGCGACGCCCAGTTGCCCGTGATCTTGATCCGGTTGACAGGGCTGCCGAGGTACTGGTTGTTGCCCTGGACAATGCGCATGTTGCGGCCGATGAAGATGAGCTCGCGAGGCCACTTGGTCTCGTCGCCCAGGATCTCTTTGATGCCCTTACGCATGGCCTGCTGCATTTCGTACTGTCGCCGCTTCCTCTCGTGCTCACTGACCCCCTTGATCCGCGTCGCCACAGTCAGGTCGCCGCCTTCGTACGGCCGCATCAGAGTAGCAGACGCAAAGACATCCGAGTTGTTGATCCCCCACTGACTCACAATCTCTTGGAGCGTCTTGTTGTCGAATGTCATCAGACTTTTCCAGAACAGGCAGTATTGGTGTCGAAAGGTCGGCGACATCTGGATGTACAAGCCGTGGTCGATCAGGACCAGTTCGGAATGCCCATCCGCGCGTCGGCGGATGAAGATGTTGCCCGGATGAGGGTCACAATGGACCCATCCCCAGAGGAACAATTGGGCCGAAAACAGATCAACCATCGTGGTCATGACTTCCTTCACATTGAGACCGAGGCCGCCTTTGCCGTCCGCACTTTTCCAATATGTCCTGTCCGGCTTGATTTCTTGGTCGAAGCCGCGGCCCGTCTGTGGTAGAGCGATTGGGGGAGTCCCGGGGGGATCTAGTGGTGTCCCATGGCAGCCTGGACTGCCGGTTCGCCAGCCGCCTCGCCATGGCCGAGTGATGGCCTCTTTGTCCCAGAGCCGGACGCCTTCTATCCACTCTGCCGTCATGACACGTTTGGTGGTGAGGTCATCGTAGACCTTGGGGATGTAGACCCTGTCGCGTAGTCGTGGCTCGCCTCTGACGCACTCGGCCATCTGCTTCGAGTTGTTGGCCTCATTCTCAAAATCGCATTCAAGCAAGAGCCTCTCGGTGATGTAGGGGACCAGAGCGTAAAAGGGCAGATCAAACCACCACGAGTAGATTTTGGTGACCACCTTGAAAGCCCACAGATCCCATCCGACTTGATGGGCAATCTCCTTCTTCTGAATCTTGATCGCCACCTCCCGGCCGTCCTTTAGTCTGGCCCAATGCACTTGAGCGACACTGGCACTGGCTCGCGCTTTTCTCTCCATGACCCCCGCAGTCGGATCGCCGTCAAAGGAGATGCCGAACACCTCCTCGGGAGTGCGACCGCCGAAGTCCTCCATGATGACCTGGCGCACATCTGCCCACTCGTTCTGCGGCGCGTCGTCAAACATTCTGGCGAACATCTTCTGGAACTCGGGTGGGAGAATGGCCGTTTGCATAGCGATTGCCTGCCCAAGCTTGAGGTAGAGCCCGCCATTCGTGCGTAGGAGTTCGAACAACCTGGCAGCATTTCGGGCGTGCACTTCTGTGATGTCGTTGGCAAAGAAAGGTTCCTCCCGAAAGTTGATCTTGTAGTCGAGTGCCGCCGTCAACCCTACGGCAAATGTCCGCGCGCACCGTGTGAGGCTAGATGCGTAATATCTCCTGTCCAGCACATATGCAATTGCCCCGAAGACAGTCACGTAGGCAAAGCGCCGTAGCCATTTTCTCGTCCTCTTGAATTGTTTTGCAGGGACTGCTTTTCCCAGAGAGGCCGGAGTGGGAGGTACGAACGCAGCGCGAAGTTGGGCTTGAGAGAATGACCGTCGCTGCAGGGGACTGCGTAGGGGGACGACTCGAGGACTGCGCCTGGTGGAAAGGGTTTGGAGGCACTGGGTGCAGATGCGCCGCCCTGCAGAGGACATGACGAAAGGATCAACCAGGGAGAGACGACGAAACCGAGCGTTGGGCCGGCATTGGGGGCGGTGGAAGAACAGATGGATGCCTGGGAAGACGGCAGAGATTGAGAAATTTCCAAAGATGATGGATGACGATCGATCGCCGGGGCCGGGGCTTAAGGCCGGGAATCTCGACTTGGGGCCGAGATGGCGGATCAGGCTGGACAGAGGATGCAAGGCTCCGTCTTTCCCGTCATTTACAGCATCTTGCCACATTGTGTATTTATTAACACCATCATCCATCATCCATCATCCATCCTCTTCTTTTCCCGCACTATTAACGGCTCACCACAACCATCGGTAACAGTTGTGTCAGGTATTTCCTGTCATTGACACCAATCCCCATCGCCTTAACATGCCGTGGAGCAATAATTTGAATCAGCTCGGGTCATGGTCCCGCATGTTTCTCCGCCTCACTGTCCATTTACCTTCCCTTCACCCACATCCTCGAGCAATCTGAGACGCATCTTCAATCTCTCACCCTCATGTCTTGCCTGGACTCGTTCTTGGTCCACTTCAATCAAACGCCAGATGGCTCGTGCTTCATATCACTTGTTTCAAGGTACTCGATGAGTCAGGTTCGGTGATGAATAACAAATATGCTGACCAGCCTCCCAGGTATAAATATGAGCTCCTCCCCTCCAATGTTTCCTCTTTCTCTTCCTATTCCTCACAAGCATCAATGTCCTCCTGGGCTCATCCATCATCATCAGGTAAGTTCACCATCGACATCCTGTCTGGGCCTTGATCATGGCACAAGCTCATGCAAAACGCAGTGTTGAGGCAATTCCGCGGATTTTTCGACCATGGCATCATCCTCAGACAATCTCACCCATGCCTACCTCAAAGGTGTTACCACCATTTTCTTAAAACAGGATCGCTTACATGGTTCTTATCCCCAGAAATCAACATTACTCTGCCGATCATACCATTGCAGCATGGTTCGATTTTCTTCTCCACATCAGTTCTGCACACAGTACCACATTTTCCTTCGATCAGCCTGCATTCTCTGGCCATTGTGTCAGTGAATTGTGCTGCAGCCCAGCAAAGTCCACGAACATGTGTACTTTGGACATTCGACTCCGGGAATCTTCCTCACATGGTGGCCGGCGTGCCTCGCATTTCAGGATGAACGGAAGCGAACGGTGGCACAATCTTCTCTGACCTGGAAAGATACACTAGCAAGCGGCAGTTCGATTTTCAAGGATGGCATCGGTAGATGAGGCGATGCCTCGCACTTCTCCAGAAGATGCAAAACAATCGCAGCTCGACAGATACTTCGGGCAAGATGAACAATCTTTTTGGAGAGATGGAAGAGGCAGAACAATTCCGTCATTACGATGGAAGTTGTTATTCGTGGCGAAGTCGGACCGACACTGGACGCCACCTACTACAGCTTTCAAAACGATTACGAATTCAAAGATTCGAACATGAGTCGAATGCACCGGTGCTCGCTCGCACTCCGCTCTGACGGAGCTTGTCACAACCTCAATTTCCCAAGAGAGGGCCAGATTATACCGCACCGACTACTTCAAAGTTTGGCGCGAAACCCGCAAGGCAAACGAGACACAGGAGCAGCGAGAGGGAAGGAGACGTGTTGCACCTGGACCTGCGCAATGCTCATTTGAAGTCCACGGAAGATGGACGAGCCGAGATCAAGGCAGCCAAGGCCAAGAACAACAAGCTTAGGAGGAATATACGGGAGCAGCGAGAGGAAAGGAGACGAGTTGAGCTCGTTCATGATCGCAAAAGACGTGCTCATCTGAAGTCCACAAAAGATGGACGAGCCGAGATCAAGGCAGCCAATGCCAGGAACAGGCTGCCGCCGTGGCCGGAGATGGAACAACTCTCTTCGCCGGAACAGTTCACCCGTTCACCCGTTCGGACTCGGCATTTTCGACAATTGATCAGGAGATCCGCTGGCTTGATAATGCCAACTTCGCCACCGGCGATGTCTTGGAAGAGTCGGAGATGAAGAACGTCTGGCCCACGGGCGCTGCCCAGGGCGCTGCCCAGAGTCTGTACAATCACAACTGGAGGCAGAAAAGGATCGCGACCCAGACAGAAGAGGATGCTGAGAAGCAAAGAGCCAAGAATCGAGCAAAGGCCGCCAAACACGGTGCCAAAAAGCCATCATTGGACCCTGATTACGCGGAGAAAGTGTCAGCAGCCAACAAAGCGTGCCGGGAAAAGCATCGTGACGAGCTAAATGCAAAGAAACGAGAAGTCCGCGCAGCAAAGAAAGTCATCAACACCGCTAACAGCGCTAAAGGTCAAGGGTCACTTGATGGCTTCTTACGTTCGAACCAAGACAGCACTGGCAGGAAACAGATTCAGACTCTGGAGGCTCCCACATCATAAAGAGAGCCACTCACAGATATGACTGCAAAGGGAAATCGTCTACGAAATGCTCGCTGGAGACAGGCACTAGATGGCCGATGGCCACACTGAGAAGTACTGGGAATGGGAGAGGACTGACAAGGCAAAGTGAAGCTTGTAGCCGCCCAGGGAACATGTACGAATTCCATTGTGAGTTTAGAGCAGAGCTTCAACCATAGAGCCAATGTGGATTTCTTGTAGCATACAGTAAAACTCCTGGCCTCCTTCCTTCATCCTAAGCTATGGTGCTGCCAGCACGCATCCTACAACTGCCCCGGTCTAAGAGTCTCGGTAGCTCTCCTCATTCTTTTTATCACGGAGCACAGCGACGAGTAAACGTGTAAGTCGGCCACCCTCGTAACGGGCCACTCATCTAATAGAGCCTCAACCTCCTTCGAGTTAATACTCGAGCGATAACAACATCCTCTACCGCGATTCCTTACCTTTATCTCGCACGGTTTTCCTTTACGAATGTTTTTTATCCGACGAAAGAGAAGGACTATGAGGAAGATATACTCCGGCGGGGAGATTTAGGAACAATGTTGGTGCCATAATCTTCCGCAGAGGAATGCAGAGATGGTTGGCTTCCTGTGCGTGAGTAAAGCCACCGTTCAAGCCCCGTGTATCGAGCTCACAGATTGAATTGTGTCCGGAAGAGCCTCTAGGATACTTAAGAGACCATAACGCTGCAGAAATACAGAATGCACGGTTCCTACTTGACTTTTGTAAATCCACCTCTGCCGATCTACACGGTCTCAGTGCGGGCTCCCATCTACAGCCCGGGATGTTGCTCCTCTGTAGCTCTTCGTCCGTTCAATCATCTCCTTCCTGCCTCGCACGATTCTCCCTGTTAGCGACGACTGCAAATATAACGAGCTCCAGGAAAACGAAAGATTTTACTGTGCTGAAGGTTATACGAGGAAAATCAAAGCTTCCAGTTTCGAGGTTCAAGGAAAAGGACATGATGCAACAACAAGCAGCGAAGACATATCTGTTAGCCTTGGTCGGACTCAGGTTATTCAAGCCTCCACTTCGTACCCGGTCCTTCATCTACTCTCGCTTCCGCAAGAAGTTCGTAACAGAGTCTTCCAGAATATGGAGATCTCTGCCGATAATGATCCTAAAGAACTGCTCACAAGCCATAGGGTCGGTGGTCTAGAAAGTTTGCCGGCTGTTTATCGACAGTTATTCTACAACACATTAAATAACCGACATTAACTTATTGTCAAGGCCCCGCGCAACAGACTGCAGCTTCTTGTCGACCAAGCGCTCGGTACGGGAGCAGCCTACAGCAACATGAAGAGCCTAACGTTGGAGCTGCCGTATAGCAGTCGAACGTAGTTTTTGAGGAACCCTACTGTTATCGTCACTTGCTTGTATCTTTCTACTTATATCTGTCAGACGGTAGCGATCAATGCGACTTTCGGAAAGCCTTGGTCTTGGGCAATCCCTCCTCGAACTGGCAACGCCATCACCTGGCGCTGAACCAATCGTAAATTCTAGTTATCCTGCCGAACACATGCGGCCACACAAAGACCTCGATGTGAAATCTATCGAGGTCAAAGCCCGGAACATCTACTGGTTTTACAAGCAGGATCAAGGTATCAACTCGACGGACGGCAGCAGTCTAAGTCCTCTAGGTATCTGTTATACTATAGGTGCCTACTACATTCAAAATATCTACTAGAGTCTCGGTATCTGTTATATTGTAGGTGCCTACCATGTTCAAAGCAGCTACTAGAGTCTAGGTATTCGTTATATTGTAGGTGCCTACTATATTTAAAGTGACTGCTATATTCCATTTATCTATTATACTTCAGGTGCTCGTTCTACCTAAGTCGGCAGTAGTAGAAAGACAATATACTTATTTATTTTACTGCAGACGATGCCTATGAGGATCGAGGAGTTGCGAGAAACTCATAATGCCGTTGTCTCACCTGGAAGTGCTGGCGAGAATTGCTTCGGTGAAGTCGGGGCAATGATCCAGCGTCAATCATTAATCGGCGTTGGTTACTGTAGACAGTTGATTGCCGGCCACGCGCCCAAAAGGAGGAATTTGCGGCGACACCTCAGTTCGGCCAATGCGGAAGGGAGGCACGTACCTCCTCTATCCGTACCTCTGTATAGTATTACTTGGACGTAACTACGACTGCATGCTGTCGTTTGCTCAATTCCTCATCTGATATTCACCACACTGGCAAGGAGGTGCTTCAGTTCCGTTGGCTCTCAGTCTCAGAGGAAAGAGATATTCTATCCTCTCAACTCTCAACATGGCGCCACCGGCAGTGCTGATGGTAGGCACCGGAGAGTACACTACGGGCTTCGTTGCGGGCGCTGCGTCGACATCAGACAAGAAGGTGGGCGTGGTAGGATTGACGAGTAAGTGCGACCTATCCCTGACCTCTTGGTCTTGGTCTATGAATGTAATGAATATCATGCACGACAGCGCTCGTCTTGTGTTGAGACAGTCAAGACACTGGGACTGGGACTGGGACTGTGGCTGTGGCTCTGGCTGACCGTGGGAACGGCAGTGTTCGACCTCCGGCGGCGCGGCAAAGTCTCTGACCTCTCCATGGCCGGAGTGTCCGGGCAAAAATTCCCGGCCATCAGAGAACACCTTCGGCAGAACATCTCGCAGGCATACAACGGGCTGGACGTGTCGTTCCAATCGTTCCCCGCCGACGACCGGGCGGATGCGGACGCGTACAAGACGGCCATCGATGCGCTACCTCCCGGCTCCGCCGTGACCATCTTCACCCCCGACTCGACGCACTACGAGATTGCGCGGTACGCGATCGAACACGGCCAGCATGTGCTTCTGACCAAACCGGCGACGAAGCTGCTATCGGAGCACCTCGCGCTGCTCGCTCTGGCCCAGAAGCACCGGGTATTTGTGTACGTGGAGCACCACAAACGCTACGATCCGGCGTACGCGGACGCGCGGTTCCGCGCCCGTGGCCTCGGCGACTTCAACTACTTCTACAGCTACATGTCGCAGCCCAAGTCGCAGCTCGAGACGTTCAAGGCTTGGGCCGGCAAGGACTCGGACATCTCCTACTACCTGAACTCGCACCACGTCGATGTCTGCGAATGGATTGTGCGTGACGCCGGCTGGCGTCCCGTCACAGTTCGTGCCAGCGCCAGCCTGGGCATTTCCGAATCCGTCGGCTGTGCCAAAGGCACCGAGGACACCATCACACTGCTGGTTGACTGGGTGCTGCCGGAGACCGGTAAGGGGGACGGGGACAATGACGGTGATGGAGCCAGCCGCAAACGCGCCACCGCCATCTACACGGCCAGCTGGACCGCCCCGATGAACGCCGGCGTCCACTCGCAGCAACGGTTCCACTACGTCGCGTCCAAGGGCGAGGTCACCGTCGACCAGGCCAAGCGCGGCTACGACGTGGTCGACGAGTCTGACCGCTCGGGCAGTTGCTTGAAATGGTATAACCCGTTCTACATGCGCTACGCGCCCGACGAGGAAGGCAACTTCAACGGTCAGAGCGGGTACGGGTATGTGAGTTTCGAAAAGTTCATTGACGCCGTCACCGCCGTGAACGAGGGCCGAGTCAGTCTGGACGATCTCGACAAGCGCAGCCTGCCTACATTGAGGAACACTGTCCTCACCACCGCCATCTTGGAGGCTGGAAGGAGGAGTCTGGACGACGGTGGTCGAAGCGTCCAGGTTGTAGGAGAAGGGGACAAGGTCGAGTTGAAATAGTACCTACAGTAGCCCGAGAGAAGAGAAAAGGTGAAGCAGACACGGTCACGATCGATGCATATCTAGAGAAAGTACGGAGTAGTAATCTAGTTGATGAGAAGCCGCCTCGTAAGCCGCCGTCTACTTTGACACCCAGCGATGGCTCAGGCTTCGCATTTGGATACCCAGTAATGTTTGCTACCTCGTGAGCTAGCTGTGGAGGGACCGCAGTCCGCCGGCTCTACTGCATGTACCCTAAGTAAGGCGCTTCGTGTGACGATTGTCACAATTGTCGCCTGGCATGCCTGCATTCAAGTGGCTGAAAGGGACAGCAAGCTCTGCCTCGATGATCACGCTATTGCTGCGGGCAGGACTGTCTCGCAGTTTGTAGGTTACACGCTGTACAACCTGAGGTAGCCACCATGCAGCAGGGATCGCGGGCGGGCTTCCTGGAGGTAGGTGCTCATGTTAGTGACTTGGATATACATGCCGTTGCCATGATCTGATAGTCACTTGTCCAGTACAGAACCATGATGGTCCAGTTGGTAGAGGCTGACGGATAATGCAAAAGTTGGGGAGGAAACCCTGTTTGCAGACTAAGTCTCTCTTGATCGGCGTTCGGTTTGTACAATGCACATGGTTGTTGCTAGAAACAACGATCGGCCCAGGCATCCCGGCGGATTAAAAGGGTTCAGGAACAAAGTCGCAAAAGCCAAGATAGGTAAGTTGCTTGTCTAGAATTGCGACCAAGAAAACAGGGCAGCTGTGAGCGCCCCCGAAATCTTAGAAAAGTCTGGAATCATGCAACCTCTGGAAGTAACGTGTATTCGAGTAGTGGACGGCGCTGTGCGTTTGCAGCTGTACTCTGCCCAATATCAGTATATGGTGCTCGGCCCCGAGCTCACAAGTCAAGGAACTAGCCATAAGTTGCAGGCCTTCTTGATATTTGAGCCTGTCAGTACACAATGTGGAGTAATAGATCCCTGTCAGCCATCAGCCCTCAGAGATATAGACGGCGCGGCATGTCGTGCGTAGATTGTGCGGAAATGAGAATGGCATTGACAACGCTCGGCGCAGGAGCTCTTCACTTTCGACGCCGCAAGCCGCTCAATATTCCGTCGTCCGGGTCAGCCTGTGAAGGATCCAAGTGCTGCCTGCTTGAATTCATGACTCGCTGGTACAAGGGTGAGATCAGCGTTGTAGTCGGTTGTACAGTAACGTTGAGGCTCCAGACCTACTGGCCGCATTGTCAGCCTCTTGGACGGTGTAAGATATGCAGGGCGACGCATTCACCCACCGGCTCGGACTGGTTGACAAGAGAAAAGACGTCTAGACAGCAGCAAAGTTAGAGTTCCTGATAGGGCAGCTAGCATAGCCATCGGATGCACACCGGTCGGGTCATGAACACCCAGCGCACGAGTGAGGCCGGTGAGGGTGAGCGTGCGCCAGCCACGGGAGGAAGTGATTTGGTGAGCATCCATGGTGAGCAAAACTCTGTCCCTTCTAGACACCAGCTGTACGGAGTACACACCAGTAAGACTTCTTGAACGGAGTGGGCGTCTTGGGAGCCTGGAGGATGAAGGATGAAGCGTGAGGCTGATGAGGATGTTTGCTGAAGCATTCCTAGGCGTCGCCTTAACGCCCACCATAGTGCTATTGGCGGCGCTTGGCAAGACGGGCGGCGATGCCAGAATCCTACTCCGTACAGTCCAGAGTACAGAGTGCAGTACGCAGTACTCTCATGTTTCCTTCTGTCACTTTATTATCTCACGCGATCCTGTTACGTTAGTGGTGTCTAGAAGTATCTTACGCGACGAGCAGCCCATTCCTATGCAGCCTCTCCGCTGGTGTCCCCAGTACACGCTCCCGCAATCCCGTCCGCTCCTACGGATCCCTCGAACGGTCGGTCGGTCAGGTACAGCAAGAGCTAACCAGTGTTACAAGGTTCATACAAGTAGGTGGCAGTCGTGTTATGCTATCAAGAATACTGCAAGCATTGACAAGGAGCCCCCTGGCTAGACTGTGCTAAGCATCCTCTGACGAGATTGCCATTCCTTGGGTACGGAGGGCAGCTATAACATATCATATGATCATGGTTTGGGATGACGCGCCGAGACATTTCAACGTGGTGCCAGAAGTAAGATGAGGCTTGGTTCTTGGAAAAAGATGGTCTGCCGCAGTTAGCGGTCGATGCTACGGTGCTGTTGGACATGGTCTCACTCCAATCAGACATACTCACTAGTATGATTCTGCCCAGACAAGAAGATGGTCGCCGTCACAGCCCACAGCCAAGCGAATCCCCCTGGTCGTCATTTCATCAGCTGCCCAGGACGGCATCGACGGCGAGCCGCGAACCTGAGCCCCTTAGCCCTTCTCTTCCAGGCCAGCTCCTTCGGCAAACACCTTTTCAGCCAGGAAAAGGAACCGAATAGACCGGTCACGCATGTCCCTATTATTATCCCAGTTTCTGGCGCGGAGGTCTGCTCGGCGACTAGTGCTCTCTGAAGGAAAATGGACCGCTCCACCCTCCGCCCTCTGGGCCTCAGCCACTTTCCGTCGACCTCTGTTAACATTGGCGTCGCTTGGCAGGTCCCTGCACCGAGTTGTCTGTGATCAACCTTCGTCGATTGTTTTTCATTTGATCTATGACGGCAAACTATCATGACCTTCCACCATGTTGTGCCGAGCCTTGCGCAGCGGGTCGCAATAGCAAGCCGGCCAGCCAACCTGTTTCTCTGACCAAACGTGGCATCCGCCAGCCTTGGAACAGCCTCTGCCGAGACCCTAATGAACCCTCTCTGACCATGCACCGTCAGCTCGGGAGTCTATCCTGCGGGCTTGTCGAGACTGGTGCGGACCAGAGCACTGTTGTTATTTGATGACCGTCATCCATGCTCGATGTTTGTATCCAAACAGCTCGAGGCCAATGCCACTGCCCAGGCCCTAACGTGTACGGAGTATGGGAAACTAGTTTCGGTACCAAGGCTGTCCACCAGGCTTCACTCTCTCGTGGCGTGTGAAAATCCCGGGTGCCCTGTCACAAGGCCCTGGTCTCACCTGGATAGCTGCAGGCCAGTCTAGGACCAGGGTTGGTGAGTATTCCCAAATGGACCATATTATCCTATACCCCCCAACCTCGCCCTCTCTCGACCGCCTCGCGTTGTGTATCACTGTTATATCATTCTACGGTTCGTTTGCCCTTGTGGTCGAGGGTTTACCCTCGTTGTTCGTTCCATTGTTTCTATTAGTTCTCTTTCTCTCGCTCTCTCGCCGCCACCATGGCTTTTTCACGGCTCATTGCCGTTCTTTCCTTCCTGTCGCTCGCTTTATTCTCGTCGGCCGCCCTTCCATCCTCAACAACATCACTTAATGCACGCGCCGCCGATCCAGTCAAGTTCGAGGTGACCTTGACATGGGAAGACCACTCACCAAATGGAGGAACTCCGCGCAAGATGATTCTGACAAACGGCACATTCCCTGGTCCGCCATTGAAGTTGACGGTCGGCGAGTCGGTAGAGTTCCTCGTCCACAATGAACTTCCCGACCCGACCACCGTCCATTTCCACGGTATTGTGCAACAAGGTACACCATGGTCCGATGGTGTCCCAGGTCTGACGCAAAAGGCTATCGCGCCTGGCAAGTCATATCTCTACAAATGGACGGCAGACGCTGCTGGCGTTTACTTCTACCACTCCCATTACCGCTCCCAGATAATGGACGGCTTGTACGGCGCCATCATCATCTCCCCCAAGTCCGACTCCGACAAACCCTTCTCACTGATCAGCAACGACACTGCGGCAATCAAGGCCATGTCGGAAGCAGACGACAATCTGCAGACAGTCTTCATATCCGACTACAACAAATACACCTCCAAGGAGTTGCACGACCAGGAACGCTCTGCAAACATCGACTTTGCCTGCGCCGACTCCATCCTGCTGAACGGGGTGGGTTCGCAGTACTGCTTGTCTCGCGATGAATTGACTGCCTATACCAATCCCAAAGTCGCCCCCCTACTTGCTGCCGTCAATCCATCTCAAATTACCGACAAGGGGTGCCTTCCTCCTAATTTACCGGCGACCCAAGGGAACTTCACTTTCAACATTGACTCGCTCCCATCTGACTCGTACTTCGACTGCACTCCTTCCAACGGTCCGATGGCCACCTTCGACGTGGATCCAGCTAAGGGCTGGGCAGCCTTGACTTTCATCAATCCGGGTGGTCTTGAACTCCTCAAGTTCACCATCGACGGGCACAAGATGTGGGTGTATGCCGTCGACGGTGGATACGTGGTACCTCAACTCGTGGACCAGGTTAGCGTCAATAACGGCGACCGCTACTCGGTTCTCATCGAGCTTAACCAGACCCCAGCTCAGTATTCGATCCGCGTTGCCAACAACGGTCTGAACCAGGTCATCAGCGGCTTTGGCATCCTCAACTATAAGGGCTCATATGGCCCTGCCAGCGAAGACCCTAACGCTTTATCCGGCATGAACTTTGCAGGTGCCAACTTGACCACGCTGGTGCCCTTCAACGATAACAAGGCCGCCCCTTACCCACCATCTCCTCCTGCGGCCACACCCGACGTGACCTACAAGTTCAACATCAAGAAGCTCGGCCAGCCTTACGGGGCGTATGACTGGACTCTCAGCGGGATTGACGCCTTCAACGCCACGCTAGAAGACGTCGACCCTCTCCTATATCAGGACCCGGCCACTATCGAATCGACGGATCTCGCACTTAAGACCAAGTTGGGCCAGTGGGTGGACCTGATCGTGCAGACCGAAGGACCTCTCGCCCAGCCTCACCCTATGCACAAGCACTCCAACAAGGCCTACGTGTTGGGCAAGGGCACAGGCACCTTCAACTGGAGCAGTGTTGCGGAAGCGGCAGCCGTTCTTCCACCCGAAACCTTCAACTTTGCCAACCCTCCTCTACGCGATGGGGTAAGTCAATTTACTATTCTAACATTTCGTTTGTAAAGTTGCTCCTGGGAGTGTCATACTAACACTCTATCAACTTCTAGTACACCACAACGCCTGCCGAACAGAATAGCACGTGGATGGCTCTGCGTTACGAGGTTGTCAACCCAGGCGCGTTCCTATTCCACTGCCACGTCCAGACTCACGCGGCCGGCGGCATGGCTGTCGCACTGCTCGACGGCGTTGACAAGTGGCCCAAGATTCCGTCCGAGTACGCCGACGGCAACGGCATCAAATACTCCAAGTTGAAGAAGAAGGGCAAGCTGCACCCCAAGGATTAAGCGGTAGTACACTGAGCTCACTGTCACCCTCGACCGAGTTCAAGTCGGTTCTACCACGATCCACTACACCACTCGATGCTACTTGAGCGGTGACCAACATGGACATAAGCTAGAATCTGCTAGAATCTAGCTACCCACGGTCAACACCTCCAAAGCACGCAACACTTTTGTTGATATCATGACCTTTTTCCCACCAAATTCTGCATGTCTCGCGATTGATCGGGACGAATGGAATGGGACTGAAGAAGTGGCCTGCCGACCTTCCATGCGAGTTATGTCTTCTCCCTGCAATGCATGTGATGTATGCTCCTCTGCAGTGCATGTAGTTCTTCGGTGTGCATAATGCATGTAGTTCTTCGGTATGAGCATGAGCATGCCAAGTTGCGTTGGGGGCATATAGTAATGAATGACTACTTGACTCGCGGACTTGCGTCCTTCCGGGCCAGCTAATACTAGGACGTTGTCTATATCCATACTCCCTACTCCCTCCTCCGTACATTGCAGGTCGATTCCGCGTAGGTGAGTAATTTACGCCCGAACCCAGCCTGACACATGACGTATGTAGCCTGTCCAGTACAGTACGAGTAGGGATACAGTTGACATACCTGAGTCCACCCCCACCCACCCCCCCTTTTCGTCTTCCCCTTAGGCTTACAGGAGTCCTAAGGCTTGACTGTTCATTTCGCTTCTTGGGCCTCGAGTAGTACTCCGTACTAGTATCTTCCGTCACACGTACCGAGTACTGGTACAGATCCTCCTACGAGCTTGTATCTTATCTGTTTGGTATCCGGGATCTGTTGTCTGTACAGTATCAAAAGAGCCCTAAGACTCAAGAGCTCAGGCAATTAATTCCTGTGTCCTCCGTACTCTACTGCTGTACTCCGTACTCCGTACACTGGTCGGACGAGAAACGAGGTCCGGTCAACAATGTCACTCATGATTTCTTTCTGCCTTTGATCTCACTGACACTTTGGGACCTCTGTGCAAGAAACAAGCCGCCAATTGCCAACTGTTGCTCGATCTTGTGTGCATGGTCCAAGGCCACTTTCTTTAATCATTCAATCCAGATACCCTTACAGTTACCATCGGCGTCCCTTCTTCTCTACCACTGCCGAAGAAGAGCGTGCTGTTGTCGGTTGTCACTGGTGACACAGCAGCATATCGGCCACCTGTTCCGTCACCGAGGTGAACTCCCATCTTGTATGGCAAGAACGTCTTGCATCGACCGAGCAGAACTCTCTGCTGCTAGGGCCCACCGGGATTTCAAACACCTTCAACGGTGCTTGCCCAGCTACCTTGCTGTTGCCCTTTTCTCACCATCATCCCCCAAGCTCTGCGACCGTTACGCCTACATACATCTTGCCCTACTTCCTCCAGCTTTCCCTTCGGCGGTGATGTTGTTGACACGTATCATGGCTGACCGTGTTTCCATTCCTAAGTAAGTCTAGGTATTGGATGGTTGTGTGCTCTGGAATGTCTCTCCTGAAATTCCAGGGTCAGCACAACTAAAAATAGCAACTTCTCGAGTATGTTGGACTTACAGCTTGGTCACGTATGACTTTCGTGCTCCATTTTCCAGTGAACTGGGCAACCGGCCGGCCAGCGGCTGTGGCTGCTGCGTGACGCACCACATCGTACTTTAGCAGGCGATGATCATTGAGCAAAGACCGTGTGACCTCTCTCTCCAGAAAAGTGGCAAGCCGTGAATATTCAGCCCTCCCAAGATTGGATGAGGCCGCTGAGGCATTACCTGCAGATCTGCGAGCTGCTGCTCGGGTTTGGGGTCCGGCTGCTGGCTGATGTTGGACGCGAACCGGAGATGATGCTTGCCGATTGGCTCGCATGGTTTCTGGGGCTCTCGGGGCCGCCGCCCTGGCATCATTTCGTGATGCCGAGGGGTCCCCTCCCCGTGCCGAAGCACACGGCTTGTGGACGGCGGACTGTCCAGGGACAGTAAAGGGTCGGAGCAATTCTTCAATGGCAGGCTCTTCGGCCTCAACCACGTCCATCTCGTCAGACGCCATGATACTCTTTCCGCCATCAACCGTGACACGTGAACGGATTGCAATCTTGATGAAGGCGTCTTTCAGCCGATCAACGTCGCCACCCCCAACATCTAAAAGAGCCGAAGGACAGAAGACCAAAGCCTCACCGGTCTGCAAGCCGACGATCATTTCGAATAACTCTTCTTTGTCTGAGTCGCTACCCAATCGGGCACCAGCAAGATGACCCCGCATCTCGTTAAACCAGGCAGGCGAGTTGAAGCGATGAACAATGGAGACGTTGCAAAGATCCAGCAGACTTGGGGAGAGAGTTGGCTCTTGTGTCGCCACTATAACACGGGTCGCTAGATGACGTTGCTGACGGATAAGTGATATGAGCTGCTCTGTCAGCTTTTCTGCCTCTCCTGATTTTGTGAGGAACTAGAACGAGTTAGTCAAAAGTCAACTTTTCAAAAGTAGATCCCACCTTATGAGCCTCGTCAAGCGCAATGACTCTGCCACACTCTCCTCGATTCTCCATGAAGATGGACAGACAGATATTGAACAGTGCGCAAGCGTCATTTTCGTTGACAAAAGGGCAGCTGAGATCAACAATTGTCAGACTGCCTTGTGCCGAGTGGAAAACACCGTCGAGTACATGGGCAGATTCCGCAGACTGGTCACGGGAGGCGAGAAACTCCTCAAGGAGCTGTAGTCGCAACCGAAGAGGTCCGTTTTGAGCGGCGGAGAATCCTTGTGCATTCAGACGAGACTTGAAATTGAGGTAGTCGAGACCGCTTGAGCCCTTGTTCTCCATGGACATGTCTCGAAGAACCTTGTAAAGGACTTCCAGGTACAATGGAGACTGTCCGTCGTCCTTGACCGCCATCAAGGTCATCATTCTCGCGACGTTCAATTGTTGTTCGCGGAAGCGGAGTGGGATGACCTGCGGCTTGGGGCAGTTCTTGGGCAGCCCAGGCAAGTTGCGGTACAGATTGTTCATTGCGTAAAAGTTGCTGGGTGAGACTAGAACTCGGACCGGCACACCGGCTGAACAAAGATATGCTGCTTCACATACTTGCGTACTGTCCGAGCTGGTAAACTTGTCAAAATGGAAAACAAGTCCTGCCAAAGGTCGCGGATTGACGCCAGCCGAAGAAGTCCTCAAAAGCGCGTTCTCCAACAAACACGACAGTGAGTGACTCTTGCCAGCCCCTTGCGAACCACATATGAATGCAGACCATGGAGCATTCATATTGGCAAATACCAGATTATCCTCAGCAGGCAGCGTCTGGGGTACCCCGGTGTAGCTGGAGTTGTATGTTTCTTCACGCATGCCCAAAAGGCCAAACTGTGGGAATGGATGTTCGGCGGACCCCAAGTTCTGTAGAACTCCGGCCCCCAATGCGAGCCGAGCTTGTTCAGAGAACAGCGGTGTGGTTTTGATTTCTTCCAGCTTGGCGTCGATCAGACGGCGGCCATCAGACCCCCGGGAGCCTGCTCGGACTAGCTGGAGGTAGCCGCCAGTCGCATTGAGCTCTTCTTCCTGTCTGCGAGAATTCAATGTAGCAAAGGGTGAATGCTCCGAAGCTGCCATGCCGCAGTCTTTCTGGGCCGCAGGAATCGCTGGGAGAGCGCCCTGAAACGGACTTGGCTGAAAGACATTCGTCACCGGTACAAATGATGAGACACGTTCTGCTGTTGGAGCTTGTGGTGAGATGCTTGAGGATCCGAAAATCTGTAACACCTGGGTTAGCATCCAACATGGGGACTGCATTGTGCAATACATACTGTTGCAGAGCCTTCCCGGACAAAATTGCCAAATGCAGGATGGCCAAACACGAGGCTTGTCGAGTTGGGCTGCGGACGAAATGCGGATGATGACAAAAATGGGTTCAGTCTAGCAGCCGAATCTTCCACCGTAGTCGATGTAGATTGGCCTTCGGGAGCTGAGGTTTCGCTGGGCACGAACGGCACATTGCTGAAGAAGTTTTCTGCCATTTTTGCTGTAGTGTGAAGAGGTTTCGAGGCGAGGGATGGCAATCTGCTAAACGAAATAGTGAGCCAATGTAGAGGACATGTTTTGGGGAAGTCGAGGGACTGCTCACGGTTGATCCTGCCAGAAAGGATGCACTCTTACCTGACTGCGGTTGCTTAAATCCTCGAGGATCTCAGCAGCAATATGAAGAGCAGCAAGCTCACAATATCCTCCTTAATAGGATGGTTGAGTTGTCAATGCAAGGCAACTAACGGAGATGAAAGAAGAACAGGACTGAGACAGGCTTTAAGGGAGAGAAACCTGTGCAGCGAAGTCGCGGTTTGTGATTGTCTCTATGGACCAGAACAAGGTGACTGACGGGGCAGTAACTTGTGGTGCCCAAAATCACAACAAAACATGCCGAGTAACGCCGAGAGGCGCCGAGATTGTTTCACACAGTGAAGGCGTGTTTCTTTGTATGTTCTCAATATCTCTCCCCCGTGGGACCAGGCTCACCACCAAGATGGTTTTGAGGGACGCTGCTGCCCATGTTTCCGACACTTCCTGAATGTGCACCGGCGCCGGTTGTAGTGCCACCAACAGTCCTCTTTGTCCCAGAAAGCCCTCCAGTACTTAGCCCTGTACCGGAACCTACAGGGTGAGAGGCAGAAGTATTTTCACCAGCAGTGCCAGGGTGAGCGAAATGCTGGTCGGTGGCCTGTAGGTCTGCCTTGCCCTTCTCTTTGATTGCACGATTGGCTACTTCCCCTTCCTTTTCATTGAAAGCCGTGTCGATAGACTCATTGACGGTGCCTCTGATGGTATCACCCACGCCTCTGACGCCTCGGAGGGCCGACTTCACGTCGTTGACGACACCGTGGGTGTTTTCTTGGGTTCGGTCAGCCATCTTTGGGGGGTGAGATAGACGAAGGTACGTGTCTTGTTGTTCCTCTCAGGGGTATATCTATACTAGGAGCAAGATATGAAATGCAGGAAGCAAATGATGGGTGATGGTGGGATGCAGAAACGAGGCGTGTTTTAAAACATGGTTGGGTCTTGGGGAGCTATGACGTCAAAGCAATTACACCGGCAAACATATCCGGAAGGGGGATTCACTGGTCCATCTTGGTCCAGTCGCACGTGATGAGGAAGGTCATCACGTCAGCAGTCAGCACGTGAGCATGGTACGGTGAAGCACTCTGTTCCAAAAGGGATAGGATAGGATATCTCAGAGGGCGGGAATGTCCGAATCAGAATGCGGCCTGACACAAGGCGTCTGTCTGTGTCAATGCTGAAGAGAGATAAATGACTTCTTTACCTCTCCTTACTCTACTTGTTTCGTGCCAGATCTCCTTCTTCCTTCTGCCGTATCATCAGCAATTGATTACTACCTAAGTAGAGATCTGTGACTGTCCCCCAAACACGAACATGGCGCCTTCTGCCATCAGCGACCTCCTCCCATCCGGCCCACTGGCCTCGAAATCTGTGGCCCCGCCAAAGGAGAACCATGTGCACGGCATGGAGAACAAAAGTCCGCTGGCGGCCATTTCCCACGGCGACGTGATGCTGGCCGGGGTGCCGAATTTCGACGATTTCGCCGCCAAACGACAGTGGCAGCTCGAACACATGGCCGCGGCCTTCCGCCACTGGGCGCGCGAAGGCTACGTCGAGGGCATTTCCGGCCACATCAGTGTCAGAGATCCCGAGCATCACGACATCTTCTGGACCAACCGTACGTTCTTGGGCCCTGCGTTATGGCTTGTCCCTTGGTTTTTCTCCTTCTCTGCTCCTTTTCGGGTCTGCGATTGGCACCTGTATGGGACGTACTGTACTGACTCTGGTGTCCTGGGTTGTCTGTAGCTCTGGGTGTCCACTTCGGCCTGTTGAAAGCAAGTGACATGATTGCCGTCAACCTCGAGGGCAAGGTTGTGGGAGGCAACCGTACCCGCCCGCCCAATGCTGCGGGATTCTTGATCCACAGCGAGTGCCACAAGGCCAGACCCGATGTCGTGGCCATTTGCCATGCCCACACGGTCTACGGCAAAGCCTGGAGTGTCTTTGGAAAGCCGATCGAGATGTTGACACGTAAGTGAAGGCGTGCGGCGGGTCAATCCCGCCACTGCAGTCCCAGTCCCCTTCCTGCTCCCCCTAGCTTCCCGTTTCTCGATCTGGGTCTGACAACCGTGCACAGAGGACGCCTGCAAGTTCTATAAATCGCATTCGGTATACAACTCGTTTGGAGGTGTCGTCTTTGCGAGCGAGGAGGGCGCCCAGATCGCCCAAGCGTTGGGTCCGACCAACAAAGCCTGCATCCTACGCAACCACGGTCTCTTGACCGTCGGCAAGACAGTCGACGAAGCGGCGTTCCTGTTCTTGTCTCTCGAGCACGCATGCCAGGGCCAGCTGCTTGCAGAGGCTGCTTCTCAAGGTGGCAACATCGCGAAGGTTTTGATCTCGGAGGAGGAGGCCGAATATACCAACAAAATGGAAAGCGACTCCGAAACCTGCTATGCCGAGTTCCAGGCTTATTACGATTGGGAGGACCACCTGTCCAAGGGAGATTTCAAGAATTAAAGAGGCGAATGTCTAGACGATAATGATAAAACACATGATGGGGCTGTGGGGCTGGCTGTGAGCGTGGGTGGATGGGAGCACGACGTGTTGCGACGTTGCGACATTGTAACGAGAAACCTTGTGCTATGGAATGTGTGCGCATCCATTCATTGATTGATCGATATCAAACCCGACTTCGGGATCCAGATACCATAATCAAAGCACATCAAGCATCACCGTGTATGTCCCTATGTCATGCAGTCTCGAAAACTGGAGAATATGCGGATTATGAACCTTGTAGTCTGGCGCCCCCAGCTTCATCTCGCAATCCTTTGGTTCTCACTCCCCCCTTTGTTGTTGATCGGGTCTTAATCGTCATCGTGGGGTAGCTGACCCAAGACCACAGGGCATTGATGACGGATAAATGAAGTCTTTCGGTAATAGCGCCAAGGTATCTGGAATCGGGCTCCGTGATCCGGAGCGTCCTGAGGGTGTATTGCAGGCGTCTGAAAGGATAGTAATCGACATCCTTCACCAACCAGGGGATAAGACGACTCTTGGGATTACCGACGCTCAAACGCTAACGGCCGACATGTTGGCCTTAGCCTTCCTCCTCTCCCCATCCATTCAAGGTCCAGGTGATTGCACAAGTGACCAAGGCCCATCTCGCGAGGTAACTGCATAATGCCGCTCTCCAAAGTGCGACTCGCTCCCACCGGGGTCTGTTCATAACACCGGCACTCCATAGTATCGTAGCAATCAGCAGAGGCGAGGATGCTTGACAAGCCGATATCAATGCTTTTTGCAACTCGGGATGGGCTCGTCCGAATGCGGTCATGTTTTTCTCCTCATCCAAGCTCGAAGGCCGCCTAGGAGGCATCTTGGCTCCTTTGGGGGGGTGAAGTTTGGTGGTAGTAGAGCTTGTTCAACCACAACCAATTCGAGACCGATAATAGACCACCGTGCTGTGAGGACGTGTACAGCCACGAGCCTCAGCCGGCAACCAAAATTTCCAGACAGGTCGCTCAGACGGTGCACGATGGCAGACTAGTTCGCCGTGCAAAGTGGTGACGATTGCTCGTGATTGTGTGGTGGCAAAGGCAGCATCTCAGATCCGGGTGTATCAGATCAGGGCACCCGTACAGCGACAGTGACAGTGACTACTTGATTGTGTGCTCAGTGTGCTCGCTAGGCAGGGAGTATGCCTCGACGCCGTGCTCGTCGGATCCGGTGCTCGTGCTCACACTTGACCGTGCAAGGACGCTCAGTGCAGGCGGGAGACACTCCGCGTGTTGAAGGCGCAGAGTAATGACTGAATGGGCGAATGTATGGAATTGGTGTAGGAATTGGTGTAGCAAGTGGTGAGGGCGATGGTGACAAGGTACGCGAGCAAGGATGAAGTTGACCTTCACTTCACAGTTCGATGCTGGCGTGGCGTGGCGTCACCGGCTCATCGTCAATAATATCGCTTATGTCAGCCTCCGACAGTCACACCCAGGTCACGTGCAGAGTTGTAGTGGTTTACTACATGGGATGCTGTCTGGATACATGGCAAGAGGGAAACCTCGTACTTAAGAGCAAGCTTGGCTGGATAAAGGCTCAAGACGAACATCACACGTTGCTCTGTACCCGTAACCCTAGTCTATCCACCTCTATTGAAATCCAGCGGGTTGTGGTTGCTCCTAACCACTCTCATCTCGAAAGGGCACCGGCACTGTCAATCCACCCCTCTTCACCGCACCCTGTTTGGTTCAATCACCATCCAAACCCTTCTTCAGAGAATTCCAGGTTTACGCCTCTATCAAGTAGCAATCGCGATACCCGCCTGACCTCGTCCGCCAAGCCGCCGCCTGCACAAACACTAACTCCGAGACAGCCAACTTTGAAGCCAGCCTCATCGCGGATCAGGTCCTCAACGTTGGGCCGTCCTCTGGCCATCCGGACCATCTCACTGGGGCTCTGGATGGACTGGCTCAGACCCGCTTGAGTAATGTAGAGTAGGATCTTGAGAACCTCTCTTCGGCCTTCCATGCTCAGAATCTCGTGCATCCAGGAGCTGATCCAGTCGAGGCATGCCGTGCTGGGAATGACCCAAACCAAGGTGATTCTCCTGGTTGCCACGGTGCCTTGACTGTAGCCTTGCACGAGTTCCCTCACATATCCCAGTTGATGCGTGATACCCACGCCACTCGCAAAAAGTATCACAGTCCCATAACTGGATAAGCTTCGTTCGTTGCCGTAGGGACCTTCGATAAGCGCATTGAGCGACGTGGAAGTTTCGGTTTTGTGAGCATGGTGCCAGAGTTTCTCCGTCAGGCCGGCCTGCTTTTTGACTATGAGGGAAACGGTTTGTGCTCCTCGCTTCTCCACCTCAGGCAATCTGGCGCGAATGACGGGATTCTTTTCATTGTACTCCAAACGGTCAGAATCAGATCTCGCCAAATGATTCGCCTCAGATCCAGACCAGGCCACGGAGAAGGGGTGTGCAGTCCAGAGCCCGATGGCAGGGAGCGTCAGGTACAGAGACTGGCCAGGCCGATACACCCACGGTCGCGGTGTCGTTATGGTGATCTTGACCGCACCATTGGGCAGCGGCTCAACTTGCGCCTTCACCCCGCCTCTTCCTACGCTCCGGTACAGCAACGTAGCCAGTCTGAGCCCTCTTGCAGCAGCCCAGATTATGATGGCACCCAGTAACAAGTGCTGCTGGGGGAGACCTTCCAAGTGCCTCCAGAGAAACACCACAACCAGGAGTGCGAGGACAAAGTGACAGTGCAAGAAGAACTCATAGGACAAGTTTCGAACCAGCTTTGGGCTATGCAACAACATCACCGTGAATGCTATGACCGCAACCAGGCCACTGTAGATGAAGGGGCTCTGCAGCGACAGCCTGACAGCCGCCCAGCCTTTTGACTGCACTTTGGCAATGAGCCAGCACAAGGTATGAACAATGGCCTGCAGGACAGCCAAGCGCCCAAACCAACGGTGCATCAAATTGAATGTGTCATAAGATATGTCGAGTAATGTTATCAGAGGATTCTTCACTGTGGCCATGGCCATGATCGGGATGAGATTCACCACAGACAACGTACCGGTCCGGTTTCGCAGGATCGGCAGCACCTGAAGTTCAGGATCAGACCATGGTATGTTCCAAGTGCAGGTGAAGACATTGGTAACAATGACAAGACAAATGAAGATTGATTGGAATCGGGTTGGTATGGAGCCAAAATTGACGTGTCGAGAGACCTTCAACTCGCGTGCCCGTCGGTAGTACAAGATTGGGGCGTAGAGGAGGTTGCTCTTCAGAAGAGACACCAGAGGTGACGTCTTGGAGAAGTATCGGAGGGGACCATCTCCGCCCATCGACGCAAGGTGTCGGAGATGAGCATTGATTCGAACCATGGTAGTCCAAGCCAAGAGCGCCGCAACCACACCGAGCAAAGCCCAGAGATAGTTGTACCCGAGGGCTTTGTTGAGCATATCCAGGTAGTGCTGCGTAGCAGCATTCTGCTCCGGAGAGCTGCCCGAACTCGTCGAGTTGCTTGAGGGAGGTGGTTGGGTGGCCATGACGATTGATGCCAGTGCGGCCAGGTAGAGTGGAATCATGGAGGTGTTGTACGTCCAGGCAACAAAGAACAGATCGCGGCTGAGGCGCGAGATAAAGAAAGGCCCAGCCCGTCAATCAAAGAAATCGGCGCAAGAGGATGCAACCAGTGCTCAGTGGAAACAAAAGGTGTGAAGCAGAAGGGTGACAAGTTGACTGGTGATTCGGGGAGCTGGGCAGGTGGTAATATAGCATTCATTCACTGTCGGGCAAGGGTATTCTTGACTGCTCGAATGAACTCACCCATGTGTACTCCGTAGACGAGGCGTTTGCAGGGAATCGGGTGGAGCCTCATCATATTCTGAAACGGCAGGATAACCCGCTGGCCAGGTTGTTGATGGATATCGAGATCTGGTCTGTCCACACTCACATGGGTTGTGTACATAGTTGCTACGAGTATGCTCCTAACGATCCTCGACATGAATGATAAGAATGCAAGAATGTCCGACGTCGAGCTACCAGAGAAGTGAAAGCCCAAACGTATGACACGGCCCGACGGCGATCCAGGAGGCCGATCTGTGAGAAATTCAATAATGGCAAAAGCTCAGGGCACATGTTCGGCCATAGGGTGAAGGGGCGGAGGAATGTCGTCGCCGCCATAGTAGATGCGGTGGAGTCGGAGTGCGATATGCTCCGGCTCTGAGAATGAGGATACCACGCAGACGGCAGACGAGGTGTGCAGCGTACACATCCACGTAGTCGCGTGCTGCAGTGAGAGAACAGTGCGGTCCCAGGGCTCCCCCCGAAGCGAAGGGTGGTGGAATGAGCGTGGTGCAGCAGCGCAATCCCGGTACCGGTATGCGTGGCCCCTCTTGGCTCGCGGTCGAGACAAGGGTTCCTGCCAAGCCACGGCAGCCCCGTCCCGATTGGCTGCCCCGGGAGTCACACAAATTTAGGCCAATCAGGGGCCCCAGTCCGGATATCAATCATCTCCGCCTCTGTCGTCCTATCAAACACGGATTCCGGCCGGATTCCGTCTGGCTCGCTGGACTTGAAACTGCACTATTATCTCAACCCGCCGATCTGACTAAGGAGTATCCGTGCTCTGGTACGAGTACGGTATCTGGTCTCCCGACGCGGCTTTCTGTCGTCAACCTCGAGTGACATTCTCGATTCTCGAGCGTCGTCATCGAGAATCCGCTACAAAAGTGGCCCGGGCCCGTGTCGTGTATTCTGCACAGCGTTGCACGATCAAGCCTTAGGGCCCCTTGGTGACCGTCATTGATATGGGAAGGGAGGCCGTGCCCATGGAATGGCAGGCAGCCCGTCATCTGTAAGGGCGTGATACAACTTGCTATTATCGTCGCCCACAGTCGTACGCGGGCCATGTTATACCAACAAGCTTAATTCGTCCTCAGAGTCCTGGTCAAAGGCCTCCTGAATGCGTGACCCATGCCCCTGGAGCTGGACAACGTTGCCGAAGCTCACATGGCGCCTTGGCCTCTTCTTGTACTCGAAATCGCCGCCTTTGTGGATTTCCAAGTCGCATGGTGCACTCTTACGCTTCGGCCGGTTTCCCCAAACTGGCTTCTTATCATTCACGACGGGCCGCAGCGCCTTTCGATAGTCGCCAGCAGCAGCGTTTTGATCTTCGTTGCACGGATCCTTTGCAACAACAGCGGCGTCAGCACCTTTTTCTTCAATAGCTGCCAGCGTCCCTGGGGGTTTGGCAATCCACTCTTCGATGGCTTCATCCCAGCAATAGGCGATTCTCATCGCCGGAGTGCGAGGCTCTGTGGCTTTCTTTTCCATCTTTTCTTGGAACTTTTTGTGAACCTCCGTCGCCCACTTCAGCATGGCAGTGTCGTCATGGTGCTCTCCCGCATACTCCATCGCAGCATCGGCACAGACCATACCAAGCACGAGTTCCAGGGTTTCGCGGTTCCCCCAGTCCAAGCTCAAAAGCTGTTGAACCATCTCTTGGAACTTCTCCGAGTCCAGATTTTGGGTAATGATGACCATGACGAAGTCGCCGACAAGCGGCCACCATGATTCGCTTGCACATGACTCGATTGTATTTAGCACCGATTCGAAACTGTCAAGTAGGTCCTTCGGTGGATGCCGTCCAGTTATCAGTAGCTGGCTCACATTGCAAAAGAAGATGTGAGCCACAAAGTATAGCTGATATTCGGACAGAGCGAAGTCTTGATCGAGTTCATGAAGTATTTGCGCTTTCTTTGAGATTCTTTCTATCAATCCACCAGCTGCTTTAGTGACGTACTGGCCATGATTTAGCAAGAGAAGGAGTGTGAATGCCATCCTGAGCCTGTTCCACACCTGCTCCGACATGGTGTGATGTCGAGCTGGCTCCGTCGCGCGTTTTTCCAACACACTGGGCAAGATTTTGGCTCCTCGTATGCTCGGGTAGGGATCGGTCTGGCTGGGAGCCAATGCCGCAATGTATACAGCCTCTAGTATTTCAGAGCAATAGTCCCATGGCAGCTGGTATACGTCGTAGGTTTTACAAATCCAAATCCTTGTCAGCTGCATCAAGTGAGCGTACCTGATAAATCGAGACACGACTTCAACAGAGTCTTGTCTTCCCCGTAGCGCAAGCAACGTCCATTCCACGCTCATCCGTTCCTTGACAAGCTCCAGAGGCGAACTCGGGCCTGAACCCCCTGTGTAAGATGGTAATTCATGGTAGCCTGCGTCTGGGTTGGGACTATGCAGCTGCAAATCGACCAGAGCCCGTGAGATGGCAGGCACAATATCCGAAAGAAGCGGGCAGCTACAAAACCGGAGGACAAGATCCAATGCGACAGCTTCCGGTAGCGCTCCTGTTTCAATCAAATTCGCCACCATATGAATCCCACAGTCTCGGGTCACATTTCTGAGAAAGGGCCACCCAACCTTTGGATCTCCAAAATAGTCCTCAAGCTCTTGCAATTGAGAGCCAATCGTATCGAACTGGCCGTCGAAATCATCGTTGCCTGCATCACACTGCTTCTGCTGTTCCACCATGTTCTTTGACAGCTTGTGGAGACATGTGTCAAACAAAGACCTTGCGCCTCGTTCAGGCCGCTCGTATATGTCTTCTATCTCGAATTCGGCCCGTTCCGTCGTGCGCTTAGGGTCAGAAGTGGCAACCAAGAACGTAGATATGGTAGAGGTGGCGGTGAGAATGATGCGTTCGTATTCCAGAGCAAGATGAACAGTGCAGGAAGTCCACTTGTGCGACCAACCACCGTTTCTTCTTGGTGATCCGGCGCCATTCTTCTTGCCAGCAGAAAAGCTTTCGGAGCCGCACTTGTCAGGAATTAGGGGAACGCTCCTCTTCTTGGGAGTTTTCGCCGTTGTCCGAGTAGTAGTGGATAACTTGGGCACGGAGATCGGCTGCCCCGGCCTCCTACTACGCTGCAGGTATGTCCTCTTCGACTTCTGCTTCTTCTCTGCGACATTGGCGGCGAGCCAGTCAATTTGTGGTTCGCCGGCGCCCTCCTCGTCCGAAACCCGAGGCGGCCCGTTGTCAGAGTCCGCCTCCTCTTGTGCCGCCAGGTAGGCCCGATGCCACTTCTCCAATCGGTTCACGAACGAGGCCAACTGTCTGATTGTTCTGTTGCATCGGGATGCGGTCCAGGGCGCAGGAACCGGCCTTGCTGGTAGGGTTTCACTGGCGTCGACTCGCGGCATCGGATAGACGGCGAGTGGCCACTAGATCGGGGAGGAGTACTCTGTAGGAAAGGACCATAGGAATGGGAGGGTGAATATCCAAGAGCATCTGTCAATGATCATGTCATCAGCAGTTGAAGCTAGATTCAGTTGGTCTAGGACTGGCACCACTGGTGGTGGTGTTTTGTTTATTGACAGGACCATCTCCAGTGTCCACAGTTCCAACCACGTCCCACGCTACGGCCTTGTTCCCCGACGCGCCGCGCAGGGGGAAAACTACTGTATCCGTACTCTGTATCCGTACTCTGTACTCCGTACACGCACACGCGACGCCGACCTGACACCCCTGCTCGTACATACCCCCTGACCTGCAACATGAAATGTCCAGTGGTAATTCTTGATCTCCCACCACTTTGGTCTATCAAGTACTGTCTGATAGTGCTATTCTCAATTCTCATCAAATCTGCCTATCAATCGTTCCAGTTCTCGTGCAGAGTCGCTAGGTCAATCTTGCCCACCTCCTTGAGGTATCTCGTCAAGGTGACTTCATCCCCATTCTTCTCGCGCTCCGTCCATCCATTCCCAAAATATTCGAACCTGTTACGCTGGGCCTCTTCGGATCTCTCAAAGACGAAATCCTCCCAGCGAGGGTCTCGACTTATGTCGAATCGGTGATGACCAGTTCCAGGCCACGGAACCAAAGGTCGAGATTTCCCAGGGCCGCTCTTCCACCAACCGTCGCAGTCGTCTCCGATAACTTTATCGTCGAAGTAGGCGCCAACGATCTCGTTGAAGTCATCGGTTGCTTCCTGAGACGGGTAAATGGCTCTGTAACCTTGAGACTGCACCTTTCGAATAACCTTTGAAATGTAGGTCGCAGAGATCTCGGCCTGGAGAGGGAAGGAGCCACCGGCACCATTGGTATTTGCCTGCATGTCCAAGTTAGGTGTATTGACGCTGAGTATAGGAGTGTGTTGAGCTTACCTGAACCACTGCAAAGTAGTTTGGAACATTGGGCGCCATAACACCAAAGTATGTCTTCGGATATCCAATAGGTCCATCAGCTGCCCAGTATCTGCTTAGGTCCAGCCCATTCTTCCCAACGGTAGGAAACAGGGGGAGGAAGCCATTCTTGAAGCCGGTAGCGGCAACAACGATATCAGCCTTTCTCTCCTTTCCATCTTCCGTCACCAGTCCGTCCGCGGTAGCGTGTGTGATCCTCTCGGTGTCCACATAGTCTACTTTAGGACTTCGGATTGCTTCAACGTATCCAGCTGATGGCGTTGGCCGTTTACACCCTGGGGCAAAGTCAGGAAGCAGCCGGTCGAACCAGGCTTTGTCGCCGCCAACTCGGGCCCACAACGCCTCTGTGTATTTCTGTCTTATCTTGTCGTTTTCCTCGCTGCCAGAGACAGATCCTTCAAATCTTCCGTGGAAATTCTTCTCCAGCGCCCGTCGGTATTCAAGATAAGCTTTGGGGTCTTTCTCGAATTTCTCTTTCTCTTCTTCTGTGAAGATGTATGCTCCAAGAAGATCAGCGGTCGCTGGGATCAGGTTCAGACCGATGGATGGGACGATCCATTGCCTCGACCTCACATAATGATCAATGTGTGCAGGTTTGTTGAAAATGTTGACTAAAAATTGTTGTCCACTGGCCCCGTTGCCTATGACGGCCAGACGCTTACCTTCCACTGCTCGAGTCAGATCATCGGTCCACTGAGAAGTGTGCACAAGAGTGCCTTTGTAATCTGTCTCGAGCCCTGGAATGTTGGGAAACTTGGGCACGTTCAACCTTCCGGAAGCCGAGATAAAAAAGTGCGCTGTGTCAGTGAACACCTCTCCGGAAACAAGATTTTTGATCTTGACCTCCCATTGATGGAGGTCATCAGACCAGATCGCGGACAGAACTTCATGCTTCAGGTGGAGATGTTTATCCACTCCGTATTCCTTTACGAGTCCTTCATAGTACTCGCGTATTTCCCAGCCAGGGGAATAGTACTCCGACCAGCGAGTATTGGGAGCGAAGGTGAGTTCTAGGAGGAGCATTTTTTGTCATGAAATCGATCTAATCTCGGGGGGTGTGTGTGCTTACGGTAAGTGTGAGATGGAATATCACACCTCACGCCTGGATATCGGTTCTGGGCCCAAGTCCCACCCTAACTCTCCTTTAGATCAACCATTACACCTTCAGTGGGGAGCTGCGTACATACCACAGCATCTTGTCGGTCGTACACAGTGTAAGACAAATTGGCCACTTTCCGGGGAATCAAAATCGAAGCAGCAACGCCCGCTATCCCTGCTCCAACGATAATAGCCTATTACATAGGTCAGAGGGGAGTAAATCATCTGGCAGCTATCTCACCTTGACCGGAGGAGATGAATTGAAAGGCCGCTGTCGAGGCTTCCAAAGCTTCTCTGCATCCTGCTGAGAAGGGACCTGTTCCGCCACGACAACGGGCGTTGACAGCCCGTTTTGGATTTGTGCCAGCCTTTGAATAGCCCGTGCCATCTTTTAAACCTGTGTTTCGGTCGTCTTCCTTTCTCCAGGCTCAGAAGAGAAGACATGCGAAGACTCAGAGGTCAAGTTTCGTTTTAAAGGGCCTTGCTGTTGTGTCTTTTTCGAAGAAATTGCGTCTTTGGGATACAAATGCATAGAATTGCTAGTGATTGGTTGTCTGGCGGGGACTTTCGTTACCGCTGCATTGATTTAGATGGTGCCTCTATCCAAGGTCTCCTAATGGGGAAATGGTGCGGGTATACGTGATGGCGCAATATTGACCATTCTCACGAAGCCAGAGCCGGTTTACCGAACTGTTTCAGAGCCTGCCTACAAGGAAAATTGTATGCTATTACACCATATCATGAGCACTGGGTTGACTCAGATCGACTTGGACAGACTCGAACTTGGAGATACATTCGTCTAGTATTACTTTGTTCTCGGCCGGTGTTGTGTGAGTGTGATGAGCTGAGAGCAACTCCCAGATCTTCTCGGAAATACCTGCGGAGGTACGGTAATAGGCAGAGACGTCGTGCCACAGCGGCTACTTGCTGATGATCGTGCCTCGAGATATAGCGTTAAGGAAGCTCAAAGACCATAGCTCCAGAGGTCAATTACTGTTATAGAGCATACCGGAAAAAGGTTCCTGCTTCAAGTCATTTGGGAGTGCGCCTCGAACATTTGCGACTTGCGAGAGCGGGATGGAGAAAGAGGGCTGCGATATTGCAGTTGAAGAGGCGTTGAACGAAGACGAGATTCAATAACGAGGCACCAGAACCTGATGTAGGAGCCACGTCACATGACGACACATCGTTGGGTAGGTCCCGTGATGCAGCCGCAGATACATAACGCTACCTACCCAGGTACATGCCAGGTAGTACTCACGTACCGTGTACCTGCGGACACTCCTGATACAGTGGTCTCAGTTGCAACGCAATGAGTTAGTTGCTTGCGTCGGCTCCCTCTATCAGCAATTTTCAATCTGGACATTCTTGGCGCACCGATCGCGCTTAACCTTCTCCTTTGCTGACGGGCTCAGCCCGCCATATGCTGTCTTCGCTTCTCAAACAGTATCATGGCCGCTCTGTCCCTCCTTGCCGTCCTGCTTATCATCAAAACTTTCAACAAACTCCATGCGGTCGTACAGTACGGTTTGGACAAGCGACAACCGAGGGTATCTGTTGCATCAACGCGAAACCATTGCGGCATCTCTTTGTCAAAGCAAATTCGGCCGTTCAATCATGCTTGACGCCGGTACCAATAAACTCGTGGTTAGACATTATTTCGTCCAGAACTGTGTCACAATGCGATACCAGGCGTGTGGGTATCGTCGAGGGCGACAACATCTGGCAGCGGAGCGTACTCGAGTCCAGTAGCTTTCTCAATTTTGGTTCGTGCAATCAATGCCTGGGTTCTCCATCTTGCCTCAAGTCTGGCACGCTTCGCACCCAGAGCAAGTTTCAGACTCTCTTCCAGGCTTGCAAAGTCTTGATCAATCTCTGCCAGCTGCCCTTGCTGTCCCTTCTCCAGGTCTTCGATTTCCTGCTCTTTCTTCAATATCAATCTCTCGACAGCTTTCTTTTGTTTTCCTCGCAGCACATTGATCTTTGCTGTATGTAGAGTGTCCATAGCATCGCGCTCACGGTACTGTTGGGCGAGGTTGTGGTAGTCTTTGTCTGTAACCTTGCGCTCCGGAAGCGCCGAATCTGTTGACGGACGTCCAGAAGCTGGGTCCACAGGAGTTGGAGGGGGCGTGGGATTTTGACAGTACGCCTCCATATGTCGGAGGCGTACCATCACTGTCCGCTTCTCGACCTCGTGTTCCTTTTCCATCTTCATTTCCTCCTCGAGTTGACGTGCCTCGAGATCCTCCACGGCCTTGTCATTCTGCAACCAGTCAGCTGGAAATTCAACCATCCAGCAAGCACCACTCACTTTCGCGCACTGTTCTACAAGTCTCCGCTCATGCCCTTGTCTTTTCTCTGCCTTAAGTTTCTGTCGTTGTGCGCCAAGCTGCGCTATGACTGCAGCCTGAAACTGGAGAAAACGGGCCCTTTCATCCAGTTGTGCCATCCGCAGATCCAACATCTCCTTGCACTCTGCGCTTCGCTTGGACGCATCCGCTTCAACCGACGTTGCTTGCTCATAGCTGAACTTGGTCGTGGACAAAGGCTGTGACCAGGAGCTCTTGCTCGACTTGATCGAGGAGGGACTCTTGACTTCGGGGGACGTGTCTTCGGTATTATTGGAATCGGCATCGCTGCTGATACTCGTCAAGGTGGGTGAACCCACAGCAGCTGATCTTTTCCTTCGAAAACCTGTCATCTTCCGGATGCCACGCCTGAGCGGTGATTTCTTTTTTCTCTCGGCCTCGAGTGGGAATGAGGACGAATCTGAGCCTGTCAGCGACCGCTCAGACAAGTGGGGGTGTTGAACTGCAGGACGGTGTTCACTGGAAGCACAAGAGGTTGTTGCAGTAGAATGTGCTTGAGTGGAACTCTGGTTCACGTAGTTGGAAGCAATCGTGGCCGTGGAGATAGAAGAAGTAAGACCCTCGATGTCAGAAATAACCGGAAACGGCAACAAGCCGAGATTCCGTGCCTCGAGAGCGACCCGATTGTCCAGATCGTCCTCACAGGCCGGTGATTGCAATTGGAGAACAGCCGTCTTGTATGAGGTTTCGTCAAGCAGATTTGATGACAACAACCATGGTTTCCTCCCGGGGTCGATTGCGTTCCAGGATAATTTGCCATTTGGTATTGGAGTGTTTTCAAGTAATGGCCAAGGACGCTCGACAGTCGCCATGGTGGATAGAGACAGCGAGAAAACGGTCTTGTGGCCTAACTCATTGCCTTGTTGGGTTATTCCGTCTTACAAGACGATGTCTGGACAGCAGATATTCTTCGGCAGCAGGTTGTATGAGGGCAGGTGTGACGATGAAGAGGGCCAATCGATCCCTTTACGCCGCGTTTGAAATTGAGTCCGGAGGAGCGAGAAGGCAGGAGAGGGTGGGGTTCGTGATATTGATTTGGTCTGGCCTTCAGTGAGAGCCGGTGCCACGTCAATATGCGGGAGTCAATGGGCGTCGGTACGGCTGGCGTCGAAGATACCGAAAATTGTGAGAGTCGTCCCCGGGATGGTGTTGGACGGCAGGAGAGACGAGGTGAGTTACAACTGAAGTAAAGAACGAAGTATCATGTCTCAGCTGCATTCGACGGCAGCGCAGGCGAGGAATTGGAAGCAATCTGACATGGGCAGTCTGAAGCCAGAGAGGTGTTATGTCCGTTGTCTCCTCATCTCGACGAGCGACGGGAGTAGGAGTGCGATCGAAGGCAAGTCAGTTGGTGCGCAGGGGCAGAGGCGACCGCGTCCGCGTTGGAGCAGGCAAAGATCAGAGAGAGAACCAGTTTTAGGCTTCGGGATATCAAAGCATCAAGACTCAAAGGAGGAGCCAGCTGCAGTAGCATCACGTCAAGTTCGGGTCAAAAGCTCTCCCAAACCCACGAACACGAAGCCTAATGCAAAGCCAGTGTCGACGCACCAACGCAGACAGGGACCAGGTCACGAGCGACAGCGAGGACGTGAGAGGACGGGTCCACTCGTTGAACCAGATCTACGACCACACCACCAGAAACGGGCGCTTCTCTCTCCGTTCTGTCTAGTCCTGGCCCAGTCCTGTGTCACCGTGTCGCTCTTTGAGTCTTTCAGAAGTCGTCCAGGCTGGCGTTAGGAGTCTAAAGCCCGCGGTTGGACGCCACCGTGTCCTGCACCTCCTCTTAGGGGCCTCTTAGGTGCCTCTTATCCCGCCTGGTATGTAATCCGACTGGGGGCGGCTGCAACAGGTGTGGCCTTAATTTTCCGGAGGTCCGATCCATTCTTGTTCTTTGCGCCCATTCTCGCCGTACATTTTTCTCGCTAAACTCTCCGCGATTCGAAGTGTATCAAAGACACCGCTGCACAGACGTATTAGGTATGTGAATCGAATCAAGGGGTCGCAGGCGAGCAGTGGGTTGAAAGGGGCGAGAAGATCTGTCCAGTGTCCTGTACCGAACCCCCCGGAACCGCTCGATCGCAGTCGATGGACGGAGCGAGGCGAGGGTGCCGAACTGGCTGCTGAGATCGCGGGGCTCTGTCTGGTTACTGTGGGCTGGTTGGCTGTTAGACTCGGTAAAGACTCCCCAGGCATGATCCAGTGGTCCGAGGCACTAACAGGCTGACGGATGTTAGCCTACTACTAAGCCTAAGGGCCTTCCCACGCCTAAGGCCTAGGCTTAGGAGGCCTCCACCCAAGACACACGCCCCAGGTGACAGCAGATCGCGGTCGTCTTGGGAGGCTCGTCCATTTGACCGCATTTCGACCAAAGCACGGTGAAAAGGCTCAGTGCACGCGTCATGGACGAAGCCTAGAACGCCATGGCTGGGCTTTGCGTCTACTTTGTGCAAGTGTACTCTGTACAAGGGGATATTCGCGTTGCATTCGACGATGGTCCAGATAGCGATTGATGATCCTTTTGATCCAGCACAATCGCATGCGGGTCAAGCATTCTGCAATGCGGTGGGAAAGGCCTACAGGGGAAAGACAACAGGTGGACTTCCGGCCGGATATAATCACAGTTGACCGCGCCATGACCTTGTTTCATCGCGGGAAAACATTTGGAATCGATGCCCTCCAAAAAACCGTCACAGCACGCACCCTCTCTACGGCAACACCAACTCAGGCGTACTGTGTGCTGTGTACCTCAACCAGGGAGCTACACAGTATGTTGTCCTCGGGACGCTCAGCATTGAACCACCGCTTCACAGTGACACCTAGCTGGTGATCCCAAGATGCATCACACGTTTCGATTATAAGTGTCAATAGTGTCTTCGATTTATCACTCTTTCGCCCAACCCGTTTCTCATTCCTTTGCTCTCACGACTGCTGCTCCATCCTTTTGGTGTGCATCAGCACCAACTCGGGCACGATCAAGCTTTCTATTTCCACCCCGTCCATCATTGTACCCCCCTCTAAGTCGACGGGTTCCGGATCATGCTTGCGCTCTGCTTTTCCCACCAGTTCTTCTACCCCCGATATGCTTTTGGACCTCCGTGATTTCGGGACTCGTATCCATCTTTCTCCACCATCTGGAGTAACAAAGACCACCTCCCATTTGCGAGTCATTAGGAGGTTACCGATGACGAGGTCGTGGTGGTATCGTTTCAAGGCTTGTTCGGCCTTGCTGACCAGGAGGCTCGGGTCGGTCTCAAGTTTGAAGCTGACTATCATGCTGCCCCTTGGGGCCCAGGATTGGACTAGAGTGCTGAGGACTTTTGGAACCGGGTCGAGGTTGATGACCAGTTGACGGCCGGCCCCCGATCCTTGGTCTCCAGCATGACCCTCGCGAGATTGGATTTTGTGCTCCTCCATTCGATCACGCGGAATGAAAAAGTCAGACACGGCGGCGGCCAGGTAGAACAATGCGCGGTTACCTAGCGGTTGCATCATGACAGTTAGACTGCGCAGTTCGAAGAGATACTCAGTAACTGTGGTGAAGGGGAGCACCAGCAGAAGCCGATTATCTTTTGCATGGTGATACTGCTGCAAGACTTTCCGCATCTCGTCCTGGTATTCTGTGCGAACTACAACTCGCCCATCATCCGACTCGTTCATAAAGTCAAGGAAGCAATTGGTGCTGTGGCTGTAGTGTCGAGAGTACGGCAGAAGACTGAATCGTCTATGTAGGAAGATGACGGCATACCCTTGCTGTAGAAAGTATTCGGCGGACGTGGCTCCGCGAGTGCCTGCCGAGAAGTTGTCTATGAAGCGCACTGTCTGATTTTCCAAGGGCACGTTGGTCCCCCCAGAGGTGACCAGAACGATTCTCCGGGAGGGCGAATTCTCCAAGTGATACTGGATGAACTCTCGGACTAAGGCTTGGTGACTGGCAAGCGTCTTGGGCGGCGGAGTGTTGTGGAAGTAGTCATCAACTTGACATACTGGTGCTGCTACCCCATTGGATGGTTCAGGCGGCATGTTGATTGCTTTCAATGGAGGACAACGACACGGTGGCAGGCAAGTGCGAAGAGGCGCTGGCAGAGACTGCAACGGCTCGCGGAAACGAGTCAGTTGTTACAACAGGAAAGATGAATTACTCGAGGAGAGACGCGATTCTTCCAGGGGGGCGAAGCTCTTTTGTGTCTTCGAGGATGAGATATGCAGCGCAACCTCCATCATACGTCGGGGAACGAGGGTATTATCCCGGGTTACTCTGGGGCGGAGCGCCGTGAGGGTTGCGTTTTTCAGGTCTTGTTTGAGCAGAGAGCTTGAGGGATTCTAACAATAGCGAAGTATGAAGGGAAGTATCCAGCCAGATGTTGGACGGAGGAAGGACTGTCTGGTGTCTGGTGTCTGGTGTTGAGTGCTTTGCTCGGAAGCCGAGGCACCAGCTAAAGGCTCTCGGTGGCCGCAGGGCAGGAGAAAGTGCGTTGCAGACCCTGAGAAGCCTCCCTAAGCCCCCCGCGTCAGATGGCAGATGGTCTTGTTCCCGAGTGGTGCCAGTGCGGTGCTGGGCCTGGGCGTGGGGGCGAGACTCTGACGTCACATGGATCCGGATCAGCGCGTCACGCGTAACGGGCGACTAACACGTCCTGCCAGTCACTTAACAGTGCTTTTAGGAACTCAGTTGAGTAAAGCTGCTTCAAGGTAGCTTGAATCTACGATTACGATGATTGCGCTGCAACTTGCACTACTTGTCACCGACTGGCATACTTCAGCCTACTATAGCGTACTCCGGACGGCGTACATTGCTGAAGGGTCATGTTATGTGTAGGGCGACATCTCTGCTGAACATATCCAGGTCGGATTTCTTATCATTTCGTTTACTCTACCTCTATGGACTCCTCTATGGACTCCTCATTCTTATCCACAACATCTGCCGCATTACCGCCTTCTCCTATTCGCTCGTTTCGCTGGCAGCGAAGACAAAGCCTCTTGTCGGGTTCTTGGAGCCACCCCGATGCTGGCCAACACTTCACCATGGAATATCTTCCCATTAGACAGGTGTTTCTTCTAAGCCTACCGACCACAAGATATATCTTTCTGCAAATGGGACAGCAGAGGTCGAAGACCCCGTGGGTATAAAAGTCCCTTTCTTGTGATGCTCGTCAATCCTCTTTAATGCCTTGATCGGGCGGGAATAGTCCAAGGACATAGCCGCAGAAAAGATTCTTGGAATGGCGGATCGCTTCACCGGACAAGGTGGACAATAGATGGACCACCGAGGCAGAGATTGGGTTAGGAATTTGTGACTATAGTGAAAAGATGTTAACTGGAGAATGAGCAAGGCCTGCTGTTCAGGCTCTATTATGCTAGAATCATATCCCTCACATACATATAAGCTATCCCCATAACCAGAATTAGACATACAGACTCTCTTGTCGCGTTCCTTGGTCTCAAGTACCTCGACTGGATGTTTGGGGGGATTCATAGGGCGCTGGAACTCTGATGAGACCCGCAGTGGATGGAGAGACCACCAGACAAGGCTGAGGAGGCCTGTTCACGTGACTTTAGCCACGTGACTGCGCGGTGTTGGCCTAGAGTTGACGTCACGCAAGGCTGACAAGGTTGCGGACAACAATCGCCCTGCATCGCCTCGCCTCGCATCTCAGCCTGCACCACACGTTCGGGGCGACGACGTGATCTCGGGACAAAGGGTCTACTCTTCTGCAGCTTGCTGAACACATTTGCCTCCGTGCAATGGCCTCGTGAGATGATCCCCTTAGGTGTGGTGGCATCGTTTGCTAACCTTCGTCAAGGAACCTGCTTGAAATCCCATTCCGCCGCACCCACTCCGTTGACCTCTCCTCAGCCATCAAACAATACATCTCTAATAAATATGAACAATCCACGTCAAACTTTGCGGAGGATCTGCAGGAGTTTGACCTACTCCGCGCTGATGCCATCAGCGTTCAAGAACCGCACATCAGTGGAATCAAAAGGTTGACTCGATATGCCGCCCAGCTACGCTATCTCGGTGGAAAAATTCCCATAGACATCGGCGTGGACTTTGCATGGTACCCGGCGTTGGGCTATGACAGAGACAAGCCGGTGATACAGAACAACCTTCGATTCGATCTGGCGAACATTATCTTCAACCTCGCCAGTCTCTACTCGCAGCTTGCAGTTGGGACGAATCGCTCGACGATCGAAGGACTCAAAGCCGCAGCCGAGTATCTGGTTGCCGCGGCCGGGACTTTTTTTTTCATGCGGACAGACATACTGCCGGACATGCGCTCGACACCACCTGATGATATGGACGATATAACGTTGGACAGTCTACAGCAACTGTGTCTGGGCCAGGCGCAGGAGTGTTTCTGGCAGATCACAATCAAGAAGAACATGTCGGACGGCACTGTGGCAAAACTGGCCGCAAAGGTTTCAGACTACTACATCATGGCGGCAGATGCAGCTCGACAGTCCCGAGCAGTCAGTGCCGAATGGATCCACCACTTTCAAGCCAAACATCACCACTTTGCTGCCGCGGCCCAGTTCAGACAGTCTCGGTATTGTCTGCAGAATAAACAGTACGGAGAGGAAGTCTCACGGCTGAGGGACAGTATTGCTTGTGTGAATGAGGGACTCCAGGAAGCCAGGTGGATCAACGCCACGGTGCTGGGCGACCTGAACGGGCTGAAGACCAGAGTGAATGAAGAATTGAAACGTGCAGAGAGAGACAACGACATGATCTACCTTCAAGCACCGACTCCTAAGTCAGAGCTCCGGATTTTGGATCGCACCAATATGGTGGCTGCTAAAACACCGGTGGATGTCGCAAACGGCATTTCACTCTTAGGCGAAGGGCGGCCTTTTGGGAGACCATTGTTCGAAAAGCTCGTTCCATACACGGTGCACCAAGCTGCATCGATATATGCTGACCGAAGGGATCGACTGGTCAATCAATCTATCATTGCGGATCTTGAAGCAATGACTTCCAAACTCGGAGAAGTTCTCCAGTCACTTGATCTACCTGGCTCATTACAGGCGCTAGAAAAACCGCTGGGCCTACCGGGAAGTCTGGTGTCCAAAGCAGAAGAGCTTCGACAACAAGATGCCTTGTATCGAATCAAGAGAGCAATCGACGACACCGCCAAGCTGAAAACTAATGATTTGGCCATATACCAAGAAGGCATTACCCTTCTTGAGGCCGAAAAGGCCGAAGACGATAGACTACGCGCCAGATATGGCACGGATAGATGGAGCCGTCCGCCATCCACCACCGCTCTGGCCAAACTCTACCAAACATCGAAAGAACTTCAGACCTATCTAAAGTCGGCCGCGTCGAGCGACAACCTAGTCCAATCCAAGTTCCGGGAAAATGAGCACATTCTTCGAATATTGACAGGCACAACCCGAGATTTAGAGCGCTTTGTTCCGTCGTCCGATCAAGCTACAATGACACCAGCTATCGAGCAAGCCGTATCTCGCCTACGAAGATGTCTCGATGAGGTCTCGCGACTAGAAGCACGGCGGAAGAACAGCATTCACGCACTCAAAGAGAAAGCTGAAGCCGATGACATTGGCCCGGCTTTGCTGGGCGAAGCGGCCCGGCTGGAGCGTGAGTACCCCATGCAAAAGATCGAGCCAGACCAATTCGAGAATCTGTTTATAACACGCTTGACGGCCTACGACTCTGACAGGCAAGTGTTGGACGCCGAGCAAGAAGAACAAGACCAGGTCGTGGCTCGCCTGCGGGAAGCAAACAAGGCGTTTGTTGAATCCCGACGCGGGAATACCAGCACACGAGACCGTCAAAAGGCGCTACAGGCGCTCGAGACCGGGTATGCCAAGTACAAGGAGCTCATCAGCAATTTGGACACGGGGTACAAGTTTTACAATGATTTGGCTGGGCATGTTACGCGGTTCCGAGAGAATTGCAAGGCCCAAGTCGCCCAACGTAACGTCGAGGCTAGTCAGGTCGAGGACGAGCTCGCGGGTCAAGATATGGGTCGATTGACTCTCGAAGAGACCAGACGGGAGTTGACCAACCAGAGCCAGGCACAGCAACTCCAGCCTCCAGCGAGACGCAGTAGTCGGCACCATAACCAGCAGCAGCAGCAACAACCACAACCACAACAACATACTCTCCTAGCTCAGGCTCAGGCTCAAGCTCAAGCTCAGGCCCAAGCCCAACCTCACTCTCAACCTCAGGTCAACTCCCAGGAAGCCATGACCGCCCCTGTCCCGACCAGAACTCTTCATCCTGCCGCAGGAGCACGGGGGATGATTCCATCGTCGTCGCCGCCGTCGTCGTCAGCGCCATCGACCGCTCCCTTCCCCGTGGCAGGGGTTTCTGGCGGTACTATTGGCGGCGGAGGTGTCTGGAGTCCAGACATGGGCATCCGGTTCGGTGGCCAAAACACCCAGCCGGGTCAGGCTGGTTATCCTGTTCCCAGGAGGCCGCAGTGATTTGAGCGAGGTAGTAATTCAAATCCAAATCCCAATCCCAATCCGAACCCAAATCCGAACCCAAATCCACGAACAAGAACAGAATGAGTAAGCCTTAGTATCAGCATCAGCATCGGCATCAGAGTAGACGTCTGTCCAGGTCTTATGTAGATCTAGCTGTGGGAACGAGGAAGAATAATCAGTCTAGGGTAGACCCTACTATACACCTACTATCTATCCGTACCTATGCTACTTGCGAAAGAAACCCCTATTTACAAGATACGGTTAAATTGGTTATAGGCAAGACAAAGTAAGGCGAACTTATGAACGGTGGCTGGTGCTGTAATGGTAATTCTAGTTGTGGTAGTGACTGTGACTGTGACAGTAAACCTCGGACGGCTGAGCTCCAAAGTATAAACCATAATCTCTACAGTGCAGCAGTGTCTTACAGCCGTGATCTAGACTCGTTCTTGGATTCGATCCCTGATAACTCATAACCGCACTTCTCTCGACGCGGACCCAGAGGCGTGGACCTCATTGCGACTCACCTCGTCGCCTTGGCCGCTCTGTTGTTGCTGCGCCGCAAACCTGCCCATCGTACCGGGAAATTTCCCCTGCAAATATATCGACCAGGCATCCTCGACGGTCTGTTTGGCATCGTAGCCGAACAAGAAAGATTGGAAGACAGGATCGCGCCAGCGGTTCTGGTACCCTTCGAACGGGTCGTGCTGGAAGTCGACAAGTTGGCGATCCCGTTCCATCTGGCGCGGACCATCGTGGAGGTGGAAGATCTTCTGGCCTAGGTGCGAACTGCCCTGGACCACGCGCGTGGTGCGCGGCTTGCGCACGGCCTCGTAGATAGTTAGCAGGTCGGGCAGCTGGTGGGCGTGCTCGATCTTCTCAAACAGGTGGCCCAGCACGGCGCCGTCCTCGACGGCCTGCGCGGCGCCCTGGGCAAGGTATGGGAGGGTGGCGTGGCAGGCGTCGCCGAGCAGGGTGAAGCGGCCGGTGGGATGCGACCAGCTGATCATCTCACGCGAGTTCTGGAGCCGCCATTTCGATGTGTCCGTGCAGAGCAACAGCAGAGCGCGCAGTTGCGGGTCCCAGTTGGCAAACAGGTCGTTCATCTCCTTCAGGTCCGCTTTCTGCTGGTTGACTAGCTCCGGCAGATTGTCTGGAGACACAATTACAATGTTGTATAGGTTGCCGCCTTTGAGGAGGTAACCGACGACATGTGAGTCCGGTCCCATCCAGTAGTTAATATTTGGCACGGCAACCAACTCCGCAAGAAGAGGATGGGCTTTCATCAGGTCCGCTGGTACGGTGACGCGGTAGGCCAGATCACCTGTAAGATGGGGCGGGTCTGAGCGCCCGAGGAGTGCTTCACGACAGACACTCTTCAAGCCATCGGCGCCGATGATTAGATCAGCGAGAAACGGTTCCGCTCGATTCCTAAGGTGTACGGCAGGTCGTTCGAAATCGATTCCGGTGGCGAAGCTGTCGAGTTGAATGGCGACGCCGAGCCGGACGGCTTCGTCAACGAGGATTTGGTGATAGTCGGCGCGGTGGATGTGAAGGTACGGGTAGCCATATGTCTCTTCGCAGTATGGGATCATTGGTTGGGTTGACAGGATCTTGCCGTCTTTGTAGGAACGGAGATGGAAGTTGTTGGGACGAACAGACACTTTTTCGAGGGCGGACAGTAGGCCCCAGCGAGCAAGAATTCGAGTGCTGTTCGGGGGGACCTGAATGCCTGCTCCAACCTATAAAACGAGTGTTAGGGTAGAAGACAGGTCAAGGGATAGTTGCAACATACCTCACCAAGCTGAGGCGCTTGCTCGAGAATTGTGACTTTGTGCCCGGCTCGGGCGATGCCAATGGCGGCAGCGAGACCACCCAGGCCGGCCCCAATGATGCCGACATGAAGTTGAGTTTTCCCCATATTCGACTCCGTGTCAAGGTAAAATAAGTGTAACTGGGGAGCAGCAATTTCACTATACGCCAACTACTGGAACCCAATCTTCGGAACCAATGGGGTGACGCAAGGGAGATACAAAATCCGGGGTAAGCAAGGGCCCCTGTACACAGTGGGATTGGTATACAGTAGAGGTATACAGGCCGCCCGGAAAGGAGATGTCGGTTGTGGTAGTTGACAGCCGATATCGGGCGCGGTGGAAAACGAAGGAGCGGAATAGGTTATCGCCGCTGCAGGTGCAGTGCGATTTTGGCCGTTGAGAAAGGACGATGCAAGAATCGCTTCAGTGATGGATGGTCCGGGCACCAATAATGCCGAAGAACAGACAGAGAGCCAGTTGCAGGAGCCAGGAAAGTCAACTCCACCGGGATCTGGAAGGTTTTCACTTGCGCAATCGCCAGAGCCGTTGGGCGTTGGGCGTAAAAGCTGCGTGCAAGAAAGCGAAATCTAAACGGCCTCCGGGTATCAAGATATCACCAGTAGGCTCTAATCAGCAAGGCGAGCGCCAGCAGAAAACGACCTGGACAGCGTCAGGAAAATGGACAGACGAAGAGAAAACAGAGGGAAATTGCCAGCCCTCGCAGGTTGATAATATAGCACCGCAAACGGGCAGCATCTTCATTGCCGTGCTGCATTCCCGAAGGTGGAAAAAGACTGTACCGGTACAGACTGCCGACCTCAAGTACCATTTTCACTATGGGTCTGGATGGACTCTGAAGGGGAGATGGCGGTCCGAAGAAGGCCATGGGCAAATCCGCACGGGCCTCAGGCAAAGTAGCGCCACCGTTGAAGAGTGGGTTGTACTCTGTACCGTATTGTAAGGACCGATTGGCTATTTCTTGTCCAGCGAGGACAACAGGCTTCGTTCGTCCATCTATCATCTAGCTGTATGCCGGATCCCTCGTCTCTTTTCTTTCACTGTCCAGTGAGTGGGTGCAGGAAGCATAGAAGGCAGACAGAGTGGTTATCGGCAGCCTGTAGTAGAAGTGATTCGGTAACAGCTTATATCTCTCTCCCAGGTCACTCGATCTTTTCTTTGCCCTTGCTCCAGCAGTCGGCGGTGGAAGCGTGCAAGGGAGAAGGGATATTGAGCCATAACGGTACTGCCGTAGGGAGAGGAGACTCCAGTGACCGCTGTACCAGCGTGAGGGTACCAGCGCGAGGATAGGCTTAGGGGCTCAGTGATGGCTTAAGGCGTCGTCGGGTGGAGGGCAGGCGGTAGTGGCAGTGGGAACCGGGACAGCACTGGATACCTACCGTACCATTAGTACCAATTCTCGCCGGCCGCCTGGGACCACAGTACAGGAAAACAAGACCTCAGCATAACCTTCGCCCCGCAGTCGCGGTTCTCAGTATCAGAAGTCGTAGCCGTATCCTAGCAATCAAGTGGAAGGGCGAACAGAAACACAGAGAGAGACAGCTATAAGGGGGCGGGAAAGAGACGGGGGGGAGAGAGTGTGTGTGCGCGTATGTACTGTACCTCTGCAGCGCAGCGCAGCGCAGCGCAGCCAGGTCACACTGCAGAGCACCCGCACAACAACTCATCAAGAGAGGTCAGACAGCCCGTCAATCCGCCATCGCTCAGTGGGATTCCAAGTACTATTTAGCTAGCTCTCTTCCCCCTCCCTCTCTTCTGGAACCCATCCGACGTCCAGAAGAAATCCGGGGTATCGGATGCCGTCAGGGCCAACGTCGAAGAGACACCAACCAGCCTCAGCCTCCTTAGCCCTGGCCCTAGCCTTCTTGTTCGCCTCTCAGCCTCTCACATCCATCCGCGCGCAACTGCCGAGACAACGAAGAGGGGGTTGCTCAGCCTGGCAGGGATCTTACAGTCACTCGGAGGTGTTCCGGAGAGTGGAAGGACACCGCAAGCAAGCATTCGGGTGTTACAATCGTCTATGAATACTACTGATGCCTCATGGCACAATATTAGAGCAGCCTCTGCAATCCAACGCCAACTGTCTGAAAAATTAAGGACAGACTCCCTCCCGTGTGCATCCATCCTCCCCCTGTGCTCCTCCCCCTGTGCCCTCACCGCCGGCTCTCGCGGGCGTCCGTACGTTGCCGATACCGATACCGATCCCTCCTAGGCTCTCTTGAAAAAGGGTTCACCTCCTCTGTCGTTTGGACCTGTCACCATCTAAGATCGGACAGCATCCGTGGGCCGTTTAGGCGCAACTGAATGGCTTGTTGGTGGCCCCTTTCTGGACCATGCTTGAGATGCTGGCGTACAAGCCAGCGACACACTGCACGTCCATCAGCACCTCTCGGCTTGTTCAAGATCACAGATGCAACTTACTAGGATGGCTCCCACCGCGATGTTGACCACATTGACCAACAACAACATGGCTTTGCCAAAAGTCCACCCGTTTCGCGGGACAACCTTCCACCATCGGCCGCCATTCATCAGGTTCATCTGCATCCAAAACATTCCGCTCAGTCCAAGGGTAAACCAGCTGGCGAAAAGGGCACTGGTCAGCCCCAGCAGATTATTGAAGACCGGTACAGCTTCGGCGATGATCCATGCCCCGAGCCAGGACACGGTACAGAGGCCTACCCAGATCCCGTACGACTTCCACGTCTTTTGGTGCATGAGGTCTTCAGAGTTGTCGCGAAGCAGTCGTACATACACGTACTTGACACCCACGTGGCCATTGACGACCCCGGCAATCACAATGGTGGGAATGGCAATGCCATAAGCCACTTTCCTGACCACGTGGCTGGCGCTGTCCAAGGCAGGACTGGCGACTTCATCGCCTGCATAGTAGTACACCACAATCGCAGTGATTATGTACATGCTAATGTCGCTGCACTGGAGGAACGCCAATGCCTTGGGGAAGTCTCGTGGATTCCTCAATTCCGAAATGAAGGTGAAGAAGGCAACATGCCCGGCGTACGCAAACACCATGTTAGCGACTGCCAGGAATCCATCCTGGAAAGACAGATTGTCTCGAGGCCAAAGACGAACGGTAAGCACCTCATGTCCATCCACAAGCCTCATACCTGGCTTGGTGATGCTGACTCCAATCATAGTGATCACGACAGCTCCGATGATGCTGATGAAGCTGACCACTGAGTAGTACGAGAGGTTTTTCAGTGTCCGAGGCAGCGTGAATACCAGACTGAGGATCGTTCCGATCACCATCCAGACAATCGTACAGCTACCATGCTCCGTGATGGCATTCATCATGATGGAAAAGGTCAGGATGTGGCTGCCCATGATGAAAACATAGAACAAAAACTGACCCCATCCAAGAATCTCACCGCCCCAACGCCCGAACAGGACTTCACCAGCGCATCCCATCGAGTGAACTTGAGGGTAGCACTGCTTGAATTGGCCAATGACATATCCAGAATATGAAGCCATGGCTCCCAGCGACACGAGGAGGATCAAACCTGGTACCACCCCCAGGGTGGCCATGGCTCCAGGAAGCGAAAGGATCCCGAGCGAGATGGTCTCGGCAACCATGACCATCCCGGCTTGCCTGATACTCGCGTTAGTGGCATGTCCTTGGGGGAACGGTGCATCGTCAGGTCAGAACATACCACCAGACCATTGACTTGTACTCGACCCCACCTTCGATACGGCTGGTCATGGGGTCCAACTCGTTGTCATCGGTTTTCGCAACACCTGCCACCACAGGGTCAATCCAGCACTCTTTTCGTCTTGCCTCGGGCACTCACCTCCATCCTTCTCCTGATTCGCAGCGGGGTTTCCACCCAGCACTCCGTTGTCCGCAGTGTCACCCGTCGAGGTCTCGCGAGAGGCTTCGTTGACGACCGTTTGCCCGTCTTCCGATCCTTTGTTGAAGTATGAAGCAATGGATTGCGACATGACATCTTTGCGCCATGAAGCGCTGGATGGGCTGCTAAACGCCATGGTTGATCGGCCTAGAGCAGTGGGAACTGACGATGGATGAGGAAACTCTCCCGGAACGGTTAGCAATAAGATCTGATGCCATGTCGCTGGAGGACTCTCACACAGAGACAGCACTTAGCTGAGTGAAGGTATGTCGATAATGTATTTAGTGAAGCAATGCGTAAAATGGAATCGTGCTTCTTGCCGCATGCGCTCGGCTGTTTGACGGACCGGTACAAGATGACAAGAAGAAATGAGATCAAGGGGAAAGGAAGAGGAGAGACGGAAAGAATATGGTCCTATTTATGCGGGACCTGCAACGGTGTTGCTGAAGAGAGGCCAAAGATAGATTAATGTATCCCACAGTGTTGGGACCAGTACAGAGTCGTAGTTGGCGAACCAAGCATGTATCTGGGGTAGGCACCACTCGGACTGCGGCGCACAAGGCAGCCGCCCCCGATCGACAAGAGCTGTCGCAGGGTTTCCATAGAAATCCAAAAGGCTGTTATATTGAAAGAGATGTGTTCGACCGGCAGTCCTGCATGTCCGGACTTTCCCCTTGACTAGCCTGGTGCTGGACGCTCATCAGTGAAGGCTTGTCTCGATCCACCGGCGAGAAGGCAGAAAGGTTCAGCTGTTGGCTGGGGAATTTTGCCCCATTACGGGGTTGTGACCTGAACTCAGCTTGGAATCGCTCTCCAGCGTATCGGCTGGTCCGTCTGGACTTGTCAGCACGTTTCGTCGGTCGGTCCAAGGAACAACAAACGTACCGTATCTCGAATACAACTTTCGTTCATATTCGTCTGCAAACCTGGCCTTCCCGCTCTCGACATCCTTTCTTGACACGCCCAGTTTGCTCTGAGGCAGACCCATCGACGCCAGAAAGGCGACGCTGTCCTTCCATTCCAAGTCCTTTCTTTTTCTGTCCCAATTCAGCTCCTCGGCCATCAGATCTATGACCTCGGGCAATGCCTCCAACGCCGCCTGGGCGTTCAGAAACGCTAGTCTGGTTCTCCGTGCGATGACATCAACCGCACGCTGGGCGAATTCGTGCCGCACCGCATGCCGTACCTCCCCATCGGCGTAGGGATACAGAGGAGAGAGGCGTTTGCCTCGCACGGGGAACCTTTGACCGGTAGGGCTCGAAAGTGCAGCTACAGTCCAGGCACGGTCGCCATAGGCTTCTGCAAGGTGTTTGGCAACCTCGGTCTCGATACCGAAGTGTTGAATCAAGCTGATGAACAGTGTTTTCGAATACCCATGAGCACCGACGAGTCGGACCTGGTGTGTCTGGCAGGTGCCGTCAAGAGGAGCAGCATCATCAATCATTTCGGTTCCGCTGATTCGCGTTGGTGAGGTGAGCGGCTTCGTCCGGAGGTGGAATTGTTTGATGGCTTCATCAACGGCATCCTCTGCCATTTGACGGTACGTCGTCCATTTACCTCCCGCACACGTGAGGAGCCCGGATTCTGACACGGTGACCAAATGGTTTCGCACTAGTGATTCAGTGTTTTTCGCCTTGGGATCTTTGACCAACGGTCGGATACCGGACCAAGCAGCCAGCACATCCCCTCGTCGAACATTGATGTCTGGAGACAGGTAACCCCTGATCTCGTTCAGGATCCAGTTGATCTCCTCTTCCCCGGCTATGGGCTGTTCGGTGATATTGCACGGAGCGTCAGTAGTGCCAGCAATTGTATTGCCCTGCCACGGTAAAAAGAAGATGACACGGCCGTCCGAGGTGGCGGGATCAATCAGACCCATGGAGTTCTTCTGAGGACTGTAGTATCCCGGAAGGACCACATGTACACCAGAACTCGGAGCTACAATCTCTTGCGCCTTGAGATCGTCCATTTTGCGGATCGAGTCACAGAATGGACCCGTCGCGTTGATAACACCCTTTGCGCGGATAGTGATGGGGGGTGCTGGCTTGCCATTTTTATCTGCGATCACGTCTCGGACCACGGCGCCGTTCAGCTTGCCATTCTCGTCCTTTGTCAGACTAGTCACTTCCATATGGTTGACGACAGTGGCACCGTAAAGCGCAGCCGTGGCAGCGATAGAAACGTTCATTCGGCTGTCATTATGTGCTCCATCATAGTAGACCAGCGCGCCCACCAGGTTTTCCTTCTTCAGCATAGGGAACGCATCCAAGGCCTTGCTCTTGGTCAGGAAGTAGCTCGTCTCGATTCCTTCACTGCCTGCGAGAAAATCGTATAGTTTTGTGCCCGCCCAAAAGTAGGGAGCCTGCCACCATCTTTGCAAAGGAATCATAATAGGAAGCCATGTGGAAAGATGAGGTGCCGTGTCGAGGAAGTACTTCCTCTCGCGCAACGCTTCTTTGACCAAGGCGTACTGATTGTAATCCAGTTCCCAAAAGGCCTTTTCGAGGTATCGGACACCGCCGTGGACGAGCTTGGTACTCTTGCTGCTTGTGCCTGCGGCAAAGTCATCACGCTCGACCAGCGCGACTCTTAAGCCGCGAGTCGCCGCATCAAGGGCAATGCCGGACCCCGTGGCGCCCGCACCGATCACTAAGAGATCGTATGGTTCTCCGGCTTCTTGTGTCTGAGGCAACGATGTCTCTTTATCCCCATGCGTCGCCACTCTTAACCGATCAAAACTGTTCTTCAACTGCTGTGTAATGGGTGTTGCCGAGGCCGCCTCGACCAAGCCACCACTCCTCGTCAAGTCCGCAATCTGTTCAGCGCGGGACTTGATCAGGGGAAATTTGGGAGGAATGATGGTTCCGTCCTCGGTCCGCGGGGTCGGCACGAGGGCACCTTGAGAGCCGGGCACGTTGATGGGACGGTAGGATATGTAGATGACCGTCCCGCCAACGCCAGCCAGCGTAGCTGCGGAATAAAGGAGGGGCTTGAGGAACCGACGGGTTGACGAAGGGCGACCGGCCGACGCCATGTTGCGCTGTGTAAGAAAGGCTGTGACTTCGAGGTATCAACCGCAAGTCAATTGTGAAGGCAGAGCCTGACGTTGGACGCTGATCTATCTGGGTTCTTGGACGTGGGTCATTCCACCGCGTATGTCATTGCCAGACTCACCCAGTGGGGTGTTGGTGTTGGGGGGGGGGAAGATGCTAATCGCAGCTAGGAAAGTCGAGTCGAGTCGAGAGAGGAGCCGGATCCTGGAGTAGAGGAGGCGGCATTGAAGCAGGAGTGAAGGCTTGGGCTTTTGAGGAGACGCAAGAAGTGACGCAGAGGGGCAGAGGGTGTTTGGGCCTTCAGCTCTTCTTGCCGGTGGAGAGAAGGGCACAGCACAGGGTGTTCGTGGGCACGATCCAGCCGATGTACAGATAGAGAGCCAGAGCCTTAGCCCCGTCGTCATCCTTCAAGTTCCTGGTGGTGCTGGCCCTGGCCCTGGCCCCGTTTCTGGAGTCTCTCGCTACTAGTCTCGCCCGTCTCGCTCAGCCGCCTTTCCGAGTCTTGCTGCAAGTCGGCCTAGTGAGACCCGAATTTCAACTGCGTGTGACCTTCAACCATCTCCTTATTGGGCGCCCCTTCCGAGATAGACTTCTACTTCCTCTGTACTTAGTACTACTCTGTACAACCAAAACCAACGTACTATGCACGACGACTAACCCGTGTGGCATGTGCTGTCCTTCTTTGGGTTCACCCTTTTGAATACGCTCGAAGCCTTCTCGTCACTGACGGCATGTGACCTCCTGCTTTTCCACACACTGGACAACTATCCAAAACCATCCGTTTACCCCCACTATTGGAATGCTCCCTGCAACGCCAAAGCCAAATCAGCACCAATCGAATCATTTCGCTTTTGGTTGTCCAGGATCGTCCCGCTTGCTTCTGTTGAAAGGGCGCTGAGCGTCCAGTCGGACTGATTGCTGTGACCTATGCTTCTTTTGTATGGCCATTAATAGCCTCGGCCTTCTTTTCCAAGAGATCAATATCAATCTTGCTAGCTGAGATGCTGCCGGCATTTGTGTTCATATTCAAATGAGATGGCGACGGAATCGAGGCGGCTGTCGTGGACGATCTCAAGGGGCTGTTGGGGCTGTCCGATGCACTCAGATTCAAGCGCTCCAAAGCCTCCAACTCAGCTTCTGAGAACTCCCGCACGTGCTTGGGTCGGAACGGGACGGGCGTGGAAACTCGGGAGGTCAGGAACTGTAGACAAAGGTCAGTTTCAACGGTTGGCGTCATCGAGCGCGAGGCACCTACCGAGCTGGCAGCACTCAAAAGCGCAATCAAAGATGCCTGCACAACGTCCTCATGAATGCCCACACCCCATACTTTTTCGTGCGAGCCGCTGGCCGTGCACTCAATAAAGGTGGCAGCTTTCACCTCGCGGCCTTCGCCGATGGCATGCTCCTTGTAGTCAGCGACATCAAGGTCGATTCCTAGAGAATGGAGAGCATTGGCCAAAGACGAAATAGCGCCGTTGCCCACACCAACCACAGGATGTTGAATGCCGTCGATAGCGATGATACCAGCAAACTGACGTTTGGCCGTCGATGTATTTTGCGCCGGAGCAATGGTCTGGGGCGGCTGACCAACTGATGACTTCGTCGTTGGGGCTGGCGACGTCGTCCTGACCGCCGTAATGTTGTAGTCGACGAGGGTGAATCTCGGGTTCTTCTTGAGATGATACGACTCTTCGAATAACGCCTGGATTTCTCGTGGAAGTAGTTCCCGTCCTTTTGCATCCGCTTCCTTCTGCACAATCCTGCTGAAGGCGATCTGAAGGCCACGAGGCAAATCGAGGTCGAGACTGCGTTGGATGATCCAGGCAACACCGCCCTTGCCAGATTGTGAGTTCACTCTGATGACCGCCTCGTAGGTTCGGCCAATGTCTTGAGGATCGAGCGGCAAGTAAGGGAGTTCCCACTGCTCGGTGGAGCCTAAGCCCTTGTCTCTGCGAGCCTGAAACCCCTTCTTGATAGCATCTTGGTGAGAACCGCTGAAAGCGCAAACGACCAACTGCCCGCCATATGGCCACCGCTCGTTCACCGGGATCTTTGTAGATTCTTCACAGACCCGGATGACCTTGTTGATGTCGCTAAAGTCAACATTCGGCCAGACGCCTTGAGTGTACAGATTCAGGGCCAAAGTGACCAGATCTACATTCCCAGTGCGCTCCCCGTTTCCAAACAAAGTGCCTTCGACTCTTTCGGCACCGGCCATCTGCGCCAATTCCGCAGCGGCGACGGCACAACCCCGGTCGTTGTGGGGATGGACCGAGATGCAAAACTTTTCTCGTTCTGTCATGTGAGTGCTGAAGTACTCGACCTGGTCAGCGAAAACATTTGGAGTCGACATCTCCACAGTGGCCGGAAGATTGAAGATCAGTTTGGCATCTTCAGTTGGGCCCCATGCTTCCTTCACTGCCTCGCAAATCCGCACAGCGAACTCGGGAGACGTGTCTGAGAAGGTCTCCGGGCTAAATTCGTAAAGCCATTCCGTGCCTGCCTGACTTGGGTCATCTTTGGTAAGTGCTCGAACGAGTTTGGTGGATTTCACGGCCAGGGCAACGCTCTCGTCTTCCGTCATGCCAAACACGATTCTCCGGAAGCAGTCACTTGTAGCAAGGTATAAATGAACAATCGCTTTTTTGGCACCTTTCAATGACTCGATAGTTCTGCGGATGAAATCTTCACGACAAGGTGATAAGACCTGCAACCAGACGTCGTCGGGGACCACCCCGGGGGTTTCGACCAAGCGTCTCGTAAATTCATAGTCGGTCTGCGACGCGGACGGGAATGACACTTCGATCTCCTTGTAGCCCAGCTCGACGAGCATATTGAAGAAGCGCAGTTTTTGTTCACCATCCTCGAGATAGGTCAGCCGTGTTGGCAATTTTTTGGAGCCTCAGTCATACCATAGGGTCGGGCAAGCTTTGGTTGCCGTCTCGCAGGTCGGTAGCAAGCCACCTCGGGGGCTTTTCGTTGGTCTTGGAAGGCCATTGTCGGTTGGGCAGGTCAAGAGGTTTGAATTTCCGGTATTTTTTCCACGGTTCACGGAGCCTGCGGAGGAGGCGTCAGCAGGACCTCATCATGCTTGGAGAGGTTTCGCTCATACATCGGCATTTTTACGAACTGGGTGAAGAGACGCAGGCAATGGAGCAGGAATCGGACGTTGAACGTTCGGGGTAATAGATTGAAAGCCGCGGTAGAGACGAGGCTCGCGTCAGCGGTACAGTAGGTACCTAATAGGTTTCAAGGTAGGCAGGGGTACAGATGAATGTAATGGCGAGGATACAGACTCAAGTTCTGGAGTAGGTGACACACTCGAATGCGCACATACAAAGTCTTTGGCTTGGAATGAGTCACTAGGCACAGAACACGCCGCTACTAGATGTGAGGCAAAAGTTTGTGGAGGTGGGGCAAAATTCGCTATGATGGAAGCCACTGCCAGACGGATACTTTCGTACGGACCTGGTTCGGGCTTTACGGCTACAGTTCAATTCTTCGTGGGGAAATCAGCGATATCGGCGCTGTACAGAATACATACCCGTCATTAACCTGTCTTAACCGCCATCTACAGAGTACTGAGTACAGAGTACATAGTACATACCTTGTAGGTATGATCGATGCTGTTCGCCTGTGGCCTAACATGGACTCCTTCCTGTTCAGCCTTGCCCCCTCTCTCGCGTTTCTTTGCGCCCACTGTCAATGACGATACCTGTACCTGCGGCCGAGTGTGGTCTACAATAACAGCAAGAACCCATTCCATGATTTCTGCTGGCGCTCATCAGCCATTCCATAGTTCCCCGGCCCAGCCTCTTGTCTCCGTGTCGCATTGGATGGTCCTTCCTTGATGTGTCTAGCTTTCATCCAACACCACTCCACTCCTGGCAGGTGTAGTCTGCTTGAGGACTGTCTCCTGTTCTCCTCCTGACGATGAAGAATCGACCACAACCTGTATAGCATCTTGTATCTTTCCCACTCCTGCTGCTGGAGATGCTGAACCACGTCTGCGTTTCGATACGTTTGAGGTCGACCTCGGCCGATGGGTGTTTAGGAGCAGCGTCCCTCTGGGGTCCGAAGCAGTCTTCTCTCCCCTTTGAACCCATTCGCAAGGCAGCTCTGCTGCGATGTCGTGCTTCATGCTAACCTTCACTGGTTCGGACGTGCTTCTGACGCTGCTCTCCGAGTAAGTTCGACGACGCTGATCTAGCTTTTGCAACCGTAGGGGCCAATGACTGTCACTTGAGTCACGCTGGCCCGATGGTACATAGACCTTGACTGCATGGCTCATTTCGGTCCCACCCCTTACCGGAGGCGATTGGGGAACGCTTTGGTCCGAAACCGAACGCGGGGTGTTCGTCGGGGCAAGCGTACCTCGAACTGGGCTTTGCGATGCACTGAGCACTTTCAATAGTTCTTCCTGTCTAGCCGGGCTCAATGCCTGCACTATCTCCTCCGGATTCGCCTCGTTCATATGCCTCAAGAAGTTTGCTCGTGGGAAGCTGATCCCGGACATATCTGTGCAGGCGCCACTGTTGTCGGTCTTGTTGGAAGTGTAGTCTGGCATGGGGATATCGTGGCTGGTCGATCTCAGCTGCAAGCGCCACTTCTGTGACGATATTGGCTGTGGACAGACGAAGGGATCTTCACACGACGCCGCGTTGCCTACAAGCTCTCGACGTTCGGGAGACTCCTTCTCGGCAAAGGCGAAAGTCGAAGCTTTGCTGAGCGGATCAGATTGCAAGTCCGAGAACGTCTGTGCATTCAGTAGTCTGTGAAACCCATCCAACCCACTCGAGGGTGCTTTACCGCTGCGGGTGGCAATGGCTGGACGAAGGGGAGAATGTGAATGAGCTTCGTGGCCCGGTGCGGGAGGTAGGCGGGTTCCGATCGGTCCGGGTCGAGTGGCTCGCTTGGAAAGGCTCGCGAAGATCCTCGCGTTTGGCCATGCTATATTCGAAAATTCGAGAATATCTGTCTTACCTTAGTCTCATGCAACCATGCCTGGGCCCAGCGTTTGACGTACTCTGTGGTGCATGCTGGAACGAGAATATGACGACATCTCGAAGCCGGTCAAACACGGAATCCAACGCCGCCGGAGGGGTTGTCTCTCTAGAGACTCCTTCCGAGATAACAACCTTGACACGGCCGAGGGACTCTGCCGGCTCCCAGTGGGGTTGTTGAAGGATCTCTTTGTGAAACGGTGGGAATCGAAGATGTCGGTCTCCAAATTCTAGAACTTCAGCTTCCAGAGCATGATATTGGGGAGGGGGCAACAACCTTGATCCCCTGAATTGTGATCAGCCACCTGTATAACAATATACAAAGGACGAATTCCACATACCAATCACCTCAGGCCAGACACCGCCTTCAAACGTGCGGTGACTGCACCCCTGGTCAGCGTGTGGTCCAGTAGATTCACCGGAAAATCTTACGCCACCATAACTCCATCAATATACACTCGACTTTGGAACAGGACTGGCTCGTCGGGCGTCTTGTAGTCCAGCAAGAGATTTGACGGCCTTGGTTTGTCCCAACTGTGTATCGAAACCCGAAACGTAGCGCCACGTTCTAGGCTCGCCACGAAGGAGGTCAGGATGGGAACGACGGTCATGGACTCGAAGGTGTTGCGGTCTGTTTCGGTCGCTGGCCGTGCCGTGGAGACGCCGAAATCTATTGCCTATCAACAAGAGGTTGCACATTGTGCGTCTCGGACTTACTCTGTTCCAAACCATAGCATTTCGTGTCGAATTCCTGGATTGGAACTCTCGAGCCGCCAGGAAACAGAAGGACGTCCCAGTTCTGATATCTCATGGCGGCGATGAGCGTTGTGCATCAGCTCGAACGGTGTCATGCAAAGATAGAAACCGACAAAGCGGGAAATGGGAGAGGAGAAGAATGCTTGACGCCCCAGGAGGTACCTGCCTGCAATCATGACATCTCGAGGGCAGGAGCAGAGCATAAAGGGGATATTATGTCAGCACGGCGAAAGAAAGCACCAGAAAGAAGAATTGACCAGGCACGAGGAAGCGGCCACTTTGCCGACACTGCCTCGACGCCCTTAAGTTGGAGAACATGGTTTGCGGTAGAAGATTTCCAGATACCCAAGGAATATTCTTGACGAGAGTACGAGTAAATGCTGCACAAACTGCGAAGGAAACTGCCGTCACGCGCCTGTCCCTTCCTAAATCATGCCACCACATGCGACCCGTCGAGTATGTCCAGTCAGTGTCAATGAATCATTTTCGTCTGGAAAACCGGGTATTGTAACCAACAAAGGGAGTGCTTCCAATGACAAGATAGCATCTCCCAACAGCCGTGTGCACCTTGCACTCTCCATGTGAGAGGCACAAGTGCTCCATAAAACGCCAAATACTAAATTAGTAAAATGATACAAGGCTTCCACAAATCGATTATTCGCCAGTTGCGTCTAGGCTGAAGTCGCCACCCACTCCAATGCCGCCATCAAAGTTGAATGTGTCGTCGCCTGTCGTGTTAAGAAAGCTATCAAAGTCAAAATTCTCGAGCACGTCGCTGTTCTCCAAAGTGCTGAAATCCAGATTGAAATTCTGGTCCGGACCGTTGAACTCGGAGAATGCGGTGGGCTGGGAGAGGTCTGGTTGGTGCATTTGGGGTTGAGCGGGAGGTAGGCTTTGGCTCGGCGGAGGAGCTTGGTTAGTGTTTTGTATGACAGGGCCCGCAGCTTTGCCGGCAGAATTGAAGCCTTGTGGGTGGACCGGTGTAATAGGCGTCGAAGGGTTCGGAGTTGCGGGAGGCTCATTCTCGGAGCTGGGAGCATTGGCAGTCGAGTTCTTCTTTCCCGGCCGTTTCTTGGTGGTGGTGGTCTCGTCCTTGGCCTTCTTTGCCTTTGGATTGGGTTTGTTGGTTGTCGAGGGCGTTGGAGGAGCATTGCCACTCTGCGGTGACGCTGGCTGATTACGCTGCGCGATGTTTCCTGCCGGGGCCTGAGGGGGTGGCATCTCATTTCTTTGGCCCGGGGTGCCCATCGGTTGAGGCTGACCCTGAGAGGGTTGCTGGACCATAGGCTGACCTCCTTGAAACTGTGCCATGCGGGTCTGGTGTTGCTGACGTGCCATGGATTGTTGGATCTCCATGGAGATGGGTGGCCGCATATTGGGCCCGCCAGGTCCCACCATACCTGGGTTATCCTTCATAAACATGCCTGGGTTGAAGTCCGATGTCGGCATGCCGTTCATGAAGTTCATAGGAGCTGGTGATCTTCCTGCCATTGCTTCTGCAGCTGACGGCGAACCAGGCAGTCCTCCCATCTGAGGTGTCCGTTTCATCTGGTCGGCGGGATTGGGTGAAGTTCCGGTCCGACTATTCGAAGGCGACATACCACCAGGCTGCATACCAATCATGGGCCCGCCGTCTCTGCCGACAGCATTGTCCTGTTCTTGTCGCGCCATCATGAGTCTCTTCTTGTTCTGTTGCTCAAGCAACATCAGCTGCATTTGATAGTCTTGTAAAGCATGATTTCCGCTCTGACCGCCTCCGGGAGTACCTTGCATCTGCTGCCCGGGGATCCTTTGGTTGTACATGTCCATCTGCATGTTGTCGCCGAATTGAGGATTGATGCCCTGCATCAATGGAGATCCGGCATTGCTCATATTCATCATGCCGTTGGTGATCCCACCCTTTGCCGCGTTAGCGGGTACTCTTACCACGAGCGACATTAGCATGACTTACCTGCATAGGCTTCTGAGGCATACCGCCATTTTGTCGAAACTGGCCGTTGTTCATGTTCGGATTGAATGCATTCTGGATCATCATGTTCTGGGGGGGCACATTAGGCATTCCTGGCCGCACATTAGGCATCATGCCACCGTTGAACTGTTGACCCTCGAGGCGTGGTCTCTTGGACGGAGACCCACCGTTCTCCCCTTCACCTGGTGAAGAGGCGCGACCGTTCATCTCTACATCGCCTTGTTCTCTCTGCATTTGTTGTTGCTGCTGCAGAATTGCAGCTTTGTTCATTTGCTGCATTTGATGCATCTGTTGCGGAGTCCTACTCTAGATCAGTGGGCTGACTTTGGAGAAGAGAAATGCTGTGTTCATACATCTGTTTTGCCATGTCGCGTGGGACATTTCCATTCATCATGTTATTGCGCATGTTTGCACGCATGTACTGGTTGGAGTTCACCATGTTAGGGCGCGCAAGGTTCTGGCTTTGGGCATTCTCTCGCATCCGTTGCATGTTCTGCGCAATATTAGCCGACGGTGTCACCAACTATCATGCGCAGCAACGTACCTGGTGCTGAATCAAGTACTGTGCGGCAGCATTCATTGTCTGAGCCTGGCCACTCTGCATCTTGCTCGAGCGTTGATGGGCAGTGAACAGATCGGAAAAGATGCTGAACCATTCGTAGAGAAAGCCGATGCCTGGGGTGTTCGCCTCTCCGACATGCATTGGACGAGGGAGATCATCAGGGATGTCCTCTTTGACATCTGTGTCCATGGAATCTCCATCAACCCCATTCACCTCTACATCCTTGCGGCGGCCGGGGCTCTGCTTGACGGGTGGCCTTGTGCGGATTTCGAACTTGTCTTCACGCAGCAGACTTCTGGCAATATCGTAATGGCCGAGCTTTATGAAGTACTCGTAGATATAGGTGTTTAACTGAGCCTTGACTTGTTCCGGTGAGGTGTTGCCGTTGTTATTATTGGCCTGTGTGGCTGGACTGCCGTTGTTCATCATGCTCATCCCACCCCCGACCGGCCCTCCAGCCACCGCTGAAGGATTCATGCTGGCCATGTTCATCGTGTATTAGAGAGACGAGGATCGCCCACACAGCTCGCTCGGGCTGGAAGGGTTCAAATGAGGACCGTGGAAAGGTGTGGACGGTAATCGCAGGAGATTGTCAGGTGGGTCTGAGGACAATGGTCGAGGCAGTTGTGACGAGCGTGCGGAGAATCGGTCGCGCAAACCGACGACGACTTCAGACAACGGGAGAAAGCGTCATTTTCTGCAGGTCGGTGATGTGGGTAGGACGCAATGATCGTTGACGATGGTCGAATATGATGCTGGCTGGGATGAAGTAGGTTGTTGCCAAAGGTCCTCGGGCGAAACGCGACCGCCACAAATTATCGATGGGCTAGCGAGCCGGCTAAGACTGGGAGCCCAGGTAAGCGGGATACAGGGGAGCTGGCAGTGAGACGTTCTCTCGAGGTCGACAGCAAAACAGATACGGCGATCGAGTAATACCGATACTGAAGAAGGCCAGCGAGGGAAGAGGGCCAGGTCGCAGAGAAGGAGGACTGGGAGCACAAAGTGCAGTGCCAGATGAAAAGTGGAAGGACCGATGGGGTGACCGATGGGCGAGGCGAAAAGGCAAGAGGTTCGAAATTATTGTGGTGGTTAAGGCTGCGGCTGGTATTGCGCCTGACAACGCCGCCGGGTGCCAGATGGACTCAGGGCGCAGGCCAGCGGGCAGCTCGAGGAGGAGGGAGCCGGCCAGGACAACGAAGTGGTGAGGAGGCAGTCTGATCCCGACACTGGCCATTCAGAGACTCTGCTTGTCCAGCCCTACGGCCAGGGCCCCGCGTATCCTGCAGCACGCCTTCCCTTAAATGGGGCTACCAATGGTGGGGTGCTTGGCACTGGCACGACAACCTCACGTCCACGCCGTTCGTGCATATTAATTCAGAGAATGGAAAAATGCAGCCCAAACAGACCGGGTCAGTTGATTTTCCGCCACTCGCAGAGGTGAGCTACGCTTGAGATGCGCAGTAGCGAGGACTTGTCCATGGCATACCTCGGTCATCCGAGTTTTCTATCAAAATAACTGCCGCTGCCCCTCGAGCCATGACTGAAACTGCCTCAGGGGTCGATTGGGGAAAAGGGGTCGCGTCACGTGATTGGGAACCACACAGTGTCAAACGTGCGGCGTCTACAATCGGCCGGGCTTCGACTCTTCGGGTCGCTCAACCTCAACCTCGTCGTGTTTGCCGAGGAAGGCTAATCGTCGTCGGGGGGCATCTCGTCTTCAATGTATCGGAGTAGGGTCACCCGCATTTCCGTAACATCGTTGCCTCGGAGCACGTCGCTCACAAAGCGGGCCTCGATAGACATTTGAACCTGTAACTGTGAGCCAATAGTGTTGGTAGGCTTTACTCGAAAGCCATTCTTCCATACCATCTCCAACGCTCCGCGTAGAACACCACAGAGAATATTCGAAAACCACAGCTCATCTTGAGCCCGGCCGTCGTCAGGAAGTTCCACAAAGTCAGCCAGAGGGTTTTCGTCAAACAGCAGCGAGAATTGCTTGTTGTCTGCGGTCCAGTTGGTGACAGTCGGGGTGACGTTGAGAAAGATCTTAAAGCCGACCTGATGCCAGCTTAGTTTGGATAGAGAGAGCACGAAAGCATGCGCACAGCCTACCTTGGAGATCATCTCTGCGGTATCCCTGAAATTTCCACAGCGACCAATGTTGGACTTGGCCAGGAAGTCTTCGATGAGGCGCATGCCGATATTGTAACCCATCTTGTCCAGCTGCTGGTTGACTTGGGCATAATCATAGTCGTAGTCGGTGCAAAGCTGAGCCACAATGGTTCCGTATGTGAGGGTGACCAGCTCAGCATTGACTTTCTCCACTCGTGTTCTGGTTTTGTGAGTGTGTCGAAATCTGCTCAGAGGAATACAAACTCACTTCCACACCCTACGCTCCGTTAGCTTGTTGAGTATGATGTTCGGCGGAGGTTGGCTTACTCTTCGCCCACCCGGGCAGCTTTCTGGCCAGACGCCATGCGGTCTGATATTCGGGATTACCTGGGTACTGGCATCTCAAAAGAAAAGGTAGATCCTGATCTGACAAGGATCCAATGACGCTGCCCACGGTGCACAGCTGGATGGCATCCTTTCGAGGAGGAGGATGGGCGGCACCAGAGTCAGTCCCCGACTTGGCTGAGATCGTTTGCCAAGACTGCCGGATAATATGATTTTCCGGGCTCCGGCCCAAAAAGTTCAAGATGCTGCTTTGTACTCCAAAGACGGGAAGATTCAGTTGGAAATAGTCCTACAGCGGGACAGGCATCACTGAATCTGGCTTGATTTCTGGGTATACCGCCATCATGATGCCCTCGATAAAGCGACAGGCGTCCGACAGTTTTAGCCAGCCACAAGCCCTGGTCAAGAGACAAAAGTCTAGTTCAGACCTCAACGACAGCCAGGCCCTTACTGTCGGCGGGAGAGATCAGAATGGCACACTCGTACCCTCGGTACGTATAGTCACTTCGGTGTTGATGTTAAGCGCTTACAGTCGTCTCTCAGTCTCTTCGCACGAGCGCACTTCCTGCTCCCATCATGGAATTGACAGGTGCGAAACAAAGTTATACATTGAAGCATTGGCGACTAAGGTGAATCAGGTCATTCTGGCGAAATCTTTGCGGTAAGATTCGATCCAACCGGTCAACACATTGCTTCTGGGTCCATGGACCGGTCGATAAGTACGTATACGACGCGAACTCATAGCCAGACTTATTCTAATAACGACTGTCAGTGTTGTGGAATACGTACGGCCAATGCGACAACTACGGAATAATGACCGGTCACAAGGGTGCGGTGTTGGACTTGCAATGGTCCCGGGATTCAAAAATAATATACTCTGCGTCTGCGGACATGACGGTGGCAAGTTGGGACCTCGAAACTGGGTTGCGGATTCGCAAACATGTCGGTCATGAGGAGGTCATAAACTGCTTGGACCTGAGCAGACGCGGTCAAGACTTGATACTCAGTGGCAGCGATGATGGATGCATCGGCATATGGGATCCCCGGCAGAAGGCCGCCGTGGACTATATCGAGACCGAATTTCCCATTACCGCTGTGGCCATGGCTGAACAAGGCCACGAAATCTATTCTGGCGGAATCGACAACGACATTAAGGTTTGGGATGCGCGCAAGATGGAGGTCACGTACACGCTGAGTGGTCACGGAGACACCATCACTTCATTGGAAGTCTCTCCAGACTCGCAAACGCTGCTCTCCAACTCCCACGATTCAACGGTACGAACCTGGGACATCAGGCCGTTTGCTCCAGTTGATCGAGCCGTCCGTGTCTACGACGGTGCCCCCGCGGGGTTCGAGAAGAACCTCATTCGTGCGAGTTGGAGTCCAAAAGGAGATAAAATTTGTGCCGGTTCCGGTGACCGGACGGTGGTAGTTTGGGACACTCGATCCGCCAAACTGCTCTATAAGCTGCCAGGCCATAAAGGAACGGTGAATGATGTACGGTTCTCGCCTACTGAAGAACCCATCGGTAAGTCCACCATCTTGAGAACGTCAATCTGCAGCTAACGAGAACAGTTGTATCTGCTTCCACCGATCGAAGTCTTGTGCTGGGTGAGCTCGGAAGATGACGAGGGGTAGAAGCCTCAACTTGTCCACAGTTTAAAGCTTGACTGGCTGCCGCCGCAGATCAAATGAAGCCTACATCAGCACATTGGCACCAGGGGAAGTCCTTGGGGGGGCAGGGTTTGCTGCATGCGGAGCAGTATGTAAGTTTTTGTGACCACACTACGAACTTTCAATGCCGATGGCAGGTTGACAGAACAGCCACAGAGCCAACACATTAGCGCTCAGCGTGACAGCGTTCTGTATGCAGACATCGGCCCGCCACTGCATCATGTTGAGGAGACCAACGGCAAATAGAACTTGGGAGTCCTCGCATTCTGCCCTTGCTCGCATTTTCGAGCTTGAGGTCTGTACCATAGACGGCAGCTGGCGCCACATAAGGGATGGAAGTTCATCTAGACCAGACTCGTCGAGCAGGCGGTTTGTAGCGATGGTGTCAATGGGGAACCAGTGGCCCACGAGCAGTTCAAGGTGTCGGGAGATGGTCATGAGATGGTTGGAGATGGAGAGGCCGCCAAGCATCGAGACCGGCTGGAATCGACAACGCCCCCTCGAGGGTTATGTTTCAGGTCGCGTCCTGATTTCTCTGTGTATGTAGCCGGCTGGTTGACGCGTCTTCTCGTTTGGCTTGGAGACAAGGCTTCCATAAACCAATGTATTACGTCCTACTGAAATCCCACTCTGAAAGGCGTTTCTAACAGCGGGTGAAGCTGTCCGTTGATCTGGTCAGGGGGCTGCGTGCAGTATGTTTCAGTCCCTCCGTCCGCTTGCTACATTCCACGACCGATTTGGACCGACTTGGCTCTCCCGGTTGGTTGGCCATCTGCAGTTGGACACGATGTGCGTTCTTTCATTGCAGCCGAAGCGGTCGAAGGTGAGACTCCAATATTGACACGGGCCGGGGAGTCCCTGCTGGTTTGTTTTGGTCATGATCGCATGTCGTGAGGTCGTCCGGAGTTCAGTCTTCACTGCATGCCCGCGTGTTCTTTATTGCTATGATCTCCCTCTGTCAGTCCTTGCCCTCCGAGTCGAGACAACAGCTTCCACCACGAGCAAGATAGACCTGGCAGCCCACCAGACCTGAAGCATAATCGACCATCAATATTCCCACTGCGCGTGATTTGCGACAAAGTACCATGAGCAGGTTATCGCGTCTTTGGCGACCAAGTCAAGGGCAGTCCAGCTCTGCAGACTCGCCCAACGGTCCCGGGAAGACGTTTGTGGTTCCATTATTCCTGTCAACATCGAGATCATCAACCCCGAACAACCTGCCGCCTCGAGGGGTCGGCCCTCCGAGCACCAGATCGAGGACTTCCACACGCTCAGTGATTGAGTCTTCTGCGTCGAGCTCTGGCAGCATTCAGCCACTGTCGGTACCGTGGGACGCGCGCACCGAGGGCTCGGACATGTACGGAGGCAGCGTACGGAACGGCTACGATATCAATCATGATGGACACTCGGTGTCTATTCCAATGACCCAGAACCTGGACTACTCGGCGTCAACCTCCGAACGTTCGGCTACACCATCAGGGAGAAGCAACAGCAGAAGCAACAGCCGAAGCACGCACGCTTCGAGGCGTCACGCCCGAAGACATGTCGTCTTGTCGAGGAAGACGCTTCGCGACCCAAGAGTGAATGCAAAGGCAAAGCTCAGTTTCGCCTTTGGTGTCACTCTACTGATCGCTCTGGTGATCTGTAAGTGGCTTCCTTCCTGCACCCGATTGAAACTGACGTATTGGAGACCTGGCTCTCGCCGTGACAGGCGTCGCGCGAAACACCATGTTTCACGTGCTATCGATCCTGCTAATCCTGACCTTGTTCGGGATCTTTTGTCACCAGCTGATCCGGATGTTCATGCTGATGCGAAGGCCGAGAAGATCCCGGCACAGGACAGGGTACAAATCCAGACATGCACATGCACATGCAAGAGGTCAGACATCAACAAGAACTCGACGAGCGGCAGGCCCACCGGCCGGACCAGTGGAAGAACTGCCGCCGGAAAAGCCGATTCAGGTTTTCATGGAGGCCGATGACAGCCTGGGTGCCGACGTTGACGTTGAAGCAGTGGGATCTGAACCTTCCATCCGTCTTCCGCCACCAGTGTATGGCAACTTCCGAACCAGCAGGGTGAGTTAATCTGCACTGTCTGTGTTCAATAACGCACGCGACTGATTGATGCCTTTCCTCCAGCGAATGAATCCCGATTTCGTCCATTTGAAACATGTGCCTCCCTCACCTCTGACTCCGACGTACGAGGAAGCAGTGTCACAGGTTCGACGAGCCATGGGGTATAGACCGCCGAGCTATATTTCGGAAAGCGGAGTGACGGAATTGATGGAAGCACGAAGTCGGGACGTGGATGCGGCTCTCGACAACATCCATCCATTGGAGCGAGAACGCATGCGAACATTAGCTGCCGACGCTCTGGAGGGTCACCATCCAACTGGTATCTAATCTGTACACGCGAGGAGACATACGAAATGAGCTTGAATTTGAGTCAATTCAATTGAAATTCCATTCGAACTATGGAGCTATTGAAGCGACCATTTCCGAATTGTCACTCCGATATGCGTCAATAATCCTTTCCTGCCTCATCTGATTCAGGCCACGGGGTATCTTATGCTGATCTCATCTAATCTCATTCCACCTTCCATCAAAAGATGTCTTTGATCCCGTCGCTCTAGTGCTTAGCAGCCTCTTTGTGGACATCGGCCTTGCGGTCGTGGGCTTGCTCATCAAACTTGTCTCCGATAGCGTCACCAGCAGCCTGGGCACGAGTGGTGAGCTTGGCATCGCTGTCCTTGGCGACGTTCTTGTTCGCCTCTTTGGAGGTGGTTGAGGCGGCGCCTTGGATAGACTCGCTAACGTAGTTGGCAGCGTTCCTGGAAAGTAATGTCAGTGAATGTTAGAAGGGATACAAAGGCTGGGTGGACTGACTTGATGGAATCCATTTTGAAGTGAGGATGATGGTGGTCTGTTTAAGTGATTTGGTTTGATCTTGATCTGGATGTGGTCTGAAGTGTTGTTGTGAATTGAGTTATGAAGTCTGGTCTTTCTTCCAGGGATGCCACTGTTTATATAGACAACGTCTGGTACCTGGCGAGGGGCAGTGAATGCGTCAGTCACTGTCACCTGGGCCGTCCAGGATACGAAACTCTCTTTTGCAAACAAACGGCCGGGACGTCATAGGCAGACAGTGACGTCAGAAATTCAGGAACCGGCCAATCACAGCAGATCGACCTTGCTCGGCCTGGCTAGTGGCTTGGCTGGCTGACGTCGTTGGATCCTCACTCCTCAGCTCAGCCCTCTCTTTGCTCTTTGTCGGTGCCTGGAGAAGTCTCTAGCTAGCTGATGCTAGTAGCTACCTATAGGTACCTGACCTACGTACCTATTCCTATTCCGTACTCACTCTGTGCAATGTATCCGGACACTTACCTTACTCCGTACTCTGAAAGGTACTCTCTCGATGGAGAGATGGAGAACTCCTTTATCCTAAGATCGAAAGAAGAACCTCCTGCATCGAAACAACGATCCCCCAGATCGCACCAATCCACTCTCTCCATCGCTCGTCCTCCGTCCTTTGTCCCTCTCATCTTCCTCCAGATCGGACGTCCGTCTCGTCTCGGAGCCCGCTCTCCTGCACGTGGTGATCGGGTCAATCGTCAATCGTCAATCGCCAAATCCCATTTGATTGTTCCCCCTGACTACCGACTATCTACCCTACTCGAAATGAGCATGAGCCTTTAGCGGGACGCTAACACTGAACCTTGTTCACCAGGTTTTGCAGCCGCTCGGACAACGCAGCTAGACCGACCGTTCCCAGCTGGCTGCCGTGCTACAGTTCGGACAATATCGTCATAGCCCAAGAGAAATGAGGGGGACCAGTGTGGCCCAGTGGCCAGTATCAGAACAGAGGCCGTGCCACCTTAATCCGGAGAAATGTGTCAGATGACCACGACCACAATCACGACGTCTGATCACGACGGCTGAGCAAAGCGTAGAAAATTCGTTCTTGCTCAACACAGCAACCCACCAACCCACGTTCTCTTTAGGTAAGACCCATGATGGGCCCAGCTTGGTAGACAGTGGACTCTGCTCTGTACTCGACTCTGTCAGAGTACGGAGTAGATCCGCCGCTTTAAAAACACCAAGACTGGGCTCCCTCACGAATCATACTGATACAGCCCGACACGTGCCTGTTGCAATACAGCCCAACACCAGCCTTGGGCAAATTGCATTTTGATTGTTTCTATTAAAGATGGCTGAGGATGCTGTGCTGTGCTGTGCGACTCAATAGCTATTTGCGATTTGCCTTTCGTGTCTTGCTCCCTCATTCGTTTCGGCGGGCTGACTAACTATCATTGACTTGACGTCCTTCGCTGTCCCTAGCATACTTATTAAGACTATACAACTCACTTGATATCAGCCAATCACAAATGGCCACCATGAAGCATATGCTCCTTTCTGCCCTCTTTGCGGGCCTCGCATGGGCATCTCCCACCCAACCAGCCGTCACTGCTGTCAACACTACCACCTGCAATGGTCAAACTTTCGTTTATGATGCTCTCGCAGGGTATGGTTTCACTCCTTCTGATGCACGTGACAAATTTGGCGACACCGCTGGGGGCATCGGCAGCAGCGCGGCTATCGACCTGAGATCGTGGAAAGTGGACAGAGCTGGCGTCTACTCTGGCATCCTTTGGGCTCTCCCTGATCGTGGATGGAACACAGAAGGCACCCTCAACTTTCAACCCAGAGTACACAAATTCCAAATCACATTCAAGCCCAACTACGCGTCTACTACTCAGAACCCTAGCTCGCCGAATCTCCAGTTGAAACTGGTCGACACCGTCCGTTTCACCGATCCGTCCGGCACACCGATGACCGGTCTTGACCCTGATGGCCATGGACCTTACCTCACGTTCCCCGGTTTCCCTTCGCTGCCTTCCGCCACCTATACGGGTGATGGCTTCGGAGGCAATGGTACGGGAGGGAGACGCGCCTCGTTGGATTCGGAAGGCCTGGTCCTCGCCCCGGATGGGTCCTTCTGGATCTCTGATGAATATGGCCCGTACATATACCATTTCTCCCAAACTGGCCGTATGCTCTCGGCAATTCGACCACCGGCCGCCATCGTCCCTGAACGCAACGGCACCGACTCATTCTCTGCCGCAAGTCCGCCGAGATATGACCCGGACCTTCAGACGATCCCCGAAGACAATCCCACCGGACGTGACAACAACCAAGGCCTGGAAGGTCTCACCGTCTCCTCTGACGGCAGAACCTTGTATGCCCTGATGCAGTCAGCTCTAAACCAAGAGGGAGGGCTCAAGAAGAGCACCCGGGCTAACACTCGCCTCCTGGAGTACGATATTTCCAACGCTTTCAATCCGGTCTACAAGGCTGAATATATCCTTCCTCTGCCAACGGATTCTTCTGGCCGGGTGGCGGCCCAATCTGAGATGCATTATATCAGCCCCACCCAATTCCTCGTGCTTGCCCGTGATTCCGGTCGCGGACATGGCCAGGACAAGTCGGAGTCGAGGTATCGGCAAATCGATGTCTATGACATCTCCCAAGCCACCAACATCAAGGGTCCGACCTATGATTGCTCTAGCTGTGCTGTGGCATCCGTTGACGGTGTGCTCAAGTCTGGCATCACGCCTGCCACTCACTGCCCCTGGCTGGACTTCAATGTCAACTCGCAGCTCAACCGGTTCGGGCTCCACAATGGGGGGGACCAGGATGCAACACTGTTGAACGAGAAGTGGGAGAGCATCGTGCTCGCACCTGTGAACCCGTCCAGCAAAGACTGCAAGGATGGACGCCTCAAGGCCGATGGGGAATATTTCATCTTCAGTCTGAGCGACAACGACTTTATCACGCAGAATGGGTTCATGGAAGGTGGGAAGCTCCCGTACGCAGATGAGAGTGGGTACAACTTGGACAACCAGGCTTTGGTGTTCCAAGTCAAGCTGCCGACTTCTTGAGGCCTAGCTAAGGAGTTTCCACTCTGAAAGTATTGAGATTGGGTCAAGTTGGATAGGTGATTCTAGTCTAGTGTCTAGTATCTAGTATCTCAGATGGTATGTACAGTATAGTATCAGTCTAGTATCAGTCTAGTATCAATCTCATTAGTATCAGTATTAGTATCAATCTTAGTATCAATCTCAATCTCAATCTCAATCTTAGTATCAGTCTTAATCTTAGTATCAAATACTATAGACGATAGACTATAGTAATAGTAATTGGTGATAGTAATCGAGTCATCGACATGCGTGCCTTCCGGGAGGTCCAGGGACAGGAGCCCAATGGTTCGACCAGACCAGCACTCAGCGACGAACATTACATGTAATGCGGGGGCGCGCACGAGAGGAAGACAGAGAGAGATATTGGAGATTCTCTCAGAGCGATGATAGATGTTGATGATTGGTGATTGCTGCAGCTTCTCCAGCATTGCCATTGCAGGCACAGGTCGAGGGGGAAAGTGATATGGTGATATGGATATGGACATGGTGATATGGATATGGTGATATGGGATATGATGATATGGGATATGATGATATGGTACTACGATTCGTGATATGATGATATGGTGATATGGATATGGTACTATGTATGGTTCATCATGTCCGTTTCCTCCGCCCCCAACTCCAATGGGAGGTCGGATCCTTCCTCATCTCCATCCACGCCGCGAGATGGGGGGCGCGCGGGCCCAAGCGGAGAGTGATAGCCTCGACAGCGAGATCGAGATACTTTCGGGCTCCGCGCACACTGCCGGCGGCACTGTAGGCCAGGGCGGCATGGCAGTAGGGCTGGTCGAGGAAGGCGTGTAGGCCTTGGTCGGTGTAGAGCTTGAGCAGGCGTTCGGCGAGCTTGATGGCGTCGGGGGCGGTCAACGCTGAATTTGGGGTCAACGCTGAATTTGTGGTCTCGGTTGCGGTCTCGGTCTCGGTTGAAGTTGGGGTCAACGCTGAATTTGCGGTCTCGGTCAATGCTGCCGTTGAAGTTGTGGTCGTCCAATCAGCCAGACGGGCTTGAAGAGCGTATATCTCATCCAAGCCAGCGTCGTCGAACTCACCGCGTCGACAGCGCGAACACGTGCAGCTGAAGCCGAACGAGTCGCGCAGATACTGGCGGCGGCGGGCGTACCGGTCCAACGGGCTGGTGTAGGCGATGGAAATCTCGTGGTCGCGCGGGATCGAGCGCACGGCATAGACGCGGTGCATGAGTTGGTTTGGGTCCGTTATGAACTGCGCGTTGGGCGTGCAGGCGTGGTTGATGCGTGATGGTTCGGGGATGACGGCGAGATGGGTGATCTTGACGTTGCTGTCTTCTTCTGCCTCTGCCCCTGCCTCTGGTCGAGAGATCGAGCCATCGCCGTCACCGTCGTCGTCGCCAGATCCAGTCCCACTCCCACTCCCACTCCCACTCCCAGCCGACCCAAAAGACCACCCGAACGTGTTGGCGGCGGCAATGTCTTGGGCCACGATGCTCGGGTCGCCGACCAGTGTGGCCAGGCTGAGATATGCGTCGCGCGTCGGGCCTGGCAGCTGGTCGAGCGCGAGCTGTAGGAACTTCTCGCGCTCGAGCCGCGACAACAGCGTCTCGGCGTACGCCAGCAGCACGGGCGTGTAGGCCGTGATCAGGTCGCCGCGGCGCAGCTCCTTCTTCGCAAACATGCCCATGCCCTTGCCGGATACGGGGCGCGTGTACCAGACGTCAGTGTCTTGGTGTTGGTGTTGGTGTTGATGTTGATGTTGATGTCGCTCTCGTTCTCGTTCTCGCTCTTGCTCTCCCACCCGCGCAATCAGCCCTGCAATCCGCTCGGCCATCTGCGGCGTCGTGAACAGCGAGATGCCTCGGCCCCCGCTGAATGTGCGGTTCGTGTATACGCACAGCTCGCTGCCGATGGCGTCGAGCCTCGCCGTGCACGCGGGTTCGTACGACCACGGTGCAAAGGCGGAGGCGCTGTTGCTGTTGCTGTCGTTGTCGCTGTCGATGTCTCTTTCGATGGCCATGTCGTCCTCAGATACCAGGTCAAGTTGGCCCGATTGCAGGAGCTGCTCAAAGGCCATCTGGTACATGGCATCTTGACTGTCGGCCGTCGCCAGCGCCAGATCGATTGTGAAGGCGAAAGCGAAAGCCAAAGCCACCCACCACTGGCAGTGCCGGTGCCAGTGCCACGAGCTTCTCATCCTGCTGGTCGTGTCGTGCTGAGGGGTTCGTGACCATTTTATTTCTCATTGACCAGCGACGCTGGCGGTGACGGTTGTGGTCGCGGTCGCTGCTGTAGTCGAATTTAAATCACTGCCATGCCTCCTTGGCCTCCTTGGCGAACAAGTATAAGATCCATGTTTAGAGTATATACCTATATATACGGATATCAGTCAGTAGAACATCTAGCACTCACTCGCTTGCTGCACCCATGTCGAAAGTATAAAAGGTTCCAATAAGTTTGTTCTCTGAGATATCAAAGGGGAGGCGCCCAGGAAAGGCTGTGGCGCCGCCATGGGGAGATAGTATCAAATGAAGGTTGAAATGTTCCATGTTCTCTACCAAGGGTCGCAGGGAGGTCGCAGGCTATATAGTATAGTGAAGTATGCCTAAACCAGCCTTCTGGTTAAAGGACAAGGCTGGGAATGCGCCTAAGTTTGACACCATGAGGAGATAGACCGTCTGTGGAAGCACAAACAGGGCTGGGAATGGAAGGAATGCCTAGGTCTGATATCTATCTCTACTGATAAATATCAATCAGACGCTTACCTGGTAAGGCAGATCTCACTTTGATCTTCTTCTCCTACGAGTCCTCTGGTTGTTGGGTACAGTATCTAGTAGTATTGCCTCGAAACCCGAGAGTGAATCCGTAACTGGGACACTGACCTGACGTCTGTCTCTTCAACACAGAGGCCCTTTGTATTCTCTATCGTCTATCCCTTCTATCTTCCACCTTCCATTTCCCATCCTCCATTCTCCATCTTCCACCTTCCACCTTCATCTTCCATCTTGTCGATATAACCTGGGCATACAATCTAACAAGATGGTCCTTTCAAGTCGATACAACTGACCATATAGCCCCTAAGGGTCGTGTCGATACGATATGGCCGGTCGGTTCACGAACTGCCAACATTCGAACTGCGCATGTTGACCTAGTCGACCTGCGGCATCCCTTCTTGACGAGACAAAATACAAGAGGACGGACCACCAACACCAATGATCCTTGCATATTATTGTAGGAACAGAATAAGACGAATACGGTTTGGTCTTTGACCATTGACCCTTGCTGGAGTCCTTGACCCTCGACAGGCGACAGGCGACAGGAGAAAGGCGAAAGGAGTGAAGGTCATCCAATGGACTGTAGGTTGATTCGAATGTTAGTAAGACCAAAGGACGATGCGGACATCGTCAGGGTTACGGGCCACACGTAGGTGGTGAGCATGAGCATGGGGGCGACGAATGCCACATCTGACGGGAAAAGCAGAGAGCAGAAAACTGAAAGCAGAAATTCGCTTGTGCCTGCGACGTGCGAGCATGACACAACAGGGGGCCGGGGCCCTGACTCTTACGGAGACTGTACGTATTGACAAAATGCCTCCTTGAGACTTCGTCCGCGTTGGCTGGAAGAACAGGGAGGGTATTGAGGATCAGACAAGGATGGCGACACTGACGGATCACGGATGTGACTCTCGAGTGCAATCCTGATTGTCCACCATGACACTGAGAGATGCAATAATAATGCAAAATCCCATGGCCCATGTCAGAGAGAAACTCAATCCCATGTCAATGTCAGGAGTGCGGTCACTGGCCAGCTTGTATCCACCAACCTCGATCATCAGAGATCATCAGAGGGAGACAAGATGGGGCAACGCTACCCAGTCGGTAGGGGCATGAGCCTGTCGAAGAGAAGAGAAACAGATCGGGGCCAGAAAAGGGGGTGGACCTGGACAAGAAGAACGGATGCCTGGCCGTCAGTCTGGACCCGGCCTCGTCTTTCACTAGCCTGCCTGGATCACAGTACTCAGCATCAACTTGATCACCCCGTTGCGATCGAATCGGAGCGCGGACTCACAGAGACTAGGATATGGGAGCATGAAGGGGCTCGCATCCACCCAATTCGCCTAGGCAAACTGTTGCCCTTCATTGGCTTGCACTGAGACCATGTCGTCTGCCTAATGCACCGTCTTCGTTCCGTGAACTGGGGCAACAGACCTCTGCATTGCCCATCACAGCCGATAAATACACAGATCAGTCCACTGCTTCAGCCGGGCCAATCCCGGCCGGCGGATCGTCTGCTCCATGTCAATCACAAGGCCTAGGAATTGAGACAGGAATGGGGAATGGTGGCTGGCACTGTCCATGATCTTTCCCTCCGTCATGTTTTGTGGAGACATTCCTGCTCTGTATCTTCTCTTGAGACTGTGCAGTTGTGCATGTTCACAAAATGCCGTAGTGAAGACTGGGGGATCATCTTCAGCTAACCAGAGTAGAAACACCCCCGTCCCGGGCTGAGAGGGTCGCATGATGCTGTCCTGCCCGTCCAGGCCAGTACTTTCGTTACCTAGGTGCCGGCAAAGGCGAACCTCGGCTCAGGTATATAGCATCGGACCATGCGTGCTGAAGGCGTCCAAGAATGAACTCAACACCGTTGCTCCAGTCACGGCGACTTTGCAAGTCAGCTTCAGGACCCGGTTCCACGGTTCGGCAAACCACAGGAGGAAATTTGGCCGTTTATATCCTTGTGATAAGAGCGTCGAGACCAAAGGGGATGTTGCTGGAATTAGACTGAGACCGAACGGGTTCAAAAAGAGTTTCAATAGCTTTGCCCGGGCAATCCGAAATCTAACATGACGGCGGGAAATGGATTCCCATGAAGTTTCGCCGACCCCTGTGACAGCTATTGAATGAAGGTATGGAGACTCCGTACATGGAACCGTACTGTAACTGTAGCCGGGACAAAAGTACAAAGGTACAGCACATGCCAGGTTGCGGTGGTGGTGGCCATGGCGGGACATCCTGCTTGCTCTTGCCATGGGAACCGGCGGTAAAGTTCTACCAGGTAGGGTTCAGAGCTAGACTGACTTCAACAAGGGGTGAGCTAATAACGGGCCAAGGATGCCAGGAAATCACACTGCACCTAGTGTGAACCGCCCTTCCTCTATTGGACAGCGTTCGCGCCCCCTCGCGTTGATGCATGTGAAGCTGGGGCGGACGTTGGATCGGGGTCAAACTCTGCAGTACCTGTCTCTTGCAGACATGTCGCGCTAAGGCTCCAGATCTGACTTCCCGCTGGTGAGGGCGTTCCACCTCGGTCACGAGTTCCTGGTGTGACACTGTTTGGATGTCCGCCAAACACTCATACCTGGCTACCCAAAGTACAGCCTGTCCTTCAACGCTGAACCCTGCCCAGGCAGTCACGTCGGCGGTGTTGGTACTGCAATCGTGGACCATCATTGCGGCATACTTCGCCAACGCTGGTCTGCGCGAACACGGGAGTCGTTGCAATTCGTGGACCCTTCGAATGGCTGTCAGCAGATGTGATCAGGGACGATGAGGCGCTCGTGCTCGTGTTTGCTCCTCGGAGAGGGTCTTTGCGCTGGGATCTTGCCTTGCGATCCTCGAGGCCCTCTCCTCACACGCGCCATCCACAAGTCGGTCCAGCGATCGACCCACTCAGCATTCAAGGAGACAGAATCCGCAGGGTCTTGAAGCAGGAGAAGCCCGGTATCACGGCCATCTCAGGAAACACATCACACGAGCAATGTGGCGGCGGGGAGTCCACTATTGCTCAAATCGACTAGGGTCCTCCCTGACGTCCTGGATCCGCCGTCTCATGAGTCCTTCTGAACCGTGTGAAGAAGAGATTGTCGGGATCATTCTTCACCGAGCAACTGACCTTTTGGGGTTAGTAAAGCGCCGTGGCTGGATCGAGGTTTGTTCCCTTGGACGACGACCTGGAGATCATGTATACCAGCATCGTCCTTCACCTGAACCACATTATCGGGTTCAATTTGGCCAGTATATAGAGCCCATGGGCACCGGTCCATGGGTCGAGCCCATCACCATCTTTCACTCCAGCTTCGCCGCAGAGAACCGCTCGCCGCTTTTCCCACAAGTTTGTCCTTCAGTTCGGAAAGCCCAACCTGATCAGCGAGGAGCTGCCGTACACTGAATCACCTTCAAAGCAACTGTCCTCAACATGAGATTCAATCACCACGCCGACGCAAGCAAGAAAGGCCGAGGGGGCAAGCGACGAGTTGATGCAATGAGCATCATCAATCTCTTGAACGGTACACCCACCCCGGCAGGCAACCGCCGCTACCCGCCGAGAGACAAGTACGATCAAGAAGAAGGCATCTTCATCTGGTACAACCGCATTGACCTGGGTCTCTCCTGGAACCGGGTGCAAGAGAACTTCAAGCGCCAATTCCACAAACAGAGAGGAAAGGCCGGACTCCAATGCAAGTACTACCGGGTTCTCACCGAGAACCACGTCCAAAAAGTCCGAGACCAAGGCCCGCGGGCCCTTCGCCGACCTTATGATGTGGCAGCCTGGGGTGTGATCGCTCAAACGTCAATTCGATACCCATGGATGCTACCTTACCACCAACTTATGCCAAAGATGATGAAATGCAAGCTCTAATGTATTCATGGGAGGACGCCATGGCCATTCAATTGGAACGGGATATCTGTTCGGATGTCTGTTACGTTGCCTGGGCCGTTTGGTCTCGTTCCAGGGGTTGTCTAGGACTTGGCTGCTTCACACCAAAATTGTTCTCACCACTTGTTATCGGTCTCATCGATGTCATCACCGTCACCTCCAAAAGTCTCGTCCTCGGATCCATACTGGCGGTAACTGTATGCATTATAGCCATATTCGTCGTCGGAACTGACCTCATCCTCTGGGTAATCATTGGCAGGGTTTTCCTCGGCTGGCACCGTCAGTGGCGGTTTCTATCAAGGCACAATCTGAAATCCATTTACATACCATTCGAATCTTCCTCGTCCCAGTCAGTGTCGTCGTCACTGCCAGCATATTTTTGCCAGAGGTCTTCGTCTTCGTCTTCGATGACCAACACACCCACGTTGTTTGATTCGATCATGCTTATAGGATCAGGCGTCTCATCATCGTGACGGACACGGATATACGTTTCGTATACGTAGTTCTCCTCATGGTCTGAAGAAATCATTTTTGTATCTTCGGGCTCTGGAACCGGTCTCGATGGTGCCCCAGCGTCTTCGGCCTTTCCCTTGACGTCGGGGTCAAGCTCCATTGCCAACGCGGCAAGTTCGTCTGCGAGCTGGTCCGAATCATGGTCCCAAGTACTGGGGTGGTCTCTGATCGAAGTCCCCTTCCGCACCGCTTGCTTGCTTGCTTGGAGAAATGTGTTTATAGGTGTCCTCTTGGACGCTTCCAGAGCCTCAATGCCCAGCAGCCGCGCATCTGATGTCGTGAGTTCACTTTTACCATCATTCGGAACATCCAACACATTGTCAAGAGGAGTTACTTTGTGGAGAGGGCTTTGCTCGTGGCTGAATGTAGCCCCATGTCTTTCGACGAATGTGGCAAGTGGAGGCCGGATCGCAGTCTTCACCTTACGGATTCCACCAGAGGAATTCGGACTCAAGGCTGAAGATAGATGGCGCGTGAGATGGAATCGGCGGGCTTGTTGCGGACCTTCCCTCGGTATGGGTGTGGTCGGGGCGGAATGGCTGCCGGCGACGGGCGCAGGCTGAGACTCCTCACCAGCAGTGTTGGTTGCCCCGACAGGTGCAGCATTGTTGTCCGCTTTCTCCTTGAGTTTGGCCTTCAAATGTTCATAGTCTCTTTTCTCATCGCCTGGTGAAGTCCACCGAACAGAAGGAATACCAGGTATCGAAGGTTGGGACCGTTGTGGGGTGAGAGGACTGTTGTCTCGCTGGGAGACGGGAGCAATGATCTCGTCTCGAAGGCGCTGGAAGTAGAAATCGGTAACCCTCCGTTTCTTGTCTGGGGCACTGCCGTGTTCGAGAACTATGCAGGATTAGACCATATCCTCGGACAACGCTAGGGATGAGAGAAAGCATACAGAGGGTGTCGACCGGTTCGTCAGAGCGTCTGCGCTTGACGCTGATGCGTTCAGGGACAACAGACATGGTGGCCAATATAGACCGTCGGCACAGGAATCGTAATGACTACAAAGGGTGAATAGTTGTGGCAGCAGAGCGGCGTGTTGGAGGTGGAGGGATGGTGGTACAGTAGGACTATGCAGTATGTACTCCGTACTTACTGCACATTTAATATCGTGACATTTAGGTTTGCCAGGCACCCGAGAGGGTTTGATTTTGGTCGCAACCCGCCATGGCGGCCTACTCCGTACGGTATGACATATGCAAGCCTAAGGGCTTAGGGGCCCTTTTCAAGCCTAAGCCTCAAGCCTAAGCCTAAGCCCCCTAATCCTTAGTAGCCTTAAGCCTTAGGCTTAGGTTAACCCTCCACCCTAGGTGCACCCCGCCATCCGCTTCGCGTCTGTCTCTCCTTCTGATTCGGTCAACTTGCTCTCTGCCCCCCAGAGCCTCAATGTCTCTTTTCACTATTATGGCGGCAAAGCTCTTCTGCGAACTATCCTGGGAAGCATCCCTCCCGACTGCTAGTCAGCTGTGCCCCCTGCTCTCTGCCTCCCGCGAGGGTGCCGGTACCCAGTTTTAAAGTTGGACATTCTATCTTGGAGGAAAGGCTGGTGCCAGTCGATAGATCAAATTGAAATTCGTCTCATTTTGCGCAGGCATGTGAAGCCTTAACATTGTGTTTATATGTAATTTTCTGCCTCCCCGAGCCACCTCATCTGTCGCTTAGCCTGTCCTAGCCTGTTCTGTACGTTCTTGCTTGACGAAATGTCGAAGATAAGTCATATCCCACCTAACCCTATCTCCGGCGCGGAGTCAATAAATGCACCCGCTTTTTGACCTGGCTTTTCGCCCCTTTCCCTTCCGTTGATATATGAACCCGCTCGCGCGATCGTTGTTCTCATCTGACGAGGAGCACGCATCCGCAGTTGAATAAGAATAAGTGGCTCCCGCATCGACGGCTGTCGATGATATACTCATCGGTGGTGAAAGATGGAACGACCAATTCGTCCAAACATGTCCCTTACCCTCGTGGTTCTGATACAGACCAATTGACCGACTGTGAAAACTCCTTCCCAATTTTCAATCGCCTTTTGTGCAAATAAATTGCCCGCCTGCCCAAACACACTGCACATCAATAGAAGGCTGCATGTCCCTTCAAGCTGGGAACCGATGCCCGCATCCTTTGGCCGTTCATCGGCAGAAGATTGCTATGACGTAGAACCGTCTATGTGTGAGAACGCAAAGAACTCTGTTCAATGCTGACCTGTCTATCTCTGATGAACCAATTAGTGAACAGAAGTGGAATGCAATCCGAGAATGACTCACCCTACGTCCTCGTCCGCCGGAATGGACAGTCTGCATTGGAGGTGGGAAGTAGAACTGTTGTTGAGGATAATTATACATGTTGGTAGGCAAATTCTGCGGATAGTTCTGTCCGGCAAATCCTGCTGAGCCAATGACGGGACTCATTTGTGCTGAGAATGACATTGGTGAGGACGATGGATTCTGCAAGGGGCGAAATTGGTCCACCGAAGGCGGCGTAGCGAAGCCAGCATAACCACTGGGCATGAAACCACCATTGGACCGTTGTGCTGTGTTGGGATAGTTCTGATATTGTGTTTGAGGTGTCATTTGCTGGTACGGAATCTGAGAGTATGGCTGTTGTGCTTGGAACCCAGCCATGTTGTACGGGGCGAACCCGAATGAGTCCGCCGACCCAGTTCTGATGGGGCTCATTCCGTTTTCCAAAGTGTTTCCATTGACGCTGGGTGCGAAATTGCCGTTGAATTGCCGTGGAAAGTTTTGGTGCCCATGTCCATTTCCGGGGACCTGCTGCGGGTGATTCATCTGGCGACCTCGATCATTCATGGTTGGGTGTGCATGAGGAGTATATTGCTGTACGGGAGGCTGACTGGGTCGCAGGGACAGGCCAACTTCATCCATGATTCTCTTGTAACCTTGGTTTGGTTGCGCCTTGATCTTTGTGAGCACTCTCGACACGTTTTGCACCACCTCCGGCCTCACGCTATCATCCAAAAATGGGCTGGCCAAGATCTTGAAAATCAGTGTCACTCCCGAAGTCTGATCGCAGAGAATTTGCTCAAGAGTGCTGTCGTTGGTACTGAAAAACAAAGCCTTCAATACCGCGTCCCGCGCTTCCGGCTCGTTTCTTTGATTGATAATCTTGAGCACGGTCAGGTAGGCGACTTTATGGGTGCAAAGCTGAACCAGGTGAGGGACCAGTCTCGGCGCAAGCACGGACCGTCGACGAGGGAAGGTACAGGTGTCGAGGAGCCATGTCAACAGCAGCGCTCCATTGGCACTCTGAGCGAGCTGAACACTGTGTAGCGCAACTACCGCAGCCATCAGGCGTTGTTGGTTCTTGGTGGCGTGATGAGATTCCAAACAAGCACGCATGGCTCTGGCGCCGAAACGGCCTTGCGCAATTTCCCAGAGCTGACTTAACATGGTTTCAAAAATGAAGTCATTATATGGCGAGCCAAATCGAAGGCAGCACTGAAGGACATAGTTCCCATACTGATCGAGGAACAGGGGAACGGTGTAAGGACGAAGCGAATTGACAATCATCCGAGTCTGAGTTTCGGTCTTGCACACATCGATGATTTTTTGAGCGGCCCAGGTTCCGTTTTTATGCACTCCAATTTCGGCAATATAGGGAGCGATGTACGTCAGCATCTGTTCCTTAGTCTGTTCTGAGCAATATTCGAAGAGCTTCTGGACCACCGTGTTCCCAAGATAGTCCGAGGAGAGCTCGGCAATCTCAGGCAGCATGTCGATGGCGATCTGTTCGATCTCCTGCAGACCACATGCTCCGTTGTCGATTCGTTTGCGGATGTCTCGCAGGGTTGGGGCATCGTAGATTCTCGTGGGACTTGGCTCTGGAATTGGTGGAATTTCCTTCTCCAATTGCTGGTAACGGATGGCACTGTCGATGTTGGCAGAGATAGATGGTAACTCTGATTGTTGCCCACCAAAATCCAGGACAATTTGCAGAATTTCAGGTTGCAGTTCCGCTAAGCGGTCGGCGGCAGGTAAAGATAGAGTTTGTTGTGCATTCGTCGAACTGGCGGGACTGCCTTGTCCATCTTTGGACTGTGAGACTTCAAGCGAGTCCGCATGTCCATTTGAAGCCGGAGGAGGGGTGGTGTTCTGAACCGGGGTGATAGAAACAGAGGCGTTTGGAGCTTTGGCAAACCCGATCCTGACAGGACCAGCCCCCGGGAAGATCTCCTTCCCGTTGAGAAGGTGACGGGCACGAACAGCAGCTTCCAGGGTTTCAAAATTCACAAAGCCACAGTTTTTGTGGGTTAGAACCCTGGTAGATTCGATTGGACCAAACCGGCTGAAAATGGCATCCAGGGAGGACATGGTGGTGGAATTGGGGATTGACCCGATCCACAAAGACCGCGACACTTGAATCTCAGGGTCATCCATGCCCTCATATGACAAGGACGCATTCTCGTTGATGTTTAGACTCTGCAAAGCATCGGATATCGGAGGCTCACCGAGGCCACTGGAGCCAAGAACGTCAAACTCCATGTCGACCGCATCGGCATCTGGGTGGATCAGATTGCGAAGCGAAGTACGTTGTGGAGTTTCGACTAAGCCAGCAGTGCGGGCACGCGGACGTGCGGCACTTGCATTGACAGCAAATGCCTGAACGGCTTGATTGTGAAGCCGCACTTTTTCCTGGACGCGTTCATACTCAGCTTCCAGGGCCGCCGCTGCAGATGGAGTCAAAGTTCCGGTAGGATACAGAGCATGGCTATGGTCACCATCGTGACCTTCGGCACTGTATTTTGGTTGCGTGTTGACGGAGAATGACCTGAAACGACCAGAGTTACGCAGCCCAAAATTGGCTAGCACGTCAGACAAGCCGGAGTTCTGTCCGAGAGAAGGATCAGTGGCATCATGACGAAGTGCCTCCGACAACCTTGAGTGTGGCAGAGGTTCGGCAAGACCTAGGTAGTCAAGAGTCCGGACACCCGAGTCAGACATGCCGTCCCTTGACAAGCCCAATTGCTGTGGAGAAGTAGGATCCTCGGCAGAACTGATGCTAGTTAGGGTCGCCGCACGACCTCTTGTGCTCCAACTGCTGCTGTAAGCACTCTGGCCGAAAGAGCTAGAACTTCCCAGCAGACCTGACCGTTGAGGCATGCTGCCTGCGCGGAGTCTGGATAGAAGGGCGGAATTCACGGGGCTTGCTGAGTTCGCTGCGTTGGACGTGGTCGAGTAGAACGCGGTCTCCGCGGCGGAGGTTGATCCAGGTCGGAAAGGACTCGTGGAGGGAGTAGGGCGGGAAGTTTTCGAGATCAGGACATTGACTCCATTGATAGTCCCTACGGGGGATATTCTTGAAGGAAGGGTGCCAGCTCGACCTCGCCTGGCCGGGCTGTTGATACCAGTCTCTGTCAGGGGTACCAGGTCGGGGAATCCGTCTTGATTAGGGGACTCCGGTATCTCGAAAAGCGGGGTGGAAGTCCCACTGGTAGGAGGACCCCATATGTTTGGGGCAAGAGAAGAAGTCTGAGACTGTAGTTCTCGAGTGCGTTTGGGGAAGAGTCGGGAAGTCTGTTCGTGAAGGGGAGAGCCCGCTCCTCCTCTTGCGCTGGACAAGCCTGCCAGTCCTGAGGAGGATTTGGGGCCTCCAAAGGGGGATTTAGTGGTAGGAACTGAAACAGGCTCCGTGATTGTGTTCAGTCCTGACAGATTGAGGTTGAGCTGCCCGTCTGGCCTCGTTGTGGGAGCCATGATAGGTGAATCGCGGCGAAGTCGACTCAATCCCACCTTGACGGGATCCGCGGAACGTGGATCAAGTAAAGGTCACAGGTTTGAATTATATAAATCTTCCTTCTTTCGCCCCCAACGTAGCCTGTCTCGGTGAAAGGAGGGTGATGAGGTTGTTCAAGTACCTCGGGGCCAATTGCAGTAAAATCTCCTGCGGTTTGTGGCGTCCAGAGTGTGTATTTTTGGGAGATCCAACAGGAGTATAGACGGAGCTGGTATATTTTCGAGCTGACAATAATGTAATGTGTGAGGGAGGACGAAAATCTGTAGGGCAGTGGTTGTTACAGCTGCTCGAATCGCGGGTACGAGGAAGACAACGGTTTCGCGAATGAACTGGACACTACTCTAGAGGCCGATGAGCATGATTGCTAAGGATAGATCGCATTAGGCAAGAATAACACAGAATATGGAGAATCGAAGTAGCACTCCAGGGGCTGAATGGACATTAGAGAGAAGGATGGAAGTCAAGGTAAAGGTGAAAACGAAAGAGTGGTGGATGGATGGATCTCAATTAGGGGGCAGACTGCAGAGCGGCGGGCGAGGGAGCGCAGACGGAGACAGCGGTGCAGTTCAAGTTGTTTGTATGCTACAGAGTACAATTACGGTGTACCACGAGACTACAACTACCCAACCCAACATCTTGATCCCGCCGACTCTTGATCCAGCTAGTAGGTATCAGGATCTTGCTAGACTGCGGCCTTGTCCCTGGTTGAGTATCCTGAACGCTTCCCTGTCTGGCAACATGTTTCGACGATGCACGATCCATCCCGTCCATGCAACCATCGCAGCCCAAGCTTTCGAGAGCCTGCCAACGAGGGACGCGTTACCCACGTCGCCCATCGCCCATCCTCCCGTCTAGCTTCCGCAGAGAGCCTGGTTGCAGCTCCCTCCAAGATGGTGGGAGACGACAATACTGAAGTGTACACTGTACGGGGTACAATCAAGAGGCAGATGGCAAACACGCTGCTATGCATTCTAGCAGCCGAGAATTGCTATCCCACACACAAGTGCAAACAACCAGGCTCCGCTCCGCAGCCACTCTCGAAACATTTTCTGTTTGTCCACCGGCGCATCCTGGCTCCCAGTACCCTGGAAATATGACTGATCACCTGCTCCAGCCTATCCCAGCGATTCACCATTGCTCCAGGCTTACAAACTACCAGCGCTCCAGGTGCCCGGGCTAAGACATTCTTCCAGGCTGTAGGCACCTAGTAGGTGCTTGGAAGCAAGCCACGCAGTCACTTGGGCTCTGATCGTGGTGACAGAGATCCTGAAACACTGGTGTCCGACTCAAACAGCCAACCACATTCCTGGGCCTGAAAGCCCTCCACAATTGGGTCAAGGCCTCTGCTGCGCGCGGCATTACGAGTCGTGGGAGGAGAGCGCGAAGGAGCCGAGTGCACGGTGCACCCCGGTTTGCGGCTTGCCTTGCGGGGACTCAGCACCCGTGTAGAATCACCCCCTGAAAGCTGCATCGGCTCTTCTTTGTCACTGACTAGGCCAGAATCTTCACTTTCCAGCAGCCTATAATATAACGATCTGTTGTGGTCCTGTCCGTCCAACCTGCTTCATTGCTCTTGATTTCACCTGGAGACGCGTGTCACAGTCACCAAGATCCCATCCATTAGACCACCATCCGGCCCAGTCAAATCGCTGAAGGTGGTATGTTGGATACACATCTAGAAGGAACAGAACAAATGCCGGCCGTCAACGAAGAAGCGGAAGCGGCAGTCTCATGAGCGTTTCCTGGATTTTCCGACACGTGTGCAACCCTGTTCTGCATGGGAAATATAGTACCAACCTAGTCCAAACCACGACTGACGACGCCCCAAGCATCGAGTGAGGCTTGCAGAAACGAGGCATGGAACAGCTACGCATTTTTGTAGACACTAGACTAGGTTTCCGCGCTCAAGCGAAGTCTCAGGCCCGGCGATCTTTGCAAAGACGACGGTGACACAGGAATGAGATTCGACAAACTTGAAAGCTCTTGGGCAGCCGACCAGCCAGGTACCAGCCAGCAAGGAAGCTACCTCAGCTAGCTGGCCTCGAGGATCATCATTGAACCCGATCCAAGTTACTCCCGCAATTCGAGGCTGGACTTGGAGGAAGCATGCCACTCACTGCCTCATCATGTGAGTGATGTTAGAAGGACCTAAAGCGCATGCTTTAGGTCGTGAGCTTTGAAGGCTTGCATAAGGATATTGGAGGCCGAAGCCATGGTTCAGAGGCTTGCTTCCCAATTGCAATCATCAAGGGTCGTTTACGTCAATCCGCAATTTGATCTGTTCTGCGTTTTTTTGCAACGAATCCCTGTAGCATGCAATGCCGGTTTGACTCCATCGGGTGCCTCATCTTCTCTTGTTCCTCTCTTCTCATCCCGGGCTCAGTGGCTTCCACATGGCCGTGGCAGGCATTGAAGGGGAACGGTACGAAGTCCTGAAGGATTGGCCACGTTCTTGCGGTGGACAGACGTTTGAAAGGAGATCAGGAGGACTAAGCAGGCTGGGATCCAGGGGCAGAGAAACCTTGGAAGTCAAGGGTGTGTTGTTCCTGACGGAGTATCGGCACTGTGCAAGCGACACGCCTGCCATTAACCATGTCCGACTCAAAATCCGTGCCAGACCAACCACGACTGTGAGCCAAATGAAGCAGTGAGTGCTGTCCAATGGCGTATCAAGGGGTAAAGTTCATCACAGTGAGACGACAAGGTGGCGGCAGACGGATGGTAGTCAGGAAATAGATATGGTCTTTGGTAGCAGCACTAGTCCTCCGTACGCCGTACGCGTCCTAGTAAAGAGCTGATCTGCCGACTCAACTGCCCAACGTCCGACGCATTTCCGTCCCCACGTGCAAGTCCATCGAAACTGCATTTCCTTTCTCTTTCGACCGTCTCTTCTGTCTGATGTTGGCTTCTACGATCCTCCGATATCCCAGCGACGATACCCTACCATGCATGTCTCGACACTCGGGCGGCCCTCCTACTGTAGCCTCCAAGACTCGACTACGCTGCTAAATCCCTCGACCGCTTCAATTTGGCGATGATCTCCCCCAGTCAGCATGAACGGTATCACCGAGCCGTTACCTGGCCTCCTTGACGATCCGCAGTTCCAGATAACGGATTTGCCTGCTCTGACCGATTTTCAAATCGCTCCCCTGCGTAATCCAGCTCCTGCTCGTCATGGAAACGTCCCGCTGCCACTCGAGCCAGGGCCCGGCAACATCCTCAACAACACTCGGACTACCAAGTCTCTATCGGAAGACCACAGCGAGAAAAGGAGGGCTCCAAAGATCACTCCCAATGACGTCCTGCTGGCTCGGGAATCAAAGAAACCACACTTGGCCATTAGCGAGCTGCTGGAAGACAACGATGGTCAAGACATTGCACCGATGCAGCTTCCTTCCTTCATCAGCCTTTCTGTCGTCGAGAAATCTCCTATACAAGCACCCGCTGCTTTGGAACATCCTCAGTTTCAGAAGCGCCTGAGAGTAGATGTCGAAAATGAGCACATCTCGCTGGATTTGATCAGGCGTCTCCCTCGGCCGGCACAGAAAGATGAACGACAGACTAGGCCGGCACCTATGCTCCCTGCGATGGTCACGGGCTTACATGAGCCGCCCCCGTCCGCAGCACTGCTCCCGTCCATCGACGTCGACTCTAGGCCTTCAGCTTCACGCTCGAACACAACTTCGAAGATCCATGTTAAGGATATGCTGACCCAGTCTGTTCAGCATACATCTGCACTGCCCACGGCGCTCCTGCCCAGCCAAGCTGACCAAGATTTGGGCTCGTTCAAACAGTACAGTGCCGCCCACGGGACATCCTTTCAGGAACTTGTGCCGGCCAATGCGGAGCTAGCCACAGCGCCGGCACCGTGGAAAGACAATAAACCTCGACGCGTTCGTCGGAAATGGTCAGAGGACGAAACAAAATATCTGCTGGCAGGGGTGCGAAAGTACGGTGCCGGCAAATGGAAACAAATTCTGGATGATCCATCCTTTAAATTCAGTGATCGGAGCTCAGTTGATCTCAAGGATCGATACCGAGTCTGCGCAAATAATGAGACTGTCCCGAGACTAGATACTCTTTCTGCCAGGATATCCTTTGGCATGGAACCCTTATCTGGCCCCGAAGCTCCTGCCACTGCTCAAGGATCAATTTCGCCTGACCAGTCTGCCCCCGCGACCTCGCCCATGGATCTGGGCCAACCTTCGAAACAACGGCGGAAACGCCGCGCCTGGACTGCGCGTGAGGATGCCAACCTGCTCAAAGGCGTGGCCAAACACGGGTTTCAGTGGACCGCCATTCATGACGACGTTGAGCTTGACTTGAAACATCGACGAGCTACTGACTTACGTGATCGTATCCGCACCATGTACCCAGACGGATACAGGCATGCTGAAAGCGCACCGCTGAGATCCGAGATGAAAAGGACCGAGAAAGTTGGCGGACAGAGCTTCACTGCTAGTATAGCTGGATCTAGTGGCTCGGGAACGCTTGGAAGGAGCTCTGCAACGGCGACTCCACCGCAGAACGTGGCTAGTTTCACGCACCCCAACTCGAATACGCCGACACAGAATCAACCTGTCACTGAGCGGACCAAATCGTCGGCTTCATCTGCCAGCATGATGATGTTGATACACAACACCGATGGGGATCGAGAAAATACAAGAGACAAAGAGAAAGACAAGGAGCGGGAGAGGGACAAGGGAGGGGAGAGGGATCAACAGCCTGGCGTCACTTTACCCAGCTTCACGCTTGATGTTGAGGATGACATGGATTGGGAGGATAATAGGTTACCCCCACTGCATGAATGGGAAGAGATTGGCATATAGCGTGGTTGAGTGGCCACCACTACGGGATTTATTGTGCTACTAGGAACAATCCAGACGGGAACAGCGAGGAGTATACTGGGAGATTCTTGGGTCATTTTAGGATTGGGGCTGGATTCGGCCGCGGCTGGCATCAAAAGTACATTGCCATGATACCCAATTTTGCTTCGCACGGGTTTGGAATTGACTAGGGATTTACGGCTACCAAACCGGGACAGAGGATGGATTTGATGGACGCAGGGGTTACGCGCGTTGGACTTGGGATAACATGAAAGGCAACGGACTCGAGACACGGGAGTAAATGGCAGGGCATATAGGTAGGGGGTTAGGTAGCGCCGCGACCACATACGCAAGTACTAACGCAACGCTACGCTCCGTGGAGAGCACCAGGCCATGGCTTTTGTATGTCATGATTTCGTTGCTTCTGGGTTCGTCTTCGTTGCCAGCTGAGTAATGTATGCATCCTGCCGCGGTCACGATTGACTGCACCTGCCGTAGACTCTCCCGCCTCGCCTGTCAAAGGGGGCAGAACAGGGAAATCAATTCTCGAAACAGCCTCCCAACTCCACGCGGAAACGATAAAATCCCGATGCGACCCGGGGCCCCTGTCCATTTTGCTCGCCCGACATGCATGCTCCGCACCCCCTCCTCCTGTTGGGCCGGACTGGTGCCGTTGAAACAGTATGGTACAACAGAACGAACCACATGCGTAGGCTAGACAATGCTGCAGGAATCGACGGGCAGATCGTTGCGAGGCTCCGGAACCACTCGTCGTAATATGCCGCATATTTGTCTGGTAATGAATGATTGAGAGTCTTTCTTTTAATTGCCTTTCGTCCCCTTTGAAGCTGGTTTATCAGGCCATTGAATCCGGCCCGGCAGCTTTTCACATCACCAGGCGTTGCGGTCCCAGTTCGGATCTAGAGCCAGCCGTTAGTGTTAGAGATGTGCGCCATGATCCCCGACTATCGTGATGTGATGTGATGTGATGTGATGTGGGGGGTGGTTTGGGCAACTTACCCTGGATGAAGGCGCCGAGGACTTTGCTCCCGGTTTGCAGCAGCGGGTGGCCGGCGACGATCTGCAGGAAGCGCTGGAGTCCTTCTCTTCGATGCTCAATCACGTCGTCTGAGAAGCGGTTCGTGAACACTTTCCCCGGCAGCGGCGGGATGGTGACTCGGGCACTCTCCCGCTCCAGAATGTCTCGGAAGTACTCGAAGTCGGAATAGCGGCGGCGCACGACCGAGTGGCGTAGCTTGAACGCGGGGATGTTGGTGCGTGTATGGATCTCGTAGGAAGTGTACATGTTTCGAGGAGAGGAGCCGTGAGTCTGGGGGTTTTTCACCTGGGTGTCGCGGACGGTCAGTCGGCTGCGTCTGTTGCAAGGTTGCGTCCGCGGTCCGATGCGAGCACTGGGCCTGCTGGCAGCGCAGAAGTGCCAGTGCAACGCCAGAGCAGGCGCCGTAGCTATAGACGTACCTCTATCTCCAGAAAGTTTTCCGGCGGTCCATAGATCTCCTCGAAGGTCTGTTGTCGCGACTCTGGTAAGGCTTGCATGGTTGCGGGTAAGCAGTAGTGGGGTGACGGGTGCGGGATATGAGACGAGTTCGATGGTCGCGTGCAGTCAAAAGCTGGTGGTCGGTGGTATTGAAGCTTTACTGCTGTTGGAGAGAATCTAGACAGTAGCTGGGTTATTGGTCACCAGCTGGACTCGGCTGATGATCTGGCGTCGCTGGTATCTGCGGTCTCTTCATTTGTATGTTACGCTGTGGAGGGGCCGCAGTGCGTGGTGTGTCGACTCGACTGTCTGGAACTTTCCTGCGGTGCAGTACTCCGTATTCGGCGCCGACTCCCTCTTGGGACAGACGCCTTGTCGCTTTAGTAGACGGTCATGTGACCTGACCCAATCTTCGACTTCGATTCAGCCTTGCGAATGGATACTGGGGAGCCACCTCAATCCTGGAAGCCTTTGGCGTGGATAAAGATGTCAAGATCGGTACGATATGTACCTAGGTGAAGGAGTATATCATATACGTGGAAAACGCCTGTTCTTGCCATAAGGAAGAACGCAAGAGGCCCTTCATGAAAGGAACCTACTCATCTTCCTTCCCTCGGGACTCCCACTTTTTCCCTTCCATCTCGAGCTCTAGTTCTTCCTCTCGAGATGTAATGAGTCCTTGGAACTACCTCTCCCCTTCTAGGCGACTTCTACGATGTTATAGAGTATCCCTAGCCAACTCCCTAGCCACTCTTAGAGACCCCTTAGCTCTTTCTTAGGACTTGTGACCTAGGAGCCACCCCCTATGTTCTTAGGTCCTCTCCTCGTCTTCTTAGGTCCTATTCTCGTATTCTTGGATCCTCTCTTCGATTTCTTGGGTCCCATTCTCGTGTTCTTGGATCCTCTCCTCGTATTCCTGGGTCCTATTCTCGAGTTCTCGGATCCTATTCTCGTGTTCTTGGGTCCTCCTCCTAGTCTCTTTGATCCTCTTCAGAGCATCGAATTCTACGTTCATCTCGGGTCTTAGGAACCTACTCCTGCGTTCTCGGAACTCCCGCATCTGTTCTCCGAAGTCCCGCTTCTGTTCTCGGAAGTCCAGATCGTGTATTCGGAACTCCGCATCTTGTTTTCGGAACTCTATCTCGTGTAACTCCATCTCGTGGCTTGTACGCATCTTCTGCAAGGGGTCCTGCAATGGTTTCGATGTAGGGACTTTCTGTACCGAATCCTCCCTTTCTTGCAGGGACACCTTTTGTAGACGTTCCGTTTCGGATCTTAGCGTCTCCTCCTCAGTGAGGAGGGTTTGGGAATCATCCTTAGGCTTGGGCCAACCAGTCACAGGTTTCGATTTTGTTGACCCTTTGTCATACCTTCGCGAAGATGTAACATCTGCATTGCTTGAGGTTGATGATGGAAGACTTTTTGTCCCAAGCTTCGCTCCGAGTGGCTTCTCTTTGGGGATTTGAGGTGGGAGGCCAGCATTATTGAAATGGATCGGACCAAGCTCGGATCGATACGGAAATTCTCCAACAGCTAGGAATTCCCGTCTAGCATCGTGACCAGTCTGAAGGCCCTCATCTAGGTGCAGATCTCGGTCTCGAGTGCTGGTAGGTTGTGGGAGAACCCCGGGAGTTTGCGGAGGAGGCGTAGGAGTAGAGCGACTGGCGTTGTGAGTGTCCCGGTGAGATTTGTCAAACCGGATAATGCGTGGTTGGTCTCGTCGCCGATCTGAGCTCCCTCGTTGACGTTGCTGCATAAGGTCCAGGTTCCTCATGTATTCATGGGCATGGAAACTCCCGCATTCGGCCCACGTTCCAAATAATTGTGCGAGGTCCTTCACGGCCGTTTCAGTAGCCGTTTGTAGCTGCTTCTCCGCTACAAATATGGGACCACGGACGGTCAGAGTGCGAGTAAGATAAGCATTTGTAACACTTAATCTTGCAACAACATGGACCTCTTCAACATTGTCGATCTGTTGGATACCGTGACAAAATTTGGCGTAGACATTGGTAGCGTAATTTGGATGGAGGAACTTGAAAAGAAGGACCACGAGATTATGGGCCTCCCAAACTTTTCCCTGCTGAAGAAGCACAGAGACCAACCGCTCCACATCCGCTGTGAGGCTTTGGCGATGCTTTGACTCTTCGAATTCAACCAAGATGCGTAGATAGATCTCTAAGCATTGCAGCTGGGGTTCCGTGAGTACAGGGCGTTTCCATTTAGATACAACGTACCTTGACCTCGTCATCCTGTACACCCTGTAGATCATTTAGACTTTGCGAATCGTACCAAGCTTGAGCTGTGTATAGACCTGTCGGCTGGCTTCTCACTTTGTGTATATAGGTCTGTGCGCAGGCCTGAAGGAGCCTCACGAGCCACCATTCGGAATCCGAAAAGCCGCACTGCTCCTGGGACTGGGGGAGAAGTCTGAGTAAATCTTGGTATGCACTTTCTGATATGAGAAGTTCTGCGTACTCGGCAAGTATTGGGAAGAGGTCCAGGTGAGGCTCCAGCGTTTGGTAAAAGTGTTCTCGTGCCTTTTTGAAGAGGCCGAGGCGGACCAAGCGGACAAAATCCTCTAGTTCCCCTTCAATATCCTCTTCTATGTCAAATTCCAACTGGAAGTCGAAGTCCTTGGACGGAGTGATGGGAGGGTCCTCGGTCGCCTTGATGGAAGGTGAAGGATCCATATGTGTTGACTGCCTCAGGGGCCGGCCGGACTTTGTAACGATCTGGAGTTGAGATGAAGAAGAGTCGGTCGACCCCTCGATCTTGACCCCTCCCCCGCCAAATGCTGTATGACAGGGACACCGACGTATCTACAAGGGTGGCGAGGGGGGTGCCAGGAGAAAACTGGCGTTTACCTGGTGTCTGACTGTAGAGGTTATGGTCAAATCAGACCTCGCCTTGTCCGGCGCAGGAGACTTCTTTCTGCGGCCGAAGGACTGTCGGTCATCCGGCGGTAACTCATAAACTCATAACCTGCTTAGAATGCTGCTTAGTATGCCAGACAGCCATGGAGCAGCCTAACCTGGGAAGCCGGATCAGGCATTCCACATGGTTCACCAGGCGTAAGGCGTCGCTCCCACGGCCAGTTCGCCAGGCACATGCCGGGGTAGACACGGCGGTGGGGGAGAGAACTTTTGGCAAGGCATATGTGAACTGCGCTCTCCGTGGCAACAATTCGAAATGGGGCAAGCTCCGGGACAAAGACGCAGCAGTGCTACAGCTTCTTATCGATCCACGCCAGCAAGATGGGTTCAAGCTGAGAGAACTCGTTCTTGAATTGTCCTTCGCGGAAGCCGACCCGAGTTTGGTGCCCGCTCCAACCACAATCGCAACCGCAACCGCACCTACAACCACAACAGTAGCTGCAACCGTGTCAGCCACCCCGAACGCAGAACCCTCACTTGTTATCTTGGAGCCCCCCTCACCAAAGAACCTCAAGGGCAAGACGACGATTCAACATAGTGCCCATGAGCTGCTTGTTCAGCCTCAAGTGGGCGCCGGTGGTATCAGCATTGGCGGGATGGGACTGAAGACTACCAAAGATAAAGACGTCGAGCGCTCCTGGCGGTTCAAGAGCCACTGGGCCAACAACGAGCTCGGACTATACACCACTGCACAATGGATGTGGAAGGCAGTGGCGGAAAACCCAGACATCGAGGACGTGGGCGGCTGTTCGCCGGAGTGATCATCCAGCACCCTGGCCAGCCGTTTTATCTGACATGCCGGGTGAACGGGAAACTGGTCAATATGGGCAAGAGGTTTCGGTATGGCAGTGCCGTCGACAGACCATACTATACCCTCGTTCATCCGAGGCCGTCGCAGCAGAGTATCCAGAAGGAGGCCGAGGAGTTGGAAAGGGTGATAGTTGACTTGATCAAAGGCGGAACGGCCCGTAAGTGCTACCACTGCTCAGTGCTCGTGCTCTCAGAACACCCTTCTCGACGAGACCAGGGATGCCCGTGTCATACTTGAGATCAAGGAACCCCTCTGCTGACGTCCCAGTAGGAGTTGTGACCGCCGAAGACGAAGCGACGACACAGCCACAGCCACAGCCGCAACCACAAATCCTCTCCCCCTAGACCCTCTTACATCAACGAAGCTACACATGATCGTGACGGAGATGGCCATGCTGGAGTTCAGAGTTTGAGAGCCGGATCTCTCAGGAATGGATTGGCACTCTCCCTTGGCGTGCCAGCCAGTCCGGTCTCAGTCACCCTGGAAATCTCAATTTCACTGCACTGCAGTCAAATCCAAGGGTATTTCTCTAATAGACTGGACTGTGTACAGCGGACCTTACCTATAAAAGGGCAGGTATTGTGACAGAGGACAGAGTAAACAGTCCTATTTGAAACGAATCATGTGACTGGCTCCGCGGACATCGGTGGTCGGAGGCTTGGCATAAAAAAGTCGTGCCAAGCGCTTCTTCATCTTCATTCTTCAAACCTGCATACATAAGACATACCTACTACAGCCCACATGTACTGAGGCACCGGGTGCTAAGTAGATGTCCTCAGCCTGAACCTTTCTTCCAGGCCATCTAAACCGTCTACACTCCGACCCGAGAGCGATATCTGCCCCTCTGCTCCTCTGCCTCTGCCGGCAAGATGTCGAAAAAGCGGAAGAGAGAAGTCGACGTCGAGCTCGTCAATGTCTATGAGCAGCTGGCCGACGACAAAGAGTCTGTCCGTCTCAAGGGCGCCCATACTCTAGTGTCGACAATCTTCAAGCCCGGCGTCACCAGCCACGAGCAGACCCGCACCATCCTGACCCGTCTCTTCCGGGGTCTATGCAGTGGACGCAAGGCGGCTCGTCTTGGTTTCTCCGTCGCCCTGACCGAACTGCTCTCGCAATTGCCCTTGGGCCCCGAAGCAAACACGGAAGACCAAGACCACTTGTCGGTCTCTGCCCTGATCGACATCCTCGAGGCTCAGACTGTCCCAGAAGGCGGCACGACTGGCCAGGATGAACGTGATCACTACTTCGGGCGAGTATTTGGCGCCGATGCTGTCTTGAAGGCCGGCATACTCTGGAAGAAGCCCGATCCCGATCTGGCGGCCTGGAAGCGCCTCCTGGATCTGATCTGTGGCGTGGCAACAAAGAAGCCCTGGCTCCGGCGGGAATGTGGATGGATCTTAGCCACCTGCCTTGCTTCCAATCGTGACAGCTTACCAGATGCGTTTGCAGTCGAGGTAATTGAAAGGCTAGCCGCCCATAAACTGGTCCGCACCCCCGAAGGAGTTGCCATATGGTTGACGGCAGAGAGACTGTTTCCCGCTGCCAAGCTGCCAAAATGGGTCTGGAAGAACGGCGACCCGTTGGCGAAGAAGGATGTCAATGTGCTGGCCGATGTTCTCAAAGATGCTCGAGCACAATCGGACCAAGCAGACAAGGAGCTGGAACCTCAGGGCTCGGCGAGATGGTCAGCCAGCCTACATTTTGCCTGGGATGTTGTGCTGGATGAGTTGTTTCGAGAAGATGCCAAAGACAAACCCAACAGGATCTCGTTCAACCTGTTCTGGGACACGGCCGTGGATAGTGAGTGAAAGTCAAGTATGCTGCCTTGATCTCCGACTGACAGATTGACAGAAAGTCTTTTCTCGCCATCCAGCAGCACTGAGAGGAGATCTTGGGGGTTCGCTGTCTGGACGAAAGTGTTTGAGAGAGCTCCCCAGAAACTGCTGCAGTACACGTTCACACCTCAAGCCACGCATTATTTGGCCAATTCCCTCAAGAGTCCGGAAAGATATCTCCAGAAACACGCATTGAAAGTCGCCCAGATCTTTCACACCCGCCTAGTTGCCGATGATGACAGTGCTCCTGGGTTTGGGCTGGCGGGTGCCTGCGTCCGGGCTCTCCTGGAGAGTGTCTCGTATGGTGACTTTGACCAACTTACGAAGTCCAAGACTTTCCAAAGCCTGGTGGACGTGAATGATCCTCGTGTCCTGAACGCTATCCTGTTGACTCTAGAATCACTGCTCAGAACGTCACGGCCTGACGAGGACGACAAGGCGACCTTGACTCGGCAGAAGACCATCATCAGCCTAGAATCCAAATTGGTCTCGGCCTTACTGCGAGGTTCAGAACAAAAAGCAAAACCAGAGCGCACCATCGACGAGCACAAGACCCAGCTTGCGAAAACAATTACAGGCTCTTGGGCCGGACAAGTGACCCATTTGGATGCTTCGACGAAGAATGGCCATGGCGATGGCCTCAGAGCTGCCATCCTACCCGAAGCACTAGAGTTCATGAAAGAGCGCCTTGCTTTGGCTTTCGAACAAGCACTGAGGCTGGGCCCAGCCGGGGCCGACATCCTGCTGCACACCGTCCTCCATATTCACCAGCTAGAACAGAGCCTGAAATCGAGGCCGTCTATGTTCGACGATGGTATCGCAGACATCGTGCAGGAAGGTTGGCGCAAGCTCGCGAGTATCCACACCACGTTCGCCGTGTCCAGCCAGGTCCCGGTCAAGAAGCCGACAGAACGCCAAAAGGGCGCCAAAGCTGCTAACGATACTGCCACCGAGACTTTCCCGACATTTTCAGATGGCTTGTGCCTGTTGTACTCTGTGGTGCTCTTTCAGATCTACCTCGGAGAAAGTGACGCGGTGGAAATACTGCAGGAGCTCCTTCAACACCACCAGCGTTTGGATTCGAAGAAGCACAGCAAATCCGACAGAGGTGTAGAAGCCGAGTCGATTGATGCCATTGTCGAGATAATCCTCAGCTTTTCCTCCAAGCCGTCCAAGTTCCTGAGACGGATCTCGGTCCAAATCTTCGACGCTTTTGCTCCACACATCACGGCCCAAGGGCTCGAATCGTTGTGTCGGGTTTTGAAAACGAAAGAGAACGCTCAGGGCCAGCAAGAAATGTTCCAAGCAGAAGACGTCGTCATGGAGGATGGGACGAGCGTTGACTCGGACGTGGAGGAACTCGACTCTGACGTAGAGGTTGAATCCGTGTCGGACGAAGACGAATCTGGCGAAGATGAAGATTCGTCGTCCGAGTCCAGCGCAGAGTCGGCAGCCACGTCGGACGACGACGACGACGAGGATGGAGAAGACGAGGAAGATGGGGAAGATGGGGAAGATGAAGAACTAGCCAAATTTGACGCCGCGCTGGCGTCTGCTCTCGGCACTCGACGACTCGACCAAGACGACGTCGCGGCCGATGGCGACAGCTCCGACTCATCGGATGCAGACATGAACGACGACGAAATGATGGAGCTGGACACGAAGCTGGCCGAGGTTTTCCGGGCGCGGAACGAGCAACAATCCAACACGCACAAGAAAAAGACGGCCAAGGACGCGCGAGAGAACGTGGTCAACTTCAAGAACCGCGTGCTCGACCTGATCGACTCGTACCTGAAGCACCAGCAGCACAACGCCCTGACCCTCGACCTGATCCTGCCGCTCCTGACCCTGGTGCGCAGCACGCGCACCAAGCAATTGGCCGATCGCGCATGCAACATGCTCCAACAGTTCTGCTCTCGCGCCAAAGGGGCCAATGTGCCGGATCTGACAGCGGCGGCGAAGGCAGAGGCCAAGGCGGAGGCAAAGGCAGAATCCAAGATCAAGATCGCTCATGCCCTCGACACGCTGAGAGCCATCCACGCCGAAGCGGGAAAGGAGTCGTCCAACCTCCATTCCAGCGTCGCCGGCCAGACGAGCATTCTTGTGGCCAAAGCCGTGGTCAAGGCCGACCCGAGCCGCGTCCGAGACCTGGTGGACGTCTACGCGGAGACCAGGCTGCGCCAGTTGACCGACAAGCGGTGCCGAGTCGTCCCGGGTTTTTTTACTGATTGGAACAATTGGTGTCAGAGTGTGAGGGAGAAGTTGGCAAGTTGAGGAGCGTCAGCGTCAGCGTCAGCGTCAGCAAGGGAAGGGAAGGGAAATGAAGCGAAAGGAAGGGAAGGGAGGAAACGACTTGACTTGCTATGTAGTAACTAATGCAGCTCGTACGTACGTATATAGCCTACCCTTAGCTACCCTTAGGGTTTAGGAAAAAGCTCTTCTGCCACTGCTACTGCTACTGCCACTGCTACAAGTCTTCTCCGTCATTCATCTCAGCTAAGGAAATAAATAAGAACAGTATAGTTGAGAGCAAGAGTTCACAATTGGAGGCGGCGGCGGCCGCCCATGACAGCCTCGAAATGGAAAGCCTTCATTTCAGCCATTCCTAGTGCGAGGAACATGCTCGACTGAGCGCGGGCAATGCTACAGTGTTCAGTGTCACTCACAGTGCTACAGACACCCTACTCGGAGTAACGAGCAAGAAACAAACAGAAGGCTCATTGATTCGTGGTCCATTTTTCCATATGTCAAGAAAGTTCGTCATCTCGTCAAGGCAGCTAGCAACTCCATCGTCCATATCAGCTATTATTGCACGGCCGGCCATGTTCCCCAAATGCTGCATACAATCGCTGCTGTTCCGCCTCCATGTGGCCTCAGAACCCTAACCCTACCCTCAACACTGGACCAAATGCAATGCGCGTAATAGCCACCGCCTAGTCCCCGACTTCTCCATACTCGTTAGGACTTTCTGTCACCCAAGCTCGGAGCTGTATTTCTTCTTTTCAGTCACGTCAATGCTGTTGTCTTGTCTCTCGCTCTTTGTGTGTTCTGATTCTGATTTCCGTCCTGATCATGCAAAATGTCACGCTTCCCCTTGATGCCAGGAACTCCCACCAACACCATCTCCGCTCAAGTCAGACAGACGACCATGCCAATCCTCCACGAGAAATCACGCTCAACGCCATTTCACGGTGCCCGGCCCAAAACATAAAGGAAGGGAGAAGTCACCAACACCAGAACTGGCTACTTCATCTCTGTCCAAGAACACTCGTCAGTCAGGCAAAAGGATCGTCCTTGGGAGGTTGATCCGACACCTGTCTCTGGTAGTGACTTGTGTGGAAAGTGCTAAACATGTCCAACCTCTCGCCAATGCTCATACTACTGGTATGGCCATGGCTGGGCGCGGTTGCAAAAGCACTGGTGTTGATGAAAGGATCGCTCATGCTCGGCACATGTCGAGGATTCTTTGCACGATAGCTTCGCTTAGTCGGATCGAGCTCGAAGGGACTCCCAAGACGTTTCTGAGTCGGATCGAGCTCGGGGGGAGCGAGACTGGATGAGAAAGCAGGACCCGCGGGATTTGCCAGGGCTGTAAGAGACGGAGGCAAGGCCGGAACGGGCGGGATTCCTGAATCCTCCGTGGCAGGGGTATGTAGGGTGGGTGGGGTGAACATGCGTTCAATGTGTTCCCGATCATTCACAGCACCCAACGTCGCACCCCGATTTCGAACGCGTATCCTCCGTTGAGTGATGTCGCCGGCCCCAGTGAAAATCAACTCTGGGCGACCCGGGGGTTTTGGCTCGAACGTGGCCGGGGTTGGAACCTCCAAAGTGAGATTCGCATCTAACTTCTTGTTGATATTACTCCCGCTGGGGCTTAACTCGTCCTCCAGATTGTGCTGCGCTCGTCGCTTGTTGACATTGAGAGACATATCCGTCTCCAACTTGAACGGTGACAGTAATCTCGACCCGGTCGCGTGGATAGTTCCGAACTGGTTGTGACTGATATGTCGACGGTGTTTGGGATTGGCATTACTCGAACCACCCCACGTGCTGTAATTGAATGGCGATGCGAGACGGGGAATGCTGCTCGCAACCTTCAGCTTGTCCGCTTCGCTCTCGATGCCCAAACCTGCAGGAGTCGAGAGTGCCATGGCGTCGGAAGTGTTGTTGTTTAGAGGAGTGTTGAACCAATCATCCGACATCTGCTCAGTGGGAGGAGAATCACCCGTCACTAGCTGAGCCAGGGGCGCCGTTGCACCACTGGCCACGAGAGAAATTCCCAGCTCTCTGGTGGCGTAGGTAGTGGATGCATCGGGATCATCGTCCTGTTGAGATATGGACCGAGTCAATCTCGACGAGGGCCGTCGGCTGAATTGGTCACGGAAGGGTGACGGACTCCTGGACTCGCGCAGTCGTTGGTAGTGGGCCGTGATGGTGAACTTTTCCTTGCATAATTGTTTCAGCCGTCTCCGCGTCGCCGACTCGGATGGCCAAACACCCCTTGCATCATTGTTGTCGGTGCGTAGGAAGTCGTTGGGTTCGGGGGTCTTGTCCCTGACAAACCCACGGCTTTCAATGACATTTCGCATCTTGTATCTCCGAACGATCGGTCTCGAGATCCTGCTTGCCCGGGGCCAAGTTTCTTTGGCCCTTCTGGCCACTCGATGACAGACCCCGGTGGGAGGAATGCTTCCTGGCACCGTTTTGAAGGGAGTCACGGTCGGATCGGCCAGATACATTTGATAGACATTGAACAAATGATTGTCCATCTCAATGCTCCACGGGACGTTGGCTTTGGACGTGAGGGTATTGATCCGGAGCTTTTTGCTTCTCCTTGACGGAGTGTCAGGGATAATGTTGACTTTGGTCAGGCAAAATGGATCGTGCGACTCGAGATCGGGGCTGGTAGCACTGCCGTCAAACGAAGTTGGGCGGGTTGTAAAGGCTTCCGACCACGATCCAGACGAGTCGGAACGAATGGAACATTCGGACGAAGAACGATGCATGTCCCATGCACTGTGCTTGTATTCTGCAGTAACGACTTTTGTTTGCGCCACAGGTGTCCGTGGAAGTTGTGAATCTCTGGCTGCCAACAGTTTGAGCCGGTCACTGGGAGAAGGGTCGGTCAGACTGTGGGTGTAGGTTGGTCGCGTCCAAGCATGGTGTGCTTCGACGGAGGGTAACACAATGTCGGCGTCCGAGTCGAATTCGGCCTGCGTAGACTGGGCGCTGGAAGGAATGGGGATGTCTGAAGCGAAGAGCGTGGCTGGTAGAGCGTTGTTACGCGTCTGGAAGTTGTCGAGGTTAACTCTCGTCCGGCGGATGCGGCAGGTCGAGTGACGCGGCGGAGGAGGCAGTTTGAGTTCGGCGAAGGTCTGATCGGGCGTTTTAGGGTCGTCGCCGACATCAAGACGCAACGGCGCGAAGTTTCGAGGGAGGGTTATGGACATGTGTGGCTTGCGTTGCGCAGACGAGGCCATGAGAGTCGGGGAGGTTTCACGGTCGGCCATGGTCGCGAGCGAGCGCGCAAAGATGGGTTTGGACTCGAAACACAGACGCCAAGGGCGATGCAAGCTGCAAAGACCAGAATCCTGCAGGTCTGGTCCGTATGCGAAGTGTTCACGAGCTCATGCTGTGCGCGCGCGTGGATTCGGTTATGCGGTTATGCGGTCGACCCGGTGGAAGGATGCGCGCCGGAGACAGATCGACAGCGCCACGGCGGTACGGGGTAGAACTGTACGTCGAGCGACGGAGAGCGAGTGTCTCAAGACGTGTAGGATGACAGCGACCGAAAACAAGTGTTGGTGGTGGATTGCGACAGGAGAGACGTGTTGAAGGACGCGCCGGCTGCGAGGACCATAAGCGAGAGTGAGAGTGTGGACTGCAAAATGCGGTGGCTGGGAGAGCGTAGGGGAAATTTGGGGCTTGGCCGGGGTATGGACTACGACCGAGTAGTAGGTGGTGAGCGCTGCGAGTATGGAGTACTAGTATAGGTGAGAGAAGAGGGAGTGGTGGAAGAAATAATGTCGAAACTGTAGTCGAATTGGTGTTGGCCTTAGGTTCTGCTCTGTTTACAGGCTGACGTGAAGGAAGAAAAGGGTTTGTTGATGTGGTGGAGGATTGGAATGTTGAAGGCAGTAGGCAGTTGGCAGTTGGACGGGCTGAGTAGTGTCGAGGAGGCGAGAGGAAGAGCGAGAGCGCGCGAGGGAGGAGGGTCGCACAGTGGGTGGGCGCGGGACTGCAGTAGTCGTGGTGGTGGTAGTGGTGGCGGTGGATATTTTGCTGGCGGTGGATTCGAGACAGACAGAGGGAGAGGCAGTCGGTCAGTAGCAGAGTACAGTATGACACGGCAAGTTGACCCAAAGAACTGCCAAAGTCCAGGGTGCCAGGGGCGAGGTTGAAGTCAGATCTGGCGCTTGGAAGGGCCTGAACAGCCTGTTGGGCCCCCGAGGGAGGATCCCAGCGAAGAGGAACTTGGAGGCGAGACACGGGCGGTGCGTGCGCTGCAGTGCAGTGCAGCTACAGTAGTCGCCAGCCAGTCCGGCGCCTAGGATGCTGGTGAGGCAGAGTGGAGAGGAATGGGTTGGTTTAGGGAGGCGAAGGGTGAACGACGGAGGGGTGACAGGCGGAGTCACAACAAACAAACAATGATGATGGATGAAGAGGGTAGAAGCGAGTGAGTTGATGAGGATGAACCATGATGGAAAAGGAGAGAGCAGAGAGAGAGAAGAGATGAGAGAGTGGTAGAGCAAGTTGTATCTCATCCGAAGTAGCAGTATACAGCAGCGATGGGACTCCGTATAGCAGCCAGCGCAGGCGCAGGCGCAGGCACCGGCTTCACGTCCAGTGCTGGCGCAGCGTAGTTGATATCAGTTCGTAGGCAGCATGTATCCGTACTCCATACTCCATACACTGTATCCGTACAGCTCTGCCTCTCCCTCTGCCTCTACCATCCTCTCTTCCAGGTATTCGATATTCGTCCTTGTCTCACCTGCATCCAAGTGGATTCCATCCATCGTCGTCTTGACTTCGATTCGAACCTGGCCCTCCGTCCTCCGCCCTCCGCCGTCGATCTCGCCATTGTCTGCCCGAGTCTCTCGTCCAACCCACCCTGTGCAAACCTTCCTCCACTGACTGCACGTCAAATCCACTCCAGCTGGCGACTGCTACAACAGCTACAGTCGAACTATTCGCTCTCCAACCCTCTCTTGCTTGTCTCCTGCAGAGCACAGACTCGCGCGTCCTCGTGCTGCAACTATCAACTATCAGCAGGCCACATGTTTTGCCTCATGCACTTGTCTGCGGACCATGGATACATGTATTGCGTGGCATCGTGGTCTTCAGCATGAGGTTATGGGAGAGGCAACGCGAGGTTAATGTGCTCTTCCCATGACCCGAGTGTGCAGTAGTTTAGTATACCTAAGGTATAGGTACGTACGCCTTCCCCCGGCCAAACTGACGCGTCATATTGTAGACAGAGAAACGCGACAGTGACACGCTAGACAAGCTCGGCGCCTCCCGAACATGAATGGCTGTCCGATCAACTTCATCCACCTCGCTCGTGTTTGCCATGGCCAATCTTTGGTCTCCGTTACTTCTCTAGTCGACTTGAAGCCTGAACTTGCTGTCACCTAAACATTCTGTGTTGACCTCAATCGACCCCACGCTCCTCACATCAGTTTGTCGACTAGGATTCAGGCTTCAACAAACTTCCCTTTGCATGAGATCCATTGTGGGCTGTCCACCTGTGTGCGAGCCCGAAACTCTGATCCTCCCTCGCCGAAATATGAATGACCTCACATCTCCATCCTGAAACCACCTTGACGGATGTTGGGCTGGCGAGAGATTATAGGACGTAGAGGGCCTCCATTGGCCTGCATATAAATAAAACAATGTGTCAAAAGGTGACGTTGGAGTCTTTTTCCGTTCCTCGTCCGCCATGGTGAAGAGAGAGAGAGATCATCACAATCCCTTTGTGGGAGGGTCTGGCCTCCTTACCGACCCGAACAATGTCTTCCGGAACCATGGATTTGTTCCGAACCCTCCTTGCCTGGCCGGGTAATGAGGGATGCAGAGTCTCGGCTGGTCTAGTAGGAACTTCTATCTTCTGTTCTCTAGTATGTATGGGGTGCTCGGCCTGACGCGCCACGAATAGTACAGTACTGAGTACAGGATTACCGCATAGACTGCTCCATCCTGAAGCCTTACAGTAACCATATCGTTTATCGATAGTAGATACGCGTAACACACAGAGCATACCTATCAGGTCCTTGCTTATCGATACCCGTAACACAGAGCATGTACGGATCCTCCATACTCCATACTCCGTGCTGTAATTACGGTTCTTGCATTAAGATCGGCCGTCTTGCCCTCCACCACGACGCAGTCCAGGCGCTCGGGATGGCATTCACGGAGCCGAAGGAAACAACCGAACAGAGCTGAGCTACTATATCCGGACATGATACTGTCTTTCACACAGCTCACCTGTCTCCGAAGCTGTATAGGTATGGTTAAGTAGGAGGCAACAGGCTACGGAGTATCCGTTTTCTGTATGTTACCTTAGGTGCCTAGGTACCTACCTATACCTAGGCACAACCTTGGTTACGTAGGCGGAGGACATGACTGTACTGTACAGTGTACGGAGTACGGAGTAATACTGTACTTGCAGGTAGGTGGGTTGGGGGTGTAGAGTTGGGAGATGGGCCTAATGTTAATGTTGGTGCTGGTGTTGGTGTTAATATACCTATACATAAGGTACATAATTACAGGACTTCGACTTCGGGAGGAGTTCCCACCTAACCGTACTCCGTAACGATTGCGCAATTCCCATCATCCATATGGCATACGGAGTACTATATACTAAGTAAGGTAGGTGCCTAGTACATATATTGGACCCTGACCTAGGTATACACCATTATACTTGATATTACACGTAAGGACCAGAACCAGGACTAGGACCAGGACTACCTTAGGTAGCGGATAGGTAGGTACTAGGTATTAGGTACCTTATGTGCTTGTTGTTGCTGTCTATAGTATCTATTTCAGTATATACCTAGGTACGGAAAGAAGAATTTCGAATCGAATCCACTCGACTGTCTGGGTACGAACGAACGAACGAACGAACGCACGCTCACAATCACACTCTCCGAGAGTCTTCACACCGGTCGGGTGTGGTAGGGTAGCTAGCTACTCAGATCGACGTTTCATGTATCAGTAATGCTCAGCTCCAGCTCCAGCTCCAGCTCTTGCTCTTGCTCTCGCTCACGTTCAAGCTCACGCCCTCGCCCTCGCCAACAACGCCCCGGCACCAAGTGAGGCTCTCCAGCCGTGCCATCGCCCCCAGCAACAGTAACAAGCCATCCCTTTAGCCCGAACTCTCACTCTAGCCCTGACCGTGAGACTCGGAATGCTGGGTAGTAAACGCTCGCCCATCCAACGGCACCTCTACGACACCAGAGCCAGGACCAGCGCCAGAGCCAACGCCCATGTTCTTGCGGAACCCATCCTCCCAGCTCCCGATGAGGGCGCGGATGGCTTCTTCTGCGACTAGGAGCCCGCGGTTGATGTCTTCGACGCCCGTCCAGCCCGGAACGTGCAGGAAGGCGACTTTGCCGAGACGTTCAAGAGCGAGCTGTTTCTTGCGCGCCTCGACCTCGACGTCGACCTCGGACTCGGCTTGGGCTTGGGCTTCGGCTTCGGTTTTGGCCTCTGCCTCTGTCTTTGTGTGCTGATGATGTGGGTGTGAATGTGGGTGTATATACCGATGAGCATCGATCCAGCGAAAACTCAGACTTTCAAAGAGTGCGTACTCGCATAGAAACCGGCCGGCATCGCGCGACAACTTAACCACGCCCCTTCTCCTATGTCCTTCCGCTCTTGCTGTGGCAACGGCAGCGGCAATATTGGTCGCGGTGGTGCTTGAGCCCCATATCGAGTTCGAGTTCGCGTTCAAGCCCACAGCATTGTCAAGTGAGGGAGAAGACGTACTAGTTGTCAACGTGGTGGAGTCCGTTTGCGACACAGGCCCTAGAAATCCACGCTCCTTGAGGCCCGTCTGGACCCCGCGCTCCCATCTCCTCATCACTTCAGATTCATCCCAACCCACAGACAGGAGATCCGGCACCCCTTCTTTCTTCCAGTGACTCTCACTCCGGGGAAATCCATCCGCGTCGTCAACGTCTTTTATCCGATACCCGTCGCGATGTGCACGGGTTTCCAGGGAATAGCAATCGCGTCCGCCGGCGACGCCGATGTGAAGAATGAAGTCCGGGTCGTGCTGCGAGATCAAGGATGGCACGATCTTGGAGACTGTGCTGTAGGAGACGCGGATCGCTGATGGATGGACTATGAGGGTGATTTTATATGCGCGAGGAGCTGACGGGTTCGTCGACGGGTAAAGTTCGCTGGGGAGAGCAGAAGCGATGAGCCATGACGGGTTGATGAGGAAAGATTTGAACGGCTGGCGAGAGAGAAGTCAGTATGCCATAGTTTGCGATTCATTTGGAAGGGTGAATGAGGCGGGCGGGCTCCTTTCGCCTTGAGAAATCGAATCTACCGGCGACGATGCAAGTGTTGGCATATCTCCATTGTTGATACCCTGTCTCGATCGAGCAATTGAGTCTCCTATAGTCGTATCCTTTGCTTGAATCGAGCGTAGACATGATCGCATTATTCAGACTGGACATTCAATGACGGCTAGAGTTTCACCATGCACCACTGGACAGAACGAAGAGATTCACCATGCAACATTGGACAGAAAGAAGATGAGAATCACCTACCCCGAATCCCGTAACGAGGACTTTGATCTCCCTCGGCGGAGGTGCATCCTGCAACCCTAGCGAGTCCAACGCGGCAGCGCCCTCTGTCAAGCCCAACGGCGGTGTCTGGGGGCCGGCGTCCCCCATATCGTCGAATTATGTATTATCTCTGTCTTATTGACTAGGGCGCTGTACGCGCACACCTAAATCCGGATGGGGTGCGCAACGAATTCTGACAGGTACTAGGTGTGCGGATGCGGAAAGAGTAGCGGCTCAAGACGTAGCCAGGAATCGAGGTGAGGATGTCAACGAGAGAGGATGGCCGGAGGAAAGCGAGGTGTGAGGTCCGTGGAGATATCTCCCTCTCTATCTGGGCCTGAGTGAGGATGTCAACGAGAGGATGATGGCCGGAGGAAAGCGAGGTGTGAGGTTTGTGGAGATATCTTCCTGTCTTGCTGAGGCTGAATCCGGCCGACTGGAACAAACAACTCTAGTTGGTGATGAGTTCGGTCGACTGCGGGACGAGTTGGCTGGAACAAACGACTCTAGTTGGTGATGAATTCTTAGATGACTCCGTGACGATGAGATGAACCCTTGTAGACGACTCCTGTGTGCTGTTGTAGACGACTCCGTGTGTGCTGTTGTAGACGACTCCAGTATGTGCTGTCGTGGTGGTGTACAGGTTACGATGTCAGCGGCACTGGCACTGGTGGCGAAGGACGAGAGTATAGGTGTGAATCTGAAGCATGCCGTTTCCTGCTCATGCACCAACTCAGGGAGTGGTCGCTATTGCGATTGCGATTGCTTTGCTATTGCTATTGCGATCGTGATGGGTATTGTGATGGCTATTGCGGATGTGGTCGCTATTGCGAATGCGAATGCGATTGCGATTGCGATCGTGCTAGCATATAGCTATAGCTATTGTATAGGAAGGTCGCGTGGGTGTAACGTAAGGTAGGTAGGTTATGTAGGTTAGGTCAGGTAGGTATTCGATCGGAAGGACTCGGTCGCTACGAGTATCGAGAGTGGGTGGGGAGAGTTAGGCAGGGAGACCTTAGACACAAGACACAAGACACGGTACGGTGACGGTGACTTGCTAGCAGGCTGGGACGGCGTCTGCGATGTCTGTCAGCGTCGGAGTGAGAGTCAGCGTTAGAGTCAGCGTCAAGAAGACAGAGGGGTGATCAGATATGTACAGAGTAGAGTAGAGGATGGGATGGACGTGGGGATGGAGATGGAGATGGGGATCCCCGCTGCCGCTACTACTACGAGTACTCCGTACTGCCGCCGCCATGTCGAGTGGGCTGTGTCGTGCTCGTGCTTGTGCGTGACCACCATCAACTCAACCCCAACCCTAACCCTAACCCTAACCAAGGTAGATAGAAGGTGAACTTTCATTCCGAGCTATCTGCAATCTGCATCTCGGTATCTGCAGCATCTCGACCTACTGTACGGACTACTCTAAACACCACCAACGCCTTGCTTCCGCCTTGACGAATCCCAATCCGAATTGAATCGACGCAGGCCCCAGGGTATCATCCAACCGACCGATCCAGTCTCACGTAGCCAGCTGCCCAACTCACCACTCACCACTCGCCATCGCCAGGGAGTGAGTGACCCAGGACCCCAAGACCCCAAGACGATGATGACTTGGTCAGACCATTTACCTCGCAGCCACAAGTCTCTCACTTCATAGCCACAATTCTCACTTCATAGCCACAAGTCTCTCCATCTTCCTCAGACTTGCTCGCAAATCGCGTCCACCTCGCTCCCCTTCGTCCACCAACCACTTCTCCATCTTCATCCTCACTCGCTTCAAGTTGCCCTCGATCGGCATCGCTTCCTGGTCACTGACAGAACCGGGATTCAACAAGACGGAAAACACCTCTTGCCAGAGCTCCTTTTCCCAGTACCGCTTCAGGTTTTCCTTCAACTTCCACTCCTTCTTCTGTCGCGGACCCAGAGCCAGACCGCCACTCGCGGCAGTAAGAGGCACGGTTTCAATGTACTTGCCGAACAAGAGACTGTGGATGACGCCCGCCGCGCCGTGGTAGTCGATCTGCCATTTCCACGGCCGACATTCCCGAATCTCCGCGCAGTCTTGAGCGCTCGACGGCCAGTCGGCAATGAACTGGGCGCTGGGTTGGAACATGCGCACGTCAATGCCCCGGCCGAAGTCGATCATCTTCAGTCCTTTGGCGCTCCAGCCGTGGTTGCCGCTCGGGTCGAAAGGGCCGGAAAGGTCGACCGAGGAGTCGAAGCGGACGAGACAGTTGTCGCCTTTCAGGTCGCCGTGTAAGATGCCGATCCGGTGCAGGTCTTCCAGGGTCCGCAACAACTCCACGCCAAACCACATGGCCAACGTTTCATCCAGGCCTTCCGCCAGTTTGCCAGCTTTGACATTCTCGCTGCGGGCCAGATTGACCAGGTCCAGCAGCGTGCCCTGCGGACTGTACGATAGTACAATGTATGCTTCGTCGCGGTACAAATGACACTCGTGTGCGTCAACGATGGACTGTACTGCCCGCGCGGCGTGGCCTAGTCGCTGGCGGATGAGGCGCAGGATGTGGAACTCCCAGACCAACGTGCCAGGAGGAGCCTCGGTTTTGAGGGCTTCCAGGTCTTGACGCGAGGATTTGGTGCGCAACCCTCTGGGGCTGACGTTCTCTTTGTTGTCACTTTCCTCGCCAATCGCCGTCTCCGTCTCGGTTGGGTCGTAACTATCGACCAGATAAACCGGTGCAAAAGCCCCCTCTCCCAGTTGTCGCTTGACCGCATAAACTCGGGCGGTGCCTTGGAACTTGAGAATCGGTGGCACGGCTTTGCTGCATGTCTTCTCGCTCTGACTCTTTCTCGGGCTGGCCTTGACCTTGCTCTTGCCCAATTTCTCCGCATAGGACTTGAGAGGTTGGTAGTGGTTGTACACGTGATCCGAGTGGTCGTGATAGCCAGTGTACGACGACAAAGGCGGATGGACAGCGGCCAGGATCTGCTGTCGCACCGCGTCGTCACAGGGGTTGCATTGCAGGTCGGCAACAATAGGCCCTTTGTGTATCTTGGCGGGTTGAAGGATGCGCCTCGCCGGAGACTGGGTGGGCACTGCAGGAGTCTTAAAGACAGTGTCCTCAACCTTGAGAGGCTTTGTATTCTTTGCGCCTGCTGGAGACGGGACAGGAGAGTTTTCGTTGGTGTGGTGGAGTGATTTCTTGCGTTGCGGTGTGACTGCTGTGTCCTCCTCTTCCCGATCATCAGCTTCATCAAGCTTTCTCTTTGCAGCTGACGAGGGAGTGGCAGGTTGCTGCGGACTGCTCATCAGCAGGGCTTCCATCTTCAGCTTTGACGGGCTTTCATCCTCCTCCTTGGCTGACCGGCTTGGTGTCTTGGAATTGAAGTAGTCAGGATCGTTGAACACGGTCGAGGGAGCAAGCGAGCTCTCCGTGCGCTCTACAATCGGCGTCATGAAGGGCAGCTTGTTATGAGCAACCAAGGCTGGATCTCGATACGGTCGGATGGGGGTGGGTTCATAATCCTCCGGCGGGAGGGGGATGAAGCGAGGTTTGTGGGTGATTTCAGTGAACACGTCGTCCACCGGGGTCGTCACGTTGTTGTTGTTGTGGTTCAGAGACGTGTTGTCGTTGTTTTCGTGCTCACTGTGTCGTGACCCGTCTCGTTCTGGCAATTCGTTGACGCCCGCGCCCGCGCCCTGCTCATCCAGATCCTGATCCTGACCCGGGTCCTGGTTCTGGATTGTGTCTGCCTCATCGCCATCGTCATCAAAATCACCAGCAAGCATGGCAATTGCCTTGGTGTCCATGTCGTCAAAGTTGCCCCCGGCAATGGCAGCAATGGCCTGGGTATCAAACCCTCCCAAACCAGAAGTCTGGGTAGGATTCTGACTAGATGAAGCCATGTTCTCGGTCATATCGTCGCTCAGTACACGTTTGTGAGCGTGCTTGAGCTTGGACTTGCCCGGCCCTTTGCTGGACGAGCCTGACCCTTTGATCTTACCAGAGCTACCGGAAACCGAGGCGAGGCGAGGCACGTGTTTGCTGGTGGTGAACTCAGACCAGGGCGAAACACTGTCAGCTTGGCTTTGGGTACTGGTGGCATCAGGCGGCAGTGAAGAGGAGGTATCATCCCCGAAATCACTACCGGGTCCGGACACTCGGCCGGTCCCTGTACTCTCGCCGTCCCCGGTGGTACTATATCCTTCGTCTACATCGCCCTCAGTAAAGTCGGCGTCGTCGCCGCTCTGCGTATCATCTCTCGCCATCTCGGGTCTACGGAGAGGCTGGTTGAACATGTCGTATATGTCATTAGTAGCTGCTTTGGAATGGAATGTCATGGTTGGTTCCGTCGTGGCCGAATTCTTTCTCTTCAGCTTCTTTCCCGTCGGCGACTCTAGGCGTGTCATGACCGTTACGGTCTCCTGTTTGACTTCTCGGACTTTGAGTTTCTTTTCCCTCTTGTTGGCGTTCTGCGGTTGTGGTGGTAGATTGGATTCGGGCATCCCAACCATCGACTGTGTTGACAAATCATGAACACTGGGATTGGGAATGTCACTGGTCAACTCGAGCTTTTGTCGGAAAGAGTGGCTCAGATTTTCAACATCTTCCGCCTCTTCTGACCTGCTCGGTTTCGACTTGGGCCTCGGTGATGCTGCGGCCATGATATTCCCCGATGTGCACTTTAATGGGCTGGCTGACGACCGGGCTGGTGGTTTCCCTGCTCTCCAGTCCTTCTGCATCCAGCCTCGCGACATGGCTCGCAATTCCTCGAAGCTAAACTCCTCGTTGCCCTCACGGGGGTAAATTGCCTCGAAGTTGACGAACGCTCGCTCTGCACGGCCGGTACGAGGGTTTACCACCTCACTCCTCTGCCTGGACGCCCGGGACGGCTGGAGAAGCTCCTGTGACTATGCCACAACGGCGGTCAGTCTCTCATTTCTGTCAAACAGGTTCAATGCATGTCCAGGAAGGAAGTCTGTTTTGGAATGATTGGCATTGCATGTTCATTGGATGTTCATTGGACCTAGATGTAGAGAAAAAGAATAATCATACCGGATCTTTGAAGATTTCCATCTTCGGCACCGTCCCAACTCTCCCCCCTGCCTTCAATTTCTCCCCTGCCCAAGGTCGAGCTTCAATTGTGTTCTCCTTCTTTCGTTCCCTCATGGACCCAATATTATCCCAGCCATTGGTGATGTTGGCCGAGGCTTTGGTCGGTGCAGGAGCGGCACTGTCTGCGTCGGAGAAAATGGCCATCTTTGGCTTCCCAGTACGCGAAGGCGCTCCCGAGCCACCTCTCCCAGCACTCTGTTGGCGAGCTCCTTGCGGATCATCGTTCGGGGGGGCGGAAGCGAAAGGGTCGATCTTTGCGGCCAGCGCGGGACGAACAGTCGGAAGAGCCGGTGAGCTGGGCTCGTTGTCACTTTGTGGCCTAGCTTCGAAGCGTTGCTGGAACTGGCCGTATTTTCGCACCAGCCGCTCTGTCGGCCTCGCCTCTCTTTCAATGCCCAGCTTGTACACTTCGTCTGCTTGTATCCATCTGCCTGCACTCTCCAACCACGCGGCAAACTCTTCATAGAACAGACCCAGCCCCTCTCCAATCCCGTGACGCGAAAGGAATGTGAAGGTCTCTCGAGGACTGTCGGAGAACAGGCGAATGTAGTGCAACCACAGTTTTAGGTACCGGGGGTCATTCTTGTAGTGTGGTGATGTGAGGAAGGCCTTTGTCGCACGCTCGAGCAGGGGAAGGAGCTGTGATTGTGGCGTCGCCTGTGCGGACGGATATGCATTCAAAGTCCATCTAACATATCGGTCATAGATGTCGAGAGGGTCGTCGGAGTCTGCTATTGACTGCAGCTCGATTTCATATTCTTGTCGAATGGCATCATTGAGTGTTTTGGTCTCACTCAGTGTCGGCAGCGCATCCGCATCCGCATCCACGCCGGCTGCCTTGCTGGTCGGGAGCGGTGCGAGGATGGAAGCTAGCTGCTTTGCCGATCGTCCTCCAGGCAGAGACTGGATGTTTTCCTTGTGAGTTTCTATTATGTCGAAATTGATGAGGTCGTTATCCGCGGCCGGCACGGCCATTGTTGTATTAAGTGCCGTATCTATCCCTGCGTCGTTAAAATACTGTCGCGAAAGGGCTGGAGGAAAGGAAACCAGCAAACTACGCAACTTGAATCTGAGATGCAGGGCTCAACGGTAGACGGTCGACGGATCGGGCAAGACTGTCAACAAACAAGGAACGGTCTTGGCGGGGGAATTTATCCGGAGTTTAAGCGGCCAATTTTTGGTCGGTGTCTGTGAATGAGCCTCACAATGGCATATGGACAGAGTACACATATTATTCTGCCGTGTCCTCCTGCTGTGCCGACAAGGACAAGCGTGAGAGATGCTGATCCTGACTATACCTTGTATACACGGTCTACTGTGGGGTCAAGAATGGCCGCCCCTCTCCTGGGATGCCGCGATCTGAGATGATATGGTGTGGCAATATTAGCACAAGCACAAGCACAAGCACGATTTTGCGCTTCAACAGGTCGTAACCATGCTGGGTTTGGTTGGGAACCTCAAGGTGGCACTCAAGGTACGAATCAGGCGGGCCAAGGGGAACAAAGGCAACAATTGAAGGCGCAAGTCTGGGTATCTTATTTTTCCATTCGAGCCAACTTGGCCGCATATCTTGGCTTCATTTGGATCCACACACTCGGTGGCCAGAGCCATCATCATTGCGCATAGTACGCGGGTGTGCGTATCCGCCCGTCAGCCTGGACTTTCTGTGCATCCCAGTAGTTGCACAGTGGGTTCACTTTTCGAAACACTCTACACTCGGGCGCTGGCAACCTGAATAGCCCGGCGACGGTCTCGTTCCTCTGCAATGGACAACTGGAAAATGTGTTAGCAAGGCAAGAAACATCAACGTCGGGGGATAGTCCAATCGTACTTTGACACCCTTGCCCTTGGGCAGGCTGACCCATGGCTTCTCCTTGCCGATGATGAAAACGTTGTTTTCCCGGGTGGCGAAAGAGTTGTCAATGGCATCCTTGATGTGGACAATGTTGAAGCCACCATCGTGTCTCTCACGGTGGGTGATGACACCAACACGACCCATGTTGCGACCACCAGTAACCATGGCAATCACACCGGTGTCGAATCGGATGAAGTCGGTGATCTTTCCAGTGGTGAGGTCGATCTTGACAGTGTCGTTGACCTTGATGGCCGGGTCGGGATATCGGATCCTATTAAACCCGTCAGCTTTCTTTTTCCAACCACATCTTGGCCCAACGGCTGATAGACGCAGGCGACTTACGTGCGAGCATCATGCGTAACCAAGTATGGGATTCCTCCTTTGCCGACTTGGACTCTCTTGACCTTGCCGAGTTTGTATTCGGCCTCAGCTTGTTCAATACGGTGGACAGCGAAACGGCCCTTGGTGTCGTAGACTAGACGGAAGTGCTCGCCAGTCTTCTCGATCGAGATGACATCCATGAAACCCGCCGGGTAGGTGATATCAGTTCGGACCTTGCCATCAACCTTGATGAGACGCTGCATCAGAATCGCAGTGGTCTCACGGTTGTTCAGCGAGTACTTGAGGCGGTTTCGCAGGAAAACGATCAAGGGGAGGCAGTCGCGGGTTTTCTGTACTCAATTAGCATTCTCGCTCGGTTTGTCGAATTCGCACAATTGGGACATACGTGAGGCCCAGGGGACGCCTTGGGGGCATAGGCGCCCGAGAGCTTGTCCAACAGCCAGTGCGAAGGCGCACTGAGGCGTTTCTGATGCTTCTTTGGACCGCGACCCATCTTGATATGAAGTTGTCTGGAAGGGGGATACAGAGCAATTCCTGCGATGCTGAGATCTAATTTTGCAAAGTGGTAGGAAGTGTGCCAAGATTTTGACGGAGCTAATCCCGATCGGGCGCCTGGGCCAAATGACCGGTGGGTGGGTCATTTGAACTGGAAATTATGGAGCCGGCCTCCTATGTACCGTATCACTGTATGAATTTCCCCCACAATGTGTCGCCGCGCTTCCTCGAATGTAGAGTGTTCAATCTATGTGTTACGGTCTAATCAAAGGCCAAGGCATTCTCTGGACGGGGACGAGACCATAAATACTAAATACTTTCTCGTATCTTGTCCCGCGCCAAAACTGCGTCTCTGCTCTATAGCAGGCCCTTGATAATGGCCGCCTCCGCATTCAGGATTGACGACCCTGCTGCGCCAATGACCGTGTTGTGGCTCAAGGCCGCAAACCTGATATCAAAATGCGAGCCTTTGGCAGCTTCTCGAACTCTGCCTACGCTCACAGCGTAGCCCCCGGAAATGTCTCGGTCAAGTCGTGGCTGCGGCCGGTCTGGCTCATCAAACACGACTATGGCCTTCTCCGGGGCAGACGGGCAACCTAGCTTCTGCGCATCGGCCACATATTCCCTCAGGGCCTGCTTGACTTGCTCTGCACTGGGTGGGGGTCTCTGTTTGAATCTCAGGGACACAAACGCCATATGGCCGTCCGTAACGCCAACTCGCGTGCACGTGGCGCCCACGGTAAGTCCGGACTGATCCTCAAAGGCTGTTGCCTCGGAGTTGATGGAGCCGAGAATCTTCTGCGCTTCGGTCTCCAGTTTGTCCTCTTCGCCGGCGATGTATGGGATGACATTGTCCACGATGTCCATGCTCGGAACCCCGGGGTAGCCAGCCCCTGAAACGGCTTGCTCGGTGAATACTTCGACGTCTTCCACGGGGCCGAATTTGGCTTGCAGAGCCGCAAAAGGAATCACTATGCCGATGACGGCGCAGTTGGAATTACAGACCAGGAAGCCTTTTTTCAGGCCAAAGTGTTTCCGTTGATGCGGAATCAGACCCAGATGCGACAGATTGACCGTGGGCACCACGAGGGGCACGATCGGGTCTCTTCGGTAGTTCTTGGCATTCGAGAAGACAGGAATCTCTGCCTTGAGAAACTCCATTTCTGTGAGGGAGGGTCAGGTCAAGATCGGACCCAGGATCGTGACTTGCACATACCAACATCACCGGCGACGTCGCTATCCAGACCTGAGAAGACCAAGTCGCAATCGGAGAATTCACTGGCTTTACACTCTCGCACCTCGAGATTCGCCAGCTCGGTGGACATGGGTTTCGACTGCTTCCACCGCACAGCATCTTTATAGAGCTTGCCAGCCGATCTCGACGATGCGCCAACTGCCTGGAGATGTAGCGTAGGGTGGTCGGCCAGTAGCAGGATAAATCTTTGTCCGACAGAGCCTACAAAACTCAGTGATCCAGTCAACTGGCTGCAGCGGCATCAATCATGCTTACCAGTCGCGCCCAGAACGCCAGCCTTCCTTTTGCCTTGCGATCCTTTTGTTGCCATGTTGGATGTTGGACGAGGAAGACAAATTTTCACTCCTCCACTTCAACTTGAGCTTACCAGCGTTCGACTTGACTGGGTCCAAAGGACAGATGGGACCCTGGATCCGCGTTGTAAGATGAAGAGATGGTCGCCTGGTCACCTTGGCCTTCGATTATTTCATTTCCAATGCAAGGCAAACCAAACTTTTTTGTAGTTGATGACTCATGGGTGCAGTGGTGGATTTTCACGTGACTCGGTGAAAAGCCCTATCAATCCCGGTCTGACCAAATCCCGGTCTGTCCTGTGTCCATCAGTCCTCATATACAAAGTACGGATGTGTTCTAAGCGACGATGTCTAAGACGACATATAGAGTATTCGTTCAGCGCCTCTCCTAGCCGCAGTAATGTCATGTCGCTCTGCCTGAAGAGGCTCCCGTGCCCTGCTGATTCACTCACTACGTACACCCTTCTCTCTCGGCTGTGCTATTACGTGGGCGCCGCTCGAGGTCCAAGTCTGTGACCCTAGCCTTAGGAACCCTCACCCTCGGTCCTCGCGCCGACAGGTCCTTCAGCTTCAACTTCAATTCAGATAAGACTTCTGGGTAGTGAACTCAATCTATTTGGCAAGGTGGCCGAGAGCCATGTCTCTCGATCCAGCTGGCCGGTATGTTGTGGCGGATCACAAACGCGAGGAAGAAAGTAGACATCTGACTGATCGTCATTAATGAGCGATTGAGAATGGTATCAATATTGAGAATTGCAGAAACACTAGCTTATTGATCAGCGCCGCCGTTTAACAATACACATATCAGACAACGGAGCCCCCGGTCGATCGGACGAGTTCGCCTCGGGTCGACAGACGGAAGGAATCACTCCTTGATCAGTAAGACGACAAAGGTCGCCTTGCGCCCCTGGACATGCTCAAGGTAGGCATCAAGTTCATCATCCTCCTCGATCAGATACGAGATCTCATTTCCACCAGCGTCCTTCTCGACTCCATCGATACGGGCCGGCTTTGCTTCGGGATACTTAATCGCAATCATTGCGCGCAGCTCCTGCACCGTGCGGCCGGACAGTGACCCCAACCACATTTTCGTGTGGTTATACATGGTCGATTTGGGATGTGGTCGAACATACACCGGTGTCATGGAAGACACTGGTGGAGATCCGAGGGTGTCTGCCACTTGCAGCAGATTAGGATCGATTTGAAGGTCCGACAAGTCGTTGTTCTGCATTACGGCTGAGACATCGCTGAAAGGATTGGCAGGCTGAGACGGCTCGTAGGCGCTGTTGGCAGGTGGGTGAGGAGTCGTGTCAATCGTGCCCACGGTATTAATTGCGTGAGGGGGTGTCTCGGTGACCCTCTTGCGAAAGGTACCCTTCTTCTTCGCGCGATCATCCCTGACACGCTTCATGACATCGCGGCAAAGGAGCTCCAACGCGGCTTTCTTCTTCTCGTGGTCAGGGTCTGCGCTGCCCGGGGCGAGAATCTGCTGGAGAAGAGGCGTCTCGGCAATCCAGCGATCCTTGAACGTCTGCCACATCTCCGGTCCCATCTCCAACTTGCTAGTGTAGTGCTCCGAGTCCAGGATGTTGTAGAAGCCACTACGGATCTGACGGCTTTGTTCAGGGTTCAAGCCCAGAATATTCTTGGACTCCAAGATGGTCAGCCGACGACCCATGGTCCGGATGCGTTTGGTGACATCGGTGCAGATGACATCCAGTGCGAGCTCTTTCGATTGCCGATTTGAGGGATCGGAGAAAAGCACGGCGTGCAGCAGAGGGTTTTCGCGAACCAGGCGATCCTTGACACCTTGCCACTTTTCCGCCCCAGCCACGGTCTTTTGCGTGATCTGTTCCTCCTGACAGATGACTTGGAATTGGTCCCGAAGTGCGCGGTACTGCTTTGTGCTGAGAGAGAGGATCTCCCTGCTCTCCTCGAGCGTGGTCTCGGACGGAAAGCGCGGTGGAAGTCCTGGGGGGTCGGCCGGGAGTCCAGCATACCCCTTGGTGCGACGACGACGCTTCTTGGCCCGCCATCTCTCGTCACTGAGCGCCTGCAGTCGTTCTAGCCTCTCCTTTTGTTGCTGTAGGAATTCTTCAGGGGGCTGCTCGTCAACTGGTGGTTGGGCCGGGTCGGCGAGGGCTCCGGCTCCTTCCTCTTGGGCAGCATCCAGTAACTGGGCCTCGATTCGAGCCTCTTCTTCCTCGGCAGGGGTCTGTTTAGCACCGTTTGGGATGCGCATCAACCAGCGATTCTTTGCGCGCAACCTCATCAGTTCACGTTCCTTGATATCGTGGCCCTCCTCGTGCAGCACTGCAAGCATGTTGCGTTGACTGTAGTTGGCTTCCCAGAGCTCTTTGACGCGGTCTACCAAATCTTCGTCCCGGAAGGCGGGCTTGCGCTTGGAGGGAAAGCCCCAGCGCTTGAACTGGGTCTGGAAGGCACGCTTCGAGGGGGCGAAGTTGGCGGTGTCTCGCATGTACTGCATGATCTCCTCGAGCGACTGACTGGTGTTAGCGACGACGACCGATGTAAGCTCCCACGGCAGGGCCAGATGAGCTGGAGGTAACAGGGACATACCTTGCGCTCCTCGATGTAGAGCTTGTAGCAGACATCCTTGTGGGGCTCCCAGTTGTAAACCTGTCCCGGGTCAGTAACATGATACATGATGAGAGCGGTCGACGAGGGCTCATACCATGATGCCTTACGCGTTGCTCGACCGTACACAAAACGCGCTTCGAGGATGCCGTGACGGAGTTTTGTAAAGCCACGCAGATTGATGGCGAGGTGCAACCTTGGCATTATTGTTGCACCTGACTGGCAGCTCGCTATTATTGGGCAGGTACGGTAGTGACTTAGTGACGTCCTGCTAGTAAACCTAACCCTAACCCTAACCCTAACCCTAACCCTGATTAGTACTAGTGGTACTAGGCAGGCGCCGGATCGGAGAAACTAAATGCCGGGTATGCTGTATCCTATCCTTGTCTCCCGTCTATCACTTCGACTTCACTTCTGTGATGAACCTTCACCCCTTCACCCCTGTCAGGAACTGCCGCTGACAACTCAGATATATTCCGTCCATATCCTTCTTCTCACTACGTTTCTCTACCGCGGCTTGGGCTCTCTCGGTCCGATCATCTCCCTCCATTGGTCGTCGATCACCGCTCTCTCTTGTCGAGGTTTCTGTAACCATCGCCGTTGCCACTGTCGCGTCGTCTCTTCCCAGCGCGAGATCTCAGATGCAGCAAATGAAGCCGCAGCATCTGCACACTCGGTGGGGTTTTCCATGGGGACCAGGTGGCTGCAGTCAAGGACAATCTCCTTCACTTGGCCATGTTGCTGGCCACCATTCCCCCCAACTCCCACCCCTGTAGTCTCCATCTTCTTGCGTCTCAGTTCCGGAGTTGCAAGCTCCGACTTCTTTCCAAATATATACAAGACCGGTGGCTTCAATTCAGGCAGTCTCCGAAACGTTTCTGCCGGTTCCGGTCGATAGAACGGGTAATCTTCCACGTCGTCTGGATGCATATCTCCGTACACGGTCCGATCCTGCTCTGGCGGAATGCCTGGGAGACCATAGTATTTCGGCCTCACGTATGAGAAGACTTCCTGTGCCTTAGGAGTGGTTAACGTGACCGGGGGTTCTGGATTGCTTCCTCTCTCGGGGTAGAGCGCAGTCGGCAGGTCTCTGAGGCCGTGGGCGATCCATTCATCGAGGACCCGGGGGTCCCAAGCTTGATAGAACTTGCTAGTGGCGGACCGCTCAGCAGCAACTTGTCTGGAAGGCCAAAGGTCCCGCCGATACGTCGCAGCCGGCGCGAATGTCTTGCTAGGATTTTCGGTCTGGATGACCGGATCAATCATGACAAGTGCCTGCAGCAGTCGAGGATGAATCAGTGCAAGTTGTGCCCTGGTCAGAGTCAGCTGAGAAGTCTCCCGTCTGGGGATGGAATGGTATGGTACAGTTGCGTTCCACCCATGCTATGGCCAATCCCCACAAGAGGTTGAGGCATGTCTGCTTGTTTCTGGTTGATCAGGAACAGCAGATCCCTCGCAAAGTCCCACCAGTTTGCTGCTGCGATCAGCACAGTCCGGTTGACGGGGATTGCGGCGGTCTGAGGAGAACCTACGGTCGTTTCCCAAGATATCTTCATTGAGGACAAAACTTTGGCCCTGATGAGCCATGTCGGCGATCCAGATGGCCCGGATCTTCCTCCCTAGACCGTTCATCTTGTCCTCGAGGTCGTCAAACATAGGCTCGTACATCTCCTATGCCCGTTAGGGTTGAGAATCTCTCACCATTGTCATGGGCCGGGGCCAGAACGGTTCTCACCTTTGGAAAGCCATTGCCATGGGTGGCAATGAAGGTGATGTCGCCCGGTTGCGGCTCCGGGTTGGTCTTGGGGACATACTGCTTCACGGCCAGCCTCAACGCATTCTCGTAGCCCACCTCTGTACCGCGCGGCCAACGCCGCGTATGCTGGGCCGGCACGACATGCTCGATGACTCGAAACCGCGACAAGCCTCTGCGCAGGGGCTCCCATTCCCATCCGCTCCCGCGGCCACTACTACTGGGTCGCACAGCTGGTCTCCGCCAGGCTCGACGCAGCAACATCCTCGTCCTCGGTCACGGAGGCCGCCAGTCTTCGTATTCGACGCGAGCGCCACTCATCTCACTCAGTTCATGTCGACCATGTCGATGTCGGTTACTGGTCGACGACAAATCAATAATGACCGAAAGCCGACGGACGGACAAAGCTCGGGATCGGAACCTCCAACACTATACGGTCGCGCACGAAGTTGTTCAGGCAATCTCAGGCTGAACCATCACATCTCGCTCCGCTCTGGCTTATCCTAAAACCCAGGCAATCAATGCAGCTGCAGCTACTGAGAACTCATGATGATGCAAAGGGCCTGCCGTGTCGAGTCTGTCCCGTCCCGTTTGGCCCAATCCAGACCGGCACAGGTCCACTGGAGCACAGTCCGAAGAATGGTGACTCAACCCGCCGGCACTAACTGGAGAGCAAACAACATTACGATCTCTCATATGTCGATTTGGATTTGGGGCCTGAATTCGTGGTCGTGATCGTGATTGCACTGAGACGGACAGTTGAGTCAAGGCGCATCCCTGCAGCTCCACGGCCCTACTCTCCTGCTCTCCCAGTCGTGAGTCATTGCGGCCCAAGGGAGCTGCGCCAACATATGACATGCGCTGGCCCACAGCCAATACGGCGTACATAAATCAAGGCACCTACGTAATGTTTCAATGCTGTTCCTTTCATATGTAAGCATTGTTTGAGCTACCGCCATCCCCATCCCGCACCACTCTGGCCATGGCGGAAGCCCACGGCGAGCAGGGTCCGGGGCCGAGGCCGGATACAATGTCGGATAGTCTCAGCCGGCTAAGAAGCATTGCGGAGAACCATCTTGGTGAGATTGAGGAGGAAAAACTGCAAGAGGAGGCAGAGGAAGCGAGAGGATCACAGGAAGTCGAGCGCTACATGAAACATCGACGGAGAGGGAAGGGAAGCAGGTCATTGCTGTCATCGGCGACGGCCACACCGACGCCCAAAATGAAGATGAGGTCAGCCCAAGGTATGTCTATTGTCCATCAGTCCATCAGGGATTCTGTTTGCATCTGTTCTTTGGACCTTGGTTTATATCTATGTCCGCTGCACAGACGTATTGAGCCGTCTGCAATGGGACGCCGACCACGACATGGCCAGCTACACGATCGGGTACCTGGAGCGATTTGCGGGAATCAAGGAAATGCCTGCTAGCAGCTGGATTGCCGAGTCGACGGAAGAAGAATGGATTCCCCAGCATCGCATCAAATACTTCAAACGCACTCTGGACAATGGAGACCAGGAGGTGGTCTGGGGCCGGGACAAGCGACTAGACCGGATCTTTGGCAGCGGACTGGGCAGCACAGGTGGATCTGGATCTGATGATAGGCCTGAAGACGGCGGCGTGATCTCAAGCTGAGCTCGTGAAGATTCCGCGGGAACCAGTTGATATTCCTGTTCCTGTCCCTGATCCTGGATACGAGGCAGGATATCTCATCCGTTCAGAGTGCGTTGCGGGCACTGCCTGCTGGATCAAATTCGATTGCGGCCCAACGAGGACGAGTTTGCATGTTTGGGCCAGCACCGAAGATGGCAGCCCATCCCATGCACACTTGTAGCATTTGTCAGACGAGCCGACAAGTCCCACTTGCAGCAGTCGAGGGTCGTGAAGGAAGATGGTCAGACTCTTTTGCCGTGTGCGGGGACCGGGACGGCAAACCGACGGTGTACAAACAAAGACCAAGCTCTTCACAAGGCGTACAAATATCCAATATCTCTGCCCCGAGAACAAAACAGACGGGGAGGCAACGAATGAGATTCGATTCCGAACATAAGAATGAGAATGTTGAAGGGCCGAGCAATGCTTGCCCTCGCCATCACCCACTGGCACTCCGTGGTCCTCGGCCGTCCTCTCCCTCTTCCTGTCCCTCTTCCTGTCCCTCTCCGCCCAACTCAAAGTCAAAGTCAAACTCATGTCCCTCGAGACATATGCGGCGTGTGTAGTTTGCCCAGCATGACTCCGAGTCCATTCCGGATGCGAATGGGTGAAGTTCACTGTAGTGAAGGGAAGGCTGACATGTCAACGAGGACAGATATTCTATTGCATCGACAAAAACTGGCACGGAGCCTGCGCCCACGACCTGTCGCCGCCAGATACGTGCGTCACCCTCACAGGGATATGGGTGAGTGGAAGCGGAAGGATCAGCCGCACCGCATTCCTGAGCCTGAGTCTACAGCCTGGAGATACTTCCACACTTTCCTCGTTCTTTTGTACGCCCATCTCACGATCATACACAACAGAATCATTCAATCAGTTCAGTTGGTCCAGATATTGGGACATACTGCACTTTCTTCAGGTATGCTCTGGTCTGCTCAGCTTCAGCTCAGTAACTAGAATCCTCCCTCTCTTCCTGCCCCTCCTTATCCCTATCCCCGGTTTCGACTTCGACTTCGGCTTCGGACCACTTCCACTCCCACTCCCACTCGCATAGCTTGGGTCGGATTGAAAGTTGAAAGCAAGCTGACCTTGACCTACGCGACAGTGACGACGCATGCAGGTTTTCTGTCGATGTCGATATTGATGTCGGGCAAGCCGGAGGCAGAGGCAGCAACCCAATCCCGATTGAGCTCTCCTATCCCGGCAAGGCAGATTTATCCGAGTTGAGCCTCCAGGCCGACAATTCGTTCGGAAGCTATGTTTGCAGTAATAGTAATAGTAATAATACACCAGCTGGTTGCGGTGGTGGTGGCCGAAGCTGATCTCTGATGTCTGATGTTTGATCTCTGGCGCTTCCTGTTCCTTATAGTTCCTCTTCTTCCCTTCTTCCCTTCTTCCCCTTCTTCTCAGGCCTAAGCCCTAAACCCTAAACCCTAAGCCCTAAGCCCTGAGTGAGAGATTGGCGTGTCCGGACCCCAGACACCGGACACCATAAAGATGACATCCGCATCCGCATCCGCATCCTCATTCACGTCCGCAACGAACGGGCCTCGGTCGATGGCGATGCGATGCGCATCGAATGGAATTGATATGAATTGAATTGATATTGATGCACGTACCGTACAGCTGTCAAACTTAGGCACTAATTTAGGCACTAACTTAGGCATTCCCAGCCTTACCCTTGTTCTTTAAACAGAAGGCTGGTATAGACACACCTATATAGTCTGGGCGTAGGCTCCCCTTATACCCCTTTGATAGCAAGAACATGGAATATTTTGACCTTTGACAACAGTAAACGGTAAACAGTACCTGGGTGTAGTTGAGAGATGGGACTAGCTTTTCCACCCACCTACCCGCCCACCTACACACACAAACACACACACACGCGCGCGCGCGCGCTCTCTCTCTCTCTCTCTCGTGTGTGTGTAGGCTCCTCAGACCAGTGTTGAACTACTATCCCTATCCGCTCGTTCATCAAGTCAAAGATAGCGACATAACCAGTTCTGTTCTCTTCTCTCTCCTCTCTCCTCTCACGACGCCAGTTTACCCTCTCTTTCGGCTAAGCGATCCACCAGAGCGTTGGCGTGGTCTCGGATCTTATTAAACTGCCACGGCCAGTCGATCACGTAGAGAAACGGCCTTAGATCATGACGATTGTCATCGGGATTCTACAGCACCGTAAGCAGCTGACCGGTAAGAGTAAGAGTAGACGCGAGCATCGAGCATCGATTACTTCACTTCATTTCACTTACATATGCACTCATGTGGACACTCGGCGTGAGGACAGTACTCTTATGCCGATTCATCGCACTGGCAGTGGCAATCTTGTCAGCATGGGCGCGGAATAGAATAGCGGGTATGGTAGAAAGCGACAATGCGAGGCGAGGCGAGGCGAGGCGACAGATGAACAACGGCCAGAGAATCTCATCAATGGATGGCAGTCCCCAGTCCGGCATCACATGAACCACGCCCAGAGCATCTCATCCATGGATGGCAGTCCCCAATCCGGACTGTGACGTGGTACATGGTGATCCCTCTCAGCGCCTGAATCCATGTAGAAAAGGAGAGAAGGATAGAATGATAGAAGGGAAGGATAGAAGGATAGAGTAAAGCAAGTGACTTACTAGTAACGGAAGAAGCGCTGGACCTTGGTTGCTACTTGCTGAGGCCCGAATCCAGGCCGATCTTGCCACTCAATCAAGAGTCGCAAGTAACAAGACCACGGGCCAAGCTTTTCCACCTGTCATCCAAGTTAGACGTCGAATTCTGAAGCGGAACCCAAGGACCCAAGGAACCAAGGAACCCAAGGAACCCAAGCAGAGAGACGTACCTTGCGGAGAACTCCAAAAGTGCTCAGTTCGTCATAGGTCAGTCCCATCTCAGCCTCGGATTCGTCGTCTTGCTCCCCAGCGGAAAGGGGCAGAAGCTCGGCCGTTGGACGCGCATCGATGAATTCCTAGAGACAATCAGCATCGACTCGACTCGGTTTTGACCGACTTGTAGGTCATCTGCATGCAAATCCGTACCGTTATGATCGGCATATCCCACTTCTCACGTGCCCAGGCCAGAAACGCTCGGGCATCTGATTTCGATATACTCCCCTGGAAGACCGCAACGTTAGGCGCTTGATCACGCTAATTCGAGAGAGATCGCAGAGACTCACCAATGGCGCAATGTCTCCAGACGAGCAGTCATATTTGGTTAAGTACCTAAAACAAACGCGTGTGAGTGTGAGTGTGAGCCTTTACCAAATCACTCGACAGTGGTGAATTGGCAAAGAGAAAGGGAAAGCTTACCCTCGGAGAGCTTCGTCGACATTGGCCGATGACATCTATCGACGTCTCAGTTATTATTTCCATTGTTTGAATGGCGTAGAAAATAGAAAACAGAAAACACATCGTATGACCGACGCCGCAGTGCTGGCCCTGGGGGCGGTAGAGGTTGTAGGAGCTGTACTCACGACTAGTAGACTTGCACCAGCCCGTGGCAGTTTCCGAGCTGTGGTGCTAAGCTGCGCCATCTGTTGCAAAAACACCGGTTAATACTGTCATGTCCACACGTGTAGGTCAAAGTGAGTGAAGGAGCCCCTTCTTTTGGGGGTGGAACTCCTAATACTAATTCACTCACCTCGTATGCAATGACCATTCTGTTTCGAGCTTGGATGTTCTGTTTTGCAAGGTTCTCCTATGTGAACAGGTTGGTTAGTATCTATATCATATAAGATAAAAAAACAGGCAACAGAAAGAGGCGAGGATATCACATATCACGTACTGCACGGCTTCCTCCCTCAACTTGAAATCTTGGCTTAAAGTTCAAGGCCTGTTCCACGATTTTCTCGTGTGCGGCAACAGTACCGTCGATGTTGACGTCGGAGTGATACCCACCGATACTCTCGGCTAGTCGTCTGGAGCGCGATCTCGTTAGGTCCCCGCTGTGTTGTGCCGCCATATAGCATGTGTGCAGGAGCCTCTTTACAATGTCCTGCGGTGTTTTGACGGTGAGGGTTGGCTCGCCCGTAATTCGACGCAAATCCGCCAGTGTGTTGCTGTCCCCTGAGTTGATCGAGTCTAAAACCACCTTGGCCATGCCGAAAACAAAGAGCGCGACGGTGGCGCTGTCGAGACCTCCAGAAAGAGCGAGGAAATAGCCCGCAGCGTTCGAGCGGGTGAGATACTGCCACAGAAATGCCGCCTCAGCTCGATAGATTTCTTCCATCGGGTCGAGAATCTGGAGCGAAATTTCTCGCGACAGTTGCAAGGTGTTTGAGAGTAAAACCTCGTCGGCGGGACAGGATAGACATAGATCACAGTCGATACGGGGGTAGTCTGGCTGCGCCGCGCCTTGTACGTTTCGCGATATGCTGCTCCTGTAACTGCGGACCTCTTCGAGATCAATTGTCGCAGTGATGACCTCGACAGGCTTCTGTTCTGGCGTCAGTCCCTTCTCATCGTGGGTAATCAGACTTTGGGTCTGGACTATAAGTGTATGCTTACCAAGGAGTATTGGGCGGATTGGCTTGATAAGTTAGAGTTAGCAAACTAACAAGCAAGCTCTTGAAAACGAAACGCGGTAACTCACTTCATCACACGACCGTTGCTCAAAATCATTGATGAGCCGTCAAACATCATTCTGGCCTCGCCATCTGGCAAGCTCGTTCAAGCCGAGGTTAGTTGCCGGCGTAGGAGAGCTTCTGGATCAGATGACGGAAAAGTGCACTGAAAGGACTCACCAACTCCAGTTGCGTTAGCATAGATGTAAATTCCTCCAAGCTTCCGCGTGCAATTCTGGATCAGGGAGAGTCTCGTGTTTAGCTTCCTCAGCTCGGCGTGGGAGGCACTTGAATTGACAATGACTTCCACGCCGTTGAGTCCCATATGGGTAGATGGATTCAGTGGCTTCAAGAAGAGTCAGTTCGGGTGCGACGTGCAACTAATGGGCTGAGCACTGAGCCCAATGAAGGCGCTTACAGTAAAAAGTTCCTCGCATGTCTCACAGCTAAGTAATTCACGGTGAGTATTCCAGCCAGAAGAGTCCTCTTACCGCGAAGGATCTGACTTACCCCACGGACGTGTCTAATGTGGAAAGCACCGCATCTCCAATTGGTACAGTTTTCTGTCCAGTAATGTCGCGTATGATCTGCTCAAGATAGTACGTTTCAACCGTTCTCGGCTTGACCCAAGCTGTGAAATGACGGGCCTCCCGGTACAGTCCATCATTGGCAAGGCTCATTTTAGGTCGGATGAAGAAGATTTTTTGGTATGTAAGCAGAATGCGGCAGTTGTAACGCACATTCTCACCCAGGCTGTTAGCAGATGACGGGTCAGATTGATCGTGGTGCTCAGGTACTCACCCGATGTCTCACGCCCATACCTACGTCGACGAGCATATCTTTCGTCACAGGATCGTTGAGAATCTGGGCAACTACCTCCCAGCTGTGGAAAAAGGTATCACCTTCGACTGTGGCGTCGGAGTCAGCAGCTCGTAGCTTGCTGTCCGAATGGAAGGCGGGTATTTGACTTACGGTGATGATCGAGACATCCATAACCAGGAACTTCCAACTGATAGAGTCAGTTTCGTTTCTCGCTGTTTTTGTAAGGCATCCTACTTCAGGTCCAGTGCGAAGTCTGGCTCCTTGGGCCTTCGCAAGTCGGATACTTTCCAGGATTCTCTGAAGATTCCCCTGGAAGTCCAGCGGCACGCTGGGAAGCGTGGCGCTAGCGACGGTGATGAAGGTCATGCCGAATTAAAACTGGTACTGGTACCGAGACTAATACTGCTGCAACTGGGAGTTGCCGACTCGGAGGAGACGTTCAAGTTAGTACTTGATTTTATTAACCAAAGAGACTGTGACTGTGCCTGAGCAACAAGGCGCACGATAAGGCTCAGTCAGTCACGTGCGATAAGAGCTTGATCCCGTGATTCCAGTTCCCTGACCGCAAATTACGGCGGAGTACAACCTGTATCAAATGCAATCTCAAGAAATTAATTCTCACGCGGGATGTGCATGTCCCATTCCAGTCTCCATGTTCATGAGAGTGTTGACCGTGGATAATTGGCCGCGATGAAGTCCCAATAACATCCTGCTACCGTTATGCCGCTGCACATATGTCCCAACGGATCGTGAATCGGCTTGGGACAACTTTCGAGCGGCTTCAACGACGAATCCTTCCTTCGACAATGACAATCATGGCCGAGACAGCCTCCGCGGGCGCAAGCCAACCCTCCCACCCAAAGCTGACCGGCAGGGCTTTCTACGAGAGTATTGGGAGCCCCAAAGTGATCGTGGCTCCCATGGTCGATCGCTCAGAATTCGTCCGTCCCACCTTCGCTCCCTCTCCCTCGACCCTGTTGCTCGACATATGTGTTGACTCGTCCTACAGGCTTGGAGACTCCTGACCCGGTCCTACCTAGACAAAGAGCGGTCGAAGTCGATGCTGGCCTACAGTCCGATGTTCCACGCAAGACTGTTCAAAGATTCTGCCAGATTCCGCGATGACCATTTCCAGCCCACGAAGAGCAGTTTGGCCTCGACGGAGAAGTCTCCGTCACCTCCTTGGCTAGACGGGAACCCGAAATTCGACAGACCTCTATTCGTGCAGTTCTGCGCGAACAAGCCCGAAGAGCTACTGGAAGCTGCGCGGTACGTCGCTCCGTACTGTGACGCGGTGGACCTGAACCTCGGATGTCCTCAGGGAATTGCCAGGTCTGGCCACTATGGTGCATTTTTACAAGAAGACTGGGACACCATCTATAAGTTGATCAACACATTGCACAAGGAGCTGTCCATTCCTGTGACGGCCAAAATGAGGATTCTGGAAACTCGAGAGAAGACGCTCGAGTACGCGAAGATGATTCTTTCGGCGGGTGCAAGCATTCTGACCGTCCATGGCCGGCAGCGCGAGCAGAAGGGCCATAAGACAGGGCTTGCAGATTGGTCGGCAATCCGGTATTTACGAGATAACCTACCCCTTGAGACAGTCCTCTTCGCCAACGGGAACATCCTCAACTCGGGAGATATCGAAACCTGTCTGGCCGCGACCGGAGCCGACGGCATCATGAGCGCCGAAGGCAACCTAGCTGATCCCACTATCTTTTCTGAGCCACCCAAGGAGCATGATCCGCGACAATATTGGTACGGGCGTGATGGCAAAGGAGGATACCGGTTGGACGCTGTGTTTAGGCGCTATCTGGACATTATCTACAAATACTGTCTGGAGCAAGACCCACCAGTTCGGGCTCCCTTGTATATCCCCGGCGATCCCAAGACCGGAGACGATACCCCCCAGCCGATACTGGTCGAGGAGGAGGAAGACGAAGGCCCCAAGAGGAAGAAAAGAAAGCGGAATGTGCAAGAGAGTGTGGGCCCGAGCCCGAACCTCAAGTCGATGCAGGCCCATTTGTTCCAGCTTCTCCGACCCATGCTCGCCCAGCACACGGACATCCGCGACACACTTGCCAAAACGAAGTCAGGCGAGGTGGCCAAGTTCGAGAAGATCCTGAGCATGGTCGAAGCAGCGGTGCGGAAAGGTCTTGACCAAGACCACGAGCCCTCTGCAAGCCAGCCAGCCGATGTAGATGCAGATGCAGAAACAGCCACGGCTCTGCCATCAGCGGGAGAAAACACGCCTGAAAATGCAGCCGAGTCGACGCCCAGACAGAAGACAGAAGCCATATACAAGAGGCCCTGGTGGGTGTGTCAGCCGTACATCCGGCCACTGCCAGAGGAGGCCATTGAGAAGGGGTCTTTGCAACTCAGCAAGAAAGAATTAAAGGCCAGGATGGCTGCACAAGAAAGAGAGGCTGCTGAGGCGGAGGCTGAGAAGAAGGCTGAGGCCGAGACGAAGGCTGAGGCCGAGGTGAAGGCAGAGGCAATAGAGGCGAAGGCAGACCATCCCAATCCCATTCCCAATCAGAGGAACGGCGTCGATGGTACGACTGATCGACCAGAACACAAACACACCAGTCCTGTAGATGTGAATGGGAATGTGAATGGATCGGAACAACCCCTGGGGCCAGACCCGACTACGGCCTCAGGCGAACTGCCGAATCCGAAGGCCGGTCTGGTCTGTGGCTGAGACTGTAACTGGAATAGAACAAGTATAGAATCAATTTTCCAACCGGAGTGATCTGTCATACCTGTACTGTACAACCTTAATAGAAATGAAGTGATACCTATGTTATATACACACATACCTTACCTTACCTATGGTCCCAGTACTGACGGTACAACTTGAACGAGAATCGATGAGAAAACTAATTACTCCGTACATTACATGTGTCTATTTCCCTTTCTTCGCTCAAGACCAATTTGTTTTAATTATTATATACATGTACATGTACATACTATGCACACATACCTTACGCCTCAACCTACCTTGATAATGCAGTACAGCTATGTTCCGAGCCCTTACATATACATATGATATGATATACATGTGGCCCAGAGTCCAGAGTCCAAGTCTTGCTCTGCTCTGCACAATATCCAAGTCCCAGAATGCATGCGTCCAGCGCTTTGCTTTCTCGACACCCTTGGCCATGCCATGCGCAGCGTTGGCCATAAGGATTGACCTGGACAAAGGAACAAGCTTGAAACTTTAAACAGCGACAGCGACAGCGACAGCAACAAACGCAACAATAAGACTCACAACTTTGTACTAGGGACAGGGACAGGGACAGGGACAGGGACAGGGACAGGGACAACAACAGCGACAAAGACAACGACAACGACAAACACCAAGACACCAACACCGACAATGATCTCACAACTCGGGACCCTCAATCAGCATCCTGTCCCGTCAAACTGGCCAAGGTGAACTCATAGCTCTTCATCCTCGGATCTGGGGTATTCGGGATCTGTGTTGGTCGCATCGGCATCCGACTCGGTGGCGTTAGGATCATAAGTCGGATCCAGCTGCGCTCCAGAGGTGGCAGAGTCGACATTGGAACCAGGCTCCTGCTCCTGGCCAACGAAGGAGCTAGCGATCTCGGTCAAGACCTGGGCTGCCGCTACGTCGGCGGCGTTGGAACTGGGCTCCTGGCCAGCGAGCTCGGTCATGGCCTGGGCTGCCGCTACGGCGTCGTCGTCGATGTCGAGTCCGGCATCCTGCATATCCACGTCCTCGGGTTCGGCGGTTTGCACGCTGTTGACTGGAACCCCCCAGGGCCGGCCTGCTGCGGTAGGGCCGGTGGTGCGGAGCTTCTTGCGCTTGTGGCCACTGCCACTGCCGCTACCGTTGCCCTTGCCCTTGCCGCTGCCAGAGGGGGCATTTCCAGGGGGAGTGTTTTGGCTGTGTGCACTCCTACTGCGAGTAACCCTGACATTGTCACCCAGGACACCGTCGTTTCCATCATCGTTGTTGTCGTTGTTGTCGTCATCGTCATCGTCGTCGCTGGTATCGTCACCGGAGTCAGTGCTATCGTCACTGTAGACGGTGGTAGCGTCACTCTCATCCTCGTCCTCCTCGTCGTCGTCGTCTCCACCACCAGCCCCTTTTTTTCTGTTCATCCTTGCCTTGGCCTTTCTTTCAAAGAACTTAAAATCTCGCGTACACTTGAAATCCTTGATCATTCTCTTCGATCGGTTTCTCTGCGTCATCAACGCAGCTGCCGAGCGGTCCTTTCGCGGCTCCGTGCCCGCCGGAGCCCCCGGAGGGGGCTTGCCGGTGAACTTCGCATTGAACTTGCTCGCCCATTCATCCTTCACGGACTTCGGCACTCTCAACGGGAGCAGTTGGTCTCTGGTCATGCGAGGATTCAAACGCATCAACTCTTTCAGCTCATTCTTGCTCAAGTTGTACAAAAACTTCTTTTCCTTATGTGTCCACTCCTGGCTGGCCTCGCGGTTCTTCTGCTGCGTGATGCGTCGGTTGTTCTGACGACGCCAGGCGTTCAACAGCTTGAGGTGGTCTTGGTTGGTCCAGTCGAACGGCTGGTTGCGCGCCGGCTGGTCCTTGCGCGCCTTGATCACCGAACTGTTGGCCCCGGGCCAGTCGAAGCCGCCGTGGTAGTGTTTGTACTTGTACTTGCCGTCCTGAATCACCTCGATGACCATTTTGTGCGGGTTGGGCTTGCCCGCCGCCGCCGTTTCACGGTCTTCGTTAACCACGGATGAAGGCTCGCGTTTTGTGTGTGTCCGAATCAGATGGTCGTCGGCCATCGTAACCTCGACCTCCGGAGTGTCCTTGTCGGCCGGCTCGAAGGTCTCCCGGTCTGCATCCCAATCATTGTCCACGGGTGCCGCCTCCCATGCGTTGCCTGACGGTGCGTCAACGACGTATCCGTCCGTGTCGCGACGGAGACCACTGTAGTCGTCGTCGTCGTCGTCATCGTCGGCGGCCTTTTTGTGACTTTTATCCTTGGGCATGGACCCATTGTAGGGTTCGATTCCGACGCTGAACCAGATAGATACGGCATCGACGAGATTCCACTCCATCTCTTCCAGGAAGCGCCGCAGGCTGTAATAGTCCGAGCGACCAGTGGCTTCGATCAGCAGTGCGAGACGCTCGTCTTGGTCCTTGGTCTTCATCTTTTTCACGTCTTTGTTGTCGGTCTTCTTGAGATCAATGGGGATTCTCATGTGGTCATACCGGCGGTAGATGGGCCATCTCATGCTACCAATACTGTTGTAGTGTTTCTTGATCTGCTTGATGTCCCATGCATAGAGCACCAGAAGGAAGATTGCTTCGGTCGGGCTTAAGCCATGCTTGTTAAATTCGTCGGTATCGTCGTAGTGCTCTTGCACGTAATCCCTCAACTTGACAGCGACTCTTCGGCGCTGGGCTTCGTTGTTGATTCCATGACGGATCTTATCTGGATCGTTGTCATCATCGTCATCATCGCTATCGCCGCCGCTGGAGGGGTTGGACGGGCTGTTTCTAGGCGTGTCCTTGGCCTTGCCCTTACCCTTGTCGTTCTTACCTGGTTTGGGGCCCTTCTTGCCAGTGTCCTTCTTAGCCGCGCCGCCGTCTTTATCACCCTGGCCATCCTTACCGGTAGTTGGACGGGACGATGCTGCCGGTCCTGGCCTGCTTGGTAGAGGATAGGTCGTCCCTGCCGTCAGCACGGTGTTCCTATGAGTGCGGAACTGAGCGATTGCGAGGTTGACGTCCAGATTGGTACGGAGGAGGAAATAGTCGAGCAAATGGGGGGGAGCCACTTCAGCCAGCAAGGCTTGGGTCATGGCATTCCGGGCATTTGCTAGGGCAGTTGCGGAATGAGGTCCTGTCGAAGGGTTAGCGATAGCCGTGGTGGCAGTCGAGCTGGAGGGTATGACAGGCGCAGGGATGGCGGTGTTGGTGTTGGTGTTGTCGTCGCCATCGTCCGAGGCGGACCGAGGACGTTTCTGTCCTCTAGAAGCCATTGTGGATGGGTGGATGTTGGTATATATATAGATAGATATATGTGGATGGAGGGGATCCTAATAGGAGAATCCTCAAGAGTGCTTTGAGGTGTATTGTCTACTATCGTTTGCTTGGTCAGTAAGCAGTGTACCAGCCACTGTTCTGAAGGCAAAGTTGAGGGTGAGGGTGAGGGTAAGGGGGCAGTCGTTGCTGTAACGAAGAGGAAAAGAACCAGTACTTGAAAGTAAGTTCAGTACGGATCCTATGCTGGGTTGGTACCCGATGGGGCGTCAACCTAGAAGTGATGAGTTGAGGAGGAAGATGGTGTCCGAGTGAGTTGAGAGTCGGACTCCACGGAAACACGGGGAATATATACCGCATGATCAAGATCCCACAGGTCCAGATCGAAGTGCATAAAGAATCCATTCAACAATGAACCGCCCTTTGACCAGTAAGCAGTGAGGCAGGGCCGGGGGTTCCATGGACCCTGACCACGCTGGGGCTATATCGAGGCAGGTTGTAGCCATACACAGCCATGGGGAGTTGGACTTGGAACAATGACAAGGATAGGCCCGCCCTCGAGCCATAGGGAAGTCGGAGATCGAACAATGGACGGGCCCAGCTTCGATAGAACCCTCCTTTTGAATGACCGTGTCTTTGTGCCAGATTGGCGCGATCGAGTCTTTGTTCTGTGCTGGATTAGATTTGCAGATTGGCTGCGCTGCTCTGCGCTAGGGCGGTCGAGCCTCTCTGCATCTCCGTCTGCGGCTGCGTTTGCATCCTTTGAGCTGTGTTCTTTTTGTTCACAGGCCCCGTCGCGTCGTTTCTTCTGTCTGCCTGATTCATCCACCCGCAACCCCACCCCTACCTCTCCGCCTCCCCAGCTCCACCGTTTGTACCTGTACCTGTACCTCTGGGGCTCAGCGAACATCGTCTAAATCTTCCAACGAGCCCGTGGGACCCAAGTCAGAGTCAGAGTCAGCAAGGCAGCGCAGTTTGGACAGTTGGTAGAGCGCAGTAAAGGAGTATCGATGGATATAAGCCTGCTGAGGACTGCGGCGACTGTCGACCGATAGTTCGATTCCATCTACGTGGGGGTTCTTTGTTCTTTGTCTCGCCTCTCATGACCCTACCTTCACCGTCATTGCTGTGGTATAGCTATAGTGAGACCGGTGAGAGAGAGAGAGAGGGAGAGAGAGAGAGAGAGGGAGAGAGAGAGGGAGAGAGAGGGAGAGAGAGAGAGAGAGAAAGATCGCCCTGACAGCAGCAGTGGTTGTATGCCACCGTAATGGGGCGAGCTAAGGCATCTCGAATGGGAAACAGAAGTCGACGAACAGACCGGCTAGACATGGTGTTTGCTAGGTAACTTGTAAGGCACTAGAGTTGAAGGTGTTGTTGTATGTGATGAGAATGTTGGCTCCTCGGACAGCCAGCTCATAGGCGATGTCAGCTCCGATGCCTCCAGAGCCACCGGTGACGATTGCCACACGGTCCTGGAGGGTGTTTGCAGTGGGAAGTTGGAATTTGGGAGTTGAGTTGAAGTTGAAGTTGAGTTGAAGTTGGCACCCGAGATTCAAGGTCTTGGCGAGGCGGGCAGAGGTCTTGGCGACAGAACCCCTATTTTGCCAGCCTTGAATAATAAGAGACGGACAGGGAGGGATACTGCCGCACACGAAGATATACATAACACTACAGACATATACCTACGAGACAATACATACCCAACAATCTATAGGCTACTCTAGCAATGGAGGGCACCCTGAATACAAGGACCCTCTAAGATGATATGTATTACGCGCTTGATAACCTTGAGTGTTTGCTTTCCGCTTTCATCGATAGAGGACTCGACACCCATACCAGCCACCTCAATACCTAGGTAGTATACAAGGAAGAGATCACCGTCACCTCAATACCTACCTAGGTAATACAACGAAGAGATCAGTCGAAATCCGAATCGAAATCGGAATCCTCGTCGTCTTGGGCAGCTTGTCCGCCCAGCATGAAATGCTTGGCCAGGGTCTTGATTCTCCGGCGTTGTTGACTGATGGCGAAGTCTGTGCGGGCAGGCCGCGGGACCTCGCCGACGGCCGACAGATCCTTGACGACGTAATCAGTGCGGATGATGCGGAAGGAATCCGGATCGGGGCCGAAGCGCTCGACGCGCTTGACGAAGGCAGAGCGGCCGGCGAACTGGGCGTTGAAGGCCTGGGTCAACTGGGCCAGCTCGGCCTGGGTCATGCCGACGGGGAAGTGGGCGCGGGCGCGGTTGGGGCCCCAGTTAGTGGCGGCGCGGTTGTAGGCGGCCGGGTCGGAGACGGCCTGCTGCGCGGGATCCTGGTTGGCGGCCTCGTAGAACTTCTCCTCGTTGCGCATGGCCTCCTGCTCGACCAGCCAGGCGTCCTCGTACTTGTTGAACTCGACCAGGTGGCCGCGCAGGTCCTCGGCCGTGATGCTGCGGAACGCGTCGGCCCGCCACTTGTTCAGCTTCGACACGTGGCTGGCGTCGTACCAGTCGAACTCGACCGTCGTGCTGGCCAGTCGCGGGTCGTCCGTGTCGTCCCAGCGAAACGCCACGTTGCGCGTCCCGATCCGGAACGACCCCGTGTACTGTCGCGTGTGGTACAGGCCCCTCTGGATGTACTCGAACCGCAGCTTGCTCGCGTCCGGCACCCCGACGTATGCCTGCTCGTATCGAACCTCGTCGATGATATGGCCGCGCCGCACCCCGATGCGCGTGCCGCCCGGCGCCCGCTGCGACTCTACTCGTCGCTGGCTGCCCGGGCCGGCCGTCGTCCGCTCCACGCTCGCCTTCGTCTTCGACCTCCCACTTAGCGGCTTGCTCTTGGCCTGGTCGATGAAGTTGCTCGCCTGCATCGCCGGCAGTGGCCGCGTGTTGAAGTCGAACCAGGTCCCCAGCACGCGCCGCGGTCGGTCGGGATCCCCCACCCGCTCTCCGCCGTCGTCGTATCGGGGCACGTGCTGGCCATTCCGCTTCCTCTTCTTCGGCACGGTCGCCGCCGGCACTTCCCCCAGTCGCATCCACTCGTCAATGGCGGCCGCCAGATCCCACCTGTGTCGCTCCAGGAGCACGCGCGCCGAGTACCAGCTGCTGGTGGAGGTGATGGAGATCAGCAACGCCAGCCGCTCATCGCGCATGTCGGTCCGGAGGTCTGGCAGGCGATACCCCTGGACCCGCTCTCGCAAGTCATGGTAGTTTCCGCGGCGCCGAACAAGGTCCGTGGCCACCTCGTCGGAGCCCCATTGGTTGTCGTTGTGCATCAGGGCCATTTCGGCGTATGTCATTGGCAACGCCCCGGTCCGGGCCCTCTCTGCCACCAGTCGGTCGTGGACCATGTTGCGACGCTCCCGCCCAACCGTGACGGCTTGTCGCACGCCGTTGCGCGGTGCCCGCTGCTGTGAATTGAGATTGGGGTTGGGGTTGTTTTGGTCCTCCCAGAACGACCGCGCCGCGAGGTTGACATTCCAGTTGGTGCGGTTGAGGTGCCATCGCAATGTCGAGTCCGCCAGCGCATGCGGATACCGGAGCTGGCGCCGGAGAGCCTCCAGCCGATGCTGTCGCTCGGCCGCTCCCTGAGGTGCAGTCTGGACTTGTTGATTCGCCGGGTAGGCAGCAAGTCTTGCGACAGGCAGACGTCGGTTGAGCCCCGGGTTGGGGTTGGGATTCTGGTTCGGATTGTTGGCCATCTTGCGACTGTTACTAGTGGCAGAGTACAAGTATATTTAGTTAGATAACGCCTGCCGGCTGCTTCTGCTTCTGCTTGTAGGAAGGGAACCGGCCGAGCTTGAGCGATGAGCCATCGACGACATTTTGTAGTCGAACACCTGCACCTGCGACAGCGACCCCGGATCAGTTGCAGCCATTCCGATTGCGGAAGATTGATCTTTCCGCATGCGGTATGCGGTCAAGTCTCGTGTCGGCGTTGATCATCAAAGACGCGTGAGCGTTGTAGACAGACCACGAACACTCTTCCTCTTTGTTGCCGGGTGACTGTGACTGATATATTCCTCGAGCACATCAGATCCGCTGGCGCAGGCAAGAACAGACCTGAGAAGGGCGAAGGGCAGAGGTCTGGCCATTATGTTGGTGCACTCTGCTCTGCAGTGTAGCAATCAGTTTGCCTCAACTGCACGCAGCCAAAATACAGACGTTGGCACCCTCCAGAGTTCTTTGTCCCCATCTACCTGATTGTCTGCCATGCCAGTGATCCGTGTTCGATGCGGAATTGACTGCGGTGGCTGGAATGTGGAATGTGAGGCACTGACCCCTTACTGGTCTTGGCTGGCTGCCAGCCTTGCCCCCGGCCATGCAGCCTTGGCCTTTCCGCTTGCGGAGTTTGTGGTATCTGGTATCGTTAGCACTGCAGCAAACAACCTGGAGACCATACCACGGCGCTGTCACTATCATTCTTGAGGTGTGGGGTCCTACAGTCAATTTCGCAAGGCTGGGTTGGGAATTGGAAAGTGAACAAAGACAGAGACAGCGGGCGGCGACAGAAGATCACAAAGCCAAGCAGATTGAAGGGAAGGCCAACAAGAGAACAGTTGTGCCATGGCTGCAGTCATGTAGACTTGGTTGCAACTGGATAGGACGCTAGGTGCAGGTCAGGTTGATCTCAGGCACTCAATTCCTTTGATTCGTAGCTCTGGACTCCAGTAGAGCTCCTGCCGTCTGCGAGTAGGTCCTGTCCTAGGATGCAGGGTGTTCCCCCGACGAAAACAGGGAAAAGAAAGGAAAAAGAAAACAGAAAGGGAAAAAGAAATCTCTCCTCGGTGAAATGTTTGATGACTCGCTCAGATTGGCCTCGTTTTTACAAGTCCAGGCCAAAGGCCTCCTGCTTCCGGCGGTCCTGCAGTCGCCCGACCCCGTCATCTTCATGGAGCCCAAGATCCTGTACCGGGCGATGAAGTTCAGTTCAGTTCGGTCTGTAAATGGCGGCTCGCGCCAGAGGCAAGTTCGGTCCGATCGGTAAATGGCGGCTCACCCCCTCCTCTGGCGCTTCCGGCTTGGCTGTCCCTCGGACATCTCCTCCCCATCAGAGTCCCCGGGGCGGGATTGACCAGCTTGTCTCGGCGGGAGGTTGTCGGTGCTGGCCTGATCAAGCTGCCCAGGCTGCGCGTGGTCTTGCTGCTCCGTCTCCTCCAATGCAAGTTCTGATGCGGCAGGGGCAGCGATGGCGGGATTGGCCGCGAGATTGGCGCCGGCAGTGACATTGGCAGTGGAAGTGACAGTGGCAGTGACATAGGGAGTGACGGTGGAAGTGCCATTGGCAGTGACATTAGCAGTGACATGGACCATTAGCCTGTCGTATGCCTGCTGCTCTTCTAGCCGAATCTGTCTGATGCGTTCCGCCGCCAGACGGTTGGCCTCGTGCGTCAAACGGCTGGGGTTCGTGTCCTGCTTCCACTTCCGATGGACCAGATTGGCGATGCTGCCGTGCTTCCGGGGCCCGCACGGAAGAACAGAGCCTGGCAGGTATCGGGCCTGGAAGATTGCGTTGAACTCCTTTAGGATCTGGGGAAACCCGGGGCCTTCCCTACCCGCGTAGTCTCGGTCGGCAAAAAGATTGCGGACGAATCGCTCCTCGAAGACCGTGTAGTCTGTGAATGTCTTCTCTGCGGCGCCGGGTGGGTCCTGGTACCAGCGGACCATGTCCCCCCTCCACTGGTTGAGTGCGCGCAAATGGTTGGCATCGCTGGGGTTAAAGCCATTCGATCGCGGGAAGACCAAGGTCGACACATGTTGTTGGTTGCCCACATTGACCGTGATTTGAATCTCCAGTTTTCCCTGATGGTAGTTGGCCGGTGTGACGGCATTCGCTTTTCGTGTCATGTCATGGTATTCAAAGCTGTGGGACTCGATGCGCGCTGCTTCGTCGTCATGGTACTTCGTCACAGCTGTCCTCACGTCCCATCCACAATCTTCGAGGTACCACATTGCTTCTTGAACGCTGCCTCTAGCACTCATGACAGCCAGTACCTGCTCGATTCGGCTTCGGGCCTCTGCGTCGAGTGTTGTGGGTCGGAGGCCGAACCTCACGAACTGCTGGAGGGGCGGGGTCTGGAGTAGCTCTTGGAGCCACGTCCCCCCAGCCCCCGGCCCCGACGCAGAGGGTTGGTTGGCCGTAGGAAGAGACATTGAAGACGAGGAAGAGGAAGAGGAGGAGGGCGAGGGTCGTTGGTGGCTCTGCTGGAACTAGCAAACGCTAGACCGTTTTAGGATTCTGTATACCTTTTCAGTTTGATCTTTCAGGTTCAGATCCGCAGTATCAGGGGAGGCTCGACAGGAGGACAGGAGGACAGGAGGATAGAAAGATGCTTGCTTGACAAGAGAGAAAGATTCAAGACTTTGCTGCCTCTTCTGCGTCTTCTTCAGTCGGTCAGTGTGGTGGCTGTCTGTCGAGGAAAAGAGGAAAAGTCGAAAGGTCGAAAACCCCGTCGTGGGCAAGATGAATCCAAAAGCGCTGCCAAGCTTGAGCGCCACGAAAGGAAAGGCTGTCGACGACTAAGCGAGTGTGAGTGTCAGTGTCGTAGGGGGGAGCGGATATCAGAGAATGCGGCTGGAGTTTCAGGAGGGCGCGCTGCGCAATATTGTCTGTCGTACTCATGGTCACAGAGCCTGAGCCTGAGCCGTGAACGGGACAGTATCCAATAGCACGACAGCAGACACAACATATAGAGGATCTGGCATTTAATGTCTCTATGTTGTCTTTATCTTTCACAAAGCCTGAGTGGGAGAGGAAAGTCGATGGGCATACCTTGCCAACAGGAAGGTAGTCCAAGATTGATATAGTATGTATATATACAATGAGTATACATATACATACCATATGCATACCACGAAGTCCTTCGCGAGGAGGGATCTTGAACGACTGAGGGTTGACATTGACAATATATGATCCACCTCTGGAGAACGAATAAATTTTGATCATAAAGAAGAGGATGCTATTCATCATTAATCCGGGGTGGGACGATGACGGCCGACTTCCCTGCAGATTGATGATTGAATAGCCATGACTGATGACTTAGCGTCTTTGCAGTTCTCCTCCCTCTTCTCTTCTGGCACTCTCCATTTGATGCAGACCGAAGGAAGAGTTGAAGCAATGCATCGTCGCCCTGATAAAGGCCAATGCTGACTGTTCTGCCACATTCAATATTCAGGTTCCAGCAGTTGATGCTGATGGCATTCTCCTGAGCCAGTCGATATAGATATGGATACGAGGTGTCGCTAGTAAGAATCCACGGGGTCGAGCCGGGCGTAGTCACCTTGGGTCAGAGTATTCCATAGTATTATAGTACCAGAGCAGACATCTTCTATCTGCGAGCTGACCCGCCACATTCGAGTCTGCAGGAAGAAGGAAGCTTGCACGACATCGATATCGGAAGTCAAGAGTCCAAGACAGGCTGAAGAGATGGATATTCACATGAGCGTGAGCAAGCTGTGCATGTGATAAGGCTGAGAACCCTGGATTGGCTGATGGACGGTGTCGATCATCTGGACCAGAGACAGAACAGCACCTGGTAAGGATGTCGGAATGCCAGCTTCCAAGTCGCCAGTAATTAGGTAGCAATAGCAGATAACCGTGTCGTCGTCACATCACCAGTGTGTGCTGGGCGTGTCACGTGGAGTCAGGCTGTATAGCATCGTCATTGTCATTGTCACGTGAACTCGCGTCCCACCAAGGCGCGTCTTTCTTATCACGCGTCTGAGACTACTGGCGACGGATGGGCCATGGCTGCGTATATGTAGATGCAGTGAGCTACTCAGTACAAGCCAGTCATCGCACCAGGATCATTCTCTGAATCAATAACCGCTATAAATATTGTATACCTGATACCTGCCATGCAAGGAGCCTTTAGGCCAACTGGACGAGGACGAGGACGAGGACAGAGCCCCATCGTTAGGGATAAGTAAGCACCAAGTACCTGACCCTGACTAGGTGCCTGTGTTAGATACTTCATCCTGTGGGCGCCATGGAGGATGCCATTCCAGAAATCATTGCGAGCAGTAAGTCATGTTCCCTGCTCCCTTTCAGCCACCAACCTCCCATCAACCCAACCGGGCCTGCACAAAGCCCAAGACCAAGCCCAAGGCCGGTCGTTGTCTTTTGTCTCCTCACTAGGCTCACAAGCTGCCTCGCACTGTCCTCTCTTCAGACAAAAGGCAAAAGACCCAAAACCCAAGACTCAAAACCCAAGACCCAAACCCAAGACCCCCATGCTGACAACTTCCCTGATGGCAAAGCCCTGCAGAAACCTGTCGTGTCACCGGACGGCAAGTTTCTGGCCGTGATCGCTGCAGACGCAGACGAAAGCATCTACTTGATCAACCTGGCCGAGGCGGCCCACGGTCGAAGACACCGATACATCACCGCCGTCAAGGTCAAAGTGTCGAAGTCGACGTCGACGTCGACACGGCCATTCCTGAAGGAATGCAGTATTCTGCGCTGGTCACCGGAGACCATGACCTCGTCTGACGAGGCCAGTGCGGAAGTGCGGTCTAAGACCAACACCAACACCAATATCAACACGAACACGACATCTAGGAGCAACGTCGGCACGACATGGACGTGGATGTTACTCTCGAACGGCAGCCGCGTGGTGGCCGTGAGCACCGACCTTCCAGGTCCCAGTCCCAGTCCGATGCTGTCGAGAGGTGGCCATGACGAGACGACCATGACGATGACCAAGCCCGACATCCTCGCCGACTACGAGTTAGGCACGCAGTACGGCAAGCTCAGCCTGGTAGAGTATGTCTTCGACCATCGGCATGCGTTGGTCATGTTTGAGTTCGGCACGACGGCCGCGATTCTAAGTCTGGTCAAGCCGCAGCGCGACGAGATTGCGCACGTCAAGTTCTCCGATTCGAGGAGTTTTGCCGCCTCCCCAGACGCCAGGTACTTTGCACTGCTGCGCCGGGATAGGAGTCAAGACAGAGTCAGTGTGTTCGGGCTGGAAGAGGAGGGGAACTACGACAACAATGACAGCACCAGCACCAGCAACAAGTACAAATACAACAAGAACAACAACCACAACAGCAGAATCACCTACAAATCATTCGACGTTCCGACCCTCGACGCCCAGAACTTGACCTGGTGTCCTTCTGGAGGAAACCCTCTCCTGGCTGTCTGCGACTCGCCCGCATACGGGGCCCGCATCTGCTTCTTCACGGCGCAAGGCCACGCTCTGAGACAGCTGGACATTTCCTCGGCGACGCTCGGGCCCGACCTCGACTCTCCATTCACCAAGGGGGCTCTTCGTCTGAACATGGAAGGCGTGGGCGTCACGTTCTGGAAGTGGTCGAAAGCGAAAGCCACAGCCACAGCAACAGCAACAGTAACAGCGAAAGCCACAATCGACAGCCCGATCCAGACCCGAATCCACCAAACCATCCAAGCCGTCGCAGATGGGCGGAAGCGCGTGCTGGTGCGGTCGCTGCCTGCGGGAAGCATGGTCACCCAGCCACTGGCCAGCTTCAGCCACCCGGAGCTGGTTGACGGATCGCATGCATTCGTGTGGCAAGAGCAAGAGCATGAGCAAGGGCAAGAAGGCCGACGAGTCGATTCGACCAGGCCCGGGCCGGCATCTATCCGGTCTAGTAGATCGTCGGCCCCGGAATTCACGCGGCATACAGGTATTTTCGAGGTCACACAACCACAGTCGCAGTCACAGCCTGACACGGCACAGTCGAGAGCCGATCAGGCGAGGGATAGCCAGGTGGACATGGTCGCCATCAACTCTGACCAGACGGTGGTCGTCACCCGCCTTCGCTCGGCCCCTCGCACACTGTTCTTGTGGAAGCTAGCACACCCACACTCACACCTTCACACCGTCTTGATCTTCAGCCATGCTGTCCGCCAGACCCTATGGCACCCTTGGCTTCCCGACGTGCTTCTGATAGTGACGGCGCGCAAGAGCCCGCGGGTCTATGTATGGTGCAGGGAGACGCTTCCGCCCATCAGCGGTCTGATTCCGCTCGACACAAGCAAGTCGACGAACTTTTCCGGCTGTTGGCTGCCACAGTGTTTGTGTGATGACAGTAGCAAAAGCGGGAAAAGCAAAGACGACGACAGGAGCAAAAGCGGGAATAGCAAAGACGACGACAGCAACATAAGCGAAAATAAAGACGATTACGGGAGCAGAAGCGGAAATAGCGACGACAGGCGCAAAAGCGGAAATAGGAAAGACGACGAGAACGACAACGACAACAACAAACCCAACCTCAAGCCATGTCCGTTCCTAATGTCCTCGTCCTCCTGCTTCAATGCAGGGACCTTAGCCAGTGTGGACGGGCAGGTTGTGTTTGAGAGCATTCTCGATCCTCCTGAGCCAGACAGGGACACTGACAGGGAGAAGGACACTGACATTGAGATTTCGTCTCCCTTCGGGAACGGCGTCGGAGTCGGATACGGATACAGAACTGGTGACGATGACGATGAGGACACGACCGACAAGTTGATTGATACTCCTAGTCGGGGTGGTAGGGCGGGAGTGAGAGGGGGAGTGGGAGCAGGACTAGGATTGGGACTAGGCCACAAGCATAAGCAGGCTCTGTTCGATGGTGATGGTGCTGATGGTGGTGTCCAGCCCAATTCGCGCACCGGTCCTGACGATCCGGAGCATGTACAACAGGCAAGATATTGGAGGTGGTAATCGCAACTGGTGTATGTATCATCTACCTAGGTATGTATCTACGTATCTACATATATACGTATGGTCACAGTCACCGACACTCACTCTCGTGGTCACCGTCACCGACACCCACTCTCGTAGTCACAGTCACATGTACGGACACATACACTCACCCCCGTGGTTATACTCAACAGACACAGACACTCACTCCATGGTTACAGTTACAGTGAGAAGGGCTCAACTATACTCCGTAGAGCACCTAGAATTGAATGTGCACTGCATAGATTTGATTGCTCAACTCGGCCGTACTGATCCTAACCGGTCCGGATGCGGTTCTTACCATGTGACTGGATTCAACTCTTTCCAAGAGAAACTCCTTTCAAACGAGTTGCTTTTTGGATGCTTCCTTAAGAAGGCACAGCACAGGATATCGTATCGCTGTGAAGCTCAGAAGCTCAGAACGCAACCCAGCACTGTCTGTGGTTGAAAGACACACGTTCAAGTAGCTTTGGGCAGATTGCATCCCCCTGATCCCCTTTTTCTTCAAGCCCCAAGCCATCCGTACTCGCATGTGTCCCGCAAAATAAGATGCTTATGCCCACCCGACCGAGCCATCTCTCTCCCTGGCTTTGCTTCAAAATCCTTCGTCGATTTGCCCAGCTATCTGCGGCGGAGAATCCAAACCCGCAATAGGCTTGTCGAGGTTCTCGCCGCACTGGGCCTTCCAATTCTTGGGTACATAGCCATCTGCCACGCGCTTGAACGCTTCAAACGTACAAATCGTCTCGTCTCCTCGATAGTTATTTCCGGGCTTTGCACATGCCGGAACCTTCATGATGCGATCATTGTATCGAACACGGACATAGTACGAATCCAAACGTGCCTTCTGTGACTCCGAAAGCTCACTGTACGGAGTTCGGGCAATAAGATCCTTCGGCGGCAGTGCCGGGGAGATGGTCGAAGGGGACGAGCGTGAAGGTGACGACTTTGGACTGGACGACGACGCCGACACAGACTCAAGTGGGGACGAACTTGTAGGAGAGCGTAGACCCAGGAAAGAAGCGAACACACCAGGTCTCGTCGCTGCGTCCTTCTCAGACTGGGGTTCTGTCGAGGCTGGGATTGTAGGTGTGAGAAAGTTGGCGTCTGCACCAGACTCTGAGACGTTCGCATCCTTCTTTCTAAACAGCTCAAAGGCGATATGGCTTGTGTAAGGGGGCCACTTTTCATCTTGGAACGCTCCCAGACTTGTCAACACACTGGCGAGAGTGGTGTCGTGACAACCAGACAGAGCAAACCGAATGCCCTTCTCGCCACCGCGGCCGAGACCCAAGCGACCATTCTCCCCGCCGATTTCGTTGATGCTGAGGCCCGCCCCCTCGATCTTGGAAGTCATGCGTTCGATAATGTCGCCGATCAGGGATCCTATCCCGAGCATGCGATATTCCCGATTTTCATGGTATCCTGAAAACCACTCCTCGACGCCAATCCGATCGATGATGGCGCGGGACTTGGCATCGTAGAATTCCTTGGGCAGCCGTGTCTCTGGGCCATGAGCGAGGGTGGAATTGATTGTGTCCATCACGCCCGACAACCGAGGATGTGAGTCGACAGCGACTTGCTTGTTGGAGTTTTCAGGCATCCACTTTCCAATCAATTTGGATATGTACCGCATATCGTCAGTGTCATTCCATCGGTCGGCAGTCCGTTGCGCAAATGCACGAGATAACTGGGCGAAGCGTCGACAATTGCCGTCATTTGGGAAGAGGGTCTCGTCGGCAGGGGTTCTCGTGACAATGGTAGGAGCAGGAAAGGCAGCCGTGCGCGCAGTCAAGGGATACATCCCCCAGAAGGTCTGCTGGACGGATTCGAGGGCGCGAGGAAGGGGAGTTGCGCGGAGGTAGATCAAGTCGGCATTGGCGATCAAAGCGGGCATGAACTTCAACTGGTCGACGTAGAGATGGCGCAGACGCGTCCCCAGCTGGTATGTTGTTTCCCTTCCTTTGTCGGTGAGTTCACCTAGTTGGCTGAGCAGACACCATGTCAGTTGGTCTCTGGACGAAGGAGGAGAGGAGGAGAGGAGGAGAGGAGGAGAGGAGGAGGAGAGGATGAAGGAGGAGAGGAGGAGAGGAGTACAACGGTGCCGGTAACAATGGTGCTCTATGATCTAGCCTGTAGTGTTGGGAGTGATCACGAGTGCTGCCTACCAAATACCATCCACCTCCCCCGCCGGGCCTGCAGCGACGACCGGACCGTCGTCGTGGCCAAATCGTTCCAGTCTTCTTCGCCATTGTAAGGAATCCCACCGCACATCATTTTCAGGTGTCAAGGCGACCGATCGCAGTCGTTGCGCGGCGTTGCAGTAGGGCCAGTATGCGGGGAGGCCTGCCTAAGGGGGACGGCATGGTCAGTCACTTGCAAGGCAATGAATGGGACAGACACCTGGCTAACTTACATTGCCGAACCGGGCAGACACCGGAGCGCGTTCACCGTGACGGAGAAGGACCTGCACAAGACGGAGCTCAAGGTCTTTGGGGTAGAGTCTGTCGAGTTCTTCCTGCGAATACGCAGGCGGGAACGAGATGGACGTCATATTGGCGGGAAAGGGAAATTTCTCGCTACCAGGCCGGTCGGAGGAGCCGTCGGAGAGAGATCAGAGGATCATAGGATCATAGGAGCCGGACAGGAGAAGAGGGACTGGGACTGGGTGAGAGCGGAGAGCGGAGAGCCGACCGGGGTAAAGAATGCAGGGCGTAGAAGAAAGTCCCAGGCTAGAAGGAAAGGTGTTGTCGGAGAGGGTGGCAGTCAACAGTCAACCCCAGAGTATCCTGCGCCCGCAGTTCAGTTCCGGTGTTACAGTATGGCAGGCATCCCCCATCCCCCCAATCTAACCCTAACCCTAACCCTAACCCAATCCCCCACAAGAGCAACAGTCAGAGCAACAGTTGACATTTACATGATTACGAACTCCTCTGTCGGTACATAGATTTAGTTGTTCCAAGTACGAAGCACTCCGTAAGCACATCTCAAGTACGATGCCCGCAGGCCCATTCCAAGATCTATGCGACATCAAAGCGCCTCACAGCGCAATTGAGCTGAGCACCATCGAATGCTCCCGGCGGCTTGCTACACGATCGGATGCCAGGCTCAGAAGGGTATCTCGATTAAATCTGCCAAAGAGCCAAAGAGATCCAAAAGCTAATAGTTCCAAAACCCCAAGATCAAGATCGCTCGACGCTTGCTTCCTCAGAGATGCAAATCATTCATCCTACGTCCAGCATCATCTGCCGGACTCACCGGGCTACTCCCATATCCATTACTCGTCTCGTTCTGCCCACTGTGACTCGGTTGAGAGGTTGTCTCAGGCACGAGCCCATGTACAGCCGGCGTACCATGGATGTGCACATATGGCTGTCTCGAATCGTAAGGGTCGTACCTATCCTGCTCGCCGCTGAGTTCGCTGGCATATTGAAATCCCGAGTCCTTTTGCGGTTGAGATAACGCGTTCGACTCATGCCGTTGCGGCGATCCCGGGCCATACGCATCGTCGGCAAATGGGTTCTCCGCAACTCCATACGCAGCAGATGAAGAACCGAAAGACTGTGACTGTGGGCGAACACGTCTTGGGATTGGAGGAGCTGCGTCCGACGTTGAGTATGTATACGAGTGATCCTGATCTCTGACTGCTCCTCGAGCCGAGGGAGGAGGGCCCGGTGGAGGAGCAAACTGTTCTCCTGGCTGAGGTGGACTGACAGGGGCCGGGATCGTATTCTGTCGCCGGGGGGGTGACGCGGAATACGACCCTTGACTGGGCTGAGCACCGGAGCCATAGACATTTTGACCCAGATTATGTGATGGCATAGACAACGGATTGGGTATGGATTCTGTCTGGGGCCCCGGACTGGGCGTGCCGGTGCCGTTGGCCTTTCTTGCCTGTAGAATAGCTCTTTGATGCTTTGACATGGCGATGTTCAAATGGTCGTTGGTTTCAATCAAGGTGAGCATGGTGTCTGGGTCCGGAGCCGGATCCTGGCAATTCATGTACGACTGAATGCTTCGTTGCGCAGATTGAGCTCTGCCGGCGAACTCTTGCACCAGGTCATTGGCCAACAGCTCCGACTGAGGTGTAGACTGGACCGTCTGAACGAGAAGTCGAGCTGTGGTCTTTGCTTCTTCTATGCGCGAGACCAGTTCTTCGGGAGGTGGGAGCACATCGACTTTCCGACTAGGCCGTTGATATTGACCCGCGAACGCAGGAGGAACTCGGTGTTGCTGTTGGTGTTCAGTATCATGACCCGAACCAACGGCTTCCCAAGATCCCCAACCTACCGACTGACGAAGAGTGCTTCGCTTTCCCTTCTCCTTGCGCCACATTTCGACGAGCGGGCCGAGAGTGTCATTGCCCGGCGCCTTTTCCACCTCAAAGTAATCTAGCGTCTCCCTCAGTATTTGCTGGACGCTGGCATCCTTCCCATCGCGAAGCAGTTCTTTTACCGTCGACACAAACTTGGAGTCGAAGTTCTGTGTAAAGCCCTGGCCAGGGTTGTCGGTGAGGATGCGCAGTAGCATGACTGCATTGTATTGGGCAAATCCCCTCTGAAAGTGGTCTTTGGATAGGTAACGACGGAGGGTCGCGGCGGCTTCCTTGGCCGCAGTAGGACTCGACTCGGCTGCGTCAACAATGGCTGGGAGATGGAGGTATTCATCGCCGGCGGCTCCAGAATTGGGTGCGCCGGATTCACAGAATGCAGTCTAGATTGGGTCAGCGTGGGAAGAGTTGTTCTTTGCAGGCGCAGCACTTACCGCTTCACGGACGATGACAGCTTCGGGCGAGTCGCCTTGAGGCAACACAACCGGTGCACTTCCATTCCGTTCGGGGCCTGCGCTTTGGTCAGCCTGGTTGAGCGCATCCATGGGAATTGCATATCCTACTGCCGCTCTTCTTCTTGATGTTTCCCAGGAATTTCTTCATCCTGACTGTCCAGCAGAGATGCAAAGAAAATGCTTCTTAGACCGTGGCAAGCCTCGTGGATCGATGCAAGAGGTGTGAGGTACGAGGTATATCGCCCAACCACCAGCGCATAAGTATCCGTAGTCCGTGGTCCGTGGCATCCGCATACAGTGAGCTTAGGCGATCCGAACGGTGGAGAGACGGACGAGTAGAAATCGCAGGGACTACAGGGGCGGCGAGCTAGAGATCTCCCGCTTGGGCAGCCTCAGCCTAGGGTTTCAGGTTCCAGGTTGACGTGTAGGACTGCCGAGGTTCTGTACATATGTAGTAGGTGCTAGGTGCAAGGTGCAGTGCTAAAATGGTACGGAGTAGACCGGCGCGGCTGAGAGGGAGAAGCAGGGGACCTTTATCAAGAATGTCAGTTGACTCTTCCTTCTTCACATTTGAGGCCAACGGGAGGTGTTGAGGGGCAGTGTGTCCTAATGGCTGCTGCCTCCCAGATCACCTCGCATTCAATTCGCTGGCGACGAAGCCTGCGCCGTACAGAAGCTGGATAGGCCACGCAGCGGCTTCGCTTGGCTCTTGTCGCTTCGTCAGCACCGAGTTGGCATGGCAAATCGAGTGAGTGGCGGGCATTTGGCTATACTGACTGCAGTAGCTATACACCACAAGGGCATGGATGGTCCTTTCGTCGTCATCCGCTACCGGTCACGCACGTCCCTCGTTCTCGATGGTTGCGCGGCCCCAGGTCTGGGTGACGAGGCTGTGCAACATCACGTTTGCCACTATGGAACCGCCACTACGTACTACAGAACATGTCAGACTACCCTACTCTGTACGATCGAGAACGTCTATTGCCTGCATCGAACAGTGTCATCTTTCTTATCTAATGGTGGGACAGCCTCTGAGCGCTGAAGGGCCATACCCAGTACGGAGTACCTACTACCTGCCCATCCCCCCTCCTAGTCACTATCACCCACTGAGCTTCACCATGTAAAGCTCTCTTCGTTCATGTCCATGTTCGCCTTGTGCATCCTCGTCCGCACCGCCGCTCTGACCTCGTCCGCCAATGCACCGGGGCCACAGACACTGACCATGACTGCCCCAACCCTCGTTGGAATCACCTCGTCCAGAATAGTCCCGGGATCGGCCCGGCCTTGGATTAGTTGCATTGTTGGCTTGCTCTTGCTGCTGTTGATGTGATGCGCCGATCTGCTCACATAGATCATGATCTTCAGGATTTCTCGGCGGCCTTCCATGTGAAGAATCTCCGTCATCCACGGTTTGAGCCATTCCATGGCCTCAATATCTCGAATCGACCAGACCAGAACGATCTTGCGCGTCGCCACAGTTTGTGCCTGCGCACCTGCCAGCAGATGTCGAATTTGCACGAGATGGTGAGTGATCCCGCCACCACCAGCAAACATGACAACGGTTCCGTAGCTCTCGAGTGAGTCGTGCCCGGCATATGGCCCTTCCAAGAAGCCGCTCAGATGGAGTCTTGCATTGGGACTCTGTCGGGCCGTCTGGTAGAGTTTCCTCGTCATGCCTGTACGAGCAACCATGATCAGAGAGACGCTGGTGGGCGCCTTGGAGACCGAGAATCTCCGACCAAAAGACTGTCTCTCGACGGTGTTGGGGGTCTTTGGGCTTAGCGGTCGAGGGGAATGGCCCACGGGAGGTTCGGATTCAATGTTCGTCCAAGCCACAGAAAAGGGATGCGACATCCACAGTGATACCGCCGGGATGTAGGCATAAACATGGCTGCCCGGACGGATGGTAATGTGTCGCGGTAGCTGAAAAGTGACACGACACGCGTCCCCCGGCAAGGCTTCGACAAATACTGTTGTGACGCCGCCTTTGCGGGAATAATTGAGATAAACTAGCCTTCCCAAGCGCCAAAGCCGCTCCACCATCCACAAAAGAACTGCCGTCAGTATTGAAGGGTAAGCGGGTAGTTTCTTCACGTCGAGGTGGACGTAGACACCCAGGAGGGCGACGAAAGCCAGAAGTTGGTGCAGGTGCAGGAATGTCTCGTAGAAGGCATGTCGGATGACAGAGAAGGAATGGAAGGGTAGGATGATGATGGCGACCATACCAGCCAGACCAAACTGGAGGAAGGGGTTGTGGTTGAAGATCTTGGGAGTCGCATCATCTCCTTTGGCGAGTATGTAGGCGGCCATCCATGCGAAAAAGTGGATTGTGGATTCAATGGCTACAATCCTCCCAATCCAGCGATGAAACAAGTTGAAAGTGTCGAAGCTGACCTTGAGAATCGGGATGGCGATGTTGTTCCTCGAAGCCAGAACAACAAGAGGGATCAGGTTGACTGTGGCTAGAATACCACTTCGACCTCGGAGCTCTGCCAACAATGCGCCTTTCTCTGGCGCTCTCCAGTCAAGAAGCAGACAATATACCAGGTTGGAGACCGCATAGAGGCTGAGTAGGAGAAAGTGGATGCGGCCTGGTAGAGTACCGTAATTGACGGCGCTCGACATCTGGAATTCTCGGTTGTGCCGCTTCTTGAGAAGGGGCGCAAAGACGACATGCTTCTTCAGCCACGGCCAGATCCAAAGACGGTCGATGGTATAATATTTCTGCTGTGATGGAGTGGCCGTCATGCAGTAGATGTTCCGGATAAACGACACGAAGAGTTGAACCATGCGCAGTATCAGCACTATGCTGACAGCGATCAATATCGACAACCACAACATCCTGACCAGCTGGGAATCCATCTTCAAATTGACACCATGCAGTCCAGTATAGAATTGAGGAGTGTTGGGTGGATTGCTGCCCGGTCCTGCAAAATTCGAGAAGGTGAGATTTCTTGAGGTGCCGTTCCCGGGATCTTGAAATCTGAGGTTACTGAGGGGAAGATTGCCATCTGCGAGGTCTCTTGTGATATGGTGGTGGTGGTGTTGATGTGTTTGCTTCCCCATACGCAGAGCAACATGTCGGAGTGTCTTAGAAGCTGTGTCCGGCACAACTGACACTGGGAATCCCATTTTTCCTGGTTCGTTTCCAAACAGGTCAGTTCCAAGGTTCGGAGGATGTAGTGACTGGATGTGCATGCTTCGCCTGACGCAATTGTCTATTTGGACTTGGGATGCTCAAAGCCCGGCCTTCTTTGTCTCGAGGCAATGCTGAAAGCTGGATGGCTGCTTTGTCTGGATCACGTCGGTAACAAAAAGGCAAGACAAAAGATTTTTTACTGTCCAAGATAACTTTTGTGAGGATCTCAGACATCAATCAACACCAGCGTGGAACAAAGAACAGAGGTGTGGTCTGTTAGCGAGTGGGTGAGTCAATAAGCAGCCCAAAGCATGGTTGAATAAAGGATATCAATAAACAACAAGTAGCACGTGACGCGCTCAATAACACAGACGGCAGAAACAGGATGGAGCGGTGAGTTGTATACAGACCACCCTTTATTCATCATTCCCTGAATAAGGGGAGGAGGTAGCCCGCAGCACGACGGCAGCCCATCTGGTGATCGGTTGTGATGTTCGAGGCTCTAAACACGATTCGGTCGCATTGCAATGCTATATTCCTACCTGTGAACCTAGCCTGAACTGTTCCAGTAGGTAAGAGTGCCCCTCCCTGCACACAATTGCCCAGAGAGTCACCGAATCCGAAAGGCAATGCCAGAATGGGCGAGGTTCAAGCCTGCCGGCAAACAGTCCTGCCTGAGAGATGAGAGGACGACTCCTGGTGGAGGTCATCCCACAACGGCATGGCGGCTGTTTTGAACAACCGCGGCACAAGATACCGGATCAATGAGCGAAAGACATCAGGATTCGAGTCAACAGAGACAGCGAGGATAGAACGTTTAAGGTGGTTACAGAGCCTTTGATGTCGTCGGTCGTCGAGATTGGCGGGCTGCCGGCAAACCTTCCACGGCCGTTTCAAATGACAGGGAGGCCTGGAAATATAAGTCTTTTCATTTCTTTTTTGCCTGCGCTGGTCAAAGGTATTGTCAACCTGAATGATGAACTCGTCTGTAGCTCAACACCAAACCTGGGTCTAAGTGTAGCAACAGTAGTGGAACAACAGCTCCAGAATCACCCTACCGCCCCATCCATCCTCCGTCGATCGTCAACACCTCCCCACTCACATAGGCACAGGCATTGCCGGCCAGAAACACGACGGCGCCCTTGAAGTCCTCAGGCTTCCCCCATCGGCCGGCTGGGATTCTTTCCAAGATCTGCCTGGCTCTGGTCTCGTTCGCGATCAACGCCTCGTTCATATCCGTGTCGATATATCCCGGCGCGATCGCGTTGACCTTGATGCCCTTGCTGGCCCATTCGTTGCTCAGCGCCTTGGTCAATTGGCCCACCCCGCCCTTGGAAGCCGCGTACGCGGGTATGGTGATTCCGCCCTGGAACGTGAGAAGAGACGCCACGTTGATGATATTGCCTCGGGACTGGCCCGGCGACGGCTCCGGTTTGGACAGCAGATACGCGCCAAAGTCACGACACAGGGTGAAGACGGTGGTCAGGTTGACTTGTAATACCGAGTTCCAATCGTCCAACGGGAACTGGTGTGCTGGGTGGCGCTTCTGGATGCCGGCGCATGTCAGGAGGATGTGCATGTTGTGGCCGGCCTTGACCAGCCCGGGAATCAGCTTGTCCACGGACGACTGGTCTGCTAGATCCGCTGTGACAATGGTGGCCTTGCGGCCGAGTTCCTGGATCTGGTTGTAGGTTTTCTTATTGCTCTCGTCTCTCTGTTTTCGGTTTCCAAGTGTCAGTAGACCTGCGTTGAGATGGCAGCGGCATGTGCGTGACCGCCGTCCCTACCTGTACCAGAATGATATCTGCTCCTGCTTCTGCCAGCGCCAGCGCCATCACAGCACCAATGCCTCTTGTGCCACCTGTGACCACGGCCGTCTTGCCGGTCAACGAGAACAGTTTGGTTAGCGCATCCATGACCGGGGATTAGCTTGTAAGATGCGACGGAATCTCGCGAGTTTTCCTTCGTGAGCGACGAGTGCTAACAGACAGTTTGGTTTGTTCAAAAGACCCTCGAGAGAAACAGACACACCGGGTCTTGGGAGTAAAAATAATAACTCACACTACACTTCTTGCATCGCGGACATCGAGGACATCTCCAAGCAGTAATTTGCGGCGACGAAGGCTGAGGACTCCATCTTGGGGGGAGAGCAGGTGATGTGACTGGCCGCCTCGCAGGGTCACTGTGCGCCTGAGCCTCCCCGGCCGTCGGCTTTTGAACGTCAGTCCCCGACATGGGGGGCAGCTCAAATGCCGGCGTCGGCCCTTTAGCCCCGACCCCGGAATAAAAAGGCCTGGCGGCCCTGATAGTAGATACAGGCCTGTACTGTCGCAGCCTCGTCGCATCTGGAGGGAAGGCCAGGCTGGGTTTCAGCTTCATAAACAACGAGATACCAATCCCCCCATCAACGGTACCGGCCTATACTTTAACAGTCCACCACCCTCGGCCAAAAGAGACCAATTACCGCTGATCGAGTGAGTTGGTCGAATTAAAGGTACAAAGATGACGAGCGCGAGAGATGCGAATGCCAATGTTGAATTAGAGTAACACGTCTAACAATCTTTGTTGGGAATGGCACTGTCATCTAACAGGAGGAGCATGATTCCCCAAACCAGCCCAACTGATGCATCATGCAAGATGCAAGACTCGGCCGGGGCACATTCGCTGAAAGTTCCAACTCCCACAGCGTACCGGCAGGATATCATCAGTGTCCTTTCTCAAGACGGCCGTCCATGGCGCTCCAATCCCAATACAGAGTGACCGGGTCTATGGTGTCGTCGTCGAGGAACCGCTGCACCTTGCCGCTCTTCCAGTCTTCCATGCTGAAATCCATATCCAATTGGACAGGAAAGATCTTCTCCTCCAGGAAATCATGTTGGGGGCAAGGGAGCAGATCGCTTTCATCATGAAAATACTCGTAACTCTTTGGAGCTATAATGCCAACGTCAATGTCGACGCCATCGGCCTTCAACTGTTGCAAGGCGAGAGGCAAATCGGGCCTATCCAGTATGGGGAGACTGTGTCTAGAGAAGTACTTCGGATTGCCAACCACTTTGTCCTCATCGATATCTTGCATGAAGGTGGCCTTGTCTTGACAAGCACGAGGGTGAGATTCGTAGCTACACTGATACGCCGCTATGCCGATGCTTCTGTCGGTGGTGTTGTAGATTGCAAACATAACTCTGTGTTTAAGGGGGTCGATGCTCTGCTTGAGGAACGAGGTGAGCGGGATCCCGATTTGGAGATCAAGGCTGGTCGATTCAAATGCGAGCTCCTTTTCGTCCATTTTCACCCCTTTGTGTACGACTTCGATATCATCGAAAGGCGTTGTGGAAGTGTTACCAGAGGTTTTGGCATGGCTGGGGCTGAATATGTTGAACGAACGGAGGGAGAAGACTGATCTGCTTGCTATGGGTATGAGGGATTAGAGAAAGCCTGTCCAAGTTTGAATTGGAGTTAGGATCAAGAACTCAAGACCACGCAGGTTTAAATACCTTGACCATTGACCCGCTCCTCCTTATCACCAGGCTGGACTCGGAGCCGAGTCACGAAGACAAGGAGTCAGTTGCACGGTGCAGTGTCAGCAGAGGAGCGGTAGCCTGGAGCGTAAGTCATAGTAGAACTGTATACTTGCTGGAGACCAACAGGAGTGGCACATTTCACGCATATATGGTTGTTGGAAGCGTTTGAAGAGTCAACGAGATCAATACCAAATGACACCACACGATCGGGGGTTGTTTGCAACGAGTGAATACCTGTATCTTTGCGTAGACCATGATAGACCATGTTGCTGTCTCGTTTGACGGGTCAAGGAGGGAGCCATCGATCAAACGGGCAGATGGTCTTCAGTGAGACCGTGCCGACTGGAAGATCAGACTGGGAGCCTGTCGAGTGTAGGACGGAATGGTATAGACACATCCAGATGTCCACTGTCAGTGCGACCTAGTTACCGTAGGTAGGTAGTCACCTACTACCTAGGTAGGTACTCATAGAAGGCAGATAGCAGGGACAACTCGGAGTTATATATCAACTATATGTACATATGTAATTACTTGCAGTACAAATTGAAGTTTTGGACTATCTCTTGGCGGCCTAAGACGATGTAAATCCACGCCGCTTCTACACCACCACCCACCACACAACCACACCTCCCTCCCTCTCTGCTCCCTCCCTCTCTGCTCCCTCCCTCTCTGCTCCCTCCCTCTTCTCCTCCCACCTCGTATCTCAGAGTATCCGTGTTCACCGCCCACCACCCACCACTCACCACTTACCCTTACTCATCTTCACTATTTCCCCTCCTCCCCTCCTTGGACTCACATTCTTCTTCCTACCACCCCGCCCCCTTCTCTACCCGACGACATCTTATACTCCTGCGTCAGAACAGGATACCTACTTCATGGCTTCGGCCTAGGACCTTATCAATAGCAACGAGTCCGATCTGGACTCTGTACGGGTACAGTGTGCTCTAAAAAGTCAATCCCAAAGCGTTCTCGACAGTGTCTGAAGCTCAAATATCGACCCCTCGCCCATGTTTGATGGATACATTTGTATTTGTTCCCGTTCGCTTGCTCCTGTCCAGGTGCCTTCCGGCTCGAAAAGCAATAAGCTCTCCCCCTGCCCGGAGGAAGTCACGTGTCAATGGCCGAGGGAATTTCCGGAACGCACCCTGCTGTTGCTGCTGAAGGTATTGCTTGTGACCCTGCCTCGAGGCCTCTATCTAGGGTTCTTTCGATTTAACTGATGATGCAAACTCTATAGACTGTCGGACCTGTAAGCGACGGAGAATAACTTGCGATCGCACCTTACCTGCGTGCCTCAAATGTGGCACGAGGAGTCTGGAGTGCCCTGGATATGGCGTCAAGCTCAAATGGGTAGGAGTGACGACGACTAGAGGGGGTTCCAAATGCACTTTCATCCCTTCTAGCACCGGCAATCCGCACATGGTTCCAACGCAACCCAGCCCAATGCAACCGATCCCAACGCAGTCAATGACGAAGCCAAACAGTCACAACCCACCGACCTACCCTGATTGTCTAACGGCGAATCCTCGCTGCTACAGAATTGACCCTGAACCAGACACCCTGCACCGGCAGCTTATGCATCATTATAGCCAGGTTGTGGCGCCCCAGATGGTCTGGATTGACTCCGTTCAGAACCCCTTCCGCCAGCTCACACTACCCCTTGCACTTGAGTCACCTGCCCTGATGATGTCGATACTTTCAGTAGCCGCAGGGGATCTCTGGACGCGATCACACAGTCTGTTAGACAGCGCCACGAATGTCTCCCAGCCTTGGGACAAATACCAGAAGAAAGCTTTGGGGCATCTGGCCGACCATTTGAAAGACGAAAACAAACTCGGCCAGGAAACCGACATCAACGCTTATCCCGGTACAGACCTTGCAAGCCCCATTCTAGCCGCTTTCCTGCTGGGCTCGCTGGCGATCAAGTTGGGCAATTCCACAGTTTGGAGACTCCACCTGCGCGCGGCATGGACAATGCTAGAACATTGGCACGCCTGTCCTTCGCGATGGTCCCTTTCGGTCGATGCTGTCAAGGAGTTCCTATGGCAGGAGGTATATTGCTCCAGAGTGTGGGAGTCGGTAACTACCTTCAAACCTCTGCAAGGCTTGGACGGAAATGACCATGATTTTGAGCATGAGGCTCCCTTCTTTCGGTACGCGGGGATCATTCGGAGGATGGCTGAGATGGAACGTCAAACGGCAGCAAATGCAGCTCTCGTTTCCGATATGATTTCGATCACCTCTCTGGAGATTGAGCTGGATACAGCAAGACAGCGCACCAGAAAATGTGGCGAATCACTCACTTTCCCGTCGGCTCGAGCGCGCATCGCGTTCGATTGCGTGGTGGAATTGTTTCATCATGCTGGGCTGCTCTACGCGTCTCATGTACTTTCACAGGATGACCTTTCCACAAGTGTTGCCGACAGATCACGCAGCCTTCTATTCATGCCCTTGCAGTCTATCGAAGTCACCGACATAATCGCCCAAGATCTGACCTGGCCGATTTTCATCGCCGGGACGGAGTGCCATGGCTGCTGTGAACGGCAAAACCTGGTGCGGGAACGAATGATACAGGTCATGCAGCTGAGTGGCGTCCTGGAGCGACCGAGACTACTTGAGTTTCTCCAAACCTTCTGGCAACTGCAAAGCCAAGACCCTCAAGCGTCCTGGATCAGCCTTGCAAGAGTGTGGGCTGAGTGTGGAGAGCCGATTTTGATCATCTGAAAAACATGTCACATGTACACTCAATCTAAGCCACCCGATCTTTGACTTTTGATTTTGTTGGGGAGGATATCTTCTCCGTCCATCTCCTCGATGCACAATCACTCACAGGTCGACTGTATCTTCATCTTCCACGCCATACAGGACTCTCATGGGGTCTTGATAATGATAGAACCCAACGCCTGGACGGCTAATACCATACCCAAGCAGTCTCTTCACTTGTGTGGACAATGGCCTTGCCTGCTCTACGGGGACCATCAGATATTGATTTTCCGATTGTCGGTAGTAGCCTTTGGTGAAGAACAAGCCGACATTCTCTCGAACCTCGTTTCTGTGGAAGAGACAGAAGGTCAGTGCTATCCACAAAGACGAGGAGGCCGTTGCGGGTTCACATACTCGGTGGTGTTCGCACCCCCTCCATGGTAAGTGTTGCCCAAGAAGATGAGAGCGTCGCCAATTTCCAACTCGGCGGGGACCGCCTCATAGACTTCAGGTGCTCGTTCCGGTCCCCAAACGTGAGATCCTGGGATCACTTGGGTCGCTCCGTTCTCCTTGGTGATCTTTGAAACGGCCACGATGCATCCCAGCATGGCTGGATGGTCTACGTTGCGAGTGTGCAAGTCTCTGTCACACATGACACATGCATCCATGTCAGCCATGCTATGAATCTTCTCAGGAGCAGTCGGGCCAAACAGCCACACTTACGCATCATCGCGGTGGAGGTCTTGAGCTCTTCCTCCGGGGTTGACTCTGAAGGCGGTCGTGGAAGAGATCTGGGGCTTGGCCGTGACAGTTCGCACCCTCTTTCCCACCCAGAAACTGTAGGTTGATGACAAGAGCTTGTCGACCACGTCGAGAAGGAGAGGGGTGGTCAGGTACTCGACGCATCCTGGGGAGATGCCGATCAGCCCCGACGCTCGCTTGGTCGTTTCCGGGAAGAATCCAGTCGGGTCAATCCGATCACTGTCGAAATAGGGCTTGAGCTCTTGCTTGATCTGCAACGCAAGCTCGGGAGTGATGAGGTTTTCGACAATGACGCCGCCGTCGCGCTCAATGACCTCGACTAGAGCATCGCCTGTAGTGGCCGAGTCATGTGCGTCGAAGCGTGCCAGCTGCGGAATTTCGGGCGCGTCACCAGACAATTTGGAGGTCATGGGCGTTGTATTGCCCGTCTCGACGACGGTGGTGGCCATTCTTATTTCCGTGGACGATAGAAGGGACTTGGACTTACAGGGTCGACTGTTGACTTGAGCAAACTTCAAACTTCCAACTTCCGGACCCGGTCTGGAACTGGAAATGTATATTATAAATATATGCGGCCCATTGACGACGCCAGGGGCCCTTTTCCCCTTCTCCACTTGCCAAGTCGACGTCGTTTCAATCGGGAGCCATCACCACGAGACCTGGTCCTTCGGGACCCAATCTTCTGCCGTCTTAGATCTTAGGGAACCTGTGTCAGTGTCAAGTAAGAGTCTCCCGGGCCGGCGTCCAGCTTCCTGTTGCAGTTCAGATTTCCCAACCCAACCTTCTCAGAGGAACAGACAAGCTTGACAATGAAGTCCTTGACACAGCACACGCAGACTCACAATCCCGGTTTCCCACGCGTTATGAATCCCAAGATGCAGCTATTCCGCAATAGGTTTAAATCTCTATCTCATGACCCGATGAAGTTAGCTGCACGGTCCACTGTCCAAGGCTGCTGGCGGGCAAGGCTCCGCCATCTACGTTTTCCGACCAATGGCTGTCTATGCAATTCTGTCTAGATAAGATGGTCAGCGGTCAAAATGGGGACTGACCATCTAGTATCTACTCTGTAGGTGCCTCAGGTTCAACCCAGACCTGGGGACAGTTTTTCTGCGCCAGCTCCTCGGCAGCCCGTCTCGACTTCACCTCATCCGATCATGGCCAGCTGGATCTGCTGTGGCTTATCTTCCCGGACAGATTCGACAGAACAAGCACACGGCACAGCCATGGTGATGTGCAGATAAGACTATCCGGAGCAAGCGTCTATAACTATCTCGAGGGAAGCATCTGAGTCTCCCTTTTCGGAAGCAGACAGACTGGATCATTCTCCCAGCAAGGATTTTTGCTGCAAAAATCTGCAAAAATCAAGATGGAGGCCTCACCGACTTCAAGTCCACCCAGCCTGGTTGGACGTTTTGTCCCCCGAAACTCGAAAGTCTTGATTGTTCTCGTGATCATCTCTTGCTTGGTCAACTCGATGGTATATCTATGCCACTCCTAGTCCCACCAAAGTGCTTCTTGTGCTAATGATGACTCGACCACCAGACGATGGGCTATGATGGCAATATGATGTGAGACGAGGAATCCGGATTTCCCCTACCTGGAATGGAAAATTACTGATCGGATTTCCAGGAATGGGCTGAATATCCTGCCCTCCTTTTACAATGCCATCAGTCTGAACACGGCTGGTCAATCTGCCAACACCGGCATCATTGTACGTCTGGTCCCCACCGCCGCAATGGTCGACAGCCCTCTAGAACACCAGCAAACTGACACGTTCCTCTCTTCCTTCAGTGGGTCGGTGGCTGTGTAGCCGGATTTTTCTCCGGCCCGGTCCTGGATCGATGGGGACGCAAGGCCGGCATGGCCTGGGCCGTGGCCATCGCATGCATCGGGATTCCCCTCCAGGCAGCCGCTCAAAACCAGGCAATGTTCATCGTCTCTCGACTGATTGTCGGCATTGGTGTGGGTCTGAGCTCAGTGGCCTGTCCAACCTACTGCTCCGAGGTGGCGCCTTTACGCTGGCGAGCCTTTTGCCTGGGCCTGTACTACTCCTTCTGGTATGGAGGTGGTATGCTCGCGTCCGGTGTCACCTACGGCACGGCCAAGATTATGAGCTCGTGGGCGTGGCGTCTACCATCGTTACTTCAAATCATTCCCGCCCTGCTCTGTCTGGTCGTGCTCCCTTTCATCCCGGAGTCCCCCCGTTGGTTGGTCTACCACGGTCGCGAAGCCGAAGCTCTGGAAGTGCTGGCCATCATGGCGGCAGACGGAGATGTGTCTGATCCTGTCGTCATCACGCAATTCAAACAGGTGTGCGACACGGTAGCCTTCGAAAAGGCGAACAAGCCCAGTCAAAGCTGGCTCGACACGGTCAAGACACGGAACAGCCGAAAGAGGATGATCTTGGCCTGTTCGTGTGCTGTGTTTGGCAATATGAGCGGAAGTGGTATCATCTCGTAGGTCAAGGACTCATGATGCCATGACCGCCGGCGCAGTTGAAGCCTACGCTGACTTGTCCCTCTGTTCAGATACTACCTCGGTACCATGCTGAGTCAAGCCGGCATCACGGATACGACGACCCAGCTCCAGATCAACATCTACCTTTCCGTCTGGTGTCTGTTCACCGCCGTGCTCGGCTGTGCCCTGGCGGATAAAATCGGGCGGAAGATGCTGGGAGCTGGAACGCTGTCCATCTCTTTGGTTTTTCTGTACCTGGTGGGGGCATTTACCAAATGTAAGATTGGCCGTGCCTGTCATACTCGCTCTGGAGCAATGAGTATCATTGGTATGATATCAGCTGACGAATTTTACTTCTAGTATATGGCTCTGGAGAAAACTGGTCCGGTGTCCTCGCCACAGTAGCCTGTATCTTTCTCTACCAAGGTAAGTTAACTACACGAACACGATTTACCTGCACAGGGACTGACGAGTTTTCTTCAAGGTGTCTACGCATTTGGTTGGTCCACGCTGCTGGTCATGTATCCGCCGGAGGTGCTCAACTTCAGGTATGTATTGTACAACACACGAACGGCCCAGCTCTCCCTCTGTCCACTTAACTAACATCACTCTTCTATCGTAGTCTCCGAGCCAACGGCATGAGTATCTACACATTCTTCTCGAATGGTGCAGCGTGAGTACCCTCGATCCTTCCAATCGCTGCCCATACCGACCCTATTTCCCGTGTCTCTGTCTGATTCAGCTTTCGGCGGATCTCATCTCTCCCCAGTCCCAATCCCGAAAGTCATAATTCGGATTCGAAACTGATGCTGACCGACTGACCCATTTAACCTGACCAGCTGTATCGTCACGTTTGCCTTCCCATTCGCGCTCGAGAAAATTGGCTGGAAGACATACATGATCAACGCGACCTGGGACTTTTTGGAAGTCTTGTTCATCATCCTGGTGTGGGTGGAGACGAGCAACAAGACTCTGGAGGAGATTGACGAGCTCATCGACGGAGAGATGCATTTCGACGCTCCGATCCTGGTCGCCGTCATGGCCGGGGATGTCGAGGTCACGGCGGACAAGGTGATGAGGGCCAGCAGCACTGCCGAGGGCACCTCGAAGGCAGGCAAGGAGGCCATTGCTAGTACTACGGTCATTTCGGAGTGAGCTCGGAGCTGTGAGCTGTGAGGCTCTTGCACTCGACAGCTCACTGGTATGGTAGCTGAGGGGATCCTGCCACTCTTCCAGTTCAGCTAGAGGGTTTAGTCTTGTACAGCAGTTGGGAGGTCAGGTTCTCTCCGGTCCGGTCAGCTTAGCTTAGCTTAGCTTTTGACCGTATCAGGGGTCTTGCAAGGGTTAAAGGTCAACCCCACCGGAATCGTCTTCAACACTCGGTTTCGGCTTCATGCCCATCCATGTTCGTACGGACCGGACCGTCAGACTCAGACCGTTGCCGCTGCCGTTGCGGTTCAACCATCGATCCCTGGGAGGAGATTATGGAATAGTAAGCTACGGCCCTGATTGATGGTTAGGTGTTGGATGTTGGGTGTTGGTTGTCCGACAGCTAAGTCAGGTCTTTGTTACCTTCAACGGCGAGACTTGTAGCAGACTATGATACAGAATAGAATGAAATGAAATGGGAAGAAATAGAATGGAAAGGAAAGAAATCAAATGGAAAGGAAATGGAAAGAAATAGAAAGGAAAGCAGCTCGAGACATGAGAAGACAAGACGAGACGTCGCAAGCATGTCAAGATTACATATGTAGTTCACACGCTCACATCTCTCACTTGATGGCCATGGCAGTGGCTGTGGCTGTCTTGTAGACTAGGATATGGATCTGGATTCTCAGGATCCTGTCATCAGGTAGGTGCCCGTTTCCGTTTTTTCCACTTTTCATTCTTGGTTCCTAATTTCCTCCAACTTGAAGCCTAGTTTTGTCAAACTTAGGCACTCCCAGCCTTGCTCTTGCTCTTTTAACCAGAAGGTTAACCAGAAGGCTAAGGCTGGTTTAGGCATACTATCTCTACTATATAGTATGTGCTCCCCCTGGAACCCTTTGATAGAGAACAGAACATGGAATATGGAACATTTCAACCTTTGACAGAAGCCTGGTTTCGGGACTACCACCACCACCACCACAGATTCAACTTGCGGCTCACCAGTCACTACACGGATTCAAGTCCATTCACCCCTTTCGGCACCAGCTCACCACACGGATTCAAGTCCATTCACCCCTTTCGGCTTCTCCGCCAGGGTGGTGATGCGGAAGCCATGTCTCAAGCCTTCTGCGCCGTCATTCACGTCGTAGTCGGAAATGGCCGTGTGAGAAGTCACTCTGTTGTCCCATAGCGAAACGGTGCGGTCGTCCCATTTGACTCGGACTTGGAAGTCCTGGCCTTGGGAGATATGCTATTAACAAGGTGTTAGTTAGTGTTGGTTAGTGGACTACCTTCACACCACATCACACCACATCAAACAGAAAGGACTGGGGAAGAAGGCACCACACCACACCACACTAAACAGAACAGGACGGGGAAGAAGGGGGAGGAGATGCTGGCAGTGGCACCACACCACATCAAACAGAACAGGACTGGGGTGGGGGAGAAGATGCTGGCAGTGGCAGGCAGGACTTCAGTTATTGGGATCGCCTCACCTTGAACAATAACTGAAGAATGGCATCGGATTCCTCGTCCTTCAAACCAATAATTTTCTTGGTGAAGCCCGGATTGACGAACAGCGCCTTCTGGCCCGTCACAGGGTGGACTCGCACAATAGGATGGTCCGACTTGACCGGCTCGCGGCGAACATGCTTGCCGTCTCGTCGGGCCCCGTCAGCCTGCGGAAATCCGCTGTGCTCAGCCCGCAAGCCTTCCAGCAGCTTCTTAATTGGGTCGGAGAGACGTTCGTACGCCACCACCTGAGATGTCCAGCCAGTGTCACCTCCACTGCTGGGGACTTCGAGCAACGTCAGGATGGTGACGCCCGGCGGTTGATGTTCGTACGAGACATCCGAATGCTGTCCCGTGGTGGTCAACTTGGACGAGCGGGTTTGGGCCCGATAGAGGTTGTCTGGGCCTAAATAGATGTTGTGGAGCTCAATGTGGTCTTTCACATGAGCACCCACCGGCTATGAATGAAACCAGTCAGTCAGTCAGTCCCAGTCAAGTCAGTCAATCTAAGTCAGCCTTGACTGGATCTTGTCTTGCACCGGAGAGGATTTTGTCTTGCACAGGGGCGGATCTTGCTTGCACTCGGGCAGATCTCGTCTTGCACTCGGGCATCGGGTCAGCTCAGATCAGGTCTGGTCTTACATGGATGTGCAGGGGCCCAAAGTAGCGGCCGAATTCTTTCTGCTTCTGCGGCCCAATGTCCTTGAAGTCCTGGTCTCGGAACACCACGACACCCCGCTCGGCGATGAGCAAGGCCAGCTCGTTCTTCTGAGCATCGGTCAGTTGTGATAGCTGGAGGCCTCGGATCTCAGTGCCAATCCGGGGCGTGAGTTTGGTCACGGTGACATTGTCGGCATTCAGCAGATTGGGCTTGGCTGGGTCGGCGTCAAGGCCCCGGTCACGCACTTCGAACGGTTGCGTGGGCGGGAATGTCGTGGTGGTGTCGTACACGGGAAGATAGTCGGTATACCGGGACTAGAGATTCGGAAAGTGTCCCTCCTGTCAGTCAACCTGCGCATTTGCTGGCTATAGTATAGTATGGGTGACGAATGTATGTGCGCAACATACCCCTACATGCGCCTTTTCGTCGAATGCCTGCGTAAGGACGACTTTGGTTTGCTGTTGGGTTTCGGTACTGGACATGTTGGATAGTTTGTTGTCCTGTCTGCTGTCTTGTCGACTCTTGGTGTGCTCGATGTAGGATAGGGATGGAGATAGGGGTCTGGATAGGGATAGGGTAGGCCTGGTTGCAATCTCACTGAAATCGGATGACACTGACCAGATACCACTGTTATATTTAATATTCCATGTTTTCCATTGAAGCGGGCAATTGCTGGCTTGAAATACTGTACCCCTCATGAACCACGGTTGATAACGACATCGCAACTTGAAATCACACAACCTCGAACCCATCATGTTCACGTCTTCTTCGTTTCAGGAATCCTCTCTGCTGACCAATCATCACGATATCGATGTATTTAGGCACGACATACAGGATTGCGACATGTAAGTCCATATGCAATCCGGTAGTGGAGCAGAAGGAAGTTCTTGTATGTTGAGTGGTGGTGGTGGCCGTCACTACAACTTCCACCACTGGCATCCTCACAACAAACCGGATAATGTCACCATTGTGTAAAACAAATCTGTCTCTTAATAGTACTCCGTACATCAACAGCATAATCCAGTTCAGGTCGTGACCAGCTAAGGTAATACGTGACGTGGGCCAAAGATGTGGCTGGTAGTAGAGGTGCCGAGGAGTCCTCAGGTGGGCACGAGAGGCTTATACCACATAGCTCCTAGAGAGGTTACTGTCACACTGTAGGTATAGATTCCCAAGGGCGTAGGCGATAGGCTCTCAGGCTTAGGGGCTTAGGGCTTAGGAGGTTCTCCCGGTAACTTATTAGACGCCTGAGCCTAGGAGGTTACTATAGCCCGGGGGTCTCCCTAGCCTAAGCCCCTAAGCCCTAAGCCCTAAGCCTAAAAACCCCATGACGAGTAAGAAATAGGTGCCGTCGGGGTGACGCTGATCTGGCCGCGGGGTTCAAGTTGGCCGTCCCTCCTCTTGGCGGATGTAGCTCCGTAGTCCGTATACTCCGTAGTAGTATTACTGCGAAGTACTCGTACCACTAGGTCCCTCGCAAATCTTGATGGGGAAGAATATCCGACAACTGGCGGCGTCGGTGCCTGAAAAGACAAGCGCCTCCCAAACAAGACATGTTCCGGCGGTCACAGAGTGTGGGGATTCAGTGTCGATTTCCACGGAATACGAGGTAGTATCTGGTATCTACTGAGGGTCTCCGGAGGACACAGATGCTGTACCAAGTATCAGTGACGGGAGAAGAGGATGTATACTGAACGAAGAAGACACCTGCACAGGGGTGAAGTCGCGGTGTTGATATAAGTATGTGTATCCCTACCTGCTACCTATACACAACACTTCCTCCATCTCGAAACACCACGCGCAGTCTGTCTCTCTCATCCGGGCGGCGAGATACTAATATTACAGTGGTCCTCCGTACTGTCTTAGTACCCCGCAACCCGGCCATTCATGCATGACGGAGGACAGCGGCCGCAGGCAGCGTAAAGTACAACATAGTCCCGTCTACCCAATTTCTCCTCTCCTCTTTCTTGTCGGCCATGTCCAGGTCGACATCGACAACCACCCTGATCCATGAACACCCCGTCGACACCACCTCCACCTCCCTCCGAACTACCACTCCCACTACCGCAGCCATGGCCTCCGAGACCAGCATCTCCAAACCCAACATTGGCGTCTTCACCAACCCCAAGCACGACCTCTGGATCGCCTCAGCCTCGCCCTCACTAGACCAGGTGCAACAAGGCCACGACCTAAAAGAAGGAGAAGTCTACGTGGGGGTCAAGTCGACCGGAATCTGTGGCTCGGACGTACACTTCTGGCATGCGGGATGTATAGGTCCCATGATTGTGACGGGCGACCACATCCTTGGCCATGAATCCGCCGGCGTGGTGTTGTCGGTACACCCGTCCGTGACGACCCTCAAACCCGGCGACCGCGTGGCCATTGAGCCCAACATCCCCTGCTTCGAGTGCGAACCGTGCCGGACCGGTCGGTACAACGGGTGCGAGAGCGTGGTATTCCTCAGCACGCCTCCAATTGACGGGCTGTTGCGGCGGTACGTCAAACATCCCGCCGTCTGGTGCCACAAGATCGGGGATATGAGCTACGAGAACGGCAGTCTGCTGGAACCGCTGTCGGTGGCGTTGGCCGGGTTGGACCGCGCTGACGTCCGGCTCGGCGACCCTGTGCTGATCTGCGGCGCCGGGCCCATCGGCCTGGTGACGCTGTTGTGCTGTCAAGCCGCCGGCGCCTCCCCGTTGCTCATCACCGACATCGACCCCGGACGGCTGCAGTTTGCGCAGTCGCTCGTCCCGCGCGTCAAGACCTTCCAAGTGCCCCTGGACAAGTCGGCGGAAGAATGTGCCGCCGGCATAGTCGAAGCCATGGGAGGCATCCGCCCCCGCGTGGCCATAGAGTGTACGGGGGTCGAGTCCAGCGTGGCCAGTGCGATCTGGAGCGTCAAGTTCGGCGGCAAGGTCTTTGTCATTGGTGTGGGCAAGAACGAGATGAAGATCCCGTTCATGCGCCTCAGCACCATGGAGATCGACCTGCAGTACCAGTACCGCTACAGCAACACGTGGCCGAAAGCCATCCGGCTGGTCGAGAGCGGCGTCATCAACATGGACAAACTGGTCACGCATCGATTTAATTTGAGCCAGGCCACCGAGGCGTTCAAGACTGCCAGCGATCCCAAGAGCGGTGCCATCAAGGTGCAGATCAAGAATGATGACAGTTTATAGAGAGGGGGATAGAAAATAACATGCCAATTCAAATGCCAGTACGAGGTACCAGAGATTTGTATTATACGCAAGATTGTCGATTTATACTAGAAGTCAGATATTGTCTGTCGATTTGTACTAGAAGTCAGATCGTCGACAGGCTGGTTAGTCTGGCTTTGAAATAGATTTCCTCGAAGCGGTTTTGGTACAGATTTCCTTGAAGAGCTTAGCTTGTGATAGAAAGACTGAAAGACCTGATAGACATCTTGATATACATGTTGACTGACAGACCTCCCCAGCTCTGCATATCAATCGCCGTGGAGAAAACCTGCATACACTGCTGTACCATTGCTGTACCATTTATTATCATGGCGAATCCTTTCCGTCGTATGGACTGTACTGGACTATACTGTACTGGACTATACTGTGCTGTACTATATTCTGACCTCAGACCTCTCTCACATCATGTCTGAAGGACTCACGACCCCAGCCGGCCGTGATCTCCTCGAGGAGCTCATATCAAACAATCACCACCCCAGCAGTGATCTCTTCCCCACTCAGCCAAAGCCGCACAGCAGCAACCTGCTGCTCATACCAAGCGTGCATAGTTTCGTCCTCAGCATAGCCCAGATACGGACTCAGCAAGACACAATACAACTCCGGACGACACGACCCTAGAACCGGGGCCAGCGCCCAGGAAGCATAGACTCGAGGGTAAGAGGATTCTAGGTAGAGTCAGGGACGAGGGGCTAAGGCTCTACGCCGACGGGTAGGCTAAACAATCACCACCCCAGCCGTGATCTCTGCTCCACTAAGCCAAAGCCGCACAGCGGCAACCTGCTGCTCATACCACGCATGCATAGTTTCATCCTCCGCATAGCCCAGATGCGGACTCAGCAAGACACGACTCCGACCGCCGCGGCCCCAGAACCGCGGCCGGCGCCACGGACTATCTGGCGGCAGGGGCTCTGTGTCAAAGACGTCGAGGCCGACGGCGGCGATAGCGCCGGTCTCCAGGGCCTCGAGCAGATCGGGCTCGTGGACCAGCGGACCGCGCGACGTGTTGACCAGCACGGCGGTCGGCTTCATGACACTCAGTTCCGACTTGGCCACGATGCCGCGCGACCGCTCGCTCAGCACGTAGTGGATGCTCAGGACGTCGGCGCGGCGGAACAGCTCGGCTTTCGACCCGGCCACTTCGAACGTGCCCGCGGGCAGGCCGCGCCCTGTGGCCGCCGCGTCTGCTTGCGCTTGTGTCAGGTTGCTCGACCACGCTAGCACCCGCATGCCGAATCCCAGGTGGCCCGTCACCGCGGCTTGCGTCCCTAGTCGCCCGAGCCCGAGCAGGCCGAGCGTCTTGCCGGCCAGAGATGAGACGAGTGCTGGATTGAAGTTTGAGTGGTTGCCTGGGTTGGTATCGGCAGTGGCAGTGGCAGTGGCAGCGTCGGCGGTAGTATCAGTATCAATATCAGCATCAGTGGCAGTCTCGTCAGTGTCGTCAGCGACAGTATCAATGTCAGTCTCGTCAGTCTGCCATCCATCCCTGGTCGTCTTGAGCCTCGTATCCCCCACCACAACATTCCTGACCAAGCCCAAGATCAGCGCCCAGGTCTGCTCGTTGGTGCTGTCGTAGCCCGGCACCGCGCCAGACTTGGCCCGCGTGCCGACCAGGCGGATGCCGAGCTCCTTGCACGCCCCGACGTCGATGGCCGCGTTCTTCGCCCCCGTGGTCAGCAGCAGCTTCAGGTTCGGCAGCCGCGACAGTACTGAGCGCGGGAACTGGGTCCGCTCGCGCATCGACGAGATGATGCTGAAGGGCTGCAGGCGGGCGATGAGCGCGTCGTGTTCGTTGGGGAGACGCGCGTTGAGCGTGGTTGGAAAGGAGTGGATTTCTAGGTCGAGGTCGGTGTTCTTGATACTGCTGGCCAGACGCTGAAAGTACGCCGGCGCAATGTTGGCGTAGTCGTCGAGAATGGCCAGCTTGATGGTTTTTCCTTTGGCTTTGTCTTTGGTAGACGTGGACGGTAAAGACCGGGAAGCCATGGTGAACTCGAACTCCGGGTGATCCTAGTTCTCTATAGGTGTAGGTGTGCTGATCAGAGATCCGAACCTGCCGGTGTGAGATATAAGACAGTATATCTATCTATTCGGAGAAGATGAGGGTGAAGCGATAGACGGAGACGGGTCAGGACGGGTCGACGGTGATGACCAGTAGGCAAGGCAAGGCAATGACCATCGAGATATGAATACCAGGTAGTAGTTGGGACAGTAACAGTATTGATATTGCCGAGTCGATCAATGGGCGAAAGTGTCAATGTTGGTCTTGTATGGTGCAATCTGATCCAATCCGTGCTCGTCCCCGATCGGGGCCTGGGTGACGCCGCCCTAATTCTACTGATAAGACGTCTTAAAGCAGCCTGTTCCGGCCGATAAGAAGAATGTTCCCCTCTATTCCTCCCTCTCACGAGTCACCCATCCATCCTTGTTATCAATGTACCTATATGTACCTATATGTACCTATATGTACAGTACTCATCGCATCTATGTGTACTCCGTATGTGTACACCATATGTGTAATTGATAAACGCGGAATATGATATGCGTGGATACTGCGAATCCAGTCCAGATCGCACATGTATACCTAGGTAGCGAGAGGGGAAACTCCCCCCACCTCCCCCGACTAATTAACGTTGTCTCGCAACTTCGTTTTTTGCCAACGTGCAAGTCTGAGCACGCTTTCGACCATGTCAACATCGAAGGGCTCTTAATCCTCGTTCCGCTGTCGAAATGTGTGTGTGTGTGTGCGAAGTTGTCCTCACAGGCTCTAAACCAATTTTGAACCTGACCACTACTTTTAACAACACACACACCATCGAAAACTGTATCTCAAATCTCGGCGAGCTTCGGTGCAACGAGGGCATCATCAACCGTCAAGAAGACGTTCCCATGGTTGGTACCCAGTACTTCTTGTGGATCTGTCTAATTCGGCCTTTAGTCGTTCACTGTCGAGACCCTCGAACAAGACACAGATTTCAGCGACGCGCAGAAGACTCCGAAGTGGATCGTAGGGGAAGGTCAAAAAGTCCGGTGGCGTTCCTGCTTTATCTATGTCTTTGCGAAAGGCAACACATCAGATCCCACCCATACATATCAAAGGTGTGACGGGCAAGGAACAGTCCCGAGAGGCATTGAGCTATATTTCGGTGGCATTGGGGCAGCGTGAAGATAATATGATAGAACAAGAGCATAGGGCACCGTGCTATCGAAGTTTCAGTTTGTCCGCTATTAGAGTCCCTTCCCTGAGTCCCAGAGACAAGAAGATAATCGCCATATCATCGGCTCCTGCGACATCACCATCGATACATATGAATACACTCCAGCGCGGCTAGAGACCAGCCCCTTAGCCCCTTTTCAGATATTTGCCTTGGCCAAGTCGGTGAGTAAACTACATGTACAGATACGGAGGACCCAGTCAACACTTGACCGATCACCAAACTACTTATACTATTTGCAATCGCCATGGTCGTTTCACCCAACATGAATACCCTGATCTTCCTTATCCCTGCGCCTCGATCGTCCAGCGATGTTGGAGGGAGATTATGCATCTGCCGAGCAGCTGTTGATGGATCTGAAAGCGCTGGAGACGAAAACAAAAACCACATCGCACACCCGATAAGGATTGTAAGGGTGTTGCAAGGCGCGGTCGGGGCGTTGATCGAGCACAGTCTGAGTGAGCACTACTTTGTGTTGACAGATTAGGAGGCATTGTACAAGTCCATTTACGCCGCCACTCTCATCCAGTCTACTTTGCTCTTATGCCGCCGTAATAGGAGGAGTCTTTCCATCTCTTGAATGCTTTAAAACTGAGATCCGTTTGATTTGCTCTTCTTTTCATATACTTGAAGGTCGTGCCAGTGGGGGGCCAACCTGAAATAGCCTGCTTAGCGTGGCGTCTGGGCGGGATAGTGCCGCGCCGGGTCGGCCCATTAAAGCCGGGCCCTTAGGCTCCCTGCTAGATGGTCATAATTGGCTCTAACGGGCGGATTAGCACGATTTAGTCGAGTAGTCTCCGCGTCTAATAATACGTGGAACGACGTATCCGTATCTTCAAAGTACGGATACAAGTACCTATCTACGAGACCTACGTAGGTAAGGTAGCGTCGCTCGACTTTGATTTGTTACGAGAGGGTGGAATGGATCAAGAGCGTGAGTACTAAGTCCTCAGGGTCTGTAGATTGCTCATGATTCACTCGTGTTACTGCTACCCAAGACCTCGGAATTCTTGACTCGTGCTACTGCTACTACTTAAGACCTAGAAATCTTCCAAGACCACCGGATTTCTAGACAAATCTATCGGTACATCTCACCAAAAGTATTGACCTTGTCCTCAGCAACACGTTGAACGGCTTCATGAATAGGAACTTCACCGCCCGAGACCTCAAACACACAGCCGATGGTGGCCGGGTTCTCAATACAAGCAACGAAAACATCCGCCACGTCCTTTCTGCTTACTTTGGGAGAGAAGCCGGCGAATCCAGCCTTGACCTTTCCCGTCGGCTCATCGTCCCCATACCAGGTGGGCCGAATAATGGTATAATCCAGCCGTCGTCGCGAATTCTGCTCCACGAGGTCCTTGTCGGCCTCGAACTTGGCCTTCACGTATGTAGGCACCGCGCCCCATAGCTTGTCACTGGATTTCCGGTCCTCTTCGTTATACCAGGTGGGGGATGGCTTGTCACGATTTCTCGCATCGATGGTTGAGATGGTAATGAGGCGCTTGGTGCCGTTCGCTTCGGCCATGGCGTCGAAGACACGGATGGCCGTGTCGCGGTCGACGAGGATGCTGAGGTTGGGGTCTTCGAATCCTCGTAGGCCTGCTCCTGCGGCGAAGATGACTAGGTCGGGCGTGGAGGTTTGAATGGTTGCCGTCAGTTCGGCTACTGTTGAGTCTTCCAGCGACTGAATGATGGGTGTGGCGCCCAGTTCGCGAAGTTCAGGGACGTGATCTTCTCGTCTGATAACAGAATAGACTTTGTAATCCTGCTTCACTAGACTTGCTGTAATGAACTTGGCCACTTTGCCAGAACCACCGAAGATGAGGACGGAAGGCATGTTTTGTAGGAACAGAGACGGAAGGTATGTTTAGTAGGAACAGATTGAAGGTATGTTTAGTAGGAACAGACTGAAGGTATGTTTACTAGTAGGAACAGAGATATTTGTTGGGACTACTATATGAAATGAACCTACCTCCTGAGTCTGGAATTTATATATACCTAGTACCCCATAGTTGGTTCTCTCTTGGGTTAGGTAATTTCAAGCTTACGTCCGTATGCTTCTGAGTCATACTCCAGAGTCAGACCGGTGCGTTATGGTGGAGAAATTGTCAAATACGCTGTAGCGAGTAAATCTTCCCTAAGTCTGCCTAGGTAGAGAAGAGGTACCTATAAGAGAAAGTCTTGAATTAGGCAGCAGCAAGACTCGGCGCGGATAGACTATATTCCGAGTGTCAGATGGCTAAGTCACCTGATGCAATATTTGAATCAAATAGAACCGTGGAGGATGAGGGGGGGGGGGGGGAATTTAAGGGCACCTGCCTTAGAGAGACGTACTGTATATATATATAGATAGATAGTAGGTGTTTAGACGGCTGGGCGTGGGTGATACAAAGGGGCCGTTCCGTTTGAATCTAGATAGATCTTCTACCACATTTCATTTATATATACGTATCTATAGATGCTGTGCTGTATGCTTGACACTATATGCCGGATTCTTCATACCGTCTAGGTCTGAGAACCTGACAGACGCTGTCACGGTTGACCCAAACTGTTACAGCACGACAGCCGCCAAAAAGGACGAAGTAAGTAATTCACTCGTGAATTAGCCACTTGGTGTATATAATCGTCACAGGTTACTGGATACTGGATACTATTGCTTGATGCTGTATGCTTGATATTGTATGCCGGATGCTGTATGCCGGATGCTGTATGCCGATGCTGTATGCCGGATGCTCTGTGCCGTCTAGGTCTGAGAACCGACAGACACTACCTCCCCCCCGTCCCAAGGTAGGTAAGAGCAGCAACCACCAAGGCATTGATGCCCGTAGTCAAAGTGGGCTGCAAGACCGGCGCGAAGAACGGACTATGGTTGACGGGGATGGTGGCCTCGTCGCCCCGTGCGACGGCCTCATCAAAGGCGACCTGGTCGACGCCGCCGAAGAACCAGAAACAATAGGGCCGGTCGACGGCGGTGGCGAGGATACCAAAGTCCTCGCTGCCGAGGGCGTTGGGGACGTTGGGATCGTGAGCGTCGCCGAAGTACGCGGTGAAGGCATCGTTGATGGAGTGGGCGACGGCGGCGTGGTTGACGGTCAGCGGGAAGGACGAGGTGGGCTCGAAGGACGGGTCGCGCGGACAGTTGGCGGCGAGACACTCGGCGCGCACGATGCGCTGGACGGCGGCGAGCACGCGGTCGCGCCACAGGGCGGAGACGGTGCGGATGTTGATCTTGAGCACGGCCTCGTCCGGGATCACGTTCTCGGCGCTGCCGGCCTGCAGGGCGCCGACGGTCACGACGGCCGTCTCGCTGGGCGGGACCTCGCGCGCCACGATGGTCTGCAGCCGCACGACGACGTGGCTGGCCACCACGACGGGGTCGATCGTGCGGTGCGGCATCGACCCGTGGCCGCCGCGTCCGTAGATGGTGATGCGGAAGCTGTCGGCAGCCGACATCAGCGACCCTGCCCGCGTCGCCGTCGTGCCCGCTCGCAGGGGCAGGACGTGCTGGCCCAGCACCACGTCCGGGATCGGACACGCGTGCCGCCCCGCGTCGTACAGCCCGTCGTCCACCATCGCCTGCGCCCCGCTGCCGCGCTCTTCCGCCGGTTGGAACAGGAACACGATGCGCCCGCTCCACGCCGTACGCGCCGACACCAGCGTCTCCGCCGCCGCCAACAGCGCCGTCATGTGGAAGTCGTGCCCGCACGCGTGCATCACCGGCTTCTCCAGCCCGTCCGTGTCGTCGCGCATCCGCTTCGTGCTCGCGTACTCCAGCCCCGTCTTCTCCTGCACCGGCAGCGCGTCCATGTCCGCCCGCAGCAGGATCGTCGTCCCGGGCCCGTTGTCCAGGATCGCGACCAACCCGTGGCCGCCGATGCCGGTGCGGATGTCGAACGAGTCGGAAATCTTGCGAAGCTGCGACGCCATCAGAGCCGCCGTCTCTTTCTCCTGCGTCGACAGCTCCCCGTGCTGGTGCAAGTGCCTGTACAGTTCTTCGTACGGCCCCAACGCAGGCCGGTGTTGGTCGAGGATCGAAGAAATCCACGACGACGACCGCGGCGACGGCGACGATAACGACAACGTAGCAGCGGCCATGGTGCAGACGTGGCTAGCGAAGAGTCTGAGACTGTTTGACTCAACAATAATGGACGAGACAATTGCAACAGACAGGACGATAAGAACAAAACACTTCAGTTGCGATATCTGAGGACGTTGTACTTGAATGCGAGATCGATTGATGTTGGTAGCCGGGGCTGGTCTCCAATTTGAAGGACAAGTCCGCCTCCACTGGCACCGGGCTGACTGACGCAAATGGCGCCATGCATTGGTGATTGGCAGATACGTAACAACATCATGATCGCCTCCGTTTCCTGTCCCCATCCCATCCACCACCGTTCCAACGAGCAAAACAACGATAGCCAGACCTCCAACCTCCCCCCTTCTATCACAGCCTGAACCTCAGCCCTTCATGTCGTCGAGTCCTCATAATTCCTCTTCATCCATCCCATTCACATCCATGATCGGTCGAATAGTTCGGCTCCGCCCGCTCTGGGCCCCTCGAACCGTTCTCACCATCCGACTCTTGACGCTCGACGCCTTGTCTCGCAGACTCGACGACCGGCTGAGTGGCTTGGTCGCTGTTGTCCCAGTCCCATGCCCATGCCCATCCTCCTTCTCGATCAAGACGGTCGAAGACGTCGTCGACACAATTCGCTGTTTGCTGCTCTTGCCCTTGCTCTTCGCATCGGCCACCAGCTTCCTGAGCTTCGATGGCTGCCGAGTGAGGCCGACCAACGGAGTGCTGCCCTGCTTCCGAAGCACCGCCTTCTTCATCACCTTGATCTTGCGCACCTTGGCCGGGCTGCCGATGCTGCTGGCCGACCTGTACACCTTCGCTTTCGGGGCCAGCTTGGCTTTTTTACTGAGTCGGTGGGCGCCCTCCTCGATCACCTCCGCAATCTTTCTCTTGGCCCCGGCCAATTTAGAGCCCGCGCTCTTCTTGGCCTCCTCTTTGGGTCGCGGGCCCAAAACGCCGCGGCAGTTCCAGGCGCCACAGCGACAGACCTGCACGTTCTTCTGAGAGTACGGGTCGAAGTTGTAATCATAGGTGAGTTCTTCTCCCGTCATGATCCCGCGGTCCCCGGCGAACAGGGCCATGCGAGGTTTGCCATTGACCGTCCATTTCTCCATGCGGCAATTGGGATCACACGAGTGGTTGACGAATCGTGCAATCGACCCGCGCGTGGCGTCGATGATCATGTTCTGGTCGAATAGCATGAGATAGTAGCACTGTACACCATCAGTCAGCCAACCCACGCCCTCGTCGGTCTTCCCGGGGACTTACCTCGTTGTCCTTGTACATGGTCTTCATTCGGCGTTCGCATTCTTCCTGAGTGATGATTTCTCCTGTGTATTCCACGATGATCTGGTTGGGGTCGAACGTTCGGTTGCTTCGAACGCCGTGCCCTCGGTCCACCGTCTTGATCACTTCGACGCCGACGTTATATTTGCCGCCCTTTTTGGCCCGCTGGCGAAGCACTTCGAACTGTCGGTTTCCACATTGGTCTGCCGTGAGGTTGCAGTTGCGTTCGTCACACTCGTAGAACATACAGCGATTCATGCAGTTGTGATCGCACCCCGTCTCGGGCCTGCACATGCAGCTTGATTGCTCTTCGTACTTCGACACTCGCCACGCCTGTGCGGCATCGCCGACAAACACGTTCTTGTTGACCTTTCTCCACTCGTCCGGTTTGGGTTGACCGGCCGGCAGGGGAGAGAAAATGTCAAAGGGCAATTTGAAATCCCGGCCTTGCTGCAACAACCGTTCTCCCGCATACATGGGCAGTGGCAGCGTCTTATTCTCCCCCACAGTCTGAGCCGTGTCGGCGCTCTTCCGTCTGTTCTTGCTTTCGCTGAGTCGCCCTTCAAATGCCCTAGACTGGCCGGCATACAGTCCCGATGACAGCCATTTCTTCTGTCGTTGCCGGGGTGCTTCCTTCTGGGCGGGCTCCTCGAAGGAGGGCGTGGCCCCCTCGCTGACGCGTCGCTTCTTCAGGGCAGGCTCGCGAAGAGAAGAGGACGCGATGCTGCCCATACTCTTCCTCGATCCACTCGTCGTCTCTGGTGCCCTCTCTTTCCTCTTTCCAAGCACACTGTTCGCAATGTTGGACACAATTTCTCCCGCCTTGTCAAGCCCTGGAATCCGCGAGGATCTACGGCTAGCTTGTTTCTCCGCCGCCTTGCGTCGTTCTTCCCATTGCCGGCTATTTTCTTCCATCTTTGCTTTTTTGGCGGCGGCCTTTTCCTCCTGTAGCTTTAGTCCATCATAAACATCAGCCTGTAGAGCGTCCGTGGCCTTGTCTTCCTGCGCAAACAGCTGGGTCATGTTCCAGGTGAGATCCAAAGCAGCAATACCTTCTTTCACCAAGGTCGACTGGCTTGCATTATCGATGTTGACCAGAGTTTCGCCACTGACAGTTCTGCTTTTGGCGCTTTCGTCCCCCACGTCTTCAATGAGCCCGTTCTGGCTTTCGTTGCGGGTCAGACGCCGACTGACGCGTCGTGCTCTGCCTTTGGGGACTTGCTTCATACTCACGGCCCGGGCATCTTGTATTGACACGTCCAGGGAGCTTTCCGACGGCGTAGGCAGTTGGGTCAGCGGGTACGACAACACCACGATGGTGTCTGGATCGCTGTCGGACAGTGTATCGGACAGTGTAGGGCTGGCTGGCCGGGTCAACGTCGGTCGGGCCCTGGGCAGCGGAGGGGGTTGAGTCACGCTCTCGCCTTTCGAGGTGTGAGCCCTGTAGAAACTCAAGAGGGATTGTCGGAGGGGCATCCTGGGAGGATTTCGTGCAGTCGTGGACTGCGGAGGAGAGATGGGAGACAACAGACGCGTCGTGCACCTGCACCTGAGACGTGCAACACGCCGAAACAAGAAGGCACGCTGCCCGGAACAAAGCAGTTTGCTGCAAGACGCGTGTTGTGTATTGCAGCGGGCTGATCAAGAGGCAGTGGTTGAGGAGGCTGGTGGCTGGAGGCTGAAGGCTGGAGATTGCGAGACGGGCCTGGGGATTATGTATGTCTCCATTCTACCACAGCCAATATGATCCTTCGCTGCGGACAGGCCACAGACTGACCCAAGACAACAACATTTCAAACGCCCACCGGGCAACTCGTTCCACACTGACGCCGGCCTGGTCAGAGTGCCTGACCCCTAGACTGCTTATCGTGTGCTCCGTACTCCTTACTCTGTATCTCGCATTGGCTGATAGGGGCAATGAAACCCCTGCAAGTCCTGAATTTGATTCAGAATTCCTTACGCCTTGCTGATATATATACAGTATTATCTATTGGCTCCCTCTTGCCCCTCCATCCATCCTATTACTCGTACAATATGTCCTCACTCTTCTCGCCTACTTCTTTGGAATCTTCTGTCCCGTCGGCCCTTCAAACGACTTCGGGGCGCCCTGGACCGGCTTCATCTCCAGTCCCCCCTTTTGTGCTTCTGCCGTCAGAGTGGCCTGCCGACGGCCCCTCCTGGTGCCGAAACGTTGATCGCCCGCTTCGTATCTCTTCTTGAAATGGAGGTAGGTCGGGGGCTTCGGTCGAGCTAGCACGGCGATCCAGTTCTTGATGAAGTTGCCCTGAGTGAAAGGTCGGTGTCTTTCGCCCTTTGGAAATCTCCGAGATGCGAGATACTCTCTAGTTGTCTCGCCCTTGCCAATCAGCAACAAGTGATACATCCACAGCGCGAATGGATATGGAAACGCCAACAGCCCGTAGATGAACATGGCAAATGGAACGCGGTTCTTGTCTACCGCGGTGGAAAAGGAGACGTGTCTCTGGTGGTGGTAGGCGATGACTTGACCCAAACAAGCAAACGCCAGCAAGAGAGCCAAAATCGTCCCGGTGCCGACGAAGGTGAAAAAGTAGCGGTAGTTGCGTCTCCCCACGCAATTGTTGAGCCAGACGCAATGATGATCGAGAGTTTCGACACAGTTATCACACACTCGACAATGATAACAACGTGGCGGCCGCCAAATGTTGCACGTCTTGCAGTACTTCACCGGAACATCCATGGCAGCTGTCTGCGAGGTCGCGAGCCGCACCATAACCCAGTCATTGGTAGGCGGACCGACGGCCAGGGGATCGTCATTGTCCTCAGGTGGAAAGGGATGGATGTTTCGAGGGAATATCTGCATACTATTAGTCTGGCTCAAACGTTGGAGACTGCTGTTTACTTACCCCCGGGTCAACAAGCGAAGCGTGAACGAAAGAAGACAAACAAAGGAAAAAGACATAAGCGAAAATGATAGGGATCGCTGGTGAGACGTGGTGCCACAGCCACGATGCCCTGTACAACGATTAGTCGGGTCTCTGAGCAATGCTTCCCCTAGGCAACTCACGAAAACACAAAGAACAAAACTGCCGGAAGAACCAACAAGACACCAGTCGCGATGTTGATAGGACGATCCCTGGCATTTTGGATCCGGCCGCCCAGCCAGAAGATTGTATTCCCCTCAAAATACTCGTGGTTTTTACCCAAAGCACTCTTTGTTGCGATCTGGGCGTTGGACTCTGGAGGATAGCGTGGAGACGTGGTGTTTGAAGAGAGAGGTTGATGGCCAGGGCCCAGTCGATGTTTACTCCCTAGACTCAGTCCCGAACGAAATGAGAGCGGCGACCTCTGAGGCGCATCTCCAGCTCTGTGAGTCCCGGCTAGATTGAGTCGAGAAGGTCTCTGAGCTTTCTGAACTTCAGGCTCGTTGACAGGCTGGCTCTCAGCGTCATTATGGGAAGCGTAGTCTGGGAATGGCGTATCGACAGTTTCGGGAATCTCTGACTGAGTATATTCGGTGGTGATGGACGGCGCGGGGCGATGGCTCTTGGGCATTGCGTGAAAAGGACCCTGTCTACTAGACACCATGCTGCGGGTATCATCATCCCCTTCACCATCCGGAATGGGTGTCGGAGGCTGCATAGTCTTTGTACCCAATGGTCTTCTCAGCCGCTGTGCCTGCAATCTTTGGGAACTCATTGGCTTGAAGAAGCCGTGCGCAGTCAATGAGGGAACATGAGTGCGGCTAACCTGACTAGCAGGGCTTTGGGGCCTGCTGGAGCCAGCGGTACTTGACGGTGCAGGATTACTCCGCACGGAGCGATTCGTCGGTTGGGTTATGCCTCGTAAATGAGTGTATCCATGTTGTGAGCTTGGGGGATTTGGCAATGAAGGGAGAGTGGTCGCCCCAGACTGCGGTCTTGAACCGTATCCATCTTCTGAAATGGCCGAGGAAATCTCGCTTCGCGCCGTCGTAGGCCTGCCAGCCATTTGTCGCAAGGATTTCAATTGTTATTCAGAGCGACCAGACAACGTCACGAGTGCGACATCAGGTGCATATCGTATGTGTAGCACAGGGGTCGCCGCTGAAGCTGGGGAACGTGAAAAAGGATTCACAAGCGTGAGGTGGAAGTTGGGTCGAGGGTACTCGGTACTAGTATTTCAATGGGGTTCTTGTGATGTCAGGTACATTTTTCGCCTTGAACGAAGGGATCGGCCATGCTCTGGTGAAGCGTGGGTTGGGGTTGAGAAGTGAGGCTGCGATCAGCATGAAGGGCATGGCAGCACCATTGTATGATGTACGGAGTATCCGTGCTTTAGGGGTCGCGCCAGGAACACGCCGGGAAATTCGATGTCACGTGCGCAGAAGTGTCACGTGTAGTATAGTCACGTGTGCAGGCCAAGCTTCAGATGTCCATAGCTCTCAAGCGGACCCACCGCAGTTGGTTGACCATGAGGGAAGTTTGGTTCTCTCACACCACCACCGGCCACCAGTTGAACTCCCAGCAACCTCGACAGCAACCACTCCTCGTTCACTACCGCTTCATCCAGCACTTTTGAAATGGCTTTCGTCGCTACCCTCGCTCGTCGAGCAGCCGCTCCGGCAACCAAGGAGCCATTGAAGAAGGGCGCCAAACGGGACCCCGAGCTCTACGTACGGTCTTCCCTGGAGCTGAACGGAGCACGGATTGACTGACGCATGAGTAGATTCTCGGCGCCGTCATGTGCGGTGCCTTTGGTCTCGCAGGGTTCTACTTTGGCCGCAAGCCTACCTCCGCAACCTCGGAAGCTGACGTTTCGGTTGCCGAGAGCTCCATGCCCTGGCAAGTCGCCCATGGAGACGACGACGAATCGAAACACTTCAAATACCAATACCACCCGAAGGGAGATCGAAGCCAAACTCCTAAGAATGCTCCCAGTGCATTGAACACAGTTATCGTCCCGAACGTCACGCTACCCAAGGTCCGCCGCTCCGCTCCGATTCAATCCTGTCTCTTGTGAGGCTGCGAGCCCTAGCTAACAGCCAATCTAGGCAGTACATGACAAGTTGAACAAGTGGGGAAAGGAAGGCTATTGATCAATGCATCGGACGAGGCTGTGAAGCATTTTTAACACGTGAAGTGGTAGAGGAGCGGTGACTGGAAGGGGATGCCATCTCTCAGAGTTGTACATATTCGGAAGGGAGGAAGTACATCATGCGCCGATACCAATTAAGCATTTACAAAAACCTGGAAACGGAAATTTTCGAGACGACTTGACAATTGTGTTGGCAGTTCTCTGCATGAGGGGAATGTGCAGGCATGGCGTTGCAAGCCGCAAAATATGTGACTTGTTGTCTGCGTTGCAGTGAAAATTGGGACCGCGAAACCCAACGAGAATCACTAACTGATCAGCAGCTAGAGGACGGGCCTTGATTGCTTTTTGTCGTCTGAGAGAGCTTGGGCAACGCGCTCAACACCATGACTTTTGTCAAGCATCCTCCTAGGAATCAGCCCATATCACAGAGGATCGAGTGGTTGTGTTGTGTGTGAGGCATAAAATCGGATATAAAATCATGGTAAGTGGAGGCCTCTTTCCTGTGATTCAATTCCAGGGGCCGCTCTCCGGCCGTTACACTGGCATTTCAACTGTTTGTTTGCTTTTCAAAGAGACTGTACATGAAAACGGCAGCACTTCAAAGGCATTTGAACCCCCGAAAACCTCAGTCCCTGTGCCACTTCCCTTCCGACCGAAATTCTATCTTGTTTGGTTACTCACAAATGCGAGCGTCATCCCCAACCGGGAGCTCGTTACCACAACATTCCCAGCATCAACATAGGAAGATCTACGCATAGGAAGATCTACGCAAAAAGAAGTTGTGCTGCGGACCTGCTGTTGTTGGCGGACGCCAGCACCACTATCATGGCCTTGTTGAGAGCTGGAACGGCCTTTTCCTTCGGCCGAAGTTTGACACTGGAAGGCCTCACGACCTGGGCTGACCACTTTGAGCCTTGAATGCTGATGTCGTCGACCGGTTCGCCATCAACGTATACCCCCAGGGCATCTAATCCACCGGAACGATCACACTCCAGAGAGCCCGAGATGGCGAGAATTTCTGCCCCTTGCTCTCCTAGGCTCGTTACCTGGGCAGTGAGAACCGGAGGCTCCTTGCCGACGGAGCCTACCGGCTTGAGGGAAATGTTGTCGGTCTCGAGTTGAGGCGTCCGCGGCGGCGGGATTCTAGCTTTGGACGCGGCTTCGAACGCGTAGGCATATTTCAGAATATCGTTGTCCTGGTATGCCTTTGTGGCGAAGGTCAAATTGACAGGCATGCGGGTGTCTTCCATGACGCCCATGGTCACATTGACTGTCGGAACGCCACACTGGCGAATCACGCAGTTTCCATTCGAATACAAGACTCCGTTGCGCCAGGCGTCTCGCGCCGAATCTTCATTCACGTCAGCGTCGGCACGGCCGACATCCCCGGCACACGGCCAAACCACAGCATCCAGCTTCTTCTGATCGAGCCACAGTTCAAAATCAGATTTCCGACGAGCCTCGAGCGACTTCAAGGCATCTTCAAGACCCGGGATGTCGTAAGTGCCAATGCGGCCGTTTGTGATTTGCGCCACGACAGCAGCATGCTGTGCCAAAGGGTCATCATCTCCATACCTATCCTTCAAGCTGCCCGGCGGCTGTGGGAAGATGTTAGCCGGATCAACATCTGCGAGGGTACTTGGTGAGGCGGCATTATCGACCAGAAAATCATCCCAGGCATAGGCCATCAATTGACACATGTCAATGTCACTTTTGGCCAGCGGGGTGAAATAAGGCCCTTGCGAGGGGTCATGCTTGGTGCCTCGCTCAAAGTTCTTGACCAGAGGAAACTCGACTTCTTCCACCGTGGCTCCCAGAGATTCGAGCGTGGCCCTCGACTTCTCCCACAACTTGACCACTGCCGGGCTGACATGGACGGGCAGAGCGTCGGGGTCCTGCTTCCCAATGTACATTTTCGGCACCCCGATCCGCTTCCCGGCCAAGGCGTTAGCGTCCTGCAGCTCTTGGTAAGATTTGGGTCGGACGGCGTCGACTGAGGGGAGGGCAACAAAGGGCTGGGCCCTCCAGAAATCACCGGCTTTGATTCCGTCATGTTTGACGATGACGTCCAGCAGTCGGAACATGTCTGTGACGGTCCTCGTGTGGGGGACGACGGTGTCACAAGTCGGGAACAACGGCCAGTTCCCACGGATGGAAATGAGTCCGCGCGAAGGAGTGTATGCGACCAGGCCGTTGTTGGAGGCCGGCGACCTTCCCGACGAGATGGTCTCCTCGCCCATGCCGAAGACGCCGAAGCTGGCGGCGGTGGCGGTTGCCGAGCCATTGGACGATCCGGACGCGAACGCCGCGGTAAGATAGTCCTGGTTGTAGGGGCTTTCGGCTCGGCCATAGACGCCCCGTTGCATGCCCCCGGCGGCCATGGGCGGCATGTTGGACTTGGCCAGGATGACGGCGCCGGCGGCTTTGATCTGCTCGACGGTGAATGCATCCGTGGTGGCCACCAGCGACTGGAACGCCGGGGCGCCCGAGGCCACGGTCAGGCCTTTGATCTTGTAGCTGTCCTTGATGGTGCACGGAATGCCTTCGAGGCTGCCAGTTGCCTGTTGGCCCGCTCGACGCTCGTCTGCCGCCTGCGCGTCGTCCAGGGCCTGCTGGTTGATGATGGGGAGCGCATTGAGTCGCGGGCCTCGGCGGTCGAACTTGGCTATGCGGATGAGATGTCTCGCCGTCAGCTCGACGCTGTTGGTCTGGCCGGAAGCCAGGGCGGCCTGGAGCTGGTCGATGGTCGCCTCGACAATAGAAATGGTCTGATGTTGCTTTCAGCTCAGCATAGCACAGCGGTTTTCACGCAGGCAGAGGAATGCCATTGATGCAATGTAATGCAATGCAATACAATTCGGTGCCAACTCACCTCGGCCATGTCTCTTGTTCTTCGTTGGTGTTGGTCTAGGTTTTGCTTCTTTTGTGGTCTTCTGGAAAAGCAATACGCCTCTCTCACACCGGTTTCGTCCTTGTACTAGACGGCGACGGCTTTGGGCTTTGGGCTTTGGGCTTTTGACTTCTGACTTGATGGGATTTCTTATGAGTCGAGTCTAGTCAGCTGGGTTTTCCGTTATGAGTCGAGTCCAGTTGAGTGAGTTGGGTTTCCTGATACCGGGTTTGTCGATCAACCAGCGAATTGAGGGATCAAGGACCGAATGAATCTAGTTGAGTCGAGTTGAGGTGAGTGCCAATAGGTCCTGTCCTGTCCTGTCCTGCCCTGTCCTGTACTTTACCTATTGACCTACAGTAGTCCTACAATACGGTATGGTGGTAGGGACAATGAAAGGAATGAATAGGTTTGATCTAAAAGTCCGAATGTACTCTTTGCCCTGCCTAGTGTACTCTTTGCCCTCTCCTCCCTTCTCCCCTCTTATCGTATCAGTCAGTCAGAGTAGAAACTGACTGGCCTTAGACCCTGTAAGGTGAGAAATCGGAAGTCGGGGTCGGGGTCGGGAAGGGCCGAAGGGTCGCAACTACCTATGACCTCGTCGTGGATTACCAGATTTCCTACGTACAGCAGCAGTGCAGTAGTAGGCTCTATTTGTATTTGACTGGACGTACAGTGTAGTATTGGTAGTGGTAGTACTCCGTACATGTTCTGAGTGGCTGAAACGATAACGAAAGGCTAATCCCTCTTCCTCTTATCTATAGTGGAGTAGCCAAGCAATACAGGTATAGTTACACTACGTAGTTGTATACTTTGGGAAGCCGACGACGATTGAAGACCGACCGAACGATAAGAAGAAAGAAGACGAAGATGAGGACGACACCCCAACCAACCTGACCTGACTTTTTACTGGGTCAACCTGGCCTGACCTGACCTGACCTAACTAATCGAGCAGACATTGAATCATCTCAATTCAGCTAGCTAGCTAGCCACAGTATAGAATAGAGTAGGATGGGATGGGATGGGATAGATAGAACATCTGTTGGTGATCCTATAGTGTACTAATCGTAAGTACCCCCTCAATCATCCCTGTTCAACCCGGCAGCTAAATCGGCTGGACCCTGCTGGAACTCCTCAGGGTACAGCCTCTTGAGGGGATCTTCGAAATCGACCCAGCCCAAGTACGGTTCGGAGATAGCCCAGCCGAGCAGCCGTTGGGTTTTGCGGTCGTGTTTTTCTTTCAGCTCGTCCTCGGGGATCACGAGGTATTGGTTCTCCTCTTGTCGAAGGACTGAGTGGTCAGTCAGCATTAGTATCTGATATCTTTGATATCTACGTAGTAGACTCTGCTTGGCTCGAGTGGGTTTGGTTTTTGGTATATTCTTTCATACAAGGCAGAAGGGCAATGCAAGACAATACAAAAGAACTCACAGCCTCGGGTGCAAAAGGGCAATGAAAAGCAAAAAAGACCGCTCACAAACAACTTACATCCTCGCGTACAAAAGGTCGCATATACCAACCGCCACTCATCCGTGGTGGTGTTGGCCGAGCCGCCGTGGTAACACGAACCCAGCATGAGAAAAGCATCGCCGACGTCCAGTTCGGCGTAGAACAGCTTCTCCTCCTCCTCGATCGGCTCATGGTCGTTTCCCCACAGGTGAGAGCCGGGAATGTAGCGCGTGGCCCCGTTGGCTTTGGTGGCCTTGGTGCCGGCGACGAACAGTCCGACCGCGGTCTCTCGGCTATTCAAGTCTCGTTCATCGACCCATTCGGAAATCTCGTCGTGTACTTTATGGTGAATGTAGTCGTCCTAGTAGGGAAGTCAAGTCAGCCTTGGTTGCTGTTACTGCAACTGCAAATGAACAAAGAACAAGAACAAGAACAAGAACAAGAACAAGAACCCCCCAAGAGCCTCCCCCTCAGAAAACCCCCTTCAAGCTCTATGAGAAGACCAAGCACACTCACCCGATGGATCTCTTGGTCCGGGGCACCAGGCCCGATCTGTATGCCAGTTGCGGCGCTGAACTGCGGCAACGACACCGAAGTCTTCTTCGTCTTCCCCCAGTAGAAGGAATTGGTGGTGGTCAAAAAGTGCCGCACCACAGCTTGGTAGATGGGGTTCATGACTTGTGTTTTGGTGTATGTGGGCGCCCAGCGGTTCATGGCGTTGGCCCTTCGCGTCTCACCGGGGAAAAACGTGCCGGTCCAGGGCTTGTCGGCGTCCAGACGAGGCGCGATCTCCCGGTTACATTGTTCGACGGTCTCCACGTCGAGGAATTTGTTGATGGCCACGCCGCCGTCGCGCTTCAGCAGCCAGATGATGTCTTCGACCGGCGTGTCCACCGAGACGCGCTGGGTCCCGGGAGGGTATTTGGTGGTGGTGGTGGTGGTGGTGGCAGATGGCATTTTGGAGAGCAACAAAGAGAGTCGAGTGGTGACAGTGAGAGTGAGGGTGGCGGCAAGAAGGACAATTACTTAGTCAAACAACACATGGACACAAGGACAAGAACAAGGATAAATGCCAGGTAGGCAAGCCAGATAACGATCCTGTACAAATTAGTGAGTGATATAGATCAAGACAACTCTCCAGGCTTGGGAATGTCCAGATAAGATTATTCCAAGCTTTTGTATATGTCCCATGTCCCGACTATCCGTCCTCTCGGCGAAAGTGGACTGGACTAGAGACGGTGGTGGCTTGACATGACTGGTGACACTGGCCACTGGCCTCTGGATGGTATTGCAAGGTAGTCCGACTCAGCTTGTGCCCACTCACTGGCACTGGTGGAATACACGCTTCCGCCGGGCAAAGAAAAGGTCTTTTCTATAGTGTGGTCTGCAGTGTACGGAGTCCGCTGTAGAGGTCACCAGCAGCATCTCTGATACCTCTGATACTACTACTACTAGTAGATAAGTCCATAGTCCATACCAGGTATAGGGGGGATCACACCATTTCTGAGAGTTTGCGAATCCCCGTTAAGATGGATGTCCACGTGGGCTAGACCCGGACAGGCCTCGACCGGACTAGAATACAGGTTTATTCACGATCTGATTGGACAGGAGGACAGGAGGCCGGCGGAAAAGTGGATACTCCCCGCCCGGTTGGAATGACGAGATACTGGAGCGGGATGTCGTCGCCGCTATTGCTATCGCTGAAATCCCCTGACTCCTGCTTGAAAGTTGGGAAGAATGGAGCATTGTCCGCTTACAACAATGACCGCAAAGGGTAATTCGTGGTGCGTGGTGAGTGGTGACTCCGGTGAGAGAAGGGCTAGTCCTCTGTCTTCGCCCCACCACTCAGATGGTCTGCGAACCGTAGTACCGGCGCAAATGGCGTCAACCAGGTCCGTGATGGTGAATCTCTGTTCATGTCCAGACTGAAGACTCGCCTGCGACAATAATTGCTCTACAGAGTGGTCTTTGTATCTAGCCAGTAGTAGTACCAGTAGTATCGACGGCAGTACTGCGTAGTCGTGATATATAGAAGGTATTGGCCAGCCTCCTCCTACTCTAGCCTTCTAGAAGGAAACCTTCGACGTTTTGCCCAGACAGTCCTTATTTTTGGACGTGCCAGTGACCTGTGACCTGTGACCATCTCTCTGATTCTTCCCTCCCTTTGGTATCACGTCTACAGTCGCCCTGCAGAATGACAGACCAGATCGAGCTGAAGAACGGCGCGGCCATTGCACCGGCTCAGGTCGGCGACGGCAAAGAGAGACAAGTGACTCAAGATGAGTTTCAGTTGGCCACGCTGGGATACAAGCAAGGTGCGCAGGATCTGGTCTTCGGACTACATCTCGACCTCGACTGACCGGACGGCGTTGGCCATGGCAGAATTCTTTCGGAACCTGGGCATCTTCGAGAACTGGGCTTCAGTCTTTACCGCCATGAATTTCGTGTCTGGTATCGCCGGGCTACTGGGATGGGTCTTGTATACGGGAGGTGTGTTCTTCATTTGTTTTGTTTTTCTACTTCTTTCCACACCCTTTTCTGCTTCGTTCGGTTCTAAAGCCTAACCTCGAATGCCACAGGTCCTACTCCGGCTTTTACCCACTGGATTCTGGTCGGGGTCATGGCCCTGAACGTCGCCTTTGTCATGGCCGAGATTGCCGCCGCCTACCCGACGGCCGGGGGCATTTACTTCTGGTCGTACCGGCTCGGCGGCGAGAAATGGGGACCATTCCTGGCCTGGATGACTGCGGTAAGTGCTCTTCCCTCTTCCCTTTCTCTCACCGACGTCGACATTCCTAACCCTAACCCTTACCCTGACCCTGACCGCATCTCTCTACAGTGGTGGAACTTCAGCGGCTGGCTGTGCTCCGTGCCGAGCGTGGCCCAGAACTCGACCAACTTCCTCCTCTCGGCCGTTCAGATCAAGTATCCCGACGTCGAGCTGTTGCGCAAGGGCTGGTTCGAGTGGCTGATCAGTGCGGTTGGCACCTTGCTCGCCTTGGCTCCCAACATCATCTCGCACAAGGTCTTGCGCTGGTATCTTCGCTTCGCCGTGCTCAGTGCCTCGACCCTTTTCTTCTGCTATGTCATCTGGCTCCCGGTCAAGGCCGGGAAGTTCCAATCCGCCGACTTTGTCTTCAACAGCTTCACCAACGGCATCAACACCGGCGACAAGAAACAGGCGTCCGATGCATATGTGTGGACCATTGCGGTTTTGTTCAGCGCATGGTAAGTCTATTCCTCCCTTCTTCTGGTTTGGCATAACAGGACCTTCGCCTTCTGTTCTGGTTTAGGCTGGATGTAGATGGCATGACAGGACCCTCGCTGACATCAAGCCACCACCACAGGGTATTTTATGGCTTTGGTAAGTGACTGTTGACGCACGACACCGACCGACGGGGAGCTTGTTTACTGACGGTTCATTTTTAATCTTGCAGACGGTTGTGTGCATCTTGCCGAGGAGACCCAGAGCGCGAGGTATGTTAGATCCCCACGCCCTCTTCAAGCCGGTCTCTATCCTGATCCCTATCCTGATCCCTATCCTGACTATCCTGACCCCTATCCTGACTATCCTGATCCCTATCCTGATCCCTAATGTTCACCCCTAATCCTGATCCCTCATGTTCAACCCAATCCTCACCCCTAATCCTCACCCCATCCCCATCCGCTACTCTACACTCCGTGTACACACCGATGCCCTATCCTCCATGTATACAGTCCACACCCACCCTGGCGGGACAGAAGATCGAGTTTGCTGACTTGACTTTAACCAGTATCGTCGTGGCGCGCGGAATGTGGCTATCGACCCTATCCTCATGGGCCATCTCAGTCCCCACCCTGATCATCGTGCTCTTCTGCATCCAGGACGTCGATGGGATCCTGTCGGCGGCCTACAACAACAACTTTGCCGAGTATCTGGTGCAAATCATCGGCGAGAACGGGGCGGTGGCGGTGCTGGTGTTGCTGTTCATCGACTCGACCTGTGTGGCGGCCGCCAACATCCTCAGCTGTCAGCGCGTCGTGTTTGCCATCTCGCGCGACGGCGTGCTCCCGGGGTCCAAGTACTTCCGCCGTCTGAACCGGAACAAGATGCCTGCCAACGCGGGGTTCTTGGTGGCTTTTCTCAGTATTGCCATTACTACTGCGGTGATAGGGTCTACTGTGGCATTTACAGCCATTACAGCGACGTGAGTCTTTATTGCCCTGCTGTTGTTGCCATACTCCTACTATTACCCTGCTGCCCCTATTGTTATTCCTACTGTTACCCTGCTGCCTCGACATCTACTGCCCCTGCTGCCCTTACTATCCCTACTACCCCTACCCTCACTGCCCCTACTGCCTCTACTCCTACTGTTCCCCTATACCCTACTGTTACCTGTTACCCCTATTGTTATTCCTGCTGTCTCTACTCCTATTCCTACTCCTACTACTACCACTACTGTTACCCCTGTTGTCTCTACTCCTACTGCTGCCCCTGCTGCTCCTACCCCTACTACTACCCCTGCTGCCCCTACTCCTACTGTTACTCCTACTAGCACCACTACTGTTATCGCTGTTGTTACTCTGACTATTACCCTACTGTTACTGTTTCTGTTGTCCTCCCCCTACTCCCCCTACTGCCCCTACTGCCCCTACTACTCCTACTACTCTCACTAATTCCCCTACTGCCCCTACTTTTGCCGCCCAAGCATCCCTTTCGACGCAAAAGCTCCTACTACTACTACCCCCTGCCCCTACTATTACCCAAGCTTCCCTTTCAACGCAGAACCCCAGACTGAGGCCGAATGAATAAAAACTAACCAGGCTACTAGAGGCACCATCGCCGCCAACTTTTCCTACTTCATCCCCATCGTGGCCCGCTACACCATCGGCCGCAAGACCTTCGTGCCCGCCAAATGGAACCTCGGCCGCGCCAGTCCGGTCATGGGCCTCTTCGCCGCCCTGTACATCCTGTTCCTGTTCCCCGTCCTGCTCCTGCCGCAACTGTACCCGGTCACGGCCCAGACGCTCAACTACGCCCCGATCTGCATCGGCGCCGTCACCCTCATCAGCCTGGTGGGATGGTTGTTCCCCTTCGGTCTGGGCGCCAGGTCGTGGTTCCAGGGCCCGAAGAAGACGATCTTGGCTGCCGAATTGGAGAACATGACTGTTATACGTCAGAGTGAGAGTGAGGTGGTGGAGGAGGAGAAGTTGTGAGCTGATATATACACATATACACACACACACTCTCTCTCCACCCTCCACCCTCAAGTAGATACTATACCATCCTCTCCATAATATTGTATTATGTATATACCTTACCGAGTACTTGAGTAATTGGGTTTGTTTATTGATGTCTGTTTCTGTTCTCAGGCCGGACTCAGGAGCGTCCGACACTACCCGACACCTCTCTGCTTAGAATGAATAGAATTAGAATTAAGAACCCAGGTATCATCTGATCTTGATATCTCATGGGAAGAAGGAGGCATCAAATGCTACACTTACAGTACCTAACACGTCGTGCCTGGACCTCGTATACCTACGCCGTACCTGAGTATGTACACACACATATCATTATCAATTATTATCATACTGTACTTTGTGTCACCGGACTACGGCTCAGGATCTGGACCTGTCGACCCCCCCACACGTATCACCTCCTCTTCGACACCGTTGACCGCCACATCAATCACCTCCTCTTGGACACCGTTGATCACCTCGTCCATCAACCCGGCCTCGACCACCCCTTTCTGCCAGGAGAAGCCCAGAGCCAAACACCCGTCCTCGCCCGACACGACCGAGACCTCGAATGCGCTCCCGGCGACATTGGCGCTCTGCGTGAAGACCATTCGGCCGATCTCGACATCGGTGCCGGACCCAGACCCAGACTGAGACCTGGAGCTCTCAAGAGTCTTGCTCTGCGTCGTCCGCCGAAAAGCTCCCAGATTGGACACTTCGAAGCTCGACTGTCGTTCCTTTCCGACCTTGGACAGAAACAGCTCTTGCTGATAGTCATTGACATAGCGTAGGAGATTCGGCCCGGCGTTTCTCCCCTCCAAGCTCAACACGTGCGTAATCGTATCTCGGGACCTTTTCGCTTCGGCCCAGGGCAAACGGCCGGTTTGAAAGTCCGCACGGGAGTAGTCCTCGGAGAGATCCTGGACGAAGACACCCATGGAATTGTCGTCGATGATCCCTGGGAGCCAGCGACGCATCGAAATGGCTCCGGCACATTTCAGCGCGGTAAAGGTGTGGGCGGGAAGGTGAGAAAATAGGACCCCGGCCACGAGGGTCTGCAGTGCAGCAGTGACGGTCGTCCCATGTGTGCGACAGGCATCTATGAAGCCGCGGGTGGTCGACGGAGCAAACGCGATGTGGCGGACTCGGTTGTCAAGCGGGACACTAATCTTGGAGCCTGTCCACAGGCCTGGGTCGCGGCGAGACCACACTTTCTCCTTGAATAGGATGGTGACCAGATGTATGATCGAGATAGGCATCGCATGGAGCGCCTCCACGCTGGGGAGCAGAGCGGTTGAAGGTGACGGAATGATCGCTGTGGCGGTCGCCGGCCCCGTCCCCGTCCCCGTCCCAGTCCCAGTCTGGTCGGAGACGGGAGATACAGACACAGCTTGTGATAATGCCTGGTGGAAGGCCCTGTGAAAGGCCATGCCGGACGTCCCGTCGCCAATGGCATGGTGGAACACAAAAGCCGCGGTGAAACAGTGCGGTCGTGCGGCATCCGTCAACACGCAGAGGCGCCAGAAGGGATGCGGGGGTGCGAAGGCCATGTTGTGCTGGGTGGTCAGAAGCTCGTCCAGATCTGTGTCTGTGTCTGTGTCTGTGCCTGTGCCTGTGCCTGTGTCCCCACGGGCATCCCAGCCCAGGGAAGTGGAAGCAGCAGTAGCATCGACGGACGGATCCGGTTCAAGCACGACGGGCCGCCGTTCGTGAAAGGATACACATCGGTCAAGATTGATCTCTGGCAGACGCACGAACTGCGGGTGAGGGGTGTGTTCGTCGACAGGGATGGCTGACAAGATGGGATGTAGTCCCACCACAGTCCTGCAGGCTTCGTAGATGTAGTGCTTCAGCGGCAGCGGTGGAGAGCACCTGTCCGGAAGGGTGTATGAGGCGGTCACGGCCGCATTCAGATAGAATCGCAAGTCATGGCGAGCTGTCGAGTAACGCTCCAGTCTGCCTGCAGGAGTCTCAGTGAGGTGGAGGTCGCGGTGGCAGGAGGAACTCCAATGGCCGGGTCACTATACCGACTGGGCGCAATCTTTCAAACGCATCCATCACCATTTTCGAGGCTGGTCTGGTCTGGTCACCAGATGCGACTCTTGTGCAATATCAACGATACCCATACACGTAGACACACAGGTTGTTATGTGTACGGGATGCGTGGTTCATCACCTCTCGAGTCTACAGAGTAAAAGGGAAGAGGGAGGATGACGGAGGACAGGCATTTGTTTCGTTACATTTCATTGGCTGTTCTGGATCACCATCACGTGATGGCAGCTTAGTGGCCGTCTGTTAAAGCGGCGTGGCTTTTTGCCTTGGACCGCTAATGTGACACGGCATTTGTACCATAGCGGCCTACCTGGTCCGAATTTTACGGGAATTTAGCGGTAAACTTATAGTAACGTAACTATTATAGTAAAGTTCCTCGTTCGGGAAAAGAGCGGTTATAAAAGATTTACGATAATATATAAATAACGTTAAATCCGAGATTTACGGTAAACTCTAGATAATATATTACGTAACTAAATTTCTAAGATAAAAAAAAGACTCTCGACTCGAAGATAGATCGAACCTAAGACTTAGTAGTACTTACTAATATATCTTAAGTTAGTACTTATTTATTTATTTAGTCTCGTTTAACGTCCTTCGGGTCACATTTAAGGTCCCACGTAGACGCCAGCTTCCACTGGAAATCCCTTACGATTCCTCCTCTTCCTGATTAACTAGGACCCTAGCCAACCAGCTTCTATAGACTCAGTCTATCAAAGTTGACCATCTTCACCACTATCGCCAGCTGCCTGGGTTCAGATGGCTTCAGCTAGCCACGACTAGACACCTCCTAGCCCTCTCACCCTCTCCCTCAACCACGAAGTCTCTCCTCATTGTCGCTTTCGGGTTCAGGCTCCGCTGGCTCCTGCCAATTCTCCTCGATGTTACAGAGATCGTACTGCCTGAGCAGTCCGGTTCTCTGTACCCTTAAGTTAGTACTAAAGTTAGCATATAGTAGTATTATAAAAGATTAGTTTATATTTTTTAATTTAAAATCTATCCATTATTAGTAAACTATAGTATTACTATAGTATTATATAATTAATTCTCCGAGATTTTCTAGTAATTAAATTAATATTATAGTTTTTTTTTAATAAAGCTAAACCTCTTTAGTAATAGCCGTAGTTAACCGGAGTTTACGATATTTTAGAATTTACCGTATACTAACTTTTTACCGTAATTTTACGGAAATCTCTATATACCGGAAAAAACCCGTCTAGAGATCCTGGTATGGACCGCTATGGATCGCTATGGTATGGAGTATAGAACTCTTACTCCTACTACTACCTCCCACCTATGTCGCTCCTCGCTCTCGCACCACCTGGTCCCTTCCCACAGAATCACCAAGACACGGGTGTCCATTGATTGCTTTAATTCTGCTCATGTCAATGCCCAACTTGAAGGGACATGAAGAGACACGCCTGAGACGAGATACAGACGAAACTTCTTCCCGTATGACCCTTGTGGATTCAAGGCAGAACGTCACGCGTGCGACTGAGCAAGAAGACTGACACCACGGGCTCTAGGGACTACGGAGTACTGACCACTGACCACCGATCATTCGTCTGATGCCCGAACCTGTCCTTCGGGACCAGCACAGATGGCGCCAGCCAGATACCTGAGATGATCGAGATTCGCGAGACCCCACTCGTGATTATGGCATTTTTGTCGTTCAGTCCTACACTGTCCCTCTTCTCATGGCAATTCAGTCCTACACTGTACCTCTTCTCACAGCAATTCTGTCTGAAAAAGGGGCCGATCGTCGCCGCCCCTGCGTGAAGGGTTACTCAATGCGCCTCCATCTTCCATCTTGTGGCCCACTACTCAGGGGAGTCGGGCTCGACCAGTAACACTGTCGCTCGTTTCGTTCGGGGAACCCCTATACTGGGACTCCCTTCCTGATTCTTGGGTTACGAGTTCATCCCTTTTCGTGATTCCCGGTTGCGCGTTCATCCCCTTTTCGGGTTCATGGTGGCGAGTTCATTCCCTTTTCCTGGTTCCTGATTGCGAGTTCATTGCCCTCTCCCCGGTCTACGCCCCGACTGTGATGCAGCCGACAGGAAGGAGACCAGTTCAATCTGAGGTGAGCCTAAGCCCCTTTTCTTTCATGATCCACACAATCAGCTCGATTTACAATCATGGTTTCGGATTCGGTCTGGAGGGTACCATGGCGATGCGGCGCCATGGCTTGATCCTCATGAATGCAAGGGACATTGGTGTGACATGGCATGCAGGGCCAGAAATATATATAAGTTGGCAAACTTAGTGCTCGGAGTGCACGGACATATCTATATCTGCCACGGCCTCCCTCAGGACCTGTCTTCAGAGCCTACCTACAGCCCAGAGCTTTCAAGAAATCTATCTCCACGTCTGAAATACATATCTTTGTGCTTCATTCTTTACGTCAACTCACTCACTTTCCACCCCTCGTCCTCCTCACTGTGTCTTCTTCCTCGTTCTCATCGCTCGTCCTTTCAGAGAAACAGACACTCTCCAGAGACATCACTCTCCAGAGACTCCACTCTCCAGAGACATCACTCTCCAGAGACATCACATCATGTGCTCTCGCCTCGCCGTTCTATTGGCACTGGCTGCTTCCATGGCCATGCCAGCTATAGCGGCGAAGGCACCTCGCTGCGAGGCATATACAGACAATGTGCGTGGGCCATCACTGACACTGAACATGACTGAACATGGCTGTGGATGTGGCTGTAGCTATGGCTATGGCTATAGCTATGGCTGTACTGATGCTTCAGCACTCCAAGCCGAGACGGACATGGACACGGACACGCTAACATATATCTGCATCTCTCACAGTTCGATGACCTCGGCGTCGCCTTGGACCCTATGATAAGCGCAATCGGCACGTACAATGGAGTTACATACACGGGCTGGGATCTGAGTGTGAGTGATGCCTCCTATCCGATCTTTACCTTGTTTCTGCCCAGGCATGCTCGCTGCCTTAAGAATGAATATTCCTCTACTCTGTCCTTCTTTACCTTGTTCTTGCCCAAGCATGCTCGCTGCCTTAAGAATGAATATTCATCTACTCTGTCCTTCTCCCCAAATCCTCTGCAACACTCTCGACATCCTCAAACATCTACTTTGTTCTTCTCCTTGCCCCCAATCCGATCCAACACTCAACATCCTCAAACCTCTCATCGTGTCACAGACGGCAAGCCTCGTCACAGGCTACACCAACGGCGTCTATCCCTCATCAGGCGCCAATGACGCGACCGCAGCTCTCAGCACGGACCTCATCCGACTCGGCACTCTTTCCCTCACTCCCTACGGGTCCATCATCGCCTCTCCCTCCACCTCCTTCGACCTGACTTCCTTCTCCTTCGGCTGTGGCCAGTTCCAAGCAAACCCGCAGGCTCCCGGCGTGCCTGTAGGCTGCGCCATCTCCGTCACGGGATTCGACATAAGCGACCAACAGATCCCGGAAGCCACTTTCTCGTATGCTCCGCCGGATCTGCTCGGCTCGCATATGGTCCTGGCCACGCTGCCCAGCACTTTCAGGGGCCTGAAGAACGTGACGCTCGGAGTGGCTGCGTCGAGCTTGCTGGTGCCGACTACGCTTCTTGACATTGACGACGTCAAGCATTGCAATTATTCGTGAGGGGTGTGAATGTTGGCAAGTCTTCGTACGCTGTGTGAATCTTTGCAATTATTCGTGAGGGGTGTGAATCTTTGCAAGTCTTCGTGCGGTGAGAGGTGTGCGGTGGGAGGTAGAAGGTGTGATGAAAGCCCAGTGTTGATTTATTCTGATTTGATTTGCTTGAGATTGAAATGGATATTCAGCGGCCATCCAGGTGCTGGACTAGTGAAATACGAGACAATCGGCACTGGCAGGGAAACCATCCAACGCTGGCGGAGGCAAGGAAAGGAAAGGTCCCGACCAGCCAGGTTGGCCTGAGCTGAACCGAGTTCAGGGACAAGTGCTTACCAGGCCCGACTCTACTGAGAAAGGGCAGCTGACTTGACTAGACCGGTGTGAAGATAGCCGTGGTGCTGTACGAGGCGACCGTCTAGGCTTACGAAGGTGACTGTGATGATGTACGAGGTGACCGTCTAGACTTATGCGAAGGCGACTGTGCTGCTGATGCAAGCAAGAGATCTGAGTTATTGAAACCCGCCATCGTCGGCATGTAGCGAGAGCAACATCCTTATAGCTGCAGTCAAAGCATCGGCCATTCATCAGTATCTGCAGATTCAAGAATGCCATTGCCCAACTCCCTCCCCAGTTGTGCCACCTCGGATCTGAACCACTGCCGCTGCTTGAGGTCCATACCGTGCAGACTCGAGGCAACGGCCAATTCCCAGACCACCAAACCCGCAAGGTACGGCTTAATCTCGTCATCGGAACCGACGGCTATCAAGGCCTGGCTGCCGTCTTCCGAAACCTTGCTTTTAATCTTGCCAAAGCAAAAAGGCAGGGTGAACGCCAGGTTATCGGCCATCGAAGTCAAGAGAATAGAGCACTCGAGCCGTTGCCCTTGTCCGTAGGTGGGACCGAGGCTTGGATCTCGCCAACAGAGTTCAAGCAGCTTCAGGCGTGTACTGTTGATCAGCATTCTTGTCGTAAAGTACAGGGCCCAGACTGAGGTATAGCCGGGCCTTGCGAAGGTGTACACGGTTGGCGAGTAGAAGTGCTTCCTGGGCCACGGACCTGGATCGCTGAGGGTGCATCGCCGGTAGCTCCATGTATCGGGCAAGTCAGTGGCCCAGTCTCGCAGTGCATTGTCAAGCTGCTGGGCCTCGTCTAACAATTCCAGGAGCACGGCTGTCGTAGCATCACCCCGCTGGCGAAGTGCCGCGGACGCTTGATGAAGCTTGACCACCCGCACAAAAATGCGGTCATAGTCCAACTCCAGACCATGCTCGCCGAAACGAGCGCCGTCGACTAACCACTCGGGCAGCGGAAGATTCTTATGCAGCAAGGATTGGACCAGTCCCCTTCTCCCTAGTTTTACGATGGATTTGGCAGTAGTGACACTGGGACTGGGACTGGGACTGGGACTGGGACTGGGATCTCGACTATCGACCCAGACCTTCAGAATAGTCAGAGCGCCATCATGATGGAGTTGCCTGTGTATTGATGCAGTGGAGTTGTTGTCCGGAGTCAGGACACTGTAGTTGTGCATGGTAGCCTCGTAGCGACCCATGAGGAACATGGTCAGCAAGCAGGCCTCGATCGTATCCCGGTCGTCCAAGGTCAACGATGGCCGAACGGTGGCGATGTTCTGCTGTACCATCTGTAGAACACGACAATACCTCGACGAAGCTTCGATGGCAGCCTGGTGATCTTGATGGACGCGCGAGAAGACGGCAAGGGATGTGGCAGACAGCGCCAGATCGACCATGACAGAATCTCTGCCCGACGCCTGCCATGTCGCGATGCATCCGCACAACGACTGGGCCACGTCTGGCACATCAGTCAAGGCCACCACATGATGTTGGAGGAAGTAGGCAATCGCACGGGCTTCTAGATCGAACCGCGGCCGTAGGAGGGTTAGATTGGATCGCGGGCCCCTCGGCCGCTTGAGCTTGCCGCTGGCGTAGGCATTCTCGAGGTTGATGGAAAAGCCGGCTTGTTCGATCACGCTGGATTCGAGGCAGATTCGCCGGGACTTGGTGCAGCGAAGACAGGCAGGCTTGGTCTCGTCACACTTGGGGTGTGTGAGCTGGGGCTTGCATTGGGACTAGACTGGGGGTTCTATTACTTACCTTGATGCGTCGAAGCTTGCACGTCTGGCATGCTCTACTGGAAAATGGCATGGTCAGCCCCAGGCTGTTTTGACATCAGCTGCGACGGGACATCCGCGGTGGTCAGGAGATGGGAAACGGGGAATGAGAACTGAACTGATGAGAAAGCAGGTAGAGACTGACCTGATGTACTCGCAAAGTTTGTCCCGATCGGGTTAGCGAGGGGCTAAGGGGCCTCTTAAGGCGGTGCTGGGCTGCGGTCTCTGGCTGCGGTCTGGCACCGATTGGCACCCAGCCTGCGCCTACTGGCAGCTAACCGGCACCTAAGGAACCTCACTGGTAGGTGCCTGGTAAGTGCCTGGTAGGTGCCCGGGTCTCGGTCTCCTGTGAGGCCGTCGAGGCATCTATCCATTTGTGGGGTTGCAACCACCTTGGCCCTTCCGGTGTCACCTCTCTACCAGCAATGGGAGTAACTTTGCGAGGGATGGGCGTGCATTTCTCAGCTCTGACAAATGACAAAAGGAGCAGGATCGTAGGTCGCAGCTGAGGGACAGCAAGGTTGATTTCACTGCCTTTATCAACCCAGCTGCCCCTCTGCCTCAGAGCCTGAGAATCAAGAACAGAAAGAAGAAAGAAGCAGTAAGCACTTCCTGTTGACAAGGAACTGATTTGGCTTGATTTCATCAGCATGTCGCCCTCACTCAGTCCCATCAAGGTCTGGGGCGAAGCCCATACGGCCAACCCGGCAAAAGTTGCCCTCATTCTAGAGGAACTCGACCTCCCATACGAAGTCATACCTGTCCCCTTTACCGACGTCAAGAAGCCCGCCTATGTGGCCATCAACCCGAACGGGCGGCTGCCATCCATCCACGACCCCAATACCGACCTCACTCTCTGGGAGTCCGGCGCCATCATCGAATATCTTGTCGAGACCTACGACAAGGACCACCGACTGAGCTTCGCCCCGGGCACGCCTGAGTCATGGCACGCCAAGCAGTGGCTGTACTTCCAGACCTCAGGCCAAGGGCCATATTTCGGCCAGGCGGGTTGGTTCAAGCTGTTCCACCCGGAGAAGTTGCCCAGTGCCCTAGATCGCTATCTTAAGGAGATCGACCGCGTCACCGGCGTGTTGGAGGCGCGTCTGGCACAACAGAAAGAGAAATTGGAACAGTCGCAGAAGGAGGGTGGCGATTGTGGTGATGGTCCCTGGCTGGTCGGCACCAAATTTTCTTACGCCGATCTTGCTTTCGTTCCATGGCAGCGCACCGTCGGCATTGTTTTCGACAAGAGCGAGTACGACCAGGACAAATACCCGCTGGTCAATGAGTGGTATGGCAAGATTGTTTCCCGTTCGTCGGCCAGAAAGGTATGGGGAGGCGCTGAGGCGGCGAAATAGCAATCTGAAGCCTCAGGAGCCCTTTAGCGGCGGTTGTGGTGGTATAAGGTGCTCCGTGCCAGGAGAATCTATTCTGCAGTGTATGTGACTTTGACACAAGATTGGTCCGCATCCTTCCTCAACAACACAGGCACAAGTTACAGCACATAGATCCTAGGCTTAGATTCTCCCTTGAATACCCTCGCCGTCCCGTTCTTGACCTTGCGATTGTGGTGCCAGTAAATCAACTCCTGGATCAGCGCAAGCACCACCCCCGACGCTACCAGGGCAATCATCGTGCGCAGGCCGTTGGGATAATGAGCCTTCGCGTCGCCGCCCTGGAAAAACTGGGTTCCATACATCAACCCGCCAATGGCAAACATGACCCACATGGCGATGGAAATGCTTCTCTCTCCCGGTTCCTGGCAATTGAGCTGCACCCAAGTGTTGTGCACGGGGTGGTAACCACCAGCAAAGGAGTTGACCACTGTCCAGAGCCCCCACTTGGACCATCGGCCCACGCCATCCTGCACTTGACGGCAAATGATCAAAGCCACGAGGTAGATGAGTTGAGCGATCATGACGGTCAGACCGCGTCGGCCGGTGCGGTCGCTCAGCCATGCGAAGAAGAACACAACCCCTAGGGAGATGGTAGCCCCAACGGATGCCAGAGCATTCGCCGCCACTCGGTCAAACCCAAGGGATACGTAGATCGATGGCGTGTAGGTGATAAGAGGACTCCAAGTGGAGAAGACGAGTGAGGTCGAGAGGAAGTGCGGCCAACGTCGGTAATGTAGAATCGTCCTCTTGACAGTTTTCCACGGGATAGCGAGGCCTTGAGCACCGCCACGTTTGTAGACGTCATCCCGCTCAATGCGTTTGATCAAGATAAATTGGTCTTGGGGCGTCAATCGGACAAGTCCTTTGCTAAGGAGTGGCCGTGGCTGATCGGGAGAGCCAGGAAGCAAGAAAAGGAGCAGGATTGAGATGGACATGGTCAACACGCCCTCAACTATTGCCTGTGAGTGAGCTGAAACAACGATGATTCATTCACCTGACTTCTCGGGAGGGACTAACTCAAGAAGATCCATTTCCACCCAGAAAGGCCCCGTTTGCCGTCCAGTTTCAAGATGCCCGAGGCAAGGATAGGGCTCAGGGCATTGCCGCCAAACATTCCAAAGAACATGATACCGACCCGTTTGCCAAGTTCCTTCTTCCGGTACCATGTGGAAAGGGTGTAGGCTGCCCCAGGGATATAACTCGATGATGTTAGTGTGAACTCCGAGACCGTAACGGCGACCGGCGCTGCTCACCCTGCTTCTGCCAGCCCCAGGAAAGATCTCGAGACCAGGAATCCAGTCCGGTTGCGGATGAACACTTGAAGCGTCGCGACGAAACCAAAGATGAAGACTTGTGCCGAGATCCATTTCCGGGGACCGAGCTTCACCAGCACTGTTAGATCGGCTTCCAAGGCCAAGGCTGGGGAATGGCGTCGTATTTACCTTTTGTAAGATCAGGTTGGCCGGGATCTCAAACACCACAATGAACAAAAACATCAACTGATTGCCTAGATTGATGGTACTTTGTTTGACTTTGATATCTTTGGCGAAACCTCCGGTCAACGCACTGGCCAAGTTCATCCGGTCGAGCTGGAAGACGAGCAGGCCGAGACAGAGTAATGGCAAAACAGAGCGGTCGATTCTAGACAAGGTCAGAAGTCGCTTTTTGCTTGACAAGTCCCGGCCAGTCTCATCTTACTTTGCACGAGCGCGGTGTTCATCCTCCCGAGCCCATTGTGGTGAATGAGCAAGCTCTTCTGAGCGGACGTAGATGTCGTCTTGCGTGTCTGTTTCCTTCTCCATGCTTCACGGTCTTCATACATGTGTAGCAGACAAAAAAAAGGGATCTACTCCCAGGCAGACTTCCAGCATTTTGGTAACCCATGGTTTTCGTTTGTTTCCACAAATCTCGAGCACGTCAGTCTAGGATGGGTCTCACGCCACACAGCCTAGGAAAGGCGGAGGATCGATCAATTACCAGATTAGTGAACCTGTTGGGTCATCGCATATCCGCAGTGGCCATGGGGCCAGTGGCAACGTGGTGGGCACGTTGCCGGAGGCACATCGTACCTGCGTCGATATAATTCTCCATGACCAGGTAGGTGCCAGGTATAACAGTGCTAAAGCACGAAGGCTTGTGGGCGCTCAGGAGTAGCAGTGAGCTCCACTGGGAGTACTCTGTTGCTGATTGGCTCATGGGTCACTATTCTGGGAACATTCCCAGCGAGCACGTGATACTGGTTGGTATGGCGTGATAGCCCATGAGGTTATATCTGATCGCGGAAGAGGGGCGGGATCTGTTGAAGTAGTTAGTGCCCGAGAGTAAGCCGAAAGAGTTTTTAGTATATCTCAGAAACATAAAGGCCGTCTTGTAGACAGTAGACAAAGTGTCGCAACTTCGGGGACAGAATGGCGGAAGCGCCCATCAAACGAGTCGCCATCATCGGTGCGGGGCCTGCCGGTGCCATTGCCATCGATGCATTCGCGCAGGAACAGGCCTTTGATGTTATCCGGGTCTTTGAACGTCGAGAGCAAGCCGGAGGATGCTGGTAAGTCGCGGGTTCGAGGCGTACTTGGCTGCTTGGGGTTGGAGGATTTACATGCTCCAGGCTCTACGACGAGGGCCATCCTCGTCTTGCGAATATCAACGAATTAGCCAATCGCCAAACGGTAGATCCTCCGGTCGAAATACCGGCCAAATTGCCCAGGCAGAGTACCAAGCAAAGCCACAATCGATATCTGGAAACCCCAGTGTATCCCTACCTGGAAAGCAATGTTGACGCCGACGTGATGGGATACTCACAGGAGCCGGTTCCAGCGGAAAGAAGTCAACGCTCAATTGCCCTCCACGGCGTGGATACTCCATTTCGGCCATATCAAGTCTTCCAGAAGTACATTCAGGGTCTGGTCAACAGGAAAGGCTACCAAGACCTGGTCGAGTACAACACCACTGTAGAGCGCGCAACCAAGAAGAATGGTGAGTGGGAGCTCGTTCTGAGAAGAAGTGGCGACACGACCGACTATTGGTGGAAGGAGACCTTTGATGCCGTGGTGGTGGCGAGCGGACACTACGCAGTACCATATTTCCCTCTAATTCAAGGATTACAAGAATTCGAACAAAACTTCCCCGGGTCGGTGATTCATTCCAAAGCTTACCGAGGCCGGGACAGCTACCGGGGCAAGGTACGTGCAGGTTCCCTCTCCCTCTGGTTCCACTGTCACTAACAGTCATGGAAGAAAGTGATCGTCGTGGGCGCGTCAGTGTCGGGCGCTGATACAGCTGTTGATCTCCTCGGGGTTGCGCAATCGCCGGTGTACGCTGTGGTGAAGGGTCACAAAACAAATATGTATTTTGGGGACCACGCCTTCCAGCATCCAGCCATCAAACAGCTGCCTTCAATCCAGCGCGTTGATCCGAAGTCGAGGACAGTCTTCTTCGCAGACGGAGAGACGGTGCCAAACGTTGACGCCATCATCTTTGCCACGGGGTATACGTGGACACTGCCCTTCCTGCCACAGATCCCCATCAGGAACAACCGCATTCCGGATCTGTACTTGCATATATTCCATCAGAGCGACCCAACGCTGGCTTTCATAGGAGCGGTAAGCCCATCGGCCCCTGCCTTGTGGTGGCAAAGCTGACAGAGGGCAATCAGATAGGAGCCGGCTTGACATTCAAAGTGTTCGAATGGCAGGCAGTGATCGCCGCCCGCGTTCTTGCCGGGCGTGCCACGCTTCCATCGCTGGAGGAGCAGAAGGCGTGGGAGCGCGATCGAATTGCGGAGAAAGGCGATGGTCCAGCTTTCACAGTCCTGTGGCCCAAGTTTGAGGAATATTTCGAGACAATCCGCAAACTTGCGGGCGAGCCATCACCGACGCGGCCGGGCAGGAAACTTCCGCCCTTTGACACGCGCTGGGTCAAGGCTTTCCTCGAAGGTCACCAGAGGAGGATAAAAATGTGGAAACGGGCAAATGCAGAAGCGGAGGAGCGCGTCAAAGAAGCCGCACTAGTTCTAGCGAAGCTTTAGACTGCCGAAAGTCGACCGACCTCTCGTCACCTGGCTATACAGAGTACGATAACATCGTGCAAGCGTCTGCGGTGCTTGAGCTCCGTTGGGGCCTGGTTGAGTTGACAAAAGAGTAAGTGCAAAGGAGCGCAGGAAGGCCGAGTGCTCAGTGTGGTGGGAAAAGGCGGGGTTAAAAGCGGCAATAGCAATGGTCTTGGCCGCAGGGCTGAGAGGCTCAGGCTCAGGCCACACGCCGAACTTGGTTAGGCGCAGGCGGGCACCGAGCAGCTCTAGAACGGCGCCACTGAAAGCCAATTTGGATCAAGCGTGACGGTGTCCCCCACCAAGCCTGTGTTGGCCAATGATGTGCCGTTTATTTCACAGCGACGTAACACGGTGGTAGCGATGACAAGTGATGATAGGGAGTAGTGACGCGCGATTTTTTTGGTCCATATCTCGCAGATTTGTTGTTATCTTGCCTTTGTTCATTGTTTAAATCTTCCTCTTCCTCCTGGCTTCCTTCCTGGGCTTTGTGCAGTTGTCCGGTCCGATCCGCGCGTTCAATCCTCGCTGCAAGTCGCCCAGGCTGCATCGAGTCCAAACATGAGCCTCTCCAAACTCGCAGAGTTTGGCACTCGCCATGTGGCGCGAGGAATCGGTCGCCTCATGACCGAGGTGATCGAAAGTGGCTCCGGCAGCTATGTAACCACGACGAGCGGGCGGAAGATGCTCGACTTCACCTGCGGCATTGGCGTCGCCAATCTCGGTCACTGCCATCCCGCCGTGACCAAGGCCGCCCAGGCCCAAGTCGGCAAGATAGTGCACGCTCAAGTCAATATTGCCTTCCAAAAGCCGTATCTCGAGCTCGTCCAGTCCCTCATACCGCTCATGCCACACAAGTCACTGGATACCTTCTTCTTCTGGAATTCGGGCTCCGAGGCAGTCGAAGCGGCGGTCAAGCTTGCACGACATGCCACCAAGAAGCCCAATGTCATCGTCATGCAAGGTTCATATCACGGACGCACATTCGGGGCCATGGCCATGACGCGGTCCAAAACCATCTACGGCGAGAACTACTCGCCGCTTATGCCCGGAGTGTTTGCCGTTCCCTTCCCCTACTGCGCGCAGTGTTCGATTGCGAAACGGAGTGACGGCAAGTACAACGCCGAAAACTGCTGTATGGATCCCGTCGAACAGCTTGAACTCCTCCTCAAGCGCGAGACTGCCCCGTCAGACACGGCGGCAATCTTCATCGAGCCTGTGCTTGGAGAAGGTGGCTACGTCCCGGTGGTGCCAGCCTACCTGAAACGGGTGCGCGAGATCTGTGATAAGCACAACATCCTTCTCGTAGTAGACGAGGTACAGTCGGGGTTCGGCCGGACGGGCAAGATGTTTGCCATCGAGCACTACGACGTTGTGCCAGACATCATGGTCATCGCCAAGGGCATTGCGAATGGCTTCCCATTGTCGGGCATCGTTTCAAGGAAGGAACTGATGGATAAGCAACCGCCTGGCTCCATGGGCGGCACCTATGCTGGCAATGCCGTTTCGTGTGCCGCCGGCGTTGCTGTGGTAAAAGCGTTCGAGGACGAAAAAATTCTGGATAATGTCAGTGTGCGAGGGAAGGAAATGATGGACATGCTGAAGGGGGCCAAATCTGACTTCCCTCATGTCATTCACGACGTCAGGGGATTGGGCCTTATGCTGGCTGTTGAGTTCGCGGGAGGCAAAGGCTTTGGATCCAAAGTGCAAGCCAAATGCTTGGAGAAGGATCTGCTGATTCTGACCACCTCGATTTACGACACCTTGCGGTTCATTCCACCCTTGAACATCAGCAAGGAGGATATGGACAAGGGTTGCGCTATCATTCGACAGGCAATCGAGGAGGTAGCGGCTGGTGAGCGTCCTGCGGAGACTCAAACCAAAGGTCAGGCTCCAGAATAGGTGCATCAATAATTAGGAGTAGTACTGTTGTGAATCTTGCGGATGACAACCGGAGGAACTGGCGTATAGTGTACTTTGGCGCAACTTCTGTAGCAGAATCCAGCAATCTCGTATACCAGCAGCCTAGGAATCTGGCTTTGTGCACGCCTTATCTGAGGATAAGCCACGAGAACTTGAATTGTATGCAGTGTGTAAGGCTGGGTAGAAAAGGGGCCGATGCCTCATCGTCTACCCAACTTAGATACGTATCGTCGAAGCACGCTGAAGGATCGACGCGCTATTTTACCAGCAACACTGTTCGCCGTGATGTCTGTCCGGCTGCGGCAGTCGGTGGTATCGATGCTTGGTGTTCGTGGCTTTCTGCGGCCCAACAACGCGAGTTTGGAGTCAGGAACACTAGTGGATACAATCGGTGCCGCGTGCAAGATCATCATCTTCAAACAAGCCAGTCAGGTGGGTACGACCCCCACCCAGCCAAAGGCGATAACAGAGCATTGGTGAAGCAGGAGAATGAGGCTGACTGTTGAGCACTTTTATACCTGATGCCGTGGGCAAATGAGTCATCCGTCCAAGTACCAAGTCTGCGTCGGGCACAAGGGTACCAGTGGTTCTGCAGTTCGTCTGAAAGCTTCCTGTCTGCCCATGACGATCAGTGTTGGCGGAACTTTGGACATCACTCCATGGGTGAAGTAGGTATCTGATCATGTGCACGCGGGTGGTCTCTTTACCTTGATATTGCAAAGGAGGCAGGTTGGCAAATCCAAGCCAGTTTCGCGCAGGCTTGTAAAATTGTGGTTGTTCAAATAGGGATATGGAAAGACATCCGGGGGAACATGTAGAAGGATATTTTGCTCATCAAGGGATCCATAGTAGTGAGCGTTCGTCGAGGCAATGTCACGATGTTTCTCGGGTGTTTGCAAGCAGTGTCGACACATACGTCTTTATCCTTAAATACATAGGAACTTCGGGTTAAGAGGTTTGCCCACCAGGTGAGCTCTCCATTCAATGATGATGACTGGCCTTGTTCCGTGTCCGTCTTCCCACTTCAACAACCTACTATTACTAGTAGTAGGTAGTAAGTCAAAATCTGGGCAGAGAGTCTCGGGACTTCGCGCAGACACATGTCACCGTGTCACCAACCTGTATCTGTATGAATGAATATGCCCAGAGGAGGGTCAAAATTGTAGGTGTACGGAGTAGTGTGAATGCGAATGGCTGCTCACAGGGTCTGCTGATTCTTGATTCTGATTTTTGTTCACTCGAAGTTGGTAGCACGGAGGCACCAGAGGTAGTAAGGTACTGAGTACCTATCCGTACAGTACTCTCTCTGCCCTCCGATTGGTGCGTCGTGACGCGTTCTCAGACGCGCGGCAGGTTATACTTGATCCGCCGTAGTTTCTTTATAGCGCGGAGCATTGGACCTCGAACGACATCAGCTCTTGCACAAGTGGCACAGATGTATCCCATACCTCCTCTATGTAGGTAGGGCAATATGCAATATACATATGCAATATCAAATCACCCCTCAAGTCTCATCCATCTATGAAATCTAATTCATGCCCGGGAAGCTGCAAGAAACATCGTCTAAGGTCTAAGGGAGGTACAATTCCGGCTTTTTCTCCAAATAGTTCTTCCAGACCTGCGCAATGTCGTTCTTGTAAATCCAATTCAGCTCATTTTCTGATCCGAAAAACCTGTCCAGTCGACCTCTCACCGCCGATTCGAAGTCCAAGTCTTTGTTGTCTGCCTGGAGTTGTTTGGTCTCGGCGCCTCGTTTGTCAAGCCAGTCAAAGCTGCAGCACAGGGCGATCAGAATCAGAAATCAGAATCTGGCGGCGAAAAGGAACCACACTGGTGGGCAGGGAAGAGGAGAAGGAGGGTGAGGTTGAGGTTTCTTGTCCCCTCCACTTACGCTCTTGTATAGAAAGGTTCTCGGATCTCGGCAAAGATCTCAAGCGCATCTTTGACACGGGTCGGAGAGGCCCTGACGTGCTCGATGGCCCGAGCCAGAATCCAACCATCTTCCATGGCAAACGTAGCTCCCGAGCCAAAGGCCCCTTGAAAAGCACACTCAAGTCAGCCTTTCCCTGGGCTAGACGGACATGGTTGCACAGCCGGTACTGTGACCTGGTTACTGACCTGTGAGCGGATGACTGGCATCTCCAACCAGGGCGACCTTGTCCCATGCGATGATATTCTCCAAACGAGGGCCGGCAAACATGGCGAATTCCCTCCATTGGCCCTCCGGAACGGACGCGATTGCCGCTCGGACTCTCGGATCGTATTTCTAGAAGTACGATAGATTGTCAACATGGCTCGTTTGGGATTTGGGACCTGGGCAACGTCGGATGAACATCGCCGTATGACTACAGCTCAGATTCATTGTCATACCGTATACCTCGAGGCCACCTTCTCGTTGGTGGCGGGGACGCCCCAGATCACGGTCTGGCCGGGGATTTCTGGTTCATGGTAGGATCGCAGGGTGATTTCAAACAACGGGTCGTCGGTCTCTGACTCATCGTCGACAGGGGAGAAATATACGTGACCGCCGTCCCCCCACCACCAGGCCGTCGCTTGGGTGATGTCGGTGAGATGGGCAATGGAGGAAAGGGGGACAATGACACGCCAGGCCGTCATGCCTAAAGGAGAAGCAAAGCTGTCAGCACATTTCTCATTTCCCAATTCCCATATCCCATTTCCTTCTCATTTCCCATATCCATCTCCTTTTCCCATTCTTATCGTTCATGCCCTTGGCTACTTACCATTGAAGCGGAGTTGGTGGTCAGGAAATATTGTTCGCCGCACAGCCTGGAAAGAAAACACCAACCCTCAGCGACCCAGTTCTGCATCGGACAGGGCAACCCGCACGGTGCGGACGATCTGAACCCACCGAATGCATTCCGTCGGCCCCGACAACGAGGTCGGCAATCGCCTCTGTCTGATCGTCAAACACCAAGCGTACCCCTCCGGCCTCGAGATTCTCGAGGACCTTCAGCTTCTTGCTGAACTGAATGACTCCTTGAGGAACCCTGGCCAGAAGGGCCGACTGAAGCCGAGTCCTGCGCGCTCTGATCGCCCCTCGTCGGTCTTTGTCCGAGTGTTCCGGGTTCTTGATGACTTTAAGTATATTGCCATTGTAGCCGTTCCTGCAGATTCCCAAGAAACTCGTCAACAACCGAGACCGAGACTGGGGTTGTTTTTACCCGATGAGATTGCATGACAACAGAGAGCATTACAACAAAATGCATTGGCGTGTCGTTGTCATTGTCATCTGATCGGTCGGGACGGGGACCGGGACAGGGACCGGGACGGGGACGGCGACGGCGACGTACCTCTGCTGCGTGTTTGCCTTAGACCCTCCCTTGACTCCATCGGCCGCTCCGAGAAGATCAAGAATGCGCCAGGCGTTCGTGCTGAGGCTGATTCCGGCCCCGGCCTCTCGAGGCTCGGGGTTCTTCTCATACAGCGTAACCGACACATACGGCAGCTCCGATAGGGCAATCGCCGCGGCGAGGCCTCCGGGGCCACCTCCCACGATGGCGACTTTGAGGGTCTGAGGAGAGATCATGGTTTCTCAGAAGCAAGTCTGAGTCGGGCTCGTAGCCAAAACGAAGCAAGAGAGGATGGAAGGGACGGCAGACGGCGGACGGCGGACGGCGGACGGGGGATAGGGGATGAGGGATGGGGTATGGGGTTTCCTTGGACGCCAAAGGAAGATACAGTACAGTCCTGGAGACTAGGTGTCGAGACAGATAGAACACGAGTCTTATAGTATTATTATATCAATCTTGTCGCCGTTGCAGTTGCCGCTGCCGACCTATGGATAGTGCATACATATATATCCTGATGCTACTGTATACTACGTACTAGTAGCAGCCCGTTAAAGCCACGGGGGGGCCCTCATTTGGAGACCGTGACTTGTCGGAAGCGGGATTGAGATTGGGTTTGGGTTTGCGATTGCGATTGTATGTGACTGCCACTATAGCACGCAATCGCCTTCGCCATCGCCATGGTGGAGGTGGAGTGATGGCGATTCGACCTCTCCTCCATTCTCGACAATACGGATACTCGTAATGAGTGGTTCCTCGTCTAGAGTCTACTCAACTATTGGCTACACACGCGGAACCCTGGCCGAGAGCCTTAGTAATTGATGCTGTACGGATACTCCGTACAGAACTCGGTATAGGTCCCTATGGTACCAGAGAGTCCTCGCTGATAGAGCTGCTTTCTTGAAACCAAACCTCGTCCCAATGGCCCATCAGAGCCAGAGGACCCAGGATTATGAATGGCCTTGATGGAGAAAAGGGTTCCGTGTAAACAGTACCTATAAGCAATAGTAATTAGTGTCATATTCTAAATCAGACTCGCTTCAGATAGTATGTGTATACTTTGTATATCCGTACCGTAATGTAGTAGGATTAGATACCCCTAGCGAGGGAGGCGAACTCAGACAATCGTATGAATAGGAGGAGTTCTATCCCTTGTTCTTGGTCGTATTTCACCCTTTGCTTAATTTGGTGGCAAGGCAGGTGTTGGTGTTGATGTGACACCCACGTTGGATCGTGTTCTGTCCTTCCTGTCCCCTACGGCGCGGCTCTCCAGAGTCTACATACGCCATAATAACACAACACAGAGCTGGGTTTGCGCCGCGAGCCTTGTGTCGGCCCGACTCCGCTGTGTACTGTACAATGTATCCGTACAGGAACGGCGGAAAATTACAGAGGACACTTTTCTTTTTTCGTCGTCTTTTCAGTGCCAGATGGCAGAATGCGATCCTGGGCTGCGCAACTCGGCGAGGGGTAGGAATAGTGTGCCCTCCAGACTCCTGAGGGTGGCCTGGGTTCGAGCTTAGGAGGCCCCATGCGTGGCATCATAATGGTCGCGAAGGCGTGACCACCGCCCAGGAGTTGCGCGATAGCGAATCTTCGGTTCTGAGTGGCCAGACGCGCGGGGGTCGGGTTCCCCAGAGCCTTAGGCCCGTTCTCTGCCTCCAGAAGTACTCTGTACGGATCCCTAGATTACAATGTCACCTTATGCATCGAGGATGGCAATTCGTAGTTCGTAGCAAAGTAGGAGGAGTAGCCGTACCTAGTAGGAGGAGGTGGTGGTAGTGTCGGGACAAGCTCGCCGTCCCAGGGAGACGAGCACGAATCTACATAGGTAGATGTATAATTAATAATTAGTTGAACGGCACAGATCCGTTCCATACCTTAAATATGCATCTGTAGCCAGAGTATATGTATAAGTATAAGGGTCCGTCGTGCGGTGGAAACACCAGTAACAATTGAAGACCAATCCTGGCGTCAGCTTCAACAGAATCTTCTCCCCTGGCACAACCACATCCGCAACCGCAACCGTAACCATGATAACCAGACTGTCTGAGCCTCCCATTCGCCGCGTGGCCGTCATCGGCGCCGGCGTCAGTGGAGTTTCCACCGCGGCACATCTGATCGCTGAAGGGCTGGACGTGACCGTCTTCGAGAGGGCTCCTGTGTCCGGCGGCGTATGGTTCGTATAGAGAGAGACAGACATTGCCAGTGAGAGAGTGCTGTTCGTACCTAACTCGTTCAACAGGGTGCTGGATCCCAACATCCCATTTGAACCCGCCTATCCGGCCCCGAAGGCGTCGGTGGCCGAGTCGACCTTCTACGACCTCACAACCGAATCTGACAATCCACATATTCTACATTCATCGCCAGGGTGAGAGTGACCGATGCTCGAGTCGAGTAACCCCTGTCTGTGCTGGGCACAGTCCAAATTAGACCCCCTGCTGACTCACCAGATAGGCCCGCGTATGAAGGGCTGAAAAACAACGTCCCCACGCCGTTGATGGAATTGAGTCTCAACTCCTACAAGCCCAACACCGACTTGTTTGTCAGCCAGCGCATTCTCGCTGAGTATATCCAGGATACGGCGGCCAAGACTGGCGTGGCCGAGAGGACACTGCACGACACCAAAGTTGAGCATTTATCAAAGGAGCCCGGCGAGAGCGAGTGGACGGTCCGGACCTCAACCTGGGATCATGTCAAGAAGGAAAAGTCCAGCAGGGAATGGGTAAGTTCTTTCTGAAAGTGAGGAAGGGGAGGAGGAAGGATTGGCAGACAGACAGACCTCAAACCTCAGACTCCGCTGACTTGGGTGGCTTAGAAATTCGATGCGGTCGCCGTAGCCTCGGGTCATTATCACGCTCCCAAAGTGCCCAACATTCCGGGCCTGGTCGAATGGAAAAGGGCCTTCCCGACAAAAGTGCAACATTCGAAGAGATTCCGCAACCCCAAGGGATTTGACAATCAGGTAAGACCCCAAGGGTTTCCCCTGGATCGATGAGGCTGACATGACATCCTTCCAGACCATTCTGGTGATTGGCGGCAGTGCATCTTCCACCGACATTGCTCGCGAGCTGGGCCCGACCGCCAAGAAGATATGGCAGTCGACGAGAAAGGGCAAATACGACACGCCTGTCTCCATGCTGCCGGAGAACGCGACCCGGGTGGCCGAGATTGCCTCTTTCAGTCCGCTACCGGAAGACATTGACGGCTCCGGCTCCGGCTCCGGCCCAATCCCAGGCACGGTCACTTTGGTTGATGGCCAAGTGCTGGAAAATATCGACCGCGTCATCGTGGCGACGGGGTACCTGTTCACTCTCCCCTTCGCGCCGCAGTATCACCGAGACGACTTGTCGCCCCAGGAAGCGGACGACAAGGTCCTCATCACCGACGGTCTGCAGATGCACAACCTGCACGACGATATCTTTTACATTCCCGACCCGACCCTAGCGTTTGTCGGAGTACCCTTTTTCGTCGCCACCTTTTCCTTCTTCGAATTCCAGGCCATTGCGGTGGCCGCTTACTTTGCCGGCCTCACCACCCTTCCATCCGAGGCCGAGATGAGAGAAGAGTACAAGAAAAGAGTCGAGGCGGACGGCTATGGCAAAAAATTCCATATCCAGCAAGGAAGGGACCTCGAGTATGTTTCGCGCCTGATGGCATGGGTAAACAAGGACCTGGAGCCGTCCAAGAAGAAGACTGATGGATATTCCGAGAAATGGATCGCGACTCGAGACGCCCTTTTCAAGGAAATGACCAAGCCAGGTGGGATATTACATGATCCATCCAAGGATGAAGTCGAATGAAGATTGAAATGAATCAGATGTCTCTTGGCTCACGGTCCACTTTGGCATTGGTTTCGGCGGATAAATGGCCGTGAGTGAGTAGGCTTGCCACCAAAAAGGGGTGAAGTTGTGTGAGGTTTCGACTTCCGGGGACGCCAAATCTGTAGACTTGATAGCAAAAGCCGTGCAGTGCCAGTGCTGCATTCGTTCGTGCATGTACTCTGTACACCTTTGCCTGGCCTGATTCTTCCCGAGCGCAAATCCGCCCAATTGATTGGCAGCAGACTTCCCCACTCCCTGGTCTAGCCATGCTTCGTATAACACAGAGACAGAGCGCGAAGATAAACGCTGTGAGAGAGTGGACTTCCTCCAGGCCAACCTTTCAACAGGGTTCTTTCAGCATATATAAAGGCGTTTCAGTCCAACCTTGTCGATTTCGAAAGGTCCATGTGATATACCACTGAGAACAAATCCAGTTCACAATGTCGTCTCCGTGGCCCTCGGTCACGAAAACCTTCCACCACTCCCCATATGAAGCCATCGATCCCAGAAACCCCAGCCTCTCGGCCCAGGGTAAGGTGGTCATCGTGACTGGCGGAGCTAGCGGGGGGGGAAAATCAATTGCTACCGCCTTCACCATAGCTGGGGCTCGGGCAGTGATCATTCTAGGGAGAACCAAAGAAACCCTCGAAGCCACCACACAAGTTCTCTCATCCCTAGCTTTGAGCCAGACGAAGAAGCCAAGTCTGATCAGGTATTTTGTTGCGGACGTCAGAGATACCCAAGCCATCGCCCTGGTCTTTCAAACTGTCCGACAAGAGATCGGAGCGGTGGACATCTTGGTCAACAATGCGGGATACCTGAGCACACTCGACACGACGGAAAACTCGGACATTGAAGACTATTGGACCTCCTTTGAGGTGAACGTCAAAGGCACCTTGAACGTCGTTCAAGCATTCCTTCGATTCGGTCGCGACAAGACTGCCACGGCCAAGAGACAGCCAACGATCCTCAATGTGTCCACGGCTGGCGTCCACCTTCCCTGTATCCCGCGATACTCATCGTACGCCGCGTCCAAGGTCGCAGCCTGGAAATTGGTGGAGTACGTTGCATTTGAGACAGCAGGAAGCGTGCGTGTCTTCTCGATCCATCCAGGATCAATTGAAACGGACATGAGCAGGAAAGCCAACATTCAGCCACTCGACGATTTCGGTATGTACCGACGACAGACCTCACTCATCGCAAGGAGCTAACTGTTATCCCAGCATTACCCGGCGCATTCTGTGTATGGCTTTCGGCAACACCAGAGGCCGACTTCCTGCATGGCAGGCTAGTTTGGAGTAATTGGGACGTCCAAGAGTTGATGGAGAGGAAACCTGAAATCATACGCGAGGATTTATTTACCTTGAAGCTGTCGGGTTGGCATGATTGATGTACAGAGTCAGACGGGGAACTATATCATCTCGGTATATGACCAGGGCCATTATATCCACCTTTTCAACTGCCGGAGGCCTTTCAATCGATCGCGGTAGATCCTAGAAGATAGACTCCAAAATCGATCGGCGGAGGGGTGAACTCCCACTAATTGATGTTGGACAGTGTCATTGTTCCTATCTCTTGTGGTATTGTTGATCAACTCGATTCGATAAGAGTACAACGGATGCTTGAGGGACCTTCGATTTGCTGTGGTTGAGATGAGTTGGATACATGTAGATAGATGCAGTGGTGACCTGCAAGGAACAGTTTGTACCTTTCGATCCAAGTTGTTTTCGTATTTCTTGGCAAGGCTGAGCCTGGCGCAGTCCAGCCTGCTGCCCACCTCCAACTATTCCAGTACTAATTATACTATACAGTATCGTCACTGTTCAGCATCAGGCCACTCACCAGGGAGCCCCCAATATACGACTGCCGAGGATTATTTTGAGAAACTCTCTCCAGTCGTCGTGGCATGAATTACACCTAGGCCATTGAGACCAGCCCTGCCTTCACGAACCACGTCCTTCAGAGTGCCTTCAGATCCCCCCGCTCAGCATGAAGGTCTCTCCAAGCAGACAACAAGAACTGCTCCTTCTGTCGTCCATCCTCCGAGCATCCCGACCGCTGTGTGCAAGGTGTACACATTCTCGCTCACGACAGTCTGCATCTCCGCTGAGCCCACCCGCCCAGCGGTCTTTCTCGATTCTCAATCGCCCTCCGCCGAATTATCCAGGCCATGTCCCGCTCACACGTGTCGAACGTCTGGGCTTAGCGGTCGGCAGCGCAATCACATCACTAACGAACCCATACCGGCATGACATGATAGCTGCGTTGGGGGAGGCGACGGCCCAGCCGTTCTTCATTACTCGGCTGCGGAACCGAATGCTCTCAGATCCAACCGGCAGGAGAATTCTACGAGATCGACCCCGGATCACGTCCAAGACCATGTCGTTGGAAAAGCTACGGAGGCTACCGGAGGACACCGTGGGGAGAACATATGCAGCATGGTTGGACCGGGAAGGTGTCACGCCCGACACAAGGGACCCCGTCCGGTACATTGACGACGAAGAGGAGGCGTATGTGATGCAGAGGTATCGCGAGTGTCACGATTTCTATCATGCCGTGACTGGCCTCCCTGTCTGGGTAGAGGGTGAAGTGGGACTGAAGGCGTTCGAGTTCGCCAATACAGGGTTACCAATGACTGGGCTCAGTCTGGCTGCGATTGTCAGACTCAAACCGCAGGAACGGCAGAGGATGTTTGAGATATTCTTGCCCTGGGCCTTTGCCAATGGCTGGCGGAGTAAAGACCTGATCAATGTATATTGGGAGGAAGAACTCGAGACAAACGTTGCAGAACTGCGAAATCGTCTCGGGATCGAACAGCCTCCGGACCTCCGGGCCATCAGGAGGAAACTGAAAGAGGAACGCAGAGCAGCAAAGGCTGCGAGGGAGGCGGCGTTGATGAACAGCACCACTGCCGCTCCCGCTCCCGCTCAGTCAACTGCCTGAGCCTGCATGTATGAAAAGCTCAAGATAGTTATCGGGGTATCATATGCGTGGGCACGTTGGGCCGTCGTGTACAACATCAGTTACTGTGATACTTTCTTCAAGACTCCTTCAGCAGGTCGTCCAGATCGTCGTCATCGTCCCAGCCGCCTCTCCGCACCACCTTGACGCTTTCCACAGTGTGTCCCGTCTGTTTCTCGTGCTCTGACAAACTCGCAAGCATATCCTTAAGTTGATCTTCGGTGACTTTGGCGCGCAGCTGACCCGACCGAGCCAGCATGATCAATCTATTCTCGACGTCAGTCGCGCGTGACTCTTTGACCATTCGTATCCGGCCCAGTCGGTCCGCGGCTTCAGGTTCGAGGATCTGGTTGAGGATGGATGATCGTGCTTCTGTTTCTTGTTTCCTGCACCGTTGGTTAGCCTCATTGGAGGCGGTGGCGTTGACAGACTCCCCTTCTCTGGTCCTGGTCATCCTCCTCGCCGTTGTCGCCTGATCCTCCTCTCCCTTGCTGCTTGAGCTGCGCCAGCCGAGCTGCTCTGATCTGTGTTCGTCAGTCGCTGCCCGGGCCGGGAGATGTGACGGCTTTACCTTAGCTAGGTCGTCATCCGCCATGTTGGATTATTGCACCTGTGGTCCGAACTGGTGTGGACAGTAATATAGGGATGGACTTTGGAAAATACTGCGCGGGGCAACAATGATCAGGATCCGGCCGGTACAGAACTAATTAGAGCCTAGTACGGGCGCAGTTGTGCCCCCAAGCAGACCAGAAAAAACAGGGGCGAGTTCGCCGGAGCTAGACTTGGACGCCGCTCTGACTGGCCCGAGCAGCCCAAAGTCGACAGCCTAAGGGCCCTAAGCCTTAGGACTCCTATGTACGAGTAGTATGTATGCCCCCAGCTTGGTGCCCCCGGTACTGTACTGAGTAGAAAGACTGCAAATGACCACGGGGCCGCCCGATAACCACCTTGACCAACAGATCACCTCATCTAAACCTTCCGCGAGGGAGATCAGTCGTTGTCCTATACCGTATGCCGTCTACCGGGGGGTTTCACCATCATTCTTCCGTCACTCCATTTCATCGAGAGACTACGAGAAAGCGTGTGACAGCGGCCGCAACTCTAGTCCACCATCTACCTGCCTGCACAGACACGGCCGTTACAAGCATGCATTGCACGACAGCTGCATGAAACACGTCGCCGTCCCGCAGACGTTGACAGCTGGAGCTTCGATCCTATACTGGACGTCATCTTTCAGATGCATGCCTGGACATATCATGCCTCTTTTCTAGGAGCAGGGACGCCGTCGCACTCGCGCTCAATATCTCTCGGCCCGCCACTGGCCGAGTTGCAGCACGATTCACTGTCGAAGGCGAAATCCACCTCGAATTTGCACACAATGGCAACCGTCGATGCCTCTCCGCCGAAAGGTCAAAATGGCTCTCCAGAGACGTCCTTTCGGACGATAGCCGATCCTCGAAACGCAAGCACCACCGACCTGTCCAGATCCGACTCCGAGTCTTCCAGACATCCCGATCTCAACAGCGAAGTTGCCGCCTTGAGCGACAAGCTCATTAGTGCCATCAACCACCAGACCACTCTCGATGACACGCTGGCACAAACGAGGCAGGAACTAGAAGCGTCCAAGGCAAGGGTCGCAAAACTGGAAGCAGAGGCGAGGGAATATGAAGAGAAGGTTGCACGTGGGGATCTGCTCGCAAAGGAGAGTGTTGAAGAACAAACCAACAAGCTTTGGGCCGAGCTCGAGGAGGAACGGAGGCAAAAGGTACAGATCCAACAAGAAAAGCGCGGGATCGAGTCGGAACTGGAAACCCTCACCGCGTCTTTGTTCGATGAGGCCAATAAGATGGTGGCGACTGCCAATCGAGATCGTGATGCCACAGAGAAGAAGAATCAGCAGCTCCGAGACCAAATCAAAGATGGAGAGGCGGTGATTGCGTCTCAGACTGAGCAGCTGACCGAACTCAAGGAACTCATGCAGCAGATCGGGCCAAGTTCAGATTATCGAAGGGAGCTTGACTCACCCCGGGTATCACTGGCACCTTCGAGTCCGGGGGTTGCAAGGGAAGACAACAACCTCGTCCGTCTTCTCGAAGCCATGAATCTATCGCCCATCTACCCCGAGCATGGCGAAATCACTCCCAGCCCTTCGACTCAGCTCACTCATCTAATCAGACCTGTCTGCCGGACAGACATCCCTGCCTATGAGGATTTTAGAACTCTTGTCCACACTTCACACTTCCGCTCGCACAATCCCTCTCACGCCCCATCACGAGCGGGGTCTGGCTCGTACGGAGGTCTCAACATGATGGGACTCGGTTCGCTGAACAACAATTCGAATCCGAATCTCTCGCAAATCTCTCAACCCGCGACCTCGAAATTAGCCAATTCACCGAATTTGCCCGGGTCATTCAGTCCCAACCCCGATAGCAAGGGCCCTGTACCACTTAAAGATACTCGCTTCTACAAGCGGATCTTGGTCGAGGACATCGAACCGACATTGCGCCTCGATCTCTCCCCAACCCTTTCATGGTTGAATCGCCGCAGTATCCTGTCGGCACTTGGTGAATCGACACTCATTGTCGAACCTATCCCTGAAGCCTCTTTTAAACTGTACGGAAAATACACTCCTTGTGCACTGTGTGGGGAAAACAGAAAGGAAGGGGAAAACCCGCGCACGCACGCGATGAGGGTACGTGAAGGAGAAGGTGCAACGAAGTGGTCGATCTGCACCCTGTGTCTGGAAAAGGTACGTGGGGTGGGTGACTTGGTGGCTTATGTGCGCATGGTCCGAGAAGGGGTTGTGAAAGTCGGAGACAGGAAGGATGAAGAAGACGCCTGGGAAGAGTTGGTCCGGTTAAGGGAACGGTTGTTCTGGGCCAGGATGGCGGGTGGTGTGGTCCCCGCATTCCTGCCAACGCCTAAGCAGACACCAGTCGAGGATGGGAAGATGGAGGTTGTGGCGGATGCGAGTGGCGAGATGGGGAAGGACGACAGTGCTCCCCATGCGGAAGCCAGCACGCCGCCACAGCATGCTGTGGATCAGTCTCAGGATTCGACTCCCGATGCAGAACATGCCGAGTCCGAGACTGCCTCTGAGCAGGCGGCGCAACTTCAACTCCAGCAAGCTCTGGATGAAAGTCTGACCACATTCGACAACTTCAAAGAGAAGAGGATAAGCGGCCACGGCAATCCTCGGAGCTCGAGCACGCCGCCGACGACGCCGCCTCGTCAGCCGCCTGTCAAACGGCAATCATCCGGCGGAGGCGGCCTTAGCTTCCCGAGAATCAATATTCCTAGGCTTCCGACGGCCTTTTGGGAAGGCCAGGTCAATACACTGCACTAGCCAGGATTGATTTTGCAGTATACACCAAACAGAATGGAAGAAGGGTTTGTCGCACGTTGTACCATAATACTCTAAAAACACGCGGGAACTGGCCCAGCACCACGAGAAGGCCACACGAAAACAAGAGACGGAATTTCTGGAGTGGCTGAGATTCGATCGCATCGTCGTCTTCTGTCGACCCGGCTGTTGAAAGGAGGCCACCGCATGGCAGACCTCCAAGCTACTGAGACGGGAAAATGCAGGACCGGCCCCGAAAGAGGAGGAGGAGGAGGTATAGGAGGGCCGACGGTCTAGCAACTCACCGTAATTGTATAATATTAGCGACATTTCGGGTATCATTTCAGGGTTCTACTACCTAGTATATGTTGATGGATGGCCCGGACACACGTTTCCACGGAACAAGAGGGGGTCCAAGGGGCTTGCCCTTGGGATACTACATAATATCTGTCCCTGTGTGGCGAAAAGGCGTCTGTGCCGAAAAGACTATATTTTGGAGGTCTCGCCTTTTCCAACACATGAAGCTATAGTGATTTTACTGTCCAAACATAACGACCTCACCAGCAAGATGATAAAGGTAGCAGGCTTTAGTGCCTGTATGTACCATCTCTCCATGACGTAAATAGGTGACATACCTTGTCGGCTCTGAATGCATGTATATGCATTGTTCCATTCTCAGCCGGTCATGTGTAATACTTGACTTGACTTGACTTGACTTGACTTGACTTGACTTGACTTGACTTTGCTTGACTTGACTTGGCCGGGCCCACTGAGTGACATCTTGTACTTCTATGCAACTTGACTTGACTTGACCGGGCCCATTGAGTGACATGTTGTACTCTATCCATGGCTAATGGCTATCAGTCCTCTATCCATGGCTAATGGCCATCAGCGAGACGAACTCCTGGGAGGAAAGCATGTACAGCGTGACACCCTCGATGGTATAGCCGCAGGAAGGAGCAGATGGCGGGACACTCGACTCTGGCCCTCGCTGCGATCCACCAGATAGCGCGACCAGCTTTGCGATACCACAGGTACAGCAACAACAGAGCGACGGGGTCTTTGTCCAGCAGCAAGGATCTGAAAGGCCCGCGGATGGTGCGCGTGAAGAGTTCGCTGTGACCCGTGGTGACCTGGCTGTCCGGCAGATGCAGGATCTGGGAGACGGCATGGGCAGCGTGGAAATACGGATTGTCTTCTGCCGTAGAGGAGTGGTCCAGACGGCAGGCGATGGCCAAGCCCGTTGGGATGCCGTCGATGCCTTGCTCCGGCAGCGGCGAGTGCATTCGAGCAAAGGTCGGCGCTAGCACGCGGAAAAGACTGTCCGGTCGGAGCGGGTCGGCGACGCGCCATAGGGACATTTTACCCTCGCTCATGCGTAACCATTCCAGATCGCGATCCCGATCCCGTTCCGCTGAGAAGGAGGAGGAGGAGGGGTCCGAGGGCTTGAGAGGCCACGATTCTTCCGGTGTGTCGGAATCTGGGTTCGCAAAGGTCAAGACGGCTAGAGCTGCGGCCGTGGCCCAGATTGGATCCTTGTCTTTCGTCTCGATCGGCTCCCTTAACCGTCTGTTAAAGAGAACTGTGCTTTGGTAGCAGTGGTAGCACTCTTCTCGGGTGCGACGACAGCCTGGCCGTGACGATGACCGGCTGTTCAGATGGCGGTCATACGCAAGCGCCACTGCTAGTGAGGCGTGCATCAAGAAAGGGTGCTGTCAATCATGGCCATGTCAGTAGATAGCCATCTACCATCGGGGGTCTCGTAATGATCATAGACAATCACCTCACCAACCCAGGCCGAGTCTAGATCTTGTCCCTTGTCCAAGGGGGACCAACCCATCTTAACTGGAATGAGACTTACCGAGAAGGCCAGTGTCAAGAGCTTGCGGTTGACTTGGATCATATTGGGGTCGTCGGGGGTAATGAGACTTCGGCCTAGGTACCGGGTGATGAAGTCTTGACACTTTGCGCTCAACTGATAGAATGTTGATGCGTCACATGTCCACACCGCACCGGTGAGAGGAGGTGGAGGTGGAAGTTCTGTTCTTTCTCGACCGACCTGGGTCCATCGGCATCGCGATGGGTATGACCGGACTGAGTCATCGGCGACGGGCTGCAGATCAGGAACATTCGGCTGGAAATTGCATAAGATCCCAAATGAACGACATCTCTTGCACTGTGGTTTCCCTTCATCGCACTACAAGCTCAACGCAATTCGGTCAGCTGAACACCATTCTGTTCGGTGTTTCCAGAAAGTCCGCATAGATACTATAGGTACCTAATAGTATTGTCCATTCCCACAGTTCACCCTTACCTTGAGCTTTCGGAGCTTGCAATTCCGGCAGCCAAATCGCGACCTCCGCATGGTCCGGCGCTCTGGAGACCTTTCTGTGCAAGTCGACGCCATACTAGTATCTAGTATGCGTGCTTGTTTGGTGATCCCATGGGAGGTGGGAGGTAGGAGGTGTGGATGGGTATGGATCGCTTGACTACGAGGCGTTTCCGGAGTCCAAAGGGACGGACGCCCAAAGTATCCCTACCTAGTACGCGTAGAAAGTGGATGTCAGAGCGCCTTCAGGTGGATCGATCAAGCATGGCGATGGTTCCGCAAATATCTAATATCTCATTAGATGGTAGCAAGGCGGTCCATGTACGGATAAGGAATTGTCGAGAGGTAGGGGGAGGAAAGATGCCGGGGCGGAAGATAGAGATTACTCGAAATTTCGGGAGAGGAAGAAACTCTCTAATTACCAGCATTGTTAGTCTATTCGTAGTACTGTTTTGGCACTAGTCTGGGATAAGTGCTGCCTTGGCACTGCACTAAACCCACAGAACACTAGTACTAGTACATCGCCTAGATCCTTAGTACGGACTAGTACCGGCTCTTCGACGCTAACTCTCTTTCGGCTATCAAGGCCTCGCACTAACCACCATCCGGGTGCAGAAGCCTCTGATTGGCTGCTGGTTCCAAAATCGCCCATCCCCATCTACATCTACGGAGTCCTCAGTATGATTGATGATTGAGAGTCCTCATGCCGCAAATTCAAGAACACTAGGTACGTAAAAGCCACAGGTCTTGCAGTCATGCAGTCATGCAGTCATGCAGTCATGCAGGGCGAGCCGGCGTGTATTTAAGTACCAGGCGATCCTCCTGAAAAGTGTAGAAGCATCTCTTCTCAATCCCAACTACTAAGCCACTGCGCGTCCTTCCTTCACTAAGCTTAGGTACATCACGGAAGCACCTTTCATCTTTCACGTTTATCCTCGACCTTTTCTTGAATCTCGAGTCATCACCAAGGCCAAAAACAATAAGAATAGCTAGCCTGCACCGTCACCGTCACCGTCACCGTCAAAAAACAATAAGAATAGCTAGTCTGCACCGTCACCATGACATCCCCATCCCCATTCTCCCTCCCCGCCGTCCTCAACCCACCCATGACCGGGCGCGAAGCCGTGGTCGACGCGCTATACCGGTGCGTCATGGCCTTCGACACCAACGACACGGCCCTGTTCGACTCGAGCTTCATGCCCGATGGCGTGTTTGAGGTCAACGGGCGTGCCCTGGAAGGACTAGCCGAGATCCACGCCACCGGGCTCGCCCTCATCTTCCAGCTCGACACGACGCACCTGGTGAGCAATGTGCGTGTTCACATGAGAACGGGCACTGGTACTCCTAAAGCCGGGCCTGTGGAGAAGGAGGTGGAGGAGAAGGAGGCTAGTCTGACGGCTACCGTACTCTCGCAGCACTTCGCCGGGGGTAAGGGCATGGAGCCCGGTCAGAAGAACCTGATGTCCGGTAGCCTGTACCGCGCAGAGCTGACCCAGGACACGGACCGGTTGTGGAAGTTCAGCCACATGCAGATCAAGTCGACCTGGGTGCAAGGTGATTATAGCGTGGTCGGGGGTAATTTCGCCGACATGGGCCAGTGAACACACCACACTGAGCTTTAGATGGCTTCTGGTTGACTTCTTGTAAATACACCTTACATACAAATCGGGCCAAGTCGTATGGTATGTAGGTAGTTACTCGAAATCCATCAGTCACAGCGTTGTTCATATGGTACTAGGTAGGTAGTAGTCATCTCAATATAGGCTATATGTCAGGACCCCAACTTGGGAACAGTATCTCGAGACCGCTCACCCCCAAACGCTGCTCTAGTCAAGCTTTGTCAGAGACACTTGGGAGTTGGGACTGGGACTGGGACTGGAACTGAAGCCACAGGATCATTTGCATTAATGACTGGCACTGGAACTGCGAGTGGTGTGGATAAGGACAGGACAAGGATAGTCTATGTCTTGCGACACAGGATCTGGCCATGTGGGATGACCATCAAGGCATCTTCCTGGGTGCCCCAGAACCTCCAGGCCTCGGAGATGGCCTTGATCTCATCGTCGGTGGTGAAACCCTCGCGGACAGCGGTGGTCGCGAACCCCGGCTGCAAGATCCTCCCGGTCCAGCTGAGAGAAAAGTGGCGGACCCTCTCACCGGTATATCGCCAGGAGTCCCAGCTGGCGTCTATGTCGTGGGGGGTGAAGCCGGCCTGTCGGGCCCAGACATGACAGTATCGGCCGGCGTTGGGCTCGCCACCGTTGGACTTTGCCACTTTCTGATACAGGTCGGCCCAACGCGAGATCTCGGGCAGTTCGGGATACCAGGCCCAGGCCTTGTAGTCAGCCTCGCGTGCGGCGACGCGTCCGCCCGGTTTGGCGACCCGGCGCATCTCGCGCAGAATGCCGACGGGGTCCTTGACGTGCTGGAGCACCTGGTGACAGTAGACAATGTCGAACGAGTCGTCCGGGTACGGCAGGCTGTTGGCATCGGCGGTCTCGAATGCCACGTTCGTCAAGCCACGCTCCGCGGCGACTTGTCGGGCTTGCGTCAACACGCCTTCCACCGCGTCGCTGCCAATCACTTTGCCCTGCGGTACCAGCGCCGCCAGGTCGGCCGTGATGGTGCCGGGACCGCAGCCGACGTCGAGGATCGTGTCGGTCGGTCGGATGTGTGGGAGCAAGAACGCCGCCGAGTCTTGAGCGGTGCGTCGCGCATGGTCTTGCACTACAGACTTGTCGTGGCCGTGCGAGTAAACGGCTTGTTCTTTGGCCATTGTGTTGTGCTGGGGGGGCACTCTGTCTTGATTAAACTCGGGTCGGAGAGCGCAACAGCCACGGATTTGTAAACAGGGTTTCAGCTCCTGCAGTCAGTCCAATGTCAATCGCCGTCACAGAGGGTTGTTTATGTGCCTCTGCACCAGGGGAGTTGTAGAGCCGATATCGGCCAGCTTCACCCTCGCATAGGCAGGCTGCTAGCAGGCTGGGGTTTAAGCGCGGCGAATGAGCGAATAGCAAATGGTCAATGGTCAATGGTCAACAGTCAACGGTCAACGGTAACGGTCAACGGTCCATGCAATGACTGACTGCACACTGGATACACCGATGCCGGACATCCCTGGCCGCTGAGGCTGAGATGCTGGCGTGGAAGAGATGCAAGAACAAGAAGAGAAAGAAGCCGCGCCGCTTTTGGGAGCCCGGGGCTTAGGTAAGCAGTTACTCTAAAGCGGCAGGCATCTTTCCCAAACAAACATCCGAAGCACATGCCTCGTTTGCTGGACCACGGTAACGGAGGGAGTACAGCATCTCTGAGAGGGAGAGGGGTCCCTACATCTATCCGCATCCATATATTCTGCCCTGTTTTGTTGCTTCATATCACATGCCATCATGCCGTGCTCTGCACTGTTTGACCTCGACGAGTTTGCAGATGCTGTAGTCGGCGAGCAGTGAGAATACAGATACGCCTTGTACCGTGAGTCTCCAGACGCTGCCTCCGTCATGGAACTACTGTCACAAGTGTTGGGCGCCGTGCTGGGGTTCCTTCGTTGCCTGCTCTTGCTGATCTGGATCGAACCCCTCCTCGGGACCAAATCAAAGTCGGTTGATGCCGACAAAGTCGCCACGACCTACGAAGAGTGGGCTGCCTGGCAGTTCGAGTACGACGCGCTCCATGGCGTGGATGACTGGGTCAACATTGACCGCCACTCTAGCTACGACTGGCAGGTCCTCAGGAGCCTGAAGCGCGATCTGGAGCGCTGCCGGAGACTGGGCGACGACCGCGGACTCTGCAATCAGCTGCGGGCCCAAAGCTCTCGCAACATGTGTCGCATCTTGTCGCCCGCTCTGTTCCGGAAGTCACCAGTCCAGACGAAGCGCCTGATCCATGATTACATCAAGGAAGTACGTCAATGTATCGCCCACATTGCAGACCGCCACTCCTTTGGCGCGGGAACCACCATCGTCTCGTCGCAAGAGAAGCGACAAGTCTTGAATGACATGCGAACTGCCCTTGGTCGAACCACGCTGGCGCTGCAAGGCGGAGCCATGGTCAGCATGAGCCATCTCGGCGTGGTCAAGGCGCTCTACCTCCAGCGATTGCTTCCCCAGATCATCACCGGAACCGGGTCGGGCGCCTTGATCGCGGCTCTGGTGTGTGCCACGCCGGACGACGGCCTCCTCGATGTCCTGGGCGGGTCACGCATCGACCTCGAGGCGTTTGATCGCGCTGGCATCCGACGCTCCACGGGTCGGTGGTTCTCTTGGCCTTGGCCGGGGTCGTCCGTCCTGGCCACTATCAGACGGCGGTACAGGCGATACCGAACCAAAAAGCACTTCTTTGACATCGACATCCTGCAAGAATGCGTGCGAGACAATCTGGGAGATCTCACGTTCGAAGAGGCGTACGCAAAGACTGGGAGAATCCTGAACATCACCATCGCCATGTCTGAGGTGGCTGGCACCCCCCAGCTGCTCAACTACATTACGGCTCCTCACGTTCTGGTCTGGTCGGCAGTCGTGGCCTCCATCGCCACGTCCAAGCAAATGTACGCGCCCGTCCAGTTGCTTTGTAAGAGTGAGACCGGCGCCGTCACTCTCTATTTTGCCGCCGACAGCTCGGAGAAGGGGAGCAAGCGCCACGATGCCGTGCATCCCGAGGCGCCTTTGCAGCGGATCGGGGAGCTGTTCAACGTCAACCACTTTATTGTATCGCAGACGAGGCCCTATGTAGCCCCGTTCATCGAGTGGCAGCAGGCCGCCGACCATCATCAGCCGCTAGGTGTCATCGTCCGCTTTTGGCTGGATGAGTGGCTGCATTGGCTCGAGGTGCTGAATGCGTTCGGCATGCTGCCTACATTTCTGCAACGTGTCTTGATGGACGAAGTAGTCCCCAGCTTTGCATCGTGGTCCAAAATCTCCATCACGCCGCAGATCCGCCTGTGGGATTTGTTCGGTCTCTTCGAAACGCCCACAGCGGCCAGGTTGCAAGCATGGAGTCTGAGAGGGGAGAGACGCACATGGCCTTCCATCTGCGAGCTGCGATGCCGATGCGACATCGAGTTCACCTTGGACGCGGCATATGCCAGGGTTCGTCGGCGCGCGACGGCAGCCATCATCAACCCAACCTAGAACTGGTCCTTTCTTAGTCCTGTATGCAACTCGTGGCTGTGCAGATTGTGGCGTCTTGCTCCAGCAGCCACCACAGCCACCACATGGTGATAGCCATCCCCTCGAGTGACATCATATCTGTCAGATCATCAACCTGAACCTGGTTTCTGGTTTCGCGACCAACCACTGCAGTACCCAACCCATGGCCGTGGAGGAGGGCGAGAGGGTGAGAGGGTTGGACCCTGATATCCCTGAAATTACGACGTGGGTGGCTCCCACTTCGCTTCGCACTTCAGCTTCCAGACATTCTTTCCTCCTCCACCGTCATTGTCACTGCTACTCGTACTCTCTTCCCAGTCCCACCCATCCATGTCCCATTCGGCCTTCATGATGGCAACCTCTCAATCATCCGCCGAGGAAAAGAAAAGGCTCCGAGGTCTGAGTCGTCTGCTCAAGAAGCGGGAGAAGACGCCGGAGCGGCCTGTCAACATGAGCGACTCGGCCTACGGCAGCAGTGAGGCCAACAGTGCAGACGCAGACGGCGCCCAAGGGAGAAACAGCCCTGACATGGTGCATGCCGAGAAAAACAGTGAAATCGCCAACATCGACCAAGACCGAAACCTTGCACTGAGGCCGTCGACCGGAGAAGTCTTTGACGAGGATACCGGTGAGGTGGTGACGGTGGTGACCACCACCACGACTACCACCACAACCACAACCACAAGAGGCGGCAAGAAACAACAGGAGATGCAGCAAGATGTGCAGCGAGAGGCCCAACCAGGCCCGGCGCCGCTGTCGGAGATGCCTGCAGCGGATCCAATATCTACCCAACCTGCGGTCACGTCGACTTCCACGAGCGCCGGTGCAGATGGACGGCCGCCGCCGCCACCGCTCAAGACAGGAGGACGGCTGCAGACGGATTCGCCGCCGATTCCAGCCAAAAGTGCGCTGCGCAGGTCAGGCGAGGTGCCCCGGACTGCTGTCGACGCCTATAACCATAGTGGTTATAATGGACCCGTGAGTCCTGTTGTTGACCCGGCGCCCGCGGGCCGCCCGGGTGCGGGGACTGGCGCAGGCGCAGGCATAAGCACGGGCATCACGCCTCCATCGAGCCCGTCGCGACCCAACTTCAGTTATCCAAGCCGGTCGTCGCTCAGGACGGCCGACCAGCCCATGCGACACAACCAAAGCACCATCGACGACCTGAAGGCCGCTGCCAAGGGAATTCACGTAAGACACCCAGTACAGCTCTTCCATTCCTACAGCACACCCTCACCCCCAACCCGTACTTCTACTTGCTCTGGTAGACGGGCTGATTGAATGACTGATTGACTGACCATCTTTGTTTGGCACACAGGGCGTCGGAGAGACCCTTCGAGGAACACTGAACTCGACCATTGACCGGCGCTTCCCCTCCAAGAAACCCGAGAAAGCCGCGCTGGTCAACGCCCATAATGAACAAGTTCTCGAGCGAGGCCGCGCCGAAATAGACGGCATTCCTGGGAGCTGGCCGGGGGCTGACCGTGACCATGAACTTGATCCTGAGGAAGACCCCACGGTACCAGTCGTGGCAACCGCCACCGCCGCCGCCGCAACGAATGCTCCTGACCGACGGCGAGAAAAGGAAAAGTCGGGTAGCCTGAGCAAACTGTTCAAGCGCAAACCGGTACCTCAAGACCAAGGACCGTATCCAAATACGCAAGCGAGATGAGATGAAGCGGGTACCCAGGCCAGGGCTCGACAGAACTGAAAAAGAGAAAAGAGCTGCTAGGTGTGATGGGCATTGAGATGGTGTGTCTTGCCTTACTTATCCTTGCTCTGTGCAGTTTTCTCAATACAAACACATTGTCAGCGCTCACAGAAGGTGTCGTGTCTATTGCATCCAATGATATCGGCATACGACAGCCGTTAATGTTTTCTTTTGGTCTTGTATGGAGCCCTAGATCGCTCTTCGCCCGCGCCTTGGACGAGGATTTTTGCCATGTTGAATTGTTTTGTCGGACTACATCTTCACCACTTGATCTTGGCCTTGGTCTTTACCTTATATTTCTGCCGCACCCTCCACCTCTAGGGTACACAGCACACAACACCAAAAACATTCAGGCTGGCTCGCGTCCACCGTCCCAAAAGGCAAAAAGTCAGCAAACAGAGGAGCCCCCTCGTACCTTCCTGGTTGTTGATCAGATGGAAAATCCCTCTTCATCTGATCAGAAGGCCCCTCCCGCCAACCCTTTGCAATTATGACCTACTCGTTTCGAGGAGGAATCCCACGCCCTGGGTCATACCAGCAGGTCGCGCTCTTATGCGGCTTCGGTCAGTCAATTGCGAAGGAAAAGTCCGCCACTGCAATATATGACCTGTGGATTTTGGATGTGAATTGTGATATCATGTGACTGGAGAGTCGGCTACCTTGCAGGTCCATGAACCTGTCGAAACTACCTACTCTTACCACTACTCCTGCCACTGCCACTGCCACTGCCACTGCCACTGCTGCCGCTGCCGCTGGCGCCGCCGCTGTCGCCAGTGCTAGTAACGAGCGATCCCAGATCTTATTAGGACGAAAACAACTCTTCTTGTCGGTTGACTAGGACGAGAACAAGTCATCTTGTCGGTTTGGATCTGGGATCGCTGGCTTGATTGATTCGGTTGGCGATCACGTCTTGTGAGGTGAACAGAGGGATGATGCTTGCATGTGTTTACGTATTTACGAAGGAATGTCTGTCTGTCTCTGTCTGTCTGTCTGTCTGTCTGTCTGTTCGATGATTTGTTGGTTCGATGGTTCCTTGGTTCAATGGTTCCTTGGTTCAATGGTTCATTGGTTCGTTGGTTCGTTGGTTCGTTGGTTCGATGGTTCGATGGTTCGATGGTTCGATGGTTCGATGCTCGACCACAAGGTGATCCAGACCGTATCTCGAAGAAATCCCAGTTGATCTGTAGAATACTTACCTTAGGTAGTGTCAGTCAATATCTCTCGGAGAAGTCTCAAGCTGTTGGCTCAATACCTTTTCTGGTATGGAATAAGCACGTCTGTCTGTGGAAAAAGCCGCATGATATGCTATTCTTGTTCTAACCTTAGAACAAGTCTTGGAATCGAGAACCCATTGGCACTATTGCTAGTTATCATTGATCATTTGTAGCAATTACGCTTGATTCATCTTTACTAACCGGTTGCTGTGCTTGAATCATCTTTACGAACCGATTGCTACACTTGATTTGTCTTTGTCAATGGGTTAGAAAGTTGATTACCAGGTCTGAAAACCGGTTAGCCAAGATGATATGGTTACCAGCTCTGTTTGATTGATCTACAACTTTAGCAAGATGTTTCCCTGCTCTGGTTGATTGATTTATCCAGCTCTAGCATAACCATCAATGATTGCTCATCGACTATATTGTCCTGAGCGACACTTCTTTCATTCAGCAACTATGCTGTCCTAAGCAACATTTCCCTCGATGAGATATCACCAATGTGTCTGCAGTACCGACACAAGCGGATTCACTGGTTCTGCTTCAATCGCTGATCAGGCTCACCATCCTTCCTCAATCCATCTCCACCAAGATTTGCTGCGCCCTGGTTGTTGCCACTGCCACTACCACCACCACTGCCGCTGTCGCCGCTACCGCTACCAGAAGAAGTACCTCCGGTCTGACCACCCTGTTTGCCTGCCTCATGAGGGTCGACTTTGCCGTGTGCAAATTCGCCAGTTCCAACGCGCTGGTCGGGTTGGCCATCCTGGCGGAGACCGTCGTGCTCTGGAGACAAGAATTAGAAAATTGACTTGGATTCGGATTCAACAAACGGTTCAGAAGCCGTCAAGACGGACAGTGTACAGGGTACAGGAGGAAGCCGTCAACACAGACATGGATACAGGACAGAAGGCCGTCAAAACACACAGGTAATGGGGTACAGGACAGGAAGATTGTCTGGCTCTGACCTCGACTTTGACTTTGCCTTGACCTCGACTTCGACTTCCACCTGGGAAAGGGATGAGAGATGAGGAATCTTACTAACCGGTTGGCTGGTAGTTGGACATGATGAGAGAGTTGCTGGTTGATTTGGTTTGGTTGGTCGAGTTGTTGAGTCGTGTTGGTTGGATCTGAGAAATTGATTGACTGATTGACTAATTGACGGTTGGGTTGATGTGATGGATAAAGAGGATGGAAGAGAAAGGGAAACAGTCTGTCTGAGGCGGGAGATGAGCCTGTTTATATAGACCAAACGGCCGTCTGGCTCCTCCTCACCTTCACCTTCACCTTCACCTTGAGACAAGTCACTGCTTGAGACACTCTGTCGTCATGAACATGAACATGAACGTCTGGGTATATGCCTGTACCTGTATTCACCATCGTCTTCGTCACCGCCTCTGTCTCCGTCTCCGTCTTTGTCTCCATCCCATCTCCATCTCCATCTCCTATCCCACATTCCATCACATCACATCACATCACATCACCCCGCCCTGGCGAATGATGATGATCTAGACCTGACAAGTATCTAACCGTCATGCAGGAATCATGCATCATGAATCATCATTCACTATTGGCATCACCTTTCACCTTTCACCTTTCTCCTTTCACCCTTCGCCTTTTACTGCATGGTCCTCATTCCCTACCCTACCAGCTCCTTGCGTCAAACTGGGCACGATTCACTCATTCACTGACTGCACATTCACATGAACATCCATATCCATACCCACATCCAATCCACAGTCAGTCGATCAGCCAGCCGATCAGCGAGCCTCCTAAGCCAGCCAGCCAGCCAGCCAGCCAGCCAGCCAGTCAGCCTTGGCCTCCTCCTCCTGCTCCTCTTCCTCATTCTCCTCCTCCTCCACCTCCTCCTCCTGGCGATCGTAAACATCACCACTGCAGGACCAGGACCAGGCTCAGCAGACCCCTCCTCCTGGCGATCGCCAATGCAGGACCAGGTTCAGGGACTGGCGGTGAAGGGTACCGATGGATACACCCACTGGACGGAGTGCATGAGGGATGAAACAAACGGCTTAGGGCCTTCACCGCCCCCCTCCTCAATCTGCGCCATTGCCATTCGGACCGTAGATTGTAAGTAGGTTGTACAATTACATCCTAGGCGCGATCTGGGCCGCAACTTACTTACACATAGCTCCGTAATTCGATCTGGGCCTCAACTCACTTACACATACCTCCACCCCTCCGTAATTCGATCTCGGCCGCAACTTACTTTAGGTACACATACCCGTAAATAGATCTTAACTGTTCTATCACATCACTTCATTTCATTTCACATCACAGCACTCCACACCCCTCCACTCCACTTCACTCCAGACCAGACCAGCCGAGATCCCCGAGGACGAGATGTGTGATAGATCGGCTTGATTTCCCCGGCCATCCACATCCACCCTTGTAAGAGCAGAGCGGAGCGAGATTCGTCATCATATCACGGAGATGATGAGATGATGAGATGGCAGACGGTGGGTGAATGAGATCACCGCTACACTACTCGTACACTGCGAGTGGTTCCATGTGTCAAGACGGCCTGAATGAGAAACAACGGGAGTGAGGCCCGACTAGGCACGATCGAACAAGGACCTGGTTGGGGATGGTCCAGTGGCAGTGGATGGAAAAAGAAACACAGGGACCAAGTCATGACGAGATTGGTCATTCTCAGCCTTGTTTGGAAGTCCAGGGGCGGCCAATGAGCTGCAGGTTTGACGGAGGTTCCATGCCGAACACTTCTAGGTAGTAATACTACTATAACATATTAACACCTAACACAGTACTGCACACCTTCCACTACACCATCGCCATCGCCATGATCAAGTCATACAAAATTATCATACATCGCCTAGAGGCAATTCTCTGCTTCAAATCCCGTAGGTGCCTCCTATTACATAGTCCTTCGCTCGTATTCCATCGTCTCCAAGATAAGTCTGATTCCTAATTCGTCCGGAGACAATGCCATGCCCTTGCTCACATGGCTCAGTCTAACCTTTTCATGCGTGTTCATTCATTCCATTGGCCATGGGTCGCGACCGACCCGCCAAAGCATCACGCCCATTTGCCATCATCAAAACGCTCAAAAATTATAGCGACAAAATGGTATCCGATCGAACAAATACAATCAAATGAGTCGAGTGTACGGGTAGCCTCATGCGTCCCTAAGGCCCTGAATAGTCTTGCGGAGCTGAGTTGGCAAACACGTAGCTTCTTGGTTTCTGGTGAGACAGCTGTTGAGCAATGTGTGCGTGCTCTTCTTTCTGATTGGGGAACTCTTGGATGTAGAACTCGGTCTGCTTGTGGTCCATTTGAGAGTTAAATCCAAACGCCGACTTGTGCTCTGATGGCAACATCGCCTGTTGGTAGTGGCTGTTGAGTCCATCACACTGTCCTGGGTATCCAAGAGAAGGCACGTATGTCACAGGGAGAAACGAGGGCATCTCGGGAGATGTCAGTGGAGCGTCTGACCAACTACTATTGGTGAGAGGCCCTGCCGAGTACGGCGGTGTATAGTCTGGAAACGAAGCGTACTGAGGTGGCGCCGAAGCCGGTGGACAACGAGATTGCTGCGAATGGGCCCTCATCATGGACTCTGCCACCAATGGTGTGCCTGGAGGTGAGGCTCCCGCGACAGGGAGGTTTTGAGACGCTTGCATGCCATATTGATCAATGTTCCGCGCAAAGAATGGGTTTTTCTCCGGATCGGCCATGTGGGTATTAGAAATAATGTCGGGTGAGAGCAATGGTGCGGGCATCTCTGCCAGTGTTTGCGCGTTAATCGCTTGTTGGGCCATCAACTGATTGAAGGCCTCGGCCTCGGCAAAACTGGCCACACACATTGGCGATCTCTGAGCCGAACTGGATTTGCGAATGCCTGCATATCGCGAGTTGAGACCGTGGCCGGCAGACTTGACATGACGAACCGTATGAGGGACCGCCGGAGTGTTGCCCACACCTTGCCGGAAGGTTGGCGAGATAGACGTCAAGGCCCCGGACGATCGGCTTCGAAGCGAAGCCGATGTCAGAGCAGCTGGGCGAGGGCGCTTGCGTCGCGCAGCGATATCGAGGGACCCGTTCTTGGGAGTAGGGATGGGCTCCGAAGGGCGTTGATGCGTCAGCAGGGTGGGTGAGCTGCCTACCAAGGCGAAGCTTCCAAAATTGTTAGACAGATCGTCCGTGGTTGATTCTCGCCGTGAGCTCGGATAAGATGGCATGGTCAGCCCTGGGGAAGGCAAGGTGGCGGTTGGGTCGTTTTGTTGATGGGCCAAGCCCTTTGGAGTTGCCAAAGGCTCCTGCCAATCTTCTGGCGTTACGACGAAAGTATCCTGCAGGAAGTCGGCCATGGCGTCGCCCGAGTCGGTGCCCTGACTCGACGTGTTCGATGGCTCGGTATCGAAGCCAAAGTCAAACGACGTGTCCTGCAGTGTGATCGGCGAGGGATAGGTCCCGGTACTTGCGTGCTGATTCGGCCACGTCCGTACATTGGAAGTTGAAAGACTCGCATGGTGACCGTTCAACCGGAGGGGAAGTTGCATGGGCGCGGCTTGGGGAGGAAGCTCTGGAGGAGGCATGGTCACTTTGGGCTGGGACGGCTGCTGATGAGCGTGTGCGGCCTTTGCTTGCCCCAGAGCTCGCTGAAGGGAAGCCCAGCTCGCCTCCTTGGACTTGTCTACCACTTTGCCAGGAGACGGCGAATTGTGCACACTCGATTGAGATCGCCTTGTCGGCGAATGGACTGACCGCGTAGGAGAGGCAGTCTCGCTCTTGTTCTCTCCCTGAGTTTCGGCCTTTGGCGTGCGAGCGGAAGCAGGTTCTGTGGTTGTGTTCTGGGCCTCAAATTCCTCTTGCCTCTTCTGCTGCTTCGCCTTTGCCCGCCGGTTTTGGAACCAATTCTATCATCAAGTTAGCCAGCGCATCCATGATTAAGCGTGTTCCAAACGTACCCCGACTCTTTGAAACTTCAGGTTTGTCTGGATAGCCAACTGCCGTTTGACTTGAGAGTTGGGCTTGTGGTTCGCCTGAAACTGTGTCTCTAGAATTTCGACTTGCTCCTTGGTAAGTCTGGGTCGCGTTGAAGCCTCCTCGGGCTCTCCACCAAAGTCGTCGGCAAACATCCCGGGCGCCATGAAGTCGGCAAACTCGGGCAGACCGTATGAGCTGGAAAAGTCGTCGACTTGTTGGGGATGGACCATATAGGTCGGATAAGCAACGCTCGGATATAACATCTGTGTCTGATGCTGGAGGGGGAAGTGCAGAGAATCCTGTAAGAAGGGAGCCATATTGTAATAGTGGAGGGCGGCCTCTTCGTTGTTCGTGCTCAGTGAGCGGGTGTGTAGTCGGTTAGACATCTGAGCATCGCCGGCCTTGCGCGTAGGGGCGGCCCTGCGACCGGACCAGACAGTTCGGGGCTTTCTGTCGACCGGACCGCACAAGGAGAGAGGGAGAGAAAGATTGGGAGGAAAAGGTCGCTTGGATGCAGCAGGCGCAACAAGCCAGGCGGTGGTGGGTAGAGGCGGAGGGAGGGGAGTGTCGCAATCGGATCCACGATTCCAGATCTGACGGTTGGACGAGACGGAGAATTAGGAGCGAAACGAGCTGCGATCGAAGGTGAGGCGAAGTTGGATCCGAATCGACGGACCGACGACCTGGTTGAAGTATGGTGTGGTGGTAGTACTAGATAGTAGTAGATACAAGGAGGGAAGGATAGAGTAGCGGCGGACAAGATGGTAGTATGGGAATCTGGACAAGGTAGGTGGGCGAAGTCGGGAATTTTAGATTTAGAGGCGGCGTAGCAAGGGATCAGGCGAGGACTAACGCCCTTCCAGGACCGGGGTGAGGTAGGGATCCGTCTCGAGGGAAATGGAGTAACAAGAGAAAAGGTGCCATCTGGCACTGTTGAGCGAAGGCTTTTAGATGTGGCCGATGATGATGCGGATGGGTGACAGGGAAACAGCTGCAGCAACAGAGACGCACGTCCTCGTGCTGGGGGGATTTGATGAGCACAGGTATCAGTGCGCACACCGGGGCCCTTTTTTGATCGTCGCCCTGAGAGGTGGGAAGAGAGATGGGGGACAGAGGGGAGGTCCTCGCGCCTTCCGAAGCCCTTTGCCCTTTGCGATCGCGCGAGGACTGAGCTCTTCACGAGGCCTCGAGCAAAAGCCCAGGAGGAGGAGTGGGGATGGCCAAATGGCTGACAGGGATTGGGCCGGGACAGGCGCAGGTACAGTAAGTCAGTAGTGTGACTGACAGTACTACGAGGACCAGGGGCATCCACTCGGGGGCCTAGGCGAACAAGACAGCCAGACGAGCCACTGACTGCGCGGTGGAGTTCTGTCTAGCCTGGGTGGCTTTGTGACCGAGGAATCGCTTCCGTCAAGCCTTTTCCGGTCGCTGGTCTGGTCAGGTCTGGCGAGTCGACATGGTGAAGCAGCATCAGGCGCCAGATGGAACCTGGAGCCGGTGTAGTTAAAAGTTGGAGAAAAGGCGAAGGATATTGTATGTATGCTCCTGGTCGACCAACGTCAAAGCGAAAACTCCGAGGCGCCCGGCGACTGCTGAGCCGACAAGTGTCGTCCAAGTCTAGACCCCGGGCGTATTGGCCTGTACGCTGTACTTTGTGTCCAGAGTACTCCGTCACGGCGTATGGACTTACCTAATGTATGGGTTATGTGGTCGGTTACAGCGGTACTGTCCTCTGCCCTTTTGTGCCCTGGCTCTTCTGTCCGTTGTTGTCCGTTGTCCAGCTATCTTCCTCCTCTTGTCCTCGCGAGGGTATGTTTGGCCCTGGGCGTCATCGTGGCGGATTGGTTGATCTCATGTTCAAGGGGCTCGCGCTGTCAGGTTCGGCGCCAATGCAGGAACACGAAGCGTAGCATCCAGTAGAGGATTGCGCCTGGCAAGGCAATGCAATGCAATGCAAGGCAGCTCAGACAAGCAGAAGGAGAGGCCAGACTATCCTTGCCATCTCAGGCCACCCTGTCGCCCAGATCTAACCTAGTCGGCCCGGGTCTCAGCCCAAACGGCGTCTTGGTGGTACCCTTTCCCACCAAAGGAGGAGGACGCTGGTGGGGTTGTTTAGGTCGAGACGGCCTGGCTGCGTCCTGAAGCCTGAACCCTGGCTCAAGTGGCGCTTGGAGGCTTGGAGGGGAGATGAGCTGTGGCGTGGCGAGCCTGAGGCGAAGCGAGGCGGAAGAAACATCAGGATACGCAGCTCGATACGCAGCTACAATAATTCGACGACCAAACACGCGAAAGACAGGCCGATTCGCCTGCGAGCCAGCCGCCAAACTCGTCTGACGGTCGGTCAAGCTGCCCGTGCCCGTGACTTCAAGTTGGACACTGACTTGACTGCCGTTGCGTCCGTCTCATGTCAAAGCTTTAGTCGGTGCGCCTTCCGACGGTAATTCTCCTTGCGAATAATCTCCAGCAAGATGGAACTCCAGGAACGAACGCAGTTCATGTTACCCGACCTGCCCGGCAGTCTGTACTGACAGGTTCGGTATTCTTAGGGTATTTTGGAAATCATTACTGGGTACTCGGGTTGACAAGAATGGGTAGCATCATGCGCCAGCTACCCACACTCGACTCTGGAAGGTACGGGGACACCATGGGACACCGTGGGACTGTACGGAGTACACTGTACAGACTCCAGAGTCGAAGTGGGCGCCTACACTTGCCTACTCCATCCATCGCCTCATCGTCAGCAACACTGGCATCAGTATCTACTATCCGTACTCCGTACGTATCATCATCACGTCTCCGCCGACCGTCAAGAAGCCTTGTGGATGCAGAGATCTGATGTATCACTTACTGCATCAGATTTGGCACTCCTCCAATAGTCCTCTACATGTACGAGTACGGAGTATCCGTACCGCGAATCCCTCAGCGATCGTCTCTTCATCCTACCATGTCATCCTTGTTACTCTGGGTCTGCACCCCGGTCTGACTCACAGGCATGCCCTGTTCCTGGTACCTGGCTTGGTGCCTGGTAGGTGCCTGGGATGCGCGGGAAAGAGCAGCGGACTGCAAGACACAAATTTGGTACCTGCAGCTGTGGCGGAGGAGATCCAGCTCCGGGAGACAGCTGAAGCGCAGTCCGTCCTTGCACCAGTGCAAACCGCCCCGATGACAGCCATCCACTCAGCGTCCATCGGCCCAAGATCAGCCCATCACGCTGCTTTCCATCACGACCCTTGCCCATTCATGCCTATCCGTTACACGCTCTCCCTGCGAGGCAGCCTCACCACCCCTTCAGACGCGCGACAAGATGTTGTGGTCTGAAACCCTCATAACGAACCGTGGCAAGGCCTAGGTTATGCAAGGGGTTCTGTCGGTCTCCCTTGCGAGAAGAAATTATGCGACATGTATCCGTACTCCGTACAGTTGATTGCACATCCAGGCAATGCCCCAGACTCCTGGTGCTTGACAACCGCTGGCAAGGGATTTAGGCTACACAACATCAGAGACAGCAATTTCCAATGCGCCATCGGGGCAGCATCTTAGCGCATCCGGAATAGAAGGGGATTCGACTCTGGTTCCGGACTACGTGCCAACTTCTTCCCAGCCCAAGGCTGCTGCTATACGATTTTAGCGATTATTATTATTATTATTCGCAGATCTTGTTCGCCTGTCGCTCACTACCTACTCTGTACTCAGCTTATCTTGCCTTTCTTCAGCGACCAGCTATCTCGCAGCATTCGCCACTTGAGTTCTCGGTGTGACACTTCAAATCCGGAACATCCGTCTGTATCGACTGACTTCTTCTACGTCGACATCGGCCTTGATGTTCTTGAACCACTCTGCTCCGTCTTATCTCACCCATCGGCCTGTTAAAATACAACATTTCGTTTTAGCCCAAAGGCCACGACTCTGATGCCAGCAAGACTTGCAAAGTTGTCTGCAAATGAACTAAGAACCCTTCTTAAATACAAAGACCTCAACTGCAGGTAGGAGCAACGATCGCTGACCGTCGGCAACTCACAGACTCACAGTCGATATGCTTCGGCTACTGTTGTACAACGTTAAAGCTGCTAATAATACTGCCAACCTTGCGTGACGTTACTCATACCTGGGTAGGCATCCTCCATACCTACAGAAGCCTCTCGTGGGGCACCAGTTTGCTCGCACTTCGAGCGCAGCATTGACCATCAGTCAGCGCTTTGTCCAATTTATCGGAGCCATCACCTCGTTGACCAATGAGTGACAGGTCACTCTGGGCACGTTGATTTGCACACGGCCTCTGGACTTGCCTGCCTGATTTCCCGTTGCCCCTCGACCGCCGTGCCGGCTTGCCCATGCGGCTCAAACCTACCCCCTACCTCGCACAGCCACGGGTAGATGTCCTTGCAGCGGCCGTCAACGGAACTGAGAGCGTGACAGGATTCAAGAGACCGATCTCTTATGCAGGTACCGTCAGACGGATCACCGTCAATGTCGAGCTTGGACTCGTCAGTGACTGTTTGCAAATGACGAGCTTCCTGACCAGTTTGGACACCACAAGGGTGCTCCGTCAATCACAGCTTTACTCTGTACAGTGTACACCATTCGAAAAGTGGACCGGCTCTTCCAAGGTTGCCATTAGGTATAACGATCAGTCGCTAATTATGGCTGTGATGGGGAACAAGGTCATGCGGCCCTTTCCTCGCCATCGCCGCTCTATCCACCTCCTGGATGGGGTGTCTAGTTCGAGAATTTTGTCTTGTCCTCAACCGACCAAACGCCCTACGCCATGCTGAAATGTGCACAGTAGCAAGCTGCACCAAAGATAGCGATGCTACGCACTGACCAAGGCATTGGTGATCTCGATCTGGACGACTCCCTCGGCAAAGCCCTTGAGGGTGACACTTCTCAAGTCTTGCACAATCCAGTCTGCCCCCGCTTCCTTCACTTGACCAATGGTGTGCGTGGTGGTTAGGGCAACGACCTTGAAGCCAGCGGCCTTGCCTGCACGGACTCCTGACGGCGCATCTTCGACAACGATCATGTGAGCGTCCTCGGCTAAATCCAGCTTCTGGCGACCTAGCCGATAACACTCTGGGTGAGGTTTGCCCTCTTCCACGTCCTCTGCCACTACAATGCAACGAGGATGGGCGAGCTTCAACACTTCAATCCAGCCCGTGAGCAAAGCCCGGGTAGCCGATGTCACGACCGCCCAAGGCGCATTGACGGCTTCGAGGCTTGCCAGCAGTTGGCGAGCACCAGAGATCTCCACTGCATTCTCGCCAAATTCTTTGGGTATCAAGCCTTCATGGTGGCTAATATCTATAGGGCTTTAGCTAAGGACCGAGGACTGGTGTTTTCTTGACGACAACCATACACTCCCAATTGGCCTTGGACGGGTCGTAGATCTTGAAGGTATCGATACTTCTCCGTCCGTGCGATGTGGCAAGGATGACGTTGGGATCGACTCCCATCAGTTCGCCTTGCTTGTGCCAGTGTTTGACGATAGCTTCTGTACTGTCGATGATGGTGCCTATCCCATCGTATGAGATATGACGTTCAGCATTTGCGGACCAGGTAGCACAACTTACCGTCGAAGTCGAACAGCAAGCCGTGGGCCGAGACGACCTCAGGAGGCGCGGAGAAAGAATACTCTCCAGCGGAGCCCATGGTGGCACCCCCTTGGCGTCCGCGGCGGTGAAGGGAGAAGCTAAGAAGGAGAGAAGTAGAACGTTTGGCGTAGGAAGCCTGCTTATTCTATTATTCTATGCTGTCTAGAAGTTCATAGAAATTTCGTCTCCTGGCAGCGGTCGGAGAAAGCTGGAGTTTTATCTCATCACCGCCATCGGCAATGTTACCTGATCTGGAGCGGAATCGGTGAGGCAGTGAATTGCGCCAGCGCACGTGATCGTTAGGACGGTGGCCACGGCATGCCAGTGGTGATTGGTGCATGGCCCGATGCGTCGGTCAAACATCCGCCGATCTGGCTCTTGGCGCTACCCCGACGCCTGCAACTTTTTCTGCCATGGTGCTCGAGAACAGCCAGCATACGAGTATAGTTTCATGCAGCAGTGCATGTTCCCGTGAGATTTCAAAGATGGTCAAATCATGTAGGCTCTATCTCATCCTTGTCTTGAATCCTCTGACCGTCCACAGTTTCCAAGTCTAAGCGCACCCCTGTACGATTAAGGCATAAAATTGAAAAGGCCAGTGCCGCCAAGCAGAGGAAATTGAGAAAAGAGTCGAAAAAAGTAGGATATATCCTCCGGCGTTGGAACCGTAGAAGCTGACAGCCTACAGAATCCTCAATGGAAATCCCGCCTGAAGAAGGACCCTGGAATCCCCAATCTGTTCCCTTTCAAAGAGAAAATCCTCGAAGAGATTGAGGAGAAGAAGAGACAAAAAGCCGAGAATGCACAGAGACTGCGGGATGCCGCAAGGGAAAAGAAGAAAGCAGGCAAGGAGCAGGCCACGAATGAACCTACCGAGGACGACGAGGACGACCTGATGGAGGAAGACGACGACGACGATGACGATGTCCTCGACGAAGAAATGGAGGATGCCAACGACGGCGCAAATCCTTTGGCTGCTTTGGTAGCCTCGGCCCAAGCAAGGGCAGCTGAATTTGACAAAGGGGCTCTCGAAGGCGACGTTGCCGCAGACGATGACGAGGATGAAAATGACGGGGTCCCACTCTCGGAGACCATAGCAGCTGACCATAGAAACCCGGATTCGTCTCGGAGGGCTTTCGATAAAATCTTCAAGCAAGTTCTCGACAGCGCAGACGTGGTATTGTACGTGTTGGATGCTCGAGATCCCGAAGGCACACGGTCGCGCGAAGTCGAACGCCAAATCATGTCCGCCGAGGCAGGCTCCAAACGGCTGATTTTAGTCTTGAACAAGATTGATCTGGTGCCGCCGCCGGTGTTGAAGGGGTGGTTGACACATCTACGACGATATTTTCCCACGATCCCCTTGCGAGCATCGACCCCTGCGTCCAATGCCCAGACATTCGATCACAAGCAGCTCACCGTCAAGGGCACGTCAGAAACACTGCTTCGCGCTCTGAAGTCGTATGCGGCTTCGAAGCAGCTCAAGCGATCTATTTCAGTCGGCGTCATAGGGTATCCCAATGTTGGAAAGTCGTCCGTCATCAATGCTCTGACATCCCGCTTGAACAAAGGCACCCAAAGCTTCGCGTGTCCTGTTGGTTCCGAGGCTGGTGTGACCACGAGTTTGAGAGAAGTCAAGGTTGACAGCAAACTCAAAATCCTAGACTCACCGGGAATAGTCTTCCCGTCGACAGTCGACGGCGAGACCAAGCAGGACCGCGAACGGCGGAGAGCGGAACACGAAGCACGACTGATCCTCCTGAACGCCCTCCCACCCCGGCAAATCTCAGATCCCATTCCTGCCGTGAACCTCCTCATGTCACGACTCTCCACCTCTGAGGCGCTCTACGAGAAGCTGCTAGGCTATTACGGGATTGTTGCGCTGGGCCCGTTCGCCAAGGGAGACACGGTCACGGATTTCCTAGTCCAAGTGGCGCGGAAGCGAGGTAGGTTGGGCCGAGGCGGAGTGCCCAATCTGAATGCGGCGGCCATGACGGTAATCACGGACTGGAGGGATGGGAGAATCCAAGGCTGGGTCGATCCTCCTGTTCTCAGAGTCGCGGATGACGCGGAGATGGTCGAGGGAGATGGAGAGGGCGGAGACAAGGCTTCGGCAGTGGCTCCCGATCGAAAGGAAATCGTCAAAGAGTGGGCAGCCGAGTTCAAATTGGAAGGCCTCTGGGGCGATGGGAGTGATGGGAAGGTAGACAAGGCTGGAAACGATGCTATGCAAGTCGAGTCATGATAGACATGAGGATGCATGGCGTTGGGCGATATGTATTGGGCTGGTCAATAAAAGAATGGTGGTGCTTTGAAATCCTCAAGTCAACATGCAATCTACAGTGCGGCTTCAATAACAGATTCAAGCAGGCCGAGAGAGAGAACTGTGTCTGCACCCCTATCACATGGCAGTCGAGAAAGGTCTATCATAGGCCCCTCGGTTGTCGGTGTACTCAGTAATAAGGTTTGGAGAAATCGTGCCATTGAATGCACAGTGTGATAATAACTGTATAATTAATATTATAGTGACTTCGACCCCCCACGGTCGCGTCCACATTCCGACCGCGTTTTCTCCCAGACTAGTATCTAGTACTTACTACTTCCTACTGTGTCCAACCTTACGTTCCATTCCATCACTGCAATCTTCTGGGTCTGGGTCTGTGAAGTGATTGACCAACGAGAAATCTGTACAGTACGTTCCGGTGTAATATTATTTCTACAACGTCGAAACCGTCATCGACCGCGTTCTATACTGGGCCAATTGTCGCTCGAGAGTTCGGCGCGCCCGTTAAACGCAATATCCAATATCCCCAGTCGCGACTCAGCCTGATTTCAATCCAGACCCCTACGAAATCCCATATCCATACCTCCTACGAAAGGACGCAACCGGGTAGGAAGTGGGATTGGGATTGTCGCACCCCCGACGGCCTCTACCCGTCCTGATCAAGTCAGCCATGCCGCCGCGGAAAAGCAACGCCTCGACGGCGGCGACTGACGCCAACGGCGATGTTTCGATGGTTTCGAACGCGTCGCATGGACATAGCAAATCCGCTCGACAATCAAGTGGAGGGAAGCAAGACGACGGCGTGAGCATTGATGTATGAAGCCAGTCCATGTTCTGCAAATATCAACGCTGGGCCTCCCAGGGGTTTCAGAAAGGCCGTTATTACAAGGATAATTCACTGACAGAGATCTACAATTCTCAGGACCTTCTCCTACCGCGCACGCTCGTGACTCGGCTTGCCCGAGGCGTGCTTCCGCCCAACACATCGATCCAGAAAGACGCGACACTAGCACTGGCCAAGTCAGCGACCGTATTCATCTCATACCTGGCACACCATGCGAACGAGCAGACGACGAAAAAGACGGTGGGACCACAAGACGTGCTCAAAGCGTTGAAGGAAATGGAAATGGCCGGCGTGATGGATCTAGGAGCCGTGGGCACAGATGGTCGGTTGGGCGGCCGGCTGGAGCGAGAAATGGAGGCCTACGAGGAGATCATACAGCGGAAGAGAAAGGGGTACAGGGATAAAGTCAAGGCGCGAGAGAGCCTGGCTGGAGACGGCGAGGACGAGGATGACAACCATGGCGCAGAGAGGGGGGAGCCCAGAAGCAAAAAGGCTAGGAGGATGAGCGAAGAAGAAGATGTTGTCGAGGACGAGGAGGAGCGGTTGCTTGCGCAGCAGCTCAACGGAATGCCTGAGGAGTCTGGGGGTCGGCAGGCAGAAAATGAAAAGAGAAAGAGTGGCGAAGCAGGCACAGGCCAGCCAGTTGAGAACGGCAAGACAAGAGTATCGGCGAATGAGTCGGATGAAGGCGAGGATGAGCCTGCCGATGAGGAGGAGGAGGAGGAGGAAGAAGAAGAAGAAGAAGAAGAGGAGCAAGACGAAGACGACGACCCGGACGAGGACGAGGGCGACCCAGATGAAGACGAAGAAGGTCACGACACTGGTGATGTTGACGATGTCGATGGAACGCAACGCCCCAATGGAAGAGCGAGACCACTCATGCTCGGACGCGATGTAGATGTCGGCAGCGAGGACGAGAGCGATTGAGAGAGAGGGGGGGTGCAGGTACTACTGGTAGGCGGTAGTACCCGCAAACTTCCAAATGCCCATGATATGGTCACGATGACAATACGTCGTCATGGGCGGTCGGTTTGGAATCACCGTGTACTACTCGACAAGAGTGCCTAGATCTTAGACAGCCAGTCCACGCAGTTGGGTCCTCGGGTGGAAAACCAGAGTCTAGACGCCCTGGGGCATGCCTGACAAGATATCAAGTCACTCGGAGTACTGGGTCCAAGGTCCCAGGCACAAAGTGTCGTTATACCTTACATACCTACCTAAGGTACCTATGTATGAGGTATGATTTTGGTCTAACTTGGAACGGCGAAGACCAGCCTTGCCAATAGCACACTTCATCGCTCTCCCTGTTCAGGTCAGAGCGGCCATAGCTGCACCACAGCCATCCTTAGCCAGGGCCTGTGATAGGAGCGTGGAAGATCGAACAAATTAGGTACGGTGATATGTTTAGGGTCTAGATACTGACTAATAAAGCCAGTTGATCTGTCGAAGACTGAGAGAGCATAGTTGGAAGCTAGACATTGACACGATGACAAGTTTGTCTTTTAAGAAAGACCCCGTAAGCAGATCAAACCGCACGGTAGTCGTAGAGTCCTACTCTGTTTCCATTCGATCGCCTGCATCAGTGTCCTTTTCTTGATTCAACTGCTCCTTGACTCCCTCCAGGAAAACTTCGACAGCCTCGCCTCCGCCTAGTGGTACGCCGCCTCGTCGCATATAGCCTCCGTGTCGAACAGGGATGTTGAGAGCTTCACTAATACTGGGTAAGCCACCATCCCGCAGGGCGATTGTGAGACTCGATAGGCTCTGTGACAACTGTGGTGACCGCAAGACCCTCCGAAGAATATCCTTCTTCTGATCCAGACTGAGTGCTTGCTCAGCTGCTTCGACTGATACGTGATCTGTATTTAGAGCTGACATATCGTCTGCTTCCTGCGCCAACGTGACCAAGGCAGGTGGAAGATACTGAAGCAAACGATCGACAAGTTCAGAGTCTGCGGAATCGATCCACGGTATTGTTGTTGCTGGAGTAAGCAGGTCTGAAAGAGTTGTAAAGACCTTCTCCTGTGGAGCTGATTCGCGGCCCGAATTGCTGTTGTCATTGCCCAATGATTGAATGAAGTTCTGAATTATGGCGTCGGGGTCCAAACCGGCAGCGCTGTCACAAGTCAGTTGCCCAGTTTTGAAAGGCCACATACACACGGCGTGGGTGTATTACCTACGCTCTTCCGCCGTCGGCTCCCCCTTCTCGAGACCCTTCTCCTTCCTCACGAAAGTCGCCACCGGTGGCATCTGGGCCTGCTCCCGGTCCTTGAGATGGACGTCGATTGAGAGCATGGTCAGTGCCTTCAGCCTCTTCCATCGTCTCATCCTCGTCGTCGTCGGGGGGATTCTGGTCCTGGGGCAACTCGGCCAGTTCTTGTTGGATGTCTACTTCTTCACCTTGCAGGAGGTTGTTCACAATATGCCCTATCTTCAGGTCCCGGGCGCTAAACCATGCGGGATCGCCCTGAGGATGTTGACTGCGCGACTGCAGCCAGAAAAGGTATCGTTGTGAGCTAGACGAGAACTTGAGAACGTATATTCTTCCATTGGTTGGCGGGTGCGTATTCGATGGGGTGTCGGCACTGGTAGGGTGATAGGGAGTGAACGAGCCATCGCCTGGTAGCATCAACAGGTCCAACTCTGGGTTTTGCGGGAGAGCGTATTGTGGCCGCCAACACAGATGGAGGAGTTCATCTTCCGCGTAGAGGTAAAGGTATCCTTGAGTTGGAAGAGGCTTGACTTTGGGAGGAGAAGAGCTTGTCTGGGAGGTAGTCAGAATATTGCGCTATAATGCCTGGGGCGAGCAATGGGAGGGATTCATGGTGAGAACGAGGCTGCGACACTCACATCAAGCTCACTGAGCCCTGCCCTGAAAGTGATTATTGGAGCAACCGACATGATGAGAAGAATAGAAAATAAACCGATTGATAGAAAATGCAGTAGCCGAAGTCAAGTCTATTCGACGTCAAATCAGTAGCGAAATCCGCAGCTCACTTCAAAAGATGGTGACTGCAAGTCGAATTAGTCCTGGAAGAGCCTCCGCGATTCTACACGTTATGCTTTTGCGTCAGGGAGCAGTCGCCTACGGTACTCGTACCTGGTAGGTGCCTTGGTCAGTGAGCAAATGTAGCAAATGTAGCAAACATGTCAAAGCCAGAGCCGGCTTGGCAACCACACCAGAAATCACATGACAAGTCGCCCACCCACCGAAAATTCCGCCGTACTTTCCTGTTCAGGGACTTGCCGCCAAGGAATGAATCGCACACTGGTCTTCCATCAGTCCACTGCGCCCATCTACTGAAACCAAACCTCCACCACCATTTGGCGACGACAACCTCAGCAAACACTCCAGCCTTGTGGTCAAGATGTCTTCCGTGGAGGCTGTTACGAAGAAGTTTGGGAGCGGCGAGAGATCCGTGCCTCACCCTTCCCAAAAGGCGCGCAAGTTCTACCCAACGGAGGATGTCAAGCAACCTAAGAAGGTGAGTGTTGCCTCTTTCTCTCAAGACTGTTGCGAGAGAGCAAGAATTGGGATGCCGTGTGTGCATGATTCAGCGGACACTCCCAGCAATCCTTCGACACCTTGTACTGACTCAACATTACCACAGGCTCGCAAGACACTCCGCCCACACAAGCCCCGAGCCTCCCTCCAACCCGGCGCCGTGCTGATCCTTCTCGCCGGTCGCTTCCGTGGCAAGCGAGTGGTCCTTCTTAAACACCTCAAGGAGGGCGTCTTGCTCGTCACCGGTCCCTTCAAGATCAACGGAGTCCCTCTGCGACGAGTGAACTCGAGATACGTCATTGCGACATCAACAAAAGTCGACATCAGCGGCCTTGACCAGTCGACGCTAGACAAGATTGCCACCCCCGAATACTTCGCTCGGGAAAAGAAGAGCAAGAAGGAAAAGGGCGAGGACGCTTTCATTAAGCAGGGAGAGAAGCCAGAGGTAGGACCATCCCAGCCATCCGAACGAGGACTGAGAAACTAACGTTCCCACAGAAGAAGCAGCCTACTTCTCAACGCGCTTCCGACCAGAAGACCATTGACAAGCCCCTCCTTTCGGCGATCAAGAACGAAGAATTCCTTGCCAGCTACTTGAAATCCAGCTTCACCCTGAGACATGGCCAGAAGCCCCACGAGATGGCCTTCTAAACGAACCCTATCTCTTGCTGATGCAAGGGGCCAGGCTTTGGTTGGAGACTGAGGGAGAGTCGGAGAGGAGGCATGAGAGACGGGGCGTTTGTTGCGTGCTTGCGCGGTTGACCACCAAGCAACCTTCTTATTCCAAAAACAGACCATGATGGGCCGGAGCATGATAGCCATGAGGGGAGGTTTTCATGGACCTTGCTAGTCTGAGCCGATCATGTGCACAAATCAAGATCGGGCGACCGAAAGTCAATCTGTGGGGTGGGCGAACAAGAGGATCGCAGAAAAGAATTGCACCGGACACTGTTGCGCCTTCGGGATTGATTTTCGAGCCTAGACAAATGAACACCAAGATGAAATCTGTCTTATCGTTCCACGCTCCCTTGAGAATGTTTCTGCTTTGCCCCTTTGCATTGACTGCTGACCTTCTACGTTGCCGCGCCACAACACTGTCGACATGGACCCCCCCAAAAGGACGTGCACAGCTCCCTTCTCCCCATCATCCTATTTCCCATTTGATTCCACGATTGTACAGGAGACTGTCACTGTCACCGTCACCGTCACTATCGTCGGTGTTGCACAAAACGATCCTGGCATTGCTTCGATATTGCTTCAATTGATGTACGTACTGTAGAGGGTATCTAGATGTGAAAACAAGCCCTTTTTCCATGGGCAGAAAAGGAGGATCCCTGAACCGAATGCCAGACTACCGTCCTGGCGGAAATCCCTCCATCAGGGTACCTCGCTTACAAGTGAACGCGTGCGACCATCAGAACGACCGACCTAGCACTAGATGACAGCGGCATCACCTCTGCCTAGCTAGAACTATCTAGCAACGCGTAACCACAAAACTCGTGCAGGAGGGTTGGGAGTAGGCTTGCGCCTCCAAATCGTGTGCGAAGAGCCCATACAGTCTGTTTCAACTGGCGCTTCGATTCCTCGTTCGCCGCCTGGGCCCTGCGTTCTTGGCCTCGGCAAGTTTGCCATTGACCTTCTTCTTGGCCTTGTCCTTCATCTTGTCAACTTTGGCAGGGACGTCGTGCTTGTCAGCTTCAGCCACCACATCATCAATAACGTCTGCGCCGACACTTGTACCCATAATCCAATCCACGAGACCCCACGGTCCATAGTTTCCCTCTCCACCACACAGAAGGTGGGTGTCTGTACGTCGAGCAATCCCGCCAAGGATGAAGTTTGTCGGGACCGTCGAGTACCCGCTATATGCAAAGGTTTCTTCGAGCGAGACGAACGTCAGGTAGAGGACGTAGGTGAGGAGGTGGAAACGAAAGATCACGGCGGGGAGGTAAGTCGGGATGAACGATCGGGCCAGGTAAGCGCTAGGGTGATCGTAGCTGGCTGCCAATGGGAAAGGGGCGGGCAGCGAATGGTACCAGTCCTGGTGAGCACGGGCAAAAGTCGTATGAGACTCGTGTAATGTGTACCGGTGCAGAGTGTAGGTGATGACCTCGCGTACAAGGTAGCCTCGGGCAAGGTCTTTGAGGATACCGAACGGTAACGGAAGGGTCGTCGTCACACGGAGAGCGGAGCGAATGACCAAGACGCGGGTGAAGAGAAGCTCGACCAGCGCTTGGATAAGAACGCCCAAAAGAATGTTGAATAGCGACCAGCCCAGCACGCGCAGCATTCGCAGGGCCCGTTGGCGGCTTACTTGTTTGAACGGCAGGGCCGAGTCGCCCAGTGTTTTGAGACCCTCGGCTGCGGAAGGAAGGAGGGCGTCAAAAAGCAGGAACAACGCTGAGGGGAGTATGTAAAAGATGACCCTGACAGCGAGAGTTGCGACTATCTCGACGCGTAGAGGTGGATGCGACAACACAAGGGTCGCCCAGGTAAGGTAGAAGAAGAGGAGGTTCAGTGAGGTCGAGTATGAAGTCATGGTGGGGATGAGGAGGAAGGATAGCGCGGGCAAGCCGACGAGGGCGTCCATCATGGTGCGCAAGGTGGTATATGTTGAGGAGAAGGGCGAGGTCGCATAGTTGTATATCGTCGAGGCATAGGACGGTGGTGGTGGACAGGAGATCGCATTGGGAACATATGACGACCAGGACTGCGGCAGGTAGCAGGCTGGGTTGTAGGAGGACGGCATTGGAAGACGCTGTCTCACTACGAGATCGGCTCGTTAATATGGAAGTTCTTTCGTCGGAGGTTAGATGAGGACGGGAGCCAGACGTGGATGCCGACAGCGATGTGGCTGGCGAATCCCAAAAGTGGGCTGGCTGGTGTTGATATCGCCGCAACAATATTTCGACCGCAGCGACGTCATTTTAATTTACCAGCCACCACAGCCTCGCGTGGCACGTGATCAGCCAGCATCAGCCACGTCTTGGCTGCGCTCCAGCTTGAGGGCGCCACACCTCGCCCGCGCCTGCGCCCGCGCCCGTTGTCGGCCACCTTCTCCATACTATTACTATTAATATTGTTTCCTCTGTTCCACGGCAAATGAAATGATCGTGTCAATCTTTTGGCCTGCTGTATCATGCTAGCCCGCGGCCAACCCCCATGAAATTGCCCAATGTTGACCCCACGCAAGAATCAGTGTTTCTCCTACAATCGTACCTCAGTATTCGCAAACTTGCACGGGTTTGGATCCATAACCGATTCGGCCCAGGTCAGGCGATGAAAAGCCTCAAAAATGCAAAGGCACACCTCATACGGAGTACAGGTGCTCGAGCTGATTTCAGCGAGCTGCGTGCTGTCAGCTGCCCCTCGATGTCGTCGACCCGTGTGCTCCACAGCAGACCCGTTTCCCCGTTGGAAACAACTAACTCTAAACAACGCCGGACGTTGGAACGATCACAATGCAGCATGTGAACGCCTCGGTCGCTTGATGGCTGAACGCCTTGCAATCAACAGACACCCCGATTTTATCGAAACCATGACAGTTGTGAATGCGGGGTCTGCATCATGCGCAGCCAGGGGAACAAAGTTGCAAGGGTAGGCCACTGGACCGGCGGCTGGGAGGGGGATTTCTTTCCCTTTCTCTCCTCCCAAGGTATCTGCCGTGCCCGCCGGATCAAAGTTTACGGCAAAATTACGGGAAAGGGCTCGTGGTAACATTTGACGGTAAACGGCAAGTGAGTCGACTGAACTCTAATGGGACAAACTCGAGATCGAACCTTTACATGAACTCGCGGGCAGTTGCCATAGACTAGCACTGTGCAGGTGTTGATCTGGCTAATACAACAATATGGCTGAGCTTTCCATTCCCCAAACCCAAATCGCTGCAATAGTCCCAGAGCAGGGCGGTCCAGTTGAATTCGACGACAACTACCCGGTCTCACTGCCTGGAGAGGACGAAGTGCTAGTCAGAGTCCTCTATACCGGTGTTTGTCAAAGTGGTGAGCGAGCGGCGTCAATGTCCTTCTCGCGAGCATACTTACTCATCGGCTAGATCTAAACACCAAAGCTGGAACTGCTACTGGCGCCGACGGCCTCCCCATCACGAATATCAAACTTCCTCACGTCGGAGGACACGAAGGTGTAGGGCGTGTCGTGGCACTCGGTCCTAATCTGACCCCTAATGAGACCCTCCAACTGGGGACGTTGGTGGGAATTCGCTTCGCCTCCCGTGTATGTCATGAATGCGAGTACTGTGTCTCTAGCCGAGAGCAATATTGTCAGAAGGCGACCAACCATCTGCACCATGAAGACGGCAGCTTCCAGCAGTACTGTGTGCTTCGATACCAATTACTTGACTTTGCTTCCGCAGGATATCGACCCAAAGGTGGTTGGACCTACACTCTGTGCGGGCGTGACAGCATACAAAGTAGGTATCTCAAGTTACGACAGACCCGTGCTGACCGAGTGCACAACATAATAGGCGGTTCGTAATGCGGGCTTGAAAAAGGGAGACTGGCTTACAGTCATTGGAGCGGGTGGCGGCTTGGGCCATTTTGCAGGTGAGCGATCCTCAGTCAACTTCAAGCGAGGAATGTTGGCCTGATCGAGGAACAGTCCAATACGGTCTTGCTCTGGGTGCTCAGGTGCTGGGCGTCGATGCCGGTGCTGAGAAGCAGCAATTCGTGGAGTCCCTCGGAGCCAAATTCCTGGACTTCACAAAATGTCGGGATCTTGCAGATGAAGTTAGAAGGAGCACAGCCGGCGGCACGCACGCAGTTGTAGTCACCAGTGGCCACCCTCGTGCCTTTCAGAAGCTGGGCGACATGATCAGGATCGGCGGATCGCTATGTATTGCGGGCATTCCACCCGGGGATGTGCATCTGGACGTCATCAAAGGGCTAAAGATACAAGGGAATCTGGTAGGGTCTCTCGAGGAGACGCTCGAGGCTGTGGAGATGGTTCGCGTCGGCAAGGTAAAGGTGCATGTCAAGGTTAGACCTTTCCGGGATCTGCCAGACGTGTATGGGATGCTGGAGAAGGGTGATATAGCTGGTCGCATTGTGTTGCAGCTATAGACCAAAGTACTCCGTACATTCTGACAGATACGAACGAGGGCAGGGGCTGGATTTTGTGGGCCGACTTGTCTCTGATTGTCGCTTCCCCCTCGAGCCTTCGAATGCAGGTCAACTCGCTTAGGAATCCTGGCTCGTAACAGCAGGAGTACGGATACTCCGTACTGTACGTCCGCCGTGCAGGAACCATGCTGCCCGCTGCCCGCTGCCCGGAGCAGCACTGCTGCTTCGACTTCATGACGCAAGTCGAGGACACAACCTAGTATGTCTGTAATGTAACCTGCATCGAAGCCTTCGAAAGGTCGGCGGCAGGTGCAGCTGGACCAGGACCACATGCTCGCGATATGGGAGCTGCAAAGGCATCTGTCCCACTGAGCCAGAAAGGTGATTGACTAGGGAAGACCCTGGAGAGCGTTTGATGTCAATGTCAGATGAGCTCAATACTCTCCAGTGTCCGCAGCGCCACTGTCTTTCTCAGGCTGGCCCCAGACGGCAGCCAGTTGTCGCTAGCGTGCGCCCTCAGCTGCCTATGTGTATACCACATACCTGAAAACGGGTATCCCTACAAGAGTGCTTGGGATGCGGTCAGTGCTCTCCAGGTGTCGACGTACAACCTAGGCGCTGATTGGCAACGGTTGCGCCCTTCTTGACCTGATTCGATTGTTTCGCTGGGCAAAATGGCAAAGTACATACCAATACATGACCCCTGTACGGAGTAGACGCGGTTGGAGGCCTGGCGTGGATTTGGCGAAACTCGGATCCCAGCCCACCCTCCAGGTCGTCAGCCCGTCACTGTCTGGTTGATTGGGCGGGACGGGTTCAAAAAGCCCTCCCCAGAGGCTTGGGCTCAGGAGGTGGTCTCACACTTACCCGAATTCTTGCTTTGGCCCGACCAGAGCCAGGCGCAGTCCGATCTTTTCGGACAGTGCCTGGCTAGTTCACCTGTTCTGACGTCCCGTGTCCAAGACTACCCTAGCGCCTGCAGTGGTATGCACGGCTGGATCGGACAGGGGTGTGTGTCGCGTATTTGGGAGCCCTTGCGCTGGTGAAAGATTTCATGTCTAGACTTCCCGCTGCCGCCCGTCGCGTTTTGATGGTGCCCCGCAAAAGGTGGCGCGTTGGGAGTCCTTGGACAGACTGGGTCTCAGGTGTAGATCATCTTAGTGACCGGTCCTCGATCTGTGCTGAGAGTTCCGGCTGTCTTTGCAGTAACCTCCCCTTGCTGCAGGATGGCGTCTAGGAATCCACCATGTCTAGTCTATCCTACTCGGGCTCCTCGTACCTGATGTGTGTCCTCTCAAGGAATTCAGCGGCGCCGTAAATGGGTATGTCGTCTGAAACTCCCGCGTCTGAGCTTCGCCGTTCGAGCAAGTGGATCCAGTTGCCACATCTCATGAACCGTTCTCTGGGAGGCACATTCCAGGCACCTTGCATTCTCCTCTCAGACAACGCGCATTATGGGCCGGCTTCGAAAGGGAGGAAGGCTGATATTCGCCCGTGGCCCCGGATGGTCGTGCTCTCAAAAAGGCCAGCGCTGCCAAATCTCATCCCTGGATGCGCTCCTGAACACCTGCACCAACAACCCAACAATCTCAAGTACAACTGAAAAGATAGTCAGCGATACAATCCAACTCACTGCAAATAGGGACCGTCTGCTAACACCTCAACCAGTGGCTGCAACTCACGCTCGGATGAAGACTGAGGGGAGTCCATTAGAGATGTTGCCTCAGCTAGAGGCCGACTTCGGCAAAGATTCTTGCTTCGACTATACAGCGGATTGCCCTTTGCTTTCGTCGAGTTTCCTGTCTTCGGATCAGTCTTCGGCGGGCTTTCATGGCCCGCGTACGACATCGCGGGCATCGTCCAACAGCTCAATGTCGCCAGAGATGTTCTTCACCCCGTCAGCAAGGACTTCAAGTCCCACGACACCGATGATGTTTGATCCGGGCCTGCAGCTCTCTTACAAACAGTATATGAAGCCAACGACTTACCTCCATCTGTCTCACCCCATTTTCCATCTGCAAGATGAGGAGCAAGACCTTCGAAATGATATGTGGATGAGCAACCTGGCTTCCGGGTACGGCGTTCCTCTCCTAACCGAGATACCGGAGGAATTGATGCCAATGCCCCATAATTCCTTCAGTCTTGCAGAAAGCTATGGTCTCAATGAGGCAGCCACAAATCCGGCATTGACGGACTCGATCTTTAGCTCTCCGGAACCTGGGCCAATGCACGCGGCGAACAATAACTTGCTGCCATGGAATTCAACGGACCTGCAGCCGCCATCGAAGACTGTCGAGCCCAGGGCCACCTTTCAGCCGGTCCTACCGAGCTCTCCAGCGTGCAAGCATGAACCATCCACTCCGCTCAATGCTCGCATAGCTTCGTCAGCAAGCATTATGACTAGCAGTCCCTGTTCATTCCTCTCGCCCATGATGTTACCATCACAACGTGATGTCGAGGAACCACGGTACTGCTCATTGGAACAATCATTGAGACTTTGCGAGACAAGAAAAGATAGAACCATTCCTGACCGGCTGCATCGGCGGACTTACGAACGCAAACGTCTGTCAGGAACGTCGTCGAAGCCCAAGTCAGCAGCCAACAAGTCCGGCATCGACTGCGATCTTGTCATCACACAGAACGAATTTGCCTGCACCTATCCTGGCTGTATCGACAGAACCACCGGGAAGCCGAAGCGTTTCAAACGTCAAGAGCATAAGAAGCGACATGAGAAGACGGTCCATGAGAAGGACATGCATTGCGCATATAGATGTTGGGTCCCCGAGTGTAACAGGCCGTTTTCTAGGACTGATAACCTCAAAAGTCATTTGAGAAATACTCACTCCAAGCGACCAGGAGTCCGTGGGAATCGATACGTTGCCACTCTGGACAAAACCAGCGAATACTATGATCCCGAGTGGGTGGGTGAATTGGACAAGGACGGTTACCCGGTCCTATGACAAACGGTCCGGCTGCCATTGTGTGGTAAAGTCCTATGGCTTGTACGAGAAAGCACCATGTATACCAGTCGAGTGCTCTGCCTTTTTTTCTGGAGGAAATTTTGGTCCAGTTTCTGGGGTTTACTGTTATTTGTAAGGTAGCTGAAAATATTTCCATCTCACAGGTGCGGCTGGTGCTTTGGGGCAATGGTCGCGCTGAAAAGTCGGATGCTGGGTTTGTGCAAGGACCGAGTTGATATACCCGGACGTCAGGGTAACTGGTACTGGTTTGAGTCCAGTAAGCAAGGGTCATCGACGAGAGGGCAGGATACTAGGATAGTAGGTAGGTAGGTAGCATGTCCGCCGTTGACAATGTCATAGCAATGATTTGTATCACCAACAGCCGTCCGCCGAAGCAGGGCACCTCGATTCCACCGTGACATGGCAACGTAAAGTAGAAGGATACCTGAGGTAGTAGTCAGCTAGACTGTTAAAGAGTGTACTCTGGTACACTGGCAGATAAATGATATTCAGAGATTGGCGCCAAGGAGCACGCGACGCGTTCAACTTCAGCTTTCAAGTTGTGCAGGCAGGACGCGTCTCCTCAATTCGCGTCGGCGTGCCATGTAGTAGTGTCGAGGGAGCTGTCGAGGGCCCAAACGCAGACTGAAATCACTACATATATCGATGAAGGATGGTAGTCAAACTTGTCCTCTCCAGGCACTCCAGCGAATGATTCATCACCCCAGATATCACAGTCTACTAGTAATCAGGCAAGGACTGTCATCACACTAAGTCTGATAAAGCTGCGCTCTCTAGCAAATGACTGAAACTTACCCGTCAAGAAGTGCTCAATCCACGGAACCTTAGCCTGTCCTCTAGGCGCTGCTACAGAGCATCTCGCTTGCAACCTTTTTGCTTCTTGCGCAGAGTCCTCTCCGCCCAGGCATTTGTCAGCGCCCTGGACAACCTCTCCCGACTGCCTGTGCTTGGCCGGACACTGCTTTGACATTCAACCTCCTGTAGCATTTGCTCTCTCTCAGTGTGCGAGTGTATGGATGTCTGGCCTTGCAGCGACGTGAATGAGATATCAGAGATAGCTGGGTTGGAACTCGTGAGTTCTGTGTGGATTGCGGGTTGGTCCGCCTGTTCTCTCCCTACACTTGGTGTTGCAGGTACTGGTGTCAAGATAGGGCGCATCTGGTCTGGTTTGGGACAGGTCTGTTTACGCTCGATTCTTCTTGGAACGTAAAGAGGAATCTTGGTGTAGCCTGGTCGATCGCCCATGCCCATCTCGACTTCGGGTGCAAGTTCGAGCGACAGATCCAATCCCTCTTCTTGACTGTTCAGGATAGATATCGACTTAGATTGTGGACGAGCTGTAGACGAGGTGGATGGATAGGTGATGAAATTGACACCAGACCATATGGTGTCCGAACAGCCGTTTGGGGCGTCCATGTATACTATCGGCCGCCGAGGAGCTAGAGTGCTGGAGGAAACAGAACCGGCGTTTGTCCCAGGACGAGAAGTTGGCCGGGAGCTTCGCCCGATACTTGGTGCAGAACTATGTCTGACCGAAGCACCAGAAAGACTAGGTCGGCCCAGCCTCCGACTGCCAAACGCATGACTTCGCATCTCTTCCACACTTCCAATAGATGACGTCCGTGCCATCATTTGCCGAGGGAACGCCTTCAAAGTACGGGGTCCATGTAGGAGTCGGTCTTCCGCCGTATGAAATGAATTGACTGTCGATGAGGACGCGGCATATACGTATGTAGGAGGAGTCACAAAGTGACGAGGTATGCGCTGGCTAGGTTAGACTGGAAGCGCAAGCAAGGATAGTATCTGAACCTCGGGATAACCAGGAGCAGGGAGGAGTGTTCGCTCTCTACTTGTGACCTCGTGTAGGTCCTTTCTGATTAGGCAGGATATCTCGAGATCTTGTCAGGCGCCTTTTGCTTTGATTGCTCGTGGGCATACCTTGGAGATTTCCTCTGAGCATGAGTCCGTCTCTTTAGGCTTGCATTCATAGTCCATCTAAAACAACCGATGAGTTGGCGGTAAGACAAAGAATGATCGGCACTCACCGTTGTCACTTTCATTTTTGGTTCGTCGAACTCTCCATCATCAGCTGGGGGTAGCAGCTCCGTCACACCCAAACCGCCCATGAAGTCTGGCGCAGGCAGCTTTGACTCAAAGGTAGCAGGTTGGTAGTGGTAATTTATCGATCCCGAGGACGACCCCCGCAGGCCTCGGTCCCTGCGGACGAACAAGCCACCAGGGAAGTTCTTGAGTCTTTGTGACATTTTCTTCAGCCGGTCACTGTTGTCTCCCCATATACCACCGAACCCCTTCCGCGCAATTGGTCTACCAGCATCTCGCGTTTTTCTATTGTCTTCCTCGGGCAGGCTAGTTAGTATGGCTTCATCGTCGAGAGACAGTCTAGTGGAGGTTATTTCGTCGATGGAGAGGTCTGGGTTGCTTGTCTCTGGTGTGCTAGATGTCCGGAGGACCCGTGGCCACAATTTCTCAGGGATGTTATCAAGAGGAGACGTAGGCAAGGAACTGTTTCTCGACGTTGTCGACCCCATCCTAGAGAGCGGTGGTCGCCGTGCTAGGGGTGAGCTCTCATCTCTGTCAGGCCTTCTCAAGGATGAGGCCGATGCCATTCTCGTGCTGAAGTGCGGTTGGCCATCGCTAGTATAGGCAACGGGCGAGAAACATCGAGCTGAGACAGATGACGGACCGGCCAATGGTGGTATGTATTCCTGCATGATGCGCACCATGCATCCTTCTCAGGTAAAGCGTTCGGTTGCAAAAGAAAACAATTTATAGAGAGACGATGCACAGTCATACCTGCGGCAAGACTTATCAGCATCTCTAGCGCTTCATATGACTGAGGGACTGCACTGGGAGTCGAAAGAGCAGGAGCTTGGCAAGCAACGGGGATGGCACCAAGCTGCAGGAAGGCACGTTGCGCAGAGAGCTAGATTGGTCTCCGGTATCTGATGTGACCATGTCGACAAGGGCAAGGAAGGCTGTCCTCGGGATACCGAGATCACTGCAGCTAGGCAGCAAGGCAAGCATTCGAAGTGTGATCGGTGTATACAGCCAGGAATTCACCCATGGTCAGCGAAGACTTGACTCTGCATGACGAGGATTTATGCTCAAATCCCGGCTCAAAGGCTGGGTCAATGGCCTTTCAGCCTGGCTGCCCGGGCTTCGGCTTCCCTGCGTTCCTCTACACCCTTCAGGAAATCCATTCTGTTGAGGTAGCCTTCCTTCGCTTTCGCATGAGTGTCAAGCTCCTCCTTCAAGCCTTCTGTATCAACATGTGCAGCCCAGTCCATCTTGCTCTTTTCAACAACATTGAGCTTGGGACCTTTGAAGCCAGTCCCAAGTATATTTTTGGCAGCCCAAGAGGCCTTAAAAGCCCCAAGGTTGCTAAAATTGGGATCGAAGCGGGATATTTTACGGACTGGTCTGTTAATGACTGTGCCGCCCGGCCCTGGAGTTCCAGATTTGGATTGCTGTTGCTGAGACAGCCATAACTGTGCCTCTGCTGATGATCTCGGAACGGTCTTTTCTTCGACATGCACCTCACCTGCGAATTTGTATGTCCGTTTGATTGTGACTGTATCTTCAGCTTCTGTGGAAGGCACATTCTCTTCGTTGCCATCTCCACCAGGATATAGGGCTCCCTTCGCACTGGCCGGATCGTTTGACGGAGCCTTCTGCGCTGCCGTTTCATCTTCCATTCGAGGCGGAGGAAGAGGGGCAGGTCGGTTCATCTCCTCCCATATCTTGTCAACGTCAACGGTACTGCCTGTGCGAGATGCCAGTTTATTTTTCTTGTGCTCCTGTTTCTCCCTCGTCCGCATGGCCCGGGTGCGGGCACGCCATCCATCTGAATCATTCTCACTCTCACCCGTAGCACCGTCTCCTTTTTTCTTCTGTCTCCGTCGAGAGCGTGTGTGTTCTGTTATTGTTGCTTCGTCTCCCGAATCTAGCTCGACGACTGCGCGGTCCGGTACGTTCTCAATTTTTCGGCGCTTGTATGGTCTGGGAGGAGCGCCGTCAGGGGTTTGCTCTTCGTCCTCCTCGGAGGAACTGGGTTCTTCGGCGTCCAAGGCGTCTGCCTGAAAGTCGCTGTCCGCCTCCTCATCGTAATCGTCTTCCATCGCCACGTCGGGCTCTTGGGGATTGGCCATAGCGGCTGCGCTGCGATTCAAGACTTGTGTCAGCAGTACAGAGTATAGGCATAAAACTGGTCCACCAAGGAGCCTGAATGTACGTGATGTCACGCGGACACTGCAGCACAAGGCCAAAGACGATGTAAGAGCAAACGTCGATCACAGAGTACATTCGAGACCCGCAGACCGGCTGCTGCACTCTGGAACACTACCAGTTGCTCTCGAAGCGAGAAAGTGTTCCAAATGGGGTAATGTAGACGAGATATTTCGCTTATGGGAGGCTTAGCGCAGTCTCGCATTCCAGCTTAACTCAACATACCTGGTAGGTGCCTGACATCTTTTCGAGGCTTCCTCCCTTACTCCTCGTTAATAACCGATGCATTCTTTCCTAGAGGTGGAATCGCGGCAGACACAGCGTCAGCTCTGACAGAGCTCCAACTCCGATTCGATTCCTGTTCCTCCCGCGACTAGACTTGCCTATTGACTTACCCAGTCTCTTCGCGTCCCAGCCCTTGGCCTGGCATGGCGAATCCTATTATGCTGGTCCGTTGCGGCATCTACTTCCAGCCATATAATGTCCTGGAATACTGCTACAGAAACGAAATAACCCTTTCTCCTACTATCTGGGCTGGTCGGGCGTGTGCGAACCTGCCTAGTGACACTTTGCCTCACAGTCTTCTATTTCCTTCCCGCCCAATCTATGTTTCTCTTGATTAGGCACTTTCACATTGGACAGCTGATCACTTGAGGAATCAAGGAATAGTCTATTGCACCAGAATCAAGTGCGTCTGTGTCTCTGTTGTTTTCCTTGGGCCTCGCGAAGCACACAGCTTCGGGACTAGAGCCTGAGATCTCTCGGCCGTAAGAGGTAGGCGAGGCTGCCTAATACTGAGTTCGCACAACATACCCCTTTTGATGATCCATGCTGTTGCAGTTGTTACTCGACGGTCCTGACAGAATGTCCAAGTTATGGTGTTTACGTACTTAGCTGACTTGAGGCGGAGAGATTGAATCACAGACCCCGACATGGTGAAATATTTATCACAGCTATATAAACATAACAGGTAGGAGTCGGTGATGGTAACAACAAGATTTTGGCAAGACAACCTCGGACAACGCAGACTACTGTCAGATTCACCGGTCAATCATCGCTTAACAGTCGGGAGCACGCTATCACCCACTATACGGAGACGGCGTTTCAGAGATGGAAGCACTTGAAGGAAAAGCCCTCTCCGGCCCTCATTACAACGACTGGCCAAATGCACTGGGGTTTGACACCCACTATGAAGAAAGGAGCCCAGTTGAGCTCCGAGTAGAGGGCACAATTCCAGCATACACCGCCGGCACCCTCTTTCGAACTGGGCTGGGGCCCAGAACGTTCAAGACGTCCAAAGAGACCTGCTTCTCTGTCAACCACTGGTTTGACAGCTTCTCTCAAATCCACCGCTTTCAGATCCATGCCCCTCAGGCTAATGAGCCTATTCGGGTCACCTACAATTCACGACTGACCAGTGATGGACTGATCGAAAAGATCAGAAAGACTGGGAAACTTGACGGGTTCACGTTCGCCGCCAAGTATGACCCTTGCAAGTCATTCTTTCGGAAAGTCCAATCTGTCTTTCATCCGAATGGGGAGCCGAAGCCGAATGAAATCAACGTGGCAGTCACCATGTCAGCCAATTTTCCGGGTTTCTCAAAAACCGGTGAGAGGTTGGACAGCCCCCACGGCCCCGGACAAGGCATGACTTTGTGTAACAAGACAGACGCCACAATGATGCAGATGCTTGACCCTGAAAGCCTGGAGCCTGTGGGCATTGCCCGTCAAACGACTCTCCACCCAGAACTCAAGGGCTTGGGCAGCGGGGCCCATGCACAATCAGATCCCAACACAGGACATGTCTTCAACTATAACCTTGACTTCGATCGGAGCCCCATTTATCGAATCTTCCGAGTTTCTACGTCCTCTGGCAAAACCTCTATCTTGGCTAAAATCCATCATTCTGCAGCATACCTGCACTCGCTCTTTTTGACCGAGAACTATGTGGTGCTGTGTGTTTGGAACTCCTTCTATAAAGCCGGCGGGGCTTCAATACTGTGGCACCGGAATCTGCTTGACGCGATGGCCTATGATAGCACGCAACCGGCCACTTGGTTCGTCATCGATAAGCGCCCAGCAGAAGAAGGTGGCAGAGGTCTCATTGCAAGATATACGTCAGATGCCTTTTTCGCATTTCACACCATCAACGCATATGAGGAGCCGTCGAGCACATCCGAGGGCACAGTGGACATTGTCGCTGACCTAGCCGCATTCGACAACATGGACGTGTTAGAGCATTTCTATCTGGACAACCTGGTTAGCGATTCGCCCAAGGTACATGCTTCCAATCACTCGTTTGGCTCGACGATTCGCCCCAGCTACCGAAGGTACCGATTACCATCGCCATCCACGGCGGCTACAAAAGGTGCGCAAGCCATTTTGGAATACACCAGCAACAAAGAAGATGCGTTTGAGCTGCCTATCATTAATCCCAAACTAGTGACGAAGAAGCATCGATATATGTACGGCGTCTGCAATACAGGGAAATCCACATTTCTTGACGAGCTTGTCAAGTGCGATGCTTCTACGCATACGACCTTGCGTTGGAGTAGACATGGCCACACTGCCGGTGAGCCAGTCTTCGTACCAGACCCGAAGTCGAGTGAAGAAGATGGTGGCGTTCTTCTGTCCGTGGTATTGGATGGTCACGAAGGGAAAAGCTATCTCCTGGTCCTGGATGCGAAGAATATGGAGGAAGTAGGGCGAGCACATGTTGACGGCGCTATCGGATTTGGTTTCCATGGGCTTTTCCTCCAAGCATGAGAGTCTGGATGTTGTGAAGGGACAAGGACCTTGGGACCTGATTGGTGGCGGCAGAGAAGGCCCAAGGCTTTGGAGGCACCTTTGGCCCAACGCAGTGAGGATGATGTACGGAGTACGGAGTATGTGATAATGATGCCATGGCACCCATGGAGGTAGGTAGGAGCATAACACGCCTGACACGCTGTCACCTAGGCTACCTTGGGCTAGGTGGTTCGAAGGAACAATTGTCCGTGCCCCGCTGCATCACACTTCTCTTGCTTCCTGATCTGGCACAGGCTCAACGGCGTACTCTATATTATTGATTGATGGTGCGGCGCATGCTTTCGGACGAATAGAGCATTTGTCTAATATTGTCTCGAGGTAGAGACTAGTAGGCCAGTGGTGCAATAATTAACAATTTCGAGAAGCAGGAGCCCCCTCGGCCACCTCAGATTCATTAATTGATAAAGAAACTATATTCTGTAGGCACATACTGTAGTACCTTAGGAACCGTACTTTAGTATCCGCACCTCCTACGAGGTATCCATGGCCTGTGGCGGTGACGAGGACGATGACGTGAGGGCGGGTTGGCAGCCTGGAGCACGGACTCTTCAGGATCTTGGAGAGCAACCGCTAACTAAACTAAGTTCGATTGGGGCAGGCGGGTTACCTAAGGTGCCTAAGGGCCTCCCCAGGTACCGCTGCCGCTACTGAACTACAACTACGTAACAGCCCAACCCAACCACCCGCCTGTGTCGACGTAACAGCCTGGAAATTCACAGTGGTTGTCCGTTCGCGGTCACTTCTTCCTGCTCAAATCACCACGCACCACATTGTCCCTCTTCACTGGTTGTCGTCCTCTACAAAGAACTGCTCCTGCGCTTCCAACCACGGCGCGTCTACTATGTTATAGCCCCAATCTGAACGGAACCTTCCAACCCTTCTCCCTTGTCGTCGCGTTGTCACTCATCGCTTGACGCTCAAGTGCCTGCGCCTGCGTGACAAACGCCTCACCTCACGCGACAACTATCTCTGGCGGTAGATAAGTACGCCTACAATATCGATCTGATCGAGCGCCATGTCCGCATCCGAAGTCATCAATTGGCTCGGCCTGAGCAAGACCTCTCCCGGAGTCAAGGTCACGACCCTACCATCGTCCTATTTCAAATTTCCTCCCTCGCCGGAACCGACAACAGTACCTCCTCCAACAAACAGTCCGAGCCTTGCGCACCCATTCACGATTCCTACCGATCTGTACAATGCGCTCCTTTCCCCAAACGTGCCTATCACCGTTGCTCTGGTCTACATGTCATTTGTTACTCTCGCAAACTCGGTCAACGTGAATCGCAAGTACAAACCATGGGCGTTCAGCAGAACGAGACTTTTTAAGCTTCTGGTCATCCTGCACAATGCCTTTCTGGCACTATTCTCGGCATGGACTTTTGTCGGCATGGTCAATGCTATGCGCCTATCTTTGCCAATATGGGGTGAACAGTGGAAGTTGACAGACACAGTCGATGCCCTCTGCAAGCTACAGGGGCCTCGCGGTGCAGGAAATGCCGCAACATACAACGCTACTAGCAGTGCTTGGACAATGACAAACCGACTTTTACATCTCGCTGCCGATGGTCTTGGTCCTGAGCCCACTGATGTTGGCAGGCTGTGGAATGAAGGGCTGGCATTCTATGGCTGGATCTTCTATCTCTCTAAGTTCTACGAAATCATCGACACCTTCATCATCCTGGCAAAAGGTAAAAAGAGCAGCTTGTTGCAAACCTATCACCATGCCGGAGCTATTATATCCATGTGGGCAGGCATTCGATACATGTCATCACCCATCTGGGTGTTCGTACTCGTGAACTCTGCAGTCCACGCCATCATGGTTGGTCAACCCGCTACCTTACTTTCTCATAAAGCTAATTTGTGACAGTACACGTTCTATCTTTTCTCTACACTGGGAATTCGACTACCGAAGTGGCTCAAGCAGTCCTTGACCAGCCTCCAAATCATCCAATTTGGCTTCGGCGCTACATATGCCTTTTTGCATCTCTTTATTGCATATCAGATACCAGTCAGCGTTCCCTACATCTACCACCTGGGTAGCACGGCTTCGAAAGTGCTGTCGGATGTGCCATCTGAAGCTTCCAGTACCCTGTCCTCTGCAATAACCACGGCGTCTGCTAGTGTAGGAGCATGGCTTAAGAAGGCTGCTTTACGGGCCGCAGGCTACGAAGGTCTTGCGGAGAATGTCCTCAATGAACAAGGTCGTCCATTTGGAATTGATGCCGTGCACATTGCCGAAGAAGTTCTTGCCCGAGAAGAGACCAGATACCGGGATGAACTGCAGTGGGTCCACTGCTTGGACACAAGTGGTCAGGTCTTTGCCATCTTGCTCAATTGCCTGTACCTGGTGCCTTTGATCTGTCTCTTCGTGGAGTTCTTCGTCACTGCTTACTTGAAGCGCACAGAGAGAGGACAGCACAGTACAGCCAGCGAGAAGGCAAGCCTTGCCCGAAGAAGTCTTCAAGATGCATCCAAGGGAGTCTCCAGGAGATTAAGTGAGGCTATTGAAGAGATGCACCGCACATCTGAAGATATTGGAGATGACGCCGTGATCGTCGATGGCGATGAAGTGAAGCGAGAATTGGAAGAGGCTTTCGACCAAGCAAAGAGCGCAGTCCAGCAAGGATCAGAGAAGTTCAAGCAGTCTATACCGAGCGTTGACTCCGAGAAGCTGAAACAGCAAGTTCAGCAAGGATCAGAGAAGCTCAAGCAGTCCATACCAAGCGTTGACTCCGAGACGCTGAAACAGCAAGTTCAGCAAGATGTGGAGCAATTACGAAAGAATCTCCGGGACACCGTGGACAAGATCAAGGCTGCAGCGGCCAATAAGGTTGATGAAGAGCACAAGGAGTCAGTCATAGCCACAGCACGATCGGTCAAAAACACTACTACTGAAGTTGTCGAACAAGCGGTGGAAAACGTCAAGTCTGTGACGGAAACGGTCAAGAGAGGAGCTACAAATCTAACCAGCGAGGAAACGAAGCAAAACGTTAGATCAACTGCTGACAAGGCTGCGGTTAAGGCTGGTGACATCAAGAATGACGCTGTCGCAGCTACCAAGCGAACTACAGACCAAGTCTCGGAAACCGTCAAGGGAGCAACCGCAAATCTGACTAGCGAGGAAACGAAGCAACAGGTCAAGTCATCTACCAACAAGGTAGCCACAAAGGCTGCTGATGCGAAGGACGGCGCTGTCGCATCCGCCAAACGAGCGACAGACCAAGCTCCAGAATCAGCACCTGAAACAAGCAAGTCGGGAAAGGAGACTGCCGAGAAGCAAGTAGAGAAATCAAAACCAAAGGGGAAAAAGAGCGAAAAGACCCCAAACGGAAATGGCACCAGCGCCGCAGAGGCGTCTGGTCAACCGCAACCCAAGGGGAAGGCAGGGACTACCAAGGCGGAGAATGGCGAAGGAGTGAAGCAGGAGAAGAAGAAAGAAGACAGAATCATCGACGAGAGTCAGGCAGTCAGGGACCATGATCTCGATGCAAGTGGTGATGGCGGCGACAAAGCACACGAAGAAGCCAAATCGAGCGAAGTCAAACCAGGTACTTCTTTCGCCGATGCTGTCAAGGAAGATGAACCTCAGTCGAGCGAGGTCAAGCCGGGCGTTTCTTTCGCCGATGCCATAAAGGAGTGAGGGGCTTCTATCACAATGCCTGAACGCATAACGCAAACGACCTGCATAACCTGACTTTTCTGCACGAGAGCACTCTCAAACCCATGAGCTTGTCCGATCGACAGCCACCGTATGCCAAGGTGAATGGTCTCATCTCCCTCCGAAGGGGGCCCCGCCATTAGCGGCGATGGAGGATATTAGGTCAGTGGTCCGGATCCGTTAATTAGTTTGTTAACAAACTCGGTCAAAAGTCGTTTTACGACGGCTCAAAGATGCAGAAGATGCTGTGGAGGTGCGGAGGAAAGCAAGACGTGTCCTGAAGAGTCAGCGATTCTGTCATCCCTTGATAGGTAGTGCAAATACATAGATTATTCAGAATCTGCTACTGGTTCACTTTGCCAAAATCAGCCCAATCATAAGTGAGTGGGTGGTGGCCTTGATGGTCTCGACTACCTTGCACACGGCCGTGGTGACAGTGAAGTACTTGCTGGCCAGGAGAGAACGTGAGATCTGACGGCCCCCTCGCATAGGTAAATGTAAATCATCCCATTCAAACTGCCCCGTTCGATGCTCATGACCCATAGTCCAAGGCCGTGCCAGTGCCAGTGCCCAACCAGCAACGCCAGCAAGTCAGCTCTCATCGTATCGGAACTGAAGATTGGTGTATCAGTACAAAGAACCGGGTCTTGCGGAACCAAGACAACCTCGTAGCATGCCGCCACCTATTGACGACTTACCTGCTGCGGGACATATTTCAAGAGGTTCGGGGCGCCGGAATGGGCGGACCAGCCGCCATCGACGACGAGGGCTGTGCAGGTAGAACCATGAGGTTAGCTGAACGTGCAGCGTGGCCTGATTGTGGCGGGCTCAACACTCACCATGTCCTGTCATGTAGCTGGCGTCCTCGGAAGCCAGGAACAAGGCAGCACGGGCGACCTCCTTGGGGTCGCCGCCCCTTCCTTGCGGGATGCTTTCCTGGACGACATTGATCAGGTCGCCCAGGCCCTCGGTCATGGGCGTGGGCATGTATCCGGGACAGATGGCGTTGATGCGGACGTTGTCTCTGGCGTGGTCGATGGCCATGGTGCGCATGAGGTTGAGCAGGCCGGCCTTGGAGGCGGCGTAGCTGGCCATGCCGTACTCGCCGCCCAAGGCGGAGGTGCTGGCGGTGACGACGATGACGCCTTTGCCCTGCTTCTGCATCTGCGGGATCGCGATGCGCGCCAGGTAGAACAGCGAGCACAGGTTCGTGTTGATGATCTCCTGGAACTTGGCCAGGTCGTGGAACGGCACCGTGGTCATAGGCGTAGGCTGCGCGGCGTTGTGGAACAGGATGTCCAGTCGGCCGTACTTGTCGATGCATGTGCGGATCGCAGTCTCGCAGTCTTCGGGCTTGCCCACGTTTCCCTGAAAGAATGTCGCCTTCTCCTCGCCCAAGCGTCCCAGGATGCCCTTCTCGGCGAGGTCCATGACAAAGATCCGTGCTCCTTCGTCGATGAATTGTCGGCTGGCTTCGGCGCCCAGCCCTGATGAACCACCGGTCACGAGGACGATCTTGTCTTCGAAGCGTAGGCCTGACATACTGACGTGCGTCACCAGGTCGGCGAAAGTGTGACAGCGGTGTGGTCTCAGGGGAGGTGTATGGCCGTTATGGGCGGAGGATTGTTGGATGCCTTTGCTTGACTTGTCTCCCCCAGATGGCGATGGTCAGTCGGAACGGATACTCACGTACTCTTGGAGGAGCCGGGAATGGAAGAATGTATCAAGACGGTCGGTCAGTAAGTCAATCAGTCAGTGACAAGGTAGAAGTCACCCCTCAGACAGACTTGGCCGAGTAAAGGTGGAGGTGGAAGTGGAAGGGGAAGTGAATACGCAATGGACAACGTAGACCACGCCGGCCCAGGTCATGCATGCTGCGCTCCAGCGTCTCTGGCGCCGCATGCTATACACTGAAGACAAAGCGCAATTGGAGCCAGACCTATTGAAGGCCGGGTGGAATTCATATTTCGAGCAAACCGGACAGATACTGTGAGGGATGCTGTAGGAGGGTACAGGTGCCACGTATCACACAGACCCACAGAAGGACCGCCCACTGCCGAGATGGACAGCGTCGTAGATAGGGAATCATGAGACTAAGGTAGGCTAGAAGCCGATCTTGTATTCAGGGCAGGCGCAAGGCACTGGCCGGAGCAGGATGTTCAACAGGATGGTCGGTCAAGAGCAAGATGCGTGATGCACACGAGCCTGCAGGATCCAATGTCCAATCATCATTCCATTCAGCCTTGCTCCCAAGTCACGTGGCCCAGCTTCCGGCATTTCGGTTATTTCGGAGCACGAGGCTGACGGTCGCCGCACCTGCCTTGTTCGTTCGCGTCCCATTGACCGCCGAAAGCCGCAGGTTGACGAGATTCGAATAATGCGCACACGACTACAACTGTTCTGATCGACACACACAAACAGCTCCTCGGGCCTCCTCGTTCAGCGTACCCCGTGTGCGACCCCTCTCGACGCTCTCGGCCGCGTTGGCCTGCCATGTCCGCGTCACTGCCCGGCAGTCGCGACCTACCGGCCTCTCAGTATGACCTCTCGACCTACTGGGGTCGTGTCTTGCAAGCGGCACAGATAACAGATCCGAGGTGAGGAAGATTAAAGCAATGAATTGCATGAGCTTTTTGTTACCTGGATCACCCTGGACGGGCCACTACGACGCCAGTGGCCGCTGAAGGTACTGCACAATACCGCAGCGCAGGTTTACCAGCAAACGGACTTGAGACGCAGTCGACTGACTCATACTTGCTAGAACCTTGTTCGTCTCCAAGTCGGGCCTCGAACATGCCAAACAAGTCGTGACGGCGTACAAGACAGGGCAAACAAAGGAGGTGACACCGGAGTTATGGACGGCCAAAAAGATTGTGGATTCAACACTCCATCCAGGTACAACCACCAGCGGAGATGGCCACAGTCTAGGTTTGATGCTGACAGGCGCGCAGATACGGGAGAGCCAGTGTTTCTTCCCTTTCGCATGTCATGCTTCGTCATCTCCAACCTCGTGGTAACGGCAGGCATGCTGACTCCCAACCTCGGCGTACGAGACCCGTCCAAGAGCTTGTAGAACCCCAAACGCTAACGATACCATCCCAGACCCGAGGCACAGTCGCATGGCAGATAATTAACCAGTCGCTCAATGTGGCGATCAACAGTTCGAACGCCAACAAGTCGTCTCCGCTGTCCACAAAGATCATGATTGAAAGTTACCTCCTTGCAGTTTCCGCATCCTGCTCCGTCGCCGTGGGGCTCAATGCTATCGTTCCGCGGCTGAAGCGAGTGTCGCCCAACACGAAACTGATCCTAGGCCGGCTGGTGCCCTTTGCAGCTGTGGCGTCCGCCGGTGCGTTGAACGTTTTCCTCATGCGTGGCGAGGAGATTCGCCGCGGGATCGACATCTTCCCTGTGCAGTCCGAAGCAGAAAAGGCCGAGCGTGAGAAGACGGGTAAGGAGGTTGCCAGTCTGGGCAAGTCGCGGAAGGCAGCCATCCTGGCCGTGGGAGAGACAGCCATCTCGCGGGTCCTGAACGCGACCCCGATCATGGTCATTCCGCCGCTCGTCCTAGTTCGTCTGCAAAAGACAGAATGGTTGAAGCAGAGGCCAAGGATGGTGTTGCCGGTGAATCTGGGCCTCATTCTCACCACAAGTATCTTCGCGTTGCCCCTTGCATTGGCGGTGTTCCCACAGCGTCAGGCGGTTGGGGTGAGAAGCCTGGAAAAGGAGTTCTGGGGTCAAGGCGGAGAAGGCGACTTGGTGGAGTTTAATCGGGGAATATAACGAGGTCCGGCTCCATCTCCATCTCGTCCAACCCTCGTGAGTGAACGACGGCCAGAAGTGCCTACGTACTCATAGAAACACTGTTGTTAGACAAGGCTAGCTGCTATCTACTATTATCTGTCATCTGTACATTCGAATGCCCGGCCGAGCCTTGAGAAAGGAGTAGAACACAGCGGGGCGGCAAGCAGGAATGACAAGGCAGACCTAGCAAGGCAGAGTCAACGATTAACGTGGGCACCACAGGCAGTCCGAAAGGTGTACGGATACGTGTACGGAGTATCTGAACGGAGTAAGAATTAAGCCGGCCTGGGGCAAGTGAGTCAGAGTCAGCAATGGCCATGACATAGCAAGGGCGTGTTGAGCTCGGTTCTATGGCTTTGGCTTACAAAGGATGCGAAAAACAGCCAGTTTTAATACGTTAGAGGTAGTAAGGGAGCGATGTACTCCGTACCACCCGCTACGGACGTATCCGTACTTTGACGCCTCGGTGGAAATTGAGGCATGGACGATGATTAACTGATTACTATTCAAATTACTCTTCATCGTCTGTGCAGTGCGTCGCTACTAAGCCTAGTCCAGCTAGACTCGAGCACCATCTTGCTGTCGAGCCAGTCAGCCGTAGCTCCTTAAGTACTAATTACTACGAACTAGCCAGCAAGGACTAAGCAGGCATATTGGCATGACTCCTAAAAGACCTCTCTTGTTAACGGTCCCGGCGCCCAGTCGGCCTGCAAGGCTTTCCGACCAGGACCACGGGCACGAGGTTGCAGGCAGGACGAACTACTAAGAAGTACGGATAGTAGTACTAATACTACGTACGCACTTGCACTTACCTCCGAGGAAATCTTTGGCCCTCGCCGTTTTACACGCCCTTGCTATGACTAACTTTGCTAAAGCAGCCAGCGGTCTGCCAGTGGAGAGAGTATTACAGTCACAGGCACCCTCGTCTGGGGAGAGCCTCCTTCTTGAGAATTGAGACAAGCAGACAGCCACAGCTGTTGAGCGACGTCCACGTTGACCTCCTGGTTTGCTGTCGTTGGCTCACACTGATGACCTGACCTGACTTGGACTATACCCCATATCCAGGATCCTAGCATCCCTCGCAGCCCAGACTCCAGGCACACCTGATAGGTGATATCTCCACGGGGACGCCGTGTGAGCACCATCAGGCTTCCATCAGTGTCCTCGACCGCCGTTCCAGGACATCACCCATCCCAGGCTCGCTTACAGAGACCGGAGACCGTCTCCTGTCCTGGTGGCCACTGGCAGCTCCTTGTATTTATTAGCCACACCTCAACTTCCACTTTGCTCGCCAATTGAGCGTCAAGTTCAGTAATCAGCGCCCATCATGTCCCTCGCCATGTCACACTATGCAAAGCAGCAGTATGGCGACGGTACATACGCCTCCCTCCAGCCACTCTTGCAGGACCCCACCGGCCTCCTCGTGTCCTCGAGCGTCTCACTTCCGCCGGCTGTCGGTGGAGATCTGGACATACTCTCGGCCTCCCAATATCCACACGGCCTGACGCAGCCTTACGAGGAGGTCAACCGGATCCCTCGCAAGAGGAAGGCAACGTCTTCAGATGAGCTCTATGGTGGTCTTATGATCAGCGACGACTTCAGTGATGGTATCCGTCTGTCTACCGAAGAACAGGAGGTCCGTCCTACACCGCCGAGGAGGAGGAAACAGACCAAGCGAGCCTCGGTCAACGACACCGAGGACCCAATCGAGGCCGAGAGCAAGAAACACAGAGGACGGCCCAGGCTCGACACCCAAGATGAAACCGCTGCCGACCGTCGCCGGACTCAGATTCGCCTGGCACAGCGGGCGTACCGGCATCGAAAGGAAACCACCATTTCGGCATTAAAGCAGCAGGTGGCGGATCTTCAAAATACCATTGAAGAGATGAACAAGACATTCCTGACCCTACACGACAACCTGGTCAACGCCGGGGTCCTGGCATCCCACTACTCGATCGGCCGCCAACTCCAAGCCGCCACGGAACAGTTCGTCGCCCTGTCCAAGCTTGCCGCCCCGGAGTCGGACGACGAAGAGGAAAAGATTGCCAACCTTGACAAAGGCGAGTCCCAACAATCTTCCAGACCGGACAAGAATAACAGGCGGGCCAGCGTCCCACGCGCAAGGAAGTCGTCGTCTCAATCGCCAGCAAAGGCCGATGTAGCATCTGGTGATACCACCATTGACGCGCTCTCTAGTAGTGCCGGACCAGAACTGGAGGAGCTCCCTCTGGACGTCAGCAACAACATGAACAGCGACAAGTCCGACAACAAGACCGACAACAACGACAACAATAGCCTGGCGCTGCTTGATTTTTCGCAGCCGTGGTATACGGACAGCCTGGACAGTCTCAACCAGTCCGGCTTTGACAAATTAGATGGCCTCTTCGCCGTTCCCGAGCCCTTGTTGGTTGATGACGTGTTCGAACGATTCTCAGTCGGAAGACATTTGGCGTCGCCTGGCGTGTATACGTACAGCTTCCAAGAGACGACGTTTGCCCGCCGCCTGCATCGCATGTGCCTGGAGCGGGCGTTCCGAAACCTGACGAACCCCGACATCCAGCCGGATTGGTACAAGCACCGGTTCCGCTTCACCTTGTGCTTCACCAACCGCAAGCGCATCCTACAGCGGTTTCAGGAGATGCTGAAGCGCCGCGCCGGGGAGTCCCTGGAGAACTTTGACATACCTTTCTTCCACATCGGCGGCGCCGGCACGCACTACCCACGCCGCGACCACCACGGGAACCCCATCTACCCGCCAAACCTGCTGAGCCCAGCCGTGGTGTTCGGGCCGCAGCCGTATATCGAGGCCGAAACGCCGCGGGCGGAAAATTCTACACAGGACTTGCTTGAAAACATCGGGTACGGCGGCCAATGGTACGACTCGCACGATGTCGAGGAGTATCTCAAGACTATGGGTATCTACCTGGATGGCCACAGTTCCTTTGTCGAGGTTGACCCTTCCGTCCTCCGGCTTGTCAAGGCCGGCTCTATCAAGTCCACCACGGCGGCCACCGCCAGCGGCAGCTCGAGCCCGCTTGACGCCAGCATTCGCACCCCCTCGCCGCTCGTGGCCGGCATCGCAGACCCTTTCACGGACTCGGTTTCCACACACGAGTTCGACGACACGTACACTCGGCAAAGCACGCTGCTTTCCGACATGATGCCCCTGGTCGCCGACAGTGGTGCGCAATCTGGGGGTGTCATAAGTACTGGTGCTGGCGGTGCTGGCAGTGCTACAGTCAATCCACACAACCTCCCTAAACTGGCGTCCCAGTCATCCGATGCATGGGCACAATTCACCTCGCAGCCCGCGCCCACTTTATTCCAGGACATAGACCAGCACCAGCAGCAACCGAATTATCCGTCCCTCGTCACCTTCGACGTGGATCAGTTCCTCGAGAGGATGGTCGATGCAAGCGCGTGTCTCGGCCGCGCCCCGGGGTTCCGAAAGGAGACTATCGACAACTCCCTGATGCTGAGTCTGCAGGAGAGCTTTTGACTGTCGTCCTTCATTTCGTCTCATCGGATCGGTGGAACTGGTACGTCAACTCCACACGTCCTGGTGCTGTAGGCGTGCTAAGAGAGAGTGAGGGATTCAGGTCCAGTCGAGGAAAGCTGGACAGAATTTGGCTACATGAAATAAGGCGCCCGGCCGCTCCACCGTCATGCCTATCTTGTGTACTTATATATTGCCTACATACGTACATCCTTCCATCTTGAATATATCGAATCTCCATTCATGCGTTCGGTCGTGCAGTCGTGCGGTCGTGCGGTCGGTCGTTCGGTCGTTATGTATAGACAGGGAGATAGTGAGATTTGTACATATGATGTCTGCATATAATCAACAATTCGTATTCACACTACGCCTAATATCTCTTGGATGTATTACCTAATGTCTCTTAAATATTTTATGTTTCTATTTTAATCTTCAGTCCTCGCTAGTATATATAGAGTATTTTATTTATTTTATTTTCGGTTCCGGCTTTCCTTTCACCTCTTCGTTAGCTTCCGACCCTCTCTCTGTCAAAGGTTGAAATGTTCCCACGTTCGCTATCAAAGGGGTATAGGGGGAGCCCAGGCTATATAGTGTACTCCGTATAGTAGTATATAGTATATGGATACCTAAACCAGCCTTCTGGTCAAAAGAACAAGGCTTAGGGGCCGGGGATGCGCCTAAGTTTGACACTCTCTCCGTGTCCCCTAGCCTTATATAGCCTGAGCCTGTTTGTTGATCAATGTCCGTACGGGACTGGAACTCTAGTCGATGGAGATTAATATCCGTACGGGACTGGAATTCCAGTCGATAGAGATTACTACGGACTTAGAGTTTTTCTTATTAGTATTTTATTAGTCTTCACTTTCGTAGAATCTTGATAATTAATCGATCAGCGATTTCTATAATTCTTTTTAGTTCTCCGAGTTTTATGATCGATCGACTATATTTCTTGACCGTTTCTTGACCGTTTCTCGATTATTTCTCTACCGTTTCCTAATCGTTTCTTAACCGTTTCTTAACCCTTTCTTGCAAGTCCTACGGTTCTGATTGTCGACTAATCAGACCAGCTGGTGCCATCGCCAGCCATTATGGTACATGATCGTCCCACAAGGAGCAAGTATGGCATTTCGGTGTGGTGTTTCCCGTCCCGTGCGTGCAGAGGAGATACCTATTGATACTGGAATCTGGAATCTACCGTCGAGTTCGTGCCGAGTCGACGGCCAGGGCCAGGAGAGCTGACCTAGAGAGCTGAAGCCTGCGCTAAGGTACGTTCGTAACTCTCGAGATTGGTCATCCTCTATCAAACATCATGCCATAGGGCCATGCGAGCTCAAGTCGTTTCGAGCCAATGCGCCCCTAACGCAATACAATACAGACAGCTATGCGTGGTCCCAGATCCTGTTCCAGTTCCGTTCCAGCCGAGAGATCCCCTTTGGTTTTCCGTCTCGGCCTCGGTCTCGGCCAAAGACTAAATGAAGCCTGAACCGGTTCGCTCAATTCGCCCTAAACACCGACGCTCGCGCCCAAGTTCGCTCCAGCAGCAGCACCACCACCACCACCACCACCAGCAGTGGTAGAAGTAGTGGTAAAAGCAGTAGTACGTAGTAAAAAAACAAACACCAAGGCCGAGGTTCAACTCGCTCTTACACAGGCCAACATCCCTACCCTCGCGTCTGCGGTGGGCTTGTTGTTTCCTGTTCCCCGGTATTGCCAGCCAGTCCGGCCACACGTCGGCCCTGTACCTCAATCCGAAATGCGTCTCCTTCGTCGTCGTTCTTTGGCGCTCGACGGCCACAGATACTTGCGGCAGTTTTTCTCGCCGCAATAACACCGCACTAGTTCCTCGTCGCCTTCGCTGCCTCCTTGGGCTTCAGCTTCGGCCTCAGCGTCGCTGCCCTCACTACTGGCTGGTCTTGCCTGGTAATCGATGCGGATCTCCACGCCAGCTTTGATGTCCTTGATGGCGAAAATAGCCAGGTTATAGACCTTCTTATCGCCTTTATGTTGTTGGACGGCGATACATCGCACGTTAGGGTTGCAGCTGTGGTTGACAAAGCGCATGGCTGAGCCAAAGTATTTACCATCCACGTGGTACTGTTTGTCATTGATCGCCGCGAACCAGTCTAGTGAGTAGATGTAGCTCGAGTCGCCTTCGTCGGCCGTGTCCTCGCGGCGACGTAGTTCCGCCTCGGTGATGATTTCGCCCAGGTACCGCTGGATGAATTGACCCTTGTGAATATCCTGAGACGACCGAACGCCGAACCCACATTTGGCAGTCTGGAAGATCTCGAGTGGCACGGTGCGTCCCTTCGAGACTACCCGGTTCCAACAGTCGGCTCCGCAAGTACACAAATCGTTGCACTCGGCCACTGCAAACCGGTGTTTTCCCTCCGGGTTTAATTCCCGATCAATATATTCATTGGATAGAACAACAAGGCCGTCCGGTCGTCGGACGTAGGTGCGGACTTGCTCCTCATGTGTGCCCCTTCCCACCTCATCAGGGACAGTTTTGGTGAAGCACTCGCATGTCGATTGGTCACAGTCGGCACAGGAACAGCCGGTGTTCTTGCTTGGAGAGGCCATCTTAATGCCTTCTCGAATGATGTACTGATCAGTAAACTGGAATTTTCCATGCAGCCGTCTCTGATTGACGTCGTTGGCAAATGTCAGTGGAGGCGTAATGTTCTCCTCGAAGCGGCTTGTAAGGACTTGCCGGGCCGAGTCGGCAGGATGCACCATCTTGCCTAGATGCAGTCTCTGCAGGGAACTGATGAGAGGGTCTCCACAATTCAAATCAACTTCACTGCTCGGTGCTTTCTTCTTTTTCTTGGAAGCAACCTTCCGCATCCCCCGAACGTCTTCTTCAACACTGAACACAGGCGAAAAGCCCGTCTGTCCGCAAACACGATGAACCAGGTCTGGCTTCTCTATGGCAACACGAGCGCTCTGTTCAAGCTCTCGGAGCAAGTGTCGTCTTTCCACCTTGCGCTCCGATGGTGGGATTTGAACCTCGATGTTTGATCGAGGGCCTTGATGCCTGCTTGGAAACTGGCCGCCATGTTTCCCGGGAGACTCGGCAGCCCGAGAACCGAGTCGCAAAGGAACCTCCACAGAAACCACTTTCTGGGAGGAAGAAGATGGTCTGGTCAAGGACGGGGTCTCGGATCGGGCAGCCTCCCTAACTTTGGCGATCCTATCCGCCAATGGAGTTGCCGCCTTTGGTGACGGTCTATTTCGTGGGAGTGGAGATTGCTCATGTTTGAAGTCAAGAGCCGAGTCATCTCTGTGTGACACCAGTGACGCTGTATGGGGGTAGGAAATGCTCGACAGTCTCTTCCAAGGCGATGTTTTAACGCCATTCACGCCATCACGTGACGTTATGGAAGCCGCAGGCGGGCTTGATTGGACCGATGGCCGACCGGCAAAGGAGGGACCACGTGATCCGTTTGGGGCGGCCGCAGACCAGCCATTGCCGACCGGTGTGTCGGATTTTGGTCTTTTCGCAGGTGGGAGTGAATGAGAAGAGTCCTTTAGGTTAAGAGTCAGTTAGTTGTAAGACAAAGGGACAAAGGGACAACGAATACAGGTGTCGGTGTAGGTAAAATCCAAGTGAAAGGAAAACTCGTGTTGTAGGATATTCACCTCTTCGTCTGACGAGATTTCAATGATGGCTGGGCCAGGGGACGGCTAGAAGCAGGCTGCAGGTTAGCAGGCATCCTTCAATCCATAAGGTAATGTCTAGTGCAGCAGGAAGAAAGACGAAGCAAGACGAAGCATGGCCGAATACAACCGATTAGATCAGCCTTCGAGCAACGTCTGATGTGACAGGCTCGAGGCGCGACCCGCCACGTTTAAACGAAGCTGCTTTGACCCGTAAACAGGAATCATGTCTTTGCCCTCAAAATAAAGCGAGCAAAATTCCACTGATCTCAAGTAAAATGATTCTGTCAGATTGTCAACTTACAGTTTGTTTGCGTTTAAGCATTTAAATTAGAGGCTTAATCTGCTAATTTACGAACCATTCTATGGTGTGGTGGAAAGTTAAAGCGAGAAGGAGATCATTGTTGTGCTCAGCTGGAATTTAATCAATAAGGGAAAGGACGACTCGACTTGCGGAACGGAGAAGGTGCTTTCAACAATAAGAAAGTCCGAATTAGAACCAGCTGCCAAGCCGCTAGTTGTTTAAATATAGAGCCAGTACTATATATCCTTTACAATTTACAAGTATGTATATTTTATCTAGTAGTACCTATAAGGCTATAACCTGTTATTTAGTTTTATTCTTCTAGTTTTCTAGTAAAGTAAGTTATCTTTTATTCCTTACTACCAAAGTGGCCTAAAATTCAAGGTAAATGTTTACTAGAAAATTCTCTATAGATATGGTGAATTTTACTTGAAAAAGACGGCGCTCTTCATTATAGTCTTCAAGTTGTCAAAAACTTTACACATTTCTCGTCTTGCCATAGTTTATGCCATCTGCCAGAGGAGCAGAATTTCAATGGCTAGAGTGACCTGAAGAGTCAAGATGCTGGCCACATGAATTGGAGCTTGGGAACGGGCCATTGCGCGGTGGAGAACAGAATCCCCTTGTCCCGACTCACGAGCGGTGGCCACTACAGCACTGACTGGCCAGCGGTGCCTAGAGCCCACACACTACGGTATCAAAGTAGCGTTGGGGGCGCTTCCCGCGGGGTACTACAGGCAATCATCCGCCTATGGCCCTCGCCCCCTGAGCCTCTGTAACCACCGCGCAGCAGAAGCGCTAAGGCTTACGAGGCCCCTAAGCCACCAGGTATCTGCCCTATTATTAGGTACTTACAGTATTGCACTCCCTGAAAACAACAACACGTCCTCAGCGAACCCTGCCTAGTGCTGTGAAGGCGACTCTACTAGGTAGGTGCTAGGTATGCTTAGATCAGAGATCAAGAAGAACCTCCCCCCCTCCATCCTGGTATGTACATGTCACAAGTCGTGCATTCAACAGCCCCTTGGGCATTGTGGCCAGGCATCCAGGCCTTATCAAGAGTACATATCTTCGTCCTCATCATCATCATCAGGACTCGCCTTATCAAATCCCAAGCCTTCCTCGTCCTCCATTTCATCCTCTAACCCACCCACAAGATACTTTTCGCCCTTACCCTCCGTGGCATCTGCCACGACATTGCCGTCTTGCACCTCGCAGCCCACCAGCGAGCATTTGTTCCCGATCTTGGCCTTCTTGCCCACCACCGTGTTGGTCAAAACACATTTGTCACCGATCGTAACACCGTCCATGATCACGCACCCGGTGATCCTGGTGCCCGTCCCAATCGCCACCGACGCGCCGATCACACTGGACTTGATCACGCATTGAGTCGCAATTGTGCTGTTACTGTCAATAAGCGTGTCGGCACGGGAGATGGTGACGCGTGGCGCGATCGTCGTAGTTGCGTGGACCTTGGCGTGATGCGCGAACGGCGAAACCGGTGTTTTGGCGGCCAGCGATTCTTCTACCGAGGGCAGTTTCGCCAGGGATAGTGAAACAGAGAGGAGAAGCGGTGTCGTGTCGACTCGCCGCACGAGAGGCGCGGTCGGGGTCGAGGGAAGTATGTAAGACAGGATGGGAGGAACAAGAGGTACCGGCCCTGCTTCCTCCGCGGCTTCAGATCCTTCAGTTGGCGACAGGATGCTATCTTCTGCGTCGGCGTGGACTCTCGATGCAAGTCGGGTGATACGTGGCGTAGGCGACGACTCTGCCTGTGGCTGCGCGGTAATCTGTGTGCTGCTCAGCGAAAGCAAGTCGATTTCTTCCTCGATCGGCCGTTCATGGGAAGGAACAACACTCCGTTCTGCTGGAATCTTCTGTGAGAAAATCTTTCCGGCACCAAACCGGGCCCGGTAGCTAGGCTTGCGCCATTCAGCCTTCGCCCAGGTGCCCACAAGATCTTCGCTGACGGACTCAAAGTCCTCGTTCAGCTTTGCGAAATCCTTTACCCAGTAAGGCAGGAGGTAGATATGAGAATCCCGATATTTGGTCATGCACTTGATCGCACCGTGTTTCCGGAGAAGGGATTGTCGAATCTTCCATGATTTGTCCTCCTCACATTGATCCCAAAGCTCAGACATGGGCATCGTCCAGACCAGTTTCCGAAGAATTCCCTGAGATTGTGCAAACGCGGTCTTCGACAGTGGGATTTCATGTTCGGGGTCGAGTTTGGTAGTACACATAAAGTCGCATTCCTCGCCTTTGATGCTCTCTTCTCGGTCAAGAGTGTTGTACCAAATTGACAAGCCACCTCGTCGGCCTCGCCGCTCGCCTCCAAGGGCTAGAAGCTCGTTTCTCGATGTGTCATGATCTAAGACTGTGCTAACCCCAATACCCCCTGGTCCGCCTAACCTGGTAAGATACGTCTCGATGAAGGTCTCTCCAGAGACTGCACAGATGAGATCGCAGGGCAGTAGAAGAAAGTCGGACTTGATGGCTGCTTGCACCTCTGGTAATCTCAGTAGCTCTGCGGTCGGTGTCGTGAATTCCAGTTCTTCAGGAGCTAGTAGGTCGGGGGTTGGTGACGGCAGAGAAGTCAAGTACGGATTCTGTGCGAGGGCGGCAGCTATTGGGTCTTTCGACGTTGGGGGCGTGATGAGTGTGATATCTGTCACGCCCATTCGATAGCACCAATCAAGGACATACCAGACCATGGGCCGGTTAGCAACTTCCACCAAGGCCTTAGGAAACTCTGCTGGGACACTGGTGAAGGTGCTGAGTCCGATCCCGGGACCACATAGGATCAACGCCTGAAATCCTGACTGAGGCATCTTGGTCGTCCTTGAGCGAGGGATTCTTCGAAGGTCGAGAAAGGTGGCTCGGTCAGTTATAAAGCGGTGTCGTTGTGACTCATGCACCAGGGGAAAGTGGGCGAAAGCGAGATTACGCAAAGGCGAGGACGCCTGCTGCTCGGATCGCGTATCTGGGTCCTGTTCCCGATCGAAAGCGAGAGGACGGTACAAAGACGGCGGCACGGGCTGATATGGCGGTGTTGCTCCTAAGATCCCGACTCGTCCTCGAACTGTGGCGGAGAGGCGTAAAAACTGGATGCGCGGGTTGAGTGACTGCCGGCTGCGGGTCTCAGCAGCGCTACTGGTCTTCCGCTCCTGTTGAAGGTCGTTCGCGAGGGAATCAATGCCGTCAACGTCCTTTAGAAGACTAATAGGGTTTTCTGCCTCGGTCGGGGAGCGTGTCTGCATGTAGGTGAAGGATTGTGCTTCCATCCTGGCGAGAATTGCGGGTCTGACGAGGTTGATGTCAGGCTTGGCACCGGTTGGTAGAGGCGCAGGCGCAGGCGCAGGCGGCGGCGACGCAGTAAACGGCGGGAGAGCAACAACATCATGGTGCTCACTACTTCTTCTCTTTACCATTATTTGCAATAGTGTAGTAAAAAGGCATGATTCAGTTCCGTGTGTATTTGAGTCTTGTGCTCGTTCTGCCGTCTCATAATTTCGTGGCTTTTGCGCATTCCATTTGTTGCTAGCTCACGTAAAGCTAAGGTATTTAATTACCATATCAAGGGATCGGTACTGTGCAACTGTGCATGCGCCATTCCCCCCAGTGACCGACCAGTGACAGTACCCAATTCATCCCCCAGACAGCAAACAGGAGATGTCTCAACTCGGTTTGCCGTCGCCTTCAGCCCTCACCCCTCCAACTGTCCCTCGGCTTGAGCTTGTGCTGGTGTCTTGTCCGGCTGCTGTTCTTCTTGTTCGCCATTCTCGTTCGGCTTATCCTTCTCCCAGGCTCGTGCAAACACTGCATTCAACGCATCTTGGAAGATGTGACAGTTGTAATCAATCAGTCCCTTTTTGTCTTTGGCCTCGTCGTTTTTGATGACCGTGACAAGGCACAGGTACCTAAGATGCGTCAGGACTAGAACCAGAATGACAATGCCAATGCTTACTGATTCATCTCCTTCAAATAGATCATGGTGCCATCATGGATGGTCACAGACGACTCGGCTTCCTGCATCTGCTCTCCTAGAACCTTTTCGTGGTTGCGGTTGTACCCGTAAATATCGGTGATATCGACGATCACATCGATGTAGTCCGAGCACATCTCATACACTTCCATGTCAATGGGTCTAGTGTCACTGGCGACGTATATCTTGCTCCAGATGTCGAAAAGGTATGCCTTCGCCATCCCACAGCTGTTGACCAGAATGTTCAACAGGTTCTCCAGAGTGTCGAGCTGGGGAATTAGCTTCTGGATCACTTTACTGAAAGCCTCAAAGATCGAATAGTCATAGATCGACGTCAAGTGGTAGCTGACGTTGGGATTTATGTAGCCCGCATCACTCAATTCGTCGCCCACTCTCTGCACAATGTCTTGGTAGATGTCGGATCGGAATTCTTCATTGAGACTATCAATTTTGTGGATGAACACCTCGACATTGATGTGGGGAAAAGTGGTCTGAAGATTGAGAATGGTGGTTGTCAGGCGATTCAGTGAGTCGGTGTAGTCATCTTGAGCGTCGATTACCCAGACCAATGCGCCGATTTCAGAGAAGATTTCGGTGGTGTCGAAGGTGGGATCGAAGTAGTCAAGTTGCCCAGGAAAGTCCCAGACCTGGAAATCCATGAATGAGCGCATCGAGTCTTTCTGGATCTGAGTGGTGGATTCGAGGAAGAGGGTCTCTTGAGGAGGCATTTTGTGGAAGACGACGCTGGTAATGGATGACTTGCCACTCCTGAGACTGGTTAGAGATCCGATCTTGATGGCAGAACACGCTCTCTATCTCACCTCCGCTGGCCCATTAGGAGCAGGCGAGGCTTGTTCTGGCGCAGTTTGCGATCCATTTCGGCATCCGAGGAGGAGTGCTCAAAGAAACCTGAAGTGGAGGGAACTTGTGAAGACGACGGTTTCGAAAGAGGTGGGGTGGTTGAGGAGTGGGAGGTCAGGGCCCGATCCTCATCTTCTGCGGTTTTGAGATACGGTCTGATATCAGTGGCATTAGTCTTTGGTGGTTCCATGTATTCAAACGCAGCAGGAAACTGGATGTCGCTGTTGTGGACTGCATTAAGACTAGCCACCCTCAGCCGCTCTTCGAGGCTGTCCGTGGTGCCACTGTTTCCAGCCGCACTAGCCGCATCTGCATCTCCGTCTCCGTGTTCCATGTTTTGAGGCTGTGGGCGCTGAGATGGTTGTCATGCAGTGTGGGAAAGAGAAGGGGGTCGCGCGCTACATCTCAATCTGCACATGGCAAGAACAACAGACATCGCGCCTCATCTCAGTTGAGACAGGAGGGCATCCCAGACCTAAGTTCAGTCCTGCTTATATCGACTGCATGATGACAGTGTCGCCTTCCTCCTGCCTATGACCGAACAAAGACAAGCAATGAGATGGTACCACTCACAATAAATTGTCCGTCCATCAAGTGGATTGCTTGCTATTATTCAATCCTCTCGCAGATGGCCCCAAAGATAGAATATACCCTCTCCAGCCTGCTGCTTATTGCCTAGGAGGTGATAACGACGGGTTGATGTTGTTAGAGACCAGAAACTGGAAAGTGCCCCTACCCTAGAAAGCTCTGATATGATACCGCGCTGCAACAGCCACGACAGTTATGAGTCAGTATACAAATACCTGTCAAGTTCAATAGATCCCCCAAATGGCCAGAAAAGAATGACCTCGTGCTGTTCCTTTGTACCAACTTGTCCTCTGAGAGTTAGCTCCGTGACGTTGGAGTTCAGGTCGCATCTGCTAGTGAACATGACGGAGTCCAACTTCGGCACTGGAATTATATTTCTCCGCACCCCAAAGCTTGTGTACCTGCCTATAATAATAATACGGGAGCGCAAACAGACTACGGACGATGAGCACCCGCCACCACTCCAGTTAGGCCTTGAGATAGGTTGGGTTTATTTGAGATTTAGGCCAAGTTGGAGTCACTAAGGCTATAAAACCTTATATATTCTGTTTATTAAAATCTAGTTAGTTTCTCTACTTAATATTCTTTTTTTTTATAGAAGTATATCACTACTAGTATATATTACCTTAATCACAGCTATCATAGATAAGCTATCTACTACTTTACCCACCAGGTAGGTAGGTAGGTAGTGAACCTAGATATCTAGCTAGTACCACTAGGGAAGGCAAGCCGAAGTAGAGCTAGGGCATATATAGCCTCTGATTAAAGCGACAAGGGCACCCACCCCAACAGGTCCCAAAGGCCGTCGGCTCTGAATAAAATCCCGCTTTACGGGGTCATCATTACTATTCAACATCACATCCCGTGCGTCGGATTCCTCATCACCACGGCGAAAATTCTACAGTCAGCACCATTTCGGCCCATTTCCTATTGCGGAACTTTGTGCTGCGTCCCAGATGGCCTCTCCTAAGCCTTGGGCCGGCGCACCGACGCCTCGTCACGGTAACATCCTGTCCGCAGTTGTGGCAGCGCATTGATCCCACTTATCGCCCCTTCCGTCACTGACCGACCCCTTACCGCGTTGGATTCGTGCCTCCTGGTCAAGAGATTGGAATTCTGATTGAGAGATTTTGTCTGACATAATGATGCACCTATGTGGTGTTGACCATCCTCGCCTCCCCCGGTCGTTTTGTGTCAAAGTTGTGGGTTTGCGCTCCACATCATGTCGCTTGCCATAACATATAAGACCCCGAGTGCAAGGAGAATCAGGTCGCCTGCTGACTGGCTGGGCTCATGTCCAACATTGTCTCACAACGATATCGCAGGTGTAGTAGTGATTGACGGCCGTCTGCGGGTCTCCATTGTTCTGCGCTATGGAGTCGTCCGTTGCGCAGCCTCGTTGGCTGCTGAAGTTACCAAATGAACTGAAACTTCATATAGTCGATTACGTGGGTGGCCCAACAAATTCTGTTACTTGTGTGACTAATGGCGGCATTCTAGATTGACGAGCGGAGAGACCTCTACAACCTTTCCAGAACATGTCGTGTGCTTGAGGACAAGGTTGCGACTCGACTCTATCGTAGCATAGACTGCGACTTCCCTCGACCTGGCGGCTATGGGAAGCCTGAATCAGTCCCGTTCCGCGACTTGGTCACTGAATCCGTTCAGCAGCTCACGATCAGGAATGGCCCGGTGGACATTAGACACTCAGTGTCCCGCCACCGGCTGGGTTCGTCCGATCCAGCTTCGGTAGATGGCTTTGTGAATGAAGTACTGAAAAAGGTCCCTGCAGGCCGACTGACGAGCTTCGCGTAAGTCCCGCTGTTGGCTTCCACATCGGGCCTCCTCTGACCTGTCACAGATTTCTGCATCAAACGCCTCTGAGTCCACAAGCACTCGACTTAGTCTTTCGACGGCACGAGACTGCTCTTCAGCATTTATCCTTCTACGAGCTACGCACCTCTCAGGGAAATACCCATATACCAAAAAACCTCATCAGTCTCGAATGCCGGACGGTCGACGAAGGTGAGGGGATCGAGAAGATCATTACCGAGAACAAAAAGACCCTACAGAGGCTGCAATTAGGTCAAGAGAGGCACTTGATGGAACAGTACCAACGAACAAGAGCTGATGGTCTTGAACAACCCTCTCAACCAAGGGACACGTTCTTTACTACCGCTCTTCGACTAGAGGACTTGACCAACTTACGCGAGTTGTCTCTCTTTGGCCTGGACGTTTCGAGGCTTCGACCGGCATCTATACCCGATGCTCTGTTCTTTTGCCGGCTTAACCGTTTGACCCTCGAATCCTGTCCTGGAAGCGCTGAATTTTTAGATTCCATTACGAGCACTTTTCAATGGACGTTGCGGTCGCCCGACGCGCCCCAAACCCCGCGCGTTGCACCGTCCCTTGAGCACTTTCTGTTTCGTCATGAAAACCCTGTAAATGCTGTCAAGGAGTCTGTCATCCGCTTTCTCACTTCCTTCACTGGCCTGCGCACTTTGTCCCTCCTGTTTGAGAATGGCGCGATTCTCGAACGATCTTCGACTTTCATCGCCGGACATGGCCCAACGCTGCACACCCTCGTCCTCGAATCCAGAATTCAACCCCGCGAGCACCTTGGCCTGGACACGTCACGCCCCTTTGGTGCCTTCGGGTACAGCCAGGAGCTGTGGGAAGGATCAATCAACGATATTGCGCGATTGTGCCCCAATTTGGTCGAACTGGGAATGGGCTTTCCCTGGAATGACGAACTTGTGCGGCTGCGCAGGACCGCCCTACCCACATTGCAGCACCTCAAAACCATACACATCCGCAACTTTCCCGAAAACCATGTCTTAAGCCAACTCGGTGACTACAGCATCAAGGAGTACGCCACCAAGTTCGTTGAATGGGGGTTTCCAGCTCTGATGGGCGGCAGCCAGCCTGCTCTGGAACAGCTTGCCATCGGTCCGACACTGTACGAGAGCCGGTGGAAGATGAGCCCGCCCTCTATCACGACTGCGGTTAAACGGCAGCCGCCCCAGTTTCTGCGCTCACACTATTTCTGCCTCGATTGGGCGAAGACACGGTTCGGGCGTTGGAGTCCGCTCGTCACTCCCGTTTCGGAAAAATTTGTAGAGGAATTGGCTGGAACAAGACCTCTAGGAGGAGTTTTTGAACAGGTTTGGCTGAGATGAAAGACCTTTCATTTTCCATGGGTTTCATATTTGGATACAGAATAGACGCATCCCTATAGAGGCTTCGGAAGTTTGGTGCTGGATGGAGTTATAGAGGATACCCCATGATGAGCGCTCGAGTCAAGCGGGTCTTTGGCCGAAGCCGGAGCTGGGGGTTTGATTACTGGATGATTAGAGCTCTGGGGCGAATTACTTTATCTCAGTCCGAACTTCAAATCAGAATCATTTGTTCTCTGCAACTTGACTGGAATAACATGCATAGGCGGGCCGAAAATTCTGCCTCTTTCCACTTTCCAATATCCCAGTAACACATCAAACAGAGAGCCAGTAGCTCCATATCCCAAGACATGCGGTAATGTCTGATATACAGATATACAGCTCAAGTATCAGCCTTGTCAGCCTCGGCTGGGCTCTTTCCAACCACTGGCGTAGGGTTCTCCATCCGCTGGGAGCGCCTGGCCGCCATACTGCGTGCGAAGCGTGCCCTCCTGGCAGCCCCAAAGTCGTCGGCGGAGACCCGACCCGGTGTAACGCTGGCGACAGTATTGACATACCTAGGTACGACAGCTGTAGCCGCAGCCGTTGAGGATGAGGTTGGGGTCGGGGCCGGGGGGACCTGGACACTGTCATCGGCAGCGGCCCGCTGAGTCGTCAGCCTTTCTCGAATTTCCTTATCCTTGAGAACCTGAGCTAGCCTCTCAAGGTCCTTCTCTTTCTCCTTCTCTTTGTCCACTTCGTCCACCTTCACGATCTTGTTAGACTGGTGATTCCACGTCCAATCCCCCGATTTGCCGCCGCTTTTGGCAATGACACGAGTCTCCGTTAAAACCATTGACTTGTCCACGGCCTTGAGCATGTCATACATCGTCAGACCTGCAATAGAGGCGGCGGTGATGGCTTCCATTTCCACTCCAGTCTTTCCTTCGCAACTCACCGTCGCCGTGATCAAGACTCCGCCGCTCAAACGCCTCTCATTTTCGTCCAAGCCCAACGCTTTCCTCGTGAGAGGATATGGCAGCATGTTCCCAACAAACGGCTCTAGCCGTACAGAGGCACCGGTCATATCGAGCCCCGGGTGCGCAAGCGGGATAAGATCAGAGGTCTTTTTAGCAGCCTGGATCCCTGCAATCCTGGCCACAGAAAACGCATCGCCCTTCCGAAGCCGCGCCGCAAGCAAAATGCTGTAGGTCTCTGGATGTGAGAAGAGAAGCAAGGAGGTAGCCGTTGCAGAACGTGCAGTGGGGATCTTGCCCGCGATAGAAACCATGTGGGCCTCTCCGGTAGAGGTGAGGTGGGTGAGTCTAGGAGTCTGTTTGTCGGTTGGAGACTGAGTGGATGGCGACGAGGAAAGGAGACTATCTCCTTTCGATCCATGGGACTTGGTCAACCGCTTCCTCTTCACTGGCCGGCTTAATGGTATAGATCGACTGGGAGCGAAACTATCTACCCCCGGTGAGTGAGACTCGGTGAACTGCTTCCCCTTTCCTGGCTGGTTTATGGGTACAGATTGACTGGGAGTGAGACTGTCCCCTTCCGGTGAGTGGGACTTGGTCACCTGCTCCCTCTTTCCTGGCCGGAATAGCGGTATAGATCGACTGGAAGCGGAGGAAGCCCTGCGAGGTCGAGACTTTCTCCTAGTCACGATATCTCGTGTCAGATAGCGGGCGTAATTGGCACGACTAGAGGCTGTGCCTGGTCTGTTTTGCTGCCGCCTTTGATGCCATGAGTGGGCTGAGGTTGCGGGAATGTTGTTTGGGTCCTTCGACGGCACCCTTCGAAACAGAGACTGTCCAACTTGGAAGCGAAAAGAGCTGTGGCGAAGGCCGGCTGGACTGGAGGTTGATTGATCGTGCACGCTTCGCGAGACCGATTCAGGAGAGGACAAATTCGAAATACTGCGTGCTTGTGACCGCGGGGAGTTTGCCTGCGAGCACTGCAATAAGTGCAGGGGTAACCTAGAGGGAAGAAACACGCCGGCATGCATGGATGAGGCAGAGGATGAAGATCTGCAAGAAAAAGCCGGCACATGTGGTTTAGGCACGGCGTCATCTTCCCAGAGTACGAATGTCAGCATGGCCACTGACCAAGGAGTTGTGCACAAGGGGGTTGATGCTTGCATGAACATGGTATATATTCATTACATTCGTGAGATCTGACTTTCCTCATTTCGGCTGGTTCATATAGCATAGATGGGCGAAAAAGGGATGAATATCATGGCTTACCCACCGATAAGAATCATAGGTCTGTTCTTCGTGTTTTCAAGCTCGCCAATACCAGCATGCTTTTCTTTCTTCCGCTTCACAGCCATACCGATGACATCAAGCAGTTTAGCTTCAGTCTCAGAGACAAACACATCGTCGGCGCTACCAGCGATGGTTCCGGGTCGACCCATTGCCATCTGCCTGATTTGTTCCATGGCGTCAACATCAATGGGATTGCCATTGTTTGACTCGCGAAGGATATCGCGGAGAGATACCTCGGCGTTGCCAAACAGACAGACCTTGAGATTGCCGTCTCCGGTGATCCTGAGTCGATTGCAAGTACCGCAGAAGTTATCCGTCATACTGGTGATGAATCCAATTCGTCCAACAAAACCAGGAACTGCGTAAGTTTTGCTGGTGTCATTTTTGTGACCTTGGACTTTCTGCACGTCAGGATACTTCTCCCGGATGAGAGCGAGCATCTCCCTAAAACCGATCATCTTTTTCTCTGACCATTTGTTTCCGTCAAATGGCATATATTCAATGAAACGAACTTCGATGTCCTGCTCCCTCCCGAGGTCAACAAACGGCAGTATTTCGCCCTCATTTAACCCACGCATGACCACACAATTGATCTTCAGTCTGATTCCAGCTCCCACCTTGTTCATTTCCAGAATGCGGTTGATGGATTTCATGACCGCCTCGTGGCCGTTCCTGCGAGTCATGATCGTGAACTGATAAGGATCGAGTGTATCCAAACTTAGATTAACGCCAGTCAACCCCGAATCCACCATAGAGTCCAGTTTTCGATGAAGTGATATGCCATTTGTCGTGATGCATAACTCTTTGAGACCACTGCTTCTCAACTTTCCGATTTGATGCATTAAATCAACAATATCTTTTCGTACTGTCGGTTCACCACCGGTCAAACGAATCTTGTCAACGCCCTGGCTCACAAACAGCTCCGCCAGATAGACAATCTCCGGTGTCGTCAACAACCGACTAGGAGGGGATAACTGTACACCTTCCTCCGGCATGCAATAGAGGCATCGCAGGTTACACCGTTCAGTGACAGATATGCGCAAGTAGTTGTGCTGTCTCGAGAAATTGTCGGTTAGGAAAGAGGAGAACGGGCGTGGTTCGGTCTCGTTTCGTAGTTTGTCTACTCGAGATCGCTCAGCGCGAGGCTGCGATGGTGGTTGCACAGTATGAGCCTGCCATTGGGGACCGTTGGTCTCGGCTGGCTGTGGCGAAGGAGTCGCGACCGAAGAGATTTGACGCTGAGGATAGCGACTTGGCTTGGTGTGGCGAAATGATTGCGGTCTCGTCTGGCGCAAGACAGAAGCAATCATCTGCCGGAAGGCTGCCTCACACATGGTAGCAGAGGAGAACAGTTACCGAGAGACTGTAACATTGGGATTGGAGGAAGGGATTCATATGCTGCATAGCATGTAGAAACATCGCTATGGGGTAGTTAGGAGATTAGGCAGTGTGAGGAGAGGCCGCCTGCATTTGCGTGCAAGATCATCATTACCGAAGTAGTTGATGAAAATACCAGGTGCTTGCCTGCGCCTGCGCGGAGATGTACGAGGCGCACCGCCACATGCAGAGGTGCGGACAGCTGTGGCTGGAAGCAGGTCACGTGCTCGTCGAGTCAAGTCTCGCTGGGCTGACGACTCCAATGCAGTTTCTATCCACAGTGAAAAGATAAACGCTCGTGCACGTTCTTTCTGATGGGTCTTTTCACAGTTCTTCAGGGGAAGCAACAAGGGAAAACAGAAAAATTTGCCGGTATATACAATAATGTGCCGACTGAGCCCTGGAAAAATCAATTGAGTACTCCAGACAGACGCCTGTAAGTGCTGATCTGGCAGGCTCTCGACCACTACTAGCTTATCCTGAGCGGTGCCATTAATATTGACGGCGCCTCACGGCAGAGGTTCTAATAGATGCTGCTGCCCACCTATGTGTATCCGTACACGATGCAAGCAGTACATAGGTAATGATGGCAATACGACGATCGGAGCAATAGGCCCGAGAGTTCAACACAAAACCTGCTCAGGCACAAAGCAGGAGCCGATTAGGGCCGATACTAATACATAAATGGTTGGGAAAGTTTCATAATGTGTACAGTTGTTTCGGAGCACGGGCGTTTTTATGGCTGAAGGAACTGCCGGTGGATGACAGATCGATCCTGCGTCTCACGTGATAGAACGAGCGTGACTGGCGTCTGGCGTGCGGAGAATTCCATACTGTTGTTCCTGATGGTGCCTTCTGGCATATGCGCAGCGCAATGGCCAGTCACTCCAACGAAGGGGGTGGTCGGGGTGTCGCATCATAATCACCGAATTAATCTATTGAGATGTGTATAAAATGTACTCCGTACTAGGTACAGTATGAGTACTACGTAGCAGCCTGTAAGTCAAGCCCTTGGCCCGCATACTGGAGTCGCAGCCTGCGCCTTGGGCCAGACACTGATTGGGTTGGAGACGAGCTGACCACGGTACGATGGAACTGCCGACGTTCCGCCCTCTTCATCCTCTGGCGACCAGTCACTGGATGGCGAGTGGCCCCAGCTGTCGGGCTTCGTTGCAAGCCTGAGAGCCACTGCGGCACAGCCTCAACCCTACCGCCCATTTGCCCCCCAACTACTGCCTCCGAGCCATCAGCCAGTATTACCGACTACTCTGTTACGTCCGAGCGGACAGGCGCTGGCACCTCTGTCTGCCAACTTTCTCATCCCTTTTGTCTCTCTCTCCTTTCCTAATCCCTTTCGCCCTTCCCTTCACCATCACACCTCAATCGCCTTTCTCACGTCTCAACCGCCCTCCAGGACTATTGAGGTCGACTTCCGAACATATCAAGCAGCTCGCAAGTCGCCTGCAAAATCTCGCGCCAGACCTGTGTCTATTTTAGGCAACATCCAGACTACGCAGGCTGCCAGGCCGCGCATCACCACCACAAACCCTTCGGTATGAGTTATTCTGCCATGCAGGCCAACATAACCCATCTCAACACCAGCTTGGACCCTGATTACGATTCTTTCCTCAATCTCGAGAATAATGACTACACACCTGCCTCGACTTCTCCAGGCTTGACGTCCGTGCCGATGCTGACGCCGCAGTCTTCGATTCCCAATTCCACCACCTTCGGTTCAAGCTCGAATCCTCAGACCTTTCCCGGACCCAGTTTCCAGTACGACGCGTACCATCAACAAACTGGTATTCCAATTGGAGCATTGGCCAATACTTTCAATATCAACAAGGCAAGCGGTCTATATTACCACGAGGGAAATGGAGGGTTTATCATGCCCACTGAGACATTGAACATGCCATTGAGCAACCTCGACGAGTTCGACTTTTCTCGCAATCCATCCGATATGGACTTCGAGGCGGACTCTCCGAACGACCTTCCAACCATGTTTTCTTCCGACCATCCATCTGGCCAGGCTCAATTCGTCAGTCCCAACACATTACTGAGCCAAAACAACACTTCCTCTACCTCGGTCCAACGCATCTACCCCGGCATGCATAGCCAGCAGGCTGCCCTGGAAAAAGCTCAGCAGGCACAGAAGCAGGAACAGATGGCTCGTGAGCAGCAGCAACACCCCCGTGGACAGAAGCCTCTTCCTGCCCCACTGTCGACCAAACCGCAACAGGTTAAGGATCCTTTGGTGGAAGAGAGCATCTCTAAAGTCCTGCATCGCATGAGACATGCCAGTGTTGCTTCCACCGTCGACGACGAAAAGACTTCAGTCACCGGCATGTCCAATACCCCTCGAATCAAGAGGGATGAGGACGAGATGGATGAAGACGAACGACTCTTGGCCAGCGAAGAGGGGAAGAAACTTTCGAGCAAAGAACGCCGTCAACTCAGAAACAAGGTGTCTGCTCGAGCATTCCGTTCTCGGAGAAAAGGTAGATCCACCACTCCCTCAAGTCATCTATGCAACGTGCTAACTTACTTGATAGAATATATCAGTCAACTCGAAGGTGAAGTTGCTGTCAAAGTACAGGAGGCGAACGACCTCCGTGCCCAAAACCAACAACTTCGGGAAGAGAACAACCGCCTCACTGACCTTACCCGCATGCTCCTCTCCTCCCAAGCTTTTGCAGGTTTTCTGCAAGAGCTTAGTCAATCTGGCTTGCCACCGCCAACCGTTCAAGGCAACAGTCAGCAGCAAAAGTCTGCTCAGTCCCAGCCTCAACCTCAGCCCACAAAGAAAGATTTTGGTGCTCATGAGGCAAATCATCAGATGCAAAACCAGCGACCCCAAGTGGGCATGGCTTTAATTCCGGACACTCCGATGGACTTGTCCTCTCTGCAGCCCTCAAACTCATGGATGACTACTCTTCCGACCAATGATTTCCAAGTTTATGCTGTTGCGGAATTGCCCGAGCCACCAGTACTTGACCTGTGCAATCTCTCTGGGAAAGGAAGCTCCGACACCAGTACCCCCAAACCTTCCAAAGAGGTTCCACGTCTTGCTGAAAATGCTCCCCTTGTTACGAGCGCCGAGTCAGAATCTGAAGCAATTCAAGTCGACGATTCAGTTGTCTTAGACCAAGAGTCTTTTGCACTGTACTTCGACTCGCCCGCTACTATTTCTGGCGAGCCTTCTGTGCTTGATGGCTCGTCAAATGAGCAGGTTTCGGACGAGGCATCATTGGCGAGACGACTGAACAAATTGTGCTCTGATCTGGACGATGTCTGTGAGAGGCTTGCACACTTCACCTGGCACATGGACTACGATGTTATGGGATTGCGGGAATCAAACAAGTGATTTGATAGCATGGTCGGATTATTGAACGTATAGTACTTATGGAATCTATTCTGTGTCAGCAGGGTTGCGCCTGTAAGGCCGGTACATAGTTATAAGACTCACCCATCTTTCGAGAACACTGGGTCTATTTTACCGCCTCAACTCAATGAATCACCTAGAAATCTGCCGAACGATAGATAGAATTGGAGTAGACAGATACATTTGTGCAATCGGCCTTGCATCAAGTTTGCGCCTTGCTGAATCAGTAGCTCGAAAGGTGCGTGACGCATAGTCGTGACCGCGGGTGACTTGTTTTTTGGAGGAAATATAGATCCACAACCTAGACCAACGCAAACACTCCCAAGCATTCAGTTCCTGGCTCTCTTTCTTCCTGTCCTTGATGCATCTTAGGATTTTGACCCGTTCATTCAGTGAAGAGGAAAACCATTAAACCATGCCACTGGCACTCAGTCGCTCCTTGTAATCCGCTCGCCGTGGCGCCTTCCTCTACTTCCGCCGTTGTCTTACGACAGACATTACTGCCGTTCCTGGGCCAGTATTCAGCTGTCGCAGGCTCCTGGCGCTTTCCTCCATACGAATATTCCCGTCGGCATGTCCTCCTTCTGAACCCCTGGCACCGAAGATTGAACACAGGCAGCTCTCACATCAAAAGAGTCGATCGGCACTTTGCGCATTGGGAACGAGGAGCATTGCGTGGGAATGCAGAACTTGATGAACGCTACATCACACAAACTACCCATTCTGATACCGCCAGCACCTGGTTGAACTCGCGAACTCGTGGCCTGCAAGAACCCCGTCCATTTCAACGATCCCGTGGAGCAGCCAAGTGGAGGTTCACCTGTCAACCAGATCAACCGGATCCAACAGACAAACAACTACGACGGGCTCGGTCAAGAGTTAAAATGATGCAGGAACATCAAGAAGGTCTCAAGGGTGTCGGTGTACGGACCATCTTCCACTTGCAATTCATTGCTACGCCGACTTCCGATACGCCTGGTACGAGTTTGATTCTTCACTTCGCCTCAAAACGATATATTTTCGGAGAGATCGCGGAAGGTACTCAGAGGGCATGCATACAACGTGGAATTGGTCTTCGGAAAGTCCGAGGGCTGTTTCTATCGGGAAAGACGACATGGAGCAATGGTGGTCTGATTGGACTTATTCTCAGTCTGGCTGATATTCAGCAGGGAGAGGTCGAATACGACGAAGACGAAGGTGTCAATAAGCGTCCGAGACTTCATATCCATGCGGGCCCCAAGCAAATGCATTCATTGGCTTGCGCTCGACGGTTCGTCTTCCGCACAGGGATGCCTTTATCGGTCCATGAGGTTGATGTCCAACACCACCGCCATAACCCAAACCCCGACCCGATCCATAAAGACGAAAACATTCGGGTGTGGGCACTCTGCCTCCAACCCACGAGTGACACTACCTCACCTTCCACTACTGCCAAAAAAGTAGATCAGCCGGATCTCGTTCCAGGACACAATTCGGAAGTTAGCACGGTGAACGATTCGCAAATAGAGCGAGACCAAACACTGCGGAAAGATGTGGTGAACAACATGTTTGACTCAGATTGGAGACGAGATCAACTTGTTCAATCCAAACTCAAAGACATCAAATTGCCCGCAGTGGTCTGGGTAAGGGATGCAGAAACAAAGAAGTTGACCTCGTATACTTGCTACGATCTGAACAATACTGCTCCATTGACGCCAGACACCGATGTTCTGGTTCGAAATCCCTGGCCTGCTTCGACTGTCGAAGAGCTTCCTCCAGCATCAGGCCTACCAGAAGGTGTGTCAATGTCGTACATTGTCAAGGGCTATGCGCAGCGTGGATCATTCGACATTGAGAAGGCAAAAAGCCTGGGATTAAAACCGGGACCAATTTTCCGCGACCTTGTCGCCGGCAAATGCGTACAGACTGAAGATGGAAGGACGATCACACCCGAAATGGTTATGACACCGACTCGTCCCGGGAGGGGCTTTGCCATCTTCGACGTCCCTTCGATCGACCACCTCCAGGATCTCGAACGCCAACTACACAATGGAGGAGATCGGCTTCTGGACGGCGTGCAGGCCGTGGTTTGGATGACCCGGGGAGGCGTTTTATACGAACCACAGTTCGAACAAATCCTCCAAAGATTCGGGGGGATCAAACACATTATCTCTGATCCGGATGTTTGCCATGACTATGTTGTCCACGACTCGAGTGCGCTTTCTTCTCTCCGCCTATCGAATATTGCTTCAGAGTTCTTCTCACTCCCTCGATACGATAATCTGCACGGTTATCGTCCCCATATTCCTCGGCCTCCGCAGCATTTGCCGACAATTTTCCAGCCAAAGGACAATAAAGCTGATATCGTTCCCGCCAAGAGAGGCATGAAAATAAATATTGAACCCAACTTTCTGCTCGATGAGAGTGAAATTCCCAACAATCAGGATCTGATGACACTAAACCTGCCTCTGGAACCAGCAGTGCAGGAAGCCTTACCAGCTGACATGTCGCTGTATCACAGACCAGACAGGGCAACAATATCAAGTTTAGATCTGGCTGAACCCGAGATATTCACGCTAGGCACCGGATCTGCGGCCCCGTCAAAATACCGTAATGTGTCTGCAGTCCTCCTCCGTATGCCCGATGGGGCGGGAAATTATCTCTTTGACTGCGGAGAAGGCACGCTGGGCCAGCTGAGACGAGTGTACCCAGCGGAACAGCTGGACGATATACTGTACAATCTCAAAGGAATATGGATTTCACATCTTCACGCTGATCATCATTTGGGGACTGTAACGGTCCTCAAGGCTGCTTATGAAGCCCGTCAGAAGCTATCTGAGCATGGCAAACCACTACCATCTCCCCCGTGCTTGATATCCGAAATCAACATGATCGATTATTTGGCTGAGTATCAGTCAGTGATTGGTATCTCAACAGAGTCACTGTGCACTCCTATAGCCTGCGATTGGCGTGAGGGGATGTCGTTTCACGGGAAACCGTTTGACTTCGGTCAAACGGATGTTCCCATCAGGGAGCTTCAAACGGTCAAAGTGAATCATTGCCACGGAGCTCAAGCGGTATCTGTTACTTTTCAGAACGGATTCAAATTCTCCTATAGTGGCGACTGTAGACCTAACGAGCGGTTCTGCGAGATCGGAGAGAATTCCGACGTCTTGGTCCACGAAGCAACCTTTGATGACGGTATGGAAGGTGATGCCATGGCAAAGAAGCATTGTACGACAGGCGAGGCTGTTGGTGTGGCTTTGAAAATGAAGGCCAAGAATCTGATCCTAACGCATTTCAGCCAGCGATATCAAAAACTCCCGGTCCTAAGCAGTGTTAAGATGCCAGAACACCTCTCGGAAGAAGACTTAATAGATGATGTCGACGCAGAAATGACCAACCCGCAAGTCGGTATGAATACACAACGCGAAAACGACGAGCCTGCGGCTCCGTCGGCTTCGGCCTGGACCGAGCCTGATTCGGCGCGTGATCTCAACATTGGGATTGCTTTCGATCTCATGCGTGTCAGGGTGTCGCAGATCAAAACGATGAAGCCGCTCTTCCCCGCCATCTCCAAGATGTTCGAGATCGAAGAGGAGAAGCGCGAGAAGCAGCGGTTAGAGGTCGCAGCTGCGCTCAACGAAGAAAACAAGCAGAAAAAGGCCGAGAAGGCGAAGGCAGCGCAAGCCAAGAAACAAAAACAGAAGGACGCGGAGGCGATGCAGGTCGCCGGCAAGCAAGGGCAGAAAGCTGGCAACGAAGAGAACTCGAAGAAGAACAGGAAGAACAAGAGGAAGTTGGAGCAGCAGGAACAGCAGCTACCGCCCACCCCTGCCCCTGCGCTCGACGATGGTGAGCGGCCAAAGAGCACTTTTGAGGCAAGGAATGCTAAGCCTGTTCAGCCTCAGTATCAGCCCCAATACCAATCTCAGGCTCAACCTCAAACCAGTGACGATGACGACAATGACAACAGCAATTTCAACGTCGATGGCGGTAGCCATACCGAGATTCTAACAATACCTGCCCTCCGCAACTCGAGCAATTCCACCGTCATCTTTTCAGCAGGAGCTGTTGAAACAGACGTAGAGATGGAAGCAAGCAGTCCCAAGAAGAAGTGTAAGCTGAGTCCTGCGTGAGCAGAATACATACATACACACACAGGCACAAACACACCTTGCCTTACCTCGATGGACCGGCGGGAGCGGCCCAGTGGAAGATATGTATAACAGATCATGCCCCCTGAACCAGTTTCCGTCCACTCACACTTACAGTAGAATGACTATTGATATAAGTCACTTAATTGGCCGCTTCCAGGGAATGGCTTATAGCAGGACGGCGAATGTATACAGAGTGCTGTAACACGAGACAAACTTGCGCTCTACTTCGGGCTAATCATAGTTTTACCTAGACTATAAATAAAACTGCTGATTACCCATCTCTCTCCAGAACCAGGATTTATATACATAAGTCTACTCGCCCCCCGAACTGCGCATAATGTAACTCGCTTTAGAGGTCTAATGACATTTCCATTGTTCTGGGATCTTGTCGCCTTCTATGATTAGGCTACGGAATTGCTTGGAGGCGGGGGGAAGAGCTTCGATGATACACATCAGTTTTGAGTGTAGCAGTCAGGCCAGGAATGCGGACGACTCTAGGAATCACATTTTTTACTTTCATGCAACTGTGTCTCATTGTCTGTATGAATGGATCCCATGGAGAATCACTGATATCGCGCGGGTGTACTTGAATTGTCTAAAAGCACTGCTATAAAGTCATCCGTCTAGCAAAGCTTCCTGGCTGATACACAACAAGATATGCTGTCTTGCCATCTCCATGATGTTGTATCTCCCAAGCCGAATTCCCCACACAAACCGAATCAATGACTTTGGTGAAGCAGATAGAACAAAAAAAGGGGAGTCGGCAATGGTGTGAGAAGGGAAATAGTAAGGGGAGAAAGGGGGTATCATCGTGCTGTTGTGTCTGTGATCACCAAACAAATTCGCCATCTATCCGTCCAGTCCTGCTTCTGTCCTGACTATTCTCCCATGTTTTTCATTCCACGAGTAGAACACTCAAAAGGTCTATCATCTCTCGTCTTTGGAACAACGTCGATATAATTGTCGGCAGTCATTTCCACCTACGCCAAGTACCAAGTACCAGGAGAAGATGGACATCGAGTTAAATTTCCACCACAGTCAGTGCCCCTGTCGTGCGTGATAGTTCCAACGCACGAATTGAAGAGAACCAACTTGAAACTCAGACGGCAAGTCGCGTTCTATTAGGCTCTGTGGCCAGCCCATCGGATGGAAAGGTGTAGTTTCAACGGTACCAACCCGACTCGAAGGTGATCCGGCTGCAATCGGGGCCGCAAGAGTGTACTCACGGAAGGTAGGAGAATTGTCCAGCACAATCGAGGGCTGGATGATGTTCTGGGAGTCGTCGGGATGCTGGTGCTTGTCCACGTGACCGGTTTCTCCGTTCAGTGGCCGGTCTCTTTCATCATCATCATCCGCGTGGACCACGATGGTACTCGCTTGTGATGAGAAGTGACCTTGCACTGACGGTGATCAGCGTTCTGACAGGGGGGTTGGACGTGCTGTGCTGTGCTGTGCTGTGCTGTGCTGTGCTGTGCTGTGCTGTGCTGTGCTGTGCTGTGTTGGTGTTGGGCAGTGCTGGGCAAGGAGATTCGAGGGCGGTGGTGATGGTGCCAGGGAAATGGATATCCATATTGGGGAGAAGATGATCCTGAACATCAAGTTCATGAAGCATTCATGATAGTACCTTGATGTTGTTGAATCTGGCGTTTGACTTGTTCTCTTGCCCAACGTGCTGCACCGATGGTTCGAGGGGAGAAGTCACGGTTGCTTCGAGTTTCCTTGATGAGTTTGGTGACCCATTCTTGCCGGTAATAATTCGCCAAAGCTCCATCGGGGAAGGTCTCACTCAGGTCACTAGAGAATGTCAGAAATGCTTGTCAATCCGAGAGAAGGAAGAAGACTTACGCGATGATGCCCATGCAAGCTCTAAGCAGACCTTCATTGTGGTTGAGGTCTTGAGCGACAGTCTGCAAAAACTCAAAGATTGGCTGCACATAGTTTTCAAGAAGCGGAGCTATTGTCTTGTCAGTACATCGTCATGAGCCAGCGATTAGAGTTTGTACCTTTCGGTGTGCCCTTGAAGGCCAGAATCAACCCCGACCAAGCATCTGCAATTCCAGAGCGAAGAGACACGATATAATCCAACATGTCGAACGAGACGTCATTCGCCACCGAAACATTATTTGCCTGCTGGAGGACTTGCGCAACAACTGTCACATAGGTCTCGAAATGTACACCGATGCTGGTTGCAATGTCGCCGAATGTTTCCAAGATAGGTGGTTTGAGCGAGTTGGTGAGCTTGTCAGACTGTGATGATGGGTCAGCGTTCCATAGAGATCAAATGGTACAAGCTGTCACATACCCTTAGGTTGTTGAGAAGATAGTTCATAAACGTATCGCAGTACGGTTGAGCCTTGTCTTCCAATGCCCGGACGATGTCGCTGACAAGGCCAATAGCCAAGGAGCACATGTCAGGGGCATCCTGATTACCAAGGGCGTTGTATAGATATGGAACGAATGAGTCCATATATTTGAGGAAATCTCCAACCAACGCATTTGCCAGGCCACTGACGATTTGGAAGATGACTTCGGGGACGGCGGTGGTGCCGGTGACATTGAGGATTTCCAAGTTGATCTGCATGATACGATCAGATTGAGGAGCAATGTTCTGCTCAAGTCTCTGGACAATCGCGAGCAGGACACTGCTCAAGCTAACTTGCAGTTCTTCAAGAGTGATCTTGTCATCGATGCTGACAATCTGCTTTTGCATGGGGATCGTGGCCTCGAGCCGTTGGATGATGACATTTGATAGTTCGGCAACGATTTGCAAGCTGTCATGAGCAGCATTGGTGACGAAACCGCTCAGTACTTCATAAGCAGCTGTTCGGAGCTGATTGTTGGCTCCCTCTTTATCCGTGACTGCGAGCAAAGACGTGACGCTGTCTTGGAAATGCGGTGTAAGTGGATTTGCCGAAGCCCCGTCATCACCCACAAATCGCTCGGTCAGATTTAATAGAGCCAAGCAGCAAGACGCGGCAATCTTAGGATTGGCCATGAGCCCATTGAAGAGAGCAGACATGAGTGGCTGAAGATGTGTCGATGGATCAATGCACTCGGAGCAATAATCGCAGATTCTGCTGAGGGCGTATGCTGCTGAATCTTGGACTTGCACCACCGGGTCTTGCATCATTCCGATCAAAACCGGAAGCGCCTGCTTGACGAGAGGATCCAGGGTTTTGATATCGGGACCGTCCATGATCGCACCGAATGAAGACACCGCAGCGTCTCGCCTAGTCCAGTCTTCGTTTCGAAGGTTCTCTTCGACGAATTCCAGAACTGTGGGGACTATCTCACCACCAATAGTCTGAGCATACAGCTGGAGGCATTGATAGGCGGCGCGTGCGACGTTGTACTCCTCGTCCGCATCGTCCTCAGATACCTTGGTCATCAGCTGAAGCAGCACTGGCACGACCTCCCGGGCCGCGACGCGGGCGAAATGGAAGTAAGGCCGCAGTTCCGTCGAGCCTTCTTGTTGAGCTTGCTGGTTGTCGTCTTCAATGCTAATCTCCTCTTCACAGACGGTACACCAGAATTCGATGGCCAACTTGGCAACGTCTTCCTCGTCGTTCTTCATGCCTGCAATGGTCAAGCCAAACAGGGCCTTTTCCATGTAAAATCTCATCTTGTCATAATAAATGCCCATGATTCGGTTCAGGCAGCCGAACGCTGCGGCTTGGACTCGAGTGTCCTGAGATTGTGTAGCCTCACACACCACCTGCATGATGTAGTTTCTCTCGCCTTCATTCTCGAAATTGCTGCGGATGAACTCGGTTGCATCGCTGAGGGCGGACAGGGCTGAAAGTCGGACATTCTGGTTGGCCTCCTCTTTCCTCGCACCTTGAACCACGGCAGTGAGAATGGCGTTGGAATAGCCAACTAGGGACTCGCGGAGCTCGAGGTCGTCCGATTCACAAATGAAGCCGATCGTGGTCAGACTGGATTGTTTGAGTTTGTCTTCGCCGGCTCCGACATTGTGGACCAGCGTGGGCAGCAGATCAGGCCATTCATTGCGGGGGAGTTCGATGGCCGCAACGGCCGCGATGAGCTGGGCTGCTGACAGGGCGGCCGCGGGTATGGCGCTCAATGTCTTGACGGCCAGTTCCTTGACCTGTCTCTTGATTTGAGGATCGACGCCTTGTAACCACCTCGCCTGGACCTCTCTTAATCGAGTGATGTCACGATAGGAGAAGGCATTTTTCAAGGCCAGACCAGCGGCTTGTCGGACAGGACCGCTGGCTTGTTCGTTGGCAAGTTCGTGGGATAGGATGGACAGGTATTCGGACTATGCGACAGTCATGGGTGGTCAGCAGACGTTCAAGCAGAAACAAGGGTGTTTTCAAGATTTTTTCTCGAGACGTACAAAATTTCCCTCGCTGGCTTGTCTTAGTTGCTCTTCGGCATTGCCACGGATGGTTGCATCTAGTCAAGGTTAATAAACAATTGAACCGCCGGCAGAGAGGCGAAGGTGTCTTACCTGCTGCGAAGGTGCTCTCTAGGACAGCTGTGACATCCATGGTTGCTGGACTGAGCAGCGGCCTGGGAAGGGAGAAAGGGAGTCCAAAACGAGATCGATGAAAGGCCGCACTTTGAAATGGAGGGAAAAATTTGGAGAATAGCAGGGGCCTGGAGTCAAGGAAAGAACGACCGGCGACAGACGAACGCGGCGTGACACAGTAGAAGGTACTCCGTAGTGATGAGGGCGAGGAAGGAATGGAAGGTGAGAGGCGGTGGTTGAGGAGAGAGGACCAAGTGTTTGTGGTGGGTGTTGGTTACGGCTGCGCTCGCCGGTGGATTGTTTTGCAGCGCAGTTTAGGATAGTGGGATGACGGGTCGGTGAATGAATACAATCTGGGTCACTAGAGGGCTTAGGAGGCGTTTAGGAGCCTCCTAGGTCTTCCTCCAGCAATAAAAGTGTATGAGGGCGCTTGCGGGCCTCAGCCTAATCGTCCACTACCCAGCTGCTTTTACCTTTTACTGTGTTGGTCAGTAGTAGCCGCTACAATATGAATGTACTATACATAGTGGACAGAGTACATACTCCGGATGTCCTCGCATACTCGCTACCTACTGAAGGCTCCCCTCCCCGGCCGCCACTTTCCAAATCCTGAGTGCTTCGTAGAGCCTACCTATGAAGTAGCGGTCATCTTCAATCGAACACCGTCCCTTTCTATTCGAGGAGCCTCACTACTCGAGAAAAGCCCCCCATAAGTGTCGATTCATTCCAGCTATTCCGTACAGCCAATCATACCCCTGGCCAAGGTTACAGTCCTTCTGCCTGGCCAGCACCTCCAGCCTCATTTTACATCTTGTGTAATCTTGCCTTACCATGGAACATTGGATGAACTGTCTCCTAACCCGAAGGCCGAGGGTCATAGTCGTGTGATTGATCCGTAACTCTGCTTTTCGCTGTGCCTGCATCGGGCGCCACTAACGAGGTCTGCGCTGACGACCACCTTCGAACAGAGCTGGATGATGGAAGCCCCCCTGGTTGTATCTCTTCATTCAGCCGGTCGACATCTCATCGCCTGCCCCCTCTTCGTCGTCACGCTGTCCGACATCGCTTTCGCCATCTAAATCCAGCACCAGAAATCCCATCCCAGCCTCGTCCACCACCGTGACTGCCCTCCTACCTTCTCTCCCATTGATCTCGAGCCGCGCCGGCTTCAATCCGGCGTGCATTCGGCCTTCTTCAAAGATCTGTCGAACTTCCCAGTCATCTCTTTCCTCGGCTGTGTCGATCGCCATCTGATAGATCCTCACATCTGCAGTGGTAGCAGCCAGAACGAGAAATGCTCTGTCGTCGACAATCTTCGCATCAAGGATTTCCTCAACTTCAGGTATGGTCGAACTGACATCCCTTCTGTCTTCGACTTTCGGGTTCTTCCCACCGTCGAGCCGCATCCGGATCGAGACAACGCGGAAAGCCTTGTCGTTCTTGAACATAGCGACGAGGCGGTAAAGGGAGACATCATTCTGCTCGGGTATGACTCTGATATCCATCCTCTCTGCGACACAGCCCCGAGAGAATTCGAACAGGTAACTGCCGAGTATGCTCTTTCTGAAGGTCTCTGCGACCTGTCCAAACACGATATCGCTTTGCTTCTGCAGTCGTTCGACCATTGCTCCAAGACTTGGTAATGGTTTGCCACCAGACCGTCGTTTGATGTAATTGGTGTAGAATCCCGCGTCCGTATCCTCGTCGATTGTCTCGACATCGCGTCCACCATCTTGCTCGGTGCCATCAAGGGCAACATATTTCTTCAAACGGGTCTCCTTCATCGCACCGCTCACGTATTCTAGCACCATCATGATTTCGCTTTCACCTGTCCACGATTCTCGTAGCTCTTCTGCCCGTTCACTGCCCTCTTCCAAGGCTTCGACCTCACACTCGAATTTCATCCACTTCATGAACGCCGTGAACTCCTTGATTTCAGTCCCGACGTCGAGCAGTAGATCCTCGGCGAGTATGGTCAATGCGTCCACCGTCTCTCTAACCCTTCCGACGACCTTTTCGTCCAATCCCAATTTCGAGCTTGTAGGCCCGTACTTCGCAAGCCCGTCGAGTCTCGATAAGATCGCCTGACATGTCTCCAGCGCGGGCATGAGGTTTTGGCTAGTCATTCTGCGGACAAGGTCAAGACAGTCACCCACCGACTTTTCCCACCTCTTGAGGCCTCGCTCACCAACCTCGTCGACAAGCCACTCTTTGAGGCGAGGAAGACATTCACCAGTGACGGCAAGATGATGCGCGGCATAGACGAAATCGGCATTGGGATCACCTTCAGCCAGCGACTCATCGATGTTGTGCAGGAACCTCGCCGGCAAATCAAAAGCAGCTTTCACCTCCAAACGCAACTGCGTCTGGATTTGTGCAATGTATCGTAGAAGATTTGCTAACCGGGTTGCCTTTCTTGCCACCAAAGGCAGATTCCGACCTGTCTGGGTGATGAAGCTCAGGTCCAGGCTAATCAGGTGGAGGGAGCTATCGGGAGTCTCATGAGGGTTGGAGTGTTCGACGACCACAAACACCGTGGACAGAAAGGGATGACCGCCAAAGCCGACCACATGACGGGTTCCAACTCTGGAACGCAGACGTCCTTCCACCTCGATGGTCCCGACCTCAAAGGAGTCAAAGATCTTCAAGTTGACCGCGCAACCACCCTCTTCAGTCTGCATTCCAACCAAGAGTGCATCGACGTCCCCAACTCCTGACCCTGCCGATCCGGATGAACCGTCCGAATGGAAAATAGCATCGATGCTGGCACGGGAGCTGAAGACGTCGTCATCGACAGCGGCACCAAGGGGCGGGAGAGTGGCGAGTTTTGGCAAGGAGTCCTCAATATCGATTGCGCTTAGTGCCTGGGGTAAATCAGCCGCGATTTGAAGGATGTTTTCCATGTCGGCCTTTAGACCGAGAAGCTGATCGAGCGAGACTTTGGATCCGGACTGGTTGAGACGCGAGCGGATTGTGAGAGCATTTGGAAAGGCGAAATGCTTCGTCCACGAGATCGAAGAGATGGTCGCCGGTCGCACAGGCGGAGGTATAGATTTAGAACCTGAGCTGCTGGCAGGCGCCGCTCGGGATTGCGAAGACTGGGACGAACTGAAACTCATCGTGGCGGTTGTCGGTCCTTCTAAATTCCGAGCCGCATCAAGCCGATGCGCGATCTTGCCGGTGAAGGCGTTGATCAAGGAGACGCTGCCGTCAGCGCAGGCAACTGCGAGAATTTGACCTGGCTCGGTTCATGTTAGCAATTGGAGACCGGATAGTGAAATGACAGGTAGAGGTCGGGCCAGAACAGATCACCGCCTAGCCAGCAGCGTGCCGGCATGAACGAAGTGACAGCAACGACTCGTAGTAGATGCAGTGGAAACAGTAGATCCCACACGACCAAGACATGCTCACAGAAGGCTGAGGACACAGAAACGACCAAACTTACCATCTCTTCTCCAGCTGACAGCCCTGACAAATCCTCCCTGCTTCCTGTCATCCCCATTCCTCATCCGAGTTCTTTTTCCGACTTGCTCAGCAGGTCCAGCATCGTCTCCGTCATGATCTTCGCCCTTCTCAAAGGTTGCCCCAAAGACTCTCTGGCCATTCAGCCTCCAGACATCGACAACATCCCTGCTGTTGTGGCGGTCGCCGTGGCCCGTCGTTGTCACTGTCGCGATAAGATCCATCGTCGGACAGTAGGACACCAGATCGACGCGACATGGCTCGGCGAGTGAACGGGATGCAATTTGATGCATTGTTCCTTGTCCAACCACGTGAAGACCAATTGGAGGTATGAAAAGAAGTCAAGCAAGCCAAGTCCGAGCCAATTCAAGGGCCGGCATTGCCGTCGGGCATCTTACACAAGAGGAAAGTCGTGTCTGGTCGCGACTGATAGTGGCAGAGTGGTCGGTAGAAATCCGCGAATGTTCTGGTCCACGCGCGTCGACGAAGAGCGAGAAGACGCCTCAGGTCATTCAATTGCAGAGCTGGACAAGGACCATTGCTCCTGAACACACTGTGTTGTATAGGTACAGTTTAATAGATTATCAGCAGTAGCTCAGTGGTCGGTCTGTCCGTCTAGGTGAAGTAGGTAGTTGAGTTAATTACAGTATCTCGAGTTGGACGTCTCCATCCCTGCCAAGCTTTTGTTCCCGCAGCCTCAGCCTCAGCCTCCTGCATGTACATGTACATACTCTCTCTTCTTCCTCTTCTTCTGCCTCTTCCTCTTCCTCTTCATTGCATGGCCCTCTGCAACTTCAATCCAGCCTTTCCTTGCTCTGTCTGTTCCTTCAGCGCAGTTATTATCTTTCCGTCTATCATTCGCAGCTCTGCTGGTACCTGTGACCTTCATCTCAAAACTTTCAAAAAGAAATTCGTGTCGTCTTAGCCCATATCTTGATTACCGTCATTTCATGTAAACCTGTCACTTCCAAAATATTCAATATCCCACCCTTGCTGTAGCTGCTAGCGCCATGACTGGGAATATGCAGCCACAGACACTGTGGCCCGTTCGATCAGAACTTGAGCTGGCCTGATAAAAAGAAACGAACAAGAGCAGTGTCAAGGGACACGCAAGAGGTAGGAACTCCAAAAAGCATCAGATTCGTGGTGGAGGTCAACCACCGCACGGCTCACTTTTGCTGGATCATGCCGCCAAGATAACTCAACTCATCAAGAAGTTGTTGCATGCTGGTGGAGTGAGGCAAGCTAGGGCCATCCAGATCCGTCACCCGAGATTGAAAGGCTTCTGTGCGATGCTGCTCGTCTACCGCCAAAGGTGCAATATGATCGTCGGTCGAAGTGGGTTTCCGTGTTGTGCCGGACCCAGCATCTTCAGTCGGCAAGCTGTAATGCTGAAATCTGCTCCAACACAGCTCCGCGTCCTTGGCACTGTCTAAGTCGACATGGGAGCTGGGAGCGGTGGAAGAAGTCACCGAGCTAATGGTCGAAAAGCTGAGTGCCGATGGTAATCCCTCCTGTAGTGTTGCGGAATCGTTGCTATGGCCAAGCTCGTCTTGACACTCAGCTTTCCGTAGCACATTGATGGTCTTGAAACCAGCGAAGTCCAAGTCCACTGCCAGAGGACTGGTAGGGTCGAATTCAGTAGTGTTGCTTGGAGCATACTCTGACCGAGGCGAGAGCATCGTCGTGCTGCATGTCCAGTCGGAGAAACGACTCTGCTCATTGTTGATATGGCTGTCCGTGCAAGATCCAGTTTCAATGGTGGTGCTGGAGAAACGACTCTGAAGGCCTTCAATATCAACACCGAGACGGTTTGAGGGAGAATCGTCCATGGTACTAGGTGGATACGCTGAGGAAGGCGTGTTAGGTAGAGTCGGCAGTCGTTTCTCCAGGTCTAGTGGCACAGGTTGCTTGTCATCGACCGACCTCGGAACTCCAATCTTGAGGGCCGTAGGGGGCCAAACAGGTGTGGTTGTAGTAGATGCCACTTCTGTCAGCGTCTCCAGACGCTGATTTGGTGTTCCTGGTTCGTCGAGTGATTCATGTACCGGCGTCTCCTCCAAAGAAAGCGAGTTTCGCAAGGAGGATGGCTCCCGTGACATGGACCGCTGCCTGCGATGTTGCCCAAATGAGGATAGCACGACCGCTGCATGGTCCACTTCTTCGTCAGACTCCCGTCTCAAAGCGAGTTGCCTGGTCGGTTTGGACGGGGAACCGCCGACAATATGAAGGACTGGCGGCGTCTGCTCTGTGACAGAGCTCTTGGGCGTGGCACTGCGTTCAGACGTGCCATAGCTGACATAGCCTGCCGGATCGTGCTCGGCCGCTCTTGTGCGGCCACGGTCCACGGTCCCTTCTGGACTAGCCATCCGGGGAGATGCCAGAGCTCGAAAGGCGCTAATGATGCCCATTGACCTGTTACTTCCCCGCGACGTGGACCGATTTGGCCTTTGAAAGGATGGTTTCTTGGTCACTCGCATGACTCGTGGTGTGTTAGCACTGCCCGGATCAGACGGGCCTCGGGACGAGGCAGATCTTCCTCTGGTCGGACCAGCCCGGGCTGGGGAGCTGGACAAAGACCAAGATTGCTGAGGTAAAGTGGGCGAGGTATTCAAGCGTGGCAACAATGGCTTCGGTGGCACCGGACGAGGGTTCAAGAACTTGTCCGTCGGATCCATGGTGCGGAACTCGGAGCTGGTCGAACTGGCGCTGTTGTTTCGAGATCGACTGCTGCTTAGAGCGAAAGGGACGTTCAGAACATTGACGAGCTGGCCCGGCAGCATAGGACAAGAGGTTGTGGACGGCTCAGCGGAGTTGTGGAATTCGAGATCGTCGTTCAGCTGGTACTGCAGAGAGAAAAGGAGACGATCAGGAAAGGTGCGCGCAAGAGGGGACTAAGGCATGCATACATAGTACCAATAAGTGCCACCCATCCTGAGCCCTCCTTCCCTGGGAACGCCCGATGGTTGCAGGTCACCGTCGCAGATGATGTTGGAAAAGCTATGACAGCCTGACCAATGCTCCGGGCCCGTGCGCGGATCGCGTTGCATGGGATACGGAGCGGAGAAGTTGTCCCAGGAACCGTACAAGGTTACCGACCGGGTCGAAGGAGGGGTACGACTGTTGTAATCATTCAGCTTGGTTTCGTGAGGACAATGTCAAGATCATGCACATACACAAGGAAGGTGATGAGCGTTGTTGGTGCCATGGTGGCATTCCCGGATTAGGTGAATTGGAGACGCCCGAACCAAGACCGAACTTTTGGATATCTTCCAGCCGGTTGCCTTCACAAAGGATACCCTGTGCAGCAGCCACCGTTGGTGAGCAGAAAAGTAGAGGGCCAACACAAACGCCGAATAAAAGCGATCGACAAAGGTAAAGAGGAAATCGATAAAGGACAACCACAACACAAGAAGACCCCAGGCTGGCAGGTTGGACAACAGAGTGTCTGGCGATCGGGTCCGGTCGATCGAACAGGTGCGTCCGAGGGAGATATAGGCAGGGACCTTGTACTCCGTCAACATATGACACCAGAGATCCGCCAACGCCACGCGGTTGTTGCTCAGAACGGATGCTATTTCTGCCCTGCACCGGGAACCGAAGCAGGCCTCAAATCATCGAATGCTGCATCATAAGCGATGGCGACATGTTTGTGAGTCCAGGTGAGATCTGGAACCATGCCCAAGGCCGAGCTTTGCGCTGCTGAAACCGGAGCGGATGGGTACCGTCAGGTCTGAGAGTTCGAGTTTCGGGTGGTTGCGCGTGTTTGAGAAAGTGGCCGAGTCCTCAGAGCAATGCTGACTCGTAGAGAGACCCAATGGAAGGGAAGGAAGTGATGTCAGGCGCTTGATGATGGTGATTGCAGGGCTGAGAGGACAGGGAACGGGCTCTATGGGGCCAGGCGCTTGCTGCGGTTTAGTAGGTGGTAGAGGAAGCCTCGACGGGACACAGAACGAGTGGACGTGAATGGACGATGGCACGTATTAAAGGACGAGGCGACACCAGCAGCGAGCGAGATTGCAGGTTAGAGGCACAAAGGCAGAAGAACGAATGATGGAGATCACGACCCGACAGAGCAGCACAGTAGTAGTATCAGGCTTGTAAGATGTGTAAACCGGCTCGATGGCAATTCGGCGCATCGACTACTCCGTACGCCCACTGGTGACTGTGGTCCCTGTCCAGTGTCCATACTCCGTAATATTAATCCATTCTCCTCTCTGTAAAAGGCAAGAGGGAAATCAGGGTCTGGTCTTGATTGTCACCCATCCATCCTACAAGCTCATTAAGCGAACGTGTGGACCCGGCCATCGCTCCCTTGCTGCACGGTGAAGACTCGAAGTCGATCGGAATCGGAGCTAGGAGGACGAGGACAGGCGAGGGCTAAGAGGCTGGGGCCGGACGCCAGCGTGTCAAGTCAGCTGAAGTCGGGTTGGCCGCTGGCTGAAAAGGGAAGAAGAGAGGTGGCGCGGGATCTCAGGCGGAGTAAAACAGGGAAAAACAAGGTACAAGGCAAAGCCAGTGGTGAGCTGAGCCGGAGACCCTGCGGTCGGGTATCTACTGTACGGATCCTCTGTGCAGCCCACAGCGTGGAGTACAGAGTACGTACTGTACCATCGAGGTGGCAGCTGGGAAGGACAGGAATGGGATAGCATTGGTGGTGGTGGTGATGGTGGTGATATCAAACGAAATTGACTGCCTCTTCAATCAAGATCCAATTTTGGACCCAGCACAATTTATTGGCTCGGCAATGATGCGTCCTTCCCTGCTCGGGTCTAACACCATCCTAACACCGGACATCGAGCATACATACCTAGTGCAACTTGCACGATGTGTGCACTCCGTACGCAGTCAACCGGAGTACTAATAAGGTACCTACTACCTAGTAGGTTCCTAGGTACCTTACCTTCCTGACCCTAACAGATTAGCCGCCCCCCGCCCTCCGCGACCTCATCGACCGCGAAGCAATTTTGGCTGCGATTGCGTGCCGCGGCCAATTTGCTTAGGTTGAATCTGCCTTGCTAGGGGTGGATTCCGGAACCACAACCAGTGAAAGAGCTGGCACAAAACACACCCACGCCTGAAAAAGGAGCACAGAGAGCGAAGCAACACACAAGCACCTAAGGAAAATGGAGACGAGACCTTTCGATCATACCTCACTGAACACCTACCGAGTACCTGTACCTCTGAAGAGACACTTTCCCCGGGACACCTGAAACCGAGGCGCGGCCAATGAAGACCTACATATGTCACATACTTTGTAACATGACCAACCCGATCCTCCATACCTCAATGGTTCGACAACGGCTTGCCTCACATCTCTCTCGGCGTTAACGACACAACGACACACAGTGCGTGCCCGTGCCTGTGGCTGAACAGAGTCGCCCTGCGCTTGGAAAGGACTCCGGATGGCGCAGCACTCACCTGCCGGGTACGGACTCCGTTGCGGTCGACGGTCCCTTTTACCCCAGGCCTAAGGCCTACGCCCTCTTCACGGTGATGAGAAGCCTGTGGGCTTCGTATTGGTATCCGTACTCCAGGGAGACTCTGAAAAGAACGGAGACAGTACAGAGTACTCCGTACATACTCCGTATTATGGCAGTATGCTCAACATGATGGCGATTGAACCCAACTCGACCCGCCCCACGTGTTTGGAGTGTCGGTGGTCACTCCTTTCAGCTAATTACTGACGGAGTATAGAGCAGTCCTGACATCTACACAATTCCCGATTGACACTTCCGTGACACTGCACGCACGTCCTCCCTCACCCCCGATCACCACCACTACTGCTCTGAGTTCGGTTGTCTCCGACCCTACCGAAGCCATCCCCACGACGCACATGCCGCGTGCCATTCTTCAGGTGAACAATTTTAGACACCGTGAGTCAGTCGTCAGAGAAACCGTGCCTGGGCTGTATCCGTACATTTCCAAGACAAGGCTGGTCTATCATCATGTGATCTATTAGACATCCAGTGTGGCTGTTCCTGGTATTGATGGTAATACTACTATCAAATGAGATCTATCAACTAGGGAAATCATATCATTCCATCTCCAGACTCTCTTTCTTGTAGAGCCAGCGTCAGTACTAAACAGTACAGTTCAGTTAAGTGGTGTTCCCCTGCCCTTACTCCTTCCTAGGGAGCCTTCCTTGCTCAATCGTATTTAGCCATTCTTGTTGTTGCCGCCTTCCGTGACCCTTCAATACTCATAGCATTGTGTTATACAGCCCGTCGATCATGTCTGCGCACCACGGACCCCAAGCATACCTTGAGCAATCCCTGTGCCGTAAGTTCCTGGCCCTCATTCCCCGTCCAGGGCACCGTGTCAACCATATCGCGAATGCCGTATTGCCCAGAAAGCGCATCGTCCAATTCTGTCAAGTTCTCAGCCGCTTCTGGCTCCCGCCCGACTTGGAAGAACTGGATCCCGACTTGCCACGGCTCTGCCCCGTACGAATCCAACTTTTTAGCCGCACTCACAATCACCGACTCGACATCGTCGCTGGGCACGCCGTCGGTGATGACGATGATGTTGAGCGGCTTGACCGTAGCGTCGTGACCGTGGGCCTGTCGTTCAAGCGACTCCGCCACTTCAGCTAGATACGGCTTGAGAAGATGGTTGAGCCGCGTTCCCATTGGAGTGCCTCCCAGCGGCCGCACGCTCTGGAACAGATTCTGCACGGCCGCAGTGGTGGTGACGTTGGTGTACCCGCCCAAGCGCGAGTTCGTAGGGTTGCGGTGGTTCAGAAAGTAAATGTCGATCCCGTCCGCGTCGTGCGTGGTGCAGATCGGAGCAATCGCGCTGATCGCGGCCGCGGTCTCTCTCCAGCTCCGCCCTGCCATGCTTCCGCTGTCGTCGATCAGAAAGACCGTGTCGAACTCGCGTAGGAAAGCGTAAGGGGAGTCGTCGGCAACTTGCATCGGTGAGGCGAGATCTGCTGGGCTGTTCGGGGCTGCCGAGTATGGAGGGGGCGCTCCCCTCGTGTCGTTTGCGGGTGGCGGTGGTCTCCGAGTCGGCGTAGTGGTGGCGGCGAAGGGGTTGCTGGACATGGGTCGGCCGATGGGCGATCGGAAAGAGGGAGACGGTCTTGCGGTTTTTGATGTTGGGGATGCTGCTCTTGCACTTACTCCTGCTGGTGTTGAGGCAGATGCTTTAGACCGCTTGGTACCGAATTTGCGAAGAATCTCCATGGTAGAATGGCGGGTTTGCGAGGCCGAAGAGGTTGAAGAGAGAGAATGGAAGGAGGCAGGAGAAATAAGGACGGGGTCTTCCATTTTTGAATGGTGTGCCAAATATGACTCTTCACAATCAGAGTTCAAGTTGGGCAGTGAAGGAAGCTGCCGGCTGGTTGGATACGTTGGTTGGTTCGGTACAGTAGTTTGTGCCTGGTTGGCAGTGGTGAAGGAGTGAGTCAAACAAGAAAATGTTTGTCTTTGTCTGTGTATGTGGAAGTTAGAGTCAATCAAACTCCACGGTCACCGAATGGCTTTATATGTTCCCACTGTGACCTGTATGGTGAGTATCACAACACCCACACCACCACATCTCGTCAGGTCCATGGCCGCCCTCGTACAGAGTACTGCCCTCTCTCACTGCCCTCTCTTGATGCGCCGCAAGTCTGCCTGGATGGCGCCGTACATGCTAGGGCACGCTCAGGAAGGTTCGCTTCTACACAAGTGGCAATGATGGAACACAAGCCAGACAGGATCTAGCGAACAGCCTTGTGCCTCAGGAGCTCGCCCGACCCCGGCCCTAACTCCGACCCTCATTCTCTACGAACCGGCAAATCATGAACACTATTACACAGCCCGCCACACCCACTCATGATTGGTCAACCGCTGAGGCCGAGGCTCCTAAGGCTCGTCTTATTGGTGGTGCCACAGCCTGAGCCTCCTTGGCTCGCTTCCCCCGTGACCCAATCCACCGCTGCACAGCCTCAACTCGCCTTCCCACAGCCTCTCTGCCCCTTTCATCTGCCAAAGCTTTCACGGCTACGAAGATGGATCGTATAGTACGTATGATGCGCTCTCTACTTACAATCGCTACCCATCACAAGGCACAAGGCAGATTCAGGGTGCCCCCAGCTACACGTAACACTGCTCACCCGGTCAAACCCCTTAGCCCTCCAGATCCGCCACACGTCAGAACAATGGCAACCGTTCAGGCATGGGGGAATCCCCATCCTCTATCCTGACCACAGTCTCAATTGAAAAATGCAACTCCTCGCAAATCAGTAATGAGTGATGAGTGACTGGCAGTATATGTCCAATCCCAACCAAGTCCTCCTCGACTCTCCCTCCAACGCCATGCAATGTGGATGCCGTATGCATATTCAGCCCTCAATGCGGTTTCATGAATTCTCGTCTCATCTCGTGTCGTTCGTCCAGCTGGTTTTATTCGTGATTCGTTGGTGTCGGATGTGGGTTCAGGGCAATACAAAACACATCAACAACTCTTCCTCCCAGGCTATGCATTTGAAACTCCAATCTTGCGCCATGCTGCATGCGACGTCACATCCTTCAGTGCTTGGCCGCCTTTGCTCCGTGTAGCTGCCTGTGTTGACAGAGTCTCCTCATAGCTCCAAAGCCCGAAGAGTTGAACCATTCTTCGTGAAGGTCTCCCGGATCAATGACGCTTATATTTCTGCCCAACACGCCAGTCAGTATACCGCCAGCACCAAGTAGATCACACACCAAAAGAGAATGGAATGCAAGATTCCAAAACCTACCTCATCTATCCTCCGGAGGTTCTTTTTGTCCAGTGTATTACCGGCACCCATGAGTGTCTGCCCAACCGCCTTCGTGGCCCCAATCGCCGGGCGCAGGATGATGGTCGGGCTTTGTTTCAAGATGGCCTTTGCTGCCCCCTTCGCATTACCACTTGCCATCACTTCTCCTGGGATTGCCACGATCGCATCCTTGGCTATCAGCAAATCGCGTTCGAGCGCCCCGTACGCGATTCTCAACCCTTGTGTGATGCCGATGGGCTGATCGGCGTAGAGGGAAATCTGTTTAGTTCCCTCGTCGTCGTCCTCAGGATCGTCTTTATGCTCCTGCGTGCCCAACAGACCTTCTGTGTTCTGAAGCACTTGTTGTGTACCAATTGCCAACTTGGCTCCAAAGTTGACCAACTCGGTGGCAGTCGTTTTCGCAAAGGCCAGGGCCCCTTTTTGAATGCTCCGAACAATTCGACCGTCTTTGCGGTATTCGCGAATCGGCACAGTGATGAGGTCTCGCACTCCGCTGCTCACATCAACCAGAGGCCGGATAGGGGCCAATCCAGCAAGGACTCCAGGCAGCTGGTTGCGCCTCACGTCGGGTGTCCAGACATTGTTCAGCATGATCCCGAGTCGGTCGAAGCCAGACACCCCATAAAGGATGACTCTGCGCAAAACCATGTCGGCGCGGTCAAGCACAAAAAAGTTCATGAACTCGGTGGTGCGACCGGAACGAAGCCCACCATAGTCCACCCTTTTCGGTTTGAAATCAAGCTTCACCGGAATGGCATTCACTTCCACCCGCTGTAAAAATGGTGGGTTGGATGGCCCGGTGGAGCTCGGGCTGCGATCATCTTTGAACTCGAAGAATCGGCTCATAAAATCCAGTGCGTCTTGGTCGACATGTAGCCGTAACGGCAATACACTGACTTTGAGTACCATCTCCGAGGCGGATAGATCGGCTACCGGCCTGACGTTGACAATCTCGATATGTACCATGTTGGTTCCCACTTCCCGCTCGCCAGCGTCTTGCATGTAAGTGGCAAATTTCTTCCAGGTGGACGTCGGCACATGGTCGAATATCTCCAGTTTCTTGACCCGAATGTCGACTGAGCTCTCAACCTCGCCGCTGCTGGGCGGGAATGCCACAAAGTCCACGGAGACTCCCTCGAGCTCAAAGGCCATCTTGTGGTGCTTGCTTCGGCCGAGCTTGAGTCGCTTCTGACGCGGGATTTGCCCAGAGTGACGACGAGAGGTGGTAGCTGTCACCGTGGTCCCGGTAGCATAACTGCCAGTCTCGCTGACCATGTCATCAATTTCGTGATTGATAGCGCTTGCCAATTCTCGGGGATCTTTGTTTGCCGGAATCCCAATGTATATTGAATTGAACAAGAAGTCTCCAATCACAGACTCATCGTCATCCTCGGCTCCAGTATTTCGGCTGCTGCTGCGTGGTCGTCTTGCCATGGCCTTGGTCTCAATATCTTTCACTGCCTGAGATATCGTGTCTCTGGTCGATTGCCAATCGTACCCATCGAAGAGATTCCAGATGACATGGACATCCCTGACTCGGACTTTAACCGGGGAGCGTTCGAAAATCGCATCACTGGCAAGGCTATATGTGTTTTGAGACGAATTCCACCGATGCGCAGTTCCACCAACCGATGTCTTTGGGGCAAAGTGATCCGTCCTGAAATCCAATATGCTGTGTACCATGGTTGTTTCGTTCATCTCCTCGAGATCTGGACCTGTAGCATCGACCGGTGCTATATGAAGCGATTCGGTAATCGCCGAGCGACCTAAATCGGACTCCACATGGCTTGCGGTCATCTCATCGTCAGCATCATCATCAGCATCCGCATACATGTTTGTCATGTATTGGTTGTCGTCCTCGTCATCGCCGTACTCATCCTCGTAACCGGAAAACGCCTCAACAGCTGTACCGCTTGCTGCTGTAAGCCCGAGTTCCGGCCCTGGCTCGGACACAAAAGCGTTGCCTGTGAAGGAGGCTAGCATGTCCTGGATGGGAAGGACCTCTGTACGAAACTTGGCGACCGTTGAAGGTGGCGTAGGAGGTGCTATTCCACTTAGAATTTGAACCATGGTCTGAGTCGAATCAGCGCAGGTTTCGATGAAGAGGAGATTATTGCGGAACTCAATGTCAAACTGAGTCTGTCCAGCAAGTTTGTCTTCGACAATGTTGACAATAGCGGAAGCAGACGACATTGTCCCCACTGGCACGAATCCAGCTTTAGTTAATTGCTGAATCTGATCATTCTCCTCGAAGTACAGCTTGTGATCGACATTGGCGGAGTCTTGTCCAACTGTTGAGGCATCGTCGATGATGAGTAATGAAGCGCGTTTGATGTCTAGGTTATTCGTCGATCCGCGCTTCGAATTTTCATGGCGTACAACAGCATCAGTCAAGACAAAAAGGCCCTTTGCCGGACTACGGTCCGGGTTAAGTGCTATAGCCGAATCTCGGAATGCCAGGGAGAATCTGATCTTCCTCGCAAGGTTGATGGCATCTCCATTGCCCGAGGATGCCGGACTTGAAGGGTGCGATGCCGGATCTTGTTTACCGGCATTGTCTTTGGCATTAAGACGGTCAACCAAAGAAGCCAAGGCCATCAGGGTCGGGACTTTATATTCGACGCACGTGTTGGAAAGTTTCATTCGAACTGTGGGCTCCATTTCATCCGCGATGAAGCGGCACATGAACATTGGGGGTGCCATAACCGTTTTGCTCTGAGAGATGACTTCGCCGATCAAAATATCACCGTCACTTCGTGAAATGGCCCAGCTGGTGATCTGAGCTGCGGCAAGAGAGGGCAAATTGATGTGAGCGGCCTCGATGAGGTCAGCTTTCAGCCGAAGAGGTCCAAAATCTTCGTCGATGTCAAAGCGAAAATCGAACTTTTTGACAAGGGCAAAGCTAAGGACGCCCGGGCGATCGTCTTCAGGGAGATATTTGGCGACTGAGGAGAGCTTCGAGATCTCATCTGCAACCTTTGTAAGATGTGGAATCCAACCCAGACCAGCGGCTCCAGCTTGGAGGTCGCCGATAGTCAGGCGCAACACTCCGCCCTTCCGACGTTGTCTGAGTAAAGTATCCACCATGATATCGTCGTCAGGGTCATACTTGTCGCTGGAAGGAGTGATCAGAGACAGAAGTCGGTCTAGATCGTCGTCGTTTGGTGAATTAGAGTAGTGCGCCTCAATGTTGCGGACTTTGGCGTAGATGTCTCCACGAGAGGTCGAATCTGTTAGAAGTGGTCCCTCAATAGCTGCACCATCAATGACCAACTTCACATTGTTTTCGCGATAGACTGTTTTAATGGCCGAGGTTTTTATTTGGACTGTGGATTCGGAGCCGGTCAAATCGATCACAGCTCCCGAGATACGGATGTCTACCTTAGGTAGAGGTGACATCGGATCGCTGTCTGCCCGCGGTCTCCTCTGAGGGTCGTTGAATCGTACCGTTCGTGTTCGTCTCAGTTCAGAGGTTGTAGTAGCAACTGCCCCTCTCACCGTGTTGGTTGATATTATGGAGTTCCCCAAGTCCAGCAAGGAACTCAGCCCGCCGCTTCGGCTGAGGACATCATCAATTACCAAGAGGTCTAGCACAACACGAACAGGTTTGAGCTGCACGTCATATCGGTTTCTCGATATAGTTGCTAGAAAGTCGTGCGGCCTCAACATGGAGCTCGTCGCAATCGAATCTCGGACGCTTACCGAATCCACAAACGATAGGACTTCCGTTGTACCGTGAGTCATTACGATCTTGGAGATCGACAAGCGCTGGCCGCCTTCCGGTCCAGACAGAGGCACGAGTGCTACTGTAGCAAGAGATAGCTTCAGAAGAGCAGGATCAGGAGCAATCATCGCCTCGACTGTTTGAACAGCCACTTTAGTTGGTGGCTTCTTCGGTACTGATGCGCAGAAGTCAAAATCGACTCGCTGAATGGTGATTTCAGGGGGTGTGGCTTTGGGAGTGGAAAGCGGTGAGTTAGGACCGGAAGCCGTGGTGGGAAGAGCTTCTGAGATCGCTTGGGTGGCTTTCACCAAAACTTTGCAAACCACAATATCCAGGTCGACTGAAATTTCTCCGATGGTGACGTTGAAGCCATTCTTTGGGCTTTCAGCGGGTTGGGCTTGGAGTGGAGAGCGCAGGCCGCGAAGGCGAGAATCGCTAAGAAATGTGCTGCTTGTGCCTTTCTCAATGCCTGAGCGACTCTGATGGGGGCCAAGGGTGTGAGATGGACGCTGTGACAGTCCTGGCCCTCGGGTCTCAGTCAAGTTTGCATGATGATGTGATTCAGGAATCTTCAAGCACGCGGTGTCACACCGTAAAATGCGCGTGCGGAAATAGGACGCAACACTGCTCTCAAGTACAGTCTCACCACTGTGTACCTCCGGGTCAACGATTGGCCGGCGCTGTTCTGGAACTCCTGCCTCCACACTCTCATCGATATCAACGGCTGTATGAGTTGGTTGCTTCAAATGCCTTTCAGGATCCACCGGAGGCTGTGTGTGTTCACGGTCGCTTTCGGTCTCCATAGCAGTTTCCGACCAACCCCAACCACCAGGCATTTCAATCTGTCCGCTCACTGCGCTCATATACATGCTCTCAGCCTCATCGTGTGTGAACATTCTCGATTCTGCTAGATTCTCAGACCGCGTATCTTCGGACTGTACAGGTTGCGTAGCATCTTGGTGCAACGACTCCAACAGTTCCTGTGCATGTGCTCGGTTGTCAATCGATTGTATTTCACCGGACAAATGTTGCAGGATTGGCAGTCTTGCCGGTCTCTGTTCTAGCAATCCCAGGTCGGAAAGAGCAGCATCGTCGAGTCCAAGCCCGGATGCAGAGTTGCTCGACGGAGATGACAGTTTGGAACGATCTGACTGCTGGCTCAGGCTGGCACTGCTGGATGTGATATGATCGCTGTTATCGCCATGACCCCTTGGGTGTGAGAGTCTGGGCCGTAACTTAACCTGTCTCGGGGAACTAAACCCAGAAAACTCCGAGAATGTCTCGGATTCTGACAAGACAAACAGATGTAGCTCATCGACGGTGACTGACCGCCTGAGATCGGGGATCGCATCGGCATTACCTGTCTGTGCCAACGGCTCTACCGATAGTCTTGCTATCGACAGCATGAACTTTGTGTGCTCTGTCGGTATGCCTTCAGACAGCGAAAGATCCAGCTCGAGAACAACATTGATGTCCTGCGCCTTGACGGATAAGCGGTCTGCCACTCCTTTCAAGAAATTGGCAACAAAGGTAGGCAGAGACAACCCTCCAGGCATGCCTAGGCCAACATCATCGCCTGGGGCGGACGACACCGACTCATGCATGTATTGAGATTGAGACTCTAGTGCCGCTTGGAGCTCTTCTCGTTCATCGGGAGACTCATCTTTCAGAAACGAAGTGGCCAAGTCTTCAGAGGTCGGGATGACTTGCGACAGTTCCAGGTGTCCTCTAGAGCGATCATGCGAAGCCCGACCGCCTGGATCGTGTACCGCAGGCGAAGATAACCGGGGTAGGTTTGCTCGGTCTGTCTTCCTGAGCGCGGATCCGCCTTTTGAACGCCATGTATCTGCTTGGCCGTCTGCTCGCACTCCAACCAGTATCTCCACGCCTTCTACTTCGACTTCGATGCTGGAAATATGTAGATCTGCGGGGAGGGTGAGGCGTAGGAGCCTGATCGAGGCATGCGCAAGGGTAAAGGAAGGCGGTAACTGGAGGACATCTATGAGCCGGTTCACTTTGATGCCGACGTTCTTCAACTCGACAACGGTCCTCTGACCCCAGGTGAGGCCAAGGTTATCAAGATCGAGTTCGTCAGACTCCAGAAAGTCGAGGCGAGTAAGGGCATATCGGAGCAGTCGCTTCTGGAAATAGGATGGAAGGAAGTACGACATGGCGACGGGGGATGTGCCTCCTTGGCCTAGAAAGTGACGATTATGGAAACGAGGTGTTCATGTTGAAGGGATCAGATGTTGTGATGGACAAACAGTGACTGGATGGTCATCGGAGAAGATCCCTATGGCGGGGGGAGACGGTGCCAACAGTCGCTTCTCGGCGATGGTGGCAATTGTGTCTCTATCTGATCAGAAGACGTGAGACTCTCTCAGTGGACGACAGGCACAGAAAAGCATGGTATATCTGGCATTGCAAGATATGTAGGCCGTCTCCGTTTAGTCAAACGCAGGCGCGGTTGACGGAATGGGAGTCGGGGGAAACAGGCAGATGGGACAAGATATGGAGCGGCACACGCCTTATTTACTGTGACGAGCCTCTTTGGACCGAGTTAGTATACTACTGTAGGAGTAGGAGTAGTATTAGTACATGGTACTACTGGTAGGCTCCGTTTTCTGGGCGGCTGACCCGGACGTCTAGGCTCCTTAGGCGTATGCTCGGACCTATGACTGCCTCGTTGCGGTGCCCCTTAGCCCCTAAGCCCTGACTTGGCCGGGCTTGGTGCACGCGACCCCCCGTGACCAGCTGACAGCATACGACTACCTACATGTATGTACGGAACACTGTGCTGTTCGTACATAAGGTTCTAGTCCTAAGCAGTCTCTTGGGCCACAGACGATGTCTCCTCGGATCAGCGCTCGCAGAACTTCGATTGATTAACAAAGACGTCTAATTAATCTCATTACACATTGTCTGGAGTTGAAGTTCCCAACTTGACAGGAATGATCGCAAAGTGAGTTTGCAGGGCAAAAGTGAACCAGTGGCTCTTGGCTCTGGTGAGTGGGTTGAATCAACGCCGTCGCTATGTTCCTGATTCATCGCCATCGTTTCACTCCTCTTCGTCGTCGTCATCGTCGTCATCCTCTTCCGACTCTTCATTCTCGTCATCGCTGTCGGCCTCTAGAGGATATTCCATCACGATGGACTGACACCACTTCTCGAATTCCGAGCGCCATTCACGCAACAGCTTTGATTTGATACCCTTGCCCATGTAGCCCTCCGTGATAGCCTTTTTCCACTCTGCGGGCTTCTGGTCTTCGATGGCGCTCCACTTGAGGGAATTTTCCGCCATCGTCCCGAGGCCCTCGAGCCCAAGGTTCTCGAAGGCCATGTATGACTGCCAGAAGTCGTGACTCAAGCCATTCTTGCCATGGCCTAGGATTGCAGGGTCGTCGTTGTTTAGGGACACAGATACGCCCCGTGAAAGCAAGGCCGGTAGAGTGTGCGACAGTATGGAACTCGAGAGCCGTAGAATCTCGTTCGATATCGGGCAACTCTCGATCAATATCTTCTTCTCCTTGACCATGTCAATCAGCAGCGGATGCTTGTACAGCGAATACCCGTGCCCGATGCGTCTGGTCCCCAGTAGGATTGCGTCGAATAGGTTGTTGTCGGTGCTGTCGCCATCCCCCAGGCACTCGCCGGCGTGAAAGAAAAAGGGAAGATCCACTCCTGCTTCGGCGCACGTCTTTTTGAACCAGAATATAATCGGTGTCAGGTCTTTCAGAGTTCGGCCCGGATCTTCCTGACCGACAAAGTCGATGCCGCAAACGAGATGGGGAAATTTCTTCTTTATTCGGATGGATTCTTTCATAGCATCGGCTATGGCTCGATTGTCCATGCTTCTGATGACTGTCCAAATCATGCGTGCGCCGTTGAACTTCTTCCCTGCCGGTGTCTTCTTGAACTTTTCAATCTCCTCGCCAAACGCGGCAAAGAAGTCGTCGAACCGCCCAACTTGGCCGTGCGTCTCGCCCTTCTTCCGAAATTCAAACTTGAAGGCAGTCCGAATGTCGACGTATATGATACCATCATTGGCCAATTGCTCGAGTAATCGTGCCATGGCGCGGCGAAAAATTGGTTCGTAATAAAGCATCCCCCCAATCACCACAAAAGTACTCTGGAATTTCCGCCAGATCGCATTCATGCCGTGATGATGGCACAACGACTCCTCTGCCGTGATGGTGCATCTACTGATTAGCCACTTCTTGAATGTGGTCTCATCATCGGGGAATGAGCGTTGCGCCTCTCTGATAGGAACAGGGGCATTCGATGTGTAAGTCGTACTCCAAATATTGACCGGGGTCTTCTGCTTCTTGATCTCTTCTTCAGAGTAGTAGCGGAATTGCAGGAACCCCGTTCTACGCTTGTCCTTATTGCTGAGTGCCTCAGGTGCGAGGATACAGAAGCCCTTCTCACCTAAGGCCTGATCAACGAGCCAGTCAATGTCAATCATAGCGTCAAGGTGAGCATGCAGTAAAGCCCCTTTGGGCATTCGCTCGATGATCTTCCATAGTTCAGTGGTTTCCATGCGATCTCGTGCCAGAGTGAACATCATTCCAGGATACAGGTGACCACCATTTTTATCCATCAGGCTCTCCTCGAACTCGGACGTCCAGACGGTTTTCAACTCCCGCCGCCGAATGGAGGCCATGATCTTTGCTGCCTGTTTGGCGATAGGCGTCATAGACTGCTTGAAAAGACGGTCATGTCGCTGCTTCTTCTCCTGCTCTATCAGTGCCTGTCTCCCAGCAAAGTACTTTTGGATGAATGGGTCGTCGGTCTGCGGGATCCCTTCCTCCAACTCCCACTCAAGTTGGGAGTCAATAGAGCCCTCATCGGAGGATTCTTGCTGTGATTCCATACCTACCGCTGACCCAAGATGAAGACGGATAAAACGTTCAATGAACACCGCCAATTTTGAGAGGGCTCCTGTGCCAGCGAGGCTCACCGAATGTCATATCGTGAGAAACCTGCGGCCGGATTGGAAAATCGAGTCTTGGCACTTATGTAAGCTATTACTAAGTAGACACTTGGCAGAACCGGGCACGAGGCTGAATAAAGTCGCGCAAGGCTGATGCACCGTAATGAGGGAGGGAGCCTTTCAGTCAAGTTACATAGTACACGTTGCTAAGTTTGAAGTATCGCTCTACTTATCATATCCTATCTGAGTGCTATCCGATCCATATCCTTCCCAATTCAATACAAGAAAGTTCCAGCTTCCCTTAGCTGCTACCAAGAATGGAACATCCTACCCAAACACATATAATCATAGACTTCGTTCACTTTGTCAACCAAACAGTCGTCACCCCTCAACACCGTCCTTCATACAGAATAGTCGTCACCCCTATACAAGACTTGACAGAGGCTTGATAACTGGATCTGACTTTGTCCAATCGTCGCAAGGTTGGGCTGCCGCGGCTTTATTATGCCCGTTCCAACACTTCGAAGATCCCGTCCAAAACCACCGGTGTCTGCATCGTCTCCTGCATAAACTCAATCATTGAACACTGCGAAGAGGATGTTGTCGACGTGGTATTTGCTCTGGGTCTCGGTTCCAGAAGCCCGAGTCCAAGGAGTTCTGCGTGGTCGGCATATTTTTCTGCTTCCAAAGCAAGATCGATCGCCGACGGCTGTCGACGAATATAATTATAGCTTGTAGGGCTTGACTCATACGAGGTACCGAAGACGGGTGACGCGTTGGTATTGAGCTCCCGGATCGGGCTTCTGAAGCTGCTGTAGGATGCACTCGGCGAAGGTCGGACAGAAGAGGATGACGAAGACACCGTTGGGGAGCTCATGGCGCTTGAACTTGGATTCTTCGGTGTTGATCGATGGAGAAGGTTATGACTGAATATGGTGTGAAGAGACAACCGCACTCGCGAGGAGGTTGAGGAAGGATGGTTGTGAAATCTCCTGGACATTGGTTTAACGATGAATGCTTCTTCTTGGTTGAGACTCAGAGCCTCAAAGATGGAGACTAACTGTGCAACCGCCATGTCCCTTCGGGGGCTGAACCAAGTCTTATGTAAACAGAGAAAATGGTCTCGATTCCTGTATTAAGCTCGACGTTGGCCAGCAGGTCGAGGGTGAGGTGATAAGCGAAAGAATGTGGTCTGTTAAACAATAGCTCGAGAAAGCGGGCACGAGGCAACGAACGAACGAACGGGCTTGCTGCAAGTTGCCTGGGAAATATGGTACAAAGATGCCCGAGCGACAGAACGTTGTAAAGAAGGCAGATGAAAGAAAAGGTCAGGACACGGCCGATCGGGAAGGGTCCAAGAGCGAAAGGGAGCCACCTAAGAGGTCAGTGAGACATTCCTCTAAAGGGAGAGATGAAGGATGTGTCCCTCTGTCTCCCGAGCAGTGACAGATGTTATAGTGAGCCGTGCTCGCAGGGACCAACGGCGTCGTCCGCACAGTCAGATGACGCTCGTTTCGTCCAGCCCGGAAACATTGTTGGGACACTGGAAACATTCAAGGGCAATTCTCTCGTTGCAGATGCTCCCGAAGCTCTGACGAACGATTGCAAATCTATCGAGGGGCAGCACCTCAGACGCGAGACCGGGATGGCAGAGCACTAATCCTCGACACTGGCATCAAGCCCGCCGCGTCGACTGCGCAGACGCGAGGATGGCGCAGGCTAGTGTCCCGCACCTTCAGCTTTGACGCGATCAACGCCCCGGTCTGCCAGTCTGGCCCGCCGTCACCCTGGTTCCGCTGCTTGGTGCCTCCCACGGACCGGCGTTGTTGCAGCAATCTGACTGGATGCTCAGTGCGCATAAGGATTTACTCTGTACCAGTGTACTCTACCAGGCACCAGGCACCACCTACGAGTACCAGGTACTTCTTCTGTTGCCGTTGAGGTCTACGGAGTACTCCGTGGTGTAACAGCTCCTCCCAGTGCTCGTCTGACCTGTTTCCAACTTAACACTGCTATGTTACAGGTTTGTCTCCTCACACCAGTCCCGCAAGTCGAAATCGACCGAAGCGATAATCCCTACCGAGTACCTCCCGAGTACGGAGCAGCTAGTGTTGCTACTCAATAGCTTCTAGCTATAATTCCATTATATCCGAACTTACGAAACACACGCGCGTCAGATTCGCCCGTCGCAACGCCAAATCCCTGCTCGAAACCGTAACCAAGCTGGCCCCTGTGGCTACCTCATTTCGCATGGTCCTCTGATCCGCGTTTCAGGACCGGGGGATTCATCGAGTCTCGACCTAGACCGATATACGATACTCTCCATTGCCGCAATGTTCCTAGCGAGAAAGACCAGCAGGGAGTGAGAAGCTGCCAAAGTGGTGCAACAACGATGTGTGATACTCCGTACTCCGTATACATGCATCCAGACAAGAGGAGGAACGTCTCTCGCTTCTCCAACACCTCTGAACAGTGACGGTGGAGGGTTGAGTTCCAAGCATCCCTGTTCGCGTTGGTGTTATTGTTTCACTCGCGCATCAAGCCCTGGATCTCTAAGTTCTAGTTTGCCCACAATCAGAGACCTGCAATCGGAAGTGCTCTTCGGATCATCGCGACATGGCATCCAACTATTTCGTAGACTCTGTTTCTCCCAACCCGTTTCATTGGCTGGCATTACTGCTGGACATGGTAATCCCTCCAGCAGAGGCTATGTACTCCGTCATCTCGATTGAATCAAACTTGCGAACATCACCTCTCAGTTTAAGGGGTTCTAATAACACATAAACATTGCATCCTGAGCCAAGCCGTCGATCTTTCTAATTCTTTTGCCTCTTAGACGCCATCGCTTTGTTGATCACCATCGAGCATCCTGAGCTCCCGGGGCTCAATATCTGCAACACAAAACACAAGGAAATAAAAGGTCTCGTGTCAGTCATCGGCCTCATCAAGATAGAATATCATTCGCGCTCGCTTCGATCGCTTCGTGGTCTTCTCGTCGTAAAGCTTCTTCGTAAGCTTTCACCCCATGCTGAGGCGTCAAAGCTTTCCATAATCCCTTGCTCTCCAATACCACTGGCGTTGCTGCCTTGTCGGCTGTGGCTCAATGTTGGTGTTGGCGTTGTAGGCGAGGCTCTTGCTGCTGCAGAGTATGAAGTATCAACCGATTCCAATCTGGGTGACCGAATCGGACTGCCCCTAGGCGACTCATCCGGGCCAAATGACCAAGCACTTCTCAACGAGTCCCGAGGTTGAAATGATGTGTCAATAGGCGGTAGGCTAGGAGCCTTCTTGGGCGTATATGTCGGCGTTGAGAAAGTAAAGTCGTGAGGCTGGGTACTGCTACTGCTCTCAAGGTTGTCATCGGGATTCTCGATGAAGATCTCAGGGACAGGAAGCGAGGGGGGCGCCCCAAGGCGCGAATTGCGCTTCATATCTCTCGCCCTTTTGAACTTTCTTGACCAATGCAGAGTGTCAAAAAACCCCATCACTGTGTCGCGTCGAATCGTCTCTTGTACCCTCTGAAGACGCGCCCGCCGTCGGAGGAATTCTTCCAGTCGTAGACTACGTGAATCGGTGATCACGTTGTAATGTGCCAATAGGAAGAGACACGCCGTGAAAGGGATCCCCCGGTCTGGATCGGCCGTCAGCATGACCTCTTGATAAAATACATTCATTCGCTCCCGTCGCCGTCGGATTTCGGCCACGGGTATTTGGTTGACCCGTTCCGCCAGCTTGTCGAGATCAATTCCGTCCACCACTCTCACACCGGGTCTCACGGGGTCGCCAGGTTGGACGGAGCAGTCCTCTTTGATACTCCGCACCGTGAAATCACCATCGTAGATTCGCATTTGGAAGACACCGGACAGTTCCTATCGATTGTTAGTGGACGTAGCGACAGATCCATAAGGTAAGTCTTACCCCCAGTAAACGCGGGAACTGTTCCTTGGAGATGAATCCAGTGCCGTTTGGATCAAAATCTGCCCATGCGTGTTTGAATCGTCGAATCTCATCTCGACTCACAATGGACATTCCGCTGCTCTGCTGGTAGACGTACGAGAAACTCTCGAAGATCATGGAAACGAACAATGAGACGAAGATGTACATGCTGATGATGTTCCACGAGATGAAAAGCGCTCTCGCCCAGTTTGAACTGCCGCAGTCGCTGTCGAAGAAACTAGCTTCTCGAACGCAGAGAGGAGGTCTGATGCTTGCATAATCCTCCATGATCTGGTTCCATCCTTCCCCAATGCTCGTGCGAAACAGAAGGATGAGCGCCTTGGGTACGGTTCGGAAGTTGACGTTATTGCTTTCGTTTTCCCCGAACCGCGTGAGTCCGAATGCTTGAGTAAACGCAATTGCGTAGACCAAGAAGAGAACGAACCACGTTGCCAAGAGGTTCGCTATGAGAGGGAGAGACGCTGCAGCAGTCTTGAACAGCTGGTCCAGTTGATTGTTTCGCGGAATGAGGAGGAAGGAGACCGACACGAGGAAGAGCTTGTGCAGTTGATCAAAGCCTCGACTGTTGACCTTCGCCAGTGCTATTAGCGAAGTGACAAAAATCCCTGATACGGCCAAAATCGAGTAGATATCCCAGGAGCTGCGTCTGAAACGGTGCCATCCGAGCCCAAAAATCCTAATCGCGATATTGGCAATCAGAATGATCGTGAAAGCCAAGAACAGACCTTCCCTCAGCGTCTCCCACCAGGATGGCTCGGGATAGAAATCGACGGTGAGAAGAATGAGATGGAGAATCAATATCGTGGTGATGAATCGTTGCCACTTCCCTCGTTTCTTAATCGAGAGGTTGTAGCATCGTTTCTTCCAATTGGCGCTGGTCTCGCCGATCGAGCGCTTGGAAGGGGAGATTTGTCTGAGGAGTTTCCGTAGTTCGAGCCACGAACGTTGCTCCGCGGTCAAGAATGCGACGCCCGTCTGTTCTGTGTAGTTACGCATGAAAACAGATATGAACAAGGTCAGCACAAAGACGGCACCCAAGAGGTTGAAAATGATGAAATAGACGGCATTGCCTTGCGCGGCAAAGGGTTCGGGTTGGAGTCCCCTTCCTGTAATGCTCGTCCCTGACCACATAACGTTAACCCATCCTTCCTGAGAGACAATCTGGAAGAGGATGAACAAAGCACTGCCGAAATCATCGAAACTGAACCATGGGTTTGCCACCTGCCTTGGAGCTAGTACAGGCCAATTGAAGGGTGTTGAGTTGAACTCTCCCACGCAATTTGACAGCGCACTGTAGCCGAAGTCGCCGTCGTTGCAAGCCTGCATTTTCCCATTGAAGAGGTTTACCCCAAAAATCGCAAAGGGAATTAGCAAACTCATTGAGACAAAGGCAGCAGCAAGGACTTTGTAACCACCAATGATGATCACAGAGTAGAAAGTATCTCTGGCAGTGTCGCTGATATTGAGTAGTCGCAACGCTCTCAGCGCTTTGAAAGCACCAACCGCACGTGAGACACCGTTATCTCGAAACATGGTTGTGATAACGTTGATCCACAACGTGATCAAGACCACACCATCGATGAAGCCCCAGACGCTCCGAGAGTAGGCATGGGGGGTGAAAAAGAGCCCGTCCGCAATGGCCTTGATGATTGCCTCCACTGTAAAAAGGACAGCGAAACCAAGATCAGTCCAGACAAACCACGTCGTAACGTCCACATTGTTATTCTGGTGGTACTCGCGCTGATACAATGGAGTAGTAATGCAAGCCAGAATGACCATTGCCACAATGGCGGCATATGTGAACGCGGAGAATGCATACCAGGCTGGTCTGTACGGAGAGACTCCTTCCACACGTTCGTTCCCACGTCCAGGACCAACGAGGTATTGACAAAATCTTCGGATCGGGTTATGCGGTTTGAAAATGAACAAGGACACGTTGTAATTTGGGTGCTTCTGCAGGTATTGACGTTGCGCTCGCCGCCGGTTTTCAGTGGTCGTTACCACCTGTTTGGCTGCAGCTCGTGGATCAAACTCCTCGTTCGCTCGAATCGTCGTGGCGCTTGAATAGAAAGGGTTCGGTTCTTTGTGGTGGTTGAGGCCCGTGATTTTGCCCCAATATTGGGAGAGCAGACCAGGCTTTACCAAGATATGTTGGGGGAGATGCGCAGACGTTGGACGTTTGGGCAAACCATCCTCTTGCTCGTCCAGAAAATCTTTGACCACCGCCTCCTTCAGCAGCTGTTCCACTGTGGCTGAGCCATACTCAAGAGCATCCCGATGCCGGATCGATTCTCGTCCCATCTTGAACACTGAGGTGAGGGACAGATTTCCAGATGTAGAGCTGCTGATCTCTTTCTGCTTCAAAAAAGCCTTCACTTGCTGAAGCCGTTTCTCATCCTCGGACACATCGAAACTCTCCTGGATGACAGCAATAAACATGTTCATCACAATCAGATTCGAGATAATGAACCATAAAATGAAGAATATTGCACTAAGCCATGCGGTGTCCCAGATGAGGTTGAACTGGGTCGCGTTGTACATGAGCTCCGTCCAATTCTCGCTAGAAAAGATTTGGTACATTCCAAGAAAGGAATTCCATATGTCGAAAAAAGTCACGGGGATCGTCTCGCCAGAGGGGTCTACCGAAGGGTAGTCGCCTCTAAACAGCTGAGACGCGAGGATGGCGGCCAAGAACGTGAACAGAAACACGAACAAAATCAGGTTAAGTAACCCAACGATATTCCCAAACACAACCATTACCAGTTCTCTGGTGACCCTCACAGCCAGGACCACTCGATAGATACGAGCAATCTGAAAGGCAGTGAGCCATGCATATGGTTGTCCTGAATTCCTGATAGGAGGGATTTGCGCAACGCTGGTGACGACGGCGAGCAAGAGGTCGACCAAATTCCGTTTGCCACGAAAGAAGTGCCTCCAGTCAGACAGGAACCGCAAGATAATCTCCACAAGGAGAAGTAGTGTCACAACAGTTTCCGAGTTCATGATAAAGGTCTTTCGGTCATCGCCCATACGGGCACTGCGAAGGCTCTGTACCACGAGATCATACACAATAAGGAGGGTCCAGAACCAGTGTGTCTTGTCAAACAGTTTCTTTAGCTGGCTCCTGTTCGTCATCGGATCCTCGCTGAGTACCGGCGCGTCAATCTTTTCTGCAGTGAAAGCGCTCTGCTTGCTTTCTTCCCGGATGATCTGGAACGACGAGGTGATAACAGCAACCAACAAGTTCACCAGCCACAAGCTGAGGACGACAATGCCTGCAGCGAAGAAGAGCGCTGCGGCGAGATAGTCGGAGTCTGTGAGATAATACAGAAGATCGGAAAAGGTGTTGGAACTGATAATGACGAATACGAGTTCCAGAGACTGCGCAATGTTGTCGAAACTAACAGTTCCATTGTATGGACCCTCCGAGCCCTCAATGCAGACCGAGTTTTGCGGACACAAATAGCCCTTAGGAGTACCGGTCCCGTTTTGACCATCACCTTTAAGCCAAGGCATAGGCTCGCCCGTCACGGCATGCAGGTATCCTCCACAAAATTGCACGTTGTCCGGAGCTAGGTTGAGAGTGTAGTTCTGCCCAGAACCATCGTCGCCGACCCAAACACAGGTACGTCTTAGACTTGATTTGAAGCTCTGGACGCCGATAATGCCAAAGATCAACCAGAAGAAGCCGATCAAGAACGCCACGTGGACAAGAAGGGGTGCTGCCTTTTTCAGACTGCGAAGAATGATAGAGGTACCGGCTGTTAGCCCTAATAGTCGCAGGATCCGAAGGCAACTCAGCATATTGAAAACATAGACATGGGTGCTGTCTTCAACTCTGCCTATCTGCATCGCAAAGGATATCCAGTACGAGACAACAGCGACGAAATCGAGACGGTTGAATGAATGTCTGAGGAAGGCCCGTCGCGCGAGACGAATTCGTTGCTGCTGTTTAGTGTGGCCAGGACCGCCAGGTTCTGGGACGCCTGTGAACGTGCGGACAATTGATGGTTGACTTGGAACATCGTTGTTCGTTGGTGCCACATCTCGAATATGTTGGGGGGCCAGAAGCGTCTGCGCTTTCTGCAGAACAGCCTTCTTCAGCCCCAGAGACCGGTCGATCGTGCTGAACTCACGAGGGTTCGATATGAACCCTGAAACGATTGTCCGGGCAATCAACTCAAGAGTATACACGACAAATAATGCAAAGATGGCGTAATCGAATCTGTTACTACCCCATGCTTTGCTCCTCGTCTGAAGATAGACGGCATGGGATGCGGCATTTACGGCGAGCAAAACCGTTTGAGCGACGATCAAGGCCAAGATGGTCGGTTCCATCCAAGGATGGACCAATACTTCGCAGAGCCATTTTCGAAGTTTGTTATCGGGGCCAAAAATGCCCCATGTCTTTCCTAGGAGAGGATTTGGATGACGGAGAGGAAAGACTGGAGATGACGACGCCTCGACGGATGGGACTTTCTCGAGAGGTGATTTGGGTGGCGGTGCCGATTCTTCGTCCGGGGCAGGAGAAGCCGAGGTGCTTGGGCGCCGATGCTCTCGTACAGATGATTTGCGACGGATACTTCGTTCAACCATGTCCGAGTCGTTACTCAAATTGACCACACGTTGTGATATCTCTCGGAGCATTGAGTTGGCCCTAGCTATTGGTGACGGAGAGGGTGACAAGGACCTTGAGCGTTCGCTAGACTCTCGCCGACCTGAGGATGCCAGGCGGCTAATGCCACTTCCAGTGCTCAATTTTCGATGCAAGCCGGCATGTATATCAAGTGTGGGAAGATCATCGCCTAGCCTAGTTCCAGGCCCACGCAGCAGCGAAGGGGACTCGCCATCCGTCCATCGAACGCTGGACCTCCGTTGTCTGTCGTGCCGTTGACCTCTCGAAGTGGAACTGGAAGTCCTCAAAGAAGACGTGAGACGGCGGCCCTCCGTCAAAGGAGTTGTGTCAGTATCTGGCGGTGAGAACATACTCTCAGCATCGGGATCGTTGAGATCTTCACCGGCAGGGGTTGTGACGATGGTCGGCCGTCGCATCGCTATATTAGAAGGTGTGGATGGCTGAGGGAATTCCAATCCGACTGTAGCAGCTGCAAACCCTTCGACGTCTTCGATAGGAAAGTCTCTGCTGCTCCCGCCTCTTGATGAAAACCCAACAGATCCGAACGAAGTTTCACCTCTTGTGGGTGACTCCTCTTCCAAGCGCTCATAGTTGGGAGTCCGCCGACCCGTCAGTAAAGACCGGGTGCGATTATGCCCATGCCCATGACCAAAAATCCCCCGTCCAGAACTTCCGGGGTCATTAGAACTGGGGGATGAATCGTCCGGAGGCCTGGAGAGATCTTGCAGAGGTATAGACGGGGGGCCGGTCGCCTTTGGCGGCGTTCTATCGCGCGAAGACATTTTTTGAGAGACCTCAGGAGAGGCAGAAATCGAACAGCATCAGCTACATCGGAGGGCTGCAGGACATCTCGACGGTTGCGACTAGGCGAATCGTCCACGAGTATGTTGGGAAGAGGGTGCGAAGGCTGGTGGGAAACGAGCGAATGCTGCGGTCACGATCGAGCTGAGGTTTCGAATTTCAAGTTCCACAACGCAGTGGAGCGCCGGGCCAATGGTCAAAGGTGAAAACGAATGGATGATATGTTGAGGCTCATAGTAGAAGTGCGACTGAGCGACAAGTCGAGGCGAGAATTATTTGTTTGCAGGAACACAGCAGTATTAGGTAGTTCATGAGTTCGCGTCGAAGTCTCGGTTGTCAGACGCAGGAGAGCCACATGTCTAGAAAGAGTGTGGCGCAGGTTGGGGGCTTAGGGGCTTGGGCCCTTAGGCTTAGGCCCGGGGGCGGGTTTACCCTAAGACTTCGTACAGCTGCACCCAGTGCCCCATCAGAGTTGACTGCGTGAGGGTATGTACCCTTTGGCATCGGGGTTAACTACAGTAGTAGGATTTCAGGTGGTTTAGGTACCTTAGTACCTAGGTAGGTAAGGTGCCTGGTACCTGCTTAGTACGGGATATAGGGTGCTGAAGCATACCTACCTGTATGTACAGAATACTCTGTACAGAGTACATTAATGGTATATCGTATATATCCGTACAATTTGGCTCATTAGGTACCTAGTACTGTATGCTCTGACGCGCGGCTTAGGCACTTGGGACCCCTTTGGTGTCTAGGTAGGCTTTTCTAGCCTGCGCTGTGGACGTGCACGGAGTAATTAACGGAGTACGCAGTACTGTAAGGCAGACCTCCCATCTGCCGAATTTCAGGTTTCAGGGGCCTCCTAAGCCATGGCATCGATGTTGCCAGTTAACGCCAAACGCCCCTTAGCCTTGAGCCCCTCCTACCCAGTACTCGTACGTTACGAGATGTTCTATCATAAAGCCGACTACTGTTTCATTTGTGATGTCCACACGTCAATCCTACCTAGAAGTTCCCAACCCTGATGAAAGGTGTTGTCATGAAGATGGCATGAGGGACCGGTGCAAACCGTTTCAACGGCGACGCGTCAGCCGTGCTATATTTATAGGCTGGCTTCTCCGCTGTCTCTGATTATGGATCCCTCCACTTTATGTTTGTATTCATGTCTTCCCTCGGTGGTTGAATCTTCCCTTAGACACCAAACAGATCAACCGCAAGAAGAAATCCAAGTCATTAATGCTGTCGTCAGAAGCATGTTTCATACAATTATGTTATTTGCAAATCATGCCGCCGCCCTGGAGTGGTACCTACCTTGGGAGCTAGCACCCGCAAAAGCTATAACATCTTCTTCAATACTAGGTCTCCACGCATGGCGGCAATGCTCCTCCACCTGGTGGGATCTGAGTATAGGCCCTAGACTGTCCATTAAGACGGTCAATGCCACGTGACTCTCGCAGTTCTCAAGAGACGCTTCACCTGCTCAGGCACCATCTCTTTTGTTCTCATACTGACTTTACGGAGAGTTCGGAAACCTTTATGCTTTCGGAAGATGTCATCCCAGAGTCGCCCCTCGACACATTCCATCTCACTCTTCTCATCAACGGAGCTGAGCATGATTGGGATATCCATGACCTCTTCTTGTTTCTGCTTCCAGCCGTCATGGCCAACGATGCGGGTTAAAGGAGCTAAAGCATCATCCCAAGTACCTGATCGGAGGTGGCATTGATCGAATTGAAACTCGTGCAAAACCTTGCGATGCAACATGATAAAGCCCGAGGCCTGACTGGCATCTAAGCTCGCATTTCGAAGCTGCATTGATTTCAGGTGACGAAATTTGATAGGCCTGAAAGAGGATTTTGTACTCGCGTTGGGACATGCATTTGAGCAGTCCAGAGACGTGGGGCGTGAAGTGCAAGGCTCCACGTGGAGGGCAAGTGGACAAGGTCCTTTGTTGCCCAGCCATTGGAACTTGAAATGTTCCAACGATGGCACTGTCTGCAAGTAGCTGTGCAAGATCTTGAGATGATCCGACGGCTGGTCGCGACCATATTCGAAGCTGTCCATTTCAATGGCTAGCGTCTTGATGCGGCGCCAAACCCGGGACGAGGCAGGAGAAGACCCAATACTCAGGTGAGATCGAAGGTAGAGTAACGCGGCCGGGTGAATAGGCGCTAGGGTGAGCGTCTCCAGCTGCGGCGGGTTCGCACACTCCACGGCCAGTCTCAGCGAAACCAATGCATAGTCAACAATATCCTTGCGGTACCTTTGACCCGCAGATTGGCCTAGGCACGACACATGTAGATGACGTAAGTCTGGCATGGCCGAGAGAGCCCGCAAGAAGGAATCGACATTGGTTGCGGCGTGGAACAAAGGGGGATATTGCTTAACCAGCAGGTCATTCATCTCCCAAGAGCCATATTTGGACGACGAACAGGACGAGGAGCTGGACGATGATGTTGGCCTAGAGCTGACTAGATGTGGTTCGTATTGGAAGGTGATTTCTTCGAGTGTGCCCGGAGCTAGAAGAGGCGGCAGAAAGGTGTCTGAGTGGTGCGGCATGGCGAATGAGAGAGTCCGCACATGATGGCCGATCCTGTCCAAGGCAGCCATCCGCGCCCTGCGCGAAAAGGTGTTGGTAGTAAACTGGACTTGCAGGTGTTTGAACAGGATCGGAGCGACGTCGTGAGCAAAGCCTTTGCACACCAGCCGAAGCGATTGCTGATCATCCTTGGGGAGGCAGGACAAGAAGGATTCGCGGGTGAGATCGGTCCGCCAGAATTTTGCGAAGGCGATTGAAGACATGTTTGACCTGGGACATTGTTTGACTGATATGAACTCGTTGCTGTGCTGTGAAAAATCGAGGTCCTTGTGCCACGGACGAACAAGAAGGCACGTATTTCCCGAACACCATTCGATTACACCAGAGTGGAGAGTGCCGAAGAACAAGAGGAGGCAGAGACACGAAGCTCAGCTACCTCATGGGAAGCTGGTAATTGCTGCTGGATGAATGGAAAGAGGGCAAGATGGAAGCTGGTTGCCTGGGGGGAGAGACACGCCCAGGCAGAGAAGATGGGGACATACGTGAGAACCTACCTCGTGGGAGGGGAGAAGATATAACTGAGCCATTTGCCGACAGAGAGAGACCGGCGAATGCAGATGGCAGGAATTGTGTTGCATACATAGTATGGTGCTATATCGCGAGCGTTGCGCGGTCGTTGGAGCGCGCAAGGCACAGAGCAACGTGATTATAGGTGGTTGACTGGGTTTAGGGCCACGGCTGCAAGTTGAGCTGCAGGTGGTGGTTGTTTCGTGGCTGATTCGCGCCACATTCTCGTGAGGGAGGAGGGTAAGTTAGTATACTCTGTACTCCGTACTATCGTGTCAGGAGTTCTAGTTTCGGCAGAGGGCGCCGTCCTGGATAATGGCGGGCATTGAAAACAAGCCAGGGAGTATAGAGTGAATAGGTATACAGCAATATTCTGCATGATGGTTGTTTCCTTCCATGCCTACAGAAGAATACTAGGTGGTAAACGGTCCGCACCGCGTCGGGCCCTGAACTGGGGTCCGCGTAAAATATTATGGCGCGTTGGGCGCGCATGTTTGTTACAGTATCCGTGGTCCCTATTATGACAGAAACTCGGTGATGAAGACAGGCAATTGTCTTATCACAGTCCCTATTTATCTGGGCAATTCAACTGTCTCGCATGCTCTCCTCAATTCAGGCCTGACCAAACCCTTCAAGCGCAGCCTGCGCGCCTCAGCACTCAGCACTGGCATTTCGCGTCCTCAGAATGCCGTCACGTGCCATCACGTGCCGTCACGTGCCATTGTGCCTCGGCTATTCAGGTACTATTGGTGAAGCTGGGCAGCCAGTTGGTTGTCTCTCTGCTTCGCCACCAATTAATTCATTAGGTGCTACGTACGTACGGAGGACTGAACTGGGAAATCCCTCCCACTGCAACAAGCCCCAATCATCTTGAGATACCGGGCTCGATATCCGCCGACTTGCAACCAGTCACATTGTCGGGCTGTGCGGGTTCTCTCGTTGGTCTCGTCAAATCGATAATGACATCAACTGCGCTTGAAACATTGTCGGCGTCGCCGGTGGGAAAAAAATGGCACCGCGCAGGTGGGCACGCGACATCTACTCCGTCCCTCATATACGGATTGATGCCACCTACTCACCTCTCATCCGTGGTTTATAGACTCAATACATGTTACAGCCTTTCGTTTGTTTCTTATTGCCTTGTAGATTTCATTTTGACTTTTGTCAGATCGGGAAGGCGGTCCATCACGAGGCGGGTTGACCTTGCCTCTCTATTATCGCCATGATCTCGTGGCTGAGCCCAGTTCCTTCTCTTCCTGAGCCATTAGGACCGCACAAAGTTGGCACGATAGAATGGGAAATCCCTATCTCAGAGATTCCTTTGCCTACGCCCGTCCCCGATCCTCAGATCTCAACCCTCAAGTTCCGCATCTTCTATCCGACCCTCTCGACCGCCACCTCCAAGATTTCTGAACCATGGCTCCCGCAACCACAACGGGCCTGGAGTCAAGCATACGCTTCATTCATGGGGGCAAGCCCCAAGCTGTCGTCCTTGGTCGCAAGCTTTCCTTTCTTCCTCAACTACACCAAACTTCCTGCCACACCCGACACACCTCTCCTGCCCCGGGATCCGTCCTCCAAATACCCGGTGGTTGTCTTCTCTCACGGCCTGGGAGGCAATTTTAACACATATAGCGCAATATGCACCTCACTCGCAAGTTTTGGCATCGTGTGTGTGGCTCCAGAACATCGTGACGGCAGTGCCCCTATCACCTTCATCCGCGCTGCGGACGGAACGACGACCTCGATCGGCTACCAGAGATACCCGCACACTCCCACTCCCGATGTCCTTACCTCTCGCAACGCCCAGCTACGGATCCGGGTGTGGGAACTGGAGCAACTGTTCACCGTATTGACCCGGCTCAATTCGGGCGGACAACAGTTTTCCAACTATGCTGCCAGGGACAGCATGACGGCAAAGTCAGACTCCCTGTCCTGGAACAACAAACTTGACTTACGGCCGGGTCGAGTTACGTGGGCCGGACATTCCTTTGGTGCTTGTGCTATGGTCCAATTGGTGAAGTCAGTGTACTACTCCAAGTCCACGCCCTCTCTAGAGGGTACACCCTACGAAAACGATCTGGACTGGCAGCCCCTGTACAAACCCACATCGAATTTCGATCTTGTCTGTCAGATCACTCCGGGCTCGCCCATCGCGCTGCTGGATCTCTGGGCCATGCCCCTACACGCAGAGCAGACAAGATGGCTCTTCGAGAAGCCACTGCCATGCTACGACCAAGATCCCACTGACAGCGGCAAGACAACCCCGACTGTCGTCGCAATCGTGACTGCTGAATTCTACAGACACACCGAGTTGCTTTATCGAATGCGAGCTGCCCTGTCACCCAGCCCAGCAGAGGCCACAACAACGCTGGAGGGTCGGATCGAAAGCTCCAATTCTCGTCAGGAACGGGAAGAACTCACCAAAACTACGGCGCTTTCTGCGCCGCCATCCAAGAATTCCTCTCAAACAAGTGCAGATGTTGATGTTCAGTCCGACTCCATCTCTACCTCACCACATGTCTCATCCGCGTCATCGCCGCAGACATCCTCCGTTCCCAGCCGCACGCCGTCCCCCATTCCCGGCCCCAGCGACGTCCCTAGCCCAGCGTCCTCCACAACTTCCGTTTCGTCTTCTTTCCCATCTGGACCTGAGCGGGCCTCCAGACCTGCTCACCCATCTCATCCGAAAATGTACCTCGTCCCCTCCAGCGCCCATCTCTCCCAGTCTGATTTTGGTCTGTTGTTCCCCCGCTTGGTTCGCTATCTCACCAAAGCCGAGGAGCCGGAAGAGATTATTGCCCTGAACGTGAGGGCTATTCTCAGCATGATGCGCGGCACTGGACTGGAGCCCGAACCATTCAAGTGTTCTCAGAGCTCCAAAGCTGCGGAGCATGAGAAAGACGCTGCGGATGAAGATGACATCTTGACCGAACGGTGTAAAGAGAAAAGATTCGTTCCTGTGCCGCTTGCGGACTGACTGGCTGGCTGATCGATCCCTTCTCAAGTTTGGCTGGATGTTGTATTGCTCGATTCGAAAGGTTTAATACGTCACGGCATAGAAATGATAGAAAAGACCAACGGATATATTCAGGATGGTTTCCGTTGAACGCGAACTTCACGACATGACCGGAGTCGGGGATGACAGGGCCCTGAATTTAGTTACACAGAAATAGAGATGGGTCTGGGTTTGGGATAGAGCACGGGATGTCTCGAGTCTGTTTTCTTTGAGCGGGTTGTCTTTGGGCGAACGAGCGCGCGGTCCAACGTTTATGTTTCGCAAAATGCACTCTGCGCAGGGCAACGTGGCGGATCTTGCTGAATTCCGAATCCTCGCTCTCCAGGGCGCAAAGATTTTTATTTCCTCTGCACTAGATGAGGATGACAGTAAGAGCAAAGAAGATCTATACATTTCCTAGAGTCCGCATAGACATTGTTATTGCAGAAATCGACGAGCAGAGGAGTGTGTCTAAAAAGTCTCTTCTCAGCTGTGGCGCATACGTGCTTCTCGGGCAATGATACATCCTGCTGCTGGCTCGAGGAGTGTGGGCTTAGTCAAATGGTCTTGATTCTCGCTATGCTATCGTGCTAGTCTAGACGTGCCAGGACAAGACAAAAAAGGAACTTTATCGTGTAATTGAGCTGTGGCTTTTTCTTGCATTGAGAGAAGCACAACCTTTCTTTGTCTGTTCGTTCGCTCATGTCGTTACCACTTCAAGGCCTGCCGCTGAATGGATGCAAGTCTTCACTATTGGTCTCACTTGTGCAAATGAGACACCACCCCTGTTCTCCCGTCCTGGTTGCACGTTCTGACACACTCCGTCTCCGGCAAACTCGTCACGTCCATGTTTGGTGGGGAAACAACACGAACCCTTCTGTCGTTTCACTGAACCAATTCCGCATTGACAAAACTGACCCTGTAGATGTGACAAGGCAGGGTGCGGGCACAACCAACCTAGCCATTGGATGTGGCCGTCTACAAGTCAGCGTCATCCTCATCCGGCAAGGGCATTGCGGCAGCCTCGGTCATCTCCTTCTGGTACTGATCAAGCAGTTGCTGGTTGATCTGGACCTCGGGAGGTGCGAGAGCCGGCGCAGCAACAAACTCAAGTTGAGGGTTGCCGACTAGTTTCCGTGCCAGCCAGAGGAAAGGCTTCTCGAAGTTGTAGTTGGATTTAGCCGAAATGTCGTAGTATTGGAGGTTCTTCTTGCGGTGGAACGTGATGGTCTTCGCCTTGACCTTGCGCTCCTTGACGTCGACCTTGTTTCCGCACAGGACGATTGGGATGTTTTCGCAAACACGGACAAGATCACCTGTTTGATTTTGTCAGTCTGGAAGAAATTGGCCATAGATAGATGTGCACATACGGTGCCAGTTGGGGACGTTCTTGTAGGTGATTCTGGAAGTAACATCAAACATGATGATGCCACACTGGCCGTTGATGTAGTAACCGTCTCTTAGACCGCCAAATTTCTCTTGGCCAGCGGTATCCCAGACATCAAATTGAATCTGACCAAGGTTCTAGATCGGCGTTAGACGTGACCCTGCGTGTGAGATATGTGGTACGTACGGTTGAGAAGCCTAGAGGATGAACTTCGACACCGAGAGTCGCGATGTACTTCTTCTCGAATTCTCCGGTCAGATGGCGCTTGACGAAGGTGGTCTATCAACATCGTTAGTGAGACCGATTCCGCCAGATGGAGTTGTTACGCCAACAGCCAGCGAGGCTCGGAAGATGTTTCCAAGCAGCTTCATACCTTTCCTGTGCCACCATCACCAACCAACACAAGCTTGAAGGTTGGCACGGCTTGAGCAGCTTCCGCCATCGTGATTGTGACCTTGTTGTTGTGGAGTTGAATAAACGCGGATAGGGAGTTGCGCAAGAGTTACAACTGCAATGATGCCACGGTATTTGGACCTGTGACACTGGCGCGGGGATGATGAAGAAGGAAAGGGATTGTGATCTGAAGTATTTAGTGAGGTGGAGGCTGCGCAAGTGAAGAGGCGGAAAGATTGTTTTCAGGAAGTCGCATGTGCCAAGACTCTGTTTGCTGGGGGACCAAAAGATTGGGCACCGATACAAGTGACACCCGCGGTCACGTGTAAGGCGGGCAGACCCAAGTTTCCAGAGGTTTCGTTCTAATCGATACATTGATAAGTCGGACCACCTCGTAACGCACAGCCTACGTAGTGCACAACCGTTCATTATACCCACCAACACGCGTAACTACAACTTTAAGTAACTCGTTCTTAACTAATTATAGTATATATTATTCTATAACTATCTTAATATACCTATTATATCCGAGTAAACCCTATAAGACGCGATTCGCGCGTACGAACGCGGCGACTATCCCTCTCTTAATACCGCCGCTACCGCCTTTAATATTAGCCGCTATACCTTAACGCGTCGATTAAGAGAAGGAAATACTCGTTAATAGACTCGCGAGATATAATAGCTTTTATCTTATACTTAAGAGTAACTTCTCGTATAATAGATTATGGATCTTAATATCGTCGAAGCCTCTTTTATCTTTATATAGATACGAGAGTTTATAGGACTTCTCTTAACAGTCTCTAGAGAATCTTCTTTAGACGACTATAATTAGATTATACGCTTTCTCTAGCGTTAACTAAATATATAATTAAAGATAGATCGAAAGATTAAATATCTATATATAGAGAATATCTTCTTAAGTACTCTAAGAATCTTTTTTAATTACTTTTAGCGCGTTCTTAAGACTTATAATATTTATACGAGCGATATCTAGAACTTCGACGAGTTAGAACTCGAAATAGATATTTATAATAACTAGAGAGTCTTAGAAAGAGTCTTAATAAAGCGTTTTTATCGTAAGACTTCTAAAAATCGCGATTAAGTTATTATTATTAAGGTCTATTCGTTTAAGAGCGCGTTAATAAACTTATTAATTATATTTAAGAATAAAGAACTCTAGTTATTATAGTTTTTAGATAATCTTTTATTAAATTAGTACTTTATATATATAAAGAACACGTTTATCTTAAATAATATTAATATTAACGTGGATGATAAGCGAGCTGGCCAGATAAGCGAGCTGGCCACTTTCCCTCAAAATCACGACCATCAACTTTAAATAGATATTACTCTACCACCAAAGCTAAATATATCTTCAAATGAATGTCAGTTGATCCTTGCCCAACAAGCTATCAAGAAAAACCCAAAACTAAGTATTCGAGAGGCAGCTAAACTCTACTCGGTCCCTCGTTCTACCCTGGGTACGCGACTCAAGGGTACCCAATCTCGATACGATAGCATACCCAACTCACGAAACCTGACCTCCCTCGAAGAGGACACGATTGTTCAGTATACTCTCGACCTCGATGCGCGATCGCACCCTCTCCGACTCGGTGGTGTGGAAGATATGGCTAACCGACTACTGGCGGAGCGCGACGCGCCGCCCGTCGGAAAGCGATGGGCGTCCAACTTTTGTTAAGCGACGACCAGAGCTCCGGACGCGTTTCTTTCGTCGGTACGACTATCAGAGGGCCCAATGTGAAGATCCCGACGTGATTCGCGCGTGGTTCGCGCTCGTAAAGAATATGGTCGCAAAATATGGCGTGATGGACGCGGATATCTACAATTTTGATGAGACCGGGTTTCTAATGGGTATGATCTCGACAGGCATGGTCGTGACAAGTGCCGAAAGGCGCTCGGGCGCGAAGTTGGTCCAGCCTGGCAATCGAGAATGGGTGACAGTGATTCAGGGCGTCAACGCGCTGGGCTGGACGGTTCCGCCGTTTATTATTGTTTCGGGTAAATACCATCTCTCCACCTGGTACCAAAACAGCTCTCTCCCACCTAACTGGGTTATCGCCACGTCTCCTAACGGCTGGACCACGAACGAGAGAGGTCTAGAATGGATCCGGCACTTTGATCAGCACACAAAACCGCGAACGACGGGTAAATATCGTCTCTTAGTGCTCGACGGGCACGAAAGCCACCACTCGACCGATTTTGAGCTCTATTGTAAGGAGCACGATATTATTACCCTCTGTATGCCGCCTCATTCATCTCATATCCTCCAGCCTCTCGACGTT